GGGAGAGAGGCAAGGGTAGGAGTATACATCTATATAGTAATAACGGATGCCCAGCATCCGGTCTTTAGTGATAGTACAACGTTCGAATGTAAACAACAAACACGGCGGAGTCCGCCCTCGGGGTGGCCCGCCGGAACGCGTCTCGGCGCGTCCCGCGTCTCGGCTGCGTCGATCTCTAACAGTATCCCCCGTCTAGACACAAACTCCGGATGTGTCAGTCGGTAGTCTCCGAACCCCCTTTGCGGTACTCCGACCGGCGTGGGATTGGCTTTGCCGGGTATTGGCGATGGAACGATATCACGACGTCGTCGTCCCAGTCGAATTCTCCAGCTCCGACCCAATCGTTGTGCGCCATGTCGTACCCCTTCCACGAGACGAAGTATTCAACTCGAGCAACTCGACCCTTACGCACTCGGGAGTCTAGGATCTCCGCCACCTCGTAAGCAGCCTCTCCGTTGTCGGCGACTTCGGGCGGTGGCGGCGGATCTACCCGCCGGCTTTCCCTAGTGTTCGCCTTGTACGGTATCAACAACGATACGTGGAACACGTTGTGCACGCGCCTCATACTGCTAGGCAGCTCCAATCGTCGGGCAAGGCCCGAGTTTCCCACCTTCTCCGTAATTCGGAACGGGCCGAAGGTCTTCCAATCCAGCTTCCTGCTCGGCCGAACCGTGGTGATGTGTTCAGACGACAACATCACCAGGTCCCCAACCTCGTACCCCTCCGTCGGCACATTCCGTCGCTTGCGATCGGCGTACTTCGCCATATTGGTCCGTGCGAGTTCTAGCGACTTCATAACCTGCTCGCGGACCTCCTCCATACGCTCCCGGAAGGCGGCTGCCGACTCGATGCTCCCCGGAACTTGGCGAAGGGAGAACTTGAAATCTTCTCCTTCGGAGGCCATGAACGGCGACATCTTGATCGCCGAATGCCACGCGTTGTTGTAGGCGAATTCCGCCATGGCGATCAACTCCGCCCAATCGTCTTGTTGGAAGTTCGTGTAGCTCCGGAGGTACTGTTCCAACGTGGAGTTGGTCCTCTCCGTCTGTCCATCGGTTTCGGGGTGATACGCCGTCGACAACCGCTGGTTCATCCCGGTGATCTTGCACACGTCCCTCCAGAATCGCGACGTAAACAACGCCCCCCGATCAGTCAACAAGTCCTTAGGGTACCCATGGAGCCGCACCCATTCGTTGACGAATATCGACGCCAGCGCATGCGTGTCGTCGTCCTTTCGACAGGGCACGAAATGCGCCCTCTTCGTAAAACGATCCACTATTACGAGGATCGAGTCAAACCCCTTCGACACGGGCAACCCCGTGATGTGGTCCATGGTGACCGACTTCCATTTCCCTTCTGGTACCGGTAGTGGATGCAACTCCCCCATGGGTTTTGCCCGCGGTCGCCTATTCCGCTGGCAGACGTCGCAGGTCGCCACATACTCGGCCACCGTCTCCCTCAGTCGGGGCCACCAGAATTCCCGGAGAACCATCTCCGTCGTCTTATCCCGACCGTAGTGCCCGACCAACTTCTGGTCGTGGCACAGCGCGAGCACTTTGCTGCGCAATACCTCCTTGTCGGGGACATACATCCATCCTCGGTATAGGAGGAACCCGTCGCTGTCCACCGTCCATTCCTCCGCCTTACCCTCCGGCGCCTGGGAGACCCGCTCGGCTCCGGCGGTCAACTCCGCGTAGGCGTCCTTGACGAAGGCGTCTTCCTTCAATTCCGCCAGCAGTAAACGCTGGATCTCCTCTTCCGGAAGTTGCAAGGTTCCGCATATGCGGAGTGCTCCTTGGCACTGGTCCGTCGCAACGCTCCGGCGGAGCGCCCCTTCGCTCTCCTCCATCGTGAGAGCATCCAACTGCATTGGCAGCTCGCTGTTCTGCGGCCGTAGCAGAATCTCCGTCTCCAGGACCTTGGAGTCCTTCATCAGTTCTTCCCGGCGGCTCAAGGCATCGGCCTTACCATTCTCCGTCCCGGGCTTGTACTCCAGGGTGTAGTTGAACTGGTTCAACCGCTGCGACCACCGCGCCTGTCTCCTCGTCAGCATTTTCTCGGTACGGAAGTACTCGAGGTTCTTGTGATCCGTAAGGATCCGAATGAGTCGACCACTGTCGAGGTACTGCCGCCATACCGTGCAGCTGTACACGATCGCGAGGAGCTCGCGGTCGTGAACGTCGTAGTTCCTTTCGGCCGACGTTAGGCTTTTCGACATGAAAGCCACAGGGTGCATTTTTCCGTCGGCTCCCTCCTGGGACAGCACCGCCCCGATCGCTCCGGAGGAGGCGTCCGTCTCCAGCAGTATTTCTTTATCCTCGTCGAAATGAGCGAGGATCGGCGCCGTCGTGAACGCCCGTTTCAATTCTTGGAAGGAGGCCTCCGCCTCCTTACTCCATTCCCATTTTCGACCTTTCTTCGTAAGGTCGTGCATCGGCCTGCACTTCTTCGAGTACCCTTCGATGAAGCGGCGATAGTAATTGGCGAACCCCAGGAAGGACATGAGTCCTTTCACGTTTGTGGGGGCCGCCCAGTCCAGTACGGACTTGATCTTAGAGTCGTTCATTTGAACGCCCTGCGGGGTAACGTCATACCCCAAAAACTCGGTGTGATCCGTATCGAACTCACACTTCTCGGCTTTCGCGTAAAGCCCGTTCTCCAACAATCTCCGAAGGACTTCTCCGACGGCCTCGTCATGCGACTCCTGATCCGGTGAGAAACCAGGATGTCGTCCAGGTAGATAACCACCTTGGTGTCCAGCATATCCCTGAACACGTGGTTCATCCACCTCTGGAACGAGGCTGGAGCGTTGGTGAGCCCGAAGGGCATCACCAAACACTCGAAGAGCCCTTCCCGCGTTCGGAACGCCGTCTTCCATTCGTCGCCCTCCTTTACCCTGAGGAGGTTGTATGCCCCTCGCAGGTCCAGCTTGGTGTAGATCTTCGCCCCCTTGAGACGGTCTAACGTCTCCGATATAAGGGGCAAGGGGGTGCGATCCTTGACCGTGATGTCGTTTAACCTCCGGTAATCAATACAGAGTCGCAACGATCCATCTTTCTTCGGAACAAACAGCACGGGGCTCGCCGCCGGAGATGTTGACATCCGGATAAAGCCCTTCCCCGTCTGCTCCTTAATCCACTCCGACAACGCCGCTCCTTCTTTTGCGGAGTGCACATAGCACTTGCCAAATGGCGGGGTTGTCCCGGGGAGTAGATCGATGGCGTGGTCAAAGGACCTCGCCGGCGGCAGTGTATCTGCCTTTGTTTTTGAAAACGCGCCTAGCCAGGCGTGATACTTCTTCGGGACCCTCTCCCGGAGCGTCTCCATGTACTCCGGGGGATCCAAATCATTCGGGAACGAGTCCATAGGTTGGACGTCCCAATCCCACAGGTCCGGTCGTTTGGCAGGGGGCGGTTGTTCCACCACCGCGTCCAGGCGTGCTGCGTACAGCGTGTAGGACCCCTCCATTGCGGCCCTGTCGATCTCCTCCGACGCTGTGCTCCGTCGGACTCTCTCTCGGGTGGACTCCTCGGGGGAGAATACCACCTCTTTCCTGTCTGGCAGACATCCGAGACCCAGGCATGTATCCCCCAACTCCACTCCGTTCGATGTCCAGTCGATGATCGGGTTGTGGCGCCGGAACCACGGCGCTCCCAAAACCACGTCGTACGACCCTAGGTCCGTCAACATGAACGCGACCGACTCGGTGTGTCGGCCAATCCTCAGCCTAGTACTTGTCCGGTGGGTCACTGCACCGGAGTTGATCGGTCTCCCATCGATCACCCTAAGCATCCTCGGCTTCTCGAGCTTTTCCTCCACGAATCCGTGCTCCGCAGCGAACCCCTTGTCCATGAACAGGTTCGTCGCCCCGCAGTCCAACAGCAGGACCGTTTCTACGGCTCTCCCCTCGGGGTACACCGTACCCAACAAGGTAAGGTGTTCCTCCGGATCCGCTGGAGAGCCCAACATCCCGATCGTACACTCACGACCTGCATCTTCCGCAGGTACCTGCCTTCTCGGGCTCACGGGTTGATCCGTTATTCTGTTACGGCGACGAATCCGCCGGGTTGGTGCCCCGGGTCGGTCCGCCGGACGAGTGAGCGGGAAAGAGGCGAGGGTAGGAGTATACATCTATATAGTAATAACGGATGCCCAGCATCCGGTCTTTAGTGATAGTACAACGTTCGAATGTAAACAACAAATAGGGCGGAGTCCGCCCTCGGGGTGGCCCGCCGGAACGCGTCTCGGCGCGTCCCGCGTCTCGGCTGCGTCGATCTCTAACAGTGACGCTGCCTGTGGTGAACCGCCCGTCCAAGCTTGCTGACATCTGACGAGCTGCTCCGAAACCAGGAGTGTTGCCTGGGTGTGGTTGCGGTAAGTTTGGTGAGGAAGTCGGCCCTTGACTACATGTTGCAAGAAGTGGAGGAGCTCATTGGTCTCGTTGATGTAAGTAGGGAGAAGGTATGGGTCGCGTTCGTGAGGTTGTTTTGCTAAGTATATTCGAATTGGGTCCAATTCGTGGTTGACAATTGCAGCAACAGTCGTAGCTACGGTCTGAGGGTCCATTGGGTTTGAATAGAAGCTATGGAAGGCGACGACCTATGGAATAGGGGTGCCATCGTGATAGCATGATTACAGGATAGAGCCAAGTTGGCCCAGGAGGACCCACATCGAGTGAGCAAGCGGAGGCAAATGTGGCGGAATTGCCCGAGACGGTGGCAGATAAAGATCCAAATTATAAGTCAAATTGGGACAAATAAAGGCGAATTGTGCCAAAATAAAGATCGAAATTCGAACAATAAAGATTTCGGGGGGATTTATAAGTCCGCGCGTCTGGCGCAAACGGCTCGCCATAGACTCGACGCCCGCCGATCTGGGGAAAAAGAGGCGCAATAAATGGGCAGCTGGCAGTTTACGCAGTGGTATGAGACTAGGTATTTTGAATTTGTGAATGTCATCCGGATTCTCGATGGCCTAAAATCCGAGCACTCTACCGAAAGATGTTGTATCGACCGGTGCTTCATTATCGACAAAGCCAACAGATCAACAGATCGCTCAGCCTGGCTTTCATGTCTGAAATAGGAGGACTGCTGGATGTAAGCCTGTCGGCCTGTCATTTGAATCGTTGAGACATGCCGTAAGGGGCGTCAGGTGTCATCAACCGTTTCTCACATGCTATGCAGAACTCCGAAGCGACTAAATGGTTTTCCAATTACACGAGCTTGACGCTCGAATCACTATGGTCGAGCGATAACGATTGTCCATGATAACACGTCTTCCTCCATCTTGGTGACACGTTTCGTCTTGTTTTCATGGCAAATTAGGCTCGCTTGCACTCAGAGTGTGCCCCCCCTACAGCCACGTTCAACAATTCGACATGAAACATCAGCTTGGCCGTGCATTACCACCATTTTTGCCGATTGTGACAAGAGTTCTTTGAGGCCTTCAGGAGTAGAATCACTACTGACTCAATACTGAGGTATCCAAAGTGGATCATTGTGCTTAGTACCCCTAGCAGCTGGTTGTCATGATGGTTCGAGCGACATATGCATCATTGCCCGGGCGGGCCGAGGGAGAGGTTGCGGAGACAAAGGAGCGCATGTCGCAACTAAAGGATAAACGTTTCGGGTCGGTCGAGATGCCAAAGACTCGGCCGAAGATCGTCAACATCATCATTATCATTACTCGAGTACCTTGAACATCAATCGGACGCATTCCTTTCATGGCTGATCAGCGAAGTGAGATGCTCTAGTGCGTGGTCTGTACTGGTAAAGCTACTTGGTAGCCTCCCGATGCCTTGCTGCGCACGCAAGCGGCAGTGGGATTGATTAGGCTTATGATCACTTGATCATTGCCTGATTCCACAAGCTGCATGATCAAATTCGAGCTTTCCTTTCATAAAGGTGAAAGACTTTCCCCCAACAGCGAAGGCGGCGTTGTTAATACGACAGTCGGAACCAGTTCAGTATAAAGTACGACGCTTGCAATCATTCACCTGTTTGCAGGCACTCCGTCCGAGTTGCTTTCTTCACGAACTACCGACAGCTCCGAGACACAATTGCTGTGCTTTTACACACTACTCGCATAAGCTTCGCTATGGATCCGGAACCATCTACCGCTTCGCTTCTCGAACCCTCTAGTGAGATGACCCTTCTGCACTCTAGGTCCGACCCTCCGAACTCCAGCGGGATTACCGCGACATCCGTGAGAACCCACGGCGATGCGAGTACCGTTGACTATCACGATCAAGCTGCTCGTGCTCGAGGGGTTGCCGAGATCTCCAGAACTTTAGCAGCGGGTATAAGAGATCTGGTTTCTCAGAAAGAATTCATCGATATACGCTGGGGTTACAGGGGTGAACTAGACGAGGGAGTGAAGCGGTTGGTTATATACGTCAGTTCTGGGCTCCAGGACATACAGTGGGTAGTGAGGCTTCCCGACTTCAGTCTTCGAGTGCACGACTTTGAAGCTACACAGCTAGCATCTCTGGGAGGAGCTCGGTTGAGTGAGCTGTCCAAAGCAATCTCGGACTTGGGAAACCTTGAAAGCAGACAAATCAACTCCCTAGAGGTATACTCAGACTTACGTGGAAAGGTCCTGAGGCTTGCCGAACAAGTCGGAGAGATTCTGAGAAGAGACCCGGTCCGGAACGCAGAGCTAGACCTCCGCGAAGGGGCGATCGTTGTGTCGCGTCAAGTCATTGATAAAGTGGTCAAGGATCTTGCCCTCAGCTAAGATATCCCTGACAAGCTGAATTACCAGGCTAGCGTACTTACGGGCTCTGATTTTGAGCAGCAGCAGGGTCCTGGCGGAAATTTTCAGGATCCCTTACAATTAGAGTAGTCAAATGTTTGGTGATCTCAGAAGAGTAGGCAGTTATCGGAGATGAGACACAAGAGGCAGGCGATTGGCAGCTGATCTCACACCTTGCTTGTTTAGTCTGTATCGAATAGATACTACTGTAATACAATTGATTTGTCTCCCTTGCTTGGGATCGGTTTGAGTTCTATTGTCCATCAATGCGATACAGTGGGAGAGCAATTGAGAAGGGGTCAAGGTTAAGGGACGTCACATTCACTATAATAGACCGCACTGCATTAGCTCCAATGCGTAACGAAGAGCAAATTTGTCCCTGAAACATGCGTTACATTCCGTCGGAATTCCCTTGCCCCATCCTTCCTCCCATGATAGCCTTAACAAAGCAAGTGATACACGACCCCAAGTTCGTGTTCGCATAACATACCGATCCTATGAAGCGCAATCCCGAGCTGTGGATATGGCACACGAGGGGAAATGACGACATCACCATGGCGCAAGAGCGACCTCCGTGTACGTTTCGAGCCAATGGCGTGCAATGAGGTGGCTGCTTGGTAACATGCAACACGGTTTGTAGCTTCCTTTCATTCTCGGTGGCGACATCGGAGAAGCATATGTTGCTCACCTGCTTGCATCCGGAGAGAATCGCATATAGACGTTACCCTCGCTCAGTCTCTCATCCAAGCCCAAGCCTCTCCTTCTTTTTAACGTGTATACAAATAACATTGACGTAAATCAGCCGAACAATCTCACAAGTACATCATGAGTTCCTTAGGTAGCAAGACCCCAGACTATGGTGATGACTTCTCATTTCAGCCCACAGTCCAGCCCATCGACTTTGAGGCTCTGGTTAAGAGCCTCGCACAGAGAGCCGCTGCGTCCGACGTTCTGCCTGCGCCCAGGGTCGCTGTGGAGAAGAGTATCGAGGAGACATACACGACGGCTGAGTCCAGCTTGTACCCGTCGCAAGTGCTCCAGTGGAGCAGACTCGCGTTCCAAGAGGGAATGATCAACGCTACTACCGAGGTACTAAGCGCAAATCTTTCTGTCCTGATTGACGATGACCACGTCAACGGAGAATACCAGTTTACACTTGCGGAGAAAGATGAACCAGATGAACGGTGTGAGAACTTACGGCAATGTGTACACGATGGGCTAACAAACATTCAGGACACCATGACCCACCCGGCCTTCAAAGACAGAGTTGATTCTCTTGACATGCTGATACGGCTCTGCTCGGCCATCAGCGATCAGTGTTACTTGATCGTCATGCAGGTCAGGCAACTTGCTGTTGACCACAACAACGATCATAACGGATGGACAGAAGCAGCGAGAAAGGTTACGGCAATCCTTGAGCCGATTACTGCGGTGATATTCAGCGAACGAACGATACAAAAGCCTCAATGCTCAGAGAAAGACCTTTCGGCACGTCGAGAGGAGTTGGCCCGAGTCATACACGAATTGAAGAACATCATTGCCCAGAATGAGTAGCGCATAGAATATTAAGCTTTGTAGTTCGTTGTTGTCTCGGTAGTGAATCTAAGCCACATTGTTAATTCCCAACAGGACCTATGTATGTAAAACCTATGATCATGACGCCATTCGAGGATAGCAACTGGTTTAGACATTGAGCATGTTGGCTAGCGCCATCTGATTCAGCAATCATGAACGATCTGATTCTTGTCTGCGCGATGTTCAACGATTCCAAAGTGCGCAAGCCGCGCGTGTGGCGTTATGTGCCCTGTGCCCGGGTCACAGAAGGCGCAACAGAGCGCTGGTTTCGTCACCGGTCCATGAATCGTAGACACTGCAGTATCATATGCTTTGAAAGTTCTGTCTTCGCTCTCAATCTCCTTGACAGTGTGTAGGTAGCAGTTCAGCTTCGTCCCAGTCGGTTTGATCATTATCATTACGTGATCTGCCTGTGCCGCGGCTATGAAGGGGAAAGGTTGCGTTCTTTGGTCAAAAATGGCGTTTGCGCAAAAGTCGTGATGACCAGGCAACTCTCTAGCTGCGAACAGGGCATCGAATTGTGGCTGTACAAGTGGTCAGCCAAACTACATTGAACGCCATCGAGAACCCCTCCTTCAAAGGTCCATGAAAGGTACTATAAGATAACACAAGATGACTGCGACGCAAACAGGCCGCTTGATTTGGCGCACGATACTCCTTACCTTGTAATGCCTTGGCGAGTTGTAATTTGAAGTGCTGACGACATATATTATCTGTCTTCAAAGGACTTCGTCGGTTGGAGATCACCCGACGCCGCATTCAGTGGCAGGATCGTTGGCTTGGCTACGTGAACAATATGCATTCTCGATGATTGTCCCTCTACTACAGGTGACGAGCCAACGATGGGAAGCGGGACAAAGGAAGGTATTTCAGAATTCTCAAAAGCTAGCGATCAAATGGCTACAAATATGGCTGCTGATATTTCCGATTGGTACAACATCTGCGCTTTCTAATGTCACAACCTCAGACCGATCGGCACAATCTTCTACCGTACCTTCATCCACATTTTCATTTCATCATGAACACGTCTCTACCTGGGTCAACCGTCCCTCCATCCGCTACGCCTTCGGATAGTACATCGCAAGCGTCTGGGTCCTCGAACTGAGTATCACTGTTAGAACTCATCAGGACCTGCGAAGAATCATTGTCAGCAGACAGCACCCCAGACAATAATCAAAACGGCGACTTTACCGGAATCAAAACGCGCCTTGGCGTTTACTCGTATTGTTGGAAACAGTTGGGAGCAAGGTGGAAAAGCCTGATGGAGGTTAGCCAGGGCGATATATCGAAGGAATCAAGATCTTTGGAGAAGAATAGCTCGGTTGCCAAGAGCACTCTTTCGCTTTGCGAGAAGGCGCATGAACTCTGTCAGATGCATTCCGATCGGCCTCTTCTAGAGACTGACATTCTGTCAATCGTAGAAAATTATTTCTGGGAAGCTGTGGACATCCGCCAAGGGATGAAGAACCAAAATGCGCCAACCGGTGGAACGAGTGTTGAGGTTACGAAGCCTTCGACAAACGAGGATGTAAACGGCATTGATCCGATGGAGGCCGTTCGGGAGGCTTCGAGCAGGCTTGGGAAGATGAGCGACATGTTGATTTCACTCATCATGGTGAAAAAGCTATCCATCGATGCTTTCAACCAAGTACAGGACCAAGTACTGGGACGCCGGTAGATCACCGGACTCGTTCTCGAAGCGTCTCTGCAAACTCAAGGTCGACCAGCGCCCAACGAGAACAGAGAATAAATACCTTGGTCCCCGAACGCCAGCCGACCGTAGTCTCTTAGAAAATACCAAGTTATTAGGAGACGTGCTGTTGGATCGCTTCGAAATGGAAAACTATCGCTATATCAGACAGTATTAAACTATATCATTGAGCGCTAGTGCAGCCGGCAGCAGTCAATTTTCTGTCATAATAGCAATCCTGAATACAGAGCGATAAAAGCACATCGCAATGTACGGCAACACAATGATTGAAAGATTGTCACTATGGCTACATAAATAGACAAAGGAGCGACGGTACGCCCAGCGTTGCAAGCTTTGCGTCCGGCGCAACGATCTGGGTTGTATATATAAGGGATTGAAAGGGCATAGTGCGTTAGCGACATCGCAATCCGCCTACGAAGAGGGTTACTAATAATACCATATACCCAAATGTAGCAGGTGGCTGGGTGTTACCTACAAGTTGCCGTCATGCACAGGAAACGATATCACGAATTTGACCAGTTGATGACTTGAGATTTTGGTTTCCATTGCTTTTTTATCGCCTTGTTTTGTGATTAAGTAAGATCAATCCATCACGCCTTGTTGGTTGTTGCGGCACAAGATGGTGTTATTGAATCACAATCGCCACAAAGGAGGGCACAGCATACTACTGCACTGAAAGCATCGCCAGAAGGCGATCACACGAGTACATATGCGCGCAAGTTCCAGAACCTCAGTGCTGTGACTGCGTGGATAGTGATCCAGTGATAATTTACTCATATAACATCAACACAGACCCATTACCTTTCAGCCCAACCACGTATCATGACGACTTCTATAGACACCGCTACAATCTCAGCCATTCAAACCGCCGAATCACTTGTCGTCTCTGCTCCCACGGGCTACGTTTCCCTGGACACACTCAACGAACTGCTTGGATCCTCTGTCCATACATGTGAACGACAGGGCCTCACGGACCCTCAGACTGACTACAACGTGCGGAAGGTATACACGTATTGTCTGAACGAAGGCAACAATGGGGCTCGGAAGCAGCTTTTGACCCATGGCGTTCTCACCAAACTTGAGGAGGTATCCGGCGGACAATACTTGTCTTACAGCAGTTTCGCTATGTTTAAGAACAGCTTGTCCGCCTTCGTCCAAACAGTCCAGTGGTGGGTTGACTATGAGTCAAAGATTCACATGTCCAAGAAGAGAGATGACATGCGTGCATCGCTGACCCGCTTGAGGGACGACTGGAACAAAGCGTACCTTAAGCTTGACGATATCGAGAGGCACTATGACCTCTGTGGTGGCGCAAACCCAGATCTAGGAGCGAAATTGTCAGCCGCTACCCGGGATATCGACAAATGGAACCAAGCTTTCGTAGAAGCAAATCAACAAGTCGTTGACGACACGGCAAACACACAGGAAAGATCACAGGGTACGATCATCGACCAGGCATCTGGGTCATCCGACGTATCCTCAACAGCTTACGCCTCCAATGAACCCACGATTGAATCCCCGGAATCATTAAGAACGGTCGGACAGATTTACACGTCTGCTTTAGACGAAGTGATTGGAAGGATACGGACACATCCGACAGAGGTTGATCAGGTTGCCCGGGAACTACGATGTGGGGATGAGGTTCATAGTCATGCCTGGGACTGTCTGCACAAAGCATGGAATCTATTGAAGACAAATTTAGGGCAACCGGTCGTCGAACGATTGACACTCGCCAACCCCGTTGGGCTAGAACGCTCCAAGCGGTTCAAGGAAAGATTCGACACCCTAGTGGTGTTAGCCCAACTCTACTGCCAACTGCAACAAGCCTGTCCCGTGAGGGGGCCGGTTGCAGATCTGATGGAACACGAAGAGGCCCAGCTGAAGGACGTCGGGAAGGAATTGGACAAGCTGCAGGTCCAGTGCGACATTGCCAATGGAGACGAGGTACCCGAAGATTTTGACCTAGTACAGGCTGTCTCACAGGTCGAGCAGACGTTCACAAAGATATGCGATGACTACAGGCGGAAGATCGGATGGAAGGTAGATGTTTGGGATTGGAGGAGACGGGAACTTGCGGAACAATAGGTCCATCTATATGCTTGAATACTAGAGTGCATAGTATTTGCGTGTTCGACATGAGAATTAGTTCGTTCTCCTTTTCGTCCCGAAGACATGCCGAACTGCTTAATACACCCCTCTTTTTCTCACGAATGACATTGGAGAATCATCTCAGGCAGCTTCGAAGCTTGTGACGCAAGCTTTGTTACCGATTTCAATGTCGTTCCGCATTGAGGCAAAGTCACGAGATCGACACAGCATGAATTATAGTACTTCGTTTCAAGTCCTACAGTCAACTTGAGTGTTTCGCCTCGTTGCACACGCTGATGGACAACGAGAAACGATCAGCGCAATTAGGATTGGTCAATCTTGACGGAGGATTTACCAATTAAATATCGTCATTGCCTCAATCCTTATAAGGTATTTCGTTGTCGATGTATAGCCACGGTATCAAAAAACAATCCTTTTTGAATCCAGATCTCAAGTAATCAAACATCTTTCCACATCTCTAAGTTATACTCCGGGATGTCCCGATGGAACAGCATGATTGCAATTGATAAGGGTCGCCAGGGATGACCAAACCGAAAGACGATCAAGGCATAAGCTAGGAGCGCACGATACACGTGAAATGTATCAGCCAAGGTCACCGTCATGGCTTTGACAGAGGCATCGTCTTGGGCCACTACAGCAGGTGATAATTTCTCTCGCCATCTCACCAGCCCTGGTGGTGGCTACCGTATATCCGCGACATTGTCAGGCAGACTCTAGGGCATTTCTTGATCAGTAGCATGATGTTGAAAGTAAAGCTTGATACGCAGGATACAGGTTATAGTGATAAAGAACCTTTATAGGCGATCCTGAAATCATTGCTTTTCAAAAGAACCTTGGTTGTATCTGACGCTCCGAACTGCCCAGCATTATTACCCTTAGCTGCCCTGCATCATCACCGCGTTTCGTCCGTACACCGATATGTGACTTGGGATGACAATCGGGATTCAGTGACAAGGCTCTCGGTTGTACGTTTTCGCACGTCTAGGCCTACTGACATGGCACTGTCTCATGCCAGAAGGTTGATCGACTGCGACGTCGCATGCGCGAGATCCGACTCGTTCGAACAGTCTCACTAGCCGCGCCGCGTCACGTGCAGTAGCGGCCATCTGGATCTCGCGTTTCACGTCGAGTCTTGGGGGCAATTAGCTGCCCGCCTTCTAGGGTCAGGTCGTGATAAATGACAAATTAGCTCGATCGTATTCTCCAGATCACAACTAGACTAGGCCAGACTGGATGACTCCACGTCAAACATCTGAAAGCAGTTGTAAGACACCTCTTGTAGCAAGAAGCTAGAGACAGCAGCGGGTCTTGCCGTTAGGCCTTTCGCCTGTCGAGAAGCTTCCCATGCGCTCTTGTTCGGCACATCAAGCAACAAAGGAAGTTCCATAGCCTGAGAGAATCGATTCTGCTCATCGGGCTTTCTGGGACTAACTTGAGATCTGTCCGTCAGCTGACGAACCGATGATCACATAATGTACTTGATGCTCCGATCGATGCCATAAACGCATTTGAAAGCACGATGATCTCCATACAGTGGGTCGCTTTTTCTTATCGCTTTTAGTGACAAAGCCGCACCTGAAGGTTTTATAAGGACGTCTACATCACTCTGACAAAGAGGCATATATTCGCAAGTAGAGACACGAGATGAAATGGACCCAAAGGCAGAGGTGTGTCTCGAAGCTAAGTTGTTCTCGGAACGCGTCGTGATCTTCAAGACCCGATGATGGTACGGTGCACCACGTGGCGAGATTAACCATGAACGAGAGCACCCTCTCCCTGTCCCTCTATGGAGAGGATCCATACGGTCGATCGATCACATAGACGAATAATTTTGAACTATCAAGACCGATGCTCACATATATCACAATGAAAGGAGCCCTCATAAAACTATGCTTCTTCCGCCGACCTATTGCCGGCTCGGACCAGTATGGATGTTCCGGTGCCGCTAATAACGCACGACATATATGCTGGTCACCCGCCAGGTCGTATGATTCCGTCTCGTCGCCGTCTTCAAGTATAGGCATCAATTTGATACAAGAAGGATCCAGTAAACTCAGTTTTATCATCCATGACCAGCGCAACAGTCTACCCTGATCTCTCCGAAATAATTCCGTCGACGACGTTCCAGATAACCTTTTGCGAGGGCCAAATCTCTGCGGATATACCACCCTGGCTGAGCGATGCCCTAGGGTTGACCGAATTCAGCTCTCTCGCCGATTCGTCCGATTCCGAGGTCGTACAATCTGATCTGTCGCCGATGGATCACAAGGACCAACAGGATCGGATACGAAAGGAGGAACAACAAGTGGATATGGCTTTGGCGGATCACGAGGAAGCCCTTCACAACATCCAAAGCTCCCTGATTGTTGCGATTCACAGTGATTCTTCTATACGAGGAGAGGTCTGCAGGGTAGGGTATATCATTGGAGACGCCGGAACTCTTTATAAGATCCCAAGCCAGAGAGACACTCTGCGCTCGAAGGTGATGGCGGAGGCGAGAAACCTAGCGAGCCTGAAGAGCTTCTTGTTTAAAGAGCAGCTTGCGCTTCGTGCGAGTGCTGAAGCCTTGATCAAGCAGCACAACACTCCTCCGGCCGAGCAGTCTACCTCCCAGGATCAAAGACTGAAAGAGCTATTGGGAAATCTCACCGAACTGGCCATCGCTGTAGAATCGAACTGGCGGAAAGCATCAGATAGGGAGCAGGCGCAGAATGGCAAGGGTTTTTCACTGCTACCCTATCCGGAGGTGTGTTGATGCGAGTTCCGATGGGACTGTAGGAGGAATGAATAATGTGTTGCATTTACCTCGAGTCTCATGTTGTACTTCTGAATGACTACAATATGGGATGTTATAGAGCCTGAATTCTTGTGTCGGATTTAGCAGGAAGCATAATCGCCGCTATATGTGTGACGAAGGACCTTGAGACCGAAAGGCCTTTGAACTCTGTCTTTACCCCCATAGCCCCTGATCTACCGCTTTGAGTATTTCCTTTGTCACAACTTTCGAGTAGCAGTGGGAAAGCACCGGAGGAGCCATGCCCCCAAGGGAATCTACCCAATTCTAGCCTGGAGGTGGCGGGTCACGGACTCCCCATCGAGGAGACAAGAAGCATTTGCGCAGGCGCGTAGTATAGAACTATCAGCTGAAAGCTTCGAACGTAGATTTATTCGATTCGACTTGAAGGAACGCGGCCTCGAAGGAGCGAGATCGTCGAAACCACGCCGAACTGATTGCGGGTTGACGTCCGACTCTTGATTTCCGCCGATGTCTCAGTTAGTCTGAATGTCAAGATCGAGGGCTTGCAGGATACGAGCGTACAAATACTATAATCACCATCATTGTCTCCGCTTGTGTCTGTTTGGAATCGAGATGTGCGTACCGGGGGTCTTGTCAGGCGCCTGTTCAATGAAAAAGCCAATTCCCGGGTGGAGCGCGTGGCGTTGATCCGCGACTCAGGCCGACGGCTCTCATAGTACTTTAGACATAGGCAAAGCGGTCACGCCTACTCTGCATGAAAGGAGGCGATCCGGAGAAGCTCAAATGTGGCATGGGCATGATTATAAATGCAGAGCAAGGCCCACTCTCCCAATCAGTCGTTCCGATTTCCCTAATGAGCATATCAACCAGTCCAATTTTCTACTGCCTGAGCTCTACCCATCACCGCGATGAGTCCGAATCTTTCACCTGAAGACCAAGAGAAGGATGTGCAAACATCCGGATCGCAATTTTCCGATATGGGAAGCCTGGAGGCAAACTTTTCGGACCCTTCATCGGTGGCGTCATTCGCAAACACAGGTGACAGCACGAACGGAGATCGATCACCCCTACAGGAAAGCTTTCAGCACCCTAAGAACGAATTACTCAGCGTTTCGGGGTCCGTGCACACTGCCCACACGTCTGCCGGTTTCAAGGACTTTTCGAGCGGCTATGCAGAATCAAAGAGGGAGAACGATCGAACAGGTCGGCATGCTCCCGACCCGAATGCTAATGTATCGCCTGTCCACACAGAGAGGGGTGGAATCGGTAGCTCGCAGCAATCTGGAACCCCCAGAAAGAGAAAGATAGGAAGTCGATGGGACTTTAGCGGGGCAGATGTCGTGAAACCGGTCGATCTTAGCGTTTTTGGGGGCGTTCCCTACACCGGATACGGGTCGACTTTCGTTGAACGAGTCCTGGAAGAGACACCTACTGTAGGGACGAATTTCGCTTTACAACCTCGTTACCGGATCGCTCAGTCGGACGAGGAATTGATTGCTCTCCACGATTGTACGGCTTCAGGAAACCAGCCGGATGGATCTGAGGCTCATACGGCTCGGGAGGAAGCTCCTGACCTATGGACACCGTATGAGCCAAACCCATTACCCAAGTACGAACCTCTGCAGGATGTCCCGGTCGCACGTGTGCAGCAGTGTCTTGACACTCTCTGCAGCACGTGGGGATTACACAAAAGCCCAGAGAGGATGGATGCTCTACAGGAGATCTACGCCAAGTGTAAGGATGACATGGTTCTCATCCATGTCAAACTCTACAACTATTCCAAGACCCTTCCGCAGTCTTCCGCCAGAGGAATCGTACCGCCAGGAGCTCAAGCGCTTGTGGAACGTATCAAGGCGATCTGGGAGAACATTGATCAGGCATTAAAGGTCTGCTTGCATCCGTACAGCGACTGGTGGACCACTAAACAGCGAAAGAACAGGATTGAGAATCTGGAAGAGGCACTGAAGTCCGCGAGGCGCGAACTTTCAGAGATCTTCCGCGAGGCCGGCAAACTACTTGCTGAGAGTCAAGGGCAAGGTGTCTAGGTCGCATGAAGCATCATCGTGTGTTTTTCGTTGTACTGTATCATTGTGCTCCTCTCTACACAATTAGAGAAACCTGTTTCTTCGTCCCTTTTGAGCAGCTTGAGCATATTCGCCCTCGAGAGGTTGATAGGGACACGAAATCGATGCTGGATTTCTGCCTGGAGTACTTCGCCATCTTCGAGCCTCGGCCGATTCCTCTAAGGCATTCGTAATGGTCTTCACTGAGATGTGAAGCTGATGATTCAATGATAGACTTAGTGTTCGAAATAAGCTGTTTCAGCCATCTTAAGTGGGCGAGATTGTTGGTTGACTGATTCCCTATGTAACCGGTCCTCTCCAAACCTTATCTTGCGGATATGGTCATATCGATTCGCGACAGGTCTCAGGTCAAGAGTTTCATGAGTCGATAGGATCACCCTGTATGTAGGGACCTTTGATCGAATTCTGTATATCCTGATGATGCTTGCACAAGACATACGGCTGTAACTACAAGGATAGACCTCAGGTATCTCGTCATGTTAGCCGCAGCAACGACGTCCCTCTTTGGGAAATCGTCATCCCTCTCAGCATACACCATCCACACGACCCCGACCTCCACTCCGAGCTCGTCGTCCTTGAACTTGGCATCTACACAAGGACAACCATCTAAACGGAAACCGCTCTCGGTGGGATTATGGAAAGTCCTGAGTGGGACGCATAAGACGACTGGGAAGGATGTCAGCGTGTGGATCTTCGAGAAACGGGTGATTGACGGGGTCAGGAGTCCGCAGCTCAAGGAGATTGTCCTGGAGACGTTACGGAAAGAGGTATAAAGCGGTCTTCCTCCTCGAAACGCTCGATGCTATCGCGAGCTCACACCATCCTCGTTACTTGTCTCCAGGCTCAATCGTTGACCAAGCTACGACATCCAGACCTCCTCCAGATCACCGAACCGTTAGAAGAGACCCGGTCAGAACTCACGTTCGTCACCGAGGCCATCACAGGCAGCTTAAGCGGGATCTTGAGGGACTTGTCGGAGAATGTACATGGTCCCGGGTCGGACCGCAATCGAGGCGGAAGTGCGGGTTTGGAGGTGGATGAGGTCGAGGTCAGTCAAGAAGATACAGGATTGGGATCATGAAGTTGAACTGATCGGAGATGGCCGGGGAGATGTAGATTCAGAAAGGGGTCTTGCAGGTCTCGAGAGCTTTGTCGTTTTTGCATAATCAGGCCAAGCTGGTGCATCTGAACATCAATCCGGATGCTATCCTTATCAACACGAAGGTAGGCTTTGCCAGTCCAACCCTTACCACTTATTCTCGCTTGAACACAGCCGAGCTGACCTCTTCCACCCGCTCTTCATTCGACTTGTTTCGACTCGACCCGACGTGACTTTATAGGGAGATTGGAAACTCTCAGGACTCACCCACATCACCCCGATCCCTTCATCGTCGTCGTCAGCGAATCAACAGAAATACGTCTACCCAGAGGTGGATAACCGGATACCGAGCCAGGTCCAGTGGAAGTTGGATTATCTCGCCCCGGAGTATATCATCGACGGACCTGGGAGTTGGGGAACAGGGGTGGACGTTTATAGTCGTGAGCACCTCGTCATCTTTATTTCGCTTTTGGAAAGGACTAAGCGTTGTGCTGAGCGATGTTTTTCGTTTGAGGGCAGTGGGCTGTCTGTTGTTCGCAGTGCATTTGGGTGGGAAGCCGCCATTCAGGAATAACGGCTCGATACAGACTGCGACGACGCATCTGGAACAGGATCTTGTTCAGGGGTCATGGCGGGGAGGTAGAAGATGGCAAGAGGCGGGGGACGAAGTGCGAGGTGAGTCGAGCAGATGCCCATTATCGTCGGCTGATAGTATGCGAAGCTGACAATGAATCGTTATCACTCGATATCTTGTAGACCTGTTACCCAAGCTGATCACACGGCATGCTCAACCACGTTTATCCCTCCCGACCTTGCAATCACATTCGTATTTTTCCTCCCTGGCGATATCGACACTCAACTTTTTGGACCCCTCAAACTTCGCCAGTAAACCGAGAGAGGAGAAGGCGTCGTTCTTGAAGGGGCTCTTAAGGGTGTTACCCGGGTTCTCGGATAGGCTGAAGAGGAGGAAAATCTTGCCTAGTCTGCTTGACGAGGTCGGTTTCGCTCCTTTCACAGGTTTAAGGTCGAACCATTGCTGACAAGGCGATTCCTGAAACAACAGATGAAAGACGTCTACCTCCTGCCGTTCTTGCTTCCCGACGTCTTTGAGATCTGCAAGACCTTGACCAATGACGAATTCGCCGAGGTCTTGCCTAGGGTCCAGCCGCTGTTCGACCTCAAGGATTCGGCCCAGACGATGTTGATGTTGATCGAGAGCATACCGATGTTTGCGCAAAAGACTTCGCCAGAGGTTTTCAGGAAGAGTGAGTAATCGCTATAGTCTGTCTTCAAGAGGGCGATCGGGAGACTGACCTAACCGGAACAGGCGTAATGCCCCTGATCTACCACGCGTTGGAGTCGGAACATTCCAACGTGCAGGAAAAGGTTCTAGGCGCGATCCCGTCGCTATGTGATAATTTGGACTATTCGACCTTGCAGGATATACTCTTGGTCAAAGTCGCAGTAAGCTTTTGCTTGTGTTCTCATTTTCGATTCACACAAGCTCACTTTTGCCCTTTGCTTGGCAGATCGTCTTCACCAAGACTACGCTTCTCTCTGTAAAAGTGGAAACTCTGCGCTGTTTCCTGGCCATGGTCACCATTCTAGACAAGGTGAGTAGACACACGATGGAACGACCTTCAGCATTGCTGATATTACTTGCGCTCCAGGCTGTCCTCACGCAAAAGCTGGTTCCATTACTGGCTAAGATCAGGACCAAGGGTGAGCTCAGAATTGAACGGTATCAAGCAAAATTTATGATTGATCGGTCGTCCTGGCTTATGTTTGTAGAACCGTCGGTCATGGTACGCCTTATGGATTCAGTCGCTATATGGCTATGTGCTCATGACTGGTGGTCTGTGGTAACAGATGGCAACTCTCGCTGTACACGAGGCCATGGGAATGAAAGTCGACCGAGAAGCGGTAGCGGGTCTCGTAAGCCGTGATCTCGTCCCTTTCACCGCGTCGATCCGGCTCTTATTGTCTCTCTCGCCTTAGGTCCTGCCGCAACTTTGGGCTATGTCAATGGGACCACGTGAGTAGCGCCGTGCTTTATAGCGATTGAGGTCTCGACTGACAGATATCGACACGTTCATACAGTTTTGAGCGTTGACCAGTTTGGGAAATTCATGAGGTTAGTGTCGGGCTGAGGGTGTCAGCGCAGACTGCGATGCTGAATTCTTGTACTCTCGCAGCGTGATTAAATCCCTCGGCAACCGCGTCGAAAGGGAACACTTGGAACACCTCCGAGCTATACGTAGAGCGGATGAGCAGACGTCCACCTTTGCCGGAGCATCTGCTACCGCGCCAGGATTCAGCATGAACGGGGGCGGCGAGGTCGACTTTGAAGCTCTGGTCGGATCGAAAGGGACCACTGGAGGTTCGAACGGGGCTGCAAACGGTTCTCGAGGTGTGCAGGGGCTGTCATTGGATGACCCGTGGGATCGCACCGATGACTGGTTGGCGTCTGCCCCAGCGACGAGCAGCACACGGCCTGCCGTCAACTATACTCCTACCCACGCGCCGACAACGCCTACCGCATGTGGTCGCTTGAAAGCACGTCCCGTGCCGGCATCCACTTTTAATACTGCTGCCTTCGCTGCCGAGCCCGCCGTATCGAGACCAAACAACGCTATGGGGTCGATGAACGGAATCATGCAGAGTACGCCTGCCCTGCCTCCGCCGCAGGTTCAGATGACGCGAGCACCTCTCTCGCCACGACCAGCCGGACCGAATTACAACATAAGTTTAGCACCGCAAGCGCCAACGACATCGGTATTCGGAGCCGCTCCCTCTTTGAGTATGGGTACGAGCATGATGGCATCGAAACCGATGGCGATGAACACGACACCATCAACAGCTGCCCCGCCAGGCTGGACCAATTCAGGGGGGATGGGTATGGGCGGTGTACTACAACCTACAAGGAAAATCGAGCAAGCCTCGAACAAGAAGACGTTCAACGATGCCGATTGGGGAGACTTTGATCCGCTCAAGTAGATGGGGGCGTGAACGAGTCGCGGTGTATCCATTATTCGCATAGTTGTACGACTACAGCATTATTGATACCACTTGGACGATCAGCGCGAGACAAAGGCGAGTGTTTCTCTTCCTTCGAGACTACCTTTGATCTTGCATAAGAGATAGCGATTAGAAGTCATACCGTCCGCCACACGCAGGTGCGCCAGGTCGATGAACGCGACTTGAATTGATCGATGCCTGCGGTCGCGATCGTCTGTGGAGCATCGCGAATCCTGTCTACATCTGGTTGTTTCCTGCTTCACCAGCGGAACGGCAAAGAGGTCGAGGGGCATAGGCCATTCACGGGACGAGAACGCCAAAGTGCTTGATGGCGGTGTTTACGATAGGTTGAGAGGACATAGCGAATTTCTGGGCAATAGATTTGAGGTTATTACCGGACTTGCTTATCTTGATGATCGCTGCAACGTCGGTAGTTTCGTTAGTTTCCTCAAAGTCATTGTCGACAGGGGCGATGCGTTGAGGGCAAGAGCCGTACGTAATACTTGGCATATTGGCATCCATACAGGTCGTATGCTCGGCTGCGATCCGGGTAGGAATGGAGATGACGATGGACTCGAGATGAGATTGGCGATCAGATGCGATGCCAATCATCCCTGTCTGGCTTTTCACTTGCCGCTATCCCTATAAACTGACCACCCCATCGCAATCATCGCTTGAGGTTCTTGGAGCTGCTGACTAGTGATGACAGTGATCAATTTTATGATTCAACTATGAAACCGCAACCCGATTCTATACTGGAGCGCGACATCGTATAGCCCGCCGTCTAGGCCTTTTCTTCAGCGCAGCTCATAGACAGCCTCATCCTAGGACTCTATGACACTATCAAATAGCCCCAATGCTTCGCTGCCGCTCTTGCCCCCCCGAAGCGCTGTAAAAATCATGCCAAAACCGCAAAAATACCCGATGCCCCAGGGCAAAAAGAATGACCAATTTGAGGATCGAACTCAAGACCTTTCGTTCATCTAACACAGTATTAGACGAATGCTCTAACCAGCTGAGCTAATCGGCCGTTGATGTTAGCGATTTTGCAATTGCAAATATATACGCGTTCATCAGGCGATATGCTCGGATAAGGTTTGGCGGAAGCGAATGAGGCGCGCGCGCCGGATGTATATCCGCGTTTCTGATCTCGCGCAGCCGCCAGCCATGGTCGACGATCGACTGACGTGTCCGGCTCAGGCGCTGGGAAGTCTGCAGGATGACCCCACTGAGGCGTCTTGCAGGCCAGATCATCAGTCTTCTACTCCGAGCACTTTCGCAGTTGCCGTATATCAGACGTCCATCACTCCGAAGGTCGTCTGTCTCTCCTCAGGTAATTGCAGAAATCCAGAACGATATATCAGACGTTCGTCGCTCCGAAATTGTCTGTTCTCCGCAAGTAAATGCAACGATCCTGAACGATTGACTTGAGGTCTATCGCGCTTCCGAGAAGGAGCACACCAAGACATAAGGGAGCCACCCACGTATTGTATCAGCTCGACAGAAGATCGACATTTCTAATAAAATAGATGTCCGATACCATGGCGATGAGAGTCTTCGCGGCGCCTTGAAGCACACAGAAAGCGTCTGCACAGTACTGATTGACCCGCTCCATCCACTTCACGATATCAATACCCTCCAACCTTTCCATATCAGCCGAAAGTTTTCATCTTCTGTAGCCCAACTATTCCATATACCTCGTTTCATAAACATCTTCCTTCCGTAAAAGCTCAAGCCATTCGCATGTATTCTCGGCATATAAACGGTCCTATAGCGCTAAGGCGCGGGGTCACTACTTCTGAACATTCCTTGCTATCAACTTGATTCAGTTAGCCTCGACGTATGTTCTTATTGTCCGTCGAGGTTGCGGGTTCGCGGTTCTCGTGCTTATCGCTTCTAGGCACGAACACCTTGAAGTGGGCGGATGTTATTGTCATAGGAATTGTCAGCCCGAATATCGAATCTGCCAAGCAGCTCTTGCACAACGTACCGGCGCGTCCCCTCTAAGCGACACGTCCCTCCAGCACTTTACGGTGGTTTTATCCTTGCTCGGAAGATTCCCTTCCGGTCGGTCCTTGCCAAGTTTGTCCCTGGTTGCGGCCAGGCCAATTCATCAGATAGGCGCATTCTGGTATACATCCTGAAGCGCGTAACCCGGCTTACTTGTTGCCAGAACCGAAGTTTTTATTCTTTGGTCTCCCGCTAGAGGGTTTCGACGTGGGTGCTGGCGATTCATTGGTAGTTTTGCTATCAGAGCGGGGGATGTCGACTCCCTGTGCGTCCTTGGCCGATCTTTCGGCATTCGCTTTTCTCGCCGCCTGATTGTGCTTTCTCCAACTGTCGTCCCACAGATCTTCCATCTTCGCCTCCTGCATAGCCAAGAATTGATCCTCTCCTTCCCAGAACGTCTCCATGCTAGACATCTTCAGACGTTGCTATCGATCGACCTATTTTACGTAATTGTTAGTCTAGCACAGAAGACCAACAAACGATCACGTGGCTCACTCTGTGCCAAACCCAGCTTAGATCTCAGCTTCTCTTGGAAGATGTTGCTATTTCCTCGTATCGCATTCGTCTCTCAGCAGAGCTGATCGTTCAATAAGTAGAGAGCACCTGGTCTCAACTTCAGTCGCGCCTTCCCAGTACAGCTCCCCTGCGAATCGCCAGACGATCTATTGCTCACGTTGCAGTTCCGCAAGGTCGCCTAATGATCTTGTTGCAGCAAGCCTGGTTCTTCTTCACAGGGCCTATCTGAATGATGTATAATCCAGAAGAATCCGTTCAATGGGGTTTGACTGGTAATGAAAGCTGGAGGATCAAGCATTACAGACTCACCGAGACCGTCCGTGAAAGCTCAAGGTGAAGGGTTGCGGCGACTATGATACGCTCAGTCGCGCAACGGGTTTCCTTTTGGGAATCTTATATCACCTTAAGAATCTCAAATCAGTCTGTCAGGCTCGAAGATTTACGAGAGAAGCCAAAGGACGCACGGACTGTACGAGGCGGAGATGCCGTTTACCGCCAGAATCGGGCTCGCTGCACCGGGAGGAGCGCCAAAGTATACTGATGTGAGATAGTGACTTCCACGACATTTTTCTATGCCATATAACCTACGAACGAAATAGCAAGAGATCTCCTCGAGCCGTAAGCGTTCTGATCGGTTCCAAAGGAGGTTTGTAAGTCTGATTAGCTTCTCGCTTCTCGTCTGCCGTCTTGTTCGTGCAGACACAGCGGTAACGGACGTACGAACTTTTGTGCAGCTCTTTGTAATTTGGAGTGCGTATCGAGAGTCGCTATGTTGGGCAACAGCGATGCTATCGTGTTGTGGGCGAGATGCAAGATGTGCATGATTGTAAGACGCGAAGGTTCTGACGTTCTCATACTTGATACTCGCTCGAGCTTCTCCCGGGATATGCTTCCGCGTCGTTCTGCTTCCGGACAATTCCGAGGTCACGGGGTTGAACAAACTTCCACCCAACAACAACCCTACCTCCATCTCAGCTTCTCGACCTGTTGAATCTCGTTGTTAACCTCGTAAGATGATCATCCGGAATAGCCTGGCAAGACCAGGCTCGAGATATCCCGTTATCGCCACTAGCTACCGGTCAATACTCGGTTTATCACAGTCATTTCCGAAGAGGAATGACGTATCATCATCGTCCATTCACACTCTAATTGATATAACCCGGTACAGCCGGCCACCACCTTCCACACCTCTCCGCCGGACTTTTCATTCGACGTCAAAACGTCATGATGTGTTCTTCTTCGCCCTGCCCGCGCTGAAAGGAGCGTTGTTGAACGTGACACGGGTATCGTTGATCACCCTGCCGTTCATCTGGAGGTGGAGGTGAGCTACCGAGAAACGCTCGAATTATGCCGAACCTGTAGCTCACGACCGGTTCGAATTCCGCTTGATGATAGATTATGGCAAAAGTATCGAAGAACATCCATGATCCTTGTCAACATCCCCGTAAGTACCCGGAACTCTCTCTCGTTTCCAAGCTAGCTAGCTGAACAAATCCAACCTCCTTGAATTCGTTCCCCTGTGTACAGATCATCGCCTTCTGCCTAGTCCTCGCCCTGGGGCTGGATCAATCCCCAAGAACAGATCGATGGCGGCTGTTATTGATGAGCGAGAATGAGGAGATGGCTTGGTCGATGAAAAAGTCTGTCAATTCCGCTTGCCTTTCCTGTCCTCCGTCACTGCACTGTGCTGACCCTGAACCTCGCATTCCCTTACAATCCGTATCCGCTCGTCTGATTCGAGAAATCCAGATTCGACGAAGTTCTCACACACGATGGCCCTCTTCTCCTCCCCTCCACCTCCCCCCTGACCCAACGAGTCTCCCGAGTCTGTACCCGTCTCGTTCAAGCCCTGGAAGAAGAAGACCAAACAGTCATCCACGGTGCAAGTTGGCCCCCTAAAGATCGGGTGAGCGAGTTGAGCAAGGTCATAGCGGAAAGAGAACGACGGAATAGTGGGGGAGTCGGAGGTGGGGGTGGGAGTGACGGGAGAGGAGGGACGAGGTATGAACCGAGTGCCAAGGCTTCTTCGGCGGTCATGCCTTTTAGACCCGAATCGGCCAATCCGCTCAAAGTGCTAGAAGGCGGGGATTGGAGTTTGTATGTGGTGGATCTCGTAAGTCTCGCTTGGACTTCACCTCTGAGCTTTCTGGTTAAACCGTATATCTGACCATATATTATTACGTTGATCCTACTTCTTTTGCCCACCTCCCATTGAATCCATCTCTGTCCGAAACGACGCCTTTACCCTCGTACTGGTTCTTCCTTTAGCCCAAGATCAACGCCTTTGCCCTCCCTTCCAAAGACATCTTCGTCTACGCCGGTCTGGTCGACCTGGTCGATGATGATACGCTGCTGGCAGCCGTATTGGCTCACGAGATCGCCCATGTTACGCAGAGACATGCGGTGGAGAATGTGAGTCGTTTGATATACAGGAGAGAATCGCAGGCTGACTGGGAAATGGGGCATTGCTAATGAACTTATTTGCGTTTACTCGTCTTCTGCTTTTACCCGTTGATAGCTAGGAGTAAGTATTCGACTTCCCTATGAAACCATCTCGACCACTACGCTGACTTTGGTCGTTCTTGCAGTTCTTGAACATCGCCGCTGTCGCATTCGACGTCCTTCGAGGTATCTCTTTCGCCTTGACGATATCCTTTCCCTTGTAAGCTCCTCTACCTACCTGTTCTAATCACCGAGACCTGTGCCGATGAAGAATATGACGCCAATAGCATCACCGACTCGGCTGGACTCTTCATCAACTGGCTGAACAACGTCGTCGCCGAACGAGCGTATTCAAGAAAGTTGGAGATGGAGGCCGATGCGGTCGGGTTGAACGTGAGTCCCTGGCCTTGCTCCCTCAGTCTTACCGGTGAATCGCGACTGACGGCCACGGTATGCTATGGGCAGTTCATGGCGGAAGCTGGGTACGACCCGAGAGCAGCGCTGGACTTGTGGGACCTGATGGCCGCTGTCGAGGCGGATGCTGCTTCGCGAGGACAGCCGTTGAGCCTCTCGGATAGGTTGTCGTTATTACAGACTCATCCTACGAGCAACGTCCGGCAAGATGTAAGCCGAATGGTGGGAAAGTAAGATGCCACTTCTCGTCGTCGCTTATCCTGTGCGGAATTTATTACAGGCCCTGGCGAGGTTGATGCCGAAAGCTTTGGAGCTATACAAACAGAGCGATGTCTACAAGCAGACTATCGCTCGGAGACTACAGAAGAAGCAGGAAGCCGACAAGGCACGGACGACCGAGGTGGCCGAGAAGAAACAGGACAAAGAAAACATGGCGATCAGAGCGAGGGAGGTGGTCGATACGGAAGTCGCAATGCAGCAGGTTGAGAGGGAGCAGAAACAGGATGGCATTGAGCGAGCAGATGGGGGTAAGTTGCCCTCTGCCTCGAAGCCGGTGACGGAGCAGGTTCGGCTTGTATGATAAATCATCGACGAGGATCAGGATATCTCGAGCATGTAATTAATACCCAGATGTACCAGTATAGGCAACGGATCACATAGCACAGGTTAGTCCGACCGACAACGGGATTTTATTTTCCAGGTGTAGCGTGTCAGGTAGAAGAATTCCTGGGTGACGAGTCCAAGGTCAGAATTGGCTGGGCGGTAGGGCGACCTCGATGAAACGGGTTGCTTCTCATGCTATATCGACTGCAAGAATGTCCTTTAATAATGCTTTCACACTACACGCAGCTTACTCCTTCTTCCTAAACATACACTCAGCCTCGATTACGAACACCTCGCAAGGCCTGTATCATCCTCCCTCAACACAATGGCGTCCAAAGGCACTACCCCTACGACCGGCGCTCAATCGCAGCAACGTCTCGACGCGGTTCTCAAGGATTACCAGAACTGGTGCAAACGTGCCAAGGTCCCAGCCGACTTCGACGCAGATCTTTCGACCATCAGCGTTCTCAGCGATAGAATCAATCGTTACCTAACCTACCGGGTCGAGCAATCGCGTCGTGCGGATCAAAGTCGCGATGCCTGCATGACCTGGGAAGACCTAAAGGTCCTCGGGCGACAGCTTCGTAACATCGCGGTGACCGCTCTCAACTTGGAACGTGCTTCAGGCTTACATGCTGTCATCGACCTCGGTATCGAAGGCCACTGTTACGAGCTTACCAACACTCATCCGGTCGTCGTGCAGAAGAGGTCTATCACGATCGACTGCTCCCTGGACGAATCGGACGACGGAGGAGTCACCCGTACTATCGTCAAAGACGACGACCAAGATAGCTTTAATGGATTCGCGGACCAGTTGATGTGCGGGGATATCATAGGGGAGAATAAAGGGTTCGACTTGAATTGGCTCAATGAATCCGATGAATGTCAGTAGTCTCATCAATCAAAGTTCTAACGCTTAACCAGAACTGACGTGAAAACGCTCCATTCCTGCTCTCACTTCCAGCGGATGTGTCGGACAGCTACATGGAGGATGATTTCTCGGATCCTGCCGACGACGAGGCCATCAGAAAGATTTACCAGGAGCTCATGGCGAAAAAGGCAGAGAACAGGAGCCGAGCTGGACAAGGTCAGAAGAGGGCGGCTCCGACCGAGACTGGAAAGAGGAGTGCGGGAGGGAGCAACGGCGGGGATGGGGTGGCCAGCGGGAGTGGTAGCGGCGAAACTCCTCAGACTCAACAAGGGTAGGTCGGTCCAGCTATGATTTGTCATCATTCAACATGAGAGGGTCTGACCTCCAACCTTTGTTTATACAGTAGTTCGAACAAGAAGCAAAAACAGCGAAGCGGTTAGAGCACGTCGCGTGGTACCCCGCTGGACCGACTTATGGCCTCGTGGTCGTCTTAGGATCATGCAGCACTCCTGCGCTCAAGTTCGATCCCGCTACTAAACAAGGATACGTGCCGAGTTTGTAACTTTCTCGCGAGACTGTTACAGGCTTCCGGACTCTTCGACGACATAGTCACCCTTAGGAAAACCACGGGGTTGTATCATTACCAAACATCGCCTTAGGCCATACGATATACTTACGAAAAGGGACTTGTTCCACAAGATATATCCATCATCCTTATGCATTACGATAAAAATTGATCGCCCGGCCGAACTCGAACGCATTTGAATCGTCAGATTACGAAAAGCCAAAGCGCTCAACCCTTTCGTTCTTTTAGCATAGCTCTTTTGTTCTTGTAGCAGTAGAATCGAGTAAGCCATATGCAAGTGCGGCGAGTCCAAGGTCAACGTGTGGCGCGGTAAAGGATCCGCGGTGAAACTCGTGCTTCTCAGCGTTCGCAACATCGTCATCAACATTCATCATTCAAGCCTTCGTCCATATCGCTGCCGTCTATGATCCGACGAAACACTCATACACTCGGTTCTTGATTCATACACAGACACACAATTTATAACGAGTTGGTGAAGAGAAAGTCACTCCGCCTCACCCACCCAACATGGATGCCGAGGCCAAAAATCTCACTGCCTCGATCTCGGCGGATCGAAAGAACCTCGACGACGCTCTCTACAACTATCGATCGTGGTGCAACTCGACCGATAGATCTTCGGACATCGAACTCTCCTCTATCGAGAGCCGCCTCATCCTCTACCTCACCTACCGGGTTGAAACCTCTGTGCATAAGAACGGCGACGGTCAAATCGTCTGTATGACCTGGCCAGAGCTCAAAGGATGTACCATGGACATGCGTTCCGTCGTCTACGACAATCTTGCAACCGCGAGGCACGATAGGAAGACTTCCAAGATGACGGTCATCGACTGGGCTCTTAAGATTCATCTCTTTGACCTGATGACCTACTATCCGGTTGTCTACACTGCGGAGACGTTTCGTACCGACCCTTCGGTCGAGGAGGTCGATCCAGACTCGCTGAAAGACGAATTCGACGAATTCATCGGCCATATGCTCTGGCTAAAGCAGGAAGCTCGTCACGAAGGTTTTATGAACGAAATTTTCAACCCCCTTGATTGTGGGTGTCGTTTCATTTCATAAGACGTCTTCGGCTTCTCCATACTGACGTCTACTAGGTCCGCGAATCATGATCCCTTCAGGCGATGCGACTGAGAAACAGCGGGAAAGAGCGGTGAATCGGCTTGTCCTAAAGAGACGAGCTGAGACGTGGAAAGCGCAGTTGATGATCAACACCGCCGATCATAAGGGAGCTGAAGGAAGTGGAAGTTGCAGGGCTAAGACCGAGAACAGGTACAACACGTGAGCTATTACATGCCATTGTATTTCAACCGCGATCTGCTAGATTTACGAGGCTGAGTGTATTCGTATTTTGAGAATCAGATCGATTAAGGATCAAGCAACCACAATCCTATGTTACATGCTCAATAAAGGATTGCATCATACGTCGATCTTGACGAACCGTATCGCCAATCATCCGGTAATCTCTCAAACGTTTTCGCGTTGCTGCTCGAAGTCGGAGATGGAATCATTTGAACCGGCTCTTATAGATCGGAAACAGTGAGGCCGAAAAGCGTGACACTGCCGAGACGTGAGGCTGTTGGGCTTTCGCATCGAGTTTGCAGATTACCCTTAGGAGGGCCACGGGGTTGTACCATTAGATTACAGAATCGTTTTATGTTTCCAACACTCTTTACGAACGATAACTTTTATACGCCCGTTTCTGGTGCGCCGCCCCGTCGACATCCCACGTCGTAATTTGAAGGAGCTTTGCGACCATTCTGACTGTAGACGAACCTTTTTTTCTTGGTGTATCGTCTCATATCTGATAGATCGGTTGACGTCGAGTCCGGGGTCAGCCTTAGCGTGACCTCTTAGGCTCGTCATGAAACCGTTTGATTGATCCCTTGATTTCCTAGTCACGATCGTTCTCGACTCGCACACATGTCATAGAGTCCCACGACTGCCCGACAGACTTCCACAAGACCAACATATATTATTGGATATACCTTCGAAATAGCTTCTGTGATACGCCAACATCAGCAACCTCGCTGGTACCGAACTATCGAAATCGATCAACGCCGAACATTCACCTTTGCCATGTCGACTAGCACCTCCAACAGTCGCACCACCTCTGATCTGACGACCGAATCAGGCTCCTCTACGCTCGGTAATCTCGATAACGGCGTCCTCGATTCCTACTTCGCCTGGTGCAGGAGCAACGATGTCCCTTAGGCTATCCAACCTAGGACGATCACGAGCAAGTCTTGTACGGATACCATCCTTTGACTCGATTTTTTCACTGATCAGACAATTGGTGCCTCTTGATTTCGCAGAGCGTATCGAAAAGTACCTTTCCTACCGAGTTGAACAATCTTACAGACCTGGACCTCGAGGAAGAGACGTCTGTATGAACTGGGCAGAGTTGAAATACCTCGCCAGGCAGCTCTGCACCGCCATTGATGAGGCCCTTCAGCTTGGTTCGGACTCTCCTGCTACCAAAGCTCTTTTCGAGATCAACATCAAGAACCACTGTTGAAAACTCACCAACAAACACCCTATCCGATCCGGAGTCGTCAGGACTACCGTGGAATGCAACATGGAGGACGATAACGAGCTTTCCCATAAAGTCGTCAAGGATAGCGATGCGGACAGTTTCGATGGACACGCTTCGAAGATGAACTTTTACGCTTTCGCGGGGATTTCGAGCAAGATCAAGATGTCTTCCTTGATTCCCAGTCATCGTGAGTGACACGATCGATAAAGCTTTCTATTATGAGACGTTTGCTGACTAACCGATACTGCGGCGATTGGAATGTATCCCAAGTCACCAATTCGACCGCTGGATCTTCAAAAAAGGCTAAAACAGATGGACCCAAAATGCAAGGTAAAAAGAAAGCCGATAAAGTGGGAGAAACAACGATGCCTTAAGCGAGCGGGAGCGGTACCAAGAGGAAGAGCAGGTGCGTAGTCGATAAAGATTCGTATGAGTGGGTTCTCATGATTGTATTCTTTCGCAGCATTTTGATCGAGGAGAACGAGGGGGAATCCGCTTCGGGAAGCCGTGGGAGCAAAAAAAGAGCCGGTGCGATTATCTACCCGGATATCAGTAAGACTAGGTCTACGGGTGTGGATGCTGTTGAGATGCTGTACGTGAATAACGAGAGAGACACTCTACTAGTTTCACTCTGATTAATTGACACATCTGCTCGTCTTTAGTCTCCGACGTGCGCAAGACTACCTAGAACGTCGGAAGGTCCAAGCGATGGACGGTTCCAGCAACAAGGAGTCCTGATCCGGACCCCTTTGAACTTCGTACTACCTTGTCGTCTACCCTGTCTTCGAACGATGCTTGATCCTTCTCTGTACTTGCCGGGTAGCGGGCGTTGAATTGTAACACCTTTGTATGTCAACCCGAACAGCTTGTCTCGAATAGAGGCAGTATATTGATTGATTCAGTAATCCCGAAGTGCTGTACTTGGAGTGTACCTTGTCGGCAGGAGACCATGAGGACAATTTCTGCAAGTTCCGTGAAATGCTTCTCATCCTGTCTTGACATCCTGATTTTTGCGTCATCAGATATCCGTACAAGTAGATAGCGAACATGTCATCAGACGCTGTATCGAGTCAGGAACTATGGTGATACAACAGATATAGAACGCACGACACACCGACGTAGATACGTCACCCATGTTTGGTCACTCTGCCTTCAGTGCTTTCTCTTTCAACTTCGCAGATTCTTCCAAGAATTCGTCGATCCACCTTGCGATCTTGTCAAGTTCCTCATAGTGAGGACGTACAGCATTGACGGATTCGTTGTCATCGAGGGCATCGAAGTTTCCCATGTATCCCTTGAGGAAGCCCACAAACCACTTCAAATTCTTCTCGATGATTTCCAGACTCTCAATCGCCAACATCCTCTTGTCCTTTGCTGTTTTCTGCCTGACTATGCTCTTGTATGCTCTCTGCGTTATGAGCTTGATTGTTCTGCTCCATGTTTTGACAACCCCTTCCCGCACAAGAGCCCCACGGGATACAAGAGCAGTGTAAAGTACCTCAGATTGAAGTACCTCTTAACAGATGGAAACACCATGTGACAACAACTTCCACAAAGGTTCGAAATGCTCGTTGTCGTTTTTATAATGTTTCAGCCCTTCGGCGCACATCTCCGATGCGTTTGTTCCAATCCGACGCCGCACATCTTCTCTCAGCTCATCCGGGGTCGGACGACTGGAATTTTCCGTGAGAGTACTCATACATGAGGCGTCCTTCCCCTAGTGTCAGACTACTGGAGCTCCCAATGACAGTGGATGGGTCGACCTCTCGAGTCCTAATCGCCCGGAGATAGGAGGGATTTTGACGAGAGGGACGGATAGCCGAAAGCTCGGCTCCTTCCGCAGTGATCTGAGCTTCCTGTTCCTGCAAAGAGGCATCCAGTTCTTGAAGAGTCAGAGGCGCAAAGTCCTCTGTGAGGTTGGAGAAGCGGGTAGAAGGAGCGGCAAATGATTGTTCAGGGATCTGCTCTGCCATTGTCGCTTTGCGTTGCGTATCAAGTATGATCTGCTAGATGATGGAAGAGACAAAGAAGCGCTTGTTCGAAAGACAAGGAAAGTGATAAATGATTGAGCTTGAGCCAGCATGAAGACGGAACGATCTCCTCTCCTATACGTGGCGCTCTCGCCATTCAGGCTACCTTGATGTCATTCAAACACAGATCAAAGGAAAGTCTACCCCTGGCCCCTGGCGTGTCAGGCCTGGAAAGAGGTTCTCGCGCGCAAAGGTCTCCTGCGGCCTGCAAGGTTCTCATGCAAGGGGCTTTGTGCGCTTCTCATCAAAATTCAGCTTGTAAGAAATGCAATGTTTGGCTTCTCATAACCTGCGGTCCAAAAACCGAAGCATGTTCCAAGAGATTTGACATTGGGATATTCATGGATGAAGGCTATACTACTATAATCTCGAAATAATGAATCAACAAGATTGTACCTTTACATTTTGTACACGATTAGACAACAGTCTCCGACTCATAAGACTCTTCCTCTAACTTCTTCTGCTTATCTTGCAGCCTCTGCAACTCCTCGATAAAAGCCGCAACATCCTCCCCAATCTTGTTAAGTCTCTCTAGGTGTTCATCCTGCCCCGGTCCAACTTCACTGCCGTCAAGGTACCGTTTCATGAATTCTGCATACCACACCATGTTCTCCTTGAGCCTTTCCAACCCCTCGAGGAATTTCACCCTCTTTCCGTTCATGTCCTTTCCCGGGAAATTGTACATCCCTTGCAACATGTCCCTGACCTGTCTGCTCCAATCGATTACACCCATGTCAGCTGCTTTTGCAGTCTCGAATGCGTCCATGGTGATGTTACACCGGAAGATCTCCTGGAAGATGGCAGCACCCTTTGTCATAAGCGCCCACATGGGTTTAAGATTGTCGGTGTCACGTTGGAGGTGAAGATCCTCGGTAAGTTGCGTTATATAACCCCTCTGTGAGCCGATTCTAGCGATTGCGTAATCTTGCTCTGTAGGGTTCGCTCCTGTAGGGCGATAGTTGAATGCCTGCCTGGGCGGTCCATCTCTAAGCCTTACAGTGTTCTCAGTAGATATTCCCTGGGAGGTGAGAAAAGACAACCCCTGAGAGTCTCTTTCCGATTGGGCTTGCACTTTTTCCTCCTTGATACGATTGTATTGTTCGGTAAGAAGAGAGCTAAGGTCCTCAACAGTGATACCAGAAGGAGCATATGATGCTATGCTGGTGGAGAAAGGGATAGTAGAAGGGGTCATCGACTGTTCGCCGAGTCCTTCGGTTGGCATTGTAAACTGTAACCGTGCGCGATGTTTCGACTGTAGATGTGGCAATCAGTGTATCGGACGGGAAGCTACGCCTCGAAACTGGGTCCCTTTCTTCAGCGTCGAAACCACTGTCGACCCCTGTTATATAATGCTCTCGCCTTCACATCTACCCCGTGCATGTTGGCTGAGAATGCCGACAACTCACGCAGCACATCAAAGGAAAGTCGCGCGATGAAACGCCCAGCGGAAAGTTCTAGGTCGCAATAATAATGACGACATCGACTTACAAGATCACCGTCTCGATGACGAAAAAAGATATGTGAGCCTGCAGTCCTGATCGGCCGGACGGTTCAAATGCGGGCAAACAAATTTGGTTCGAGGTATGTTTATTTCGATAGTTTGGTCTACTCAACCTAATACAGCTCTCCTCGCACACAGAGCATATACTGACGAAATGGTAAGCCATTTCGTCTGTATACCATCATATCCATTTCTGTCCTTTCCGCGATAAGCCTCCCCGAAAACCGGCCTGTCTTGGTATTCTGGTAGGCACATCAACGCAAAGTCCTTTGTACGTATTAAAGGTAAAGAGCAGGCTTCGACACGTGTGTCAAGCTGAACAAAGGTCCATCGCGGTATGATCAAAAGCTGTATACAAATGCATATACAAGTTCGAGTCAGTTGAGGCTCTTTTCTTCAACTTTGAGCAACTTCAACGCATTCCTAAATTGACCGATGCTGCTGATAATACCGATCGGTCCCGGCTCATTGTTACTGCGGGGTTGCGCCTTGACCCATCCTGCCATAAAGTTCCCATACCAAACCAAGTTGGTTTCAATCTCCGTCAGACCCTGGATGAGTTCCAACCTCTTCTCCTTCTCTGAGACCTGTTCCGCCCATGGTAGGTACATTTTCCACAGAATGTATCTGATCTGCTTAACCCAATTGCTGATGATTCTCACTTCCTCTCCATGGACTGCAAGTGCAACGAGGAGATGCTCGTATCGAAGTACAGCTTGACAGATCGAAGCACCTCTCCTCATCAGTTCCCATAAGCGGTTGAGACGTTCGCTTTGCTTTCTGCGATACTGCTCGTGATCGAGTCGCACCCGTATCGCTTGAACCTCTTTTCCCAGATTGGACACCACGAAAGCTCCTAGCTCAGCTGTTGACAGCCTACTTCGCCTTGAAGATGAAGTGCCAGGAGCGACAGTCGAATCAGGAGTACTCTCAGCTTTTTCAGCCGTGGATGCTGAGGAGGCCACTCGAGACGAGCTGCGCGAGCGAGTCGAGCTTAATCCCGGTTCTAAGCGTTTCCTCTGTTCAACCAGAGAGGAGTACAGACTCTCATAACTGAAGGGAACAACGAAAGTATGTAAACTTTCATCGTAGGGGATAACAGAAGAGGGGGTTCTGGGCCTGGGGCTATGCCACATTGCCCTTAATGCGTTTCGTGCGCTAGATACTGATTTTAGAGATAGAACTGAAGCTGAAGCGCTTCTCGGGTAGAGATGTGCTGACTGTTGACAGTTATATGTGACTATATATACTCTTCAAGACTCTCGCCATCCAGGCTTCAATGATCATGCTACTTGCAGGTGATCGATGAAAGGAAAGTTTGCGGATTGACGGCTGAAACGAGCGCTGAAACCTTTGCGAGCGAGCCTGAGGTCAATGCCGGCATGCTTACGTGATCAGAGTTTTGCTACAAATTATTCGAATGACCGAGGGTCTCGCACACAACTCGATGTTCATCTCGAGATCCTGTGCTGCTCAACCTCGGTCCAGCTGTCAGCAGTACTTCCCAATACCGTAAAACCACTATAAGCAGGCAGGGATCATACGTACGAAATGGTGAGCCTACGTTTCCGGTCATACGAGGCTCGTGGCGACATGGGGACAGAGCTGCAATTGAATCCCGTCTGCAATCGCCTCGTAACAGAAGATCAAGGTTATCACCAGGTCCTTGGACGACCACCTGCCCGCTTCGTAAGCTCAGCGAGCCTCTGAAACGTATATAGGGTGTTCTACTGACCTCTGATACTGTCTCTTCTCGCCCATACAGCTCGGCGGCACCTCATCCTCTCCAACGTAACCTCGACCCAGCCCTCCATCCATTCTCAAAGACCCGTGAATACACTCGAGCAGTAACCGCCGCCAAGATGGACAGGATGTTTGCGAAACCTTTCGTCGGTGCGATCGAGGGTCATCAAGATGGAGTGTATTGTCTGGCTAGAGATCCGAGACGGGTGGGCGTGGTAGCCGGTGGAGGCGGTGATGGAGGTGAGCTAGGAGACGGATCGCTGGTCTGCTTCTGAATCAGAACGACGAAAGCTGATCGTATCGTCTTCTGTGGCAACTACAATTCTCTAGAGGTTATACTGCACTCCCTTCCTCTCCGAAGACCTCTCCTCAAACTCCCTCAAGCCCACAAAGGCATGGTCTCCGGCGTAACCTTCACCTCCCACACTTCGGACCGTAAACGAAACCTCCTCTCCTGTTCCTCTTACGACATGACCGTCAAACTCTGGAACACCATGAGGATCTCCAACCACCTCTCCCACGTCGTCGAGAACGAGTCGGACCTCGACGAAGACGGGATCGGCGGGTTCGAAGGGAACGCTTATAAAGCTGCCGACGAGCAAGAGTTGGGGAAAGGGATGTTGGATGAAGATCAGGCCAGGTTGGGGGAAGATGGGATGGACATGGACGATGATGCGTTCGTCGAGGAAGAAGGTGGCGGGCTGAACATCGTGGATCAGGCAAAGAGGGATGCGGCAGCGGCCAAGATGGAGCCTTTGATGGTGTACCAAGGCAAATTCGGTTTCAAGTGAGTACGCTCGTCTGCAAATCAGAACCGATTCACGATTCGCCAGATGGCCGAGACTAACAAACTCGACCTCGTAGCGGCATCGACCACCACCGGACAGACAACATCTTCGCTACGGCATCCAACACGGTCCAGATCTGGGACACGACCAAATCCAGCGCGCTCTCCAACTTGCAATTCTCAAATTCGTTGGAGACGGTGACAAAAGTCAAATTCAACCAGTCCGAGACGAGCGTGCTTGCGAGTATCGGAAACGACCGGACGATGTGTCTCTATGATATCCGGACGGGCAAGGCGGAGAGAAGGATCGTCATGAACGTGAGTCCGAGTGTTTGGTTTTTGTGGCGGAATCTCACACCCCACACGAGCTAATGTTGCTATCCGGCCCTCTCTGCAGATGAAATCCAACTCGTTGGCCTGGAACCCGACATTACCTACCGTCCTCCTGCTCGCCTCGGAAGACCACAACCTCTACACTTTCGACCTTCGTAAGATGGAGACCCCGACCCAGATCTACAAGGGTCACGTGGCCGGTGTGATGAGCTGCGATTGGAGTGAGTCCCCCCCCCCCCCCCCCCCACACCTTTCTCCAGATTTCCACTCTATCACTATAACTGACAATGACGCCATATGAACAGGTCCTACCGGAGAAGAATTCGTTTCCGGCTCATACGACCGAACGGTCAGGCTGTGGAACCGGGACCAAGGCCGATCGAGGGATACGTACCATACCAAGCGAATGCAACGTGTTTTCGATACGGTCTACACGCCTACTGCGGATTTCGTCTTGTCTGGGTCGGACGATGGGAATGTCAGGTGAGTCTAGTCTATCTTCCCCACTCGGCCTGCTTCCTTCCCTACCCTTCCCTTACAAGCTCTAACTCCGTTTGAATATGCAATGTAATTGCCGGTGATCTAGGATCTGGAAGACGAACGCCTCGGCTAAACTGGGACCGATCGATACGAGAGAAAGACAGTCGATGGAATATCGACGCAAGTTGCGGGAAAAGTGGGGCAACGAAAAGGGAGTCCGGGAGATCGAGAGGTACGTCGTTCTAGCTCTTTTAGCCTTCTTTTGGTATCATACCCAAACCCGAGCTACACGTTACAAATCACAAAAATCACAAACCCTGACCTATTCGTCTTTTATCACGCCCCATATCACCCTCTGCTACACATTATTTTCTTCCTTTCTATCAACGTTGGCAGGCAACGACGTCTCCCGTCAAACATCAAGAACGCCGCCGCCCTCAAAAAGACCATGTTGGACGCCCGGAAGACGAAAGACGACAATCGGAGGCGACATACGAGGGAGGGGCTGGAGAAGCCTTTGGCGGAGAGGAAGAGTGAGTTTTTGAGTCGGTCGGGCTGGAGGGTTTTTGTTTTGTTGGGGGGTTGTTTGGTCGCGAGGCGTCACTTTGTTCACTCGGAAGTGGAAGTGGACATGGAAGTGGACATGATAGCTCACGCTTGGGGTTTTTGTTTCCTTGCAGAGGTCATGGTTGCCGAGCAACATTAGCGGGAATCTGGGTGGTTCTGTTCGTGTTCATGTCGCCGGTTACTGTACTTTTACCGTACCGTTATGTATTCGTTGTATCCTCATATCACGCGGTACGAGTACCCTCTGTACGACATTCTACACTCTAATTAACTTTCCTGAGGGAGGTCTACCGATTGTAGTCATCGTCATCGGTCATCGATCATCGACCCGCCACCCCTCGTCGGTATAGTAGTTTTCAATTTAGCGTCCCTGGGGGACAAACCACGACTCATCTCATCGGCTAGCGAGCGAGGGTGCGGAATGGCGCGAGCAGAGGTGTCATCGGATCGCAGTTCCGGATGGGAAGGTTGGCGAGCAGTATCTTCCCACTATATCTGAGTTCATGGATCAAGCATCAATCCAGCTCGGATATCTGGTTGGCGAGTACGAAGACCCCAGCCAGTAGCCAGTAGTTTTTAGGTGAACATCGACCTCCTTCGATTGTCGGTTCCTGAAGCGAATTTACGGTTTCGGAAGCAAAAAGAAGAGAGAAGGGACGCGGGCAGCTGCTTCCGGCGATCAACCCCTAGCGTCGCTCGACCCCGACGGTTGAACGACACTTTCTCGAGTTCTACTATCAGGACCTCCGACCTATCTCTACGATCTCGAGTCGATATACCATCCACAAAACGCTCGAGAACTATATCATAGGCCGGCAACTTTCGTTTCCGACGACAATGTCCGCCGCGTCACGTCAACAGGCGGCGGCTGGGAGGATCAACCCGAACTGGTTGCACTATGGAGCGGCCGCGTTGCTGGGAGCTATCGTGCTGGGGAACGTCTTGCGTTGGGGTATCCTAGGTCAGTACACGGCTACTTGAGCAAAGCAGGCTCTATTATATCTATCTCCGAGGAAGGCAGTGCTGATCTAGAAAATGGTTCTGGGAAACGCTTCACGAAACAGGCTGGACGGATCCTTATCGATGTGAAGCGTTGTTGACGACCGGTTCATGGTCAGACCCTGGTACATGGTCGAATTGGCAACCAGAAGGTCAGCTCAAACCCAGCGCTCATCGCTCGCTGATGAACGAACCTAATCAAACCTCATCCTCACCTAGGCTGTATCCTCTCCACACCGACCCCAGCGCTCCTTAGCAAATGCCTCCTTCCACAACCTTCCCCTCCTACCGGTCTCTCTTCCCTCTTCTCCCCCACCTCCTCCTCCTCTTCTTCTTCTTCCTTATCCGCGGGCAAGTCCTCAGCAACGATCAGGTTCATCGGGGACTCCACCGTCCGTCAGGTCTACCACGCCGCGAGCCAGCTTATGGACCCTTCTCTGGCTGGAGCGGCAGGGGCATCGGCTGGTGATAAACATACCGACAAGGAGGTCAGGGTGAAGGGGAAGAATGGCGGGGAGGTCGTCTTTAGCTTTTGGTGGTGAGTCCCGCGCGCTGGCAAGACATTATCGACCAGATAAAAAAAGGCGAAAAGCGGATGGGCGATTGATTTCGTTTTTCCTCTGCGTGGGGGCTCGTATAGGGACCCTTTCCTCAATACCACCAAGACGATCGAATATCTCGGCCGCCCCACATCTTCCCCCTCTTCCCTCCTCGTCCTCGGTTCAGGCCTCTGGTACCTGCGCCACCCTTCTTCCGGGGGTCTAAGCGCCTGGACGACGATGGTAGACGAGACTTTCAACTCGATCGTCTCTTCCCAGCCTAAATCGCAATCACACCTCCTGCCTCCACCTATGCCCATGCTCAGAGACGGCCTAGGGATCGCGGACAGTATCGTCTTTTTACCTGTGACCAGGCCGGTGGATTCCAGGTTGAACCCCGATCGAGCAGAGACGATCAACCACGTCGACGTAGAAGCTATGAACTCTGGTCTTCTCGCCCGACTGTTGACCAGCCATACCTCCGGCCTGACCCCTTCGACCCACACGACCGCCCCCGTGGTCATCCCTACGGTCTTGAACGACCTGCTCGTCCCCTCAGAGACCGAGGACGGCTTGCACTATTCCGACAAGATCGTCAAGAAGCAAGCGGAGATCTTGTTGGGGTATAGGTGTAATGATATGGCGAACGAGATGAGCGGGGCGTGTTGTCGCAGGGAAAAGAGGTTGACGATCATGCAAGTCGTCGTACTGTTCTTCGTCTGTGCGTGGGCGCCTCTGAGTATTTTGCTGAGGAGCAAGGCTACGAGTGAGTGCAACTCGATGCCGGCCCGTACGTGGTCCTGGCAGGACGATAGGCTGATGAATGAGGATTTTGTCAAAAACAGCATTTGCGGCCAAGAACAACCACCTGCTCGTCCCCCCCAAAGCCGCCATGCCGTTCACTATCTTCGGTACGGCCATCCTTTACCTCTTCCTGGCCGACCGGACGAGCGTCTTCCTCAAAGAACAGAAACAGTACAACGTATGGACGTTTAGCATCCTGGTACTGATCGCTCTGGGGATCGGGTTGATCACTACGGTCAGACGGGATAAGGATATGGGATTCTTGAACCGGGAACAGACCGACGAGTGGAAAGGATGGATGCAGAGTGGGTCGTCCTTCTTTTCTCGTCTTGCAGAGCGCGCAAGTTGCTGATTGTGGATTTTGTAGTCGCCATCCTGATCTACCACTTTTTCGGAGCTTCCAAGATTTCGGGGATTTATAACTCTATCCGGGTGCTGGTTGCTTCCTATCTGTTCATGACGGGATGTGAGTATTGCAGTGGGTATGGTCTTGTTCGTCTCGCTGATGCTGACGCCTTTACGTTATGCAGATGGACACTTCACTTACTGTACGTAGAAAAGTTGAGCCACAGAGCCCAGATTGGACAGGCTACTAATCATTCATCTATCGACAGACTACAAGAAGAACGAATTCGGGTTTCAGCGAATCGCGATGGTCATGGTCCGACTCAACCTGCTCTCGGTCGTCCTTCCCTACACGATGAACACCGACTATGCTTTCTACTACTTTGCACCCCTTGTCTCGTGGTGGTACATGATCATCTACGCGACCATGCTCGTCGGGCACAAGTACAACGACAAGCCGGCGTTCTTGTTGCCCAAGATCATCGTCTCTGGGGTCTTGGTCGCGCTGTTCATGAAGCAAGGATGGATCATGGAGAGGATCTTTACCGTCCTCAAGCTCGTCTTTGGGATCCAGTGGTCCGCCAAGGAATGGTCTTTCCGGGTCTCGCTCGATCTCTACATCGTCTACGGAGGCATGCTATGTTCGTACGCCTACATCAAGATCAAAGAGTTGAGGTTCCCGGATAAACCCTGGTTCGCCATGGCCAGGAATAGCGCCATCGGAGCGTCCGTATTGGCGTTCATCTGGTTCTTCTGGTTCCAACTCTCGCTTCCCAACAAGTTCATCTACAACGACTATCATCCCGTCGTCTCGGCCATCCCGATCTTTGCGTTCATTGTCCTGCGGAACGCTAGCGGTTTGCTTCGATCGGCCTCGTCCAAGGTGTTCATGTTCATCGGACAATGCTCCTTGGAGACGTTCATCCTGCAATTCCACGGTTGGATGGCATCGGATACCAGGGGGATCCTGATGGTCATCCCGGGGACGCGGTGGAGACCGCTCAACCTGGTCCTCTCCACCATCGTGTTCATCTGGCTCAGCTACAAGGTGTCCAACGCGACGGGCGAGATTACCGACTGGGCCGTTGGGTTGCCCAAGAAGAAGCCAGCTGGTCTGCCGGTCCCGGTTACCGCTGCCTCTGCACCTACCACTGCACCTTCGGCTTCGACAGTCGTGGTCGATGCAATCGGGTCCAATGGTAGCGCTGGGGCTGTACCAGAATCGATCGCGCTCATGAACCGAGACGAACCCAACAAGGAGTTCAATGTCGACAACGAGGGCTTGCTCGAAAAGGAAATACCGCCAACGGCGACGAGGAGGTCGAACGCCAAGGTGAGTGGACGAGTACTCTTATAAGCTCATGGGGGATCGTCTGCAGCTCGACTGACTCTCGGCTCGTCTCGTCGTCGTCATCATTAGGGCATCCTCAACCAACTCTCATCACACCCCCAGGTAGCGGCCTTTACGGAAGCGGCCAAGACGAGACCCTCGATCAAGCTGAGCTTGACACTGGTGGTCTTGTGGATCCTGAACCTTTTATACTAGATACTAGACTTCGGAAGAGCGTAGAGGGGGCGTAATAATGAATTTGGGCATGATAGACATGAAGAATCGCATACATTTACATGACAGCCTAGAACGATTCTATCATCAAATGGTCCGTTCCCTGTCGCGAGTTTGTTGATGTCGTGGTCGAGGACCGCCTTTCATGCTCTTGTCTTGCTATGATGTATCCGCTTGGGCGCGCTTGGGCCCGGTCCTTCGTCGTACTATTCCCGAAGAGGAACCTTATCGGGGCGAAATGCTCGAGTCATTTAGAGACGGTTTGCATCGAACCTGACAGGGCGATTGAGTCCGCGGCCGTCGTGTTCCAGCTCGGTTTACTGGTCGTGACTAGATTTTGAGACGTTAAATGGCTTCATCGCCTCGCCTCATAGTCACCTCCAAAGGCATTCTGTGGCGCTGGTGAGGTTCGACTCACCACTTGTTGTCCAGGTAAGTCTGCCTTATGAAGAATCGCCGCTCTTCCTTTTCTGCCAATTATAACCAGTTTAGTGATCAACTTAGAGTGCGGCTTTGACGCCCTCGACCTCTTGTCCCCCCGTCAGGGCAACATCCACCAGGAACAGCCCTAACCGGAGGACAGCCGACAACGAGCTGCGCTCCGCCACGTTTGACACAAGGGCAAAACCATGTCCTTCTGTCTTGATGCTCTGCTGGGTCACTGAACCTGGAGAGACTCCGTCTCAAGCCTGCGCTAGATTGACAATATGAGTATTCGGACGATAATACCTGGCGAAATTGTGGAGGGAATGGTAATATCAGCGTGGTCATACCGCCAAGGGGACCGTCAGGGCAACAAGCTCGCAATGTGACGTCGCTAGGATTACACCAAGAACGAGGACAAGCCTACCAGGACGAACGCCTCTCTGCGACAGGACAGAGAGAGTCGAGATATGCTTGACGCGCAAGTACTTGCAGGAAACGATTTTATCGTGCAAAAACCGCGCAAACAGGGCAAAAAGATGAATGAACAGAGCCGGAATCGAACCGACGCAGGTTTCCCTACATGAATACACCTAAAACAGGTAAGCTTGCGCTTGAGTCATGCGCCTTAACCGCTCGGCCATCTGTCCTATAATTTTCGGGGTCCGCGGTTAACAACAATATCAGATCAGAAAGATCTTGACCGACATAACATCCTGTCCATACAATATCTGGAAATTACAGTTCTCGCCCGGTAGCCACCCTGACCTCAACTGGAGCACCCAGCGCAAGCTTGTCTGATGGTATGGAGCGCACCTGTATGGTGTCATGGTCTAACATTCGAGGGGAAAGGTCGAGTGCCGCACATCCAGTGTGTCAGTGCCTCCGAGACCATTGTCATCGACGATCGGATGGGTGGATACGCCATTAGGATGTCGCAGCATCCAGGCCGTCAGCTAGTCAATTTGTTCTCCCTGATATCATCGATACTTGCATGCTCAATCTATGCAATGTTCGATGCAAACAGAGACTTTCAGCCGCGATCCTACTAGATGATCGTAGCCGATTTGCTTCCGCTCAACCTTGCTCAATACCCGAACAAGCGAACGTCTTCAAGCTTGATACCTCATTGAACCAGCTGCTACTCATTGCAATTTACACAGATTCGAACGCCTTTGCCAGCACGACATATCATGTCACTCGTTCCACCAAGACCTGCAAGCCTTACAACCTCGCAGCTCAGACGACTCGAACCAACGCGACCTTCGGCGTTGCCTGCATTCCTCAGACGGCTCAGCTGGATCGTCGCCCTCGTTCTCGGTGGAGGAAGTCTCGTCGCTGCAGTCTGTTCGGTGAGTTCCGGTGTCGTGACCATGCGTAGCCCTAGCTGACAGGCTCAAAATAGAGGCTACTATTACCCCTACTATGGTCGACGTTCTCGGCAAGACAGGCGATCACCGAACAACAGCTCGTCGGGTTCAAGCAGATCGTAGCAGGACTTCGGAGCATACGTGGACGCAGATTCTACCGAACAACACCTCAGGTCGCAGTGTCGCACAAAAAGGAGAGCCCGGAAGGCAATAGCGAGTCCGGGTCCGATCGAGATACGGTCAAAGCTTCGAGACTTGGGGATTCGCTGCTCATCGAAGAGATGTCCGAGGCCGGCCGTGTGGATCTACAAGCCAAACAGGCCGAGGAGAAGGAACCTCTGCTTAAAGCTAAAGCACAGGAACGCAACACCTTCTTGCACTTTCGTCCGGGATTGGAAGAGCTACCTCATCTCCTCGATAATCTTGGCACCAACCTCTCGGCCACCAGCACGACAAGGACATCCCTCCTCTCCACGCTGGCTTCGTACAACAGCCAGCTACACACCCAGGACTTTGTATCGAACACCCGGGGCGGCCGCTTGAGAGGAGGCGTCGGCTTGAACACACTAGACGAGAACCTGGCGAAGGAAGCTGGGAGGTCCGGATCGAGCGGACTGGCAGGAGGGGAAACGGAGGAGTTTGTGATCGGGCGAGCCGCACCAGAGTTTGAAGAGCTGAGAAAGGAGGTGCGAGGTCTCAAAGGGCTGTTGCTGAGCCGGCAAGTCGGATCTTACATAAATGTCACATCGACACGACGCTGACCGGGGCTGTTCCATCGCAGGCGGAACTTTGCTTCAGTATCAAGGAGTTGATGGAATGAGAGATCCTAATGAAAGTTTCGGGGGGAACGGCTCGAGTTGTACTGAGTGCACATATTGACACGACGATAACATGATCATTTTCGCATCTAGGTCATGGCGCTCTCTTACAAACCATGAATGCAATTCAACTTGAAACCCCCCAACATCGTCTCTTTACCTAACGATAGGCGCCTTGTGGTCGACCTGATGCAACAGACCCAACCCGAGTCCGTTCACCTGCGTCGACCCGTTGATCCCGACCCGTCTAGCTTCCTCCATCTCGTACCTCCTCTCCTGCGCCCTCGCGTCCAACCTTTTGACCTCTTCCCATTCTACCCGCAAAAACACCCACATCCACCGTCGACCCAGTTCGAGCGCTTCCATGATGAACACCCCGCTCTCGATCTCGGAGATGGTATGTAGGTGGGAAGAGAGCTTGAGGGACCAGGTGAACCGGAGGACGAGGTCGAGGAGGATGAAGAGGTAGTACACGAACGGGTCAGGAAAGAGCATCCTCGGTCGGAGTCCGAAGGGTCCGGTAGGTCCTGCTCCAGCGAACGGTGCACTGGAAGACCCAGATCGGGACGTCGGATGGAGATGCGGGGCATGATGATCGCCCCTATCCGGATTTCCTGGCAACTGCGTAGAACCGCCCAGACCAGGCGAAGGGAACGGCGACCGTCGATGAGGCCCCAATTCGAACTCTTCTGCCGCCAAACCCGAATCCGTTCCGAAACCCAACGAGGCAGCTACCGACCGTACGAGTCGTCTGAAGTTGCGGTAGACGATGTTGGCCCGGGAATCCGGGGTCGTACGTGCACTGTACGATGTCACCGGGGCTTTGAACCAGGTCGAGCTTTGGAGTATGCCCAGACCCCAATCGTTGGAGACGTCCCACCAGAAGGAGAACAACGAGTTGATCAACACGGCCAGGAGCCTTCGGTTTACCGATCGACCATCAGAGCGGGAAAAAAAGTCAGCCCAGCATAACCGTCCGAGCGACTCGCCACGACTCACCACAACCTGAACGTCCTGCTCTCTCCGAACCACCTGCTCTGACTCTCATGCATCTGCTTCTCGAGCACTTCCACGCTCAGCCCCTTGATCTCGGCAATCTCCTTCATCACGTTCCTCTGCGCGGCAGAGAGGAAGATCACCGGGAACGCCGAAGCGTACTTCAAAGCGTTAAAGAGCGGCCTCGAAGAAGTCTGATGCGGGATGAGGTATTCCTGTATACACTGCCTGAGCCGCAAGCAGTAAGGCAAGCAGACCATGGCGAGTTTGATGTAATTCCCCGTGCCGCTCATCCGGACTCGTCCTTGAGCCAAGCCTCCGGACCAGATCTGGTTGGAGGAGACGACGAGGTCGCCGAGGACTTTGGCAAAGGAGGTGAGGACGTCGGCGAGGATCACGTCGGCGAAAAAGGGAGCGTGGTCCCAAGGTGGGGAGAGGATACGTTTGAGTGATCTGTACGAGCGTTCTCAGCGTCAGTATGCAGATGGATGACATGACCACGAGGTTGTTGCCGAGTATCACAAGCTGGATAGAAGGGGAAAAGGGGTAAAAATAGGGTAGGAAGGTTTGACGAGGCTCACCTTAACAACCCCATCCTCTCCGACCGTGCCAAGAACCCTCTCTTCCACGTCAACCCGACCACCAGTCCCCCAACGATGACCCCTATAACCCATCTAAACCTATCCATCTCGACCTCCTCTTCCCCTCCCTCAGCTTGCCCCGTAGCGTACCTAAACGCCGTCCATCCCATTCCCACCCAGAGGGTATAGATGACGAACAGCATGTAGATAGGCTTGTGCAGGTCTGTCCGGCGGCGTGTACGACGAGATGGACGGCGTGACGAGGTGGTAGGGGGGAGGAAAGAAGGGGTGCTAGGGGATGGAGAGTCTAGCCTGATGATCCTGCTCGCTGGCAACTCCGGCTCGTTGTTGTGATCCCCATCGAAGAGCACCCGAGGTTTCTCTTCATCTTCCTCTTCATCCGTCAAACTCAAGCTCCCATCGTTAACATTATTATTAACGTCCCCTCCGTCCTGCTCATTCTCGATATCCTGCGACAGATCCAACGCCCCACCCGCATCCACCCCCAAGATCGTCAAGACGTGTAGATTCACCGCCCAGAGCAAGATCTCCAGTCCGACCAACGTGAGGACCCTAAAAGGTAGCGGGAAGGAGGCTGAGAAGTGTGGCAGGTTTATATGAGAGTGTCCGGCGTGTTGAGCTGGGGAGAGGGGGAGGTCGTCGTACGAATTCGAAGGGGGAGAATCGATGTCCATCTTTGGCGTGTGGTTGGTGTTGTGAGAGAAGTGGGAGGTAAGGGTCAAGGAGGCTATATTCGGGTCATCCGATACGATTTGCTTTTTCGACGTCCGATCTGTCTGAGCGGTCTCGTTCCTCGTCAGAAAGATGCTGCTGTCGGACAGACAAGATTGTAACTCGTATTCAACCTGTTCAACTATCCCGAGACGGAATGTCTGGACGCTCCCCGTCTCGCGCCGCTCTTGTCGTCGGTCCCTGGCGATAGCGTCGTGGGAGCAACGAGCCTTCGAGATAGAAACCCTCTCGATACACGACGGCTAGCTGTCTTGATCTATCAGACGATGGAAGGAGAGCGAGGTCGTGGTCTGTAATCGGACACGGTATAGACTAGATGCTACGAAGCTACGACACAAGTTGTTGCTCCCTCTTGATGTCTATCGTTCCAATTTCCTTCCGAGAGTCACAGAGAGAGAGAGACATTCACAGACACAGAGCGGGATCAGAAGTGGCCTCGAACACGCGACGACAAGGGCGCCACTCCCTCCCTCTGCTCCGGAAAGAGTCGACCACCGACAATCTAGACCCATCATCCGATACACCTAGAGAAAATATCGTAATACACGTTTCAAACTACATCCTGAGGTAAAAGTACAGTCGCAGTCCGACCTCCCCCATATATGACTTCTCCGCCCGTAGGATTTGTACCTCTTCAACGCACACGAAAAGGGGGTGTTCTCCCGATCTTCCTCTTCTTCCTTCTCCTCGACAGGTCAAATGCTCAATAAGGCATCCCTCCATAACCGTACGGATTCACTAAACCCCCCAGATCCCAAAAAAAAAACTCAGCCTTTTCCCCTCTTCGCTCTTGTACTATCTGAGCCCCGGGTAGTTCGAATCGGACTTACTGCCCATCATCCCCATGCCCATCCCACCATAAGGATAACCCACTACGAAAATCCCCCCGGCCACCAGCCATAACCCGTCAGCCTCAACAGGACATCTTTGGAATTCTTTCTCGGCTCCTGCAAGGCTGGACATGGACTCACTTCCCATCGAACCCATCATCATCGGGTTCATCATCCCCATCCCGTACATCCCTCCCATACCTATGAAATTCAATCGACACAGGTCAGCTCGATAATCGGGTCGAGCGAATTGTGAAGATGTGAAGCGGGAAGGCTGGTCGAGGACGTACCTAGGTTCATGTAATCGTTAAGTAAGCTGTCGGATTGTAAGGTGGTATCATAGGTCAAATGGTTTGGGAGAAAGCATGATGTGGTGTATCCCGATATGCGTAAGCGGAAAGAGGTCGATTCGGGGTGAAGATATTTCCCGCCGAAGAGATCCCCATATCGACCGAACCGAAATGATCACGTATTAACGACGAAGTAGGACGAAAGCGAAGAACAGCGCAAACGATAGTAAGAGGAAATCGGCTGTGTCATGACACTCAAGGTGGAAGGACGAAGGCTTACCCTCCTGCTGGATACCGAGGAGCCTGTTATACGAAGTAATGAGACAGCGGGATGTCAATTCCAGATTCGAGACGCGAAAAGTTGAGGTTTCAAGTCCATGTGCAGATCCAGGTGTACCGATGACGAGATCGTATAGCATCCCCACACGTTAACGTTATAGATCCAGCGATGAATCGATCGATAGCCAGGTAGATCCGACGCCATGCCAGGCAAGACGATAACAACGAAAAGTCACCAAGGAGAAAACGATACTGGAATCAGCTTCCTCTTCTCCGAATCGAATTGTAGAAGCTCGAGGACAGGTTGATAATACAAGACATCGACTCACACCGTAAGGCCCGCTCATACCTATAGCCGGCCATCCCAGGCCCTGACGAGGTAGATTTGTGTGAACATCGTCGAGACCAAGGCGTACGAATACATGGACGGTGATAGGGTAGGTGCGATAACAGGATGGGTGCATGTAGGTCGGCAAGTAAACCAAATATGAAGTAAGAGAGAGGGAAGAGAAAGAGAAGGAGAGATGTTGGTCGTCAGTACTGTACGTGCTTGATTGTACGAAGCGCCGGTGGCACAAGAGGCATCGTCGTGTTCGAGATCAATGTCAATATAAGGGTCCGTCCGCCCGGTACCCTCTACGGCTTCCACACGCCTGGATCCCGACTTTCTCCCCTGGTTCCGTCACATGACTAGGACCTTATGCTCATCAACACGGGTCGGTATCTCGCACCTCGCACCTCAGACTGTCCAACCACCAGGTTTCGTAACGACCAAATCCCTCCCAATGCTTCAAGCTTGGAAACGTGTCTGGTGATCGGAAATCAGACTCACCGACATCCCTGGCATCATGCTCATCATCCCGCCATACCCCCCATACCCCATCCCCATCCCGCCCATTCCCATACCTAGACCGATCATCGAAGTGTACGGATCAAAGAACGCCATCGCCAATCTGCTCCTACAGTATCTTCTTCTCTTTCCGCCACGTGTAAGTGTGGATGTTGGGTTGTGGTGCTGCCGCTGGTGTAAGATAGATGAGTCTGCGGTGGTGGAGGTAGTAATGTAGCGTATCTCTTTCTATCTCTACCTTGTACTTTGGGATGCCAGTCGGATACTGTATCGTTATCTCAGGTCGATCGTCGAAAGATGGATGAAGAAAAGAGGTTCCCCCTCTACTTTGTTCCTGGTTCACTCAGCGCGTCGAATGTGCTTATTGCGGGCTGCAAGAACAGGAAGGACACTTCTCCTTGAGGATGATGATATATCGAATGATACGTTCCTCAGGGTTCTGTTCGCCACTCGATGAGAATCGCCATATGTGCTCGTGGCCTCGTGGTCATGTGCGATGAGAGAGAGAGTGAGAGACAAAGGAAAAAGCTTCGAGAACAAAAGAACAGAGCAGAAAGACAGAGGGGGGCGACGCGCAAATACATGAAACACTAAGAACGATCGCTGTCGGGCGGGGGGTATGGCGGTTCGTGCTCAGTAGTCCACAAGTTGAACCTACAAAGGGGCCAACAGTACTCGGAATGGTATGACCCCTGGGTCTGATATTCCTCTGATATCTGGACGACGATGTCGCAAGAGGTTCGACGATCAAATCGAAGGGGGGTCGACGATCCTCCACCACTCCGATATATGCTTCCGAATTCGACTATTTACTTCCGATCAGCTCGAGAATTTGGTTCCGATAATCCATGGCTTCGATCCGAATTGTCGAGAAGCAAAGGGTTGTTGTCGATCAAACTCTTCTTCTCAAAACCTCAAGACCTCGTATGACATCGACCATTCTACATCACATCGTCAACCAAAGTACCGAGAACGTGAGGATATCCATGCTAGAAGTGGGGGAAACGACGATGTTCGACTGTCTACCGCCCGGTAAGCCCCCATCGATGCGATTGTGAGACGACAAGCCGACGCTGAAGGGTGGGATCAAAAACCCGCACTTTCTCCCGTGCATGTTCGTAGCCTATTTCACCAGGTCTACGGACGAGCAGATCAAGGATCTATGGTGTAAGCACTCAAGTTCCTATCCTACATCCTCAACGAACCATAGGATCGTATCGGTGCTCTGCCGCTCGTCCCTTCCTACAATACAATAGCTGGTCGCCGTCGATCATCTCGCTGATTATCAAATTGCCTTGCCTTGCGACTTTCAAATGATGATTTTTCTGAAACAGTCTCGAGAGACGGAATAACGTCGAAACCGATCACATTCACCAATTCCACTTCCACTTCCATTTCCGGTTCATCTCCACTTAAAACCGTCCTTACGTCCTCGCCTCAATCAACTTCATGTGTCAACATCAACAAAATCATCACATCGGCTATTAGTGACATTACCAGCCCATCAACCGCGTATAATTACAGACATACCGCCTCGAACACCGTCACACTCAACCACAACCACAACCACAACCACGATCACAATGAAGTGCATGTAACTTCGAACATCTGGACATTGCACCTCTTGGTATTCTGCGGAGATCAAGCCGAAGGTCTGGGCCGGGAAGACGATCGGGTCCTAGGGTTCCCTACGTGAGTATCATATCATCCCTTTTGTCTCTTTTACGCTCTTGGTATTTTGCGTCACATTGCATCTTCGTAACAAAAAGGATCAAAAGTTTCCCCCCCTACAGTATGCGACGACCTTACCTTGATACGGTACAATAGCTGATCATTTAATGTGAAATTTCCCCGCTCTATCTTTTTCGTTTTACGCTTGCGCTCGTTTTGCGCTGGTCTGAAAACATACCTTGCCTTTTCATCCCCCGGAACGTATCCCGATTATCCTGGATTGGATGGCTCCTGGGATTGGGGTTTCAGGGTGACGGACGCTTCAACGCTCTTCGTACGTACAATACCCATTTCCCTCGATTGGGTCACCTACAGTCTACAGTATACTGTACCCGTTCTTGAACCTGACACAAATCACTTAAACAAACCTCACTTTACTTTGCTTTACATCTTCCGTGCCCACAACCTCGAAACCTCGAAACCTCGATCTTCATATTGAATCACTACTGTACTGTGATGAACACGCTCACGCTCACGATCACGGTGACTACACTATTCCAGATCTTCTCGGAGAGATGGATAGTGGATTCTATCGCTGCTGGCCGGTTGTTGGACTTGAGAGGGTATATCATGCACGGTCAGTACGATGTACTGTAGCTTTATGGATGTTATGACGGAGTGGTCGTTCGGTGTGATGCAGAACTGATTTTCCGTTTCATCTTGTGTAGCACCGAAGATGTTCAGAGAATCGGACGAGATTTCTTTTTCCGGCCCAGAAGACGGGTTCGACCACGATCACAATCTCGACCGCGAACTAAAAAAATATACTCATAACGGCGGGTTCGGATGTGCTTACGGGACATCGAAAGGCTCGGCTTCGGGAGCGGGAGTAGGAGTAGGAAGGGGAGTGAAGCTGGAGGAGGATAGCAAGCCGTTTCAGCAAAGCACCGCCATAGCGCAGGAGACAGGTAGGCCAGGTCATCAACCAAAGCAAAAGCATGGACGACATCAGGATCGAAAGAAGCACCAGACTCGTGATCAGCATCCCTATCGACACAAGACTCCGCCATATTGCGACGCTTCTCGACAACCATTCCATACTCAACACGGACTACCCCATTCATATGACAACCGACCATCTTCCCACCCAAACTTCCATCCACAGTTTTCCACGACTACGGCATACCTTCAAAGTTTACCAATGAGCCCAGACGAGACGCCCAGATCGAGGTCCAGGTCGAAAAGCGCTCGAGGGTCGCTCTCGAGGTCACACTGTAGACAAGGTTGGAACGGTGCAAAGGAGGATAACAGGAGGAGGAAGGAGGAAATGTGCGCCAGATTAAATATGGGAATCGGAATCCGGACGGAAGATGGTGATAGGGGGGAAGACAGCGGGTATGCGGGTTGCGACTCGGGGAGAGCTTTGGACCGGGAAGAAGGGAGGACAGTTGAGCGGATGCACGAAGATTTGAGGTTACCATCGCCGAAGAAGAGGAAGCAAGAGATGAAGGGTCGGGATAGTCGCTTTCATCCTTATGAAGACGATGTACTTCCAAGGTAAGTCCGATTGATCAGCCAAGGACAAGAGCCTTCAGGTGACGATGTTACTTGTTCTAGACCTCGCCCACTGTTCAACCACCCCTCTTCCTCAAATCTCGCACCCGACAACCTGAAATCGAGCGACATCAAGCGCTTCCTGACCGACCTCATCCAATCTGAAACGCAAAACGTGCGCCCACAACCACCCGCCAAGGTCGAAGGACCGTTCATTACTCCGGCCCCCACTCCTCCGCCGAGGAAACCTTCCATGGAATTTTACACGGACCCGCACGATAAGGCGCCTAGAGGAGGGAGACGGATCAAGTACATGATTCAGGTTCAGGACGAGCATGGATTGAGGAGAATCGAGGTCGCTTTCCCCAAGGGTCAACAGAAGGTCTTTGGCACGAAGCGCTTCGTCGAGCAAAAAGGATAGACATCGCAGGAGGAAATTAGAGACCGGAATCAAGGTTGTAATGTTACGAACGCGTGCAAGCAACGCCCATGAAGCGCATGTCAATTCTGCCATCATTACTACTTCATGTCAAGACGTTTTCTCAAGGCTTTGTGTCTACAAAAAGTCCGGGATCGAGGAGAAGTTTAATATATATAGCTACGATACACAAAGACGGAACACAATTTTCAGGGTATTATTCAGACAGTTCACATCACGACGTCAATAGAGAAAGGAAAACAACATATGAACCCAAAAGATCTAGAAAGAAGACCAAGACCAACAGAGTAGAGAAGCACGCTAGCGCTTTAACCCCTGACGACGGATCGACTGAGGAAGCCCCAGCTTCGCGATTCGTCGTCCGAAGAGGGCAACGACTTGGTCGACGCGGACGCTTCCGGGCTCTTGATCCCCAAACTCTCGGTGGCGACCTTGAGGTGAGCGAAACTGGCTGCAAGCGCGGCGTCGGCGTCGGTGTCTGACCGAGACGTCGCGGGAGACGAGACCGAGGCTGAAGAGTTGGGAGTAGGAGCGTTGTCGACGACCTTGAGCCCGGCCTTGCCGGTAAACACTGCGGCGACTCGGTCCCCATCCATGCCACGTCCGGTAGGCGACTGGAACGCAGACAAGAACGCCGAAAAGAGCCGGGTCGAGATGGCACTCGAGATGACGTTCGACAAGGCAGTCGCACTAGCCTCGGGTGCGGTGGCAGCGGTAGCGGCGGCGATGACAGCAGCCTTGTGCTCGGCGGGCTCTTTGAGAAACTTGGGTCGCATATCGACCGGCACGCCTTGTTTGGCCAACGAAGCGTCCCTGGCCATCCTCGACCAGAGCTGCATCCGGTAAGCCTCCAACGAGCGGTAGCTGAATGGCGTCTCGGCCGACCAGGCGTCGAACGAGTCTCCCAAGTTGTTTCCATCCGACTTGAACGGGTGAGGTGCCTTGTTGACGACGGGCTCGGCGGGCATGTTCAGGTGAGGGTTCAAGTTCTGACGAGGAATGTTGAGTTGAAGCGTCGAAGGCAGGGCGAGGTCCGGCATGAACGTCGTGTGCACGCTCGTATAACCTCCCGCGCCTTCGCCCCACATGGACCTCGGCGACATTTGGTTCAACAGCGCCGAGGTCGAGGTGGGCAAGTCTTTCCTCGGGTTGAACGTGCTGATGGGCGACGAGGACGACGTCGAGCTCGATTTCGCGGTCGACGATCGACTGGGAGTCTTGACCGGGGTGAGTTCCTCGTTCGGCTCCAATGCGGCCTTTTTCATCATCCCAATCTCACGTCTGCGGCGTGCATGCAAGAAAATCGATCAGCTCCGCGCCTCCCCTCTTGCAAGACACGAGAATCCCTCACCTCAACTCGTCGTTCTCGCTCCTGAAATTCTTCAACTCGTTCCTGATCGCATCGATCAACCTATCCCGATCCTTGATATGGTCCTCGAGCTCGTTGATATACGTCTTCCTTCGGTTCCTAAACGCTCGAGCCGAGAGCTTGTTTCGCAACTGTCGCTTCTCCTTGGAGGACATCTTCTTGTACTCCTCGGCCTGCAAAGGTCGGCGCAATACAATGTCGTGTCAGATCGCTTGTTTCGATGGCACATACTTGACTTTGCCCTCGAATAACACTCACGCTAGGTCTCCAATCGTCCTCCTCTCCCGCCTCCTCCCCATCCTCCAAGACCACACTGCTCATCCCTCCCCCCTTCTTCCCTCCTTTCCCCTTCACCCCGCCGAACATGGCCGGCAAGGGCAACGTATCCATCTCCTCCGAGGCGCGCCTGTCCTTGTTGTTGTTGTTATCGCCCTGGGCGGACTCGCCATCTTCATCATCCTCTTCGTCCCGAGAAGCAGAGGCGGCTACGGAGACTGACCTCGAAGGCTTGGTCTGGGCCTTCTTGCCGGTAGCACGTTTCGTAGCGGGTTTCGACCCGGCCGCAGGGGCAGTGGCGGTACCGATCGTAGCAGCGGCCGCAGAAGTGGCGGTGGTGGTGGTGGTGGTGGTGGTAGTGGACGCTTTGCGGGAAGAAGTAGAAGCGACCGAAAACGCAGCAGGGGAAGCGGCATTGACCGAATCGTCCTCGTCCTCGGAGATCTGCTGCAACTGATGCTGTGATTGCTGCTGAGGGACTTGGAACGCACCAATCGATTGTTGTTGTTGTTGGTGTTGTTGCTTTTGGAGCATAGCGAGATAATCTGCCATCCCGGCATCTTCGTTCCCAAAGACGATCGACCCGTTGAACCCGGGTCCCATTCCCATACCCATTCCTTTCTCCTGCTGCTTGCCGTCAAAGCCCATTCCCATTCCCATCAGACCCGCAGCGCCGGCACCGGCACCAACACCTCCACCGGGCAAAGGGATCGCCCCGAACAGATCCGCCGTATTGACCGTCCCCCCAAGCCCACTCTCATTCCCTTCGCCATTGGCATTGATGTCGTCAAACGAGTTGAGGTACTGTTGCGGGTCCGACAAAGGTTCCCTTTTCACCTGCAACCCCTCCTTTCTATTCGGATAATCAAAGTCCCCTCCGATTCCAAAGTCCCCGCTATTGATATCAAACATCCCATTCCCACTCCCATCGACCAAGTAGTCGTTATTGCCGCTCCCGTTCCCGTTGACCAAGACCGGTGAGAACCCGGCGAAATCGTTCCCCACGTCCATGGACATGGAAGGAGAGACGTTCGAGTTGGACTCTTCCGGCGAGGTTAGGGAGTAGGTCAGACCGGGTGGGGTCCAGGGGGAGATCGGGTTCGAGTTGGAAATGTCCAAGTTCGGGTTGTACGTGGAAGTCGAGGCGGTGGCATTGTTGAAATTGTTAAAGTTGTGGTCAAAGTTGGAGTGGGAGGAAGAAGAAGAAGAAGGACCAGAGGCGGGATTGAAGTTCTGGTTCAAGTTCGAGTGAGGCTGTGAGGGGGAGGGGAAGTCGTACTCGTTAAAGTTGAACGGGGACGAGGGGGCCTACGGGGATCAGAAGAGAAGGGTGTTGAGTATATCAGTACGATGGTCACACTATACCATCCAAGATGATCAGGTTAGGTATCGAGGTCGAGAGGGAGGATTGCGGATTCCTTTGAGGCATCGACGATCGACATTCCGCAACCTCGACACATCCAGGTATCGAATCGAAGCGGATAGCTCACCTGGAGAACATCCCCAAAGTTGAAATCGAGGTAGTCGGACATGTTCACCGTAGGTTGTTGTTGTTGCTGCGAGCTAGACATATCGATGTCGATGAGAGCGTTGTTTGTGGTGGTGGTTGTGTGGTGAAAGGGAGGTCTGTTATTTGATGAGGCGACGGGGGACGATCGGAATGTCCTGCTCGTCAGGTGAGAACAGTTGCGGTTCCGATCGAGTGAGGCTGATTCGTATCGCTTGACTACGTCCCTGGTCGGTGTGGACTGGTTGTCGAGGTGATTCGCTATCGACGATGCAGTGTGATGTCGACGATGTTGTTGATGCGTTGAATTGCTTGATGATCGATCAAACCCTCCCCCTTTGCCCTCCTGCTTTGTCCCCCTAGCTTCTCGATGCCTCGATCACTTACGTAAGATACGTCCCGCGTCGAGTCTCACCTCTGCCTGGGGGTCATCGTCGTATGCCGCGCTGACGTCTCGACCTCGGCGAACGGCCACGGCCATCGGGGACGGACGAGGACAAGGACAAGGGATTCACACAGATCACACAGATCACACCATACCATACCGGGGCCGGACAGGTTACGTGGACACCTGCAGATAATCAGATAACTCGGCAGATCAGCAGAATGAACCTCATGGCGTGCATGCCCTCGGCGAAAGAAGGTGCCAGGGGATTCCACGTCAGCTCATCACCTTGTGATCTTGCGACTCATCGAGCCTGTCTCATCGGCATGCAACTCGCAGCTCTTCCGCTTTCCACAGGGCCATCCGTCCAAACGCACGAGGTCGAAACGAAGACACGACCGATTACACTACCGATTTCACGATTGAAGGACTGGAAGACTGGACATCTCGTAGCTCGTATCTCGTAGCTCGTCGTATTCTTCCAGTTCTATCAGAAACCACACGATCAACAAGGAGAGTAAAGTGGACGTTCTTTGGCCGAAAACGAAAGTCGTACGTATTCCGTTTGATCTCGTATTCCACTCCGACGGAAAGGATCCCACAGCCCCGAACGGAGTTTATCACCTACGCAGCCTTGTAGCCTCGTAATCTGTAGAGTATTTATTATTATCATCGCTCAAATCGTATCGCTACGCAGTGCATCTGCGGGGAGGGGGGGGGGGGGGGGAGTGGATACTCGGTCGGTTCTTTTTTCGTACGTCGCACGTTTCACGTTTCACGTTCCACAGCCTTCTTCATCTTGCATAGCCATCCATATAAATCACCCCGACTCTATCCAATTACGACTGCCGTCCGGGTCCGTCGACGTCGATCCGAGAGCACAGACAGACTGACGAACCCGCGCTGCGGATCCGATGATTGGGATTCAGAAAATAGCCAGGATGGATATAGACAGAATGATATAGACAGACGACGCTTTGGCTATATGGCTATGCTACGGTGTAGCTGCGGCATACACTATATTACATCCAAATTGAATTTTGAACTATTTGTACTTTGTTGTGACACCGCGAGAAGGGTATCTTCGAGGCTGTACTGGATTTCTGATATATCTGGGTCGACGTGATAAAGCTCCTAAGGAATGAAAATGCGGTGCATGGTCCTCAGAGATCAGAGATCAGATTAGGACTGGGTCGGCAGATGGGCATGCGCAAAGCACGTCATCGATCATCGATTTGAAACACGCTCGCTGCGAGAGGCGGTGTCCCTAAGGCCTTGGGTAATGCTACGAGCGCTCCGACAGAATGTGATCCCTAGATACGAGCGATCGAGCGATATACACAACGGTTGGTCAGCCGAGCGATGAAACGTTCCAAAACGCAACTCGCAACTTCGCTCGTCTTGATCGATTGATCAGCCGACGGGATGATCAACCCTCGAGCGCCCTTGACTCGACCTGCGCGATTCTGCGACCCCCCCTGCGGCTGAATCAGCCTACCACGACTCGGCGCCGAGCTTCATGCTAGCGCATCGTAGAGAGGAAGAGAAATCGTCTCGGCAAGCCCAAAAAGAAGAATATACTCCCGTGCTGATCTGTGATCAAAGGAAAGACGGGCTCAATTCGCTCCTCGGTTATTCCGCTGGTGTGATGGGTGATGCCCGCCGCTTCGTCCGCCGGGCATCGTCCCCCCTCGTGCCCATGCCGCGCCCGCGTTGATTCCCAAGCCGAAACTTCTTTGATCAGCGTTGTCGCCCGGGGGGATGTCTCATCGACTTCTTCATCAGCAGCTTCAGCAAGCAGGCAAAGCGTTTCGGCCGGCTTACTACGGCTGCGTCTTCTCCTCGGGACCGGCCACGGGGGGGCCAAGGGTTCGTACGGGGACTGAATACGTGCTACGAAATGACTTGGAGCCCTTCTTGCTAATTGCTAAGGGGAGTGCATATATAGCTGGGGGATCGAGTCGATGGGATGAACCAGGTTGGGGAAATACCCATCAACGACAACGCGAAACACGAACCACAAAGACGAAACACTTATACGAAACATAACCTATCACTAGCATACCACTGCGCCACTGCCACATCTAACCTCTCAACCATACACTCTCGCAACGATGCCTCACCAACACGTTCACAACCTCACCCCTTACCCACACTCGGCAGAAGGGTCGGCCTTCCCCTTCCCGACCATCCCGGCTAAACAAAGCCCGATGCAACTACAACCTCAACGCACCCCATCGTCATCCAGCTCGACCTCGTCTTCGTACGCATCCTTCAGGTACCCCACCCCTCACGCCCAGTCGTACCCTTCGGCCTCTTTCCCCCTCAAACTCTCTACGATCCACAGCCCCGTCCCGCCCTCTCTGTTACAGCGACGTCGATCGTCATGCTGCACCGTCTCCTCGATGGACAGTCTGGCCAGCGCATCGACGACTTCGACGTCTTCTTGGGGCAACTGGTCGGTAGACTCTCCCGTACCGGGGTTGAGCAGGAGCGGGTCTTCTTCTAGCAGGACCGGAGCTGGAGTTGGCGAGGATCTGAAGACTCCGGAGACGGTGCTCTTCGGGGATTTCGAGGACGAGATCTCTCACAACGTCAAGCTCAACGCTGAGCAGCGACAGGAGGAGCATGAAGAAGAAGAAGAAGATTTTGCGCACTCGCACTCTCACCTCCTCGTCTCCGCTATGAAGACGAAGAAATCGACGATGGCGAGGCCGAGGTTGTTCGTCAAGCTCGCAGAACCCGAGCAGAAGACGAGCCCGAGGTTGCAGAGGACGCAGACGCCGTTGGAGCTCTGGACGATGCGATCCCAGCGCTCGGCACCGGTGCATGAGGAGGAGATGGAGATGGAGATGAAGGAGGAGGATATCACGGCAATCAAAGCAACTACCCGCACTACCAAAGCCACCTCGACGACTACGCCTACGCGCCCAAAGCTGGAGAGAAAACTCACTCCTCACCCAGCTACCGGGCCCGCTAGCACCCAACACCTCAAAGGCGCTTTCCCTTCAACGACGTCGGGTTCAGACTTTGCTTTCGAGGGACTGGTGTTGAACGAGGTTGACGAGGACGAACAGGCAGAGTCATCAGAGGAAAGGGCCGAGGATGAGGAGGAGGAGAAATCGACCCGACCGTCAAACCTTTGGAACATCTCCCTCCCGCCCGCTACGCGCGGCCGACCGATCCATAGGATGGCGCTGGGACGCCGGTTTAGCAGCGTGATCGAGGAAGGCAAGGTCTGGCTGGCCGTCTAGGTTCAGGTCCAGGTCTTGTGTTTAGGTTCAGGACTGCAGGGGAGGACTGTAGGGACGAAAAGGTTTAAATACAGGGGGTTATGGACGATGACGATTATAATTCGAGTTAGACAGGAGAAAAGTACGACTATGTTTACGAAGACGTGTATGAAGGGTCTAGACAAGACTTGTGTACTCTTACGTTGTATACAAAATTTTCAAGGTGATATGATCTATATTTACGATGATGCGAATATGCGAAGCGACTTCACCTCTCCACTCCCAGACCTCAGATGGTCTTAACACCGTTCACGACCAACACTTCCGACCCAAGTACTCTCGGAGATTGTCAAAGGTGATCGTAGAACAAGAGACGAGAGGTCAGCTTTACCTAGACTCCACGGCGATCCAGGCCAGGTTGTTTCCACTGAAGAAAACCCGAGCTTCGGCTCCAGTTCTGAGGAAGGGGGTCCACATATGACCCTGATCCCTGTTTGGCCAGCTCCATGATTGATATGACTGAGACGATTTACCAAAAAAAAAATCAACGCCACCAAAAAGGAGGTTAGGTGCGCTAACAAGACGAGTTGGCAGGAAGGCAACGTCTTTAAGGTTTACGGTGTCGCAACGATCTATCTCGATCTCAAGATGGACTAAACGGCGAGTCGAGGGAGCGATATAATTCGGGTATAGATGTCGCTCTCGCCCGGACGGCCTGATGTATACCATAGCATCTAGTTGCAGAACCTCGACTCAACCCGCCGTGCGACCAAGATGCATATAAGTCATTCGGCCGTCGAACCCGATCGATACCGGTGCGCCGCGCCGTGAGCATGCATCAGATTATCATAACGGTATCGGCTACTAGCTACTAGCTACTAGCTACTCGTATTCCTGGTAGTTTCCTGGAAGGCTACTACCTCGTGTTTGTTAGCTCGTACTAAGCGCCATTTCGCCATTCAGATAGCTCCCGAGCGCGAGCATTTCGGTGAGGTCGGGTTGATGGTAGGGTTTGATTACCGGCGGGGAGTCGTGGACACTACGGTACTCTCGAGGTGGCACAGGGAATCATCGGTATGGACGTCTATCATTGTGGTCGCCGATTTTTTGTGGAGTGAGGAGCGGAATGTGTGTTCAGTGGCCAGTGGTAGGCCCTGGCAGATGCATTCCGGGGTCTTTGGTTGCAAACGTTCCCACCTCTCGCGACCTCGCGGCGCGGGCTCATCGGCCAGATCCTGCTTCGCCTCTTGCTATTTCTTGCATCCTCGCATGGAAATGTCGTCGATTTCGGTGTCCATGCTGCTATCGTCGCAGTATCTATTCGCGATACGCACAGCCAGCTCATCATATATCATGCTCGTGCCACAACCCACCCCCCCTCCATAGCACGGCGCAGGGGTGACTGACCGCCCATCGGGATCGCTTCATGAGAGAGGGAGATCTGGGTGTTTCTTTCCCCTTCGTCATAATTATCTTCCGGTGTGAACGCCCCCGTCCGGCGGTGGTGGGGGTGCACCGAGAAAGATGAGAGAGGTCGGCGCTGGCGGACGTCTAGCTACCACCTGGCTAGCATCATAGGTCGCCGGACTTCTGACTTGTATTGCGTACGGTGTTCGTGCTGAGGTGTTGTATACCTGCAAGTTGTGTGTGTGATCACGAGACACCCTTACCTACATTTCCCTCCCCGCTCGTCGTCGAGATCTCTCTTTCCTCTCCCCTTCGCCGCGGAAATCTCGACCTTATCAAGCCATCACTCACACCCCGACACCACCTCACCCCAGACCTTTATAACGTGCGACGAAGAGTCACATCAGCTACAGGTGCTTGGAGAGATAGGAAAGGCAGATATAACAGGTCCACCTCAAGGCCAAAAGGTCACGAGCGGTGGTCTCCCTCGTACTTCTGGGGGTCTCATCCCGAAACCCCTGGCTCTGCTTGATCCACCTACCGTCGCGGATCTTCACATACGGTGTGCTTCAAAGGGCAGACCAGTCATCGACCCAGCCTATCGACCGTCTCAACGTACAGAGGTGCTTCAAGCTCATCGGTTGCGGAATATCGGGACGAAGATCTGAGGGACAGAGCTCATCTAAGGTCGGGACGAGCAGGTCGGACTTTGTGGAAAAATATCTTGCCGGTGATGGGCGTTTGACAGGCCCGGGAACCGCCTTTCTTCCCAGTAAGTACCTCCTCCTTCATCTTGATATCTTGTCTCTATGATGTAGGTGCCCAGATGGCCCTCTTCGGGGGTCTTCGGCGCTGCGATCAAACGGGCAACCTGAAAGCTGATCCGGGCATTCCGTTACTCAAACTGTGTAGGCAAGAAAACCGAGCAGAAGAAACCATGTCGTCCCATCCCCACTCTGAAGGCATCTTTTACCTGGAAGACTTCAACTCTCCACCGAACTCTCCACCTCCGCCTCACCGGACGTTGTCCTCTGGTAGCTTGCTCGAGAAGACCATCAATAACGACAACAACGAAGGCGGCAGCAGCAGCAACAGCAATAGCAACAGTGATGACAATATAAAGAACCGAGCAAGTCATCCAGGTCGGAACGAGTTGGGAGCCAGCCCGAAGGACGTCGGATATGGCTCTGGTTCAGGGCCGGGCTCAGGAGCCAGGACGACCTCGTCAGGCTCTCCGATCTCTTCCCCACCGGGGACCCTCCCAGCTGGATTACCGTTACCTCAATCGGCAGCGGGGGATATCCTTAGCTCGATCGGGTCTGGGAACAACGTTTCCTCGGGCAAGAACATCAGCCACAACCTCGTCGGTCTGCCCTCTAGCTCTAGCTCTAGCTCTAGCTCGAATCAGGGTTCGACGGCGCCATCCGGCTCGACACTGGGTATAACTGGCCTCCCACCGACGTTTACGGGGATGAGAAAGATCAACCAGCCCAACGCCTCGTCCCCTTTAGCTAAATGGCAAGTCCAACCCCATTCGGACGATTCGGACAAGAGCTCTACCGGAGGATCTCAGCCGGGGAGTCCGGAACAGATGAGTGGAATGGAGAGCGGGAGGGAGAGGAGCGAGTCTACTTCCACGCTCGGGGAAGGAAGCGGATTAGGCTCTGGCCTCGGATTCGGGGCGGGTTTCGGGTTCGGAATGTCTGCTGGGACGTCTGCGGGTAACGTGTCGAACGTGAATGGCATGTCGCCGGTCTTGGCGATGACGCCCGGGAATCACCTCTTGTTGCAACAACAACGCAAGAAGAGGTCGACCAGCCAGTCGAGCGGCGGCACGGGCGGAGGTGGGAGTGGGAATACGGGGAGCAGGAATAACACCCTAGAATCATCTGGGACGAGCAGCGGGTCTTCGCCGAGACAATCGCCTAGGTCTTCCCCGAAACGTTCGCCTGTTCAGCTCGACCCTGCGACCAGGGAAACCTTGTTGACGACCCAAGCTCACGCTAGGGCGAGGAGCGACAGTGTGAATTCGATCTCCTCGCAGTACGAACAAGGCGGAAGGGGGAGGAGCGATAGTGGAGGATCTGTAGGGCGGGAAGGCATGTCGTCGAGCTTGTTGTCGCGGAGCGGGTTGCTGCTCGATGGAAGGAGGAGGGTTGGAGACGGAGAGGGAGCGGTCAGGGAGAGGGGTGAGACGATGCCCGGGTCTGTTTTGGGACTGATTGTCAAGACGACGTAAGCTAGATGAAAATGGCAATTTGTCTGCTGCTCTTTGCTAATATCTGAGATCTCCGTTTGCAGCTCGCCCAGGATGCGACGCCGCTCCGAGCTACCGACCGACCGTGATCGTCGGATGTCAGTGTCGAGTCGAGGGCTCTCGTCTCCCTTGGCCATGCCCATCAGAGTTTCGGACGCCGTTTCGACGATATCTCCCTTGAATCCGCTGCCTTCGCCATGGGCCAGCTCTCCCGGACCCGAGCTGAGCGTCAGCCCACGGACGAACGGCTCGATCGACTCGACCACGTCGTCAGCTTCGGGGTCGATCAGGTTAACCAGAGTGCCCACTTCAGTCAGGCTGGCCCAGGATCTCTTGAAGACGGCGCCACCGGCGAGCGCGTCCCCGGAGGCTATGACTGGGTTCAACACGCCAGCTATCGATCTGGGCGACCTGCTAGCGTCTACCGAAGCGTTCGCGTCAAAAATACCCGCCACACCCTCGGCGACCAGAAATGTCACCCCTGACGAAGCTTCGTCTACTATCCAAGAGGAACCGGAGCCAGAGACGGTACCACAACCCGAGATCAATACGGCTACCGCTAGCACTCGCAAGAGCTCTGTCGGCGATGATTCTCTGCCACCCAGTCCGACCAGGTTGAAACGCAATGCACCACGGCAACGCCCGTCACTACCCCCGCCGAGCGCGTTTGCCATGCCGACGACTGCCCCAAACGCTCCTCCAAACACGGCCCAACCGCCGAAACGGCCCTCAATGGCACCCGCTGTATCAGGCTTCCCTGGGTTTCGAGAACCGCTGGGGACGAGTACGAGCATGACTTTTCTCAGTCCACCGATTCGGGCAGGCCATCACGCTCGCAATCGATCGACATCGAATGAGACCGCCGTCAAGCCGTCGATGAAATCGAGGATGATGAGCATGGGAGGGATGCCCGTCGAGGCGATGGTCCAGGATACCAGCTCCATGGCCACAAGTACGTCTAGCGATCGTCACACCAGTATATTAGGTAGTAGTATGTTGGGCACCGGGCAGGACGCCGAGGGTGACGCATCGAGGCACGCCAACGTGATCATGCAGAGCCGTCGAGCCAAAATTCAGCGTTGGAGACCGGGAAGTTCGGGAACAGACGGCGGGGTTCCGACCGAGACTCCGACTATCAAACCAGCCTTTGGCAGGGGAATCACGTCGCAGGGGATCACTATGGGAAATCGAGACGAAAGTCGGCAATTCAGGAGGGTCGTCTCCGGACAAGACCATAGCGAACCTACCGTCTTTCCCCTGGAAGTCGATGCCGGAGCCGCAGAGTCGTTGTCGAGGCCCGACGCGCTACACTCCCAGAGCCAGCGACCGATGGTCCCATCCCGTCAGGACAGCTTGGCAGACGAAGGAATTGTGAATGACACGATCAACGAGATCGAATGGGTCGACTGGATGGACGAGTACAAGAGGTACAAGGAGGCCAAAATTCGAGCCGAACAAGCCGAGCAGCCTGAAGGTGAAAGCGTCAAGATTGTTGATAGTGAACAACCCGACGCGAGACCCGCAAACGCATCGAACGTCCATGAGATGCCGCCCATTCAGACATCTGAAGGCGGCTCCCCTTCAAGCGATTCACCGTCGGCCAGTCACAGTAGCGTGCCCCCTCCTGGCTCAGTGTCAGCACGCAGCACTGACCGTCCGACCTACTCGCCGCGGAAGAGCGAAGACGGTCGCAACAACGTTACGGGACGAAACGCCCTGGCTCGTACGCTCAGTCTGAGTTACAGTGCAAAATCATCGACGTCCTCGGCTATCGATACGAAAGCTAGCTCGCATAGGGGAGACTTTGGTATCATTTCGAGACACCCGTCGATGCACTCGGCACGCTCGCTCGTTTTTTCGGGCAAGAAGAAGAAGAACATTGCCGCCAAGATGGAGGGCTGGTGGTCTGCTGTCAAAAGTAACTTTGGAAACCAGCCGGAAGGTTCCTCTTTGTCAAACACTGACAGATACGGCTCGGAGAGTCCCCGGCGACATGCGCCGACTCCTCGAAAACTGCCATCGGCGCCTTCGTCCAGACGAGGGAGCACGGCTCCAGTGGATTCGCCATCCCTGCCCTCGAAACGCGAGTCTGCAGTGCCCAATCAATCCCCAAGTCACCAGCTATTGCGAGCAGCGACGTCTCATACCAGCTTGCAACAACTGCAGCAAGAGGCGATCGCTGCTTCCACATCAGACACCGCGCCGAAACCAGACGGGAAGGATGCATCCTGTTCTGTAGGTGCTACGCAGGACGAGCTCTCCGGTGATCTTCCGGGCGCGTTACCTGTCTCAGTCGCCAGACCCTTGCCGGTCTCGCGGCTGAGTTCTGATCAGCAATCGACCTTTGTAAAAGCTCCAGCGCCTAGCAGCCTCGAGGCACGTCGGCGGCAACCTCCACTATCGCTCAAATTGGAGAACAATGTCTTGATACCGCCACGCCTACACGGTCGTCAGAACAGCAACCTTTCCAGCGGAGCTTCCACCTCGAACTCGTCCGGCCGCGCGGCCTTTGCGTCGCATGGCAGGCAAGAGTCGCACATGTCTTCGGGTGTTTTCAGCACCGGAGTTCACACACCTAGCTTTCACCATTGGGACCAGACACCCTCACCGCTCATGTCACTCAATGCGACGCGCCCCGAGGCGACTTATGCTGAACAAGAGCTTGGATCGAGCATGACGGGTCCGAACAACACCGAGTTCACCCTGGCATCGGTCAGGCGTCATGTCAGACACCGGCTCACTGTAGCGAAAGAGGGATGCGACCGAGAGCTGCGATTCATTGTCTCTGACATCACGGCCTTTGTTGAAGAGCATCTGCACCTTCCACCAGCGGTTGCCGAATCTGACGCGGACGCTGAAGAGGTTCTGCAGGATGTACGCTCATCATCTTACGGCCTTTCGCCGCGCACCGCTTATTCGGATCTGGAGGACGAGGCTGATCTTATGGACCGAGAAATCGGTATGCATTCCCAAGGTGAGCCGTCAGCGATCGCGTTCAACCGTTCACTCTGAAAGCTTACCCATATATGGTTGTCCTTGCAGTCGCTGCGATGATGATTCCGCAATCCGCTCATGCGCGACGTAGCTCGATCTCGCTATCTGCTGCTACGAGTCCGATCAAGCGTAGAGAGATAGCCAATCTGGTCGTAGCGCGTGACGATCCCGCCAGTCCTGGTCGTCGACGTCGATCTTCAGCGTTGTCTGCCAAGAATGCACGATCTGTCGAGTTGGGACAACGTTTAGGAAGGGTATTGGCGACGACGGCAGATCGTTCGGCCGCCAGCTCGCGATCAAACTCGCGATCGAGGTCGCCAATGCCGACCGCTGGATTCTTGTCGGGTCCCTTCGTCAATACCGTGGACGAAGGTACCAATACCAAGCTCGTCGATGCTTTGCAAAAGATCATCGGGATAGCTACAGATGTCACGGAAACGGACGTTGATATCTTGATTGCCAAACCTGCTGCCTGCAGGGACTTTATCAGCCGGGTTTGGGAAGTCGGACAGATCTGGGACAAGGATCCCGAGGCTGATGGAAGGTCGTGGTACATTCGCCTCTTGCTGGCGGTGGCGGGACTGACTCGAGTAGTAGAGTGGTGGGAGGCGGAGAAGGGTTTCTGGAACTTTGATGGCGATGGAGACAACGAGCCACTGACTTTTGTGCTCAAGCCTGCACGAGAGGGAGATACGGTCGGAACACCTCCCGTGCTTGCTAGGTTGACGAGTGAAGCTGGGTCTGGCATGGGCACACCCGGCACAGTTTCCTCGATATCAGATCAGCCGGAAGCGTCGCCAGAGTTGAATCTCGACCAGGTGCTCAGAGACTCGCAAGTGACCGCTCGCCCTAGCGACGTGCCCGTACAGCTGCAAGCTGTCCAAGATCTGCAGCTGCAGGCCGAGCACAACAAGAGCATCAACATCGTCCTGGAGTTGAGCCTTGGAGGAGAGCTGATCGAATGGGTCAATCCAGCATGGCACGAGATCACTGGGTAAGCACCCGAGCGCGCATATAGGGCTTGCCATGAAAGCTAACAAGTGCGGTCTTCTCGATACAGCTCCGATCCAACCGACGCTGAAAACACTCCCATCACAGCCTGGTTGGCCCCCGCTGACGTGGATGTCCTGGCCAACGCTGGACGTCAGCTCGAGGCGGATGATAGTCACACAGCGCAGGCTAGATTCCGTCTGCTTCGACTGATGCAGACCGATGATGAGGATGTCTCGCGCCTTCCCGGCCCGACCTACATCGAGTGCGAAGGCATCGGTATGCTCATGAGGGATCGCGATACCGGCGAGGCGTCACATACAATGTGGGTGATCAAGCCTGTCGTTGTCAGTCAGACCATGGACACGCCAAGCGATGTTGGGGCCCCCACCCCTGCTCTGGATTCGGGTGAAGATTTGCTTTTCCCGACCATCGCGACGATGTCGGTTGCGAACGTCCTCTGCCGAATATGTGAGAGGCAGGTTCCGACCTGGTTCTTCGAGAAGCACAATGAGACTTGCAACGAAGTACATCGATTGGAGGCCGACATATCAGCAGTCAATGAAAAGGTTGCCGAAATGATAAACGTTGTTACCAAGATCTTGAAATCGCTCGAGAATGGAGTGCCTGATCAGCCCGCTCAGTACCAGGGTATGATCATATCGACCCGTACCAAATCGATACCGCATCACGCAATGGGGCCTGTGATGTTGGCCGTGAGGCGCATACAACAGAGTCAACTGGAAAATGCGCACACCGCATTAGGGTTAGCGAACGCTATCTCAACCCCCAGCGTGAAGGACGAAGACTCGTCCAACTCGATCAGCTATCAGCAGCTCCTGTCGCCAGCCTCGGAGGATCGGCTGACATTCATCGGCAGATGGGTGAAGCCGGAGACCGACGATCCGGCGTTACAATTGCTCTTCGTCCACGTGGACGAATTGATTCGCCGTAAGCAGATGACCGTCAACAGGATGCGAAACACAATCATGTACGCAGAACGTGTCCGTCGAGAATGGGAGGACAAGATGGATCGGATGCTGTCCATAGCAGAAGAGGAGGGCAGCGCCAGCGATCATAGTTCGAACGCCGATGGCCAGGAAGCTGCGGCTCCGCAAGACCAGACGCCAGAGAACGCACTCAGCATATCGCCTTCCTCTGCCAAACGACGGGCCATAGATCCAAAAGCTCGTCTTCCGCCCACCACGACGACCATGCAACGCCAGCAAAGTACTCACACAGTAGCAACCATAGACGGTATCGCTGCTGCTGACGATCGTCTGCCTATACCCAGTCCTTCTCCGATTGTCAAGCCCCCGAAGCGAATGTCGAACAGCCGGCGCTCATCCGCGAATCGGACACACATGGAGCCACCCATGTCTCCTCGGCTTCCGTCTGTTGCATCGATGGCCAGGACCGCGCCCACGTCTATCAAGGACTTTGATATCATCAAGCCGATCAGCCGAGGCGCGTTCGGCTCTGTGTATCTTGCGAAAAAGCGGACGACGGGCGATTACTTTGCTATCAAGGCGTTGAAGAAATCGGACATGATAGCCAAAAACCAGATCACCAATGTCAAGGCGGAAAGAACGATCCTCATGAACCAGGCTAGTTCGCCCTACGTGGCCAAGCTCTACTTCTCGTTTCAGAACAAGGACTATCTGTACCTGGTCATGGAGTATCTGAACGGTGGAGACTGCGCCGCCCTGATCAAGACGTTGGGTGGCTTGCCGGAAGAATGGGCTCGAAACTATATCGCCGAAGTCGTGTTGGGTCTGGAATACCTACACGATCGAGGCATCGTGCATCGGTAAGCGGATATGCGACCGACTTCGTGCTAGATAGAGGTGGCTGAGGTATCGCGAGTGTTCCGTAGGGATCTTAAACCGGACAACCTCCTGATCGACTCGAAAGGTCATCTCAAATTGACCGACTTTGGTCTATCTCGTATCGGTCTGCTCAACCGTCAGGTCGGAGGACCTCGTCCTGCGGTCTTGAGAGGAACCAGCCTGAAGAAGATGAGGGGATTGATCAGAACCGGTTCACCACGAGCCGCTGCACTCTTGAGCGAGACGCCCTTGACGACTCCCGACTTTCTCCTGCCTCCTACCTCTTCAAATCTTTCGCAATCCTACTTTTCCAGTCATTTGACGGACGGTGGCTCCGCAGACGAGTCGAGTGGTTCGGAAAGTTTCTCTGGCGCCTATTCTCGAAGCCGAGATCAGGGACGAGCGGCATCCGCCCGAAACAGCGGGACGCACAAGCCTAGTGACGTGCCAAAGTTCGTCGGTACCCCTGATTACCTGTGCCCAGAAAGCAGTGAGTAGGATGTCGCTCTCATTCCTGCCGTCGACTATACTAACCACAATTCTCACAGTCTTGGGTATCGGTTCGGACGCTCCAACGGTCGACTGGGTAAGCACATCCCCAGCGTTGTTTGCGATTACCCTGAACGCTGACCATGTTTCAACACAGTGGGCTGTCGGTGTAGTCCTGTACGAGTTCATCTACGGCTTCCCACCTTTTCATGACGAGACTCCGGAAAAGGTCTTTGACAACATTGTCTCTCGACGGATCAACTGGTTCGAAGACCAGATGGAACTATCTTCGGAAGCGAGAGACTTGATGGAACGCTTGATGTGCACCGATCCGGGACGCCGACTAGGAACGCACGGCGCATGCGAGGTCAAGAGCCACCCATTCTTCACCGGGCTCGACTGGCACACTATCGCTACCGTGGAGGCCAACTTTGTGCCGAATGTAACCGATCCCGAGTCGACTGACTACTTTGACGCGCGAGGCGCAACCTCGGAGGTCTTCTTCGAGGACGATACTCAATCCATTGAAAAGGCCGCATCGAAAGAGATCAGCTCGGAACCCACTGGCAAGCAGGCGAGCGGCCTGGACCAGCCGATCGATATCGACAATTTGGCTCCGCCCGGTGATGCCGGTGAGGACTTTGGCACATTCACTTACAAAAATCTGCCTGTCCTGAAGCAAGCCAACGACGAGGTGATCAAGAAGCTGAGGCGAGAATCCATGATAGCCAGCGAACAATTGGGGCCTCATGATCGTCGACTTGGTGTAGCGTTAGACCGCAAAAGAACCAAGAACCGGGCGGCATCTGTGGCTGAAGTGGGTCTAGGTCTCATTATTGAGTTGAAGAGAAACTTGCTGATTTCGGGCTTGTCCTCCTTGCAGTACTGCCTTCCTCCATCTCCGACGGCTTCGACCAGCTCATCTGCATCTCGAGCAAGCGTCATGCCACAGACGCCGTCATCTTCTGGACAGACGACTCAAGTCCGTCGCGTCTCCGACCAGCACCCTCTGAACAAGGTTCACATCGCTTCCGGGCTGGATTCGGATGACAAGTGTTCAGGTACCGAAAGCGGGACCAGCTTTTCGTACGCCTCGCCTGGGCTCACGGACAAAGCTCGATCTGTATCCGGACAAAGCGGAGACTCGGCTTTGAACCAGAGGCGTACATCCGAGGCCAATAGTCTCACAGGAACTCGGGCTGTCGACGTATTGATCGCCGAAGACAATCCCATCAGTCAGAAAATCTTGGAGACACTCTTGACCAGGATGGGATGTCGCTGTGTCTGCGTGAATGACGGAGCGGAAGCGTTGGCGGCTTCGATGGGTACCATCCGTAAGCTCAAAGTCCGGAATCGAGGTTGAGTGCCCCTCGCTGATTCCCATCGTCCCTCACAGGCTTCGACATTATCATCACCGACCTGGTCATGCCGAACGTGACCGGCGAAGAAGTGGCAAGGATGATACGATCAACCTCGAACCCGAACTTTGACACGCCGAGTGAGACCTGCACACTGTCGTGAAAACGCTCAGCATAGATTAACATGAACTTGACTTCGTCGCCTGCTTGTAGTCATCGCTGCGACGTCGTATGAGCACAAGCAGCTCGCGGCCGTTACGGCGCAGAACACGGCCGATCCTGGCGGAGTCGGGTCCCTGTTCAGCGCGGTCCTGGCCAAGCCAATCACCAAACGCGATTTGACGGACTGTCTAGCAAAACTCGGGTTCAGGTTGGGTCACTCCCAGACCGCAGAAGGGAAAGCGACCAAGCGGCTAGAGGGACCATCGATACGACTTGGAGCGCCGATCGTGATATGATGATCGGCCACCTGGAGAACCCTCCGGTGAAAAGATGGCCAGGCAAAAGGCCTCGCAACCCACCCTTCGTGGCTGCTACGTCTCGCACTGTTTTCATGTCATGCACATTTGTGACTCTTGTTTCTTGCATCTTTTACGACTACGCGACTGTATATCTGTACTCTGACGATATCTTGTATCTCATAATAACGACTGTAGAATAGTATCGCATATTTCGGCTTTGTGATTGACATACTTTGGTTGACAAGGGTAAGGGACTCGCACGACCCGTGCGTTGATGGTTTATTGGATACAAAGGTAGACTCTTCTATGTATTGTTCTTGATGCGTACTTCTCTCCAATCGCTTCTCTTCACGTCACGGCCGAATTAGCTGATTTCTTCCGGTAGAGGTGTTAGTTCGGACTCGGCATCGCTGACATCTTGCATGTCGATTTCCTTCTCGTCTGCTTCGTTGAGAAGCTCGTGGATGTGCGGCTTGACGACCAGCGGCTTGGCGTTTGGATTCCGCGACGGAGCTCTCAGCTGAAGAGGTTGTGGTCGGCGTTTACGCTTCACCTGAGTCCGAAGGCAGGGTGAGTGCGGATCCGTTGTATCTTTGGTGCTCGAGTTGGACTTCGTGGTAGAGAAGGACGTTCCTGGTCTGCGAGGGCTCGAAGAGGAAGATGACGTCGGGGTGGCGCTGGGCCAACGACGAGAGGGGTATCGCTTGTCAGGGACTTTCATGATCATCGCTCGGAGCTCTTCATCGGATGTCGGCTCGCTAGCTCCTAGAAGCTGGTGAATCGTAGGCTTGAAAGTGGGGACCTTCTCGGTACGTGGTCCAGGTTCAGTATCGACCTCCATGCCGCTCCCCGGGAGCGGAGAATCATCTCTTGGGTCATCGCTGGGCCATGAGACCTTCTTTCCCTCAATATTCGCCTGTATAGCGTTCGGTTCGACGATATCCTTGATTTCCAACTCCTCCTGCTCGATCGACTCGGACACCGTCGTACCGACGATCACTTCCGGGATTACGGCCTGTTCAGCTCGAGCAGGCGCGAAAGCGAGCGCATAGGGCTCTGGCCTCATCTGCTCATCCGACGCCTCTCCCTCTTGAACCGGACTTGCCGAAACGGGCCCGAGCATATACGCTGGGGTTGCACCTTGGGCAAAAGTCGGCGAAGGGGTCGGGGAGGGATAGTCGACCAGTCCCATAATGGTAGAAGTACCGATACGCGATTTCGGATCGACATTCGGGTGCGACTTCAATAGCGCCGAGTCGGTTTCAGGTCCTTCCGTCGGCTCAGCCGGGAGCGCTTGTACGACCTCAAGTTGTTCCTTCTTTCCGTCTTGTCCCTCTCTCGTCCCGTCTGCCCCTTCTTCCGCCGCCCGGCCGTTTCTCCCTAGTGAGTCCTCTCCGCCTTGACCTTGCCCAGGGGAAACGCGAACATCCTCCATCTCCATTTCCACCTCCAATCTCATATCCGTTCCTCCTCCCGCCGAGCTCAACCCCATGCCCACCTCTGATTCCCACCCCATCTCCGCATCTTTGCCACCCCCAAGCTGACCCTCGAGCCCAGCCTCGGACCCCTTAGTCGCCTCCGTAGCAGCCGCTTGAAAGTACGCACCGACAGGCGTCGATCCGAACGTCTCCATATCCTTGACGAGCGGGGAGAAGCAGAAATACAGGTCTAATTCGGGTTCCAGTCCGAGTTCCTTTCCTCGTTCCCCAAGCCCGGGGTTGGGATCCAGGGATGGTTGCATATCGACGAAATGGTCATTGGCGTTGAGGTTGTGTTCGTAAACCAGTACGCCCGGATAGTCAGATCCAAGTCCGGACCCATTGTGAATCGAAAGTGGAGTCGAGATACCCTCGACGGGGCTATGAGGTGGTGGTAAAGGAGTGAGAAAAGGATCGTGTAGCTGGGTGACGAGCGGGTCGTGATAAAACAATGGCGATTCGTAAGAGATCCCCGTGGCGGCGTGGAGCAGGATGTCTTGAGGTGTCACCGCTCGAGGGTATGCCATACCCATGCCTGTACCGATACCCATACCCGTATCCGCATTTGAGATTGTAGCGGTGGAAATGCTACTCATAGTGGTAACGGTATTGTTATCAAACGGTTTGAGAGGAAAGTTTGCTGTCCAGATGGTCGCTTCGCCGGCCAAGCTCGGATGAGTAGACTCGGATCGGTAAGAGTTGGATTTGAAGGTAGCTCCAGCGGGTTCAGTGATACTGCATCCGGTGGATTCGGTCGGAGGTGGGACGGCGAAGAGCGGGGTGTACTTGATATCGGGTGAAGAACGGGACGGGGTGTTCAACCGAGAAATCGGATCGTGGTAGCTCGGTCGACCATCTCCATCCCCATCTTTCTGGGTGAGACTTCGATCGGGAGTGCTAACGAGGAACGTCTGCGAGGTGGTCCTAGATCGAGTTCGACGGAGTCGTTTAGGTGGAGCTCGGCGGCGAGAACCGCTGTTCCGAGGGACGAGTGGGTCGAGTGGGGAGCCGGGTTGCTTCATACCGTTCGAAGGACTGGGTGTATAGTCCGATCGGAGGGTACGGGTTGGAGTGAGGGACGAGAGCATCGTTCGAGGTGTCTGGTGTGTAGATCTCAACGATCTCTGGGTGGAAGACTTTCGTGGTGTCTCAAGGGTAAGTCGAGAGCTGTAAAGGTATCGATCGCGTTCAGTCGTGAACGGTAAGAACGTCGATTCTGGGTGTCGCTGACTCACGGCGTCGCCGACGACCTCGTCACCGGTCGATCTCGCATGGGTTTGGGAGTGGGTGGCATATCTTGCAAGGGATGCTTGTCGATGATGAATGGGTGGCGATATGATGGGAGATTTCTAATTGAAATAATTGAAAGAGGTTGCCATGGTGTAGTCGAGAGTCGCTGCGGAATGTGACATCGAGTTCCTATATTCCCCTTCGCAGTCACCACACGGGCAGATGGTCTTATCACCTCGGAAGAGGGTTCCTTTGACTTTTTCGTCGAATCATCGGGTCCGAGCCACAGAAGAAAACATCAACAACGGGCAACAGGGCAACAGGCGCCATGACGGCCCCGGCGATGAAGATCTCCGAACTCGGGTGGATCTCTATCGCGCGAGGAACACGGGGAAAAGCGAGATCTTCATTGTTGATGGCTGAAACGCATCAAAGCGCGTGTGTGTTGGGGTGGATCATTCCCGCTGACCCTCATGCCTCTTTCGTGATCGGCTGTGCTGCCTGTTCCCTCCTTCCCCGAATCTCGGCAGCAACTTCGGGCAAAGCTAGTCGGGCGCACGGGCCGCTTGGAAATTGCAGGGCGAGGGGGTCCTTTCGGCGCGGCACAGCCACTCGCGTTTCATCTTTCTATTCCATCAATCAAATCGCTCGACAACAACAAAACGATCATGGGGACGGGTCGGGAGGACGTGGTGCTGACGACGACATACGAAGTCCACCGTACAGGGCATTTTATTGCTATTATTGAAAGCGCTGCAGTTCATCCAGCATTCAGAGCGCAAGAGCAGGATTTCGCCCTCCGAGACTAGATCACAACAGGGCTCGTACAGTGTGTAGATTACATTTTCCGAATGAAACGAGAATGACACATCTTCATCAAACTACGGATCTGCGTGACATTTCGTAAGAACACAAGAAATCCTATTTAAGACGGACCCCCTTTGAATGAGACTTCCTGATCGGTTTATAGGACGTCCATCAAGACGTATTTGTGTCTTCTCTGGGGCGAGCGAGAACTTGCTTCGAAGCTCTCTGTAAAGTACCTAGAACAGACCGACCAGCCCGATAAAGACGGCAAAGACTCCCATAATACCGATTGAAACGCTCGAGATGACCTTCAATCCAGAGTTGAAGGGAGTGTCGGTAGACGAGGTAGCACCACTCAACGCGGTCGATCCGATGCCAGCGGTGGTTGGGGCGATAGATCGGATCGAAGTAGGAGTGACGGGAGGTTGAGCAGAGGCGGTCGTCATGATAGGCGAGGAGGAGTCTTTGAAATGGAGCAGGGACGAAACACGGGTTAATCGAGATCGAGGGAGTTGGAGGCATACGGCATACGATATACGACGATGCGTACCAGTGCTAGTGATATCCCCGCTTCCATCACCCGACCCCGTCCCCTCGACCGCCCCAACACTATCCGTCATAATCGACACCCCCTTGCTCAGTATCAGTCGGAGAGGCCGTAGATCCCACCGTCCCGGACTCAGACAAAGTCATAGTCATAGTCGTAGATCCGAGTCCTTGTTCCAACGTAGCGCACACTTCAGGCAGCGAACCCAAAGAAGTCGCCAGCGATGGAACCCCGTTGGAGTCCAAGCATGTCGTACAGCCCGATAGGGAGGGGAGGGAGGAGATGCTCGAGCAGAAACAGGTTGCCAGGGTCGTCGGATCGAGACTTTGCTGCTGTTTCGTCGGTAAAGGAACGAAAGATGGACGAAAAGACCCATGTTGAGTGATCAGCATATTGTGCAGTCGACAACGGCCACATGATGGGATAATGGCGCTTTTTGATGCTGGCTTACAGTACAGGAGGTCGCCGCCTGGGTAATAGCAGCACAATCAGAGATACAAGCTTCCGGGATCTGTTCAGAAGCAGAATCCTTCAGAAATCGGCTATGACCGTGTATGATGACCATCTGCTCGCGCAGACTCACGGTCGAAGTATCAGGCAGAGCTCCAAGTTGAGCCTTGACGAAGGTCAGTACGGCGAGGACGGTCATAGTGGTGAAGAAGAAGGGCTTGAATATCATCTTGGTGGTGGTCGGACTAGGTAAATGGGGTCGAGCACGAGTTGAGGTTCGTTGTTGCGACGTGAAGTCGAATAGAAGGATGAGTGGAGTGGAGTGCGGGCGGGCGGTGATGTAAAGGAGGGTGATGAAAGAGCGTCAGGAGAGCGATAGGCGATCGTCAAGATGAAAGGACAGTAGCGTGAAGAGGGAAAGAGGTGCTGGAGCTTCATGTCGAGGAGGTGAACGCAAGTCTGGGTTCACAACCCGGTTCGACCGCTCAGTCACTTATATAGGCAGCGTAGAGCCAGAATGATGGGCAAGTCTGTTTTCGATGGTGGATCTCTGGTCTGCCGTATCTGCTGACCATGTGCTCCCCTGAGCCCCCCGTCAATGCCGGGTTTCGAAGTGAAACATTTCTTTTTGTTGTCTATTTCGGAACCTAACCACGTGCCGAGAGAGTATTTTTGTCACATGATGAAACATCGCAGACGTTGGATGCTCAATTCATTTCAAACGTCAAGGAAGGTATCAGCGAAAACAATCGTGCTCTATATACTACGTAAAAATCAATATCCTAGCAGATCAGAACCGACCAGCGGAAATTCTGCCAAACACAACCTCCTCGCCCTACTCCAGAACCGGGGCTTAGATCAGACCCGCAAGGCCAATGACCATCATCAAACCCGCTCCTCCGAGCAAGTGGCCGGGAGAAGAGATCTTGAATCCAGAGTTGGCCGGGGTGTTGGTGGAAGAAGCGGGGATGGCCCCGGCAGAGGTGGAAGCAGGGGAAGTACCAGCTGCTGCAGATTGAGCGGCCGATCGGACGGAGCTGGCCGTGTTCGAGGCGGACGAACGAGCAGACGCAGAGGTAGAAGCGGCGGGGGCGGTGCTCGAAGAACGTCCTAGAGAGAAGAAGCCACGATACAAGAAAATTTTCACTGCGATCAGCAACTCGATTCCGTATCGAACAAAGGAGGCTGTATCGAGGAATGGGGAAAAAAGGGGCGGGCTTACCGGTGCTGCTTGCGACCCTGGTACTCGAAGCCCCGCTCAAAGTAGGAGCAACGTATCCGTCCTGGCCCGTAGGAGAAGGAAGAGGCTCGGTCGATGAAGGGATTTCCTGCAGGGTCGAATGCAAATTCGACACAACGATTGTGAGGTCGATCGTACGAGTAAATTTAGTGAGCTTAAGGTCTTAAGTTTGGGGCGGGGGAAGGAAGGAGGTAGAGACGAAACTCACGGTGTAGTTTTGGTTGACACACGAATTCTTGAGCTCGTTGTAGTTGGTCAGGGTAGTCGCACCGGTGTTACCGTTTTTCTGCATCACAAACACGGGTAGATCAAGTAGACGTAGGAACAGGGATGAGAACCATCGTGTCAGCATATGCGATCCATTCACGGCCTTGGACGCTAAACTTGGGCTTACAGAGTTGCAGCTCGCGCAGTTGAAGATGTTTTGCAAGTAATCTTCCCCGCACTGACAGTCCACATCCTTGGCATCGCAAGTAGGGAAATCGCACTCGAAAGCACAGCTATCGAGCGCTTTCTCGCAGACTTGAGGTAGCTGGGCGAGCGAATCCGACAAGGATCCGGCCGAGTTGGAGTCGAGGCATTTGGTGCAGGTGTTCAGTGCGGAGGTAGGGGGGATGGAGGAGCAGAGGCAGGCGGCCAGGGAGGTCTCGTTGGTAGATCCGTACTCTCGCTGTAAGACAAAGGCCGATCGGTGGAATCAGTGCAAAGAGAGGCGTATCAGCTCGATGCGTTGCCACACGACTGACGGGGAGAAGAGCAAGAGCGCTTAGTGCTTACAGTGCATAGGGTGGCAGTCTCGATGATATCCGCACATTGAGTAGCACAAGCCGCCGGGACCTACAGACCATCTCGATCAGCCTGCGTCATACGGCGGGACTCTCTGATCGATAGTCAAAGACAAGGAATCGGTGCCTCACCGTGGTAGGGTCGGGAACGGCCGCTTGAGCATGGACACTGGTCAGGGAGACCAAGGCGGTGACGAGAAGGGTCTTGAAGAGCATTTTCGGAAGGAGTGGGACTGATGTATAGGAAGTTCGAATAGATCGTTGGGGCGTCAAAGATCAGGCGAGAAGTTCGCTAGAGGTCAACTCTGGAAGTTACGAGTGTGTAAAGGAGCGTGATGAATGGGCTAGATCGAGTCGGGATTACAGGCTACGCGGGGTAGATGGATAGCGATGGGGGGAAATGTCTGACCGGGTCTCCTATATAAAAAGCCATGGATGGCGATTGTGTATGGAGGCTGCCTATTGTACTCTGGCTCTGGTACTCTACGTCCTCCCTCCTCCACCTCTTTTTTTCTCCTTTCGTTCATGCAACCGGCGCCAAGTGGTGGCTATTGTGAATGGCAAGTGATGGTGGCTGAGTTACGTGCGCGATAAGGCTCGACCACGCGTCCTCGGTCTCAGAACCGAAACCTTGTTTGTCCGGAATCACAATTACGATTCAACGACCCTCGAATTCGCCGCATGCGGTCAAGGTCACGTGATACATCATCGTAACTTCTGGGTAGTAAGCGGAGCAGACTTCCTGTGACGTGGGGCAATGCCATATCTCATGTATCTCATGTCTCGTATACCGGTCTGTTATACGCTATGACGGCAACGCGAGGTGATTCCCACTGCCTTCTGGAAGGCTGGACAATGGCCAAACCAGCCACTTTGTTGGTGATGTCTGAATAGACAGATTCTCAAGGGTCACTTTCTATAATGTATCCTATCCGGGATCCGGGATACACGAAGACCCCTCACTCGGGTTGAAGTTGTCTGCAACCGCAAGTGCACCTAGCAGGGATACCGCACATGTCCGACCTGATCGATCGAAGTAAAGGGGACGAAAAGCCGCATCCCTGTGTGCCTGTTACTGATTCTGCCTTCGTCCATCCAGTATAAGGACACAAACAATAATTCGCCACGAGCAGCATATATCAAGAGGTAATAGTATATAGTGTATAGCGGATAAAGTCTTATTCGATAAGTAACAAGAAGAAAATTTCGTTTCATAAATGGCAATCCTGCGACTCCTCCTTGTCCTCTTGGCTTTCTCTCTTTCTTCGCTCGTTCTGCCTTCTCAACTACGCGCTCATCCGGGTCATCGAGGTGATGAGAACGAAGACGTCTAGTATCCGCTGTCCTTGAGGTATTTTGCCAGCTTGGCGAGGACGACGTTGGCATCACCGACAATGACAGGAGGGTCGTACTACGAGACACATCGAGACGAAAGTAGGATGGATATCAGTCTTCCTTGACAAGAGTTTCTCGTCGTGTGACAAGAGCCGTGAAGGGGCGCTTGCTTACCTCGGCGACGAGGATGGCCTGCTTGGTCTTCATGATGATACATCCCTTTTCCTAAATCCGCAAAACCCGAAAGTGAGATATAAGCTCAGTTCAAAATGCTCAAGTCGTTCTTCATGTAATTAAGGAAGAGGAAGGAGGAAGAGGAAAAACAACTCTGGACTTACGCCTTTTCGACCGAGCAGCTCTTCATCGGTCGCTTGCAGACACATGTACTTGATCCCGGCGAGGGTGATACCGTGAGCTGATCACCAGGGTGGGTCGAGTGAAGTATTTTGACGGCAGAGACGGGGTGTTGGAGCGGTTCGCGAGTTTTTTTACAAGGTTGGAGGGGGTTGAAATAGATAATCGATAGATAGTCGAACCGGATGCGAAATGCCCCATGAGGAACGGAACGAACGAAGGGTTGTTGACAAGGCGAAGCACGATAGGTAGTGATCCGACGGGGCGACGTGACGTTGGTCGTTGACACAACGAAAGGCGAAGATCAGATGAATAGGATGGATCAGCTACTGCCTTGTGTGACTGCAAGCCCCACCGGGAAGAGAGTCCCGAGAGCTATCGCAGCCTCTCTAATCCCGACCGCAACAACCCCGTAAGACTCACCCTGAGCCTCTCCTGGTGTGTTGAAAGCGGTCTTCACTAGGAAATCCTGCTCAGGCTTTGAGAGCTGTCAGATTGAAGCGGCGAGAAGTTGGTACGAAAGCGACATTCCGACGACAACGAGGAGGGTTATCGCAAAACAGGTAGACGCGGATGATCAGCTAACAGCTATGAATCCAGCTGGTACCCGCACAGCGATGCTGATCCGGGTAAACGCAAAGGGACTCACGGTGTACCCGGCAGAGGTAGCCCAGACACCTCCTTTCTGACCGAGGATGGCTCCTCGAGCAATCTGGCCCGAACCCAACATACTAGAGTCGACGTAAGCTAATGCAAGGAGGAGGAGGGTCAGTACGCAGGGAGCTCGTTCGCCACACCGCCAGGGTCGGGGCGGCGAGCTGCAAGCTGTACTGACCTTGCCAAGACATTGTTAATGATAATATATACGTTCGTTTCTAAATATGATCTTGCGGAGTATGGGCAGGTTCATAGAGGAGGTTACAAACTATCGATTGACCTTGATCAAAAGACTTGGAGACTGCTCAGCTCGAGCAAGGACGTCTGCCGCGTCATAGGATCTCCCCCCGGCGGACCGAGCGAGCGGGATTCCCCAAGAACTGGTACTTTTTTTTATTTCGTCCCGACCAGCGTCCCCCGAATTGATCAAGCTTCACGTGTTTCTCACACTGTTTCAGATCAAAGGTCTCGCCTTGGGCTGTCACGACGCAAATGGACCTCGTTACCGGCCAATGCAGCCAGATCCTTCTGTGGCCTCTCAATGAATTCCTTTACCGGGTATGCATCAATCCCCTAAGAAATGTACGGACCATGCGGATCGGTCCGATATATCGATCGTCATAACCCCGTGTCATCATCAAGGGAAGAAAACCCCGGCGATAAAATATATACAAGCTGCATCCCACCATGAAGCCCTCTTCCCCTTCTGTATCTCTATATATGAGCAATCGAGTAGAAGGTGTTCCTTCCCGGGATTAAGCGGTCACAGCGACCTCCTTGACGGCATCAACAACGGCCGAGTCCGACTTGTTGACCATCAAGCTACTCCTGCCTCCCTTGTTACCGGCCTTGGAGCCCGCTCGGCACTCGTCGACAAAGTCGGTAAACATCTGCGAGGTCGAACAAAGAGGTCGAGAACGGAAAGTGGTTTCAAAGCGATAATTTCGCGTCAGCAATCGTGCACGGTCAAGAGAAGGTTGGGACAGGACTGACCTCGATGGTATCCAAAGGACCTCCAGCAGACTCGGGATGGAACTGAACACCCCAGATTCGTTTACCCGATTCGGGCGTCGAGATGATTCCCTCGACCGAAGAGTCTGTCGATTTGCAGTGGCGTAACGCCATATCGATCGTGATCAGCTTCAACGGCGTGGGACGAACAGGCAAGTCCGGGATGCTTACCGTTACAGTTGATAAAGAAGGGAGCCCATCCCTCGGGGAAGTTTTCGGTCAACTTGAGCGCGTACTGGTGGTTTTGCGACTAAAAAATTCACACGCAACAATCGATACGACATAAGCAATCCGATCTGTCGGCACACGAAACAAAAACGGTCCGAGTCCTCCAATTGTACTTACCGTAACGTAAACCCTTCCCGCCTTGATGCTTCCCGAATTGGCGAGGGCGAGCACGGGCTGATTATGTCCCCTGTTCCCAAACGTCATCCTGTACGCTTCCAAACCCGCAGCGAGCCCCAAGATCTGATGACCCATACAGATCCCAAAGATCGGCTTGTTCCACTCGTCGATGGTCTTCCTGACCCTCATCGCCGTGTCCATGATGGATTTAGGGTCTCCAGGGCCGTTGGAGAGGAAGAGCCCGTCGTACTGGTCCCGGACGGTGTTAAAGTCAAAGTCCCAGGGGAGGATGGTGACACGGGCGTTACGCCTGACGAGGGAACGGACGATGTTGGCCTTGGCGCCAAAGTCGAGGAGGGCGATGTTAACGTCCCCATCCGGGTTGAGGGTGTAGACTTCTTTGGTGGAAGCCTGGGCGATGAGGTTGTCCTTGGAAGGGTCCCAGTACTCGTGGTCAGCCGGGCGGGGTTGAGCGACGTCTTCCGCGCCGATGGCTAGACGTCCGAGCGTAGTCCCCTGATCACGGAGCAGAGTCGTGATCGCCCTGGTGTCAACTCCAGAAATACCGGGTACGTTGTACCTGGCACACCACTCGTGCAGCCCCTCGATGGCGGCGTGATGCGAGTACTTGGTCGCCACGTCCGAGACGACGACACCGGCACATTGAATACCCGTAGATTCGAGGATAGGAATCCCCGGTTCGTTGGTCCTAGCGAGGTTCTTGGGTACACCATAGTTGCCGATCATGGGCGAGGTGAAGACGAGGATCTGACCGAGGTACGACGGGTCGGTCATCGATTCCGTGTCTGTCCGCCGGGTCGTCCGAGAAAAAGGCAAAATCGCAAACCACAAGGTGAGGACATGAGAAACACGAACGAACCGAACGAGGTCCAAACAAGGCAGCCTACTTACAGCTGGTGATACTGGTACTAAAGACCGTCTCCCCGAAAACGCTCCTCTTGGCCCCAAACGCCTGCCCCTCGTACGTCTGTCCCGACTTCAAGTGCAACGCCGCCGGATCATGAGGAGGCAATACAGGGGTGTAGAGCGCTTTAGGGGTAGACGGAGTGGCGAGCGTTCGGGTCAGGTTGAGCGTGTTGGTGGGATTGAAAGGAGATGACGAGTTCCTGGCTCGGGCGAGGGTCTTGGAAAGGAGGGGGAGAATTCGGGTCATGTTGATGAGATTATTTTTGGGGGTAGAGCGAAGGCTCTATGTTTTCCGTCAAGGTAGGTGGTAAGAGGGCTTGTGCGTGTGCTGTTGCTTCAAGGTCGAGGTAGGACGTTGACGCTGGGAGGTATGGTGTTGAGAGGAGTAGCTTCGTGAAAGGAACGATGAATCGACCTGACAATCTTTCGTGAGGTTCGAGTCAAGAGGTTATTTCCTCGCTCGTTATCTCGCCCGAACGACCAGCGCGTGAACAAGTTTTAAGGAAGTAAGCGCGGAACCAATAAACGCATCAGGTTGGGGAGGGGGGAGATGCCGGCATTTTTCATTTAGCTATTAGCGACAGGGGCGACGGGAAAGATAACAAACAGGGCAGAGAGCAAAGAGGCGCAAAAGGTATATCGAGTCAGACGTAAGTGCGTAATGTGAAACGAGTACAAGAATAGAGGTCGGGCGTCGTGAGTGCGATCACCGGTGCTAAGCGCTACCGTCCTGCGGCCAGATCGAGAGCAACGCAAAAGGGCTACGAGCCGACCACCTCATTCCTCAGCCCAGACGCGCTGTAAACAAGACCGACCAGGCCGACATCAGCCCGAATCCTTACCACGGCATGCACATGTGACTTCAATGATCGTCGCGACTCACCTCCTCCCTAGCCCAAGTCCCAACCCGAGACCCAATCCCAACCCCCTCCCAGACCTCCTGACCGTCTCCTCCCCGCTCCTATCCTCAGACCCAGACCCAGCCGGCGAATCGATCAAGCTCTTCCCCCGAGTCTGATCCCGAGTCCCGCGTCGTCGAGTCGGGGTCGACATGCCCATCGGGGTTGGGGTCGATATCGCACTCCCCGTCGGGGTCAAGGTAGAGCTAGAGTTCGAGTGCGAGGTGGCGAAAGGCGTCGAAACGCCAGTAGTCATCGGGGTGTTCATGAACGATCCCAGCTCGTTCTTCTTGAACCCTCCAGGGTTTCCGTTACTGCTTTTCCTCCTCTTGCTCCCACTGCTACTCGCAGAGGTGATAGCCGGAGCGGGCGTACCAGCGGGCGTGGCAAACGACTCCAGCTCGTCTCCGGTCTCGTCGTCCGTCATACCCGCCTGAGAACGAGACGTGATATTCGCAGGTCGAGCTGAAGTCTGTGCAGGGGTATCGACGGGGAAAAGATCGGCTTCGACCTCGGATTCGTCTTCTTCCTCCGTATCCGACGAAGCCGGGCCTATGCAAGGGGGAAGGAAAGAAGGAAGGTGGGACATCATGGGTCATGATAACAGTTTGTCAGCCTTCTTCTGCTCAACTGCCATAATGTGATGTATAACCCGCCATCGACGGAGTGTAACGGGTAAAGGGGAAAAGAGACTTACGAGCCGGTAAAGGTTGAGACGCACTCAAAGTCGTACCCTCATTCCCATCATGCCCAAATCTCCTGTTACTATCCAACTGTCCCGGAGCCGAGGCCGAAGCGACAGGCGAATCGAAATCAGAGGGAGGCGAGGTGGATGCGCGTTTACGTTTCTTCGAAGTAGAAGAAGATTTCTTCTTCGACGTCGGGGTGGTCGTCTTCGTCACAGGAGTGTTCGTGGTCGAGTTCGATGCACTTTGTGCGGTGGACTTTGAATTCGATGTTGTATTCTTGGCGGGTGTGGCCAAAAGGATCTGAGACTTCTTACTCTCCGAGTCTTGAGACTGCGACTGGGCTTGGGGCCGGCTCTGAGCTAAGAGTTCCTTCCGGTACTGAGCGGCCGAGCCTATACATTCTATCGGTTCCGGCTGGAGCCGCGATATGGATCTAGATTTAGATCTAGGTCTGTTCGGTCCGTCCAACTCTTTCGCCCACGCGCAGAGGACCCTAGCTTCCAGCTCCTCCGTAGTCAACCCTTCCAGATCCTCTTCATCACTCTCCTCGCTTTCCTCATCTTCCTCACTTTCCTCCTCCTCCTCCTTCAGATTTTGCTTTCGTTGACGCTGTCGTTTCTGACCCCCAACTCGCAAGTTTGTGGGGACCAAGCTGATCTGAGACGGTCGGAGAGGTTTTAAAGGCGTTTGGGAGCGGGCGTAGGAGCGGGAGGAGACGAGGTTTTGGGCGTGTCGAAAGATCTCGATGTCCGGCATGGTTTTTGAGGTGGACATGGTGATTAATGGCAATGGTGCTAAAGTATTTTACTGTGGCGATGCTGGTGTTGTGAAGATATGGACCGGGTTGATGTCGTTGACTTGAGTTTGAGCTGAAAGGAATGTGTGATGAGATCGATGAGATCCGGGCTGCATGTTGTTGATGTTTTGTTGATGTTGCGTGACGATCTATTAGCACGGCCCCCCCCCCAAGGGTCAACTAGGAGTCTCGGGTCTAATTGTGAGATCGGATGAGCTGATTAGATAGTCGATCACCCTCTTCATGTCATCCCTTCCTTACTTATACCGTTCATCGACATACCATACATCAACTACCCTACTCCAACCTCGTCAGCGAGATTGCTAGGGATCACTCGATCCTAATCCTACCATGGCCAATCCAAACGGCGGACCACCACCACCACCATCGCAACCTTCTCACCATTATTACTCTCAACCTCCACCTTCGAACCACAACTTCGATCCCAACTTTCTTCCGACCACCCCGACCGGCACATTGCCGCATCAACAAGCACCCATGATGCACAACAACAGCAACAACTCTCAATCAGGACCAGGAACTGCAGCTGATGCTGGTGTGAGGAACAATGCGGCTCATCCGGACATCCTTGACTTGTTGGCGACTTACCCGTTCATACAGTACACCCCAAGTTCTCGAGGTGAGCCATCGAAGACAACCCCACCGACTTTATTCTAGTTCAGAAAAGCTTCAACCCGGGTCGAAGTATTGGCTAACTCGAGTCTTCTTCTGCCCTCTCTTCTGCTCACACTTGCACCTTTCCGACAATCGCGCTCTAGTTGCCAGACACCTAGAAGGTCTCAACCTGACCCAATCCTCATCGACGCTCTCGGACCCATCCACGCTCTACCCTCAATATGCAGGGACATTCGACCAGCTCGGTCGGGCTATGGGCGTGAATACGATCGCCGCGCCTCGAGGATCGTATGAGCATGTTCCGCAGGCTCAGTATCAACCTCAGCCTCAACCTCAACCTCAACCTCAATTCCCTGGGCAGAATCAAGCACAGGCTTATGACCAGACGCTGCCTCAACAAACGCACTCGACGCAGTCACAGCCGCAGTACACAGACCGACGAGTGTACGACCTGAACAGACAGACTGCTCTGGGTTATATGGATAGATGGGGCGGACATGTAGGACAGAACAGGGGGTCGGCTCAGCACGGAACTGGGAGTCATCAACAGGGATATCACCACAATCAGAATCAGAACGGTCACCAGACTCAATACCAGACTGGGAATGGGATGAGCGCGAGTCCGGGTGCGAGAGTCCCAGGGACGGGGATGGGAGCGGGAAGCTGGATCGGAGGGGTTAGGGAGACGATCGACTTGAGCGGCGGTGGAGGTGGAAGGTGAGTCGATAGTCCGGTAACATTTGCGAGGTAGTCAAAAAATATAGCTAACGTCGATATCTTGCGGGATGGAACAGGTACCCCGGTCAAAATCTCGATGCCAGCTCGGTCTCGAACGGCGCAGCGATGATCAACCCGTTCACCGAGTTTTCGCAGAGGGTCGTCCCGCCACTCCCACACCAACCGACGGGGTATGGGTTGTCAGCTGATCAAGGGTATCAGCAGCATCATCCGAGTTTTTCATCCTCGCCCCTAACTTCTCAACATGCCCGACAAGTCTCCGGATCTGTTTCATCTTCTTCGCCCCGACCGAACCCACCTCAACGACAAGCGAATACGTATACGGTCGACCAGTCCGGTCCGTTCTTGGAGGATTACCTAGCTCAGATCGATTCCAAAAGAAAGGCCGAATTGGAGCAAGAACGAAATCGATTGCTCGTGCTGGAACAACAGGAGAAGCGGGAGAAGGAAAGGAGGAAGGTCGAGCAGAAACCTTCTGCTTCGGTCTCGGTCTCCCCGCAAAAGAGGCGGATGGGGGAGGATAAGGGAAAGATGCAGATCCAGGCGCAAGCGAAAGTGGAGGGGAAGAAGCCGAAAACGATCCCGTCGCAATTCCAACAGCCGGAAGGGATCAGGTTGACCCCCGTCGTCGAGATCCCGATGAGAAAACCGATCAAGATGAGTGGGTATCGTAGTCCGGACGAAGGGTCCGAAGACGACGAAGACGATGACGAAGAGGAGGACGAGCTGGACGATTATGGCGATGGGGATTACGGTGGGGATTACGATATGGACCGGTCAACGAGGAGGAGACGGTTGTCCGATAGCGGGATGGCTATGATGACCCCCGGAACGTACGGCAAGACCCAGGGGACGCCCAGTCGACGTACGGGGTTCACGAGCGCGGCGAGGAGCGTCAAGAAGGATAACCACAAGGTGCTCTATCGGTTCGTCGAGGACATTTTCGAGGCGGAGGATGCTTTCCCTGCAAACCTGAGCGAGGAGGATCTGAAAGGGAGCGCGGATGGGCCTTTTGACCGGTTGACCAGGCGGGCTAGGCAGGATGACAAGGCGTTGTTGAGTCGCGGGACGGTGGAAAGGTTGAGCGTATTGTTCAAGCAGTGTACGAGGACGGCGAGGGATCGGAGTAAACGCGGTCTGATTAGGACGTCAGGCGGGGACGATGGAGACGTATCGGAGAACCTGTCCAAATGGGAGACGGAGGAACTGGCCAGGTTGATCAAGGTGCTCGAACGGAGTATGGTCGAGGTCGAGGAAGACATTTCCATCTTCCCTCACGACGGGCATGGTGCCCGGACTCGAGAGGCCCTGGAAGAGGTCGTCAACGGAAAGGGCAAGCCGGCCAAGAAGAAGAGAAGACCTGCGAAGGTCGAGGACGATGAGGCCGTTGTCGCTATGGACGAGGAGAAGGCGCGGAAAGCGGTGCAGGGATTGAGTGTGCTTGTCGATGGGTTGACAGCAGCGGAATGCGTTTTGAGCTTGTTGACGGCGGACGACCTGGCCAAGCCGGTGAGACCTGATCTCCTCGAATATGATTTCAGCAGTCGGTTCTGACGGTCTGCCTCTTCGCTCGATCAGCTCTACTCCGAGGATGTGATTCGCGAGGCGGTTGCGTGTGCTTCAACAGCAGTCGGCGATGTCATCCTGCCGTTCTTGGAAGCCTTGTCGGGGACATCAAGTGAGTGAAAGTCATATCTGAGGGGACATCACTTTCTAACAGTGCGAGCTCTTCACAGGTATCTCATCTTCGGTACTCGCGCATATCACATCACAAACGGATGCCCCAGCCAAGCAGATTCGGCAGACCTTATCCCTGCTCTCTAGATCGGCCTCGAGGTTCCTGCACCGCGTAACCCGCTTGATCGCCCACGAAGGTCTCGCTCTTCCAGAATCGCTGGTCTACACCATCACCCAGCTTGCCGTTCAACTCATCTTCGTCGTCGACCCTATCGTCGAAAGCAAGACAGGGGCGACTGCTCGCGCGACAACGATATGGAAAGAGGCCATGGAAGGACAGGCTGGGACCAAGGCACTTAAGGCTGAGGCAATGGATGTGTTGAAGACGGTAAGTGCAGCTCGTTTGGTAGCTGGGCATCATCAATTTATGCTGTCCCTTTCACGCCCTAGCTTTACACTCGTCAAGGAACCGTCGAGCGGGAAGAAATCCTCAAAGAAGTGCTCGGCTCTACCGCCAAAGTGGCTGATCTCAAAAAGAGTCAAACTGGATACAGGACAAGAAAGGGAAAGACGATACACTTCGTGTCGGCTCTCCTCTTGGAGTTGATGCAGGACTGTGCTCATGGAGTACGAGGCATGTTGGAGGCGTCCGATGTAGCAGAGATGATGGAGACGGACGGTGGCGAGACCGACGCCAAGCCTACTTCAAAATTAGTCAGTCCACAGGAACACTTCGCTTCCGAACCGCACTGATCGTTCGTTCTCATAACGCGCAGAACATTACAGCGTTGGCAGCATACATGGACGAGATGGATCGGTCGGCACATTTCGTCTTGCAATACATGCTGTCCAAGTAAGAATTTCGCTTAGAACGGTCGTATATAACTCGAGCTGAAATTATTACCTAATACCAGGCTCTCTGGCGCCAACGCCAGCAAGCAAAAGTCATCGCTCGAAGTCAACCACAAGGTCATCCTTGAGACCTTTTTAGAGGACCAGGTCGAGGTCCTCTACATGCCTGAATTCCCTGCGGCGGCCATCAGCTTGGGCATCACTGCACGCACACTCGTGGGTACCACGGGCGGTGTGTTAGGGGACAGTTCACGGAGCTGATCATCTGTTCTCGTTAGATCTCGATCCTGGAGGAAAACAAGCCGACCGCCGAAAATGCCACCATTCGAGGTATCGCGATTGATCACCTCGGGGTGCTTGTCAGCGCGTTGCGTCAGTATGAAATGAACAACACGGGTGGTGAAGCGCCCATGAATTTGAGAAAGGTCGGTTCTTAGTTCAGTTCTCCGACTCGACGTGAATCTGATAAACCTAGAGGCAGATCGTACAAACGGGCAAACAAGCTGCATGGGTATCCTTGCGAGACGCAAACCACGTTCTTCTGCAGACTTTGCAAAAGAACGCGTCGCAAAATGGACTATATAGTGTGAGTTTGCTACCTGGATCTCGTGGGAGACTCGGCCTGACCTGTGAAGTTCTGCCGCCAGAGTGCTGCCGACGTCATGACCGCAAAATGGTTACTCGAACTGCACCGAGCCCTTCGCCAGGAGTCACCAGAAGATGGCGATGACGGAGCGGCCGACACGGAAATGGATCAGGATCCGTCACCTATCATGCGGGAAATCCAGAACGACCTAGTCCGGACAAGTCGCAAGGTCGACGATGAGAGCGTGTTCGCGCATGCGTAAGTGTCACGTTATCGTCCCGCTGTTCAAATGGATTGTGCTGACCAGCCCGGTGGTGTTGTGATCTTGTAGCAAAGACGATCTGCTTGCACAGGCTGACCGTCCTTGCATTATCGTCGAGATGGCACGACCCTTGCAATCCGCTCTTGGACTGATCTTCAAGGCGATCCTCGGATGTATGGGCGCACCGGTAGTCGCTCACCGCACGAAAGCCATCAAAGCGCTCGGGGCTGCGATCGCTGTCGACCCGGCTTATCTGAGCCGATCGGATATTCGTGCATCGATACATGAAAGAATTTCGGACAGTTCTCCGGCGGTTCGAGACGCCGCCATCGATCTCGTGGGCAAGTACATCCCTGACCAACCAGAGGTAGCCCTTCAGTACTACCCAAGTATCAGCAGTAGGATTGCAGTAAGCTACAATATCACTTGTCTTTACGGCGAAAACCATCGCTGACTCTCAGTATGCTATATCTTGATAGGACACTGGTCCAGCGGTCCGCAAGCGAGTCATCAAGCTGTTCAAGGTGATTTATGACCTCGTCTCCAAGCGCAATACGCGGATCGAGATTTGCTGCAAGCTTGTAGGCCTGGTGGATGACGAGGAAGATGCTGTCAAGGTGTGTCTCGAGCGGTTCTGTGTGTACAGCTGGATTTTGAACCAATGTCTTGAACATCCCCCCAGGATCTTGCGCTGGCGACTCTCCGTGAGATTTGGTTTCCACAGGAACCGATACCAGGATCCCGCCAGACAAGACGTAGTGCGACACCGGCCTCTACAACGAGCAGCCGCGATTCCGGAGAAATGCTAGTTCATCCAATCGTCGATGTAGTCTCACGGTACAGCAACGATATCGTCCCAGTCGAGCTGGCCATCAAGGAGGTGAGGTCTCGAACAAAGCGGGACCTTTTCACCATGACTGACCCGTTCCGTCCCCTTCGCTGGAATAGATCAGCAAAACACAATCGAAAGACCTCGGTCAAGAGTACAGTCAACTGATCGGAGCAATGCTCGATCGTTTGATGTCAGATGACAACCGGAGTCCAGCTGTAAGATTATGATTGCGTACAGGTTGAGGTTTGTTACTGAAAACAATGATCCTTTAGGAGACCCTGCCCCTTGTCCGGTCGATTCACCTCCTCAGCAGTGCGAAACCGCAGTCCATGGATTTGCAAAGGGCCACATCGCTCCTCCCGTACCTCAGACAGGCAACTACGGTAAGTCCTATGCGAGACCCGCGAGACCTTGACTGCGCTGATACGACGAGAAGTATAGCCGGATGAGGTGGTACTATGCGAAACGTTGATGAGGATATTCCGGCTCTCAATCCCTTTCCTGCCGAAAACGGCCTCGAACTTTGCCGTCGAACTTTGCAAAATCCTCCTGCCCATGATTGCAAAACCCTCGGGCAAGCTCAGCGTAAGCAGATGCTAATCTCTGGTGTCATATAAGTGCTGACCCGAGGACCAATCGCTCGTAGACTCTTGAGGAAGCGGTGATGTGTTATTGTGCAACCGTGACGCACTTGACGCAGGAATACGGAAGAATCCTTACCATCCTCAGGTCATGCATTGGCAAGATAAGAAACGAGACAGCCAAGGCGCAAAAGACCAAGGACAAGAAGCCGCTCGATCAAAAGACCCTTCCATTCATTGCTGCTATTGCCACTCTGCTCGTCGCAAAGAGCGATTTGGACGACATCCGTACAAAGCGAGATGGTAAGCGGAAAGCTGGTACCAGCCCTTTGTCAGATCTGTGTGATGGTTTGGCTTACAGAACGTCTTGCAGAGGTTGATGACTTTGTGTACGAGATCGCTGGGGTGAGTGTCCGCTCCTCGCTTCCCTCCCGCCCTGAAGCCACGACGTGACCCTGATCTGACCTGACTTGGCGCTAGGACTCCATGGCAAAATTCATGTTCGAGACACTGCTCGGCTTGTGGAACTTGGAACTCGATCAAACGATGCGACATGCTGTTATTCAATGTTTCGGTGAGCTGCCGCTGCTCACGACGAGCGCTCTCTAAAAGCTGACAAGGCTCTTCCTACTGTATCTAGGACACTTGTATCAAGCCTTCCCGACGCTGATGACGGACAAGCGATCCATCGAGATCATGGATAGCGTCTTGACGGGCGAATCGACGAATCAACAGACAACCCTCAAGATGTTGACCTTGATTCATGAGACTTTGGTCACACTGGTCGACAGCAGCTCTAAAGACTCCGGCAAGAAGACTACTGCGGATGGGCCAGGTGCGCAGCAAGTAACAGGGCAAATGCATGCACCGAGACTTGACCTTGATCTCGATAACAGCGCCTGTCGACATGGACCAATTGATCGGCGATACCGCCGGGTTTGCCGAGTCTGGGTCAGTCTCTCGCGAAAGCTGCACGGATTCATGGCGACCTGACTTCCTTTGCTATCAACAGAGTCGGATCAGCTATCATTCAGCGATATATCGACAAGATACTTCACGCTGCCTTGTCGCGTTATGACGATATACAAAAAGTCGCGATCGACATCCTCTCGCTGACGATTCATCAGGGTTTAGCCCACCCCATTCAAGTAAGCTCGGTCGTCGGAAACCCTTCAGGGACGTACGCTGACACGCTGCCAAAATTGCCCTAGTCATTCCCCATCATTGTCACTCTCGAGACGAGCCAATTCCCTCACGTGTCAGAGAAAGCCTTTGCGCTGCACTCTCATCTGCAAGCGAAACACGCCTCGATCATCAATTCGAGATACTTTGAAAGCGCCAAGGTGGTGTTCGACTACCGAAAGACCATCGAAAAGGATGTACTCGGTAAGTATCTCCTGTCCGGCCGACTCTCGACACGGGCTGAAGATGATGCTTCACTTGGATACTTTAGGCTATAGCAATCCCATTGCTCCGGTCGCTCTACTGGACCGGTGGTATAGTCTGATCAGGGATAAGCGGCCGGTCCGGCAGGATTTCCTCAAGGCGATGTGCAAGGCGTTTTCGTTCGAGGCGACCCCTCCGGCTGTGACCTGGGTAAGCCGCGAGATTGCCTTTATACACTTTTACTCACGCTGATGCCGGAGATGTCGTTCGTGATGTCTGCAGGACGACGTTCTTCTCGCCCGCTTCATGGCCGAGAACCTATCGCTGATCGAGTTCAAGGTTCAGGAAGAGGTCTTGCAGATCATCGCCGCCATGACCGCGCTATTGGCCGGTCTAGGGATGCAGGTGGCGGAAATATCGAACTCGGTCAAGATCGCCGGACAACCGCACGATTCGCTGAAGTATGCCAAGTTGGTGAAGGATACTGAGAATGACGATGATATGGAACAGGACGACAGTCAGGTGAGCATGGGTGGAAAGTCTTTAGTATCACAGCGATGAGCTCATATACCTAATCATCTGCGAGGTAGGCGAGCGCGATTGATTACAATGTCGAGGCGTTGATCAATGCAACCGCCATGGTCGGGATCATCATCTCGCTCAAGACCCGGCTCAAGAAGACTTATGGGCTGACCGAGGAGTACGTCCTGATTCTTTGCCTCGATTGACCCTGTTGTCGGACGCGGACTTATCTACGTTTCGCCCCTTGTGTCATCTGGGCGCGTAAAACAGCAAGGTGACCAAATTTGTTCCTGGAAAGAAGACGGCAGCGTCTGATCGAGCTACGACCAGGAGGATCACGGACGGGTCGGGAGGGTTACCCGATTGGAGTATCCTGCCGGGAGTCAAGAAGAGGGTGGAGACGGTCGCTGAGTTCCAGGACCAAGCTATTGCCGTGAGTCCAGTGGCCTGCCATGTATGTGGCCCAGTCGTCAAACGTTTGAGGCTCACCCATCGCCGATCGTTGCCTTGGACCGTAGTTTACAAGGCTCGTCGAGGAGGACGGTACGATGCGCCCTGAATATAGTGGCGAGGAGGACGAGGACGAGGATTAGGCGGTAATGACCATCTGACCCCGCATACCTACACACACACACAGTCGAATTAGGATGCAACAAACGACGCACGGATAGCCACGAGAAGGACACGAGGACGATGCGGGTAACGGCACGGCACGGTAACGCTAGATGCTTTCAGGATATGGGATCGAGAATACCGGGGTCGCGGTCATCGGCAATTGCGCAAAGGCATACTGGAACTGTGTACACGTAAACGACGGAAAATGGAACTATGTGGTTGTAACTTGGCCTATGCGCATAGTCTCTAGGGTTTGTCACAAGAATGAAATTGCATGTCATGTATGCGAGTGCTATCGTTATCGAAACGCATCGCGAACGATCAGGATGACAACGTTGCCACTCATACGAGACCGGTATTACCAGGTGTGTGAGCCCACGTTCGGCCACATACATCATGAAAGCGTTCCTACTACGTGATTCTTCTGCCTTGGCCTTCGCGCTATTCCGCCCCCTGATGCATTTCTGGCGGAATGGCGATTGGATGCGGAAGACAAAAGCTAGGCGTAAGCCAGATAGTAGGGAAATCGACGGCGACATGTTCTTACTGCATAAGTATATATGCTAGTGAAAACCCCGTTCAATATCCAAGATACAATGGTTCAATGGTAGAATAACCGCCTTCCATGTTTTACCTTGGTCAGCGGTTGACCGGTGTTCGATTCACCGTTGTGTCATACATTTTTGCCTTTTTTATGCGCGTTGCAATCCCTCTCGTCCGATATACGCACCAGCCTGGAACCGAAGCAACCATCAAGGATTGGGAACGTCGCACATTGGTCATGCGGGACCCCAGATGAATTTGTACTATCTCGTATCAGAGTTGGAGGGACCGCTACTACTGAGGGAGAATTCCGACATTAAACTCCACAACATCGAACTGTAGGAAGCTCGAACCTTCTTACAGGAATCGAAGTGAACACATATTTTAGCAATGACGACCAACAAACCTGTTCGGCATCGACGGCAACCTCCTGTACAGTCCGTTGCCACGTACTTTGGGTTGAGCTGGTTGGAGTCGTACGATAACTCGTTGAAGCCTCAGCATGACGGTACGCGACAATTAGTACGGTCGGTTTTGGTGTTCTTGCTCGAATCGCTCATCCATTTTCGTTGTACGGTACGTCGTTTGCTGATCATGATGCGCGATAGATGTCGATCGCGAACCGAGATATCGCTACGAAACGACTAGGTCTTGAGAATCAGGCATTGCTGCGATCGAACAGGTGGCGGATCCGATACGGCGTAGATTCGGTGCCGGACGCGACTTCTATTTGCCAACAATATCATCTAGTTCTGGTGGTGACTAATTACAGAACTGCAACAGTACAATTTGAAACTTGCGCTCCACACGCTTGTTTCTCACTCGAAACCCATCTGCCGAAGCAGCAGCGCAGGAGTACAGGACCAGGCATGACAGAATCTATCGCAGACGAAACCCATTAGTATCCGCAACTCGATCGCATCCGACGTGCATACGTTGACCGCACTTACGAATTGCTGTGCAGATCCCCATACGGCGACGCCCTAGGTTCCTTTGGCATCCAGGCCTCGAAAAAGGTCTCCCCACCAGCCTGTACCATCGAGCCCCAATATTCCTTGATATGCTTCAAGGCCAAGTCCTCCAACCCGGCGACGATGAACGCATCACAGAGCTATAAACACAGACACCCACAACTGGTCGGATGAGCTTTGCCAGTCGAACTCGGCTAGCAGTCGCGATCGTAACGTACGTAATGATGCAGATACGGCGTCAACCCCTGAACGCTCTCCGGCCGAGTGTAAGCCGCCTTCAACGCTCGTTGAGCGATATCCTTGCTCTCGGGCACACCAGCGATGACCGCCCAAGCGTTACTGCCCCAACTGATCTGTTTTTCAGGCCCGCTAACGTAGACCCCGAGCTCGTGATCGTAATAATGCTTGTTATGCGCCTCGATCAGCTTGGGTACCAGGGTAGAGATCGGCTGGCTTTCAGAACCGGTCCCCAAGACGTAGGAAGGCTCTTCTCCGACCTGGAGCAGCGAGGCGAGTTCTGCGATGGCCTTCAAGCAGTAGATCATGATCGCATGTTCCGCACATTCCTTTTCCAATTTCGGTTCCCCTGAGTCGAGCAAGAACGGTCAATCATCAGTATCACTAGCACAGCGCAACATCCTATGTCCGTATACGCGCGCTTGACTCACAGTCGACGAAATGCCACGAAGAAGAGCTCTCCGAAGCGTCTCCGGCCGGGGGAACGTTGTACCTCAGATCCTCGGAATAGTTTGGCGCAAAGAATGTGAATTGCTTGGCTGCGATCTCGAAGAGGTCCTTTCCCGTCTGCTTGTCCCCCGAGGCCTTGACGTAGTCCAGTAGCGTCACCGCGAATAACATGGCATAGTCGGCTGTCGTGGCTCAGTCTGCTCAGCGCCTGTGTGATCGTGACTCGAATAGACTGGTTGTTTGGAAGGCGGCCGGGCTCACCGATGCAGTTTCCCCCAAAGTAGGGCTTCGGTTTCTCATAAACACACGCGCAGAGCAATCCTTCGTCGTTGAAAGGCATTCCCGCAAAGAGGTAGAGGCAACGTTTGGCGAGATCGTAATCCTTGAAGGTGGCATACGAACACAAGGCTTGTAATCGCAAGTCTCCGATCCTATTGGCAAGGTGAGGAAAATCGGGAAAAGGCTTCGAGGTGAGCTTTGCCGAAATCATGATCGCCCGCACCAAAGCACTCACCACAAGCGCATATCCCTCCTAGGCCCATCCTCGTAAACCGTATGCATACAATTCCTCAACGTCCTCAAAGCGACCTCGTCAATCTTCCTCAACCCATCCTTTTCTTCTTCCGACATCTCTTTCCCCTTGGAAGCGAAGGACAAGATCGCCGGGTCTTCCCAAGGCGCAGATGTCACCGCGTTGGCGATCGGGTTGGATATCTTGACTCCGTACCTGGGTGAGGTGGAGATGACTTCGATCTTGACGTATCGAAAGGCATGTCGACGGGGCATATGTACGTGTTCCGGTAGGTAGTCGACGCTGAATGTCAAAGTCGTTTAGTGACGTGTATCCGATTACGAAATTGCTTCAAGCTGAAGAGACGTACTTGATGATCTCGTCCGGTAGCCAACTCTTGCTGACCCAAGCTCTATTCATACCGTCCAGATCAGCTTCCTTACTTCATATCTGGGCGGAGAGGAGCAGCCTGGGCCTACTTGTAATCGTCGAAACTCTCGGCCACGTCGTTCAGCACCTCTCCAAACACCAGCTTCAGTCGACAAGGAGCGTCGGCCGGCTCCACACCCACGAGAACCGACTCGATATCGAATTCGAAAGTACCAGCTCGATGACCTCCTATAATTTCAGGAACATACATGTCGTCAACGAACCCGACGATATTACGCTCTCTCCGCCAGCCAGAACAGACTGCACGGACTTACCAAAGTCATAGATCACCTGATCCCCGCCGTTCAACGAGCCGACATCTTCCACCCGACCCGCATCGACCGCTTTCCAACCCATCAGCGAGTTTTCATCTCGTTCGACCTTGACCACACGAAGAGCATGTTCGACTCGGGTCTTGAGCTGCGGTTTGAGGGATTCGGCAATCTCGACGAATCGAGCGTTTTGCTTTCCCGGAATCATCTCGTCAAACTGTTGTTTTTGAGTACGGTTGTCGGGAGGAGAGTGGGTTTTGTATAGCTTTGTTGGCGAGGAGAAGGTAGTCGCTACATCTTTTCAGCTCGTTGTACCTATATATGTATACACTTGTCCTCAAGAACATCTCATAGCCGGACGACAGATCGACATTGGGACGAGTGAGAAACGGACAATCTTCATCCCGAAGCGAATGCGGCTTCGATCCCGCAAAAGTCACCGAGATGACGAACTGGAAGTCACGTGATATAATCATGGTATAGGTCGGTGACATTCAAGCACCTCCGCTGGACTTCGTACCGCCTTCAGTCTCTCCAGCTACGACATCGAGCCCCAAGAGATCCCCAGTCTGGGGCTTTGCTTCTTCCTGCTGCTCAGGTGCTGATGCTTCCTCGATAGGTGCCGCATCCTGAGTGGGCGCTGTGCTCTCAGGTAGAGTCGGCTCCGGTGCCGGCTGGACAGCTTCCATATGTTCAGTCTTGATCTCGACCGCTTCCTCCTGCTTCATCTCTCCGACCGACTCGGCTCCCTGCATACGAGGAGGGTTATCCGGAGCCCGGGTGTAGACGAGGAAGAACGGTCCTTGATCGAACATCAATCCCCAATTATCCGCAGCGAGCTCTCCGAAAGACGTCTGTACACCGATCACGTACGCATTTGTTCAGCTTCATTTCGTCACCTCGTCTCTACACATAAAAAGTATAGTGAAGCCCCTGACGTACCTTTTCTATCGTCTTTTCTTGAATACGCCACCATTGATCCCCTGTTCCCTTTATATACGACCGGATAGCGTTCATTCCCGTCCATCCGCTGTTAAAGCACACTGCGTGCAGGTTGTACTGCATTACACCGTACCGCAACAGGAATAAGCTACACTTTCTTGACAAGCTCGACACCACTGGATACACTCACCTTGTTTCGCTTAAGCTCTGGCTTGTCCCATAGTGCCGCCATCTTTGCCTCGTCATGTTGTAGCGATACCATCATTTCTGAAAGTACACGTATATATCAGTAAGCAGGGATGTTGCCTATAGCCTTTCGGGGGTAGGTTACTGACCATCACGTTGAGAAGCTAACTTTGCTTTGACCGCTTGTAACTGTGTATCACTATCGTGAGTCTCATCGGCGCGCTTCTGTTCTGCAAGCTTAGCACTCACCTGGGTTATCGTCGTCGTCCGTATCGTCCTAGCCTCCTCGTCACTGCCACCCGGGCCATACTCCCCTTCATAATGCTTGATCGTCCTGGAAATATGTCGCAAGATAGTCAGCTTTCCACCACGAACCAGATGACTGTGAGATTACGTATCACGACGACCCGACTCACCTGTCGATCATCTTTTCGATCTCCTCCCCCTTGTGCTTGGTCAACTTGTCGATCGCGTCACGAGCGGTATCAATCCGGCCCTTGAGCGTAGTCTGCTCGGCTTTGATCCCGTTCACCAGCTCTTGGTTGTCCAGCACGAAGCGGTCTAGCAATGCAACGTGGTTAAAAATCGTATGACCTTCATTGAGCTCTAACGTCCTTTACGTGCCGGGCGCGTGACTCACCCATAAACATAGTCTCCTTTAGCTCGACCAAGACTTCTCCCCCCGATTGGCCGTGCTTCCGATCCGCCTTGTGCATAGCGATACAGAAGACGTCGCTCAACCGGGTGAATCCTCCATCCGGGCTCTTCTGATCGAGAAAGTCGGCAATCGTGTCCGAGACCGTCTTGCTACGGCTTGGGTCGTGCGCTAATGTCCAGATCAGGTCGCTCTGTGGTCCTAGCCTTCCATCTGGTGTATTTATGAAACTTCTGAAGAGGCTGGATATCGGAAGCATGTCAGAGGCGTGCGTCGACGGGTTTGTGATATTCGGTTTCTACGAGTTACCTTTGCTCTGATTCTTTCGATGCTAGCTTCAACGGAGCCGGTGTACCAATCTCACGGGCTGGTTCAGCAGTATCAAGCGGGTTTGCATCGGCCCCAGTGTGCTCCGCGGTCTCGGACACGGTCACATCAATGACCGCCGGCTCGAGAGTTTCCGAACTGGCTTGATTCGGCTCCGATGGTCCGGCCTCCAGCTGCTCCAACGCGTGCCGTACCGCCTCTGTTATGGAAACCGCTCAGTGTCCCGTCTCGATCACCGCCCTGATCGACGTCGTACTACCTACCATATGTCGGTCGACTCAGATGCGTCGATCCCGTGCACAAGTGGAGATGCGCCAACTTGAGCGTGACATTCGTGTAGGCCTTGGATGGGTCGTTATGGGCCTGTACTACCTGTATGAGAAAATCCAGGGTATTCGCATCGACTTTCATTCGCAACCAAAAATCAGAGTGTGATCGACCTAAAATTGGATGGGCTGAAGAACTCACGCTGGCCGGCCAGACGTTCGTCGCTGGTATCAATGTCCTCCACCGCTCGACGGACTGCAGGCAACGATACCAAAGCTTGCACGACGTGTGCTGCCCAGACGCTGTTGGCCGACTTGCTCCGTACCGCCAGGGGTCTGATGATCATCGATTCCGAACGTTGTTAGCGTGATCTCTCAACTGATGTGCCAACTCCTACTCACGCATTCGTTTCCCGGAAGGGTATCACATCATCCTCATCCTCGTTCTGCCTCCAATCTGACAATGCATCCGTTGCAGCCTGTATATCCGTATCCACCATGGCTACATCGGTATTGACAGCCTGCTCTACCTTGCTCTCCTCGGCACCATCGTCCGGTTCCTTTTTGGAGATGGACGCTGCCGAGAGCGAAGCCTTGATGGCCCTCTCCACCGCTGCGGCCTCTTCGTCCGAGTCGGTCGGGTACGTGTCCATAGGGGGTGGGCTGTCTGGTCGATTATATCGAGCCGCCGAGTTCTGCGATGGCTTGGACGGTTGATCTGCCGATGTCTGCCAAGGAAGATCATGGTCATATCGTCTCCGCTTAGCGACAGCTTTGGCGATTCACGGTACAGGTCCATCTATGACTTACCATCTCGGTATCCTCTTCCAAACCTTCCTCACGAGGCGCCAAGACCATCCCCCTCGATCCGTCAAGATCAACCACACTATCATCCACCTTCTTGAGCGGCGGCGCTGAATCAGCGCTCCAAAACCCAGGACTCGCAAACAGCGGTTTAGTAGTAGGGTCGGACGGCGGCTGGAAGTGTACATTCTTCGGCGTGGTCGTCGCTGTGCCGATCGGTTTGCCTTGGCCTTGACCCTCTTCCGTAGGTGTCGAGGGACCTACGGATTCTGCATTCGTGAGGCCAGGACCAGGAGCGGGACCGGGTGGCGTCATAGCGTTCCTGAAAGGGTTATTAGACCCCACTACGAACTGGCCTTCTTTCCTCTTCTCAATTTCCGGAGGACCCGGGGTGGGCGACCTCGTCCCTCTCCTCTCGCTCGACCTCTTGTCGTTGTAGTCAGCCGGTGGAGGTCCTGGAGGTGGCAAGTATTGCGAGGCCGGTCTGTGGTCATGGGTCTTGTACGACGGATACGGCTTGAAAGCTAAAGAAGAGGAAGCAGAAGCAGTATGGGTCGTTTCCTGTTGAGACGCTCGGATGGCCGCTTCCAACGCTTGGTCCTCGGACATTCCTTGTGGGTTGAAACCATTCCCCGCAGCTGTATTTTCATCCCGATTCGGTAGCCAGGCGAAAGGGAGCGTGAACGAAACCCTGATCAGCGTGCCGCGCAGTCGTAACGATTTCCGAGGAGGATCCAGCTTACCAGGTGTCGTTTCGCCAAACTCTGAAACGGTAGGACTAGGTTGAGATGGCGTATCCGTATACCGCGGGGTGTTTGTTCGGGTAGGTAGATCAGGAGGACCTTGCATAGGCCAGTCAGGTGGTCCTTGGGTCGGTAAATCTTCTTCCTATAGGTATGACCAACCGAGAAGGGATCCGGATAGCATCAGACTAATGAGGTGAATGCTCGGAAGATATTCGCACCACAATAAACTTACCTTGCCACCAGCAAAAATCCAATCGATGGCTGTCTGAGCATCCGTAAAACACATCGCCGCTTTACGGGACTGCGCCGGGTCGAACCCCATCGAGGTCAGGTCGTTGAATACGGCCTCGTTCATTTTGACGGAATTTTTCAAGCTAATTGATGGCGGTTCTCGAATAGCTAATAGATCTTGCTCATGTATCTTTCCCGGACTTCTTGAAAACGGTTCTGTCCCAAGAGCTGATGGAGGTTGACCAGGGTATGCGTGAGAGCCTGCAATGGAAGCTGAAGGTCGAAACGAGGTCGATCAGCAACACAGCGGTTTGGCGAGTTCGCTCGACACCCACCGACTTTTGTTAAAGAGCAACTGCCTTGCAACTTTGGATATTATCTAGGGAGGCTTGCTATTGAATTACTGATCAGCAGGGCATCACTGGCTCTGCTTGCGAGTACGCATTGGCGACGGAGACGATCCAAGTTTCCCCTTGCACACTCTCTCGCTCGCTACTGAGGAATTCGTCATAGCGCTCACGAACGGCGAGCTCGACCTCATCGTCTCTAGCGATTCTAATACTCTTCATCCTTCCCTAAGAAAACCACCACTTACATTCCCACAATAACGAGACTACCCCAAGACATATTGCTGTAGAATGTGCATCATCCTCTGTCGTACACCGCAGGACCTCGAAGCCTCGACCTCTCCCTACGCCCTAATCCTGGCAGCCAACCGGGACGAATACATCGCGAGGCCTACGCTCGGTGCGACTTGGCATCACTTTGAACCCCTCAACGGCCCTTCCGATACTGATAAGGCTCCTCCACCAACCCATTGTCTGTCGGGAAGAGACGCTCAGGACCCTGTTGGAGGGACTTGGTTCGGCTTGTCCATCCCCAACATCCCGCAAACCAGCTCGGACTCTGCATCGGGACGCAGGAAGGTCCTAAGGATAGGCGCATTGACCAACATTCACGATGACATCCCTCTCGACCCCGGTCCGGCCGGTAAACGCAGTAGAGGAGGGATCTTGAAAGACTACCTCCACTTATCGAATGACGAGAAGACAGGAGAATACTTGGAGAGCTTGAGGAGGGAGAAGAGACGATACGACGGGTTCGGGTTGGGTCTCTTTGACGTAACCGTTCACCCTGCTTCCGATGGAACGGATCAGAGGATCGAGGTGACCTCCTCGTACTATTCCAACAGGCTCCCTGAATCGTCAGAAGCTTCGATGTCTTCCTCGAGGACGCCCTTCGAGATCGACGAGCGGACGACATCAGGAACATGGGGAATGTCAAACAGTCTGCTTTCTCAGCCGTTGGATAAGGTCAAAGAAGGCAACCGGTTACTCTCCGAAGTGCTGAGCCGGTCAGCTTTTTCCTCCCAGACTGACCTGATTGAAGACCTCTTCGCCATTCTCCGGTAAGCCTCGCCACCCAGATCATCGCCATACTACGGAGAGTGCAATATTGACCTGCCCTGAATCCCTTCCCTCCTTTCGTCCGGCGGACGTAACGTATAATCAGCACCGACCACGGCCCGATAATGTCCATGCAAGAACTACACCAATCCATCTTCATCCCTCTCCTCCAGATGCCTTCAGGCGGACCGCTACCCGCTCAACCGAATGTTGATGCGGGTCCGTCTTCCGAAGCTCCCGAATCGACAGGAGAGGGCAGAGCGTACGGGACGAGATTGTCCACGGTGGTTCTGGTCGGGAAGGACGGATCAGTCGTCTTTATCGAACGAGACCGGGCCGGGATTGACGAGGGGGAGGCGAAGGAGAGGAAATTCGAGTTCAGGCTATGATGAACGCGGCAGAAGTTCCAGAAGCCTGGGATAGGCCCGATGATGGAGTCTGGGGGAGGGCGATCTCGAGAGTCCTCCTGGGGCAGGCTCGAGGATAAGCCGATTTCGACTTGAAGGGGTACAGTCCTGCCAAACGGGCTGGTCTCACTGCGCGGGAACATCCGTCCCTAGGACGTTTGAACCTAGTCCGCCTGACGAGGCTTGCCTTCCGTCCGTCTCAAGGCTCTGTCATGAGTCTATACATACGGACCCCTACATCACCGTCGATGAAACCAAAGGGCGTCTCCGCAAGGCGGGTCACGAACAGAAGATCCCTTGATCGCGACATGCTCGAGGGCACGAGTTATGACGAAACGAAGCGAGACAAGCCTGGTCTACAGTTCAGATGCCACGATCGCCAACGGGATAGGACAAAAGCTACAACCGCGTGTCAAGATCACAACCTTGATCACATTGCTGATGTGTGTTGCTGTCCTGCGAAGGGGAATTACATCCGACCAGATCACAGGCTTTCACGAGCAACGCAGAACGGTCTCGGAATCATTCCTAGGTACCCGTACTGTCACATCCCATATCCTCGCTTACGCGCTACGGCTCGACAAGGATGGGCACCGACCGTTGTCGTATCCCATCGCTTTCCTGGCTGGAACTCGATCCGAATCTGTGGCTGTGGTCTGTGACGAACCGTTGCGATGAAACGCATCCTGTCGTTCCTACCCGCGAACCCGCAACGATGCACATTCACATGTGCTCGGGTAGGCCTGCCGGGGGCACATGTCAGGGCCTGCCCCGCGCGACTGAGCGTCTTACGATTACCCGTTGTTCGTGCGTGCCAAAGTGACGCTATGGACATGGACCGTCTTAGCAGGTAGCAACAACTTGGCGGTCTGCATGACATGACCAAGATGTCTGAGCTCCAGGCTAGCTGCACGACTGCATGGCTGAACTGCTGACTGGCCACCGACAAGAGACGTGTCGAGCTCGCCCCGGGGATCGTCGAAATCGCCTCGTCCCTGTGTCCCACCCACGCAAGCGGCGTGAACCCTAAACGCGGGGCCCGTCCCTCCCTCCTCTGTGCTTTCGTCGCCTTGCACCGCCTTGAGAATTGGCTTTTGTTTATTTTCTCGGTTGATTCCGCCTCCCTTGCCTGCCTGCCCTCATCAGCTAGAGCGGGAATGGACTCCCGATCGTTGTCATCATTTCAATCGAGCGAGAGCGCCAAAGAGCGTCCCAGAATGTCAGCTGTGAATCGAATTTCCCTTCCGTACGCCACCAGTGACTCTGATGAGGAGAGGAATGGGACTCGATCCGTCGTCGTATCGTTGCACGTTGTAGTTGTTGTATCGTAGGGGTGAACAACTTGTCGTTTATCGTTTGTCGAAAAGGATCTGGTTTCACCCTCCGCAGTTCTCGCCTAACGAGTAGCCCCAAAGTCACGCCTCGAGCTAGTTTAGATCGGGAGAGTTCGCACCGGTTAGATCTAGGTCTAGGACGACAACGGTATTTTCGGGGCACATAGACGGTTGATCGGTTGATCAGCTCACAACTGTACAAGGATCAAGGGATTGGGAGCTAGAAGCTAGAAGCACCCTCATATTCTTCTCTTTTTCGGGGCTAGAGACATCGTCATCGATAGCAGGGGCGATCTTATAATAACGCAAAGGGCCATCAGTAGGACTACTACAGCTAGTCAGCATCAAGATCTACAAACAACCACTGGCCATTCTGACATATAGAGCTAGAGATTTGAAGAGTCGACTTGAACGAGGACGAGCTGGACTGATCAGCTTATCAGCTTGACGTACGACCCGAATCGTGAGTTTCAGGTCGAGTTCGGCGTTCGATCCACCTTCGATCAGATCCAAGGGTGTCGCTCGATCATTTCCAAAGGATGGCGGGCCTGCGGGGAACCGACGAGATCCACCTGATGGAACAAGTCAACCTTTGATGGCAAATGCACCGAGCTCTCGGTTATATCGTCCTCCGCATCATCCATCATGCCATCACAGCCACAGCCACATTCCACCCCGCCCGCCGTCGTCGTCGTAGTCGTCACATCATCATCAATTCTTCCTGAATTCCTGATCACAAAATCTAATCCATCGCTGTGCAACCTCGACAGATACCTTTTCACACATCAGGCGATACCTCTTCATCCTCCATATTCGACAACTACCTCTTGATCGAGCTCGACTACCGGATACCTGCATACCCTACAACACAAAAGACAGAGAGAGCGAGAGAGAAAGACGAAGCGGCCGGGATCGAGTCGATCAATCGAAACGGGACACCACATTGGGTAAGTCCAATCTCGCTGTGACATCTCACTCTTCGACCCCGTGATCGCAATACGGAAGGTGAAAAGCGTTTGAGGTTCTCGCCTCGTGGACGTGACGACGTTTGGGCTGGATGGATGCCTTTGAGCTAGCGACCAGGATGACAAACGTCAGCTTCGACGAAAGGGGCCAAAGTGGGTTTAGATGGACCGACCTCGTGGAGATGGGTCGGGCGGCGGGCACCTGGTGCTTCCCTTTGATCGAGAAGGAAAAAAGGGGGGACGAGGTCAGCCGAGTCGCCTCTGCGTCGTCGTCGTTTGACATATCCCCAACCCATCGACCGATTCATATCCTCGCAGTCCCCGTTGTCGTCGTCGCCTCGATCGTCTGGGACTGTCTCGACGTTAGCGATCATAATTTTGACTTGACCACTGACCCTGTTTCGACCTCTCGACATTCAGTAGTCGTCACAGCTCGACAGCCATATACCCCTGCATCAATCGAACGTCAATCGACCCAGCATCTCTGACACACTTGCACGAACAAGAACGAGGATTTTGAGCTGGACATGGAGACTTGCTGAACGACTAGACATTTCTGCCTCCGACTGGACTCAGTGAGTCGGGTCGCTATGTCTCCCGCTCGCCAGACCTGAATCGATATCTGACTTTGTCTCTCGTCTCAGCATACACGACCCGACACGATGACATCCTCAGCTCCGCGACCTGGACTCTTGATGAGCTTTTCCAGCCCATCCTCGAGCTCTTGCGGTAGCGACTCGACCTCGAACCAACCCGTCTTTCTCTCCAACTCATCCGCGAGCTCACCTCGGTCCTCTGCGAGCTCCCTCCCACCCATCACGCCGGACCTCACACCGGTCGCCTCGCAACCGTTTCAGGCGCCGTCGTTGTTGCCTGCTACGAACGACAAGAGCCCAGGTGGTTTAGCTTCCTCTCCGTCATCGTCTTTGGCTTCGATACCCGTCTATGCCAAGACGAATACCAGTCTACCGGACCAACTCCCTTCTTTCGATGATATCCGCTTTGATCCTCTCGGGGGTCCGTTCCCGGTGTTTGGCAAGACGTCACACGGCATGGACCCGCACGGCCTCAACGCGTACCTCATGCACCCAGAGGATCAGCTTTGGAACTATCTACAACCGCGACCGAGGAATTCACTAGAGATCTCCACCCAGCCACCATCACAGCAGCAGCAACCTTTCAAGGCGGACCCGTTCGTCAAACACCTGGCCAAGTCGCCGCTCGGACGTCCTCCTCTTGTCCTCGGCAAACCAGAACCGATCAAGTTTCCGGATGAGCAGGATGAGCAGGCAGGCGAGACGGTCAAGAAGGGATCGTTCAAGTCGAAATTGGGACTAGGGTTCGGAAAGGCTGGTGCGAAGACGTCCAAGTCGAGTACGAGCTTGAGCAGTCTTGTCGAGAGTACTTCCACCGTACGGGCCGCCGGGGCGAAATCACAACCCGGATCGCCGACGAGGGCGTTCAGGTCGGTCGAGAGGATCGAGGAGGATGAGACGGTTACTTCCCCCGGGACGGTGACGAGCCCGACGTCAGGGTTGGACGAACGGACGATCAAGGGCAGTCCGGTATTGCTAGATCAGAAATCGATATCCGACAGTCTCCTCAGCCCAGTCGATTCGAGACCCGCTAGCACGTCGAGATGGAGTTGGTTAGGCATGGGACCTAAACAACAGCGGAAAAAGTCGGCATCGATCGCTTTGGTCAAGAAACCTACCAAGTTGCACGAGGCCGCTCCGCTCGATCCTGGTCTCTCTGCAGATCCGCTGGCGGGTGTGCTCCCGGATTCGGTCCCTGCGGATGCGACCCCAGCCGTCAACGAGTCGTTGCACCTGCTCACTCGGACCCGTTCGCCCATGCCAGAAAGCTTGAGGGCGATGAGGAACGTCTCCATCAAAAAGCTCGAGAACCTCCGAGCTCCCAGCCCCAATCCCATCTTGCTCGATGCGTCCATCCCGGCTTACCTGGCGAAACATGGATCGGACGTGTCCAGCTCGAAACGGTTGATGAAGTTCCCCCGAAGCGTCAATTCCAGGCAGTTGCCAGGGACGGGGCTCGGACCGGCCGAAGCGGGGATGAGGATTGATGTCGGAGTGAGGGCTTTGTTGAGAAAGATCGACTCGCACGAGGTGCTAGACTTGAGCGAAATCAGCACGATGACCGTTTATGCGACGACGTCTGGCAAGAAGATGCCTAATGGACTGAGCGACTTGGCCAATATCAAAGCCAAGATCGAGCAGAACGCCAGGCGTGGACCGGGGATCCCGGCTTTCCTCGCTCGGCCTGGGTTCGAATATAGGATGTGGTGCTACGACGGGGATGGAAACTGCAATCGCATCGAGAGCGACTATGTCAGCTACGAGCTCGAATTCTCACCGGGCCTTTTGGCGTTCGGAGAGGAAATATCGATGTTGGCGAGGGACGGGAGATCGAGATATACTTCGTACGACAACACGGCTGCGGGTCGACCGATCCAAGCGAATTCGAGGTCTACGTCGAGGGAGGCTTTGCAGGATGACGAATTCAATTATGGAAAACCAGAGACAGCCAAGGCGGCTCAGGCTCCGATTCAGACGATACCACGCTCCAACTCCTCCGTCAAGTTTCCTTCCTCGCAACCGACTTCGGCTTCGCTACCCAAATCAACACGGACGGGGAAGACGCCTCGAAAGCAAAAGCCGATCAACTGGGCGATCGCGTCTGACTCGGAGAGTAGCGAATCTGATTCGGAAGAGAGCGAGAGTGAGGATGAAGGGCAGCCGTTGAGCAGGGTCGCGACGAGGCAGAAACCAGTAGAGATGGAGCCGCTGAAGGGTGTGCGATCGCAAGGACCGCCTGCGAGCCGGCCGAACAACTTGACTCGACCTACTTCCCTCGTCGCCGGCCACCAGCAACAATCCAGCAGAACTACAGCGGCGTCACGTCCTCCACTCGACCGTCGCACTACCGACGAACGACGACGGACCGAAGCCGATCTGACGGCCAAGTATCGAGACCACGTGATGCAAACCAGGGAACGAAGAGATCAAGCCAGGGTCGGTGTCGTCGAGAGGCAACGAGCTGGAGATGCCATGAGGGAAAAGGAGCGAGATCGTCGAAAATCGCTGGCGGGGATCTCTCCGATCGTCATGCCGGAAAAGACGGGTCGAAGCGCGAGAAACACTTCGGCTCCCGTCAGTCCTCATCACGTCCGAAACAACTCGGAAGCCTCGACATTCAACGGATTGTCCGCCTCGGGGTCACGACCGCACCGCAAATCCACCGTCGAGCCATCGAGGTTGAATCCCGACCTAGGCAACCACGGTTTGAGTCGTCGCTCGATGAGCTACGCCGACGTTCGTGCTTCGACGATGCAGCAACCGTTCGCGGTACCTCATCAGGCACCTTTTTTGCCGCACTCGATGTCGTTTTCCCCGGGTCAACCTCAGGTCATGTACGTGCCTGTGCCAGTCATGCACTATCCTCAGCCTAGCATGGGATTCATGCCTATGCATCCGATGATGGGACAACAACCGCAACAAACGATGCCACCCAATTTCTCTCAGATGAGAAGACAATCTATCGGAATTCCCATCCTCTCACCTCATCATACTGGCTCACGACACACCAAGAACGTCAGCGGGCATCAGTCCGGCGCTCCCATGTTGTCACCGAACCATACTGGGCCCCGACATGGTCAAAACACTACCGGACATCAACAGGCGCTGCAATCGTCCCGGCCCACCAAAAGAACGCCCGTCCAATAGAGCGCGGCGCGATTCTACCCTAATTTCACGACATGGACCTTCTCTCCTTTTCTCTCACTTGACGAACGTTTCATCATCATATATAGTTATTTAGTGTAGCGCTTGCATTCTCTGTATGAGCGCCTTTCCCTTGAATACTGGTCGAATTGACCCCTTAAACGATCTTTCATGAATACCTTTTCGGGTCGGGCCAAGAAGCCTCCGATCGGAAGCAATTGGAGCTCGCTGATATAGAGAACCGTAGCACGATGTCAACAGGTCGATGCTCATCAAGTCTCCATATCTAAAGGAGGCCTACCTAGATCTCTATATACCAACGCCTAAATCTCTACGGTTACGTCGCTCAGGCCAATTCCTCGCAAAATGCCGCCCCACAAGATCCTGCTCTTCAACCCAAATTCGACAGAGGGCTTCACAACGGTCAGTCTAGTACTGTAGTCAGGAGTACAGACCTTCGGATGCCAATCCTGCAGCATTCTTCACAGGCCATGACGGAGCATATCACCAAGTACTACGAGTCCAATGATGACGTGCATGTCCGGTTTGGCACTGCTCCCGTCGAGGCTCCGGCGTCCATCACTTCTGTGACCACCTCGATACTCTCCGCTGCAAGCTCTCTGCGCAACATTCTGTCGGAACTTGAACACGAGAATTACGACGCTATCGTCATCGCCTGCTTCTCTGCACACCCTTTGGTGCCCATGCTACGTGAGATGACGACAGTACCAGTCGTCGGTATCATGGAGGCTGGAATCCTCATGGCGTCTCAAGTCGGCAGCAAGCCGGGAATCATTACCACCGACAAGCGGTGGGAACCGTTACTGGAGCACGAGATCGAGGGAGAACTGGGTCTTTCCCGCCAGTGCCGAGCGGGCGTCATGTCGAGTGGTCTTTCGGTGTTGGAGCTCGAGACGTTGCCGTGGGAACGAGTAGGCGCCGCTCTGGGGAGAGCCGCAGCCCGCATGGTCGCCGAGAGAGAGGCCGACGTGATCCTGCTCGGCTGCGCCGGGATGGTAGGGCTAGACGAGGTCGTTCAGCATCACGTCGGCCCCGATGTGACCGTGATCGACCCAGTAGTGTGTGCGGTCGAGACAGCCGTCAGTCTAGCACGGATGAAGCTGCGTACGGCGAAAGCGGGACGTTATGCAATGTCCACCATGTAGAATACAAGGGAATGTCGAAACGATCGTTGGATACAGTTCAGCTTTGGTCTCTTCAAGCCACAGGTCAGGCTAGTCTTATTTCCCATTTCGCCGCACGGCAGGTGAGGGCGTCCTGTTGAGGGAGATCCAGGAAAATCAGTTACGAAGTAAAACAGCCAGAGTAGCAGCAAATGCACTCACCACGACCGCGTGGCGGGCTCTTTCCGCTTGGCCGTTCCCAAATTTGACCATCCTCCCGTCCTCTCCATAGCCTCGGCTCGACCACGAGCAGCCCCTCCAGCCCCTCCGGCGAACGGATTCGAACTGCCTCGCCGCGAGCTGGAAATCGGCGTCCCCATGCTCCTCTCCAACAAGGTCCTTCCCGCAGGCGTGAGAGTATCAGCATTCCGTCTAGGTGTGGCACTCCCTTCCTTTTCAAAGATGGATCCGCGGCTAGCAGGCGGTCCCATATCTCCCATCTTGCGTTCTGGTCCAGAGAGGATGGCCAGGCCTCTGGGAGCGGTACCGTAACCCTTTGCTCGCTCTCTCATCGCTCGGGACGCGTCCTTGGCCAATCGTCTTCCGATATCATCCCGGCGCTTGGGTTCGTTGATCTTGAAGCCCACCGCAGCAGAGTCCAGGGGGTCTCCAGATTCTTCTAGAGCGCGAGGTGTGCTCATCAGTGAACCCCACGTCATCAGCTGGGAGACAGCCTGAGGTCCGAGTTGTTCTGGCGAGGGAGATGGTGCCGTAGGAACGAGGGCGTAGTCGTTGAACGTCGGCATGCTGGAACTAGGATGATCTGTATGCATTGAGCGTCAGTACCGATTGACTAAAATATCCGTATCATGAATCTCGACCTACATGGCGTCCCACCGATAGCGGCGGCGACTCGGCTCCTCGTTGGACTCGAAGCCCTCGCGCTGCTCCTGCCACTGTTTCTGGACGGTTCGAGATCATCTTCATCTCTCATCCTAGTATTGTCATGGGAAATCTCCGGGGGGTTCTGGCGGAGCTCAGATACGCTACTAGCGTTCGGTGGCCGTTTCAGCGGGTCCACGTCGGCGTCGGGACCGAACATGAAGGCGTTCCTCGTCTGCAGTAGGGATTGATAAGTAGGTCAACATCCCACCAATCATCCGGAGCTCGACCCCAGAACCCGTATTGCTAAACTTACCCTATAGGCCCACGTAGGTACCGTCCTCTCCCTCGAATCCTTCTCGTCCGCCATGACAGCCTTCTCGATCAACTCCCTCTCCTTTCTCTCCAGCTCTCCTCTACCTAGACCATCCCCTGATCCATTAGCGAGATCTCGAGCGGGCACTAACTGCCCGTCCTGATTCATCATCGCCGTCTCAGGGAGACCTGCTTCGTTGAGCGCACGGGCGAGGTGCGAGTCGGCAGGGAGCGGGAGTTCGGTGAGGGTGTCCTTGTCTTGAGGTGAATTACTCTGCAGTATTTGAGCGGAGGGGAGGGCGTTGGGAATGACTAGTTGCTGATCCGAGATGTCCGGTGCGTTCAAGGAAGGGGCTGGACGAATCAATGCCATGGAATCGGCTGACCTGGCGGTGTCGTCGTTGTCGCCGCTCAAGACGAGCGCCATGACCTCTTCCTCGTCGTCGACATCCTCTTGAGCTCGTCCTTTGCCCTTGTCCACCTTAATCAACGTTTGCTTGCCAGATCCTTCTTCTATCAGACCCGTTTTCTCCTTCTTCGACCCATCATCCGCTGGCGATTTCGAGCTCGACTCTATCATGAGCACCTTCCCATCCGGACCTTGTACCAGCTCCTTCTTGCTCTTCTTGACCGCCTCCTTGGCCTCTTCCCCCAACGTCAACCTCAAGAGCCCATCGTCCGTAGGGATATAACCCCCATGTTCGATCAAGAGCCTCCTTCGATCTTGTTCCAACCTCAGTCTGTTGGCTTTGGCTTTCGTCTCCGCCTCAAAGGCCCAGGCGTACTTTTCTTTTCTACGAGCGTTGTCTTCGGTGAGGATCTCTAGGAAGGAGGCGTTATCCTCGGAGGTGTAGACGTGTTGAAAGTCCTACCATGAGAAGGCCCAAGTCGTTGACAGCGATCAACCAACGGTTCAAATGAGGACCAAGGGGCATTGAAGAAGGAGAGTCGACCTACATCTAATCCACGTGACGTATCGATCTTTCTACGTTTAATCTCCTGTTCATCCCTCTCATCCTGTTCCCTCTGTCTATACCCAGGTAAAGGGGTCTCTAGATCCGCTCCTCCAAACGGCGTCCGGGAGATGTACGGCGTCCCGTTATATTCCGCCAACTCGGCTTCCCTGCGCCGTCTCTCCCTTTCCACCCTGGGCGTACTCGATCCTGCAGCATCCGAGCTGAGAGAGGAGAGGTGTCGGATGGACGAGGCGAGCGCTTGGGAGTCTTGGGATTCAAGAGCTGATAGGTAAGCGTTGGTCGCTGCGAGCCGGGGGAGTGTGGGGAAGAAGTCTCGTTTAATGATATGAGATAGAGAGGCCGTATATTCATCTTCCTGTTGATGTGTATCCAGACGTAGAGAGAAGGATCAGCAAGAGGACACGAGGGGGACCCTTGATGATGGCAAATCATGACTCACGTCGAGCACGACCTGTCTGGCCAGGCTGACCCCTGGCGTTTTTGACGGACCAGCTTCCGACGTCCGTGCGACGTGTCGACTGGATGATGGGGTGGCGTTACGACTCATCTTTCAGACTTGATGTTGTTCTAAGTCGGAGGGTTTCATCTTGACAAGCTGATGTGATTGCAGAGTATTCATCATGTTCAATGGCGAACCTGAGTCGCACGATCGACTTGATATCGCATAGTGATGATGATGATGGTTGTAATTATCGATTTATGCGTTATTTGCGATTCGGTCGCAAGATCTCGTTGGGAAGAGAGAAATCTCGATGCGTCGAATCCTGTTCAATAGACCCAAATACCCACAAAGTTCCCTACAGCAGTACAGCAAGTACAGCAACAGTGTAGACAGAAGTCCTTCGACTCACACATCAAAAGCAGAGATAAGACCCTATACATATCTCGACGACCATTTCGCCAGCTCGATCGACCATCATCACACGACCCATAACTTGCATACGCGGGCCGAAAAAAATGTTGACGGGAACCAGAACGATGTTGCCAGAGCTCTGCTCGATGGCGGGGAGTAGCATGAGACAGACAAGCGGTGAGCTTTCACCACAAAGGCAAAAGTACTGAGAGGACACAGTAGTTGACCCATCTCGTAACCGACTTGTCACGACAGCTCGACGACTAGGGACCAGCGCACAAGCAGGCCTCGAAGCTTCGAGCTCGTCATCCCCATCCGCATCATCGACAACATCTTCCTCCCTATCGTTCGGCCGTACGAGAAACTCTACCCCGATCTCGTCCCCCGTCACCGCACAAAAGGCTTCCGACTACCTCTCCTCCCTCCTCTCCTTGCCTTCTTCTCGACGGTTCCCAGAGAGCCTGGCCTTGAGGATCTTGACGCACAAGTCGTACAGGGGAGCACAGGTCCTCGGGCAGGGGTATCACTCGCGGACGTCCTCCTCGAATCCTACTACATCCGATCAAATCCAATCTCAATCCAACCTGTCGGGCTCGGCTGGACATAACGCCCGCCTAACCTTTCTCGGCAAACGGGCCATGCTCTCCTACCTCCTCATGTTCATCCACCAACACGCCCTGGACACCTCCCGCCCTATAGGTCTCGAGCTCGAAGGACTGGGCCAGATGCTGGATATGAAAAATAATGGAAACGCCATCAAGACTTACGAGGACCAGAGTCAACTCGAGTCTGGGGGCAAACAGATGGATTTGGAGACCAAGCTCGAGAACCTGGTCAACCTGTCGAATTTGGGGAGGACGGTCGGGTCTAGGTGGGGGTTGGAACATGTCATGAGGTGGCAGAGCAACTTGGTCAGTCCACCTTGCGCAGGGTCATCTTTGCTTTTGCAACTCGTCCTGATCGCTCATCTCTGTTACTATGCGTTACGTTGAAAACGTCGTAACGTAGACGGGCGACCAGGCTGAGTCTAGGGATTCAGGTGCGCTCAAGATTTACGGAGAGGGTGTACAGGCTGTTATGGGCGGGACGATGATGCACTTTGTGAGCCTTACCTTTTCTCCTCCCTGCACATCTCGTTTGATCCTACTCGGATCCACATGTACGCATGACAGTCTGCTGACCACTCTCTTCCGCTCCGTGTCCCCCTATCTCTATATCGTATCGTCGCGATTCGATTCGATAAACAGGGCTCCCCGGCCGCGCAACGGCTGTTCCACCTCCAGGTCCTCCCTACGCTCGCTCCCCAGCTGAGGGACCCGGCTCTGGTCGAATCCGTGGACAAGATGAGGGCGAGGATCGTCAAGGAGATGGGTGGGGAGAAGTGCGTCGTTGTATGATCGCGGACGGTTTGGTGGGGTTCTGGGCGGAGCATGGGGCAAGGATATGAGGAGAGGAGAGATATGATTTGATATGATATGATGAAATGATGAGTCTGGAAGGGAGACTGATTAGAGGATAGGGTTGCGAATGAGCGGGGAGAGGAAGGGTCTTGGTGAGCGTATGATATGGCTCCGTCAAGTTTATTACAAAGTCATCACTACTTCGATATCGGGTTGTCATATATTATATGATCAGGTGACCCGCTATCGACACCGTGTTAGCGTAGCGGGTAAACGGGCACACGCGGGATAAGAACTCCATCAATGAAGAGGGCGTTGTTATTAAGCTGCCTATGACCGTGAAAGTAACGCGTTCGAATCCAGGACTCGACCAAAATAGTATTATTGGAGAGCTGTGGCCCATGGCCCCTCTAGGAATCCGATAACGAATATTCTTTTTTGCCGATGGTCAATCCTCTTGATCACATCATCATCAATCGTCGATCGTCGATCATCAGAACGACACTTTGGGCAATTTGAACGTTTCGAGTTGAGCATTACAAAACGGTTCAAACCCCATTACGACCCATCTTTTTACCTGGGACTCAACATCTCCTCAATATGTCACGAACGAACCAATTCCGCACGCTATCTTCTCTCTTACCCCGCCGCATCCCGACCTCCAGCTCGATCCGACATGCTACAAGTCTCCCATCCTCGTCCCACTCTTACGCCTCCTTGGCATCGGAACAACCATCCCTAGCGACCTCTCCAGCCCCGTTCGAAGTGTTCGATCGGTCTGCTAAACGGAAACAGAGGGACAGGGCTGCGACGAGGGTGGATGAACAGACAGGGAAGGCGGGGGGGAAGAGCAGGGTGACGGATTATCTGAAGAACGAGGTTGCCGAGCGGATGTTTGAGAGGTTTGAGGTGGGTCCTCGAGAGCTTCATCATCAAGGTCTTTCTATAAAGCAAATCAAGGCTGATCAGTCGCTTTGCTCGATCGCCAATGAATATACTTATATAGGACCTGCGCAAACCGCCCGCCTCGGTCCTAGACCTCTCTTCATCCTCGGGCCATCTGACGAAACTCATCGCTTCCCTAGAAACTACGCAAAAGATCAGGATGATGGATCATAGCGGTCAGCTCCCTGTTTAGCGTCACCCTAGTCTACAATCTGCTGACCGTCGATACGTTCGTGGGTTAATAGAGAAGACGCTATTCCGGGACCCTGATTCCGAGTTCGATCGTAAGCCTCGCATCCTCCCTCCCCCATCAATCTTGCACCTCGCTGACCATCATCTACATATACCTCATTACTTCCGGTCGCGATCGCGATACCACAGTCGCCCCGACCCGATCTGTAGTCGACGAAGAAGCCCTCTTGACGCACATCGATGAGGATAGCCAGGAGGCGATCGTCAGTAATCTGGGGTTACACTGGGTCAACGATATTCCAGGTGAGTCTATCTTTCCTATCCCCTCTCTCATGCTCGCAGAGGTGTCTTTGCCGTGACAATAAAAACATGTAAGGGAGGGATGCAGGTACAGGTTAGGCTGACTCTTGGCTTTGCTTTGTGTGCTGTAGGCGTGCTGAAGCAGATCCGACAAGGGTTGAAACCGGACGGGTTCTTTTTGGGGAGCATGTTGGGTGGGGACAGCGTCTTTGAACTACGGTAAGCCCCAGAACGAATACTTTGTCTCGGTAACGTCGAGCTGATCATAACCCAAATCCTGTGTGCTATACTATACTGCACCATACTATACGCTACGATACATAATTTGCGGGATGAGCAGGACGGCGCTACAGTTGGCAGAGATGAACCAGAGTGGGGGTGTCAGTCCGAGGATCTCGCCGATGGCCGGTGAGCTTCGTCTCGCATTCGCCCCGATTTCTCATTTTTTCTTTTCGGTCCCGTCCTGACATCCTACAACCTTCCTCTACAGACCCTCGGGACGCATCCAACCTGCTCCAACGCGCCGGCTTTACGCTCCTCACCGTCGACGTCGAGGACATTACCATCTCCTACCCTAGCATGTGGGAATTGATCGAGGACTTGAGGGATATGGGCGAGAGCGGGGCCGTCCTCGGAAGGCGACCGTTTATCAAGCGGGATATCCTCTTGAGCGCCGAGGCGATCTATAAAGGTGAGTTTCCGAGTTGTTTGGGGTGTAAAGTCATGGATGTTGTTGTCAACACGGCGGCGGTTGGCTGATGCGGTTTGGGACTGGATAGAGCTGCATGGGCATGAGGATGGGACGGTCCCAGCGACGTTTCAGGTCATCTACCTGGTGAGTCCCGCGCGATACCTCCCTCTCTTCCTTCGATCTTGGACCTCGGCGGCTGATGGAACCCTGAACCATGTTATATTCAACCTCGATAAAAATCATATAGATCGGCTGGAAACCTAGCGACAAGACGCCCAAGGCGCTCCCTAGGGGATCGGGGAAGACCAACTTGAAGGACGTCTTGTGATCGACCCCCACTACGACCGATGTGGACAGCGTCATCTGTTCTATATCGTTACTGTATCACGCAGAGAAGCACGTATCGTTGCACGAGTACACTACACTAGAGTATGATCGAGGCGTCATGGATGCGACACATGTGATGTATTCGACCTTGATCGCTCGGGGGTTGTCGAGGGGGTTGCCAGTTTCGTTTTGATCCCACTAGGTGGAGGACGTGACGTCATTTTTTCTCGAGAATGGGGAGAAGTCGTCAGGGTCAGTATGTGGTCACTGCCGATCACTGCACGGGTATAGTCGAGGGTTGTATAGGTGAACGAGGGATCTAGTCTGTCAGTGAGTGGTACGTCGAACGCAGCTATAGTCGGTAGCGAAGAGCGGTAAATCGATCCATCAAAGACGAACGTTTGAATCCCACCGACAATCAACTTGCAACTTGTCCCTTCCCCCAAACCTTTTTTACGCGCGACCACCACATCCGCACATCGACAACAAATATCATCATCATCTCTACTTAGGGTCACAGTCGCATCGCACAACCAAGGTAATCTTGATAGGATAGCAGCATCCCATTCCTCCAATAACATCAGCAGAGGAGGGGCACTTCGACAACGATTTGGCTGTGACGACGACCTGAAAAGCCGGAGATTTCTCCCCTTGGAATCGCATACCGAGAATTAACAATATCCGCGAGTTCCACGTGGGGTTGGGTGGGAATATCAACAGGTTTCCTCCCTCGTAACCTTTGCGGATCGCTACCACTTTGACACCACCACCACCACCACCACAAGCAATATTATTATACAGCGTACAGCAATTGAACAGAGCTAGATCTTTTATACTCGAGCATCACAAGCAGGCGCCGGCTCTCTACTCGGACGTCGGACGGAACTTCGATTTAGCTCGACCTTCTCGACGCATCGGTACATCTATCATCAGACCATCAACTCCGTCAATATCAATCTCAAGGAAAAGCAACTATATAATCGTCTCTTACTCCTACGGTAGAGACTCGCCCCCAGGATGACCACCCTAACCCCCTTCCGCCTGTTCCAAATCTGCAAATACGCCCTGAACCAATACACTTCGAATTCCCCGCTCGTCCGGAGAGCCGGGTTGATCAAGCAAAAGGTCCAGGCGATCACTGCTAAGCGGGATAGGAAGCGGATGGAGGATGCCAAAGTGGGGTTTCATGTAGAAGAGAGGAGAGGGTGGGATGTGAAGCCTGTGGATGGGAAAGATGTAGGAGGCGCCGAGGGAATGCTTGGGGCTGGGGCTGGAGTGGGCGTTGGGGTTGGGGTTGGGGGTACGGGATATCCTCTGCGGATACCTAGTGATCCAGAGTCGGCGAGGTCGACCTTGGATCTGAGGACGGATCGGTATACACCTTCATCGTCCTCGACACCATCTTCCTCCTCATCCGCGGCTTCCTCTTCCCCTTTCACACATACCCCATCCTCATCATCGTCATCATCATCATTATCACAGACATCGCCAGATCCCTACTCGGACCCGTCTGCCGACCCCAACCGATACCCCAACGAGATCACCCGCCTCATGGCCCACCCGGCCCTCTTCACCCCCCTGTACAAACCACCTCAGAACGTCATCGTCCTCTGTCACGGCCTCTACGGCTTTTCCACGGCGACTCCCATCCCGCTCTTCCCCTCTCTCAAACTGCACTACTGGCATTCCGTCCTCTCTGTCTTGAGGGAACAACTCGGATGTAAAGTCATGGTCGTCGGAGTCAAGGGGACGGGGAGTATAGAAGAGAGGGCCGGGGAGATGGATAGGTGGTTGAAGGAAAAGTTGCCCAAGGGTACAGGGGTGAATTTCGTCGCGCACAGTATGGTGAGTCTGATTCCGAGTCTAGGCTCAGGGACAAAAGGTTGGGGTCGGAGGTTGAAGGGCAGGTAGCTGATCTGAGAATTTCCCGTCTCTCTACATCGCCGTGGTTTTGGTGGCCGGGACGACAGGGAGGACTGGATTGTCGATACCTGATCACGCATTTGAAACCGGAGACGTACAAGCCGTTGTCGTTGACCATGATCGGGACGCCGAACAGGGGGAGTCCGTTCATGGATTGGTGTGCGGTGAGTCTCGTGCCCAGGTCGGCCGACTATCGATTGCAGGTGTAGTCGAAACTGACTTTGTGTGGTTGATTCGATCCCGGTGACGAGCAGGCCAATATCGGGATCGGTGTGCCGTCCATGACAAAGGCCGCGATTAATGCCGCCGCTTCGGGTAGTCTTCCGCCTTATTCCTTGAAATCTCCCCTCTTGTCACGTACGATGGGGGAGACCAAGAGCAAGTCCCCAGCTCAGAGACAACAAGAGGCTAGGGACGATGCCGTCGCCGCGGCCAAGGAGAGTTCATCCCTCTTGGCCTTTCCCTCGATGTTCGGGTCTTCGATCACCAACTACCTTCTCGGGATATTCGATTCCCCAGCGTATGGGAATCTGACGACGCATTTCATGCAAGGGACGTTCAACCCCTCGACGCCGGACGACCCGAACGTCAAGTACTTGTCAGTGGCCGGGAGGACGAACAAGATGTCGGTCCTTCATCCGCTCTGGTTCCCCAAGCTCATCCTGGACGCGGCGGCAGAGAGGGGGTATGCCGAGGAGAGGGGAAAGAGTGGGAAAGAGTATGAAGGGAACGATGGTCTGGTCAGCGTATCCAGTGCCAAGTGGGGAGAGTGGTTGGGCACCGTGGACAACTGTCATCACTGGGACTTGAGGGGAGAGGGTGGGCTCTTGCCCAACGGACCTAGTCTCGAGGATAAACCCGAAGGTCGACCTGACCCTAACGCGCCCGGTGGCTGGGATTGGAACTACAAGGACGACTCGATGCTCGTCAAGAAGGCCAAGGAACAACAAAAGAAGCTCACAGCCTCGTCGTCCGAACAAAAGGAGGAAAAGGCCGGTGAAGCCTGGTTGAACAAGCAGGCCATCGAGAAGCTTCCAGAGATGGTCAAGAAGGCTACCGGGACCAGTGGGGGATGGGACATGCAGCAAGTCGGGCAGGTCATCGATTGGGTGGGCGACTTGATGCCTGGAACGGGATCGAGCGGATCCGACAAGAGGGACGCGGTCGGGTCGAAACAGCTCGCCGATGCCGCCAAGGAAAAGGAGAGGGAGGGACGAGAGCGTCAGTCGACACCACCGCCGCGAGACGGAGAGAGCGGGAGGGATCGGTTGGTGAGACATGTCGCTAGCGAGGCCAACATGAGGCAGACGGGCGATTTGGGCAAGCGGGATGAAAAGGCTTCGGAACGGCGGGCGGGCAAGTTTGACCTGGGTCGTTTCTATGGAGGTGTCGCGATGAAGCTTCACGAGGAAGGGTATTGAGCGGACGATGCTTGGGACGATCATTTGCATATATATATAGATACATAGGAGACCGTTGTACAGTCGTCGACAACGAATACGATGCTTGAACAAATACGAATCTGGCAACCGCTTGCTGACAACGGGAGACATTACATAAGTACAACTAGAGGCGAAAGTCCTTTCCTGAACCACCCATACCGATGTTTTGTTTATCCTCAATCCTCCTCTTGCAAGGCGGTAAGCTTGAATTCGATGATCCCGCTGTCACTGCTATTATCCAGCCGTTTGCCGACCGGAGGTGGCATCATCATTTGCAAGCTTAGGAAACCTTCGTCATCAATCCGTAACGACACCTTGATGGCGGCTTGGAGTGCACGATTCGCTTGTGAGAAAAGACCGAAATTGTACCTGCGAAAGTGAAAGCCCATCTCGTCAGGCGATGGGGAACGTGGGCTTTCAGAAAAGGACTTTCTGGGCTTACGAGAAGCTGAGCTTTTCAGTGCAGATGAAGACATCCATCACATCCCTATCGTTGGGGTAATCCAGCTGTTGACCGGAAGAAGCATGTTGAGCGATCAATCCACTCTGGAGGAACCGTCTCATGCTGAACAACTCGCCTCTGTCGTCCCAAAATCGCCTTTTGCCTGCAACCTAAATATCCCCGCTCGTTCCCTCGCTTTCCTCCCCGACCCATTCCTTCCATTCGGTCCGTGCTGATCTAGTTGTTCTTCCCGCAGACGTTCTTCCTCTGGCAGAGGTGGTCCGGCGATGATGGTGATCTTGGAACAGGAAGAGTCTAGATCCCCGATCGCCTCTTTGAGCCAGGTAGCCTGAGGGTCGATATATCAGAACCGTCAGTCAGGCTCAGGTGAATATGCAGAAGTGCTTTATGGATATACCTTCATGATCACATGGAATAGCCTGCCTCGGACGAGCGAGTTAGCCCGATGTCACCATGGCTGCTAGGCTGGATTGAACGGACTCACATCTGATCCTGGTTGAATTGCTCCTCGTTCGATTCCTCGGGTGTCAACAGGGTCAACTCGCAACTCGTCATTGGCGTATTCGGTTCATCGTCCCGTCTATCGCCGGCAGGTACAACACACGAGAATGAGCTACGACCATCGACCTTTGAGGGATACGACGTTTTCGAAGTAGTAGGGACTCACAACGTCAACTTGAGGGGCCATCCCGGTCCTATCCATGTCATCAACAACGACGTACATCCATGTGGATTACCCAAACTCCCGAGCATTGCCGAATTGTTGTTATTGTTCCCCTTGCCCAAGTGTCCCTCGTTTCCTCCAGCTCCTCCTCCGAACCTCTTGCCCCGCCCGCTTGAAAATCCGAAATCCTCCGTCCCACTCGAATTGACGATATTCGCATGCCCGTATATATTGAGACATTCAGAGAGGTTGGATAGGTTCACTTCAAAGACGCAGGAAGCTGGATCATCTTCTTCCTCTTCCTCAGAAGAAGAATCAGCGTCGTCGTATCCTGGTAATTGGCTCTGCGTGGTCCCCCGTCGAGAAGGTGTTTGGGGGCCGTCACTGTCATTGAAGGGGTTGCTACTAGCCCCGGCTCGGTAACGTCGACGCCGTCTCCGAGTGATCGTCTTGGGAAAGAAGGAAAACTTGTCAAACAGCGCTTTGGAGACGTACGCCACGGCTACACTCGATGAAGACGTTTGGATCTGATCAGCTTCGATCAGATACGGTGCATACAGGCCAGACTCACCGACCATAGCTCGGGTATCTTCCACTTGGAAAGCCAATCCTGCACCTGATAACGTCACAACCGCTCGCTAAGTCGTGACGTAAATCATCAGTGTCAGAAGCCACATCGGTCTACGATTTGGGGGACACGGAAAAGGGCGAAGGGAAGAAAGGATGATTCACCTGCTGGAATGCTATCCCTCGAAGTAATCTTGCCAGGGGACGGACGTCGTACGTCTCGATCTCGAGTACCTGTTGATCGGTATAGGTGAAGCGGTGATGTTTCAGTATGTTGAGATGAGAATGTCAGTATGTAGGTGGTGGAAAACGTACGGGACGATGTTGAAGAGCCATGATGCCCGAAGTGAAGCACTATCGCTTGTTCAGTCTGCGACCAGAAATGACAGCTAAACTTGATTTCGAGAGAGAGATCAGGCAAATTGTATGGATCAACAATGTATTCGAGTCGACGTACGATTTCCTCTTCTGCCGCTCTAGCCTGAAGACTACTATCTGATCCAGTTCATACGTTGTAGTCGATGCTCGACCGTCTTCGCACAGGCTACGCCAAACTCCGATAAAAGCCTGGAATATCGCTCTTCCCGACCACCGGACGGCAAGATTGTGACCGTAGAATATCAACCCACTCGATAGACCCTGGTCGGGTAGTGTAGAGTGGGTACTCGATCAACAATCATACATGTTGTGAGATGTCGTTGTAAAGCAGAAGAGACAAGGTAAAGGGCTGCTGCTCGCAGGTTACGAATCGCCTTCGGAACCTGATTTGACTCCGGTATCACTCCCCCTTACGTTAACGATTACGGAGCAGGTTACGTACGTTGAGAACCTCCTTCTCTTGTCGTCACGAAGGTTCAACGTTCTCGAACGACTTTACACGTCAATTGAAACGCTCGACCAGGTCACACCGTTCAACATCGAACGGATAAATAGCTCAAAGATCTCTTCTCCGAGATGTCGCTGTCCCTCTTCGGAACGCCCAGGAGTTCAGGCGGCCGGTCCCGTACCCCTTCGCAAACACCTATGAGGGGAATCCGATTCCCGAGCAACACCCCTCCTCCTGTTCACCACGACGACCTTCAACCTCTTGTTTCCTATCATGCGGTACACGCTCATCTTCCCAGCGGTACCAGCTCGAATACAGAGGTCCAGCACTACAACTTTCCGTACGAGCAACTCGATGTGGATGACATCCCTCTACCGGAGGAGGAGGACGCAACAAACAGGCAGTCGCAGTTGCTTCCAGAACACGCTCTGTCCGTATCATACTCGCCCGAATGTTCGACACTAGCTAGGGTCATCGGAAACGGCAAGACTCTCGAGTTGAGGTATATCGCTTCGACTTCGAGTAGGAAACAAAAGGACAACAATTCGAACATCATCAGGATCTCGTTTACTTCGGCGATCCATGATATCTCCGCTTCGAAATGTTTCTACCGTCCGACCTCGAACGACAATGACTCGACCTTCACGATCGTCATCATCGACAAGAAATCCCGCATCCACCGCCTAACCTTCCCGAATCCTCACACCCGCGTCGAACGTGGTCTCGCCGCCTTCGAATGGAACGACAAGAACTTGCACGTAGGGTGGTTGATGATGAGCGAGCAGGATATGCTTGCTAGTGGGATGACGATCAGGGGGGACGAACCTCTTGTTTGGAACGTGGTGGATGAGGATAATCTGATCATCGCTGTCAGGGATGGGCTGTTGAGGTGTACTTTGGTAAATGAAGGTGAGCAAATGTCGGTTTCGGAATTAATCTGGTGATGCGATGTCGTTGATTCTTGGTTGTCCATGGCCCAACCTCTACTTCGGTAGACTGGACGCACGAATACTTCAGAAGACCGTCCTCCTTCCGAATGTTCCGTTCAGACCCAGCTTCCCAAACTCGCGTCATCTCCTTTCAGCACGACCCTATCACCGAGCTAGTCTACGCGATCACGAGGGACAAGAAGCTCAGAATCTGGAACGCCCAGACGCTGAACCACGAGAGCGTGATCGATCTCGCTCAAACGGGCGGGTCTTCAGAGCCTCGTCAGCCTCAATCAGAAGCTCTCACCATCGGGTCGAACGCGAGTATCAACATGCCAACCTCATCTTTGGTGCAGATCTTACCTGGGACGCAGGATACGCCATACGACAAGTACATCGTCGTCTTCACCCCTACTCCGCGTTCTCCTGAGGGTGCGGGGTATTTCCAGGTCTTTGGCACGTTGGGGATCAAGAAGGATATCACGCATGTGGGGTTCTTTACGTGTTCATCACAGACCGTCGGGATGGATTTCCGAGGTTTCAATGTGGAGCATGCTACAGAGACTTCTCGAAACGGTGGTGGGGACATCGAGATGGAAGACGAGTCGACTTCAACATCGTCGTCAGTGTCGAGTACGTGGAGACTCTGGGCGGCTTGGGATCTCAAGGGAAAGCTCTTCCTCGAATGGAGCGATATTTCCACGCTGTTCGAGCCAAAAGAAGAAGAGTTGGGGATCATGGCGAGTAATACGTGGAAGATGGTCTCTTCCTCCAAGGAATCCCTCGACCTGGAACCCATGTTCGATTCCGCCTACTTTGACGCCCTGAACGAAGGGATCGAGGATGGATCGCTGGGCGCGGAGGATGTGGCGAGGTATTTCGTCGATCATCTCTTTTACCCCGGACGGTTCTCGCAGTCGGTTTTGAAGGGAGCGCTAGAGGAGTATAGTTCTGGGAACGATGACCAGATAGACGCTATGGATGAGGAGGACGAGGAGTATAAGTCGCTACGGGACCAGATAGGGGAAGCGGTAGGGAGGCATCTAGTACCGCTTCTAGACCAAGACCTCGATGCGCATGAACATGCGGACCTTTTGAGACGGTTCAAGTTGGAGTGGCAAGCTTTCTGGATCATGGTCCAGCAGCGGGATATTCAAGGTAGATGGCCCATCTCGTTGGTACCGATGACTACTGGGGTGGCAGAAGAAGGAACCGCCGCTATGGTTCTCTGTCGGGAAGGTCTCGTCGTCCCCGCTGTGGAGGACGATGCCGCATTTGTCAGGCGGCTCATGGTCAACACCGTGGATGCCGACCTGGAGGACCTGGAGGTGCCGGTCGAAGTGATCGAAAAGGACGAGATCAAGGATTTGCTACGATCGCCGAGCAGTACACTGGAGGCGCATCACCCTGGGTTGGCTCACCCGGATGTGCGGTCTCTCGTAGTGACCGGCATGGCATCAGCGAGCGTGCTTGCGCAAAGCATCTACCCGGAAGAGTTTTTCGCCTTTCAGAAACGGGCGTACGAGCGCCCTACCGTTAGCAGTCTCGCCGGGTCCATGTCCCAGGATTTTACCAGGACCAGTGATCAGGATATCGAGGTCCCGAAACCTCTAAGAGACTCGGCGGATCCCCGTAAAGTCTTCCATGCGACGCTAGATCTGCTGGTGGATCTTCCGAAGGAGCAAACCGCTGGCGATCTACACGACACTTTCACTGGCTTGAGCTTGAAGGTATCAACATTCCATCAAATCGTGGCAACACGTCAACTGGTCGCGAGCGAGGTCTTGTTACTCGCTTGTCACATGCTCTCGGGAACGAGCAACGACGATATGCCCGAACACAAGAACGTCTATTTCAGTATTGCGCACCGAGCGCTTGCCGTCTTCCATGCTTGGGAGACATTGAGACGGTTATCGGAAAAGCATAGCGACGAATCTCAGCATACCTTCAGGCAACCTTCGGATGTATCACGGGAAGGTGGCCACGCTGCGTTCATCGCCTTGCGCGAAGAATGGAAGAAGGAGAACGATCTGTCTTCCTGCAATGAGACTGCCTATTCTCTCGTTCACGCTATCCTTGCGGAGAAACCACAAAGCCATAGCGGACGAGAACTCACGCCCAAATCTCTCACTGTGACTGCTTTCCGAAACCTGCTTCAATTTGGCCTGATAACCGACACGGAACGCATCGAAGCTGGCACACCCGAAACGATTCTCGCGCTCGACATCCTCCTCAGTGGCAATATCGAAAGTTGTCTGGACTTTATCGAGTCTTACCCTCGGAGTGCCGGGGTCAGCTACGTTGCGTCGCGGGCGACGATAATTGCAGGAGCAGATATGGAGATGGCTATAGATGGTTTGAACAACGTTGCCGCAGCGCTTGGTACGTGATATGTGGGTCGAACTTTGGGTATATTCGAGTCGCTGACTGTAATCCGTACCGCAGCCCGTCCAGGTTGGGCGGAGATGGACAGATCTGGATTGGTCAGCGTGCTACCTGATCGCGTTCGATGGAACGGGTTGGCCGAATACTACCATCATGCTCACTCCCTCTGCAAGACCGCTCGTTTGACGGCTTCGGCTGTCATGTTCGCCAAGCGGTCCATCGAGGAGACAGCAGACCCACACGCGGCACAAAATCTGATGCGATACGTGTTCAAGGAGTATCTCGCCCAGGGTCAATACGAAGAGGCGTGGCAAGCAATGCTGGCGAATCCCTTGGTGAACCAGTGAGTGGAAACCTCCCGACCTGATCAAGCATAAAGACTCACGAGTCCCATTTCAGCGATTCCACCGAAGACGAGAGACCTCTCGGAGCCCTGATCCACGCAATGTGCAGAGCTGGAGAAGCTCAACGACTTTTCAACTTGCCGTACAGTGGCATGGAAGGTTACATAGAAGACGAGCTCGATCTCAGGGCACGAACCGCCGATCCTCTTGCATCACCTTACTATCACAAGATCCTGTATTCATGGCTGACCAGGCGAGTAGATCACCGGAAAGGTGAGTCAATTCTCGAGGGGTCCACTCCTGAAACCTTGCTAACCTGCCGGACGTATAGCGGCATTGACCATGTTCCAGTACGCGGAACGTGTGAAAAACCTAACGGCAAGAAACTCGGCGGACTATCGATCACATCTTCTGTTGCGCTCGCGCAGTCTCCTGACCGCCTCCAACAGTCTCTCTTTGGTTGACGCCAAGCACCGCTGGTTTACGACGATCGCCAGCAGCAGACCAGGCAACGACGAGAATGTAAGGCGATCTTTTGACTATGCACCGCTATGGGCACAAAGCTGACTCGCTGTCTTCCTTGATGTAGCCTCGCAAACGTCTCAGGGTCGGCTGCAATATACCGGCATCCGAATACACTCATGCTATTCGTCGAGACATCGACATTGTCACGCTCGACCAGATCAAAAAGGAGTCCGACCTGGTCCTCGCAACACTGATGATCAGCAGTCATACGGGTAGTGATCTCGATCCCGGTGCGTACACATGGACAGGCAACCATTGATCTCTTACTGAACTCAAGAAATCTCCACAGCTTCGCCATTAACAGCGACTGACTGTGTGGCCATGATGTCTGAAGCTGGCTTGTTCGATCAGGCACTTGCGAGCGCCGACGTTCAAGGCATCGACAAGACCATAGTGTTCGAGTACCTGACGGGCCGATGTCTCGAGATGGAAGGAATGGCCGACGAGGCGATCAGGTGAGCTGAACTTGTGTGTGGCTTCTTGCTCTGAATCGTCAGCTGATTTCCGGAACGCAGAGAGATCGGTCTGGCGACCTGGTTGGACGCATCGTCGGTCAGCGCGACCTGGTACGGATCGTTGCCTGAAAAGGCATGGACGTATCTCGACAAGACACTCTCCATACACGACGTCGCTAGTCGTCCCTCGCAGTACGCTTGGGGCGCAAAGGTCTCTTCAGGTACAAACTCTACGTACCACCTTGCCGTCTTGAACAAGGTGCTAGAGATCGACCCGGAATACGCGCTGCCTCAGTGGCTGGTAACTCGACTGATGGAGAGGTGTCCGGACGCGCTCATACAAGCTGCTCTGAAAGTCGGAGCGACGAGCAAGGCTGCTGTCTGGGCTCGGGATTGCCTGAAATGGGTCAGTCCGGGCTGGTCTCGCACCAAGTTTATACGCCCACTCATATCCGGTTTCGTTCTCGCACGAACAGGCGCAGAATCAACAGCCTCGCACCGTCGGAGCGGGTGTTATCGCCCCACAATACTCGCCTTTCAATATGATTGACCAGGTCATCGCGGCCGCCAAACCCAGCGAAGACAAGTCTGTCAAGGTCGCCGTGGACGCTTTACAGACGGAAGCCTCGAGACGGTTCAAGGGAATCAAGAGTCTGATGAGCACGATCGAAAGGGTATAATTGCGGCCTTGTATGTAGGAATTTACGACGCATAACGAAAAACGGACGAAAATTGTATATCATGTCGCTGCCATGACGGTATTCATTGCTACAGAGAGCGCAGCGGTCGCTCCAATTCAAAGCCACCTCGGTATCTTCTGCTATGCTGAACTCGCAGTTTTATCAACTGCTGAGCTTTGGGCGCGCGCCTTCCTCGCTCCCTCTGTTCACGACTGGCCGAACTGACGCAAAGAAGATGCAAAGCTCTCCTAGGGCTTCGAGCGCGATCTCAAGGCATATCCAGACATGCTGCCTCGACCTTACGCATCTCCCGCCTCACTTGACTGGACGAATCTGATAGAGAAATGTTAAGCAGGACGTTATCAGATCAGAAGGGTCGAATTAGGGAGCATACTCTATGGTTTGTTCTGAAGGTATTTCAAAAATGTGCTCACCGGCAATTCTCCCCTACTTTTCCATATACGCCATGTTAGCCATATCGTCAAGAGCTTTGTTGACTCTGGTCGATGGTTTCCGAACAATAGAACCTTCATGTTCATAGTCGATTCTCTTGATTTAGAAACAGGCCGTTCCATAAACTGATCAGTGGTTGAGAAGCGTTTCATCGCCAGTTCGACAGGTTTGGGCAGAGATGGTGCACCAGGTCTGAGATGCTTGGATCGTGATATTACTGATCTGACTTTCGCATGAGACTGGGTACAAGATACGAACCTGGCAATGAAAGACACGCAGGCAGAGGCGCATAGGCGTCCCTTCGACCCTTTCGAAACGCCAACGGTTCTAGCCTTGGAATGATCCCGGTCCGGTGAAACCTTGTCTCATTTTCGGCAAGCGAATGTCTGATCCCGATGCCGAGTCGCGTGGTGAGGGCAAGGGTGAGGGCAAGTCGCGTGAGTCGTGTGGGGGCCGTGCCGCAACCGCGAGGAAGGTGGATCTGATTGATCGAATGATGACGGGATTTCGAGAGTTCTTTGATCATCAATCGCGCAATCATCATCCCATCACTTTCTACCTTTTGATCAAGAGAAAGGTCACAAGCTCCCGTCCTTGTTGTTGGTCAATTGGTCTCCAAAGCCTGCACCCGATCGACTTCGACCGATTTCAGTCTCCTGCATCTCGGAAACCGACAACGATATCGATATAGACTCGCACAGCATATAGAGCAGTTGCCCTCCAGTGATCTAGGCCACTACCACCAACACACCTTCGCCGCTCTAGGCATCAAGTCAACGAGCACGTTCACCTTCCTTTGAAAGGTACACAGACGGTCTCTACCGAGGCGATACCATACTAGACGAGACGGCGAGGCGAAAACGAACCGGACCCCTTTGATTCAAGATCCAAGGAGGAAAGCTGGCTTGGCACCCGACGCTAGAAATAAGTGATCGCGGCTAGAGAGACAGGTTCTGAGAGAACTCGAAGAGGACAGGGATATTCCATTGAACCACACGACAACGACACGATAACATCTGGCGAATCCTATGATCTTGAACATGGAGGAATAAGAGTTCACCTTGGAAACCGTATCATCAAGCATCTCAACTCTTCAAACGCATCATCTACCCATATCATCTAGGCCCCGCCTCGGCCTTTGACGAGATCGATTATCGATCGAAACCTTATATCTCGTCTCACCTTCATCAACACTACCGTCATTGCTATCGTGCCTCTTCTCTCGATATGGCCACCACTTCCGCATCTCGGTTCAACCACCCGTTCGCCTCTCAACCCCAGGACATCCGATCGAGGACCCAGACGGGCGTATCCACCTCTTCCTCGCAGATGTTACCCAGCATAACCTGTTCGTCCTGTGGGATCTCGATCCAGATGGATGATTTGGGTTCGCACGTCTGTCAACCAGGGAAAAGTTATAATTCTGGTTCCAATTCTGGCCCTAGTTCTACCTCGTCCTATACCGCTCCGCGGGCGAAACTACCGCCTTCGGATTCTTCCCGTGGGAAGGAAGACAGGCAAGTTCGACCGTACGATCACCAACATCAACATCGACACCAGGACCAGCAATATCAGCATCAGCATCAACACCAACACCCTCAGCAGAAAGACCGAGATCGGGATCGGGGACTCAAGTTGGATATGAGTCAGTTGAGACCGCCAGATACGTCGGGCTTCTTGGCGGCTGGGGATTCCGGTATGGCAGGAGTTGGGAGGAGGGGGTTCGGAGGTGAGCCGTCTCTGCTTCGTGGCTTGCCCCGATATCGAGCTTTTCTGAAACGTAACTTGTTCTCACAACATAGGTGGTTCGCCAACGACCCCGGTCTACCATGCTCCCTTTGGATCCTCGCCCCAGACGCCCCCTTCAGCTGCGATGGCCACTCCTCCTATCCCTGCTGGTATGGGCAAGCAGAACCAGAGTCAACCGTATTTCATCGCCAGTCATGCGGATTTCAACCGGCAGGGCGACGATCGGGGTTACGGGCAAGGACAAGGAGGATCTTTCGTTCCTGCCGCCAGCTACAGGGAGCGAGGTCCTAGTCCGATGTTGGGGAGCGAACCTTGGGGGGCTTCCTCCAAACACGGGCAATCGAGCCAGAATGGGGGCCGGAGCGCGAATAAGAACACGGCCGGTCACCGCGAGTACGGACGTCCGCAGGTCCAAGGAGGGTCCTCCAGGTCAGGTATCCCGATTCAGTTGGACATCAAACCTTCCGAGAACCCACATGCTGTCCCAGGCATACCGGATACGAAGAACTTGCATTCCCCGGCGTTGGTCCCGCAGACAGCGACTTCGGGCTCATCTTCTTTCGGCTTGCCAAAAGATAGGGACACGGCGACGACGAGATCTGCAGCGCTCTCACCAGCAGGCAACTCGGTTATGACCGGATCGCTCAAGACGGGAATCAGCGGTGGCGGGACGAGTCACCCTAGGCCCGAGGTCACACCGAGCGAGTGGAACAGGAAGATGGAAGGTGCTGGGGTCTTGGACTTGGTCGGCGGAGGATCGGGTTCAGGACGATACGGACAAGGTAACGGTCAGGGACAGGGACATCCACAAGCGCAAGTGGTGAGATCGAGGTCGAGGTCGAGTGCGAGTACGAATCCCAGCGCAGGGACCGGGTCGACGACGAGACAGCCACAAGAGTCTCGCCCGAGAGATCCTCCGTCGACGCGGTCTTCCATTGACGACAGGTCGATGGAGAAGCGGTCTTTAAGGGTGACAAACGCGTCCCCCGAGTTGAATCAGGACGACAAGACCGACACGGCCGTCTCACGCTGGGGGGCGCTCCGGAGCGTCGTCCAGACCGCAGCAACCTTGGCTTCTAGCGGGATCGCCTCGACGATCCAAAAGACACCGGGGGATCAAAACGCTTCCTTCTTGGACGTCCCTTCCACCGCTGACCAGGCCATTCGACCTAGTCCGGCTAGGAACAACTCGACATCGACGAATGAGGCCGGATCTCCTGCTGCCTCCACGGAGAGCACGAGCCAGACGGGTTCGTCAGGAAAGTTGCCATTCTTCGAGAGGTACAAGAAGATGGCCGAGAACACGAACGGGGCGACGTCGATGGTCCGGCAGATCTCGGTCAGGGAGGACAACAGGCTGAGAAAGACGCCGGCGAGGTTGAACCCGGATTTGGACGTCGTTGGCGAAGGAGAAGAAAGTAACGTTCTGGTTGAATCCCCGTCGAGGTTTGGCTTTGGCGAAAAGGACGGCCGAGAGGAGAGCTCGGCGCTACCATGGCTTCGAAGAGGTAGCGAGACATCGGTGCTCGACCGCCGGTTAGGATCTTCCCAAGCCAAGACGTTCTCGGATGCAAGCCTGTCCTCGAACGGTTCTACCTCGGAGAGCAAGGCCAGACCTGGTGATATGGCCATCATCACGCCCAGTGCGAGCATGAACCAGCTCGACGGGGTCGCCATGGGCTCTCACCGGGCCTACCAACCTCCTCTACGGGTCCGAGATGCTTCCGGACCCGACGGCGAGCTCATCGAAGGTCTGATCGAGGACCTCAAAACGGACCTCGATCGACTCGGCATGCTCTCACCGAATATGAGCGTCGATCGGAGGACGGAGAGAGAATCGTACCAGTCTTCTCTGCTCGCGCCGTCGGATAGCATCTCTACGCCCGGACTGGACTTGCAGAGGCGGAGGAGCGATTCGACCAAGATCTCACCACAGGCCGTACCGGGTAAACGGGCTTGTCAGAAATGTGGGGTCAGCTTGAAGGGAAGGCGGTACGTCAAGCGGGACGGGATCGTATTGTGTGAAGCGGACTGGAAGGAGATGTTCCTTCCCAAGGTGAGAAATTACATTGTCGATCGCCCAGAATCGAAAAGGCTGACAATCACATTTCGTTGCAGTGCCGCCGTTGTACACTACCCATCGAGACCTCTGCCATCTCTTCCTCGGACGGCCAGCTCAAGGGGAAATGGCACCGCGAGTGTTTCACGTGCCACGAGTGTGACCAACCGTTTAGCGGCGAGAGCTTTTACGTGTTTGGCGACAAGCCGTATTGTCAGCTGCATTATCATCGGCTCAAGTGAGTGCATCGATTAGACAGTACTGGAATTTCAAGGAGCGAGACAGCGTCGCTGACCCGGGGAAACCTATGTTCATACCGTAGCGGCTCGCTATGCGCGGCCACCTCGTGCCGACTCCCTATCGAAGGCCCATGCCTATTGACCTCTGGTAACACTCGATACCACCCCGGTCACCTCCACTGCGACCACCGGGATAGGGTCGGAAACTATTCCTGCCGGAACCCGATGGAAGATTATTACGAGGTCGGCACGATGAAGGTCTGTGAGCGACACAAGGACGAGGCCTTGAGGGTGATGAACCGGATGGCAGGGAAACGGGATGCGGCGGGGAGGATGAGCGTGGCGGCCAAGGCGGAGAAGAGGCGGACGAGGTTGATTCAGATGTAAGGGCAGCGGGTGATGGTAGTCGCAACTATGGACAGTGGTCTCGATCATAATGAAACAGCGAATGACATGTAACATGACATGCATGACCGGCTTTGTAGCAAGATACAGACGTCACGAGCAATAAATGGAAATGAACGTTTCGGTCAAGTCCGGCGCTAGTTGATTCCCACATGGCCCGATCTTCCCGATCCTCGAAGGAAAATGAAATGAAAAGGTGAATTGGATGACCAACGCCGATGGAGTTGGGGATGACTTGGACGATGACATTCTGCAGCGTACACTTGTACGTTTCTACTCTTAGGGTTTCTTGGGCATAGCAGTAACGACGAGGACTAGTGAACGGTTCGGATTTCATCGCATCTGTATAGTAGGCTATCACGCAAACTGTATACCACTACTGCTAAAGGAAGCCCGACATATCCAAAATCTGGACCCCGGAACGAACAAGAACGAAAAGCTTTTGACCCGCATTGTGATGGCAAAGCACGACATACAACCTGCAAGCGATGCTAGTCCCACAGATGCCGCAGTACAACCCACCAAAAAACACGGAGACAAGGAATGGATGGCCTCGGACAAGGATGCTGCGGCCATTCCGGAGAACAACATGTGGCTGGTAGTGCCGAGTCTGATGCTCGTCATGTTCCTAGCAGCGCTCGACCAGACGATCGTGACCACCGCTCTGCCGACGATAGCGAGTCACTTTAATGCTACTCGTGAGTGCTTCGAAATTCTGTACGTGGGCGTGGTCTGATATCGGGTCGGATATGTGGCTGCAGCTGGCGAGTACAGTTGGGTGGGTACGAGCTACCTCTTGGTGGCGACCATCATGGTACCGTGCTGGGGTCGAGGTGAGCAGACTTTCCACGCAGAATACAACCCTCAGCTCGGGACGTATAACTCACGTCCAGTCTTACCTTGTTTTTGAACAGTCTCGTGAGCGGGGATCTGAGTATCGTATCGAGTCAGAAAGCTATCTTCAGCTGACGCACCACCCTTTTTCTTCTGTTTCTTTTGCGCTCCGACAGCGACATCGTCGGCCGCAAGACCTTGATGATCCCGGGTATCTTTGCTTTCCTCATCGGTTCCGGTGGGTCTACCATCGGCCTCGTTCGGCATCCATCATCGCGTTCCACTCACACAAGCCCCAATGTTCGCCTTCATTTCCGCAGCGCTTTGCGGGGCGGCGAAGTCGATGACCTGGTTGATCGGCGCGAGGGCTATGCAAGGGTTCGGTGGAGGGTCGATCATCAGTCTTACGCAGATTATCATTGGGGATATCGTACCGTTACATAAGCGAGGGGTGAGTGGCACCATGACAAGAATATCTGGGTGATTAGAGTTTCGCTGATATCTGCTTTGGTGTCGGTAGGCGACAAACTCGTGGACGGGATCCATATGGGGAATGTAAGTGAAATCTTCTGTACTTTTCAGTATGTCACATAGCTTAACATGATATATGGCCTTCATAGCGCATCCGTCATGGGTCCTCTATTCGGAGGCTTGATCTGCGAACGAACCAGCTGGCGTTGGATCTTTTTCATCAACCTCCCCGCATGTGGATTGGCCATCCCGGCCTTGTACTTCAGCCTCAACTTGCCGCCGAGGAAGAAGACCACCTGGAGCGAGTTGTCGAGGACGTTCGACTTTATCGGACTCGTACTCATCATGTCCGGATGCGCTTGCCTCGTCGTCGGGTTCTCCAGCGCGAGCGACAACGGTTGGGGTCAGAAACAGACCATCGCACTGCTCGTCGTCGGCTTCGTCCTCTTCGTAGCCAGTCTCGTCAACTTCATGGTCACGAAGCGTAACGCCATCGTACCGCCACGTCTCCTGAGGACGAGGACGACCGTGTTCTGGTTGTTGTGCAGCACGTTGCATGCAACGGCCTTTTTGTCGGCGTCGTTCTATTTTCCAGTGTTCTATCAAGGAATCGAGAATGCTAGTCCTCTCATGAGCGGAGTGAGCCTGCTCGATCAGCGTGGCCCGCGCAGCACTACCTCTGCTGACATCTCGATCTTCCACCAGGTCTACGTCCTGCCATTCTCTCTCGTCGTATCTATCGGTACAAGTGAGTCTGGACGCCTCGCACCGCAGACGGAATACAGCTGATTTCGCCAACGTAGTCATCGCCGGGCAACTCAACACCCGACTCCGGATCGTCCGACCTGTAGTCTGGGTCGGATACGCGATCTCTGCGCTCGGATACGGACTCTGTATCAAGTACCTCCAGTATGGCGGGGGCATTGCCAATCAGATCGTCATCCTGATCGTCCTCGGCCTAGGGGTCGGGCTTTCACTAGCAGTACCTCTCTTGTGCCTACAAGCGGTAAGTCTCGTATCAGCCCCAGGGTTGAGCGCGTATCTGACCAGGGGATATGCTACCTCGTCCAGGCAATGCCGTTGAAAGAGATGGCCGCATCCACTTCGGCGTGGCTACTCACCAGGTCTCTAGGAGGCACGCTGGGTATCGCCATCTTCCAGGCCGTGATTACTACCGGGCTCGAGTCAAGATTCCCCAAGTTGGAGGGGTATGGTACCCAATTTCAGATCCCGCATGATCTCGAAGGATATCACCGGATTCACAACCTGCCGGAAGGCCCTACCAGAGAAGCGGCCTTGTCTGCCTTTTCGGATTCACTCAGGGTACGTCTAGTCCACGTCATTGGCGTTAAAAGTGAACTCACCGGAACGATTTGCCCATGTTTAGCTCTTGTGGATCATCTGGACGCCAATGATGGGCGTGGCACTGCTAGTGAGTCACAACCCCTGCCGACCAATCGTGTAAAGGCAGGATGCTAAACAGACTCTTCCAGATGTCTTTGTGGACGCGCACATACACCTTGGATCGACTGCCTGGCCAGCAGACGGCGACTCAGACAGAGACCGACACCAAAGTCGATGATGATCTTGAAAAAGGTCCTCTTGATTCGAGCGAGAGCGACGAGATGGCGAAAGGCTCTAGCCCAAGGGCGGTCGACGAAGAGATACAAAAGCAGGGTACGGTCCTAGATCCTGTGGCTCCGGCAGGGCCGCCGTTCGGGGATGATGTAGTACAAGGCCGGGTCAAAGGATAAACAACATGCATGCGCGGACAGTATTATGGTATATAGTTGGGTATAATTCGAGCTTGTAACGAAGATGCGCAGATGGAATATTCCGTTTCGATCGTTCCTTCCCCTCCCCCTGACCTGGCATTGCGCGTCTTAGAGAAATTTGGCGATGGCAGCGGGCACGCCGGCGTACGGTGCCCTTCTCCTTGCCTTCTCTGCGACGCTAGCCATGGCCATGACGATCCACCAAACTTCCTCCTCAATGAGGCCCGGTTTGCCGTCGGCCCCTCCAGCTCCGACTTGAACCTTCAGCTTTCCCACTTTGAAGCTCAGGCTTCCATGCTCCAGCCAGGCTCCGACCGACTTTCCCGTGGCACGGTCGGTGATCTTGTAATTAAAGTAGTTCCACCTCTCCGTGGACCCTTTCACGCCGTCCTCCTTGGACGAGGTGCGGACGAGGTCGAACACGCGTTGAGAGGTCCCCTGGGGGATCGTCAAGGTGTAATGCGCGAACGTGATAGGGTCATGATTGACCAGCGTAGCACTCGGCCCAGTGTTACCGATATCGGAGCCATCTGCACCGAGGGTCATCTCGACGTCGTGCTTCTGACTAAAATGGGCGGTCCCGATAACCTGGCCGCCTTTCGAACGTTCCCTCAGGACGACATCGGGCGAGCCCTGGACTTCGGACATTTCCGCATAGTACCGGACCTTGCCAGGGGGCTCTGATACGGCTATATCGACCGTCTTGTAGCTCGCCCATTTGAACTGCAGCTCAAGGTTGTTCGTGGTGGCAGGAAGCAGGGATGTGGCTCGAGGATGGGTACCATCGTATGACGGCGGTGCAACGTCTTTGCTGTGTGCGAGTTCTTGGTATCCTGATGCAACGGCGGTCGACATTCGAGGTGCGATTGTTATGTGTTGGAGGCTGGAGAAGATGTTAACGCTGGTCTTGATGTCTCAAGGAGACGAGGGGCAAGAGTTCCCGCTGCATCGAGGACAGTCGCTAGTACTTATACTCCCGGCAAGAGACGTTCACTCAACCATCACTTCACACGCCAAGACCTTCTAGCGCTCATCACTGCCGAAGTCGTTGCCGGACGCCCGATCCCGGTCAGGTCCGGGAAACCTTGATTCTCGCTTGTTGCAAATGGCCTATCCTACAATGACGCCCACCTCCCTCTCGCTCCCCCAGCTATCCCTCACACGACCCAACTCCCTCAATACATGCACAACGCCAGTCCTCTCCGTCGTATCCGGAAAGACCTGGATCGCATCCGCTGCATCCTGTTGGTAATTCTCAAAGGAAGCTACTCCTTGTTGATGAGCTCTCGAACCGATTTCGTGAGGTAGAGGCTGTGTCACGATAGTGGGATAGGCAAGAAGGCCATGTCTCAGCGGGATCAATATGATCTTGGTCTCGAAGGGTTGCTTCGGCTGCCGCGCAAACTTCCGATCAGCTGATCTCGTTCGAGCCTTGGCACAGAGAACGGAGTCGGCACTCACATCTGCCCGATATGATCCTCTCTTGGGCCCGGCGACAAGCCATGCCTCCTTGTCCGCGATGACATCGTACATCATGGTTATAGGCTCCTCATCTGGATCAGAAGACCAAGCAGTCGATGTTTCTATCCGAACCCGAACGTCGATAGGCTCTCCGACTCGGTAGTCGAAATCCCCCGAGGGGAATTGCAAGGCGGATTGCGAGATGATCTGGATAGGTTTCAAATCGTAAGAACAATCATCCTCATGTGGCATGTCTATCAGAGTACTGACCTGCATTGGTGGTACCTCGACAGGTATTGTCAGAGAACGCCACGTCTCGGCGTCTACAAAGTCAAGGGGCATCAGGAATGTATTTCACCGACCTAGCGTGACGATGCCGACAGGCTTACCATCAAATTCAAGCTGGTACGCTAATACTAGTCGCAGTTGTCTACCTTGGAGATTGGTATGAGGAGAACGTTGGGTGATCTTGAAGACGTACGGCACAGGCGACTCTGTTGTGACGTCCTAGAGGGGGAAGGGTAAACAAAGCGGATCAGTGAGGGGACTCGAAGGAAAGAAGGGGTCGATCCCTACCCTCTCTTGCCCGCCAGTAGCGAACGGGATGACATCAAGATCGCCTTGATCGGAGGACACGACGGCCGAGCGTGTTCGGATCGGACCGTGACCCGCTGTGGAGACGGTAAATTTCGATATGAGACTGAAAGTCGTCGGGATGTCAGATATCGCCCAGGTCCAAAGCAGAGTTCGCTGTGCCTACCAATCCGGTCGGAAAAAGTCTTGCACATTGACAGCGAGCGGTAGCGCGAGGTTGAGGTTTTGCGAGATTCGATACACCCGCTTTACTTCGGGCTCATCTGTCGTCCGGTAGTCAACGCTCAGGCGGATCTACATACGCAACGTCAGCTCGCAGCAATATAAGTAATGCTGTTCTCACCTGGCTTACCACCACATCGTCGCTTTTCGCTTCCGTCACGTAAGGTATGGATATCACCAGCTTGTGGGCCGGATCGACACCGCTAATGATGACTCCCTGAGCTGACGCTTGAAGAGCTACAAACAGGAGCACTCCGCGTCAGTCAACCTACATGTCAGGCCCGCATTGATAGACAACCAACTCTGTGATCCAGAGCATGTTGACCCGGGGTAATAGAACGTGACTCCTTCCGTATCTGATGTCAGATTGATAGCGGCATCCCGAATCCGGTTGCGTCCCGAATATAAGGTCAAGTTCAACCTAGGTTCTGTCTCAAGGGAGACTGTCCTCACATCAAGCCGAGGTCCAGTCAGCTTGCTTGCTTGCTTGCTTGCTTGCTTCCCGTTCGAAATGAATCTGTACTCACCTTCGAGGGGTACATCGAGGTTAGCTTTGAAGGCTTCGGGATCGGCTGGTACCCGCATTATCCTGCTGGCCAGGCTCGTTGTCTGGTCTCTACTCCCATATTCGAACATCAATCGACCAGTCCGAAGCTTGCATGACCCGAGGGTAAACACCCCCGAGAGTGGCATCTAAGTGAAGCGATCAGGTATGATCAGCTGGTTGTGAGTTTTCGACTAAGCGAAAGCACACGCTTACCAAACTGGTCAAGACCACTTCATTCTCACCCTCTGTCAAGATCTCGGCGTCCGACGTATACCAGACGTTCTGCTGTCCCTGCCCAACGAGGCACACCTGAACCTTGTCTACTTCGAGTGTGGATGGCGCCCGATTTGTTATGATTATACGTATCTTCGACCCGTCCTCTGTAAGAAGTGGTTCGGCCGTATGAGAGCGCAACTCGAGCTCAAAGATCGGATGATCATACACGTCAATGTCTGAAGAAGGAGTCAGCCAATATCGAGATGTGGCGAGATTCTTTGCTATTCACCTTGCTCGAATTCGACTTGGTTAAACCGATCGACCGCTTCGGAAATCCGCCGAGTCGTTTCCTGGCATAATGTCTTTCCATCATCTTGAGACCATGTACTGCTCGACGTCGGAACCAGGCTTAGATATTCCAGACCAAGCATTACGAATGTCTTGTCGACGGGCGTGCCTAGACGATCGTGACACTCGACAGTACGTGCCAAAGCTCGCATACGGACGGGGTACCAAGTAGATCCAGCCATACCAGCTTGCCGAGCCTCGTCCGAAAGATAGTCTCGACAAAGACCGATGTAGATGAGCCTGGCAGCGTCGAGCTCGCCTCGATGACTGACGTGGGTCCGTGCGTGAGCTCAATTGCACAGAGAATGTAGGCAATATCTTGGCTTACTACGCGATTTCTGCAATCCGCTCGTCGAGACTAAATCTGACTCGGACCCTCCCGCTCCCGAGCTCAACAGACTTTGCGTCATCTACATGTGCAAGATACGATGAATAGAATCTTTCCCTGTCGTTGATTGCTTCAAGTAACTGTCTTGTCGACCCTGAGGCTGATTCTTCAGCTTTCGCCGTCTCTGCTATGATCGGGGATGCCGGGACGTCGAACAGGATCGAATCCTTTTGTGGTAATAGCTGAGACGACTGCAAGAAAGGGTATGCGTGGGGGAAAATCCCGTTCTTGAGGCCTATTCTGTCCATCTGTGAAGATCGATTGAAGCGACATACTATTTCAGCGCGGATCGGCGAAATCGAAACACAAGCGACAAACATGCTAACCTGTAGTATTGCTATCTTAAGAAGTTCGCCCCTAGCCGCGAGGAAGACCCTTCTCTCGGTCTCCGATCCGTCTTTTGCGACAGAAGCCGCGTTATAGCTACGGGCCTCCATCGTTCGACATACCGCGTCGACCTCCAAGACCGAGTCGTAGAGGAACGCCTCAATTGTGTCGGTCATGTTGGAAGCCTTTTGGTAGTAGCTCGAGGGTCAGTACTTGTAAATTCAGGCACCAACGGAAAAGGGCTCACCGAGTTCTCCCTGAGCCACCGGCCCATGTTCAAAATCCACCTCATCCCTCTCTCGACAATCTGGACGGGATTTGCTTTCCCACCCAGCGTAGTCACTCCCATTTCATAGCTGTTGAGGAGGATCTCGACCTGCCGGCGGAACAGATACACGTGGTACTCGTATATCGTATACGTTGATGACGGAGATTGGGAGCGATTTCTCGCAGAGTTTGCGGGCGGGAACAGCGGCGCAGTGTCCGTCGCAATCCTTTCCGTGCCCGTCCGACCCACGAAGACCGAGGTATCTGTGGTCGACAGGTCCCATCAGAGCTTGAAGAGAACAGGGATCTTAGAACGACAGACTGACCTCTAGCCACTTGCGCCATAGAAGCTTCCAATTCGTCATACGTCAAAAGGGCGTCCTCGAAAAGGCTCATCCGTTCGTATGTCAACGCCAACGACTCTTTGCATGCAAAGAATTTGTTCCAGTTCCATCCACCGCTACCCCCAGGAATCCGCATAGACGCTTCCCCCTTCCTGACGGCGTCTTCGCGTTCTCTAACGATATCGTCCAAGGCGCCGATGATGGATTCTTTCAGCGCCTGCGTGAGGTCCAGGAACAATGTAGGGTCCGCTACCGATGCCTTTTGTGTGACAGGAGCTTGAGCTGGCAGCGGTAGGGAGATGACCCGAGTCACAGGTGCGGTCAAAGTTCCAGCTAAATTGGTCGAGGAGAGATTTGCTTTCTCGTTCGTTGCCGTGGTGATACCGAAGTCCGACTTGAGCTTCGAGAGGATACTAGCAGCGGTGCTACCTGTAGCCGCCGAACGGAGGTTCGTGAACATGCTTCCAGCTCCTTTGCCCGTATCAGAAGCCTGCGCATTAGCCCCTGACGTCGCATTGTTGACGAGAACGATGAGGTTCTGAGCGTGAGATTGGTGGGCCGGTGGTAGAGATGTTATCCACGATGTGATGTATGGCCGGACGGACGACTTGTAGGCTTCATTGTCCTGCAGTCATCACGAATCAGTGATCATCGCCAACAATCTGCTCGATCACTTCGAGGATCTTACCTCGCATTCCACAAAACACATGTGTACCAGACTACCATCCACCAAGCTCCCTGCTTCTATATCTTTGGGTAACTTCGATTCCTGTTGTCTCGTCTGAACATCGACCAGCTTGTGCAGCTTGACATCGCATTCTTGTACGGTCCTGACCGATGGCTTGGTCGCGGACTTCCAATGGAAATTTCTCAGCGGCAATTGAGAATTGAGAGAGGACAAGATGTAAGGAAGATGTCGGAGAGTTGTCGGGGTCGAGGTGTAGGTCACGTTGATGGGGTGATCGTCGGACATCTTGGCGGTCGTTGCGGAAGAGGGTGTTTCGTCCGGTATGAGGTATCACTTGATCGGCATTGAAGTCTGCCTAGATTGAAAATCAATTCACCTCGAATGTTTAACGCTATTCAGTCCGACATTCGTACAGCAGAATGTATGGCTGCTATATGCTATAAAAGCCAAATTGCTCTGATCGATTATGACGATATGGTCTCGCTCGGAGATCGGTTTGTTGACGAAGTGAGCCGAGGATCGGCAGAAGAACCCTGACAAGCCCAACTACTTGAAAACCATCCCTGCACAACCAAGCCCACTATCTACAATTCTTTGTATCGTCGTAGACTAGGCCAGACGAGGGCGCTGTTTGCAGAATTCTGAGCTTGGGCATTCAGCCAATAGAGCAAGCTCGCGAGGCAACATTCCCATCCATCAAGTACAACAAAGAGAAAACATCCGACCAAACAGATCATCCTGCGGCCAGTGAACAAGACTAGATGGAACTGGAGTGGCCCACCGTACCGGCTTGAAGAGGTGGGTACGCTAGTTGAAAGGAGGCGAAAGAGGAAAGGAAGAAGATAGGAAACGTGGAAGGGTTCGTTTACTTGCCTTGAACGCTGGCCATGTCAAGGTGAGATCAGTCAGCTCTGAGCCGCAACGAGATCTCGGTTGTGCTGGAAATCGAGGAGATACTTACGCTTTGACGATCGGTACGACGATGACGATGATCAAGATCACGATACCGACCCCGACGATGATCCTCCACTTCATGTCCTTCCACCTAGTAACGCGATACAATGATGAGCCTATTAACCACCGCCAAGGTTGCTTGGGCCAGACGGAAGGGGATGAAAACACGGGAAAAGCGAAACGTACCACATCTGCTTCCTGACCCTGTTGGCACCTCGTCGGAATCCTTGTGCAGAAACGGCGAGGTCGTCTGCGAAACACACCATAGATGTCAGATTTCCTTATACGCCTCATCATCATCTCCCCCCTCGGCATTTCTTCAGATCTCAGGGGAGTAGGCATAGCGTAGAGTCCGCAAAGCGACTTACCGCTCTTGTCACGTAGAGTGTCCAAGTTGGCTCCTCGCTCGGTCACCTTGTTGATGTTATCCCTCATGATCCCGACGGTCGAGTCGATCTCGGCTTGAAGCGCTGCGGTCTGCGGAATTCATTTTAATCCATCGAATACCATCCGGAGAGAAGAGTTTGACCAAAGACGGTGACAGAATAGGAGCGAAGAGAAAGCAACAGAAAAGGTCAGGTGTCTATTACGAAGAAATGACTCTGAGCCCATTACTGACCCTCTGATCTCCCTGTCTAGCGACCCCACCCGCAGGTCCGGATCCGCTACCTCCTGGAGCAGAACCTCCAGCGGGGATATAAGGATCATAAGGCTGGTTATCACCGGGGTTCGCGTAAGGGTTGTTGCTCGACCTGGATACATGTGACGAGTCGCAGTTGTAGTTGGAATCGAGGTTTGGGTGGACGTATATTGAGGATAGGTTCCGAAGATAGGCACGAAAGAAATGCGGGTACACCGTCGACCAGTATGAATGGTCAGAGATTCCATAGAAAGCGGTGGTGATTCCATGATGAGTTGTTCGAAAAGAGATCGGGTTATAGTATTTCGCATTCCAATATCAAGGGAGAGAAAGGAAGAGTGTTTGTTGACGAATGAGTAATTGCACACAGCGCGGTCCGCCTTGGTCTATCACGACCGGAACGCACATGATGGGGAAGGTATTACGGTTCAAGGTCCTGTATTCTTGGTGAGGTCAAGCGAAATCGAACGGTGTGGGCAAGCGATTGTAGGATCTCGGATTGGCAAAGGCCATATAACCATTGATATTCCTGCACAAAAGGTCGTGAGCGTACAGCGTCGGCTGGCACAGCAACAGCAACAACCTCGGCTGGGAGAAAGGCAGCGAGGTTCGGAAGCAGATCCCATTCTGCCCGTTCGGTGACGTTATTCCCTTACGGCAGATCTCAGCGACGTCAAGTCTCAGCTCACGGATCGGGCCGTCGATCGTCGTACACCATACACCATCCATGCCATCCACATCGTCAACAATCCCCGATCGAGTAGCTTAGCTTGGTAGCTGAGTAGCGGTCAAGGGAGTCAACCTGATTGACAGCCATGAGAGAAGCTGGAGGAGACATTGAGCTGCCTTGTCTCTTTAATGATTACGAGTCAATAATTTCTACAACCTCGACGAGTAGGGCGACCTCTCGGAGTATAATCGACAGCATGACCTCGACGAAAGCAAAGTCGGAAGCCAACAAGGCTCGAGTGCTATACTGGTTCAGGACCGACCTGCGGATACATGATTCCCCGGCTCTTCAGGCTGCGCTCGCCTTGGACCAGGAGATAGGAATCGAGGCATTTTATCCGGTAGGCTTATTCCCGTGTATTCGGATAGCGCTTCCCAGCTGACAACTCGCTGCGCTTACATCGTAGATCTGGTGTTTCGACCCCCAGTATGTAGCCGCAGGGTTTCGGTACAAGATGCATGTGCTAAGATTCGCTCGGAACCCCACTCTAGATACGTCTGGAAACACCGGGTCGGAGTCAACCGGTAATTCGTTTTCCAGCCTTTACATCAACCTTGATCGCCCTGACTTTTTTCCTTGCGCAAACTCGCAGATGGAACTTCCTTTTGGAATCAATGTCAGACCTTTCCACATCGTTGACCAAGCTCAATCCGAAACAAAAGTTGTTCGTCCTACGTGGTAGTCCTGAGAAGGTCATTCCTCTTGTCTTTAAAGAGTGGGGCATAACGCACCTCGTCTTCGAGAAAGTAAGCCAGCCATGAGTGGAATAAGAAAAACAAAGACAGGCGTATTGACTTCGTCATGTCTGTCGTCTTCTTGATCAGGACACGGCTGCCTACGCGAGACAAAGGGACGAGCTGATCTTCTCGCTCGTAAAGGAAAGATTCCCTCATATCAAAGTCATCGTGAAACACGGTCATAACCTCTACGATCCCGAAGAGGTTATCAAGAAGGGGAACGGGGGGAAAGTGATTACGACGCTTATGAGCTGGAAGAAGGTCAGTGGCTTCTACTCGATGAGGCAAGTCGTCCCATTTCGGGAGGTGATGACCCATTCCCTGATCGTTTGGATAGGCAGCAGCGAAAGTAGCAGACGCTCCAGCCCGACCCGTACCAACGCCGACATCACTGCCCGATCCTGGAGACACTTCAATCGATATCACCCGTGCTGACACGAAGCCGCTGGAGAAGATCAAGAGCGAAAATCCAGCTTGGACGCGTCGCGCGAATAAACCGATAAAGGACGAAGCGGGGAGTGGTAATGCCATGGAAGGACCTTTTGCAAAGTTGGATGGCCTGAACGTGAACAGGGAGATCATGGACGACGAAAAGTTTGATTGTTTCGGTGAGATCCACGCGAACACCTTGGAGGTGCACCGGCAATGAAAAGGACGCTGAGACCTGGCGCGTCGTAGATACAATCGCTGGACCTGACAAGGATTTCGCCGTACCGACCTTGGAATCCCTCGGCCTGGGAAAAGCCACGACGCATATCCAAGGGGGCGAGACCGAAGCTTTGCGACGTCTACAGGCCTTTCTCGACGACGCGGTCGGGGTGGCGACGTTTTCCAAACCGAAGTCCTCCCCGAATAGTTTGGAACCGAGCACGACCTTGCTCAGCCCTTACCTCAAGTTTGGATGCATGAGCGTCAGGAAATTTTACTGGGATTCGCAGGACGTCTGCGACAAGTATGCGAGGGAGCACAAGGGTGCGACTATGACGAAGGAGCCGGAGAATTTGGCGGGACAGGTGAGTCGAGCTCGTCGAGTCAGTCGCCAATGGCTTTGGTGCGGTCGTTAATATTTTCGCTTCCGCAGCTAGAATTCAGGGACATGTACTATTGTGCGGAATACGCTACAGCCAAATACGAGCGGATCGAAGGCAATTCACTCTCAAGGTGTGTCTCATGGTTGCTGCGACGAACTCTTGAGCTGAATCTTTGAAGCAGGTTCATCGCGTGGAAACTAAGAAACAAGTACGATAAGGATGGACAGCTGATAGAACCGCGACCACGTGGGGATGAAGTGGATGAGGAGAGGTTCTCGGCTTGGGCAAGTTATCAAGTCGGACGTTTCAAGGCATGCGTGTCATGCTGATACAGTTGAACTTGCAGAAAGAAGGGCGGACCGGGTTTCCGTAAGCACGCAAGCAAGCTCGGCCGGCGAGTCTCAACTTATCCTCTGCGCTCTCCAGCTGGATCGATGCAATTATGCGTCAGCGTAAGTCTTATGTCTTGTACTGTGCTTACTTTCATCCGCGCATTGGCTCATATTCCGGTTGCTGCCACGAACGAGTTAGTCAAACAGGAAGGTTGGATTCATCATCTCGCTCGTCACGCCGTAGCATGTTATTTGACAAGAGGCCAATGCTATATCTCATGGGAAAGGGGTACCGAAGTCTTTGACGGTAAGTCAGATGTCGGAAACCGAATTTACGACCATTCACCTGATTTGAAATCTCGGTGTACAGAGTATCTTTTGGACTGGGATCCTGGTAAGCAACGGGTACGTCTTTCACAGGCACCGGATCTAACACGTCTCGCGATCTTTTTCAGCATCAAATCCAGGAAATTGGATGTGGTTGAGCTGTTCGGCGTTTTTCTCGCAATACTGTGAGTCAGCTTGTGTATGCTCTTCTTGCGCCTTCTAGATCTAGGTACTTAAGCGCGATGCGTCCTGTAGTCAGAGTTTATGGACTGGAGTCGTTTCCCTCAAAGACGGATAAGAAAGGAGCCTACATTCGGAAATATTGTGCGTCCCGAAATCCCATATTTAGTCCATGAACTTGTACTAATCAAGACCGGTTCATAGGCCCCGAGTTGGCGAAGTTTCCAGACAAGGTGAGACGCCTTTTGCCCAACGCCAATAGGTTCGCGCGCACTAACTCGCCTGATTACAGTTCATCTACAATCCTGCTTCCGCCCCAATCTCCGTCCAAGAGAAGGCTGGATGTATCATAGGGCAAGACTATCCGGCCCCGATACTGGACGAGCAGAAAGAGAAGGCGCGTTGTCTCGCTCGACTCAAGGTCGCTTACGAGGTCAATCTGCACGGCGATTCGCCAGATGTGATGAACGGCACGGCGGAAGATAAGCTCAAAGCGCGTTTCAAGGAGAAGATGGGAAGGGACGAGGATGACGAAGAGGAAGAGGCCTCGACGCCGAAGAAACGCAAGAATGCCCCGGTCGACAGTGGACCTATGGACAGGTTCTTGAAAAAGGCAAAGTCTTAGTAACCGCGACCTGCCCATATTATGGACGTTTTGTTTTCGATTTCGATCCTACCGTACGACTTCTATCAGCCTGTTCCGTCCATGTAACGACGCATAGATGGACTGCTTCGCTCTCGCTCTTGTGGTGTCTAATGTCGGGTGTATGTTGAGGAATGCTGCGCGAGCCAAATCCGGCGAAACGGTCCGTTGCACCGCGGAATCGCGTGGGAAACGTCATCCACGCGGGGGATCGATGATGCTACCAGCCAGCGAGATACGCGATACGCCGGCACTCACTCAGGCCGACGACGTAGATCAACTACTATCAACCCTCGACCTATCGTTTCGTCGTTGTTTGTGCCGATTGTACACATCTTGCATTCCGTTTCTTTCTCACTCCCTTTTTCGTCTGCAGAAAATCCCATAAAATGGTGCGTCGCGATGTGATTAACAATAACAAACGAAGCCGAAGCTGATCCGAGCTACGAACGCGTTCTTTGTTTACCTGTTGATGCCTTGATGTGGGCAGTCCTCCGGAATCAAGCCTGTAAGTGCTTTCCTCCCTGGAAGACTTCATCCTTTCAGTCTGGAGCTGATCCTGTACCACCTCGTTGCTAGGACGAGACCTGCCTCAAGGCCTACGACGAGCTCAAGCTCGGCAAGAAGCACAAATTCATCATCTACGCTATCGCTTCCGATTCGAAGAGCATCACCACCGTCAAGCAGGCCACCTTGGAGGAGGGTCAGGAGTGGGAGACCTTCGTCGAGCAGTTGCCCGAGAAGGAGTGCCGATGGGGAGTTTACGACCTGGAGTACGACCAGGGTGAGGGAAAGAGGAACAAGCTCTGCTTCGTCATGTGGTGAGTTTGCGACGCGTCGTGTCTCGACGTCATCGTGGATACTCAATCATGGAGTGCTGATGTCGTTCGGATGTTATACATGACAGGTCCCCCGATGATGCCCCGATCCGACAGAAGATGATGTACGCCAGCAGCAAGGATGCCATTAGGAAGCAACTCGTCGGTATCTCTGCCGAGATCCAGGCTACCAGCTTCGACGAGATCACCTTCGAAAGCGGTACGCACCTTTTCCGTAGTCTGTGTTCTTAGATCGTTGTGCGCTCATCCCTATTCCGTCTTGTCGCTTAGTTATGGACCGTGCCGCTCGTCGATAAACCAGATGACGTCGAACGCTTTTTTAAGTGCAACCAAACTTCCGGGTAAGCATGTAGACCCCGTTGAATCTCTACTCTACGTAACGCTCATCTTGAAACCATCGCATTCTCTTGACAGGATGTACAGCTATACCGATTCCCAATGGAAACCCTCAATCATTCCCTTCCCCCTATGCTCTTTCCTCCTAACCCGCCTTTTCATCATACCTTGTCGTAGATGGCTTTTCAATGGCATGCGTCTTCTCTTTGATCTCTTCTTTAGTCTGTGACGATCTTGCTTGTATCGATGGAAGCAGATGTTCATTCGTGATGTTCTGTGATAATCGGTGCAATAGGCGCGTTGATCGAATTGAGATTGGCGAGAGATGGATGCGCTTTGGTTCAGCCGTTGCGTAAAGATTGTTATTGGCATCTTTCGCTGGTTTTCGATGTCAACCGTCCGAGAGGTTGCGTGCTCACGACACATCGCTTCAAATTATGGTCAAGGTTTTCATGTACAGCTGAACTATCTAATCTAGACCTCCATTTCTAAAGCGCTCAATCCACTTTGGTCTTCTCGGCGTTCTTCGATTCGGCATGCCTGGCTTGAACCCTGCTGGTCAGCGCGTCGATCTGAGCGAACTGATGCTTGAAATCGGTAGGGTAGAGGAAAGGTCGAAGATCAAATCCTACGACGGAGAACGATATTAGACTCGTCTCGCTGATCATCTCGAAGGCTGCTAGCTTACTATTGTCGTCGGGCGAGTATCCCTCCTATCATTTTTGCCATGGACGGGTGAGCATTCTTGTCACGGACTCGAGGACGCCGATGGATTCAGCTTACCATGTGTACAGACGGGGTCAAGGTAGTCCTGATGATGGAAGCACCTTCAGCTCTCGGTACAGCCACGATAACCACTCGGAAACTCACATCTTGTGCCTGTTTCGAGCGTATTCGAAGAAGAAGTGCTTGACCTTTCGTGCGATCTGTAACGCAGCTTTCATCAGCCACGAAGCGCCCACGCTTTGGCGAATGCGCTTACCTCCTCTGGGGGCAGTCTGTTTCCCCATTCCTGAAGCAGCTTGGTGTACATTGCGAACGGGCCGCATTTCTCTACCTTTCGCATTCGACCAAAGACCGAAAGTTCGTCATAGGTCATACCCATGTCGATCTGGACAAACAAGACAGAGGTAAGTGATATGGGATGACGGAATGCACTGGAGTCAGGAGGACATACCTCATCAGACTGGACGTAGGTGTCTGAGAACGGCTCGAGCTCGGCAGTCGGGACGGCATCTAAGAACCTGATAACGTCGAACGTTAGCTTGGGTTAGGGTGAGATTGCGTTCACTGCACCTACTCTGTAAGTACAGGAAGATCCATGTTGTCTCGGGTCCACGCAATGAATTTCTTGAGATCTGTCTTGCTAATACCTCCGATGGGGTTGACGTCCGCGCTCGAGCAACTGCAGGTCAGAACACGGTGTGAGAATGCCACTCCTAGCATCAGACAAAGGAAAACACTCGAACTGACTCGTATTTGGTGTAGTACCCTCGAAGACTGGAGAAGCAGCAGTAAGTTAACGACTTGATTGGTTTACGGAGAAAAAGTGCAGGTATCGTACCTTTCATCGACGTTAGCACTTCCTAGCACCAACAACCCGCCGAGCTTGCCCCTCGACCAAGGCAACAGTTGCGCGAAGAGGTAGGCAAGCACCATTCGCAGACGAGCCTGCAAGAGGTCGTCCTTAGTACGAGATCGTCTCTTGAAGTACAGCACAGGTATGGACTGACTTGGATGTTCTGCAAAGCGAGGTTCTCTGCGTTGCTGCCGCCATGCACCTTGAACTTCGGCTTGTGGCCGGTAACAAAGGCAAAGATGTCTCGAACGGCGGTAACAAGGGCGTCCATGTTCAGGTCGACGTGGTAGCTGATACCAAATGTTCCGGTCAGATCTGTGAACGAGGCAGACATGACGCGACTTTTACTCACCTTCCGACAGCCTCGGCAAGATCCTTGGCTCGCTTCCTGGTAGCCGGACTAGAGTTTTCGGTGCCCATGTAGCAGGTGTGGAAGATCCGGTTGGCAAACTCCTTAGGATCGGACGGGACGTAAGTCGAGCCAGGTTCCTCTCCCGTGATTCGGCGGACGTCAGCAATGACGATAGGGTCTGATCGGGTTTTTAAATTAGCTTGCGCAACGTTAGTACCCAGATCATTGACACGCACCACCTTTCTGACAAGCCTCGACGACCAGTCGAGTCATCGAATGAATAATACAGGCGGTAGCACAGCTATCGATTCCCCCGCTCAACGGCAAGAAGTATCCCTGCGTCCGGGATCGTCGAAGGTAATCCCACAACCAACAAGCCGGTCCCAAAGCAATCTCCTCTTCGGGCGTGTGATAGTAAATCTCACGAATAGCGGTTTCTCGCCTGTCAAAATCGTCGCCCAACCCGCCGTCAAGACGAAGGCCCTCAACACGGATCCGTTCATAAGCCTCGGCTTGAACAGATTGCATCCTCCTGCTGCTCTGAGTACGGTGCGCCCTGACGGCCTCGAGGTCCAACGTGGCCGAGATAACCTCGACATCAGACAAGGAGAATTGAGATCCCTGGGCGACGATCTTTCCGTTGAAAGCAATCAGAGGAGACCCATCATAATAGAGCCTATCACCGTCGCATCCCTGCTGATTGGCGTAAAGGTAGATACCTCCGAGCTTTTAAGACGTGTCAGCTGGTCATGTCTGATATGGAGGTATTGTCTGTCGAGAGACTCACTTTGAGGGTAGCCTCCTTGATCAGCTCGACTCGAGTGTAAAGCTTTCTCAGCTCGTGATGACTGGCACTGGAGTTGGTAAAGATCTCGACTCCATCGAGGCCCATCAACGTGTGGGGCCTAGTCGTTTGAAAAGTTTAGCTGGTTCTTCAGATGCCAGACACTTTGTAGCGAGACTGCGACTTACGACGCAGGCGTGAATAGCTCTTCACAGAGCTCTACACCAATCACGGTGTCGTCGGTAGACACCACACCGTCACCAAAAGGTACCAAGCTCTAAATCCAAACAGTCGGCTAAACGTTCTCGACGTGTTGTTACTATCTCACTGACCTGTCCGGTAACATCCCGAATGATCCTGGGCAATGAGTGCTCCTCTACTTTTCGGTGCTTGTCCCACGGTGCGAAGTGTCTCAGCTCTCGCTACGATGCCTCGTTGTGAGCTCCCGAACATCCAAACAAACGTTGGGTCAGAATAGGACTGACGTAATTCCCGTCGTTGGCCATCCACATCTTGGGTCGAATCATCAGAATCTTTCCATTGTAAATGATGACTCGGCAGTTGTAGTTGTTGTTCTTATGAGTCATCGGCCTGTGTATCGCAGAAGAACCGGTCAGCCCTGAGAAGATTCGATCGTAGCATCCTTGTTGACTGACATGCCGACATCGCAGATGATATCCCGGCAGTCAGGATGAGCTAACAGCTTGGCCAAGACTTCCCATGAATGACGGTGAGTGTCGACTGTCGAACCGAAATTGGTCAGCAAAACAGCGATATCCCCTCGCTATATCCTCACCCAACTGACCTTCGAGGAAATGATCGAGACATCCGTATCCGGGGATCTCGAGCTCGGGACCGACTCGGAGCATGGCTCCCTGAGCTTTGGCGAGCTGGATAGAACGGAGGATTCGCTCATAGTTGCCCTATGATGTTGACGATTAGCGGGCTGTTTCTGCTGAAGCTTTGGGTCAGACGGGGCTTACTTCAAAATCCAGGGACCACTGGTTGAGCGAACTATAGAGGAGCAAGTTTCAGACCTGCTTGACCTTGTCGTGATGACACAGCTAATCTATTCTGTTGAACGTCAAACTTACCAGCTATTGATAAGAGCAAATCGGGAATGAACGGTCAGCTAATCGGTCGCCTTCCCTTTGAATTGAGGACAGTTCGCTTACGTCGCTACAGTAACTAGATGCATGGCGTCGTAAAGTTAGTGCAATTTATCTAGATCTATCACGGGCATTCTCCTTCGACTTGGATGAGTGGGACTTGCTATGTCGAGGTCTTTCCGGGACCTCGAGATCGAACGCATCGACCGTCCTCTCGCGTAATCGGAAGCTGACGTCACACTCGGCGCGCCAGGCGCAAGGAACCTGCATTTGCGCTTCTCTCCTTGGTTGACCTATTTTCCACGCTCGAAACACGACAAGGCGATGACTTTCGATATCCCGAGTCAAGTCCAGCAGTTTCTGACCTGATTCGTTCCGGCTTATACCAACCGCTGCTCGATATACGTCGCCTCTGAACTCCGAGATACCCTACATCGAAGTTCGATGCTGATATTATGTGCCGACGCCCCCATCCTATTCGAGAGCGGCAAGTGCTGACATGCTTTATTACACGGCGCTAGAAGAACAGATACTATTCTGCAATTTCTGTTGGCCGAGCATATATGATACAGACTGGACATTCTGGAACCTGGTTTGAACACCTCATCTCGAGCTGAACATCTCCTGATTCAAACACAAAGATCGCCACTATCCTTTGTCGAGCCACAGCATCTATGTTGATTGACACATATATCTATCCATATCGACACACAAGCGGCTACTCTGTCGACCCTGCTGTGGACTACATCACGTCTCCATGTCGGGCATCATTTTTCCAATCTGGAGGATGTCGTCGTTTTGGGATTTTCCAGCAAGTTCTCGATAGGGATCCGGGTTGTACTCGCACCAGTTGAACCAATCTCCGTCCTTGTGGATACAGTTTCTCTCTCGGCGGAGAACGCGGTACCCAAGGTAGTAGCATTGGCAACCGAGGCGTCGATGGCAGTTTGTGTGCTGTCAGCAGCGGATGCAAGGGTGGAGACGACCCCAGAAGAGGAGGCGTCCGCAGTGCGCGTAAGGATTGATCCCACATCTTCAGCCTCGAGGTCGGTAGCAGCTGTTTTCCTTCTCTTGGAAGCTCCGCTGGCACTCTCGCCTAAGGCTGCCTCTTCCGGTAGACGTTTGAATGCGTCTTCCGCCTCCTTCTGAAACCACCAGTCCCAGTCTCGCTCGACATTGGTCCCACTACCGTTCAGTTCTTTCATGCGCAAGGATAACCACTTGGCACCTGCCAGTTGGTACAACTTGCCAACCTGTTCGCACTGGGGGTTGCGTTTTTGGCGCTTTCCAAAAACGCCTTTTTGGGTCATCTCCTCAAGGCCACAGACCCTTCTTCCCCTCTCTGCAGCTTCAGAAAGCCTGAATCGTCTCTTCACGATATAGCCTGGCTTTCTGGGTGAACGCTCCGCCAGCATGCCAAAGTCCCAGTGCTTTGCAAGCTCTTCCAGGTCTCTGTTTTCCTTCACATATCTTTGAAGATAGGTATCCAAGGCTGAGACGAAGTCGGTAGGTGCTTCGTGTTCTGCAAGGTCTTCCAAGTCTTTCACCAAGTTCTGCGTCATTGTAAGATTTTGGCAGGGGACAGATTGACGAGGTAGGCGATACTCAGACATCCAAACCGCCAAACATCTTTCTACCCAGTCTTTATCCCCATTTCCTTAGAGCCCGGCGGAACGTCTTTCTTGTGGTCAACTCCACTCCGATCAAAAGAGCGACCCGGTACAACGGAAGGATGCCTGATGCGACAAAAGAGTGAACCCAGTATTACGATAAAAGGAGCGATACCCGCATCTCTTGCGAGTCTAAGCGCGCGCTCTTCACCTGTCCGCCGCTCCCAATTAACAGGAAAAATCAAGCCGGAACCCAAGCACTCGGTGGAAGGAATATAGGCTTTACTTTGGCCAACAGCCTGTACGGCTACATTCATGGCTGCCCTAATGATCGAACAACAATCGGCAGTCAGAAAGCTGTCAGAGGCCCAGAGGCTTAGCTTGGGTCTAGAAGATAATTCACCACTATCCTCGTGACACCACAGCCACATTTCACTACGAACGATTCGGAGGTGAGGGGTAAGATCATTCAATCACGTGACCCTTCTATCGCTCTTCTCCGATGGGGGGCCCTAACACGGTCACTTGGTCGATTCGGAATGGTTTGGTCGATTTATCGTAGTACGGCTAGTACGGTCATATGCCTCGTTTCAGACTATTCGGATCAAACTATGGACTTGGAAAAGCTCTCGAGTCATCCTGATCAAATGACCCGAGATGAAAAGATTATATATATATATATATGCATACACCATATAGCCATGTGATAGCCACCACCGTGTGCTTGGGAGACCATCAACACCTCATCTCGAACAACCGAATCTATCTAACTGGACATGGCAACAGAAACTATGACCGCCGCTCTCGGCACTCAATCAGACTCGTATCTCAACGTCGATGTAGCATGCCACGGATACCTTCCCCCGAGCCGCATCGAAAGGGAGGTTCAGTTTCGACAACCTGACATTCCAACCGGATCATCGACGTCCCCGTCCGCATCCCGGCCATCTAACACTTCCTTATCCAGCAAAGATATTGTTGGTGATGTGCAAGAGAAGTTGGAGAAGCTCGAGATAGCAGCAGCGTCCAATGGCATCAACAAGCAGGCGGCGAGGATGTCGAGGCGGGTGACAAACGGACCTGAACCTGGACCTCTGATCGAGCGGTGAGCTTCATCATCTACCTTGCCCTTTCCTTATCCCTTCACGTCTGCCAGGCTTGGTCTACATCGTCTCTGTCCGCCTTTCCCTCATCCTCTCTTATCGGATCGGATCAAAGGACCTCCATATGCTGACATGAAACGCAACTCATCTTCACATTCCCTTTCGCAGCTTTTCGTGTCTGTTCCAGAACCTGTATTGCCCGAAGACAAACCCCAGTGGAATCGTGTCATTGGGGATCGCCGAGAATCTTTTATGCGTGAGTGTAACGGCTACAGCGAGCTTGAGGAGAATAGGACTGACAACCCCACCCCTCTTGTTTTCCTGCTCTAATCTATTTCGGCCCGCACCGACCCGACAACATCGTTCCGTAATGCATCATACCGTATGTCCCAACGAACTGCGTCATTCCTGTGGTCGCTTTGTATAGGCCGAAGAAATCTTGTCATTCTCCCGAAAAGCCATAACCGAGAACCTGATTCAGAAGGACCTCACGTACGGAGACAATCTATGGGGATCTAGGAGGTTGAATGAAGCTCTGGCTGGATTCCTAAATCGGTGAAGATGATTGGTGCAGGGTGATTCGGGAACGAGAACTGATATATGTTTCACTATTTGATAATGGTTTGGTGTAGGTACTTTAATCCGGCGGTCAATGTCGATCCTGAACACATTATCACGGGTAAGTTCCAAGATGGATGGTCGTCTTCCGCCGCAGCTGATCGAAAACTCTATCCGATCTCATCCCATCTCAACTATTTGTCCCACCCTTTCCTCACGTTCGAACCTCCTGATCACACGCGATCCACAGGCGTCGGCGTCTCAGCAATATTAGACCACCTCTTTCACACCCTTCTCGATGCCGGCGACGGCGTGCTCATTCTCAATCCGTATTACGCGGGGTTCGACCGGGACTTGGTAGGCGGGAGATCGGGGGTAAAGTTGGTCGGAGTTGATTGGGCGGGGTATAAGGACCAGATCGAGTGCCAAAATGAGGATGAGGTTCAGGATGAATGGGCCGGCGACGGAGGTCTAGAAGAGGCTTTCGAAAAGGCTTTACAGAACGCTCGAGCGGATGGGGTGGATGTGAGTATTAGATCAAGGCTTAGACGTTTCATGCCGATCACCAACGTGAAATTGACCTGAAACCTTACCTCCTTCCCTCGACTTTACGCTCACGATCGCGTCAGGTCCGGGCGATCCTGATTTGCAACCCCCACAATCCCTTGGGAATCACCGTCTCACGGTCGACGTTGATCGGGTACTGCAAGTTTGCGCAGAAACACGATCTGCACTTGGTCAGCGATGAGATCTATGCGATGAGTGTCTATGAGAACAAAAGTAAGTCCGGTTTGACTGTAAGAGGCCGTTGAGAAGGTTTGGCGCTGATGTCTGGGTGGAATAACACCATGTCATCTGCTTCGCGTGATAATGGACAGGTTTCCCTGGAGCGAGACCCTTCTGTTCAGCGTTGAGCATCGACCTCGAACGGGACATAGAAGGACATTTCGACAAGGGTCGTTTGCACTGCGTTTACGGGATGAGCAAGGACTTTTCGGCTAATGGGTTCCGGTGAGTACCAATGAAGGCATTACGAATCCCTAGGAGTGCTTGCTGATACTTCTTCGTCTCACCGTTCTTCTGATATCGAATGCGATTTAGCATTGGCGCCCTTATCACGCAACATAACCCGCGCCTGCTTCGAACCCTCGCACAGCTATCCATACAAATCAAGATCTCCTCACCGGCAGACGTCATCTTCTCAACCCTCCTGACATCCGACTACCTGCCAACCTTTTTGAGACTGAACCAGTCTAGACTGAGTGTGGCGCAAGAGAGGGTGAGGACGTGGTTCGAACGCCGACAAGTGGTAGTGAGGGACTGTAACGCCGGGCACTTCGTTTGGGTGAATCTGGGCCCACGGATTGGAATCAAGACGAGGGATGAGGAAACGCGGGTGTTCCAAAAACTGCTCGATGGGGGTCTTTACGTAGTGAGTGACCTCTGCAAATCCTGCTCCAACTCTCGAGCGCTGATCATATACCGTACTTATTGTCGACGACAGGCCCCGGGCTCGGCGTACCACCATAAGACTCCCGGGTGGTTTAGGGTGACATTCTCTGTACCACCTGAGAATTTGGAGGCCGGTCTTGAGAGGCTGGAAGACCTGCTGAATTTACGTTGCGCGGACGAGTTGTGAAATATACCTTCGAAAGCTATGTGTTGAATGAGTAACGCCAATCATACCTTCGACTTGACCTAGGAAAACGCATGGGGCGTAGGCTGCCTTCCAATACAGACAATCCAGCCCACTCACGCGCCGTGATGGTTGTACAATAACGGTAGAATCATTGAGTAACAATTTCAATCGAATTCACGAAATTCGTTAGACAGTCGATGACCCAAGCAACCACCCCATTGACAAGTTGAGAACCCAAAATCTGCTTGATCTTCTGGTATCATCGCTAGAGATTGCTGGAGGATGAGCGAAGAGGCCAAATGATCTAAACTAGTGAGGCGCAACGACTGATCGCGCAAAGTGAAGCATTTCGCTCACCATATACGGCGGATTATCCTGTACGTAGAAAGAAATGCTGTAACGGAACGACGGATTTTACAGGTACAGGTTGCAACAAAAGTCGAAGCACAACATGCGCACTACATACGCCTTACTCATGCAGCCAGCGGACCCCTGTGTTATGCGAGAGAATGCGCCAACCTTGGCCAACAGCTGTATCTTGTGACATACATATACGTAGTCAGCTACATAAAGATGATAGAGATGCTCCCTAGTATCAAGGATATATACCGATGCTTGTCATGCTCGACATCCCAGCCGTTTCGCTTGCCACCCTATGCCAGAAGATATTGGCTTGACTTACAGCGTCGGTCTGGGCTTACGTAATCACGGCGGATCCGAACGGAGGTGACACCTGATGACGACGACGATGGTCAAGAGCGGTCTCGTCAACTTGTAGCTCTCAGGCATACGACATCGCAGTCAAAGACCGATCACGAATCGACCAATATCCAAAGTGAAATACAAACATGGCTTCTGAAGCTGACAAGATCCTCAAATCCGCCGAGAAAAAGGCCAACTCGTCCGGTGGATGGTTCAGCTCGGCCTCATCGAAATGGGAAGACGCGGGTGACCTGTTCGCTCAGGCTGCGAATGCGTACAAGGTCGAGAGGAATTGGAGAGCCAGTGGAATCGCTTTTGAGAAGTGGGTTTATTCCATGATTGAGCTTGAGACGAGCGGCTGAAGTTTGGAGTGCCGGACGTAGGGAGGCCGATTGTCGACTGAAAGGTGGGGAGAACAACGATGCCATGAACGCTTACCACAACGCCGCCAAGAGCTACAAGAAGTCTGATCCGGAAGGTCAGCTCAGCCTCACAGCTTCTGGATATTGTTACCCACGCTGAATTATTGAATCCATGTTCGTTGAACGTAGCTGCCGTCTCGGCTTTGCATCAAACTATCAAGTTGCTCATCAAGGCGGGTAGCTTCCGCCAAGCGGCAGATCGGGAGAAAGAGGTGAGGGGCGACGTGCTCGCTTTCTGTGGCATCCGATGAGGAACTTGCTGAGCTTGTCTTTCTTCGACTACAGATCGCTCAAGTATACGCTCAGGACAACCTGGATGCAGCTAAAGCGAGGGATAGCTACGTTCGAGCAGGGGAATGGTACAAGCAAGAAGAAGCTAACGCGTACGCTCCGCCTCTGCACCCTTTGTTTTTCCGAGCCCTGCTTGACGACTAGCGACACCGACTGATTTCCTCATCTCTGTTCAAAATGTAGCACCGCCAACCAATGTTTCCAATCCGCTGCTGAGCTCTCGGCTGACATCGGGGATCTCGGCAAAGCCATCGAGCTGTACGAGCAGGTTGGAGATTGGAGCTTGTCCAGCCCTTTAACCAAGTACAGCGTCAAGGAGTATTGGTTGCGTGCAGCGCTGTGTAGTATGGCTATGGGGGTGAGTAAGGATGAACTTCCGGCACAAAGGGCAGGACTGAAAGGCTGATCATGTCGGTGGCTGTGTTCGTGACAGGACCTGGTGACGTGTCAGCGGCTGCTCCAATCGTTCGCCCAGAAGGACGTCACCTTCCCTTCGACTCGAGAAGCGAAGTTCGCTCAACACGTAATGGACGCCTGCGAGCAAGGTGACGTCGAGGCATTCCAGGAGGCCGTGTTCAACTATGACCAGGTGACCAAGCTGGACAACTGGAAGACGGGCGTCTTGCTGCGGATCAAGAAGGGTCTCGAGAGCGAGGTCGAGGGGTTGACGTGATCATTTGCCGATGCGACAGGTGAAGCGTTCCTTGCGTCAGGCGTCAAGCAGAGTGTACACGTAGATATATATAACAGATTGTAGCCATGTCTTGACTCGATTACAAATGTGATCCCCAAGACCTATACAGTCTGCAAACTCCGATCCAGATCCCGTTACCAACCCCATCTAAAAGTTCTTGAGCGGGTTCGACTTTCTCCCACCTCGACCTCCCCGTGCACCGCCTCGTGCACCTCCACCGCCGCGACCTCCTCGAGCTCCACCTCGTCCACCTCGCTGCCCTCGAGCGAAAGGGACGTGGCCCTCGACCTCTTCGTTGATCGGTACCTTGGCGATCTTGGGCATCAGGTAGTTGGGTACGTGCTTCATATGAGGTTGCACTCGAGCAGGGTTAAGCGGTGCGTCGTGTCGCAGGTAAGAAAAGTCGAGCGGGTTTGCTGCAAAGTGTGCCTAATAAAGCGAACGAGGAGGCTCCTTCAATATACAGTGAAACAGGCGGTAACGAAACGCCGACTCACTTTGAGCTTTTCGCTGTTCAGCAGCTCCCGCCTCAATTCTTCTCGTCGAGCCTCTTGCACGCGCTTCGCTGTCACAGCCTTCAACGCATCCTCCATTCGATACCTGAACCCCTCGATCTCCTTTTTCCTACCCCCAAAGTCCCACTCCTTGATATCGGCACCCATATCGTCCTTGACGTGCTCCTTGATCTTCTGGAAGACCTTTTCGTCCTGCTTGGCGCTCTCCAAATGGATCTGCTTGTCCTTCGACATGCCCTTCTTGGGTACAACAAGGGACAGAGCCAAACCGGTCTGACCTGCCCGTGCCGTTCGTCCGACTCGGTGCGTGTAGGCACTCGTCGTTGAGGGTAGGTCAAAGTTGATGACGCAGGCCACGGCGACGAAATCGATACCTCGGGACACGCCGTATGCCTTGTCCTCCTTTCGCCCTTTCTTGTTCGACCGACTCTTCTCTGTAGCGGGTTGATCCGTAGCTTTTCGCTTCCCGGCCGTCTTGCTGCTCTCTGCTGCGTCCTCCTCCATGGGTGTCTCCTGCTCTGGATCTTCGGTCGGGTCCTCTCCCTCGCCCTCGACCTGAGTGGGGATCCCACTTGGGATCAATTCCTCCTTCTCTTCCTCCTTTTTATCCGTCTCCTCCTCCTTGACCTCGTCAGCGATCGACATGTCCGCTTCGTCCGTAGCGATAATGTAATCGTAAGCTCCCCGGTTGAACTCCTCGACGACGTGATATCTGTCAACGAATTGTCCCTGATGATCAGCTTCCACTCTGACGGTCCAAACGAGTTTTAGGGCTCACCTCGAGTTCAGGGGCATCTCCGCGTTGAGCACACAAGCCTTGATTCCAAACTGTTCCAGGAACAACCTGATCCTATAACCCCTCTCGACGGTGTTGACGAATATCAAGGATTTCCCCTTGACGAGCTTGAGTTTCAGGAGGACGTAGAGGACGAGGAACTTGTCCATCTCGGTCGTGTGCGTGCTGTATTGCGTCAAGGAGGATGAGGATGAGGGTTCGGACAGGGTCAAGACGGCCTAGAGCAGGAAACACAGAATTATGGTAAGGCTCAGGGGTACTCATTGCATCGAGAATCAACACTCACCGGGCTCCTCAGTGCCAACCCTTTCAAAGCCTGGACATCGTTCGTCATCGTTGCGCTCATCAAGACACCCTGCACCCCGACTCTCGGTACGTAGCCCTGCGAGGGGTCCAGCAAGCGTTGCACGTCGGCGGAATGACCGTAAGAGAGGATGAGATCGGCTTCGTCGATGATGAGCAGGGAGAGGGAGGGAAGCGATATAGTCTGTGTGCACATTGTGGATTTTGAGCGTCAAGTCAGCTCTCTGACAGGCGTGTACTGGGTAGATTAGGGTAGTGCTCACCTTGGCCTGCAGCAGAGCGAGACACTTGGACGGGGTCGCTACGAGAATATCAGGAATCTCGTTCAAAGCAAGACTACGAATTCATGAACCAATCCTGATGTCAGCTTTCACTCTTCTATCCTTCGCAATCTTTTCCCGCTAGTATCTCGACCTCACCTGGATTTCCCCGATGCGACGTTCATGACGCTGACGATCCCTTCGCAATACGTAATAGCGCTCTTGATGAACAAGGTCACTTGCTGAGCCAGTTCTCGAGTGGGCACCAGGATCAGAGCTCGGATACCAGGAGCAGCATTACCGTCCTGTCATCGCCAGGGCAAGTCCACACCGATTTCAGTACATTGCCTAAATCAGTGACGAGAGCCGTCCTAAACCGCCCACTCACAGCTTTGGCGAGCAAGACCTTTTGGATCGCCGGAAGTCCATAAGCAGCCGTCTTTCCACTCCCCGTCCGTGCTTTGGCCAGTACATCCTTTCCTTGCAAGACCAGCGGGATAGCCTGAGCTTGTACGAGCGTTGGGTGGGTGAACGAGAGGTCGGCTAGTGATCGGAGGATCCGGGCGTCCAGGAGGGAAGCGAAGGGCTCATCGGAGAAGGTGAGGGACGATTCTAGTAGCGAGTTGTCCATGTCGAAAAAGCGAGCTAGGGTGATATCAAGTACTGTCAGGACTGTTGAGCACCAGGTGTCTCGGAGCGGAGCAACGGCAAAGAAGATCAGACCATCAACAAATGCAACGACTTGGTACGACCTCGAACTTTGAACAATAATTGACGCGGATGATTCGCATGTCACGTGATCAGCCTCGATCTCGACCTTGCCCCCCGCGTTTGACGGTTTCATCGCATGATTTCGGCCAATATCCGCGCCCCGAGTCAAGAGGACGTTCGGCTTGCTCGGTTACAAGGTCGTATCGAGTATCCCACTAATGGAGTAGGCTGTCAGGACGCTGAGAAGGACCAGGATGCGTCGGCGCTCCATATATACTAGACTCGAGCCCAGGAACGACGTTCGAGAACCCGCGCAATGACCGTGATGGAAAGAAGCGAATACATACATCATCTCGTTTGTCCTGAAATCTTGCAGGCTGATTGATGTGTTCCATACGAACGTATCCGGCTCCATCATACCTGCCGGATCATCCGTAACGACACCCATCCAACCACCGTGACATCTTCGGAGATACAATCAATCCATATCGAAATTGCGCAGAGGACTCTACAACCCCATGCGATGGGAGGACGGGCCAGATCTAGACCACATGGACATAGAAGTTGCCAATGATTGAATTTGTCCGCTCACGCCATGCAGTCGGGTGGCGGAGGATACATTCGGGAATGGCGACTGATCTGAGTGCCAGCAGGCTTGTCGCCGGGTTGAAGTCGGAACATCGTAAAGTGCCACTCTTTCGAGTCGTGACGAGCGCATCGCAGCGGGGAGGTATGTACGAGTGGAGGGTTCAGGTGGGACAAGCGGGCCTAGGTCGATAAACTCCTTTGCAGGTCTACAAACGAGGCTCAAGTCCACTCACGACCTGGCGACTTGCAAGATGGTCGGCAAAGTGAGTCACGTGTTTCCCAACCCCCTTCTACCCCGGATTCCTTGCGCAGGTACGCAAGAGAATTGCTTCCGTAGATCCTTTCCCCGCATCCATCCCCTCCACGCGCGCCGCGCCTAAGCGGATGGTTCGGCGTAATTCTACCCATCCATCGCCCGACGACCGCCCGACTCGACCACTTATAATAGGTCAGCAACACGTACGCAAAGTGATATCCCGGCTCATTACCGTCTGGGGACAATCAGCCTGCCACTTGCACGTCGATCCCGGCTCTTCCTGACCCTTGTCTTCCTCTTTTCGCTCGCCTTTTATCCCGCCCCCTGCACCGTTTCGCGATGACGCAGGACATCACCCTCACCGACTCGCAGGGCAAGAATGCCACTTTTACCATGAACGGCGACTCTCACCAGCACAAACGTACCTGGTGGAAGGAAGCCCTCATCTACCAGATCTATCCTTCCTCGTTCTACGACTCGAATGGGGATGGTCTTGGCGATATCCCCGGGATCATCAGCAAGCTCGATTACCTGAAAGAGCTCGGGGTGGATGCCATCTGGTTGAACCCGCATTACAGCTCGCCGCAGTGTGATATGGTCAGTTCTCATTATTTCGAGGGCCGAAGCCGTCTTTGTTTTCCCGTCCGAGCTCGATCTGACGGTCCGTTCTGCATTGTCATGACGGTTCTTGCGTATAGGGGTACGATATCTCGGACTACAGAGACATTTACCCTCCTTACGGGACGCTTGACGACTGTTTCAAATTCATCGAAGAGTGCCACAAGCGTGATATCAAGGTCCTGTTCGACCTGGTCATCAACCAGTAAGCGTGCCTCTCCCTCCCTCTGTCTCTGACCCAACCTCGCCTTCCGCGTGCTAATCTGACGTACCGCTCCTTGTCCTCGTCGCAGCTGCTCGGACGAACACAAATGGTTTAAGGAATCCCGTTCCTCGCTCGACAACCCGAAACGAAACTGGTTCATGTGGCGTAAACCTAAAGGGTTCACCGACGATGGAAAACCCATCCCTCCGAACAATTGGAGGGCGGCTTTCGGGGGTAGCGTTTGGGAGTGGGACGAGGGGACGCAGGAGTATTATCTGCACTTGTTTGCCGTCGGGCAGCCCGATTTCGTGAGTTCGGTCGCCGAGTAGCAAGCAGGGTATGAGCTGAGATGGGTTGCGTTCGGTATGGCTGTCGATAGAATTGGGAGGAAGAAGAGGTCAGGAAGGCGCTGTACGAAGAGGCCATCACTTTCTGGCTCGAGCGTGGGGTCGATGGGTTCCGGTAAGTTCCCACCAGGCGATCGATTTTTTTCCGTGCCAACCAGCTCACTATAGCGTATCCACTCCTCGACCCTCTTAGTATCGACACCTGCAACATCTACTCGAAGAACCTCGACTTCCCCGACGCTCCCGTTCTCGACCCTTCAGCTACTTACCAGCGATCAGACACGCTCTGGACGAACGGTCCCCGGCTTATGGAATTCCTCAAAGAGATGAACAAGGAGACGTTTTCCAAATACGACGCCGTGGCTATTGGGGAATGGCCCAACACGCCGGACATTACCAAGGTGCTGGAGGTGGTTTCGGCCGAGGCCAAGGTGGTGGATATGGTCTTCCAGTTCGACCACGTCTGCATGGACTTCGGCAAGGTCTACAGGTTCTGGCCGAGGGAGTGGAAGTTGAGCGAGTTCAAAGGATATATCGATCAGTACCAGAAGGTGGTCGACAAGACGGACGGATGGCAGACAACTTATTTGTGAGTTTACAGCGACCGCCTATTACTTTTCGATCTCGAGGAGACCACATACTGACGCTCTTGTCTCTGTTGCTTGCAGGGAGAACCACGACCAAGCGCGATCGGTCTCCAGGTACTGCTCGGACGCTCCCGAATACCGGGTCAACTCGGGAAAGTTGCTCTGCATCTTCCTCATGAGCATGACCGGCTCGACCTTTGTCTACCAAGGTCAGGAGATCGGTACCATCAACTTGCCCATGTCGATCGGTCGAGAAGAATACCTCGACTGCGAGACGACCGGGTTCTGGAAGGACATGGACGATTATTACCCCAACGACGAAGAGGCACACGAAAAGGGACGAAGGGGTGCTCAGCTCAACGCACGAGATCATGGCCGATTCCCCGTCCAATGGGATTCGTCTCGAAACGGAGGTTTCACCACGGCCGAGAAGCCATGGATGATCGCCAACCCGGCGTATACCGAGATCAACGTGGCGGCTCAGATCGATGATCCCAACTCGGTCTTGAGCTTTTACAAAAAGATGATCAAGTTCCGCAAGGAGAAGAAGGACTTGATGATCTACGGCTCTTTCCGCCTGCTCGATCTGGAGAACGACCAGACGATGATTTACATCAAGGAGCACGGCGATTCTCAGGCGGTCATCGTCCTCAACTTTACCAAGGAACAGGTGGCGTTCAAGCTGCCAGCCGAGCTCAAGGGAGAGGCCAAGCTAGCCATCTCCAACTACAAGAACAGTTCGCTAGAGACGCTCGAGGCGTACGAGGGACGAGTCTACCTCGTCAACGCCTGAGAATGACGTCGTCGAATCAATAGGGTTCTTCGGTTCGAGGGAAGATGGACGTTATTTATACCTCGCTAATGAAAAATCTGGGTCTCATGGGGATTCTGCCAGCGATGCAGTAATTTGTACAACTTGTGACAGTCAAGCATGAAATGATATACACTACGTATTTGCGCATCCTATTAGCGAAACGCTCACGGGCCCATATGCAGTACCTCCAAGTAGGAAAAGCCCGCCTCTTCACCATGTTCGTCATTTTGCTGCGAGCCAAGCGAATATCCCAGTCAGCTCGACGTGCCCACAACTCATCTCGAGACTCGCGACTCTCACAGTCATTGCTATTATTCGTGAGTCGTCAATCATGAGTCCGTGGCATCGCCTCGGTTCGGTAGTTTCGAGCCAAATATATGGCATCTGCGAGGGTAACCCATTGAAATGTCAGCCGGACCGACCCGGAACGAGCCGAAGCCCAACTTGAACAACCCACTTTGCTGCCCGTTGTCACGTTATTTGCAAGCCAACCCTCGGCGGCTACCGTCGTCTCGTCCGTCATGAGATACACGTTCCGTTCGTCCATTCCTTGCAAGACGTGATCCGGTCCGTGAGTGGCGGGATCGCTCGGCGGCGTCTCCTCGGCCAGATCGGCACTGTCCCAGTCGTTCCAATTGCGGTTGCCCTCGGCCAGATCTCTCCTTCTCGCTCGCAACAGTCGTTCCGTCTCGACCGGATCAAAGTTGAACAGCCGGATGTACGTCTCTTCGATCGGGTTGTTGAGAGGGCCCATTCGGAGCTCGATACGGGGCGAGACGAATCGATAGTGGTAGACATAACAGACCCAGTCCTGTCGGTCAATATCCTCTACGAACCGAGTATATGGGCTCAGCTCTTCCCACGTGATGGTCTTGAGTTCGACGTTTTCAAGCTCTTTTGCGGTATGTAGATTTGACCCCTTGATCGGCAAGTACGACAGCAGCGTCTCTTTTCGGACGAAAAGATGGTAGACAGGTCCGATCTCGTTATCGTGCAAGGGTCCATCGTCACAGTCATACTGAATGACGATGACTCCAGTCTCTGGATTCGGGTAAACCTTGGAAGGGTTTTCCTCGGGAAAGAATTGCCTGGGAGGTGGGTCCGATCGCAGATCTTGGGGGTGAGAGCGGATCGCTCTTGAGCGTGTGAAGCAGTCTCATGGGCCGCCAACAAAGACACTCACGGACCATGACCACGGCTAGCCATCGCGGTAATTCGAATGTGGCAATCTTCTTTGGCACATACATGGCCCTCTTCAAGTCGATCGCCGGATCTGCCTCGCTTGCCTTGGGAGTTTCCTCATTTGCCACTAAGGTGAATACGTTCAAGACGCAAGGAAACGGTGTGCCTTGGGCGACAGGCAAACGCTCGATATCGTATTGGATCAGCCCGTACGTCGTGGGACTGAGCAAGACAAAGTCTTCGATGGTCAGCAGTGACACATGGTCACCTTCGATTCTGAAATTTGATTTTTGTTCCTGAACGGGGAACGATCTCAGCATCATGGCACAGACAAGATGTTATGCTTGGCGGACGCTCGGACCCACAAATAGCTTTTGTCCTGTCCGCCAATTCCAACCGCACAATCTCGCCTCTGGCAAGTTTTGTCGTCCAAGGTTGTTTGAAAAGATGAAAATCTTGTCGTCGCACACCTAAGACCATAGTATCAGAATGAGCTGCTATTGTTCCCTTTCGAAAGCGGTCTCGATCGCTCACCTGCAAGGTCAAGCTGACAGACCCTGCGTCCCACTCCCCGACGTTGCATAAGAAACCCTCTCTCCCGTCTTGACTACACGCTTTTGGATGGGGCTGGAAATCTGACAACGTTTTCAGATGGATGCTGAGGCGGTTTTTCGTTATTATCCGATGGTCGGGATCTCGGGTACGGCTACGTCGAGTCTAGCTTAGCATGTAGTGACTGGCCGATCAAGAGCTGAAACTGAAGCCACTCACGTCATCTCGCCGATCGCAAAGAGGTTCTGACCAGGATCGATGGTAAAGTCCTTCATCTCAAAGTTGCCGTCGAAATGTCTCCGAACGTATTGTTCCTTGTCATCCGAATCCTCTCCGATCTCGACGACCTCTTCCTCTTCATCCTGTTGTTCCGCATTAGCCTCGATCTCCTTGTTCTCGGATAAAGAATAGCTCGGCGTGTATGCGTCGATCGTTTCCCATTCAGACGACGTCGTAAAATCGTAAACCGATGCTCCAGAAGGTAATCCAGTGGAGGAAAAGGCAGACCCGCTTCCTCGTACCATCGTCCCTTCGAGATACTCGTAAAGCCTCCTTTCGTGCTTGTCGAGATCCACTCGGAACGTCTTTGAAGGGGCGATGGTCCGGAATCCGGATTGGCGTTCTCGAATGGTGGACAACAGAGATGCGGCAGCATCGGATCGTCTGACCGAGGGTGGAACCACTTGAGCTGTAGCCTCGAGCTCTTGATGCAAGAGTAGCTGAACGCTGGTCGTCACGATCGCATGAAAGTGTCTGTTGATCTGTCATACCGGCGAAAGCGTGGTTCATACGATCAGCGGCAGGAACCATATCGCGGACCCGCTGACGACTCACCAGTTTGCATGATTGCAGATCGTCCAGCGAGAGTTGCAAGAAGATGTCCTCGACGATGTGCTCTGGCAAGTCCTCAAAGGACATTGCGACGGCCATGGCCGAGAATGTCTATCCTTGGGAATGCCGCGAGGAAACGAGCCACGACTCGCTACGGTGACTTGAAGGTTCTTCTAAAGTCAAGCTGATAATCTAACGTCCACTACGTCGGCTGTGATCTGTGACGAACATGTACGAACAAGGTTGTCTTTGCGATGCAGATGTTTCAACGCACTCACCGACTCAAAGTTCGTAATGTCTCAGACGATCAGAACTCAGCAACGCACAGATTCAAATGACACGTCACGCAATCTCATCCTGCTCTCGTTCTTATCAAACAATTCCCCTCCCAATCGACTTTGAGCCATATTCGTGAGAGCAGCACAGTACGACATCATGTACAAGCCCGAGTGTCATCATCCGAGAACGATCCTGCAGACATCCTGAAAGACAGTCCTCAAACAGTGAGTTCCGTCATACAGCTCGGTTCGAACGAAAAGATCATAGCTGACGACAACGATGTGAAACTCGCGCGAAATAGTGGTTCAACCACCCAGGCAGTTCGTATCTACTCTCAAGACAAGCCCCGGCCGGTCGAGATCGCCCTTACTGATAGGTTGATCGTGTCTTGTAGGGATATGCCTCCTTCGGGAGGCTTTGAGGCGATCCGATACAAGCGAAGCTTGCCCATCAGAGGACCCGGTGGAGCTGCCATCTTTGGAGGTATCACGGCTATCTGCGCATACGGATTCTACTTGGTTGGGAAGGGCAACTTGGAGAGGAGGTGAGCGATCAATCGATGGGTTCGACAGACAGCGGAAGAAGGAATATCGACAGGGTCGCCTGTTCTCGGTTGCTGATCGCTCCTATGTTGCTTGACCTGAAACAGAGAACTCAAGCGAGAGTCGGCTTGGTCGAGGATCCACCTCGTCCCCCTCATCCTCGCCGAACAAGACCGAGATGCCTACCGAAGGAACACCGCTTCGCTCGCCAGAGAAAAGGAGATCATGAAGGATGTACCGGATTGGGAGGTGAGTGAATGGTCGCGAGTGGCTCCCGGTTGACCTGGTTGCTGACTTTTGATAACGATCTGCGCTACCTACTGCTTTGGATCGCGTTGTTTTGCTCATTTTGCTGCGATACAGGTCGGAAAGAAGGTCTACAACACTTCCCGGTACACCCAGCCCAACATCGTGGTCCTGTAAAACATACAAACAACATTTATTCTATCGCGCGATCGAGCTTTTCACAATCATGCGTATTCAACAACTTGGAACGCAGGTCACAGACTCGAAGAGCGATTGAAAGTGTGAAGACCGGTCGTAATGCTCGTATCGATACAGGACGCTGTCAAAGACTGCTACAATACATGTTTGTATCCAAAGGGCAACTATCCGGCAAAAATCAATCAGCTCACTCAGCAGTTCCTCTGTGTTGAGAATGATCCGGACCCACCATTATCCCTCGTTGGCCCTCTCGATACCCTTGAACCCAAAGCCTGATATCCGACAGTCTCTTTGCAAACGTCAATTTCTGACGAGCGTAAATGAAACCCCAAAGAGCCTTTCTATCCAGCTCGGCGTGGTCAGCCGTTCGCAAGGCTTCATTGACAGCTGCGAACATGGCCCGTTCGGTGGCATCTCCGTTGGGTCGCTGTACAATAAGGAACAGGTCGGACAGGTCGTCTGAATGCCAGACACGTCAGCAGATCGTGGTGAAAGCCGAGTGGAACTATATCTTGCTTACCCGACTGAATAGTAGGAGTCACCGTGGCGACGACGCAGCCCGACAGCATAGCTTGCGAATGTCTAGGAATGGCCACCCGGACGCCTCACACTCAGCACATCGTCTGTAGAAGAAATTGACGTCACTGAGCGATACTGACAACTCGGTGAGGATTCCTGTCGACCAATCGTCGAATACGCAGACGCCGCTATTTCGCATTTCTCCAGCCAGCGTCTTCTCGGCGTGTTTGAGCTTTCGCAGCACTTTTGCAGGCAGTCTTTCGTGTTGATCTACCGTAGGTACTAGTTTCATGGCTCGATGTGTCTCAGCCTCGCGCGATCCAGCGTCCGAGACAGGTATACGCCCGGCACTCACTCAATACACTCCTCCAACCCGACGGCAAACGATCTTCCAATTGAGCCTTGTGCGTCCAGGTCTCGTGCGACGTGAAAAATGTGACCTGCTTGCGACGTGTAGCGAACGGCTTGTTTTCCGGCCAGAAAACCGCGGGACTGTGCATTCAACGGTTCAGCGCACTTGTTTCAAATGGCGAAAGTCAACACAGGATCTTTGGCCCACTTTGCCTTTGCAAGAATTTCAGACAATCCTGGAGTCAGTATGCCGCTGAGGGTGGACGATTCATGACCCTCATCTCACTTACAGCTGGCAAGACGAAAGCTGTATCGCGATACAACAACCCGTAATTCTGAATCAGTATGTGAGTTTCGTAGGGCGCGAGGGCGACGGGACTGACCGATAAGGCCGACTTGTTCATGAGTCTTGGTGTACAGCGATGAAGTCACGGCGACCTGGTCAAACCTGGACGAGTCCAACAAGCTGACCTGAAACGAAATCATTTCAATATGAGCACACGAGTCATCTCGAGGATGCCGTCTTTCCTCGAATGGGTGTTGTACTCACTCCGGTTCCCAAGTCTAATTGAGCTGCGTTCGGTGGGTTTTTCGTACCGTATTGTCTGATATGATATCGAGTCAGATCATGTGATGTGCTGCTCCTACCTTCGTCTAGCGTTTCCTCTCACATCACTGGAACCGTGTCGCAGCCAGATGATACGCCTGTACCATGTGCATCTAGACGAAGCCCGCCTACAAGTCAGCTCCAATCTAGCCTCAAGACATCTGGCCTCGTTCGCATGACTCACTGCCTCCGATCGTCAAGATCCAGGACCACGGACAAGTCTCGTCCTCCTGCTCGACAGCTGCGTGTTCTTGTACAGTCCTGACAGTAGCCAAGATCTTGTCGGCTTTCAGATCCTCAAAGTAGTGAACCATGACAAAAGTCGCCGGATCGTGATCTTCATGGTCTGCAGGTCAGGTTTTTAGCAAGTCCCGGTAAAGTGCAAGTCCCTCGTTTGTGCGGACTGACCGTGCAAGATCAAAATCCTCTCCTCCGGATCACCTGTTTGGACCAGATCTTCCTCTACCACATCGTTTGGACTAGGACCCTTTGAGAACCAAGCGGGAAATCCGAATTCGTGTGGGTACTTGAGCGTCGCGACTTCGGTCGGGACAGGTGCTAGGTATTCCGTACGAAGGTAGGCGATGAAGAGGACTCCGGCGGCGATTGCTATAATCGGATCGAGGATGGTTCGAGCGGGAAACATGTCAAGCAAGACATGGGTCCGCAGGTGGAATACAGGGGACCAAGGAGTGACACGACGATACGTCGCCAGGATGAGGATACTCGACGGTACAGCCAAAAAGGCAACTTACAGGCAAGCTGGGTCAAATCGGAGGTAGATCCGGAAGCAAGAATGGTGTAAAAGGTGAGACTTTTCGCGCTTGATAGGCTCGAAGGAACAACAAACCAACCCAGCAGCTAGCAGCACCTTCAATCAATCAAAGGCATGAGAACATGAGATCGATGAGGTCGGGAGAGCGAGAAGAATGGCATCGAAAAATTATTATCATACAGTGCAGTAAGAGATGCGGTAGTAGTGGGTGTGAATACCTCTCGTCCCGCCTCCAATTCCAAACGGCGTCTGGCTGAGAAACCACTAGATCACTACTCATCATCCACCATCATCCTGTAAACCGAAATCTCTCGACGACCTTTCAAACGACCCTTCCTTTCAACGACACGCTTCCTCCACGATCGGCTCTCCGCAGGTAGTTCGGATTAGCTGACGGCGACGCCTTCGTCCAAGTCGCCACTAAAGTCGACCTTCGAGACTCAGCTTCTCCTCCAACGAAAGAACACATCAACGGCAAGTGAAGTAGCCTCGTTATAAGCGGCGAGGATCAGTATGCTGAACTGCGTCCCGCTAACTTCGCTGATCGGCAAACTCAGACCCCCTAAGAACAGCCTAGACACGACCAACCTGGTAGGGTGCCTTTGACCGCATACCACGGACGCAACAAGCCACAAGGCTGCATTACGACCCAAGCAACGATTTATCTTCACAACCAAGTCTGAGAAGACGTCCGGACTAAGACGTTAGTCCACGAGGACCTATGATACGGTCGCCTGAGACTGATTCGAGCGTGCCATCTTCTGTAGACAGTGATTTCGACCCATTTGACCTTGATACAAAAGCCGAGGATATCTTGTCGCTCTGCTGCACGTGTGACAAGCGTCTTATCATGCTCAATCATCCAGTAAGTCCAACGAGTGAAAGGAGGACCGAGCTCTTTTCACAAATGTTCGCAGGATCTGACGTGATCGAATTTTATTCGTTGTCATCCGTTCTCAATCTGGTTGAGCTATCTTTCAAGCTTTCTACTCTGAACCACATCCCCTCAACATCATGGCTCCCAAGAGAGGCGAGAGGCAAGAGACCAGCGCATGTCGCGGACCGAGACGATGTCTTTGGGCCCCTGGCGACCAGAACGAGATCCGCCAATTCCGCTTCTTCAGTTGCTTCGGGTCTACAAGACCTCAGCCTCTCGTCAGACCGCGTCCAATCACCTGCACCCACCGCTCAAGCGCACGTTTCTACCCCTATGGAATCGGCTACCGTCAATGCCTCGAATCCGTCTGAAGCTACGGCATGTTCCCGGCACGGATTCAAGATGGCAATTTCTTACAGGGAAGTGACGGAGGAAGATGAGGTTAAGGACCGACGCCGCCGTCAACGTGACCAGCTGCTCCACAAAGATGCAGCAACTAGGTCGCATATCTATAGCGTGCGACACCAGAGCCGACAGGTCGACCTCGCGGCTGATGCTAGGTACTTGCCTGCAGGCGAAGGAGTGCTGGACAACGACGTCCCTGTTCCGCAGCCCCAACAGCACCGTGCGAGCTCTCTACGGCAGCACCTGTCTATTCCGGAAGCCGGACTACATGATGCAGGCACCCCTCCCAGGACACGCGAGGCGAAGTTGAGCTCAAATGTGGCCAAGAACAAGGTGATAGAAGCAGAGCTGCTCATGGCCATGAGAGGCAGGGTGAATAAGAAGATGATAGATATTCAACCATCCAGCGATATGACTCCGACAGAGAGGTCACGTTGGAACGCGGTCGTGAAAACACTTGCGCACGAGATGAAGACCCCAGGGCATCATCTCCATGTGCTGACGGACAAGTTGAAAACGATTCATCGCAATAACCCGTCAGGAGAAGCCGTGCTATCTGGAGAGGGCGCCGAGTTCGCAAACATCGTTACTCGACGCTTAGCGGCGGCTGTCGGAGGCCGCACTAAACAGCGGTTGACCGGCATTTTCAGATCCGCGGGCAATCATGACATGAAAGATGGCGATATCCCGCAACCCGGCCGTAGTAGTATTGAGACTCCTGAGAACAAGATCGACATCATCGTTCACGGCGATCATGCCGAAGAGGATGATGACCGGCAATGGGAGCACGTCCTCACATTTGGCGAAGTCAAGGTGGAAGCCAGCTGGGATCTCAAGGATGAATTGCTCGGTCAAATGCTTCGTTATCTTGTCAGTCTCCCCTGCTGGCTCGATATAGTTTCCAGCCTCTTTGCTTACACCACCCTGGCAACCTCTGCGCCCTTTTACAAAAGCGAAAAATCTTGCAGAATCATCCGGTCTCGGGCAGGAATGTTTGTTTCTCGTTATGCGGTCATCTATTACGCATTTTCGAGACTGACCCTGTCAGCATCAGCACTTCACCCGCATACAGTTTTAGGGAACCGAAAGACTACGAAAAGATCATCTGTGCCATCGCTCTGCTGTCCGGACCACCCTGCCTCGTATCGGAACAATGGCAGCCATCTCCTCAAGAGAACTTATCGGTACGAAAAGCCGATGGCGATCTTGTTGAATATCGTCTAAAGAATATCCGAAGGCTCGCTGTCTCGCCCGTGCTCTGGGGCTCAAGAACCGCTGCTTGGGCGGCCACAGCGCAGCGTGTCGACAACGTCGATGCAACGCTTCCGCACGAAGCATTGCCCTTGGTCATCAAGAGTAGCTGGTTACCGGACAGATTCTATGATCACGAGCTGGACATGGTCGGACACATAGATACAGCGCGGAGTAGATGCATCGCAGAAGGGGAAGTCGTGCCTCTGCTGCCATTCCCTGTGGGTCATGCTATCAACGGGATCCCCGGGAGCGAGATCCGTCTCGACAGTTGGAGAACAGCGGATGGGCGTACAAGAAACACCACGATCATCACGTTTTGTACCGAGGGAAAACACGTTGACGAGGATCTACCCACCTTGCGGAACCACGTCCGCTTCCATCGAAGTCTCACTCAGACTATACGATGGCTTGCCAAGATCGGTCTCCACTACCGCGACCTGAACAATGGGAATGTTCTGCGAAGCGCTACGGGATACTGCGTTCTCATCGACTTTGGTAACGCTCGCTATCTCAAGACGCCGCGGGGTCAGACTGGGGATCAGCCAGTCGGAGCGCTGGATTTGAGCATGGACGATGCTCGATCTGGCACGTTGATGTTCATGAGCCGGCGAATCCATGGACTGACGAACAAAAGGGACACGCACATGAGAGATAAGAGACAATATGAGCTAGATTGCGACAAACTCGCGGCTATGGACGACGATGACCCTTACCGACCGATCGAGCTCAGACGATGCGAAGACAAAAAAAGGAAGCTCGAGAAGCAACGTTCAGAACTGATGAATCTACACGCCCGACACTGCTATGTAGACGATGCCGAATCTCAGCTGTATCTCATGATGCAACAGGTCAGAAATCTGGTTATCTCTTCGATCCTGCTGGGTGCTGATACACCTCCGAACACTATGCCAGATCCTTTACTCCACCGGTGGAATCAGCAGTTTTGAGGTGATGGAGGATCTTCATGAGAAGGAGCTGTTCTGGGATGACACCGATGTCCCTCTCAACGACGTGGGTCCAAACAGAAGAATGTGATTCCGTGATTGCTGAATGGTGTCGTTTGGTATCAGGCCGAGGAACACAATCTTGACTGGCGCTGGTTTCGAACTTGCGCGGGCGAATTCAGGACCGCTGTCAACTCAGCGCTTGAGGAGATCAAGGCCGGATTGGACGCTGGAACTCTCGATATCTCGGAAGGGACGGCTCTCGATTGCGAGATCAAGTGTTTCGACCGGCTGGACGAGATCTGGGCGACGGAGGAAGCAAGGCAAGACCAGTTGGAGCAGGCAAAACTCGCAAGGAAGAATTAGCATGGTCAGTCGGCCATGTATACATCGACGCAGACGACAGCTTAAAGCTTGCGTGTTTCGCGCGGCAAATCAGACACTCCCCCAACCAACCTTTCCGACTCTGGGTTTGATGACTGGCATGACTGGTCTGTCATGGACGGGATTATTGCAGTTTAGCCAGAAATAAGTTTTGAGATCCCACATACCCCAACATTATGTGACCGCTAGCAATTACGATATTACGAATATTTAAGCGAAGTATCCATATCGGTCGGAACGGCAAAAGCTCTAGTATATAGTATCGGGTAGGCCAAGCCGTTATGCCTTCCTGGTAACTTTGTCTGTCGAGCTTGTAGAATCAATATTATTCCGCCACTACATCACCTCGTCGGGATGTAGCGAGTGATTCTATGCTTTGCGACCGAGAATCCGGTGATCTGACTGACGGTCAGCGTCCGAAAGGCCTCGCAAAGATCAGCGACCGCAACTATCGAACTTTTCCCGCCGTGTTCGGTGACGTGACAATCAGCACAACATTATTCCTACCCCGATACTTGATGACGAACACCCCTGGCTTCATATCAAAAGGCAGCCCTCAAACGAAGCCATAGCTTAGTTCATCGAGACTGAACTTCAGCTGCGACTTTCGCTCACCCAACTAGGCCGTGGATACGCTCGACTCGGATCCCGGCTCGGACGTTTTCTTCTGAATCGACGTCTGCAGGGCGGACGATGCGAAACGTCAAGTGTTCGATAAGGAGATTAGATGTGTCCCTCGGCCCTGAACGGTCGTTCTGCAGTTTTAATCGGTCAATCGACAAGAATGCTTGAATAGTCGGCATGGGGGGCTTTTCTGATAATGACACGGGCCATTTGTACGTATTTGTGCCGTAAGAGGCCATAGGTATGGTCCTCCGATTGCTCCGCGAATCACTCTGGGATCTCCCAGTCGTAGGCCAAAGGCGATGTGACGTACGGCTTGACGTTGTTGTCGACGCAGCTGTTCGACAGAGGCAGGGACAGGTCGCACGCCCGGGGATCGGTTTCAGCGCGATGACCCCATACCTGCGAGACACGAGGTAGGTCGGCAAATGACTCACTCTACGTGCTCCTTCGAGGTAGCATAGGTGTTCAAAGCATCCATAGATTCGAAGGTCGAGTACATGCCGAGCTCGAACCCCTGGATCCTGTCGGACGGGCCTACGGTAGGCGTGATCTGGCAGGATAGACGGCCGGGCGCCTTGAGCTTGGACAGCGCGTCAATGGAAGCCTTGGCGGTCTGCAAGGATACTCCTTCCTTGAGCTTCCAGAGCTGTAGTATGATACGAGGCAGAGAGCAAGTCGAGTTGGTAGGTGGTTCAACTCGGGTCGGCGTGATGTGCACTGACGACAATGTGGCAGATCTCTGTAGAAATAGAATCGGCAGCTAAGCTCAGCGATCGTCCGCGTTCGATCTAGACATCTGTTAGAACTTGCTGGGCATGGTGTCGAAGATTGAATGGTCAACAACAAGTGATTCGAGATGGGAAGCTGTCTTTATTCCATATTGCTCATGGTCATGAACCCTCTGAATTGCTGAAGATGATGTTGTTGTCGTCATGCTCGGGCCGACCCCGGTTCCTCGGCTCCGGCTCCTTCGCGCTTGTGATCGCCGAAACGGACCTCGCCAAAGATTCTACGGGCGATATGCGATCCAGAACCGATCGGCTTCCACTTTGCGGAAAGGGATCTAGACCGTTCATCGACAAGACTGATGATGACTGGAACTTGCGTCTTGCGCCCTGTCTTCGCCCGAGGGCCTCAATCAGGTCCTGAACGAGTAGCCAACCACAGAGACCCCGTAAATCGGAGCGTGGGGCAAGATTTTCTTGTACTCGAGCCAGTCCGCAATCGATTATGTGATTTGAGACCCAGCAAGCTGACTGGACTCATAGTCCAAATGGATCATAGGTGTCACCCGTTCTGCGTCGGCCTCGAGTGTTTGAGCAAAGGTTGTATCGACTGTGGGCACCTTCTTGTACTCAAGGAGACCAATAGTAACACAACTTGCAGACATAGGTAACGAGGTATACCATACGATACAACCGAGAGAATCTGAACAGTCCGTATGAGTACAAAACATCCCCCAAACATCACATCGAATCGACTACAGTCGGCTTTCGTCTCACGCGGCTCTAGCCATGACCCCATTCCTCCCGTTTCTCCGCTATCGAATCCTCGACCCGATACTTGCTCTCCGGGTGAGATTTACATATCCTGCTCGTACCGGCCACCCGACGTCGAAATCAGCGTCTTGTCGTCCAATGTCCCTAGTCACGCCGTTCTGTCACTCACAGACAAGGGTTCTCGACCTGTTCCCCCGTGAGTTCCTCGAAATGTTGTCTAGCCTGTTCGATGTTGAACATCAACAAGCTCGGTTCTGCACGCAATCCCCCCTCCACGAGAGTCAGTTCGACTGGACGAGAAACGGTATCGACCTTGTTCGACTCGAGACTCACCGACCCAGGGTTCCGAGCTGACGAGCATGAGATAGGTATTGCTCGTCAAGACGTCCAACCCGATCGAAGCGTTGTCGAACCTGGCTTCCAGGTTGATGAACGGCTGGCTGTTCCGTCTACGGACGATGGAACCACACCACTTGTCAGTGAGCCGTCGTCTGAAACCAGCCGCCCTCGCGGACCTCGGAGCCTGCGCTAACTCACTGACAAGTCCTCCTGAATCCCTTGACGACTTCGCTGATTTTCTCGAACCGCTTCCTCTCCAACCCCCTAGCCCCGTTGGCGACCTCGACCTCGTCCAAGCCCTCGACATCCATCATGACCGCTTTGGCCTTGACCTTGTTCTTCTCCTCGTCCTCTGCCGCGCCCGTATTCCCCAGAGTCTTGTTCGTACCGGTACTTGCGCCCGGGTCCAAATCTGGGTCGGCGTCCAACCCGGATCCGCTCTTGGCGAGCACGAGGAACGTCTGTCGTTCAAAGAGCACAGCTTCCAGGCATGAAGAGATGTTCCGCAGATGCGTCAGGTGAGAGTTGATCAGAGCGGCGTTGGGGATGAGGTTGTGAATGACCGAAGACCAGGCCTGGTTGATGCGAGCGGGTACATCCAACCGAAGCGACATGCCACGATCAGCCATCCGTAAAGTGACCCTCTGGCGTCTGGGAGCGACCCACCTTGTAAAGACTCTCATCCCAGATACTCGTCCCGAAACATCTCACGCCCCTTCCCCTCCCCACATCCATCCCGAACCGCTTCCCCACCGCCCCACACCTCCTCTCGATCTCGTCCCGTTTCTCTTCGAACACCTTGATCTTCTTGCTCGCCACCCCGTCCCCGACAATGTCCATCTTGTTGACCAGCACCCAGACTTTCGGGGGTACGACCGGAGCCGAGGGGTCGGTCTCGGTCTGTTCTTCCTGGGCGAGGGAATAGAGGGCTTCGATGCACTCTTCAAAGTACTTGACATCGCGTTCCCATTCGGTCTCGGTCCGCTCTTCTCCGTTGCCGTTGTTATTGCCGTTGCCGTTGGTGCCGATCCCAACCTGTCCATTGAGGTGGTCCGACAAAGGCGACGAAGGCCCTTCCGACGCTACCCCAGTCCCTGTACCACTCCCACTCCCAGTCCCGCTCCCGGACGCCGCGGGAGAGGAATAAGAGGTGGGCGTCGTTGCATCGAATACGTAGATCAGGACGGCGACGTTTTTGAAGATTTCGGATTTCTGGGTACTGATGAAATGGGCGAGGAAATTCTCTTGACCTCCGCAATCCCAGAGGTTCTTTGAGGCGGGTAGAGAGCGGGCGACAGCAGGTGATCGCGAGCAAAGCGCGGTGAGGTGGGTAAGGTAGATGAAGATTGACGAGTCGATATAAGAGAAAAGAGACGATGATGGAAGATTATGAGCACGAATTCCACGATCAGATCGATCACGAAAAAACATGGCGAGAGACCGTGAAGCGAGAGATCACACAGAGAAATCGACGACTGACCAACTTTAATCCGCCCATAAAGACCACATGACTATGCTCTACATCCATCGTCGCTCCTAACCGGGAAGTATCCTTGGCGATCATGTTCGAGCTATCATAAGTGACGCGGTGTTGTAAGGCCGAGATGAAATGAGAGGTCAGCTAGGTCATGGGGATACGAGTCAGGTTGGATGGCTTCTGAGAGGGGGGACTTGCAAGATGACGGATCTCATGGACGTCTTGCCGCTTCCTAGAGAAAGGTTTCCGTACAGCAACATGAGCGTTTCTATATTCCCCAGAGCAAGAATCGAGAGGACTATCGAGGCTTACCAGACTTGCCCATCAAGAGCACCTGTACGACGAGGTCAAGACTCGGTCAGTCACGACATTCCGGTCTTGAACTTCCGCACGAGACTGACCTTTTTCTTCTTGTTATCTTGCGGCATGGTGTATGGAGATGGCTGATGATAGCATGAGGTCTATGGTGTACGGGGTCCTCTGTCAATATGAGGAGTTCAGAAGTACCCCAGGTTCGAAGCGTAGATCAGACTGGATGGGGGGTCTCTGTGATAAGGACAAGAGGTTGAAAGATCATCCATTCGTCATATCGCCCTAGCACGCGTGAGAAAGTAGGCTCTAAACAAGAGGCCACGTGACCATCGGTCGATCTCGGAACCTGTTTTTGCTCCCTACGCCGCCCGACGCCGACGCCCCCCCGCTTGCTCCGGCGGACCTCCCCTCCCTCTCGGCCGCCCCTTCTCTGGCTGTTTTGGGTAAAAGAAAACAAAACCTCGCTCGCTCGCTCGCTCGACGTCACTCTTCGAGATCCATCACTACTCTCTACGATCACTACTACTCTCTACTCATAAAAGCACACATCCCGCACTCGACACAGCTACCTCCCTCAAACCAAGAACAAACAAGATAGATACACACGCATACACAGACGAACATCAGTCACTGGACACACCGCGACATCCTATTTATCACCGCCTTTTCGCTGCCCTTTGTCAGCAGCACGAAATCCCGGCGGCGGTCCGACATCGACTCCACACGACTTTTGCCTCAAGAGTCGGACGATCGCTCGAAATCTACGCCGGTAGATCGTCACATCCGCAACGAAGCGCACTAGGTCAATAGCATCCTGCACTAGTTAGATTGGCACGAACCCGTCATCTGGGTTCGAAATCAAGCTGGTGATCGGTTGACGAGGAACTCTACTTGAAGAAGAGAATCTTCTCGATCTAGTCATCGTCGAAATCCCGGACTCGAGAAACGACTTGACAAATAATAATAACAACAACAACATGTCCTCGACCATCATGACCGCCCTCCTACCACCCGCCAACTCCTCCCTCCTCCGTACCCTCACACCAACCGAACCCCACTACCCGTTCTACCATCCGACGGGCGCCTCGATCCTCCCGTTCATGACGGACAAGGTCACCTCCCTCCTCGTACCCATCGTCGCCTACTGGGTCTTTTCTCTCATCTGGCACGCCATCGACTGTGCCGAACTACCATTCTTTGAAAAATACAGGATCCACGAGTCGGAAGAAGTGCTCGCTCGCAACAGGGCGACCGTGGGGGAAGTGATCAAGGCCGTGGTCATCCAGCAAGTCGTCCAGACGGCACTCGGGATGGTGTGGTTGGAGAGCGAAGAGGAGATCTTGAAGAGGGAGGTCTGGAGGGACCATACGAGTGACATGAAGGGCTTGGCGGGGGTCTTGGGGAGCGGATTGCAGGTGCTTTTGGGGGAAAAGACGGCTCTTGCGGCGGCGAGGCTATTGGGAGGCGAGAAGGTTACCGGATGGGTTTATTGGTGGGGGGTGCCTTTGTTGCAGATGGGTTTTGCTTTGTGAGTCTGCCGGTCCGGCTCGGCTTCAAGAGCACAACGATGTTCGAGACAAGCGAACCGTACTGACCGACAAACGAAATAAATACTTCCCACGCACAGCTTCATCATCGACACTTGGCAATACTTCCTTCACCGACTCTTCCATACGGTTCCCTTCCTCTACCGCCATTTCCACTCGGTGCATCACCGTCTCTACGTCCCCTACGCATTTGGAGCCCTCTACAACCACCCCATCGAAGGCCTCCTCTTGGACTCTCTCGGTGCCGTCCTCGCACACTCGGCAGCAGGGATGACTGTCAGGCAATCCATCGTCCTCTTTGGGATAAGCACGATCAAGACGGTGGACGACCACTGTGGATACAACATCTGGTGGGACCCCTTCCAGGCCGTCTTTGGCAACAATACCGAGTACCACGATCTGCACCATCAGAGTTGGGGGATCAAGAAGAACTTTTCGCAGCCTTTCTTGTGAGTCGCTCGTGCTCATGCGTGTACAGAGAGCAGGTAGGCTGACAGGCGATCGCTATGTACGGTTTTGTAGCACCAAATGGGACGAGATCTTGGGCACTCGAATGTCGGCCGAACAGGCTGCCAAGATGTACGCCCGTCGAGCCGCTGCCAAGGCCGAAGCGCTCGCCCACGCTCTCGAGGAAAAGGTCGAGGAGAGCGTCGTTCAGGTCGAGGAAAAGGTCATCAAGCCCGTCCTGGAGGTCGGTCACGATGTCGTCGCTGCCATCAAGGGGGACATTGTGGAGCAGCACGACCAGGAATCGGAAGAGGAGTCGGGGAGGGGGACGCCAGTGGAAGAGATCGATTCCGGAGTCGAGTTGGAGGAGATCAAGACGCGGGACCGGGAGTCGGTCGTAGGAAAGACGACGGGGTTGCAAATAACACCGAACGGAGGACAGGGGGTACAGACGAGATCGAGAGCGAGGAGGACGTGAGGGACGATCCGCGTCGTCTGATACTCGGTTTCACATCGCCGAGAAGATCGCAATCTTTCCGACTTGTTTTTACTAGTATAATTTGTTATCGAGACCACAACCCACGTTCGCTACCGCCATGACGATATGATGTATAGTACCAGGTTATCTGTTGTCATCGTCGGTTGCTGACCAAGTTAGCCCGGTCCTAGCAAAGGGTACAGGATGCGCAGTACGATTGTTTTGAATGTGGGAGTGTACCCAGTAAATGATCAATAATAGTAATGAAAGAGTCGCGTGACGCGTCCGAGGTCGAGAAAGGGAACGCGTTTCTGCGATCGATCAGCATCATCTTGTCTGTCCTTCCTCTTCGCCTTGTAGCGACCGCTCCGAATTATTCTCAGACTTGCGAAATCGAAAACTAATCAAGTCACTGGTGGGTTGTTCTCTGGTGTCTTGTCCCGAGCGGACACCGCGGCGATCGTCGTAATGCAGGTCCAGCCTGATAGCTTTGAGCAGTGAGCTTGTACTCCACCACACCCCGATCTGTCATCATCACGACTAAGCCTGCCTGATCGCCTTGTTGTAGTTTCGTCCGTTTGATATATAACCTCGGTCAGACGAGACCGGACGCCCATACCCAATCGAAAGACCGGTTCAAAGCCTTCTTGCGATCCCTGCCCTGCCCGCTACCTCGACGATATGGAACCCACCTGTTCCGGCTCCTCTTTCCGCATTTCATGCCGAGAAGGAGGTATCAGATGAAGGAGACCGTTCTCGCTAGAAAGTTTTGCGATGTCATGCGCCTGAACGAGGTGCAGGCCGGGTCTCTGTATGGCTGGAACGAAGGGGTTGGGGGAAGGGGGACGAGCGGGTGCTTAGGGGAAGAGGTTGAGAGGGTCATAAGGAATGTGATGAGTATCAGGGTGAGCCGTCGTGTATAAGACAGCCAAATTGTTTCATTCTTATTCGTCTCGGATGATAGGCAACAGGCAAGGTGTCAAACGTTTCGCTGGCAGAGATCGACAATCTCTTAGACGAACTAGCAAGCCATTCGCCGTTCTCACAAGTCGGTGACGGTGAGTCTCGAAACGCTTTTGGGCAGTGATCACCCAGCCTTTTGATACTGAACCTCTCGACTTGACATACAGCTCAACATCCATCACCCCGCTCACAAACCGATATCCTCTACGACCTGTTCATCCGCTCCAACCTCTCACCCTACGCATGTTCCGTCCTCACCCAGATCATCCTGACCGACCTCCGACCGTTGCTTTCTCCCCTTCCACCAGAAGCTCTGAACTTTACAACAGCTCTGCTTGTGGAACACAAGGCGGTTCCGCAATTGGACATCTTCGAAGCGCTGGAACTGTGGGATTGGGAAGCGCGGCTATTGCACAAGGTATGGGGCAACTTGGATGTGGTTCTCGACGAGATAGAATCCCGGGGCGGTGGAGCAGGAGGACGACAACGGCCAGCTTTGGGCCTGATATCCAATCCAGTTGATCTGGTCAGACCTGGGATTAATGTCGAGGTGAGTCGCTCTTGGATACCTTGCGGACCTGGAAGTAAATCGTGGCGGCTCAATATAATGCCTGCGCTTGTGTAGATACCCAAGTGCGAGAAGGGTCGGTCCATTCACTCGGCCTTGAAGATGATCGCCGGCCCGTCGGGTGACCGCACGAAGAAGATCTGGGCAGAGACAAAATACGATGGGATTAGGTGAGCGGTTGACACGATAAAGGCAAAGCTTTCTGTTTTCTCACCTCGGAAACCCCGTTCTTTCTGTGTTGCAGAGTGCAAATACACGTCTGGTCTGAGCCCGATGACCGACCGCAGATTCGCCTTTTCTCGAAATCCAAGCGGGATAGCACGATGGACAGACTTGCTTGTCATTCGTAAGTCCTTCGCACGAAACCAACTTGTAGACATGTAAGGGCCAACTCGAGAACCACCGCTGTTCCTACTTTGCAAACGCAGCATCATCATGGCTTCTCTGGATTACGATATCCATTCAGAGCTACCTTGCCACCCTGAGCTTCTTCAGAGAATAAACACAATACCAAAACTCAGCCGGTCGGACAAAATCAGATCGATCATCCTTGAAGCGGAACTTTTACCTTACAATGAGACTTGTCGTGGGCAAGGTCGGGGACCTGGAATAGAAGAGTTTTGGAATCTCAGTAGAATCAGGTCTAACGAGTAAGTCTTCATCGTCGCCATGGTCGCCTCGAGGTCAAGAAGCTGATGGCTTCCATACCGTATCAGCCATTCGCATCACCGGCACTATTATCTTGCCTTTTTTGATATCTTGTACCTTGACGGGGTGCCTCTCTTGAAACACCCTTATGCTACCCGACGACAACGCTTGGAAGAGGTCGTGCATGCAATTCCCGGATTTGTCAGTAGTATTGGATTGTATCGAGTGCAGGCAGACTCGACCTCACACCGTTTCGCCCGTGATCGTTTTCAGAGTCAACTCGCAGAGCGATACCCAATAGATCTCTCTCAGGGGAACGAAGTTGCAAAACAACAGTTGGCGACCATATTCGCAGCCTCAAACGGACGTATAGAAGGTCAGTTTCACACGCGATGGGGGAGTCTGTGACTTGAGTTGAAGTCGAGATTGGCAGAGGGTCTGGTACTCAAAGCTTCAGAGTCTCCGTATAATGACTCGCGCTTGCGATGGGTCAAACTCAAGGTGAGCTTCAGCATAAGCAGACCTGATCCTCGATGCTTACCAGCCCAACCAATAGCGTGACTATATACCTGGAATGGGCGATTGTGTCGACCTAGCTATAATAGGAATGGGCTGGGACCGGGACAGAGCCAGAGAATTGCGAGGTGAGTGATTCGACGTATATATCCGGGAGCAACTTGAACAACTTGGATTCTATCGATCAATCGATTCGCGGTAGTCGGTACATCAGTCCTGACGAGTTTATACGCGGCGGTTCTCACCAACCCAGAAGAGGTGCTATCTCGTCAGGTAGGACCGCTATGACGATTCAAGCCGTCGCGATTGACCAAGCTCATTCCATTTATAGCAAGTGCCTCATTTCGAAGTCCTCTTCACCGTCTCTTACGGCTTGAACAGGGATCAGCTGGAGCGCGTCAATCGAGATGTGGAGCTGGGCAAGATACCCTCAAGGCACTGGCGTAATGGCGGCAGGTATTGCCAGGTAAGTCCATGTATCGATTGGCCATCGTCGAGACAATCTCAGCTAATGCAGGTCATCCCATAGAGTATACCGGGAATGTCGTATCGTCTGACCTTGAGGCATGATTCTCCACCGCCAAGCGTCGTGTTCAATCAGCCACTGAACGCGGAGCTCATGGGCGCAGGCTTTCAAAAGCTGCCAGAATCCAGGTATCATGCGTTGAGATGGCCACGCGTAGAAAAACTGCACCTGGATCGATCCTGGACAGAGGCTTTATCGGGACTAGAATACCTGGCTGCATGTCTCAAAGCTCTTGGACATATGGACCGAGACAATACCATTTTCGCTGCGCAACGCCAGGCGGGTCTCGAAGCAAGTCTGACTCGGGTCGTTTGTGCACATCACCTCTCTGGGACCGACATCGTGGACTTGTCGCCTTTCAAGCCTCGGACCGCGCTTGTGATCAAGTCCGAATCCCCATCTCCGAGAAAGCCACTGCGCGCTACGAAATCACTGCCGGACCCCAAAGGACACAAACACACTGCCCAACAAACAACAACAACCAAACGACCTGAGCATTCCCCTTCAAAAGGTGAAAGGGTCCTGAAAATCAGCCGACGCAGGAGTTTTCCGCGTGTACATACCAGTCGGCGCTTGACCAAAACCTCATCTGGACTTCTGCCGGCGCTCGATATATCAACCGCTCCACGAAGTGGTACTCTTGACTGGACTGGGCTCTGATAGACCTGATGCAAGGAGATGCAGGGCCTGGTTTTACAACGCTATTGCTGTTAGAATCGATTCTAGCCCAACGGCAACACTCAGAAACAGCCTCATCGGAACCATACCGACCGGTAAAATGTAACCCTGAGAAATATATTTCATATTCTTTCCCCGAGAGTAAGGCTGCCGCTGCTGCTACGCTGGATGAATGATGATGGAAGACGGTAAAATCGAGCAAAAGAATTTACTCGTCGTCCTCGTCGTTCTCCTCCTCGTCCTCTTCCTCATCCTCCTCCTCGTCAGACTCCTCCTCGACCTGGCTCTCCAAAGTCGAAGTGGCGATTCGGTCCAAGTCACGCCTAGAGAGTGCGGTCAAGATCGTCAGTCGGCGAAGGTTCGGCATAAACGCAAAGCATCGAATCATCATTTGCAACACTCACTGTCCGTCAACGCTGATCTTCCTTCCACCGTCAGTGGCCTTCTCGAGCACACCGATCTTCTCCAAAGACTGGAGGACGGCCCTCTGGACACCGGTAGCGGCGTCCTTGTGGTGAGAGGGCCTGTTTCCACGTCGGTGGGCACCTCCGTAGAGCTTGGCGAGAGCACCAACACCGACGTGCTTCCTGAGGTAGATGTGTCGGGCGATCGAGGCTAATTCGAGGATCGCAAGCGGAACCGGAACAGATTGTCGTTAGATACCTCTTGATTCGATGCAACTCAGCTATGGATTGCGCGTTGGACTCACCAGCTCGAACGTAGTACCAGTCCGGGTTGTAAGGAGCCAACTCCTTGAACGAACCGGTCTTGACGGTGTCGACCCAGTTGGGAACCTCCAACTTTCCGGATCGCTTCAAGTGCGAAGAGTAGGCAGCGATGAAAGCATCGGCACTGAGACATACGAAACGGGAGAGAAGAATGTCAGCCGCTGATCTCCGGATTGGGCTGGCTTGTCGAAGGAGGTGCGAGAGGATAGGCTCGAAGCGGAGGGCAACAGGAGATGATAGCAGAGGTGGTGTTTGCTGGTCGGAGCGAGAGGAGGCCGAGGGACGTGGAAACGATTCAGCTGCCGGGTCGTTCTCGAATCGGGGAGACAGCGATTCTCGACGGATAGTTGGGCGAGGCTAGGCAGTGGCGTGTCTCAACGAGTAGAGTTTGTGAAGTCGCCATTTGTTGATTGTTTCCTCGAAGGTGAAGTGTCCAGACGACAGATAGCGATGCGAAGTAGACGCAGATCCGACAGGTGGTTCGAATCCAGAGTCGCAGCCTCGTGTGTTTGCTGCTGGATCTCACGATCGGAACAACCAGAGTAGCGGTCGGTGGAAGGACATGTCTTTGCTCCTGATTGGCGGCAGACTTGGCTGCATGAGCGTGTCTTGCACCATGTCGCTAATCCTCTCTTTCATGCAGTTTCGCCTGGCGACATCCTGGTGTCGCTAGCTTGTGCATCTTGTCCTGTCGTGTTGCTGTTCCACCAATGCCTAGCCCACATCCCTCTATTCGATATCGCTGTCCCTTTCCGCTCGTCAAACTTCCCCGAGCAGCCTATCTCTTGATCGATCCCGTTCTGTCCCGTTTCTCCTCGTCCTTGGTCACACTCCCGCTACACATCCTCATCTCCCGTTCCCTCTTCCGCCACCCTCAATTCACATCGTATCCTCCCTCCTTGGCCTTGAAGAGTCGATACGGATACGCACGAGAGATCCCTAACGCCAGGCATGATGAGAGACTAGCTTTTTTGATTCTTTTCTTGAGGCTGTGGGCGGGAAGAAAAGGGTTGGCGGTGCTTGCTGGACTAAGACGAAGACGACGAGAAGAGAGAAGAAGGCAGAGATCCTGGGTCGTCGCTGCGCGGGCACCTCGGGATCGCTGGGAGGGGGTCGTTGATTCTGGGTCGGGTCTGAGCGAGCAAGGTCGCTGGCCCCTCGCACAGGCTGGGCTGGGCCGGTGGTTGGCTCAGCGGAATCGCTAGGTGAGCGAGCGAGGTCGCCCAAGCGCGCGTGATCCGAGTTGCGCTTCTGCTTGACTCGCACACCCTTCTTCAGGGAAGATCGACTTCACGCGTTTTGACCAGGGCTCGAGAGGGCGACGCGCTTCTGTTGTCGGAGTTATCGCCGACCTCAGCCTCTCCTCTTCTGAAACGAGATGCGTCACGTTGTGAAACACTTATCTCGATTCGCAGCACCGCAGCATTCGACGTTCGTGCCGTACATCTCTGCACCTTCTCTTTTTCCCTCTTGTTCGATCACGTTGCCCTCTGCGATTATCCCATTGAGCTGTCTTCAACATAGGACTGCAAACTGCCTGATGCGTCCGAATGCCCCCAGCGTTTCGCATCCCAACGGAGAGCTGGCCCTCGTATTCAGGTCATTCCCCATCAGAGAACCAGCCATGACTGAAGGTTTCACAATGAACCATACGTCCTCAGCCTCACCGAGTCTTCGTGACACTTTGAGCTGTTCCCAAAAGCGAGACCTGACCAGGTAGTTGTGTGCCTTCGTTTTGAGAACGCAGACCCCAACAACGTCCAGATGTCTTCTCGGCGAGGATGATGTGACAGGCGAAAGTTTCAAGGTGGCGAATCAGCAATTTCATCGGGTATCCTATGAGTGTCCAATTTGTCGATTTATCGATCGTTGACCAGGTTTCATTCTAGAACACTATCAACCTGAGAAGCCGGGCGGCCTACAGAAACGGCTAGAGCAGGCTCCTCTGCGTGTGGATCAAGCGACCGACCCATATATAGATAAGGTGACATGGCCATCGTGCCAGTGCATGCGATCAGCCCGGTAATTGAAACGCTCGCAGCGCGTACTCGCGATAACGGTTGTACGCTGCTTCTGTGCGGGAGTGCGAGGAAGCGACTAGCTTGTTCTACGTCACTGGAACCCCGAGCGAATCGGGGATAGTTTTCCTTTCTCTTCTTGGCTATGCACTGGGATAGTAGCCTTCGTAGTAAATGGAAATAATTTCACAGGGTAGTATAGTCAGTCTCTCGGTCTCAAAGATCATCGATTTGTAATTGTCATACATTTCCTACTGGTACAATCCAGACAGATCCCAACGGAGAAAAAGAGAATTGGGTCGCAAACGAGAAGGTTGTCCGACAGATGAAATAGGGTGGGCCTCGTTAAGGTAGGTATGTTCCACCAGGCGGAAGAGGCGTCTGAATTCTCGGGCAAGGGGACGAACATCGAAATGAACGAAAAAGACCGGTCAGGCGTCTGGTCACGTAGGATTGACCTGGCGTTCCGTCCGGTGTCGATCTCGAGAAGTACGGTGAAAAGAAGAGGGATGTGATCGAATGATCGCCGAGGGGTAAGAGGCGGATTGGGGTATTGGTTATGAGTTATGAGTCGCGTGGTATTTGAGCTTGGTATAGATGATGATAAGAGCCTCTATCCGGTTGAAGAGGAGGACGAGACCGGATAGCAGGCTTTATCGCAGTCGGCAGGAATAGGGCGAGCAGGCGGTCCAGGAGATATTTGGGATGAAAAGTCCGGCAATCACTTGACAGCGGTGTAGCTCTGCTCGATCCAGGAAGTGTCGAGCCAGACCGAGGCCATCCCGCGCCTGTACTTGGGCTTAGAACTGATGATCCCAATCCTCATCCCTCTCCGCCCTTCCTCCCCCAACCCTCGCCGAATCCCTCTTATTCCCGCCGCCGCCTGCCGAGCCGTACGCGTTCCCATTCCCGCCTCCGTAGCCGTCAGACGACTCCGTCCCTGCCCTGCCCCTACCTGCAGCGGTACCCGAACCTCCTCGAGATCCGTACTCTCGACCCCACTCGGGCACGTCGTCGTCGAATTGGGCGTCCCAAGGCCGGTCGGCATTCGAGTTGGAAGTATAAGTGTGCGGGTCAGGCTTCTTGGCCTTCTTCTTGGAACCGGAGAATCCTGGAAGACCGAGTGATTTGCTTGGGGTCTACGTGGGGACGAGATGTAAATGATCAGAAAGCTTGCAGACAGTAGATAGCGAAGTATAGGCGCGTGACTTACGGCTTCGGCGCCTTCGAAATTGGCTGGGTAATGCCAGTGCTGCTGGTTGGGCGCCCTGTCGTGTTCACGCTCTATCATTGCCCCCGAGCGAGAAGAGACTGATCAGCCGCTGATCTTTTGCAACAATTGCCCACTGCTTCCACTGAATCGAACTAGATGCTCACCCTCGTTGTAATACTCTTCATCCTCATTCGACCACAACCCCTCTCTCCTCCTTCTGGCAACCTCTTCCTCATCGATTGTCCTGGAAGGCACATAGTTGCCACCCTCTTCACCTTCGGCCAAATCGGCTTCATCGAGTGTCGAATTGGGGAGACGTTCGTCGTAACGCTTAGCCCATTGGGATTTGGCCGCCCGGCGCTTGTCTTCAGAATCGTCGACTAGGCCGGCCTTCTTGATCCATTTCGGGGTTCGTTTACGGCCGTCGCTGTGGTCGTGACACGGGTTTGAATTGAAGTAGTATACGTTAGCCGAGTGTACGGACGTTTGCTGGCGATATCAAAGGGGCAGGACGAGCTCACTTGTTACGGATGTTCTGGATGTAAAAGTTGTGCCCGTGGCTGGGGATATCTGTAACCCGGCCCTGAACGTCAGCACTCAGAACGAGAAGCGAGAGACGATGTGGTCAAACTTACATCCACAGATACAGAGGAAACAGTTGAGGAAGAAATCAGACCCGATCCCGAACCTCGCTGCTACGGCTATTGATGACGACGCGACGTCAGGGCCGGGTGACGCGATACGACGATGGCAACGGCGTAGTTTTCGACAGGGAACAGAACAACAAACAGCAAGAGGAACAGTCAGGAGCACAAGATGCGAGCATCAGCGAATGGTATAGCGATATGTGCGAGGAGAATGCAACTGACCGATGGGCGGGAGGACGATCCCGAAGAGAAAGATGATAAAGGTCCATCCGTGATGCCGCTTCGGGGTCGGGTCGAACTTTTTAGGTAGACGGTGATTGTACGACATCTTGCCGCCGAAGAACTACGAGGAAGCGTTCGATATGAATGAGTGAAGAGGGGTATAAGTAGAGAGAAAGGGAGGAGGATGAGATGGGGATGATTTCGATTGATGACGAGCTGACCAGCCAGTAGCAGCCGGGGAAGGCGGGCTTGTCCGAACAGACGAACGCGCGGCAATTGCTTCGAGTCGGGGGGAAGTGAGCAGCCAGACCAACCTCGATATGGTATCGAAGAGGTGAATCTGATCAGAACCGAGTCCCAAGCTGGATATCTTGCCCCTCTCTGGATTTGAGGTGCAGCCTGTTTGTCGTATGGAAAGATGTGAGGTCGTCGTGTCCCCACCTCAAAGTCCGAGTAGAAGGGCGGCCGAATGTCCTCTCTCCCTTGGCGGGGGCGTTTCCCACGACGGGGTTCGCGGGGTTAGGCCACAAAATAAACACCGCGGTTGGACGTTGTTCAACTACTTCAACTCGCTTTCTACCTTGGTTATCGTTTCTACATTTCAACTCTGCAAACCAAGATACCTCAGCTAAGCCAATCTATCGCAAATAATCAACATGTGGTGAGCTCAACTCCTTCTCCAGCAGGCTTTCTCCAGCTGAGCAGCAACACCGGCGGCTCGAATAGCAAACACGTCCTCAACGCTCAAGTCTCCATCCGAGCTCCGTGTTGTCAGAAATGGTTCGACGTCAGTGGATACACATCATCTGTCATCTTTGCTTCCGGATGACCTGAGTTCCAGGCTGATGATATTTCTCTCTTGTCTTCATGTCGATGCTGGATGCTGGATCTTGGATGCTGGAAATGGACACGGTCGATGATGGATACGGTTCGGACACCGTGAGCAGTGCCCTCAATGCCATGCGGAGAAATCAGACCACGAGTTGAGGAAGACGACGGAAATGCATTTCATCTGCAAAAAGGTGAGTTGCTCTCCCTCTCCGCTTCAATTCTGTCCTTCTCTCCAGCTCGAGACGCCACATAAGCCAATAACGAGCCCTCACTGACCAATATATCGCCTGTCTATCCCTTTTTCTCCTGGAACACGCCGACAGTGCAAGAAAGCGTTCAGGAAGGATATCAACCAGTATGAAGAGTCGGACGAGTATTGCCCGCATTGCGACAACCATTACGTCAGTACCGTCGTCCTGCTTTTCCTCATCATTTGACACTCGTTTTCCCAAATTCTTTCTCTCTCTTGTGAAGACAACTTGCTTGTGGGCGTAGGGGACTGATTTGGATACACTTGCTTTTGCTTTTTGCTTTTTCTGGACTGGGGCACTCCTCTTGATCTGGGTGCATCGTTTTCGGTCAATCGATGCTCTCGTCACGAAACGACAAACGCCATCACGATGACGGTAACACCGATATCAATAAACCAAAATGGTTAACGGACGGACCGTGATGGACGGGTACTCATCTTGCAAACGGAAAATCGCTTACCGACCTTGCGCTTCGACTGCTACCGTCTTGACCGAGTGTTCTCGATTCCGACTGGACTTCTCTACATTGGACGAGAAACCCAACAGGTCATCGAGGCAAAGACACCTCAGGCGGTATTAGGTGTGGAGGGAGAGGATGCGCGAATAGATTCGAGGTGCGTATTCGTGTCCCAGATCCTGATGCTCCTCGGGTACATGCTACGTACAGGGACATAGAACAACTGCTGACATCCACACTGCATACCCTCTACCTCATATGGCTCCATCAACATCGTATCCATGATACGCCGGAACTATACTCTCCCATCCATCCACCTATCATCGACTGCAGGATGATCAAGGACGACCGGGTCAAGATCGACCCCTCTCGATCGATATTCACGAGGGCAGCGGCGGAACAGGCGGACAAGCTGGATGTACGGCCGAGAGCTGGGTTCGTTCCGAAAGGGTATCAAGAGGAGTGAGGGGCAGGGCGTAAGGCGGGGATGAGCAGATTATGGTTGTATCATCAAGTTCGGATCTGAGATATAGATGATGTGTAGCATTATCCTTTTGCGATCCGCAAGTGGTTACATCTAGGGTGACCGGCGATCCGTTGTGAGGTGTGAAGTGGGAGTGGAAGTGGGGGACTTGCTGCTGGCTGCTGGATACGGATGATGACGAATTCGCGGAATGTTGTTGAGCAAGGAGGGGGTTTCAGATCTGAGTCCCATCAACAACGACGGCCGACATGCCATCATTCCATTACCTCTCATCCTATACCTCATAAGATAGTAAATAGTCAAGCACCAACTCTGCCGATGATCTAGCCTATTCGATCAATCACGGCGTCACAAGAGCCGTCAGACAGAACAAGGGCTAGTCGTCTCGACGATCATGGCCACCAAGAAAAAGGCTACCGCTGTGTCTGGCGGTACGGCCAGAAACGACAGAGCGATTGTCGGACAGGCTGATGAGGCTCGTAGCTCGAGATCTCTTGGTAAGTTCGGTTGCACCTAGCCTCAGGTGGGATGTCCTGACAATCGATCGATCGACACGTTGGTACAGCTATCAGCTGCTTTTTGACAATCCTTACCGTCTCGTCAGCGATTCACATCATTCCTGATCTCCTTCACCCCCTCTTCGGCTCCATCCCCGTCAACCTGCACTTGGACCACGTAGTATGGTCTCTGTTCTTCCTGCAAGTTCTTCTACACGGAAGCCTCCCTGCCTCAAGAACAAAGCTGGATATCGATATGAACCTCGCTCTGGTGCTGCTTGGAATCGATTTGATGGTCGCCGTCAGGGCTTATAATAAAGTATCCAGGACAGCGGGGAACCTAGGAGATTCAGTAGGGGGTGCGGTAGGGACTTTGATCGTCCTCTTAGGACCGGTCATCGTACTGGGAACAGGAACGTTTGTGCATAACGCCGTAAGTCGCTCTGGGCATGTACTGTTCGGTATGCAGCGACTCGTCTCGCTGACTACCTTGCACCGCACCCTTTTATACCCAACAGGAGCTCCTTTACCGTGGATACGTCCAGGTACAAGGAGATAGCGAGACTAGGCTGACCAGACCTGTTCTAGTATCCTTGTTTACGGGTCTGGTTAAGCTGGGTCTCATCGGCTTGAAGGGCGGCGTGGGACAGCAGGTTGTGGCAACTCTGCAAGGGATGATGAGGCCCGAGTTACAACATCCTATCACTGCGGTGAGTCAGAATGCTGTGATTACGTGAAATAAAGAATCTGATGAGAATTTGTAGCTGGTCGCACTCTCCGCTGCCAGTCTATACCACGCTTCGCAATCTCACGCCGGACTCACTCGCCCATCCACCCAAAAGGTCGAAAGGTTCCTTCAACTCCTCCTCCTTGCCCTCCTCGCTGTAGTCACCATATCACTCGTCCGCCCAACCCCTTTCCCTTATACCATCAGCCTCCCACCTACGCCGGCTCCTCCCGGCGCACCCGCCGATAGACCCGCGCCGGCGATCAAGATCTTGAACTCGACAAGGAGCCTGACGGGACAGATTGTCGTCGGGGAGAACGTCGAGTATGGATTTAGGTTCTTGAGGTGCGATCACAGTCTATTGGGGGGACGCTGGGTTAGGAAAGACAAGGATGGACAGGACGAGTTTGGGGAATCGTGAGTCGGCGTCTAGCAAGCCAGAGGGTCACGGTACAAGCGGGTCACGAGGAGATGAGGATGCTGACGAAGAGTTCGCGAGCCAGGATCTTTTCGACATTTGTTCTACAGGATGCGGTCAAGCTGGTCGAACGGACGTCTCTCGATCGAAAGCAAAGGCCGAACGCGGAAATCATGTGAGTCTGCTCTCTCAGATGCGGTCGTCCTGCAACACAAGCTGATATGAAACTTTTGATATCGCTCAGCGGACTCGGAGTGGGCATTGCCGCACACGCTTTGATGATGGATGGAGTCCTAGTACAGATTACAGGTGAGTTCTTTTCGTCACGCACATATCATCTTGATGTTCAGGCTACTTCTCTATCCGTTACAGAGATCGATCCGGCCGTCTACCACGCCGCTCACCAATACTTTGGCTTGCGGAACCCTACCCGACTCGTCCTGGACGATGGCGCCCGATCGATCGAGACCCGAGCAGCTGCCATAAGGTCGGCAGGTCGTCTTCTGCGACCCCGTGATCAAACGGATTATGTCATACACGATTGCTTCACCGGGGGCAGCGTTCCCGCCGAGTTGTTCACGAAGGAGTTCTGGTGGGATTTGACCATGACGATGAAGACGGACGGGGTGCTGGTTGTCGTGAGTCGCAGATATTGAGAGAGACACTCAACCCCTCGCTGACGGAAATGATTACAGAACTTTGCAGGAATTTTGCAAAGTCGTGCCTCGCAAGCTGTACTGGCGACCCTCCATGATGTGTTTCCCCAGTGCCGGGCTTTCCGAGACAGTCGTGGGACTCCACCGAATGCGACCGGCAAGGAACTGCTCAATATGGTAAGCTCAATACTGTCGATCTGTAGCATTGACACGGATTTTTCTTGAGTGAGGCTGATCATGTTCGGATGCGTTCTAGGTCATCTTCTGCACACTAACGCATTCGCCTCTGTTGACATTCCGGCCACCTTCTGCGAGGGATCTTGAAACCTCGCCCTTCAGGTAAGCACAGCGTAGACGATGTTCAACTTGCTTACATGCTGATCTTGAATCGATTTGACTGTTTCAGGCGAGAGGTCCTCACTACCTTTTTGCCTCACGAAATACCAGTTGACGAGCTATTGAGAGATACCGCTTCTAGCTTCTGGCTTGACGACGGCGCTCGAAAGGATGGCTGGAAACATAACGACTACAACGACGATGACGAAGATGATGACGAGGACGATTACTGCCGTCCGGACGAACCGCATGCTAGAAGACCGCCGCTCGATACCGATCTGATCCTTCGTCGAGGCCGCGGGATGGATCAGCTGGATCGATGGCAGGTGGATAGCGCTAAAGCTACTTGGCTGGCCATGAGGAACATCATGCCTGTAGAAGCATGGTTGGCTTATTGACGTGTACATGGAGTCGATGTAATCTGCATCACCCGCTCAGCAACACTTGTCACCCGTCCGCGGTCTTGATCGCCGAGCCGACCCACACTCGGTTGGCTATTGCAGGACGGAATTGCGACAGTCACAGGATTCTACCGAAGGGCAGATGACACGGGGATGTACTCATGACAATCTTATTTCGATTCGATCGGCTTTTACCTGATGCCAATCCGTGGACGAGGAAAAGAGCAACGGCAAGCGACGGATGTTTACAAACGTTTTACAAAATTCCATACCGCAGGAGAAAAAGGTTCCGTCGCCGTTGAAGGCTTGATGTCGTTCCGTCGTCATGGCGCTATCGGCCGGACGAGGGTGGCTGGGTCGTGTTTGTCGTAAAAAGGTTGGCATTGGGTTACATGACGCAAAGGGTGTCGTATGGCGGTGTGGGCGAGCAGGAGTTGATTGCCGGGAGTAGCGTCATGAACGACTTTCGAAGGGATTTCCAAAACCCATGCTCTTCATATAGTCTACGTCAATTGGTATCACATGCCGGCGTTAGCGCTTCAATAACAGATGACGATCACCGCGAGGATGCCCGTTCTTACCGTCATACTGCTTCGCCTCTTGAACTGGATCCACCGATCTGCCTGCGAGATTCGATGTCGACTTCATCGTCTCATACCCCGTCGCTCCCAGGCTCGGTATAGAGTTGTACCTTGCGAGATCCGATTGGGCGGGAGCAGACATCGGTCCGTTGCCGTACATCGACGTCCGCGGGATATACACGTTCAAATTTGGGAGATTGTCCAGAGGTCCAGCGGGGAGACTCTGGCCTAAGCCGAAGGAAGGCGTGTTCGGGTTCGGGAGTGAGAATGAGGGCGGGTGCGAGAGCGAAGATGTATGCCCGGGGTGGAAAGGCAATGGATCTGGAGCGAAGGTACTTCGTGAAGTCAACGATTGGGACGGGTCCATATTGTAAAGCATGGGTCGCGAGTGAAACATCGGAGTTCGCTGAGGTAACGACTGCGAGTGCATCGACGAGCCCAGCGCATGTTGATGATACGAGGAGACCGGCTGTTGTGGCTCCTGTCGCACGCCCGGGATAGCATAACTCAACGTTTCGTCCTGTTTGTTCTTCCCCAACCTCTGTTCCGTCGATTCGGAAAAGTACCCTCCATCCCACTTGATGGGTGGCAACTGGTTGTACGTCGGTGACTGGAACGACATGCCCGATGAGATCGATGAGGAAGTCGGCAAACCCCCCGAGGCGGAAGAAGAGGACAACATGGACATGGACGACGCCGATGTCGGTCCCGACGCGGGCGGCATGTAGCTTAGGAAGCTGACCGTTCGGGGCGTGGTTGTTTGTATCGGATGCTCTTGCGCCCGCCTGTTGATATCCTCTAGCAGGACGTCTTCAAGCTTCTCCTCCTCAAAGGTGTCTCGTCGGGGAGGTCGGTATGACCCAAAAGAAGATAATCCAGGTAGACCTCCTCCTAGGCCCGATACTGAACCTGCCGTGGCGAGTAAGATGGGAGAGATGGGTTCCGCCTTGATCACCGATGCAGGTCGCTTCAGCCCACCTAACAGAGAAATTCCTCGAAGCTGATGTCAGCCTATTTTACCGGTGTGACATCAGGGCGCGAGAACAATCTGGCTCACCTGGCATGGAATACGATCGGGCCTTCCCGGTGACTGCGTTTACACCTGGCGTCCCCGCCTCTTCATCATGCCCGCTCATCTCGCCGGGGGTCTTCTCCCTTCCATCCGCCTCTGTGACCGTCCTACTTCCAAACCTGTACATCAGCTATTTACTCCATATGTTACCGGCACCAGAGATATCAGACCGCAACGCACCTTCTCCTCCTCGGACCTCTCACCCCAACAAGCCCACTTCCCCCATTCTTTTCCGTCTCGTGTGTAGATTGTACGTGCTTGTTCCTAACGTCACTCCTCCCGAATCGTTTGAGGCAATAGTTGCATTCGTACGGTTGAAGGCCCGAGTCTGTGGCGGCGACATTACGTTTTGGATTGAAGGTTGACGGTCGAGTAGCACGATATGATATAAGGTGATATCGAGGATCGGAGTTGAAAATGCAGTCGTAGTTTAGGTTCGAGGTGGATTCAAGATGGGTCGGGTGGATCATAACGTGTCATGATGGATATCATGGTATATGGTCCGTTTCCCGGATCCGAAAATCGACGTAACGTATAATGCGAAAGGAAAGACATTTCGTCAACCTCGGGATCTTAGACTTGATACTATCACTATGGCTCCTCAGCACCGTCGTATTACCATGACCATCTACCCCAACCTCTCCTGAAGCATGGCAAGGAGCATGTATCAAGCATTCGTGACTCACGTGTCTTCAAGTGCCGCTTCATATGCGCGATCGTCGCAAACGTCTTTCCACACCCTTCGTACGTGCACCGGTGCGACGATTTGCCTTTCTGATGCCCGGAGATCGAGCCGGTGTTTTGACCATGGCCATGTGGAACCTGAGCTTGACCGTGAGTCTGGTTTTGGTTTTGAAGGGAGGTCGAACCGTGACTGTGGCTCTGGTAATTGAGCTGGCTCTCGTTTTCGGGGTGGGAACCGCGTTCCGGGCGAGAGAGGTGGTCCGTCGTCGACATGGTCCCACCGCCACCGTCGATCCACCTCCAATCCGACCGGTGCATGCAACTACCTTTTACTTTGAGCTGCCGGACGTCGTCTGTTACCAATGAAGGTGTGAATCTCCAGGGATTGTACCGTTACCGACGCGAATTTGGTGGTCTCGTCGAGCTTTGAGGGTCTTTGTGAGACGCTAGTTGCTGCTCGAGGAAAGATCCGTCGACGGGTGTTTTATGGGCAACGAGCCAACACCGAGAGCACCTCTCGGTCGAGTTCGGCGTAAGGGTCGAAATGATGGGAGATCTAAGATCTATAAGCTATAACTTAGGATTGAGGATATGGGGATGGATGGAATGTGGATCTGGAACCTGCGTTGACGGTGATGGGTACAGATGGATACGATGCGTGTGTCACCCTGTTTATCTCTATACCTTGCTTGCGAGACGTGCATTAGCAAGCCTGAATAGGGGCAAAGGTAGGGGGGGGGCAATGGATTTATCCGTTCGGATGCGAAGATGACGTTGATGAGCGATCACCGACCTCGAACGTCGAGCCATGGCCGGTCGGTACGTGAACCATGAACCATGACCGCAATGCTCAATGCATGACGGCGACCTCGTGCAACTCGGGATCACGAGGAGTCTGGGCCCCCTTTGATTGCTTTGTGCTTCGCCCCCTCTTCGCCTGCAAAGCCTGCCTGCCTTTGGGTTCCTTGTTCAGATTGCTGCGGGAGTTGATGATGGTGCTGGAAGCTGGAAGAAGAAGATGAGCGTCTTCTGCGAGCGAATAGCAAAATACCAAAATACCAAAAGGAAGCATCATCATTCTATTGCGGGGAAAAGAACATCAAAAACCGTTCCTTTCCATCTCGTCCTCTTCCACTGTCACGAAAGATCCGACGGTTTCGCCCGTATACCCCACTCCCCACCCTGCCACTCGAATTGCAGTGAGCTCAGCCATTACAGTACGCCAGGTCTACACGGCTCTGCGCTCTGTCCATTGCCGCGGGCATGATCGACACCGTAATCTAGGATCTTGTTAGATTACCCAGCCTCGGCCATGTCTCGCATGTCGTCGGCGGTGGCGAGAGCTGCACACCTCGAGGCACCCCATTCACAGCTCGGGGTCTCCCTTGTCGCTGTCACCGCCGACCGTACCCGAATCGAGATTATTATTGCAATCTGACGCGGGAACCTGGGTCTGTTTGTCTTTGTCATCGTGCAAGGCACTGTTCATTTCGCTGGAATGGGCGTGACGGCGACAGGGCAGATGCGATTCTTTTGTTCGTCTTGCCGCTTGCCGCGCCCAAGCGACGCCCCTCGTCAATCTGCGTCAATCTCGCGTGCGCATGTGGCGTCGAGTGATCGCCCCGAACACCGATGAGCGGTTCCTTCCGCTCAATTGTCATCCAAAACGCCGTGTTGGTCGTTGCAATTACCACACGTATCCACCTCATTCCAGATCGGCCAGATCCCAGATCGCGCTGCAATCAATTCCCGTAAAGCAGTCGTATATGCTGTTGTACGGAGCACCGTCATTCGGTACTCGCTACATCCCAGAATTATGGTGGGGTTCCCGAGACCCGTTTGTTTCGTTTACATCGGGAAAAAGCATAAATGTTCGATTGTCCTTGGTACCTATATCTCCTCTCTTCCTCTCCTTCATCTCAATAACTCAGAAGACTCGTTGATCACACCTTCGATCAGGCAGACAAGGTCCACTTCTGGTTCGGGTTTCCTCCATCGCAAGCCCAAGTCTGAACGACGTTCCCGTTCGACTTGTTCCCATCAGGAAGATCGAGGCATTGTCCTTGATCTTGAACGGCAAGGTGGTCGTCACCGGCGTCTGTCAACCACCATCGCTGAGCGGCCAAGCCAGAGTAGCACTGCAAAGGCCAATCAAGGGAGGTCAAGGATATGGGGAAACACATCAGCTACCGGGAAAGCCCGATTAGAGTGACCCAGGTGGCGAGACTCACGGTCCAGATCTTGCCCTTGACCCCGTTCGAAGGGTTGGATCCGGCGTCTACGCAATAGTTGGTACCGCCCAATTGAACCGAGGTGGATCCCCTCTGAACGTTCCACCTTTGTCCAGCACCGTTCGATACGCAGTCCGAGATGCTGGTATGTCGCGAGAGCAAATGAGGCGAATCAGCACGAGCATATCGATATCTTACGAAGTGAACCGTCGTGAGAGAGGACTTACACAACGGCACTTCCGTCGGCAGGCTGACCGGTGACCGTCAGGCACTTGCCATTGTCCCCGTTGGGGTGAATCTGACGCCCGTCGGTGGGCTGGGGTTCGGGCTCCGGGGTGTTTCCGCCGCCGTTACCACCGTCGCTGTTACCGGGATTGGCCGCGAGGATGATTTCTGCAGCACGCTCGGCCTGAACACGAGCAAAATTTATGGTGTTCATGATTAGCTTGACCGAGAGATGATCGAATTGAATGACTCCAACACTCACCAGACCGTAAAGGACACTCATCAAGTGGGAAGACACTTGGAAGGGCAGAATAGAAGCATCGACGACTCGCAGGTTTCCGACACCGTACTACCGATCAACCACGAAAGAGCATGTCAGCGTGCGGCTCATGGAAACGAATGAAGGGCCCCTACTTACCACCTGGTAGTTGGAGTCGACACACCCGCCCATCTCTTGGCTCATCATGGCGATCGTCCCGATAGGGTGCCAGTTGCTCCTGTAGTTGCCTTCGGACCAGTCTGCCCAAGCATTCAAGTCGCCGACATCGTATCCAGGCGTTCCCTCGCTGGTGATCTTGCCGTTCAACGGGGATGCATAGGTGACCTCCCGAGTGTACCTGGTAATGGCACCCTGGGCGAGCCTATCAAAGTCGTTTGAGAGGTAACGCGGATCGATGGAGACCCCGTTGGACGGAGGCGCATAGGCATCCGAGTTGGTGATCTTCACGGACCCTCGACCGAACGGCAGGAGGAACCACGAATCATAACCCAATGTAGTTCCGTAGGAGTAATCGAAGCTCTCGGCGATCCCGGCGTCTTGGTTCAAGATCCAATCTCTCTGCATCTCAAGGACCATTCTCAAAGCAGTAGCATTGGTCGCCGCATCATTGTTGACGGCATCCTGGGCGTAAGCGTCGAGATCATTCTCCAAGATTCCCCTCATTCTATCAGCATCGGCACCTTCAAGCATGTCCTGGAACCTAGGGAATAGAATCTCTTGCGCCCCGCCTCTGTTTCCGGAAAATTGCCAGTTGGTCGTGGTCGTCACCTGATCGACGAGGTTCATCCCGACAGGCAAATCTACCCTCGAACCGACCGAAGCCGAGCTCAAAACCGAATTGGGTCCGATACCTGAATGTTGAAGGATGACGGGCGACATGATGGATCCGGCGGCCATGATGACCTCGAGATTAGCCTTGGCGGTGTAAGTGGTACCGGCGTTGTCACGGAACTCGATTCCCGTGGCCGTAGGGCTGGAACCTTCCGAGAGGAGGACCTTCCCGACTTGAGCCGTGGTCAAGACTGGTTGGGCATTACGTTCCTGTTAGGTACTGGATCCTACTGGATTCTATACTTAAACTATGTAACTTACTGGTCAGATTGTCGATGTCCTGACCCCGCAAATAACCCCGGTCTATCATACACCGCCATCCGTTTCCTATCAGCTCTCACTCGTAATCCATAGCCCATCGTAAATCCAAAGCTCACAAGCCGTAATCCTGGTGTTCCCGCTCTTCGTGTTCGAAATCTGTGCCGACCCAGCAGGATCTCCACAGGTCAAGTCCTTCCCCCTAGAGGCAGAGAAGGCGGACTGTTCAGCTGTTGAGCCTTTGTGGAAGTGATCAGCAAGCCAACTTACCGAGCGTCAGGTAGCCCGAGGTTGTCCAGAGTCTGGCTGAAACTCCTTTCCAAATCGTTAGGAGACCTATGAGACGGCACGAAAACATCACCACACAGTGCCAGTCAGTTGACGATGACTGTGTTGAGCCGAAGTCGACTTGAAGAAACTCACGAGCTAGCATCAAATTGCACACCAATCGGTCCACCAGAGCCATGGCAGCTTGCATCGAATTGATACCCGTTCGAAGGAGGTTGGAACCCTTCGGCTTTTTTCATCTACCAGTTGATATCAGGAAGGAAATGACCTGATATCAGCGTTCTAAGATCCTCGGATAGGCTAAGTCGGACTATGGGAAGACTGGGAAGATTGGGAGTCGAGCTTTGGTGGACTCACGTATCCTTGCAAGACGTCCCATTTCAACCCTTCATTCCCTACGGCAGCCAACGCATCGATCTGGAAATCGTGTGGTTTGCTCCAGGCTAGTCCGTTGATCCCCGTAGATCCTCCCAGCATCTTTCCGGCACGGATGGTCTTCGCTTCCGAGGACGAACCAGAACTCGGTTGAGGGGTCGTCTGGAAGGCGTAGTCGAGCTCGGTATCAAAGGCGGATTGGTATCGAGAAGCATCTGTTCAGAAGGGAATTGAGAGGGTATTGAGTTATCGACCTTGGAATACGACGTGAAAAGACTCAGAGAAGCAAGACTGACCGTATACCCTCTCATCACCTTCCCTGTCTTCTCCAGCCTCGACTACTAGCACCGTCCTTCCCGCCTGACCTTCGGTCAACCTCTTTGCCAAGACGGAGCCGGCAAGTCCTCCGCCGACAACGATGTAGTCGTACGTCTTTCCATTGACCTGAGCGCCGTTGTCTAGCGTGGTCGTGCGTTTCTGAGGAGCGGGTGAGGCCGAGGTCAAGTCAACCGTGAAGGAGAGGAGGAGAGGGACGAGGTAGTGAGTCTTAAGCAGCAACATGGTGGACGAGTGTTGCGAGCGTTGTGACAAGAACGACCGGAGTCGATGGCATCATGGTGATTCGCTTCTTGACCCCTGTCGGTTGCGTTTATATATACTTTCACCCCTTTGACCTTCCTTTGACGATGATCCATCATCTTTTTTCCCAAAACTCGTTCGTCATCTGATGCCCCATGTGGTTGCTTCCTGAAACGGAAACTAACCCTCGTCCTCCTCCCTCTTGCCCCCGGACCGATCCACCCAAAGGACCCCCGACACAGCGCCACACAGCCGCTCGGCTCCGATGAGAAGCGATGACGTGTGCATAGCCGGGACGAGATCTGGTGCCAAGCGCGCGAACAAAAGCACAGCTTCCGGATGAATGATGAACGAAGTTTCAACCCGAGTCTCACATGGGCCACACTCGCAACACAGCATGCATTCAGCTGTTCATTCGTTGGTACAGTTGAGAACTGCACAGCGCATGATCCTCATGAAGTGGAGTGCAGCTGCAAGATTACTCGAGGGGAAGATAGCAGTGCAACGCTTGTCTTTCGTCATGGGTCGCACGTTTATCACAATCGACGACCTGTAAAATAATAGAAGACGTCACTTGGCTCGGTCGGACTAATTCCAAAACTTGCCATATCCGAAATCAGCAGCCGGGCATTTTAACGGTCCTGACTTTAAGTAACGTCGATGATGAATATGCACCGCATTCTGGAGTCAGCCGGACTTTGTACCACGTACACAGCGACGACGAGATGGCGGCAAGCCCTCAAACTTTTCCCAATTCCGACTGAGCAAGATTAACCTATATGATGTCACGATGGCGCGGGTTTCACTCAAACCGTTGCTGAATGTTGAGTACGGCCACCGGAGATCACATTTGTCTTGGCGCAGCCCATAATCCTAGAAACAAAAGTTACACATGTATGCATATCTTAATGCGCCGTCGATACAGCCGCTAAGCGCATGCTTGAGTTTCGCTGTTGACAAACATCTCCTGAGTATCGCGCAGCGCGGACTTTGTCTGTTGTTTCGGCACCACACCAGCTACATCCAGTATATACCTTGAATGGTACGATTCACCAAACCGGAACAACAACAACTTCCCTGGTCCTGACTTGAGGACTAGGTGAACGGTGTATTAATCTCTCAGGTGGGAGACTACAGGGATCCATTATGAAACTCCCTTTCCACAATCGGCAATCTCCCCCGTAGCAAACAAAGGAGCGCCGCGGCGAGAAGGAAAGCGATATAGTGATCTAGAGACAGGCCCGTTCTATATAGAAGGAATCATATCGGAGACTACGTGACAGGGTGAAAACCGATATCTCACCAGCTTTTGGCCTCGTATCGATATCCCATCACGCCCTTCATCATGACGGATCCGACTGTAGCCCAGCCTACGACCGTGGCTGATGACATCATTGAAATCAACCCTAATACCGGAGAGATCACCATAACTGCTGTTACCAGCCCTCTCACCGAGCTTACTAGCAATGAGCTGAACACAGGTGCGACGACATCGATCGTTTTTTCTGCCGCAAGGGAAGGTGCATCATTCGCTTCGGCCAGGACGACTCACTGTCAGACTGCGGACTTGGCACAGATATTTGTCACGAGACTTCCCGAATCCTATAAGAAACATGGGAAGCTCCGATCGGTTCATGATATCAGCTATAGGAGATTTCTTACGGCTTGGACCAGAGCTATGTGCGCGGAGACGGGGGGCTTCTCCAGATTGATGAGGGAAAGCGCGGATGGTCAAAACGTGAGATCGAACCCGTTTTGTATGCATGATATGGCTCGTGTCTGTGATGCTGACACTAATCGATACTGACATTGACAGTGGGAAATCTATCAGTGGCGGTTAGGAGACGATAAGCGGCGGAAAGAGGACAGGGACCGTTATCATTTCCTGGTACTCCCGGAAGAAGAGCATTTCAGCCGGGAGGACAAGCGGGAGAAAGAAGCTTACGTTCAGTATTGGAGCCGAGGCGCGCAGGATATGCGAGTCAGAGAAGGCCATCTTCATGAACAGCACTACGCATGGGCTTGGCAGCGACCCGGCGACGAAGACATCTGGGCTTGCTCGATGATCGCTGGGAGTCAAACACGGTATCTAGCTTTCCATGGCATGGGAGGACGACACCCAGATTATCAGGGAGAGCGATTCTGGCAGAAGGTGGTGCAGGTAAAGTGTTCCGTCCATTACAACATCGAGAGTTTGGCGGAGCTCTCGAAGGCTTGATATTTCCGTTACCTTGCTGCGAGTTCCATTGTAGTGACCGCTTGAACCTTGTTGATACAAAGAAAAGGCGACAAGGTGAACGTCATTTGAGGTTACAAGTGAGCATTCCATGGCTCTCTATGGCATGATATGTTACCACCGCCGAAGAGCCACGGGAAGTCGCGTTGAAGCGCGTCAGCCTACCTTGTTCCAAATCACGACAGCTCTAGATCGTACCCATGTTGCTGTGAAGAGGCCGATCTTCGATCGGCTGGCGACTGGATATCCATCTGGCGGTGGGTTTGCCGGCAAACTCGAAGGCTGCCCCAAGCAACTCGCGGGCTTATTCCATCCGAGCGATATTTGATTCCCCTGATAATCCGCCGATCACTTGCGACCGTCAAGAGCGGCCGACGCATCGATACGAGAACAACACATGTCTGCGCCGTATGCATGCTGGGTGCAAATCTGGTGTTGTCTGATACATAAAGAGACTTGCTCTACTCGCAGCTCGTGAATTTGCCAAACCATTTCATCCGCCTTCTGCTTTACTCAAGCGTCTCTGGTCCTCTTGACAGGGCTCGCACTCTCACGCCTCTCCTTCCTTCGAACAGGACTCGCACTCCTATCACGACCATCCGGGCTTCGCGGTCGACGCGTCCTCGAAGGCGATCGCGACCTTGAGCTCGAAGGTCGTCTTTTGGTGCTCCTCTTCCGTCGAGGTGGCGAGTCGGATCGAGAGGATAAGGATGAATCAGAATCAGAGTTGGATGTGGCGGAAGAGGAGTCGCTATCGCTATCGCTATCGCTATCAGACGACGACGATGAGCTGAAGAGGTGAACGGAATATTTGTCAGACCGGAACCTGATCACCAGGTTGTTGAGCTGAGGATGTTCGAAATCAAGGTACTGACGAGGAAGATCTTCGTCTCTGTTTCTTGTCCTTGTTCATCTTCTCGTCCAACATCCGTTGAGCTTCTCGTTCAGCCAAGATCTTATCCGCTAGGCCTTTCCTGCAAGCCGCAACAACGTTTCCTATGAGCCATATCACAGCTACACCGAGCCTACCAGGATTACTTACTTGGTTCTAAACTCATCTGGCAGTTCGATCGCAGGTCCATCACCTTTCTTCTTGGTATCCCCAATCTTCAGATCCTTCTCTAGACGTTGACTACGGCTCAATCTGGGCACATATGGTCGTGGGTTTTTGCATTGATACGTATAGTGGCCCTTGAGCGTACATTTCTATTCAGCAAGCATGTCAAAGTTTCAGTCTTTGAGCTGGAGACGACGTTCAGAAAGTAGCATCGTGCTTTACCTGACAGACGGTCGAGGGTGGTGCCTTGTCTGATCTTTGAAGTTGTTTTGGGCGGTTGAACGAGGACATCGCAGCGCAGTTGCCTACCAATATGCGTCGATTGCCGTCAAGCTATGTGGCGGTGCAGAGATACAGTATCTGTCTGGACGATCTACGTTGATGAGGTCAGAATGTCAAGGTCGAGCTTTGCGACATGCAATATGATGAACGCAAGACATAACCGCAACCTTGAGGGTGATGTACTGAAGGGTCAGGTGTGATCAAGGTCGAAGAGTCTCAGGTCAATCGAGTTCAATATCACAGAGAGCTAGCTGCTCTAACGCTGAAAGCCGAGCCCTTGTCGACATCGATCTAGCAATTAAGCGCAATCATCATATGGATATCCACCTCGTATAATACCGACGCACAGTCTTGTGCGATACAACGTAGTGCACCATGTCTGCAGAGGCCAAGGGAACCGGGAACGAATCGGAAGAGTTTATACACCATGTGGCGATCGAGGTGAGCTCGGGCTTCACAAGACTGGGTCTGCAGCCTCTCAAGACCCAAGCGATAATGATCTGCATTCTCAGCTGTCTCGTCGGCTCAACACTGTGAATCCCAACGACCTTTTGGCAAAGCGAGTCATTGATATTGCTCGGCACAATCATTCCGGGGAAGCTTTCCACAAGGCCGCTTCGTCTTTCGGGAAATTCGACAAGGACTTCTTGCTCTCCTTGCATGCTGAGATCCTAGCACATCTTTCGGCGGTTTCTCACAGCTCGAATGGCGAACATCGAGCTGGAACATCCATGGAGAGGGGAAATGCACACGTTGGTAACGATACAGAGCAATTGGATGACGGGATGACGCACGAGTCCGGGGATGTACAGCCTGCAGCGTCTAGGCAACGAGGCGGTCTCATCCGAACAAGTGACGTGAGTCGTTCTCTACTGCAGCGGTTTCTGGTATCACTGTACTCGGGCTGATTGCAATTTCTCGCTCTAGCACACATTTAAAGCCCCTAACACTCAGCCTAGAGCTTCCTTGCTTGGCCTGGATAGGCTGGCCGCGGAAAAGAGAGCCGCATCTGCATCAAGCTCTTCAACCGACCAACAAGCGAGCAAGCGACAACGCCTAGATAAGGATAGCGACGAGGTGACAGATAGAAATTCGGGCGGAGTGTTCAAAGGTTAGCGAGCCCTTGGATTCACACCCAGTCTGTGGCTCATTTGCTGTTCCAAACTGACCATTCATGTTGCTTAGTCCCGGCGTTACCCATCAGGAAGGATAACATTCGTCAACGTGTCCCCGAAACCCCTACTCATACCGGCGGACTACCGAGCGCTGCCAGGGAAGCTCTTGCAGCTCGCCTCAAGTCGAGAAACATGCCTACCAACCTAGCCGTAGGAGGGACCTTGGCGCTGTCAGCGGATACCAGGGAGATGCGAGATAACCGGCCGGGCGATAAGGGGTTGGGGGAATTCGCAAGGCGGGGAAATCGAGGACTGAATCGGGAAGAGCGGAAATACGATAGGGATAGGGATAGACGGGATGATCGTAATGATTATCGAGGTGGACGTAGGGATGATCGAGACCGTCGAGACCCAGGTCGGCCGAAGGATTGGAACGATGCCCCTACGCCCCGAACCAACCGGACGGATGTCCGAGACTTGGATGGAGGCAGCATGCGAGTCCCGAATCGTGGCTGGGACGAAACTCCTCGAATAGGAGGTCGAGGCGGAGCGACCCCTGGGCGCGGCCCAAATCGAGCATGGGACGCACCCACTCCGCGAAGAAATGCAAGGGGTGGCGATGCTTCGCCCGATGGGGATGGCATGGAATTTGATGCCAAAGAATGGGAAGAAGAGCAGGTTCGCCTCGATCGAGATTGGTATAGCACGTATGACGAAGGAGCTGTCGTGAGTCTACCCGAGATTATTCCGTCGTGTTGCCGCTCAGCTGAATCCGACTCGAAATCAGGCAGGAGACGAGGAGCATAACCCGTTTGCTGGATACGAAGATGTCACTCGAGAACAGGAGGCCCAGATGCAAGCCAAGCAGGCCAAAAAGTTGACGGCTAAACAGGCTCAATGGGTAAGCTGAACGATCTGAATGCCCTTGAAATGAGGCGCTCACGGTTTCGATTTCGTCTGCAGAACGCCGATACAGACGCCTGGGAGAACAACCGAATGATGACATCGGGTGTCATGACGAAGGGCATGGTCGATCTGGACTTTGAGGACGATTCCGGTTCTCGAGTGCATGTCCTGGTACACGACATCAAACCTCCCTTCCTTGACGGACGGGTTGCCTATACCAGACAGCTGGACCCAATTAGTCCGATCAGAGATCCGACAAGTGATTTGGCTATCTTCAGCAAAAAGGGGAGTGCTCTGGTCAGAGAGAAGCGGGAACAGCAAGAGCGAGCAAAGGTGAGTCTAGGCTAGGTATAACTTGCGCTTCGACACACGTGCTCATTCGCTTGTAATCCGCTCTAGGCTGCTGCGAAAATGGCCGCTGTCGGCGGGACGACGCTTGGTAACATCATGGGGGTGAAAGACGAACCGAATCTTGGAGCTGAAGGGCAAAAGAACGAGGTTCTGGAGACCAACTACAAGGCGGACTCGCAATTCGCTTCCCATATGAAGAAGACGGAAGGTAGTTCCAATTTCGCTAGGACTAGGACTCTTAAAGAACAGCGAGAATACCTACCGGCTTTTGCGGTGCGTGAAGATCTGATGAAGACTATACGCGAAAATCAAGGTGAGTTTATCGAGTTGTGCGCGAGCTTAATTCCAGTGTTTGACGTTCTTCGCCTCGCCTGCAGTCACCATCGTTGTCGGTGAGACGGGTTCCGGAAAGACCACTCAGCTGGCCCAATTCCTGTACGAAGACGGGTACTGCAATCATGGCATCATCGGATGTACACAACCTCGACGTGTGGCAGCGATGTCCGTGGCTAAGCGAGTCAGCGAAGAGATGGAAGTGAGTGAAGTCGGATAGCGTTGGCTCCTTTGACAAGTCTTGCTGAGACTACTGCCGATCAGTGCGAACTGGGATCCACCGTTGGTTATGCCATTCGTTTCGAAGATGTCACATCAAAGGCAACCAAGATCAAATGTTAGTTGGATGATACGTGGATATCAGATTGCGGGATCTGATCATTTGCAAAACAGACATGACGGATGGTGTTTTGCTTAGAGAGTCGCTGAATGAAGGGGATCTGGACCGATATACCGTCATCATCCTGGATGAAGCGCACGAGCGATCATTGAGTACGGATGTATTGATGGGTCTTCTCCGAAAGAGTGAGTGTATACCAGTTGACCCGACCTTTTCACAACAGCTAACCTTTATGAACCTTTGTGCAGTCCTGATGCGCCGGAGAGATCTCAAGTTGATTGTAACTTCTGCTACTATGAACGCAGAGAAGGTGAGTCGGCCGAATCACGACATCGTCAAAACCAGATTGACCGACTGGAAGATTGCTCTTTCTCTCTTAGTTCTCCAACTTCTACGGGCACGCCCCTACTTTCACCATTCCCGGTCGAACGTTCCCTGTTGAGACGTTCCACAGCAAATCGCCCTGCGAGGACTACGTCGACAGCGCGATTAAGCAGGTGCTACAAATCCATCTGTCGAGTCCTCAAGGTGACATTCTGGTATTCATGACTGGTCAGGAAGATATCGAAGTGACCTGTTCGGTTATCGATGGTGAGTCGACCTATTTGTCCGCCAGAGCAGGGCGTATTTCCCCAGACCTGATCCACCTTACCCGCCGCAGAACGGTTGAACCAGCTCGAGGACCCGGAACCTTTGGCGATTCTCCCTATCTACTCCCAGATGCCTGCAGATCTGCAAGCCAAGATCTTTCAGCCTACACCCGACGGACGTCGAAAAGTTGTGGTCGCGACCAACATCGCCGAAACGTCGCTGACAGGTGAGCAAATCTTTCTTGCCCGTTTCTCCTTTGAAAGCTAGCTGATCGATCTTTGTCATGACAGTCGATGGTATTCTCTACGTCGTCGACTCTGGATATTCCAAACTCAAGATGTATAATCCCCGAGTCGGTATGGACGCACTCCAAATCACGCCGATCAGTCAAGCGAATTGTGGTCAACGGACAGGGCGAGCAGGGCGGACAGGGCCTGGGTAAGTTTGCTGCCGGACAATTGCGAGGATGAAGCTTATTCTCAGCCACCCTATCGTAGTTTCTGTTACCGATTGTTCACACAGACCGCCTTTGAGAATGAACTCTTCCCGAGCAACATCCCGGAAATCCAGCGAACGAATCTGGCAAACACTGTATTGCTGCTGAAATCCCTTGGCGTGAAGAATCTCTTAGAGTTCGACTTTATGGATCCGCCTCCGCAGGTACGCAGATTGTCGATCTGGAAGTAGCCAAAGAGGGTCTACTGAACCTCGGTGCTTCTGCAGGAAAATATCCTCAACTCAATGTACCAGCTTTGGGTACTGGGGGCCTTGGACAACATCGGAGACTTGACCAAGGACGGGAAGCGGATGTCTGATTTCCCCATGGAACCATCATTAGCCAAGATGCTCATCACGGCCTCCGAATACAAGTGCGCATCCGAGATGTTGACGATCGTCTCGATGTTGTCGGTGCCATCGGTCTTTTACCGGCCAAAAGAGAGACAAGAGGAGAGCGACGCCGCCAGGGAGAAGTTTTTCGTACCCGAGAGTGATCATTTGACGCTACTGCACGTGTATCAGCAGTGGAAGAGTCACGGGTATGTACATGCTTGGCGGACTGAACATCGGGAAGCATGCTAAATATCCTCACTATGCAGATATCGAGACGACTGGTGTGTCAAACACTTCCTCCACCCGAAACTGCTACGTAAAGCCAGAGAAGTTCGTGGGCAGCTGGAAGATATCATGAAGACCCAAAAGATGGATTGCACGTCAACTGTAGGAACAGATTGGGACATTATCAGGTTGGTTCTGGCGGGTCTCGACATTTAATCCGCGTGAAGACTGACATCGGGGGCTTCTGCAGGAAATGTATCACGGCAGGTTATTTCCACCAGGCCGCTCGTGTCAAGGGTATTGGCGAATATGTCAACATTAGGACAGGGGTAAGTTCGGTAACAGTAACCTCTTGAGGTATGGCATCGGTTGGTTGACGATCTTCCCGGCTCTATCGACAGGTACCATGCATCTTGCATCCAACTTCCGCTCTGTCAGGCTTGGGTTACCAACCGGATTTTGTCATCTACCACGAACGTGAGTACAGGAAGGCGCAAGATACGAGTGACAGCGATCGTATACTGATTTAGTGCTGGTCCAACAGTGGTAATGACGTCGAAGCGTGAGTGATCAATCTGCATCATTATGTCAAGGGCCAGTTGTCTGACCTGGTCTGCGTTCGCAGAATACATGATGTGTGTCACATCCGTCACGGCCGAATGGCTCGCAGACTTGGGAGGGGTGTTTTACAGCATTCGAGAACGCAACGTCGACGGTCTCGCACACGCCCGGGCGTCGAGAGACTTTTCTAAAAAGGCGGAGATCGAACAGGAAATGGCCAATCAACGGGAAAAGTGAGTCTCGATTCTTCTGCCCGGGAACGCGGTCGTACAAGGACTGAAAACTGTGTTCACATCCCCACTTTTTTCAGGAGAGAGCGGGATCGAGCCCTGGATCTGGAAAAGGCAGCATCTGCGGCTCGTACGCCCCGAATAGCAGGCCCCGGTATGACACCTCGCAGGTCAGCGGGTATCGGGGCTGCCTCAAGGGCGGGGTCTGCCACACCAAGACGTGTTGGTGGTATATAATGCTCGTATGCGATGACCCACATGTAGCGCACTTCCTTTGTGCAAAGAATCACGACGTCACGATCGGTATCGTCCGCAATTTTTGCGATTCGCTCCAACAGCCGTGCCGACAACTCAGATTCCAGGTGATGGTCCCGTGACGTCGTTCAGAAAAGAGGAGGAGTTTTGACGGTAATTCGTTCGCGCCTGAAACGCGGCTCGACCTCTGTCGGAGCTGCCTCTGACGGCTGACATGCAGTGGGTTACGTACCTCGCCTGTACAGGGCATAGACGTCATCGTTCGCAGTGGCGCTCGCGTGGTCAGGCGTGAGCGGCAGGATCGACGCAGCCTACGCCATTCTTCCTATTCACGCGTCACCGCGTCATCGATCAAGGGGAGAGAGAAAGGAATACGGGGCTCGTCATAGCGGGCCGTCGTCGTCGTCATGGGTCATGACGATTTGTCGAACATCGCTCCCTCCCGAGAACTGTGTAGAAAGCCACCAGTCTACTTTGGACAGCCGCTGTGCAGACACGAACGAGCGAGGTCGAAGGACTGGATAGCGATACACTTCCTTCTTATAAACCTACCAGGCCACCAGTGATCAGCAAGCTCCCCTACCTCGCAGAGTTTGCAGACCTACTCGATCGACCTAGACCGAAACGAAAGCTTAGCAATACATAACGACAATTCCGACGCCCGATTCCTGCAGCAACTGGAACGTCGCATACCAAACGTCATCGTCATCGAACTTATAAATCGAAATCCCTGCACTTGAACGCCTCGTGCAAGAATCGCCCTGCTTCTCGATCGCTCGTTTTTCGTCAAATCACAACTTCCAGCCCTCATCGATTCGGCCAGTCCGAGTCATCCGTCGAAGCAACCAGATCGCCCAAGATGCCTGGTGGAGGAGTAGTCATTGACGCATTCAAGAGTATGTCCACGAAGCAGACAACCAGCATTCATCTACCACTGCCGGGACGGTCGCTCATCCGTTTGCTCCTGTTACTATCCAGACCTTATTCGTCACGGCAAGAACGCCCAACCATCTTCCGCCCCTGCTCCTGCTCAACCTACCAACGCCTCGACGTCAGGTCATCACTCTCGTCAACAACAAGAATACGCTCAGGCTCAGCATCAGCAAGCACAGCAGCAACAACAGGCGGGATACGGAGGCGGCGGTGTGCAAGGGTACAGCGGACAGAACCGACAACAAGCTCAAGCTATGAACGACAATCTGCAAGGTGCGTTTTTGGTACGGGTTGAGCGAGAGGAGGTGCATCATCGGACAATCTTATGGGATGATCGCTTGGGGCGGTGCAATCTCATCAAGCTTTCACTCCACGTCCGCCGCACTCCTTTCGCTTGATCGACGTTTCAAGTCGAGACAATTTGATGCTTACAAATGACGTCACTCTCCCTTTCATCCATCATTCTTGGCCTATCGCTTCGGTACCGCCACAACGTTCCACCCTTTATAAACACCATCGCCAAAACACAACACTCGATCAATCGACCGACAATGCCCATCTCGATGTCATTACGCCACGTATGTACGAATCATCCTGGTTAACTCTTGCAACATGCCTCTATTACGGACCGCCTCCACATCAAACTCGTCCAATCCCATAACTCGGATCAACGGGCTGTCTCTATCATCTCCCACTACAGCTCCCTCGCACCAAGGGAGTCAGCAGCACAGCCAGGTACCTCTCGCATCACCCGACTACCAACGGGAGGCTCAGCAGATTGTTAGGGAGGAAAGGGAACAGAGGGAGAAGATGCCCAATTACCCCGTGAGTGGTCAGAAGTAGGAAGGTGGTTTGAAGTCAATGTTAACCGACTCATATCGATGGCACCTTTTTCAGGGTTTGGAAGGTTTCAAGCTCGTCGAGAAAATGGGAGACGGTGCCTTCTCTAATGTATACAAAGCCATCGACAGGACCAGTGGGCAGAAGGTTGCCGGTAAGTTATATATTTCGGCTTCTCATCGCGGGGGATTACTTCCTGACTGCGACGTTACGCATTTCAGTCAAGGTCGTCAGGAAGTACGAGCTCAACGCCACTCAAGTGAGTCAAGGTCGTTTTCATACCTCTTCATCAGCGAAGCCGGCCCTCCGGCGGGATCTCGAGGCAAGAGTATACTTGGCGAGGAGACATGGGTCTCGAGAAAATGCGCTTCTGCTTCGTATTTCTTCTTGCCCCATGCCCTCTCCCACTTGCGCGACAGCTAGCCAACCTCCGTATACTCTTGGTCTCGATCCTGCTCGGGGAGGAAACGAAGAGAAGGGAAAATCGAGATCAGATGGCTGATCGTTTCCTGTTCCTTTCCCAATCCTTCCGTCCTCCTCCATACTCGCCGCCTTCTGTTCTAATGCACAGTCCGGCAACAAGCACTTGAACCCCAACTTCAAGAAGAGGCCCAGAGTTACGGAGGTTGGTGTCACTGTCCCGTACAAATCTACCCTTCCCCCTCGTTCTCAGAGTTTGCGACGATTTCTCCTCATTTCGTTTCAAGCTCTTGGCTTGGTACACTGCATAGACAATCGCTGACACCTTCCTTCCCTGTCAATTCAGCGCGCCAACATTCTCAAAGAGGTCCAAATTATGCGAGGGACGAACCACCCGAACATCATCAAGTTGATCAGCTTTAGCGAGAGCGACGAGCACTACTTCTTGGTCCTCGAGCTAATGGAGGGAGGAGAGCTCTTCCATCAAATGTAAGCTTTGAATCGAGATCTCCTTATACACCTAGTTTCCACGCTCACATCGCCGTCGATCCCCTCAACAGCGTCAAGTTGACCTATTTCAGCGAAGAACTTTCGAGACACGTCATCATGCAGGTGGCTGACGGTATTCGGTACCTTCACGAGGTACGAGGAGTGGTTCATCGGTGAGTCTAAACTGGTGACGTCGAACGCTCTCATGTTTGAGGTGTCTGACGTACTGCTTTCCCAACAGTGACATCAAGCCCGAGAACTTGCTCTTCGAGCGAATTCCCATCGTCCCGTCAAAGCACCCCATCCAGCGACCTTACGATGAGGAGAAAGAGGACGAGGGTCAATTCGTTCACGGTCGAGGCGGTGGTGGAATTGGACTCGTCAAGATTGCCGACTTCGGTCTCTCCAAGATCGTCTGGGACGAAGTTACTCAAACTCCTTGTGGTACTGTCGGATACACTGCGCCTGAAATCGTCAAGGATGAGAGGTACTCGAAATCGGTCGACATGTGGGCTCTCGGATGTGTCCTTTATACTTTGCTCTGTGGTTTCCCTCGTAAGTCATGGGTCGGCGCGGGCTACAGCAAGCCTATGTTCTAAGTTATACGCGCGCTTGCTTCAACAGCCTTCTACGACGAGAGTATCAGCGTCTTGACCGAAAAGGTAGCTCGCGGTTACTACACCTTCCTGAGCCCTTGGTGGGACGATATCTCGCATTCGGGTGAGCTTCTACCTCAAAGTCCGAGTACCCACACGGAGAGACCCTGATCATCCCTTTCTTTCGGTCATCTCTTCAGCCAAGGATCTCATCACCCACTTGCTTTGCGTCGACCCGAACCAGCGTTACACTATCGATGAGTTCCTAGCTCACCCTTGGTGCAACGAGAAGCCTACCGGAGCCGGTACCGCTCCTCCCAGATCGCACCCGCCCACCACCGCTTCGAACATTCCTATCGACTCGCCTCTACTTGCTTCTGTTCGTGCTGGTAACCGTGAGGGACGATCTCCCGGTGTAAGCGCATTGAAGGAAGCATTCGATGTCACCTATGCCGTACACCGAATGGAGGAGGAAGGCGGACACAGGCGGGGTGTCGGGGCCAACGTGCCCGGAGGAGCCGGACGAGGGTTCATGCAAGAACTCAACGAGGAGGACGAGGATGTGGACGAAGACGCCCAGATCGAGCACGCTCGAAGGAAGCATGGCGAAGTAGTGGCTAAAACGATCAACGAACACCGAGAACGCGCCAAGGCCCAGGCGGCGTCTGGAGTCAACGCGGCACCGTCATCGAAACACTACCAGGGACGTGGTGGAGCAGATCGACGACAAGCCGAAGCGGCTCTTTACGATGGGCGTGCCGGTCAGCGAGACCGTGGTCGGGGCAGTGGAGGCAACAAGGCAACCTTTGACCTCAATATGGATGCAGCGACTCTGCTCGGTCGAAGGAAGAAGCCTATCGGAGAGTCTCCATTGGCCAAGCAGGTGGTGACTCACAGCACTCCCGCTAGTCCCATGCACTACTAAGCGGCGCCACGACCTTCCATACACACACCCTTCTCGTTGGGCAACATCATCCTTTTTTCACGACGTGTAGAAGAAGAGAACAGTCTCTTCAACCAAGTGTAGCCTTGTTCTTCCCCAATTTTAATCCGCAGACGGCCGGACACCAGACATTTTAATATCATGGCAAGCACCGCAACCATCGTGCCGCGCCGCCATAGTAGAATAGTTTGACGAGATTATTGTCCGGTTCTCGACGTTTTGAAGAATCGATTGTGATTGACCATTTGTAGCGATTATAATATCATTCCCCCGAATCTGGTTGCTGTCTTGACGGACATGATAGGGTTGATAGTGTCCGTTCGCGTTGATCTTGGAATTTCAGTCTCTCCCGGAAGCTTTGGGTGTATCAACTGGAAGTTCAAAACTCGTGAACGACGGCCTTGACAACTGCAAGTGTAGAGCTGTAAGGTATCAAGACATCTCTCAGTCACAAGGCATATTGAACGCCGATACCATTGGACCGAGACCAAATTATCCTGAAAATGGCAAAACCCAAGTCTGTCGCCGTTGCTGCTGCTAAATCACGCGAGACGATCGAGTCGGACGTAGAGATGGACAGCGACAACCTGGACGAGCAAAGCTCGAGCGAGGAGAGCAGTGAAGAGAGCAGCAGTAGCGAGGAAGAGGACGAGAGACAGGCTCAGGATGTATCAGGAAGCACGATGAAGAAGCCTAGTGGGAAACAGAATGGCAAATGGCCGTAAGTCAGCTGATGGAGTTGTTCAGCTTGTACATGGGCTTGGAGCTTGACGTACTGGTCCTGTCCTCGCATAGTGCGTATGAGCCTCCCACAGGCATGAATGCTATGCCCATCAATGTAAATACGGCTGCCAGTGAATTCGAGTGGAACGAGCTCGCCAAGCGTTCTGGCGTCGAGCTATGGTGTATACGAGTGCCATCAACTGTAGGCATCGGCGCGCGCTCTCGAACGATATACTCAGGCTGATGGGCTCTCCGCAACCGCAGTTCAAGACTACCCGACTATCAAATCTCCAGTTGGATGCATCCGTTCTGAAGCAGGGCAACAAACCATCTTCGAAACCGCTTGGAACCTTGACTACCAGCCGGAACAGCTACCACCTCGTACCATCGTCCTTGCCCTCCGCATCATCGTCGTCCTCAAACAACCTACCTAAAGGCGTCAACTTGGAGCAAGAACCTGACTTGCGGCCTTCCCTGGTGGACTCGATGCTTCCCGCTGATCAGGTTGGTCGCGGAGCTAGGAGTGCAGGGGATACGGACAGGGATCTCGAGAGGGAGGGAGCTGTGAAGGCCGAGTTGGGTCTAGATGGGAGCAAGGCGGCCGGTGCAGAAGAGATGCAGGGGTTGAAGTTGGTAGTACCCGATGGCCGACGAGCTGGATTTTTCATGGGTGAATACACAGAGACAGAAGCGATTGATAGTCTTCTGTTTCCTGACGTCGTCTGCCTAAAACAGCTCCGATCCAGCCGACGAGGCATGTCATCCTTACTCCCCTTGTGGGACCCACTGTGGATGCTGAAAACTCGAGCACACTTGTCAACCCTACAACCACCGAAGCGTCAGGCTCAACACCTGCGCCCAAGAACCGTCACCCACAGCCTGCCGGTCTCAAGTACCGAAATATTCCTTTCGGCGCGGTCAACCCCAATACCTCCCATCTCGTTGGCGGTCCGGGAAAGGATGCTGGCAAGGACACCATGGTCGCGCCTAATGCGATCGGGCAAGAATCGGCTGCAGCCGAGGTGGTAGTGGAAACGTCTTCGGTCGTGGTGACGCCTTCAGGCAAGAACAGCGAGAAGAAGAAGGACAAGAAGCGCAAATCTACCGCAGGCAAGGGTATAGACGGCGTTGAAGACCCCGCCGTGGCGGAGAAGCGGGAAAAAGACAAGGACAAGGAGCGAAAGAGAAAGGTCGAATCTTCTGGCGGTAGCAAGTCTAAGAGGATGAAGACGGAATAGAGGGGTGGGGCTGTACATTTCTTCTTGGTCGTTGACATACCAGTAGGATGCATGGATAGATCATTTTACGACTTTGACCGAAGAATCATCCCAGCACACCCCCTTTCTTCAACCTTTTCTCCACCAGCGCGACGTACTGTTCCATCCCACGTGGAAGAGGGCGGACCTTGCCAGCGCCGACCCGATAAGTTGTCCCCGCGCGGCTCTCCGTCGCATTTGTATCATCGTCGGTCGACCCGGCATCATCGCTATCGTATGATCTTGCGTTGGGTTTCTCGCCTTCTATCACCACGCGATTAAACCATCTAGCGAAGGTTTTGCCGATCAGCGAGCTTCCTACATATCAACGAGACAACAGCAATTACCTGTCATGAGTGACCAGGACCAACGATCCTTTGTACGATCGCAGAGTCTCCCCCAAGGCTTGTAACGTAGGTGAATCGACGTGCGTGGTAATCTCGTCAAGCACACTTTCGACCGATATCCTCTAGTTAACATCAGAGATCGAAACGACAGGATGAGCGTACGAGCAGAGCAGACTCACAGCATGTGCGGTCGTTTCCAAACGATCAAGGCGAAGACTAGGCGGACCTGTTCGATTGTACGATGAGCGGACGCGCCTCTATTCAGCTCGGCTCGAACTCACTTTCTGGCCTCCGGATAGTAACGCCACTGGCGTATCACTCGCGGTCTTGCCTTGGAGACCAAATGAGGCGAGACACGCGCGTATCTCTCCCTCATCGATAGACCCCCTTTCCCTTTCCATCTCTTGTGCAAAATACCGCAGCGCTGTCAACTTCGCATCCTTGGCCGCTATCGTTGTCATTTCCGAAACCGAGTCTTGCGAAAAGTATCCGACACGCATCAAGGGGTGAAGGGTGACTTTGCCGGACGCCGGTTTCAATTCTCCCAAGATGAGTTTGACCAGTGTTGATTTGCCATGTCCGTTCTATGGCAACGATCTGATCACCTGGAAACCCCTAATCAAAATCGAAGTTACTTACCGCTCTCATGAACGAGCACCTTCCGCCCTGCTCAAGGGTAAAGCTGACATCTTGCAACAATGGTTTACTCGCACGGCTGTATCGCACGGAAACATCCTCGAAATGAACCGCGTCCCCCTTGGTCTTCAGTTCGGGAGGCTCGGGTATCTTGATGGTAACTGGAGGTTCGCCTTGATCGACCACGATCTCCAGCCGTCGGGAGACATGATATCCTTGTAGATCCCGGTTCAACTTGAATCTGGTCCCTTTGGCACTCTGTTCTAGACCCCAACGCTCGTCCAGCCTGGGGTAACTTGAACTTTAGCAGGAAGTCTGAAAGGCTTTATCGAGAGGTCGACTTGCTTTTTCTGCCTAGACTTGGCCATTCGCATTCTGAATCGTATGTACGAATAAGCTTCTGATGCACGGCGATCTTTGTCCAGATTTACCTGTTGTCATCACCGGTCTTCTTGGCCGTCGCCACTCCTTGTCGGATCGATTGTTGGATCTGCTCTTCGTCTGCATCAGCCAATCGGAAGACCCTGCTGTTTATATAGGATGACGCCCACATGCTCCTTCTTCTTGTCCATAGCCTCGCTCATAGTCTTCATCCGCCTCGTCTTCTTCCTCTCTTCCACCTGGAGCGCTGTAGGCGTACCGTCGAAATACTTCAGCTGCTGATCCCTGATGTAAATCGTCTCCTCGACAACGTTGTCCAGGAAATCTTGGTCGTGGGAAGTAATGATGATAGTTCGTCCCGATTCGTCGGAAGACAGGTGCGCCTCAAGCCAGAGTGTGGCTTCGATATCCTGGAAGGCAGACAGATGTTGAGAGCCGACCATCCTCACTTCGGACAGTCTGGAGACTTACCAGGTAGTTGCTCGGCTCATCGAGAAGCAATACATCGCTGGAGACAAGCAAGCTCTTGGCTAAAGAACACCTGCTCTTCCATCCTCCCGATAACGTTTGATAGGGTTGTTGCATTACCTCCGGCGAGAAGCCTAGTCCGTGCAGGATCTTGGATGCTTGATGGCCGAGGGAAGAGACGTCAAGCTGTTTGCGCACGTCGTAACGGAGAATTTGTCAAAAATTTTGCCGGATTCAGCTGAGGGTCACTGAAGATATACTGACACTCTCCAGCTGTAGACTCATGGACGTCAAGAGTGCCAGAGCTTGATCCATGACCTGCACATCGTCTAACTCGTCATCTACAGGAACACCTGTTCGTACCCCCTCAAGCCTTGATGAACACGTACATCAGCTTTCAGCCATCTCAAGTCCAAGTCCATCTAAATGACCTACCTGTCCCTGAACCTGTCCACAATCGTCTCCTTCTTGATGACCTCTAACCTAGCTGCTTTACCTCTCGTTCCGCTCCTCCTAGCCGCAATATCCTGCGCATCTTTCACATCTTCCTCGGCACCGATCAACCAGGTCTGGAGGAGGTAGAGGTGGACTTGTTTGACATCTTGGTCCGAGAGGAGCTTGTTCAAAGCTATGAATGGCAGCCAGACCACAGGTGCATGACTGGCTCCGGTCAACGATGGCGCGAAGATCGCATTTCAAAGGTGAATCTGACTTGCCATCGTGACGCTCTCGGGCGAGCACCTTGTCCCTATCCCCCTTTATGACGAAATCCAAAGCGGAAAGCTGTGATGCGTCTGACCCTCTCTCATCGTTTTCGTCTTCTACCTGGGACAGGAGTGCGATCTTGATCGACCTGGACATTCCTGGAATGAGATATTGCGAGAGCGCTTGGAATAGGGCTAGAGTAGATCGAACATGATTCATCAGAACAGGACCCCCTGTTCGCACAGAACGTGAGCATCTTACTGGATTTCCCGGAACCATTTCTTGTGGGTTCGCGAGGACGTCGTCAGCAGGATCATCGTCAACCCGTGCCCGAAGTGGACCCTTCTTCTTACCTCCCAATCAAAGCGTATCGCCGCCCTTCTTTCAGCTTGACATCCGTATCAAGGAGGATCTCCTTTTCCCCGTTCTTCCCTACCGCAAGCGTCACACATTTCAGATCGATATCTTTGCTTGTGTTGAGGGTGTCTATATGAAACCGGGATTGTTGCGCGGTCGCTTGGATCGTGGCGTTCATGTTGCTCTCTGATCTCTGAGATATTAGTGGCGTTTGCCAAGAGATTGACATGTGAAATGCGGTAATGATGGTTAAAACGGTAGACTCGGAGGGAGAGGGTACATCTGACGACTACATGTTCGTCTATATCATCTCACTCGAACGCAAAGCGATGTGCGCCCTTTTGCCTCCATGTTGACTTGCGACGTCAATCTCCCTCCATCCACCTTGCGGATCCGGCCGAAGCGCCAAGACGACATTCAGCGTTCTCCCCCCCCGGGAACCGCGGATGATAAATTCTCTGCTAATTGCTGACGTCACCATTCCCCCACCTTGCCCCTTTAACGTTGATCGATCATCTACCTCTCAAGGTAGCGATGATCGGATACACGAAATCACACAGAGGTACAGTTTCCTCTCACTATACATCACATGATCCATCACCATCATCAACAGTACCAATCCATCCCTTCCCTCAGAACAAATCATGGTGACCACCCGATCCAGCAAATCCTCTGCCTCGCAGTCGGCCAACCAACCCGATTCCGATCAACCCAAGATCGACCAGGCTCTCGGAGCTTCGGGGGGAGAGACCAAGACCAAGGGACAGAAGAGGACCGCCAGTAAAGCCAAAGATGAGGAAAAGGAGGATGATCAGGAGGTTCAGGCCGTTTCGAAGGAACAGGTAGAAGAAGAGCATGCGGACAAGAAGAGAAAGGTCGAAGACGATGCAGAGGATGTAGGCAAAGATGACTCGGCCCCAGAAGCGAAAGACCAGAGCAAGGAGGAATCTAAGCCCGAGACCGAGTCGAAACCAGTCGAACATCAAATCTCTGACAAGTCCGAAGTCACCGCTGCCGAGAAGGACTTGACCAAGCATGCGGACGTTCTCGAATACGGTCGGATTCACTTTCTCTACAAACCCCGTGTCGAGATCATGCATCCGTCCGATATCTCAGAGGTACAAAGACTGCATATTATCCTGCAGCCTCACGATGAAAAACACCCGGAAACCTTTGAAAAGGACGGCAAGGGAGAGAAGAAACCGGTCCTCTCCCGTTTGATCGGGGTAGGGAGAAAGGTCCTGCCCGATGCGGAAAAGAAGAGCGAGGGAGCGCCGCCTCCGCCTCAAAGTACCGGGGGACGAGGGAGGGGGAACAATCTGGGTCGTGGAGGGAGACAACCGTGAGTTCTCGAGGTACAGAAAGAGTGCTGACTGCAGACTAATGATGTGGCACGTGTCCACCGATGACGCAGGTTCTGGGGTTTCGTCTCGGACGTCAGCGAGAACATCGAGGACCTGCATTCCAGACTGGGAGAGGCAAGTCATTCCTTGTCTCGGGTACTAGGTGTACCATCTCATACTGATCCCAGATGCTATATCAAAACTTTTAGACCCAAAACGAGACCAAGACCAAAGGTACTCGCACGACCGGCCCTGATCGTCTGATCGCGTCTGGACCCTACTGTATCCTCTCTCACGCATCTACCAAATCCGGCGAAGCCGCCTCAAAGACCCCGGAAGGAAAAGGTGACCCTCCTTCTCGACGAGATACTCTGCTCGTCTACAGCTTGACGTTGCCGCACGAGATGGGAGAGGTGCAAAAGGCTTTCAATTTGAGAAGGGAAGGGGCATTCAGGGTCAGCGTTAAGAATCCCAAGATCAATACACCTGTTCCTGGAGGTGCTGGGACCGGATTGAAACAAAAGGCAGAGTTTCCCGAGGAACGTGAGTTGTCAAAACTGCTTGACTATATCGTAATGCATCCTGACCGAGATCTGACTCATCGCGATCAGTACAAAACTCCATGGGCGATCTTCGCTGGCACCCACTGACACCTCCGTCCTACCTCGATTATCAACACGCCGAGCTTTTGCTCATCGCAACCCACCCCTCCGATCTCCCCGATATCGCTGGAGACGAGGTCTTGCATGACATGGAGGAGATTGCTGACGAAGGCGATATTGAGCATCTGAACAAGGCTCAAGGGGAAGAGATGGAAGAGGAGATTGCGGGAGAAATCTTTGAAATGCTCAAAGCTAGAGATGCCAAGGGGACCGTCGTTGGAGGAGATACGGTGATTACTGGCGAGTGGGAATAGACCATGTCGCAAAAGAGGAGGTCACCACAGAAAAGGAATTTTACGTTGTAAACGCGGTCGCGTCCCGTTGAGGTCAAGCCTAGGTTGCCTGTTTGTTTGACCATTATGCTATCTGGTTTGGCAAGTGCGGCACCCGAAGAACGTTCTGTCTATATGGCCTGATCAATCTCTCAACCGTCACTTCGTCTCTTCAACTCCCTAAAGATCTCCTTCGTGGCCAGCTGGCGGCTTTCCCGTACGGCCTGCTCTGTCTTGCGAACATCCGGCACGATCATCTGCGGTTCGACGGATCGAGTTAACTCAACTGGACGAGCGCAAGTAGCCTCGTCACTCACAGCCTCGGCCAATCCTAAAGCTTTAACAAGATCAACGACGTGATTCTGTCCCACCAGAATGTCAGTAGCCTCCGTATTCTTGAAGTTGGCGGCGAAATCTCGGATGATGTCTTGAGCCGATACAAAGACGGTTCTGACCGCTTCTGCCACCTGTCGAAAGGAGATGTCAGAATGAGCTGCACACGCTAGGCCAATTGCTCCAAGCTTACGGGCTGAGGTACTGTGGAAGGGGCAGCTCCTTTGCCCTTCTTGCCTGCTTTGACTTTGTAGGGCGTCAGTGCTATTTCCAACATGGCATAGCACTGTGTTGGAAGAGATTGTTAGATAGGCTTGACAGCGATATGATCTTCGCGCCCTCACCTCCATAAGGGTTGCCGCCCTTTCCATTGATTGCCTGCCTTGCTCCCCAGGAACTAGCTGCGCCAAGTCTGCGATGGAACAAATATTACAAGGATGATACTTACGCAACGACTTTGCTGCACGATACTCACCCTTCAATCGCTCGCAGATACTGGTGGGATCGGTCGACTCTCCTACGCGACAAGCTCTTGCGAAGTGTCCTATGGCCTGACCGATGTCGAACATGATCCTATCCGTGGTGTTCTAAGCAGGTCCCTGCAAAGGTCAGCTGAGCTCAGCTAGTCTGGGCCACAACGGATGACGCTCACTTCACTATCGACACTGATTTCCAATCTTCGTTCAGAGGCTGGGTCAAGAATTAACGTCCATAGATCGGCGCCTGCTCGAACAGTAGAAGGCTGCGGACGAATACCATCATTAGCGAAAGAACGGCTGCGGAGCTACCGAAGACTAGACTCACTGTAGACAGCTTGCCCAGCTGGGTCTGCTGAATAAGACCTTCATCGTGAGCAGTTCCGAAATCCGGAAAGAGGTCCCAGTCTCTGACATCGACGGCGGTGTCTGATAACGGGCCCCAAAGCTCAGCATTCGATCAGACGGATTACATCGGGAGGTTCTAAATTCCTCACCCTCGGCGTAGAGTGACAAGTTCTGAATGGCCACCGATCTGTCGGCTCCGAGAAGCTCGCTCGAATCCCGCATAGCAGAATGTCGAACCAACTCGAGCTCTGTCAGTTGGCGCTGATGGGAATGCTGGAATTTGTCACCGAGCTCGAGCATTGAGGGAACCTGTGTCGTCGGTTAATCAGCTGGTGGCTCAAAAGGCCGGCATTACTGGGAACCTACCTGCGAGTAAGCCTCTTCGGTGAAGCCGGCAACGCTGGTCTCGCCTACATCGCCCTGAGTCTTTTCATATACTTGTTTGCACTGCAGAAGCAGGCTAGCCAGCGCCGTCCTAGTCTTCTCTCCACCAGCGACGTAGTCCGGCGTTGACCTCTCGGTAACAAAGTGCAAAGCGGTATCTTGCTGGAATGTCCGCATTTTCAGAGGTGCGATATGCTCGACGATCAAGGATGGTGCCCCTTTGATACGTTTGATGTTAGATTTGGACTTCCGCATTAAGTCCCACCTCATTTTGACTTACCGATCAATCGATACAGCCTTATCAATAGCATTCGTGCTTGTCCGTTGGCAGGGCTATCCCTGAGATTTCGTTCCAGGGCGACTATCGCCAACACAAGGTAGGCTCTAGCATCTGAGGGTGGGAACAAAACAGTCAGCTACGCAGCTTGTAGTGACAGAAGCCTAGTTTACCGACCTTTTGCGTCCTTGTCCAGTCGCCAGGCGTTGATCCATGCTTGAGCCGCCATCAGGGCGTAGTCATCTGCAGGTCGGACATCGGTCACAGGAAGGTCTTTGCCTATATAGAGCAACATTTGTGATAATTAGCATGCGTAAACAAATTCTCTTCATGAATTATCCTTACCATATGCTGCCCCTGCAAAGTACTGCATAAGAAAGACTTTCCCGGCCTCGATCTCCGCGTCCCTGTCACTCAGGGGCAAAGCACGTCGCAGCAACTTGCGAGCGTTAAGATTACGCATATAGCTCTTGTATTCGGACTAGCACACCGGGATCAACTGCATGCCGCACGACTCTCGGTCGGCGTAAGGACTCACTGTTGTTTCGGTTACCATGGCTTCAAGTATACTTCTGATAGCCGGTTCAATGCATCCCTCTCGGCCTTGCAAATAAGGAAGAAGGTCATCCCGTACGCATCCCTTGTGGCCAAATTCCTCGAGATACCTCGATAGCACCTTGATAGTGGCTGTCTCGCCTGATCCCTCGCTGTCAACCGAGAGCCCAAGTGTATCAAGCTTTTTATTGATAGCGAGCAGAGCCATCAAGGGGGCGCGTTCCTTCTTGACGAATGCGGACTGCGAAGCCAAGTCAAGCAGAGTTCGTTGTGTTTCCGCGAGATAGGTCGCTGGGGATTTTGCGGAATCCTTGATGAGTTCGGGTTTGGACAGCAAGAGGAAAAGAACCGAAAGGTGCGTTATGTACGCTTTGTAATTGGTCTCCCTGCGTACCAGGGTCTGTCAGATAACCATTCGGGGATAAACCACTCGGACGAGACGGGACCTACGGCAAGTCGGCTGCACCCCGGATTTGGTCGTCGCCTCGCTCCCATTCCTTTTCCCAATCCCAGTCCTGTGCCCATGAAACTTCCTGTTGTCCCTGTATCGTTCCCTGTACATCGGTTTCATCGGCATCAGGGACGTCCTGCTCGTCCACGTCTTGAGCGTCTTCTGGCCCGCTAGACTGCTTGACCTCGGCGCCTTCGATGAGCCGTTCAGCAATCTCTCCCACCAATTCCCACCGTTCCCACTTGATACGCAAATCGCCAGCGACGGCTGTCCACCAACCTGCTTCGAATTCGACGTCTTTCTCGGCTTTCCTCAAATCAGGCGTAAGAGCCTCCAGGGCTTCCTTTTCCAGTGCAGAGCCATTTTTGACCCCAGGGCCTTCCGTGATGGAGGGTAGCGCTCTACGCGTTTGTCCAGCAGCTCGACAGATTCGTACCCAAAGGATGAAGACATCTGGGGTCCGGTATGGATTGGCGGGCGAGGATGTCAAGAGAGAGTAAGCCAATGAGAGTAACAATGGTTTGCTTTTGCTAGGGGTTTTGCGGTCGGTAGCCTGTTATCAAATCGGAAGGCTCAGAGTCAGTACAGCACGTGGAAAGCATTGTGAAGTCATCCTTACTTGAAGATAGAGCGACATTGCAGCCCAGTGAGCCATTTTCGGGTCCTGGCTGTGCTTGAGCAAGAGTAGCGCCGTCTATGTCAGAGAGCACCGAACATATCAGACATATGGGGATCTGGTAGATCTGGAATTGAACTCACATCTTGCATGCCACTCCAGTCTCGTGAGCGGAGACTGCACAGGAAAGCCTGAGCTCCTTTTTCCAAATCCTTCTGGTTGTCTGCATTCCAGGCATCGAGATATATCTTGCGTAGCTCCTGGTCTACACGGATTCCCCATGAGCCTTCAACGTTTGATCTTCGTCCTGATGAACATACATTTTCCGAGTCCTTGAAGAGCGAATTGGAGAACGTTGATCACGCCATCATCGAATACCCGAGTCGGCGGAGCTGCCGCGGCGCCGTCCGCAGCCTCGGTTTGTTTATCTTCCACTTCCTCGCCTTCAGTCGGCTCAGCTGTCTGAACTTTTTGGATCTTCTTCAATAAAGCCTGTCTTCCGCCTTTGCCTCGAGCAGCTGCTTTGCCCTTGCTGCCGCTTCCGGTAGGTATCTTCTTCTCCTGGTCATCTTTGAGTAGTGTCTCGAAGACTTCTATCGCCTGATCGTCTTCGCCGAGACGCTGATGACAGAGGCATTTCAAAGCTTGAAAGGTGGGGTTGGTGGCTATCTTTGGGGTCTTTTTGGTGAGCGTTTGTAGCTGACTTAAGGCCGAGCCTGGTCGACCACGGTCGATATCCTCTACGAGATCATGTCCATCCCCCGGAGCTTAGCGTCGGCAACGATGGATGCGGCTCTCCAGCTTACCAAAGACCGGTCGAAAAAGTCGCTGCTCCATTATGATCGGATTATATCCACTTATGCTGCGTTTTGGGCAATCAAGTCATCAAAGCGCAATGCATGTGTTATTGTCACCTTCAGGAGGGGCACAAAGATATGGCTGGATTGCTGGGTATCAGTCGTAATGCTCCGAGGTGCTACTTTTGTTGACGCGATCGAGGTGGAAACAAGACTACTATCGGCCGATTCAGACCTGAAACATTTCCCTTCTGTGATCATCACGCAGGGATTGTGCGCAATGCTCTTTGCGACGGGGCGCATCCGGCTTGGACTCGTCGAGACATGATGCTGATCATCGAGTATTGATCGACAAACGCCTTCGAGATGTACAATCACCTAGGGTCTAGGAAGACTCCCTCTTGGCCTTGACGTTTGCTCGCCTGGCTTGCACACCAGCCCTCAAGTCATCCAGCGCGGTAACAGTCTGTTCCCAAGACAAGCATGCGTCCGTGATCGACACACCGTACTTCAGACTGATGAGAGAAGGCGAAAGAAGCCGTCAGCGCTTAGAACAACATCTCGGCGGTCGATTGGAACTCACCCAGAAGGACCCTCGGGAGGGACGCTCTGCTTTCCCTCGTTGATGTTCGACTCGAGCATGACTCCGAGAATGTTCTGAGCCGTCTCTTGTCCTTCGAGTTGTTCTCGCTGCAAGACCGTGAGATGTGAGAAACAGAGGAATCGCAATAGATGCTAAGAGGCGACCCACAATGTTTTTAGCGACCTCCATCTGCTTTTGATGTTGTTTCGAGCTGTTGCCGTGCGAGCAGTCGATCTATACCACAAAAACGAAAGTGTCAGCGAAACGGATTTGACAGTCCTGATTCGATCAGGCTCACCATGAGCTTGGTCGTCACGCCAGCCTTGGCCAGCTTGTCGACACAAGACGAGACGTGTTCGGCAGCGTAGTTGGGTCCTTTGGAGGATCCACGCAGGATGACGTGGGTGAAAGAGTTGCCCTGTGGAGCGATATTTAGCAGTCAATACCCCTGTTAGACATGTTCACGGGAGCGGCTTTATCAACGCACCGCAGTCTCGACGATTGCCGAGAGACCCTGCTTGGTCACCGACAAGAAAGTATGACCGGTAGCAGCAGCCCTCATGGCATCAACAGCAATGTCAATCGACCCGTCCTGCAGTTCTTGTGGCTATTAGTTACCGGAAAACCTAACGTTACACTGAACCGGCATGCTTACAGTCCCGTTCTTGAAGCCGATCGGCATACTCAGGGCGGACGCCAACTCCCTATGTACTTGAGACTCGGTGGTCCTCGCACCGATGGCTCCCCAACTTGTCAATTCGGCCGTGAATTGCGGAGAGATGGTATCTAGCCACGCCGAATCGTAAATCAGCTTCTTTCTGCATGAAATTAATGAGATTGGAGAGATCGCAGACTCACCGAGGAATTCACAAGCGGTAGGCAAACCGAGCTCTGCTAGGTCTAATAGCAATTGTCTACCGATCCGCAAACCCTTGTTGATCTGGAAAGTTCCGTTCATGTCGGGATCGTTGATGAGCCCCTTCCATCCCACAGTCGTTCGAGGTCTGCAAGAGAAGCCAAAGATCACAGGGGATCAGCAAGCGAGGACCGAGCATGTGTGGTCATTTCCGCGGCTCACTTTTCGAAGTAGACTCGCATCAGGATGAGCAAATCTTCTTGAGCCGCATCAGTGTACTCTTTCAGCTTCCTGGCGTAGACCATGGCAGCCTCGGGGTCATGGATCGAGCAGGGTCTATCAAACAAGATAGATGGCATACATCAGGTGAGTTATTGAACTTTCCGGAAGACTTCTCACAACTCACCCAACAACAACCAGCAGCCTATCGTCGTCACCCCTTGTCACTCGTTCTACGTATTGACGTCCATCGAGAACCGTCTGAGCTCCTCGTAAAGACAGAGGCATCCTGGATAGTAGCACCGATGAGCATCAATTTGGAAATACAGATTCCCGTCATTCCCGCCTACTCACTCCTCCATCAAGATCTGAGGCCTGAGTAAGGAGGAATTCAGAAGCGTTAGCGTGCGATCTCAGAACAAGTGACTTGCCGATATGAACTCACGGGATAAGAGGCCTGACGGCCTTGACTCTTCGGTCATCCAGAAGTTGAGTAGCCTGTCGATTGTCATCCCCAGATTCAGTCCGTTGGTGATAAGTCGCAATGACAAGATCCGACCAGAAAGAGGAAGGTTTGGCCAATCAGTTGCTGCGCAATTGTCACAAACGTTGCAAGGCGAGCTCACCTGTTGCACGGTTACGGTAGGAAGCGACATTTATTTCTCTACGTCTTTTTGTGGAGGTATTGTCTGGGTATTCTACGAGTTTCGCCAACCAATTTGGGAGTTAAATGATTACACGAGGAAAGAGGTTGAATATCTCTGCCAGTCGCAGTCCATCCGAAATCTCTCTCGTCGACCTCGCTCACGCTCCATCGCTCGCATCGCTCGAGCGAGTCATCTGCTCAACCGCCGGCGCGGAAGCAATAATGTCGATGCGGGTGAATGAGATTTCGGCTGGAAGTATTTGGTTTCGAGGTCACGTGATGCGAACCGAGTGCCGTCCTTACGTATTGACCGAAGGGTCCCGCGATCAGGCCCATTCATGCACACCGCTAGTACTAACTGTTAGTACTGTATACGTTCATCAAATGATTGCACAAAAATGGGTAGAGGTCGGTATGGCGCTGGAATGTCGAGCAGAATATGATAGAACGGTACTACAATGAGCAATAACGCAACTACCAGCTTCAGGACGGCGTGCGAAGGCTGTCGTCAGCGCAAAGGCAAGGTGAGCCCAAGCGGAAGTCTCGGGCGGAGGTCATGGGCGGAGCCTTAACTCTCGACCAGAAAATCGAGGTCTTGCTGGAAGAGATCATACGCTCTCATCAGCTGGGATGCTGGATAACTAAGTCCGTTGGAACATTCTGTAGTGCTCAGGTGAACGGCCCGTTTGCCAACCCTGTGTCAAGCGAGGAAAGGAATGTGTATATCTGCGTCAAGCTCCATATATGACGATGCCGGAGACGAGGTATGTCAGGGGACCAGCTGATACCAAGCTTGTACCTTGGCTAATCCGCTGGCTCGTTGCGGGAATTCACAACTGTTGACAGGCAGAGATCTACGCCACGCGAAAATGTCGGATTGGAAGCCGCGATGGAAAGTTCGTCGTCTTCGTCACGACGACCACAAGAGACGGGTCGAGATCCGGATATACTATTCCGGAACCACCATGAGCCGCAGCAGACGATCGCGGCTGCAAGCCATTCGGTACAAGCGGCGGGTGTCATTGCGGAAGGCTCGGGGCATCAAAACTCGACAAGCTCGTCCAGCTTGCCTAATCCACCCGCTATCCTGGGTGACAAGCGAAAGGACAACGTCGAGCATTACCGACGGCCGCTAAAGTCCCGAGCACTGGAGCGTCAACAATCGTGGTCACCTTCGAACCTTGATTTCTCCTACGGACATACTAACGAGGCCAGAAGACCCGACCAAGGGCAAAGACCATCCAGACAACGGATCGAATCTTTCGCGGCAAGGCGGACCGATCGACCATCATCCATGTCTTCGGTGACGCCTACCACGCCGAATTATCCAAATTCGGTTCAGAATCTTACGACAGCGGTCTTGCCGTCGAACGATCAGCTGTTAGATTCTTTGCCAATGGCAACAAGGTTGCACGACGTATTACATAGCGAGGCTCCCATCCCGGCTATGAGCCGTTTGCAACCAGCAGGCTCTCGGTCCATGCGGACAAGGATCCCGAGCGGGGTTCTACCGCTTGAGAGCGAGGCCTCGACGCTGGTCAGCCATTTCCTCGATCACACCAATACCTCGCTACCTATACTTAGCAAGACGAGGCTCTGGCTTCAAGTCGAGGCGTTATACACTAACGTACATGACGTGCTCAAACAGGAAGACGTCTGTCTGGTCTTTCGTAAGTCGATCAACACTGCAAAGCGGCGATCGGAAAGCTTCTGCGCTGATCCCTCGGAATAGTGGTATTTGCATGCTCTGCCAGCACCATCCGAGGCAATTGCGCAGAGACGGTTCACCTGAAAGAGAGGGCACCGAGTAAGACTACCGAACTATCCCCTGACGTCAATGCTAAGCTAACGCTCGCTACAACCGATGCCTCTCTATAGGCTTCTGGGCAGAGGCTAGCAAGGTAAACAAGAGAGTGGATGGTGTGAGCGGACGATGGCTGATGATCCATTTGCCGTCTCGCTTAGCATCTCGCAGCTTGTACCGCCGTCGACTCGGTGTTGCGAATAGAAATTATGCTGCTCCACTTGCAGTACGTCATGTACAATCCAGCCGCCGGAGGTAAATCATTATGCGTGAATCCGTAGCAACATGTCGTTGAATTTTCTCGCTCCTGATCTGTAGTCGTATGGGATCTAGCTGGAGCTACCATGCGGACTGTCATCGATAGCGGATTCCATCACGAAACCTCAAGTACCGGCAAGAGGGACGACCCGGACGCCCAGATCGATCACCAAGTGGATCGACGGAGAAGGCTCTTCTGGTCGTAAGCAGAGTGGGCCGTGGTATCTGAGAGGGAATAATAACGCACTACCTTTGTAGAATATACTGTATCGATCGTAACCTCGCCACGGCTTTAGGTCGGCCTCCTGGTATACCTGACAACTGGATCAGTGCCGAGGTGAGCAAGGTTCTTCTTTACTAAATAGAGCGATCTAAGCCGCGAGTCTTCGGTTCGGCTGCAGCTGCCCTCTGTACTCGACGATGGGTACATTGAGGGAAGGGGCGATGACAGCCAGCCGAGCAGGCTGAGCCCGAGCAAATTGGCCACCCGCCATCATATTCGTATCCGACGCCTGCAATCAGAGGTACACAATCACCTCTACTCGGCTGCGGTACCTGATGAACCCCCGCCTAAGACCTGGTTCGAGTCGGTACAATCACGGCTGGACCAGTGGCGCGAGGATTGGCCTGCCCCGACCAGTTTTGTCAGCGAGGAGTGGCTCAACCTCAACTATCACATGACGGTGACTCTGCTGTTGCGGCCGACCGCTGCCAACCCCAATCCTGACCGATCACAAACGCAGACGGCACTCGACAGCAGCAGTCAAGTAATGAGGTTCTATAAAGACATGTTTCGCAAAGGGCGCATTAATTATAGTAGGTCGTGCTGTATCTTGTGTTGTTATAACCGGATGTTGATTGCCTTCCTGGTCGGACTGTACAGATTGGGTTGCGATGTACCAGCTCTTCATCAACGGCGTGACTTACCTGAATGGGTTGTGGCAAGCGCATCGCCATGGATGGAGCATTGTCCCGACGCTCGTGGACGCATTGCTGGATATACAAGGCTGCTCATCTATCATCGAAGCGTTGGCCGGTACGTGTCATGTGCACAGCACGACGTTACGCAGGTCGAGGTGCTTATGATTTTGCGTAGTCATCACCCCGGGTAGTAGCGGGATACGAAACGCATTTGAACGGGTATCCGAAGGAGTCATACGGCATCTCAGTCAATATTCGCGACTGGCCGGCTTGTCGAGACAAGTATCGCCGAGCGGTTCCCAAAGTCGGCCTTCCAACGGGACAACAACCGTCTGCTTACAGCCGCCGCGGTCGTCACTCGATAATTACACTCAGACGACGGTGGAGCGACTTGAACCCCATGATCTCCCGTTTGCCCAGGTGCCACAATACTCGTCTGGCTTTCCCAATATCATTGGCAATGAGATAGCGCTCGACGAATCACTCGTATTTGGCGAACATCCGTTCGACGATCTCCTATTCAGGCCGCTGGGGGATTATACGGGTGATCAATGGGACGAAGCAGTCAACAGTGTACTCGACCAGATGGCAGCACAATAGATTCGCTGCTCTCGATATGATACAACTGGCATAGCGATCTGATAGCCCAGACAGATGACACTTTAACAGATTTGATCCCGAGGGGCCTTCCCGGAAAAGACTTCCGCCAGGTGTTCAATGCAGGACCGAGCGACGTCTCGTTGGACGCTCAGTGCAGAACCGCCGATGTGAGGGCTAGGAGGAAGCGAGGAATCACGTCAGTGTGAGCTTCCTTCCTACCCTGGAGACGAATCAGACCTACGTGACGATGCATCGCTCGTGCTTGACCAACCGCGGATTGCTGTCAACGGTCGGCGGCTCTACAGCCATGGCATCTAGTCCGGCTCCGTGGATCAGGCCCTGATCGAGGGCGTCAATCAGGTCATCTTCGTTGATGATACCGCCGCGGGCAGTGTTAACGATTATGGCAGTCGGCTTCATCTTGGCAAACTGCGCCTTGCCGATCATGTCCTTTGTCGACGGCAATAGGGGAATATGAAGCGAGATGACGTCGGCGACCGGATATCCCTGCGTGTCCAGGTCCTGGATCCATTGCAAATTCGCACTCGGGATCGTTGACTCCCAGGCAGCTTTTGCGGCAGCAGAGATGTAAGGATCGAAGACGAGAAGTGAGCAGCCGAATGCTCCGTGGAACATTTTGCCGACGGTCAAGCCGATGTTCCCTCCGCCGATGATAAGGAGGGTAGTCCCGGTCAACGTTAATCCGGTCAGCCCAGACTTTTGTGTCAAGTATTGCCCAGCTTTGATCCTAGCGTTGATGATCGCGATCTCTCGGCCGACACTACAGATGTGATCAGTTAGCGCGTCGTTCAGGATAGCTCTTGCCAAACACCGCTCGCTCACGCCATCGCAAGTGCCAATGCGACTTCCGCAACGCCTATGGCCTATCGACCCAAAAAGCCGAGTGAGTCGCAACGTTGGTCTTATCATCTAGTCTCCTCACTTACATTTGCACCGGGCGTGTTCATCAGACCGACGTTCGCATTCTTCAGAGCACCTATGTCGAGTTGATCGACCCCGACGCCGTGCTTCTGTACCCATCTCAGGCGTTTGCATTGAGCGAGGTCTTCAGACGCAATAGAGCTACCTCGGACGATAAGCGCGTCCGCATCGTCCTTCCATCTCGATATCTCGGGCTGATCGCAAGTGATCAGCCTGAAGCGGCCTTTCACCATGTGTTGGACATCGGGATGTAGAGGATCTATCGCAAAGACTGATGGGAGGTGTTTACTGGGATAGGTCATGGTGTCGATGATTACGGTAATGGTCGAGCGGATGATACGCATCCAGGACACTGGAATTTACAAGGCAGTCTGCTAATGTGTGGAGGCTAGCCTTTTTATCTTGGCCTCCGACCATTTCATGGCGTGGCGTGGCGAGAAATCATCGGCGATGAAGTGTACATGTCGGAGGGCGGACCTCGGGCATCCGACCGGAGCCTCCGACTCTGTGAACCGTTATCGGGCGAAAGGATAGCTTATATAGTCGCTATGGAAGGATCACCTGAAGCTTGGCGGCCCAAAACAGCTCACCCCACCAACTCATACCAATCCTCGCTGAGAGACACCCTGCATCATGCCCTCTACTGAAGTTGTTCGCGTCGATACGACCTCCGCTAGCAAGGACGTTAAGCTCGACTACAACGATCCAGCGTACAAGAGCGCGTTGGCATCTTGTCGACCCAATCTCGTCAAGCAGCGGTTGGCAAACCGACAACTTGCCCACTCGCTCTCCATCAAGCTGATTCCTGATCCTGAGATGGCGGTGATGGCCGCTGACGCCGGCTATCACTCGCTGTTGATCGACCTGGAACACAGCAGTATCAACTTGAGTACGGCAAGCGCAATTTCTTGCGCCTGTCTGCAAGCTGGGTGAGTCGCAACAGGCTCCGAACAAATAATGATTCGATGCTGATCCGGGCATATTGGTAGTATCACTCCCATCGTGCGTGTTCCCGCCAACACGTCGGACTGGATCTCGCGAGTGTTGGACGGTGGCGCGACTGGTGTGATCGTGCCCCACGTCAACTCCGCGGCCGAAGCGGCGCATGTTGTCAAGTATGCCAAGTTTTTCCCTCTCGGCGAGAGGAGTGCCACGGCCGGTCTTCCTCTCTTTCGATACCGGTCGCCAGCTCTGAAATACGCCAACGCGTGCGCCAATGAAGCGACTCTTGTCGTGGTCATGATCGAAACCCAACAAGCGCTGGATGTAGCCAAGTAAGCGTGAATGCGGGCTTGATTGCCATGTTGAGCCTTTGGTTGACCCCGATAGTGCTTTGTAACAGTGAAATCGCCGCGGTCGAAGGTGTCGACGTGATCCTCATCGGCACGCAAGATCTGTCCACCGAGTAAGCCAGATTCCTGCGCTCGACGTCGGTCTGTGTGCTGACCTGCCGCATAGTATGGGAATCGCTGGAGAGTTTGACCACCCTCGTATTGCGACAGCATACCAAACGGTAGCCAAAGCCATTCACGAGGCGTCTCTTAAGTCTGGAACGGTTAAATCTGTCGGAGTCGGCGGACTGAACGGTCGCCCTGATCTCATCCAGAAGTTTGTCTGTGATGACGAATATGGTGTCACGCGCTACGCCATGTCCGCGACCGATTCGGTATTGGTCATGAAGTCCATGAAGGAGAAAGCCGAAGTTCTGGAGAAGATTGAGCAGACCATCTGATGGTTGGACTGTAGGAAATGCCTTGTGTAACCAGTTGCTATTACTATGCTCGTGTCTTGGATCAATATCCTATCATTGGAATACTATATTCTGCAGCTACCTGCTCGAATGACAGTCAGAACAAAATGGGCCATCTTGCTACGTTCCTGAGCGGAAGAAATCGCGACCATGAATCTGAATAACTGCTCGCTGCCCTCTACATTCCACATCCTTGAAGATCATAAGGAGACGATGATTGCCCCTACGCGGTCGCGCCTGAGGATGGCTCGTTGATTAAGCGCATGACCGCAGATCGGCTTACACACACGTGCCGAAGCTAGAAGCGAGCAAAAGCTCATCGTCTAATCACCCAACGTGGAGGTTCGCCCTCACAGCTCCACCGTAATGACAGTTCGGACACCGTCCGCTCCTGTAGCCCGTGGCCGAATGAACACCGTCCGGGCCTCCGATGCGTCGAGCAACCTATGTGTTCCCGTATTGGAGGGCTCCGTGAGATTCTCGGAAAGCCTCCTGTAACCGCGACGACTCCGCGAGACTGCCACATTCTACGCGATGCGGCGCAGTCTCTGACGATTTTATCCAATTCGCGCGAGTCGAGTTTCATGTATATAAATCATGTCACGGGGCTCCAATGAAGTATGCGATAGAGAAGTGCATCGACGACATAACTCAGACTCGATACACTGAATACAACGCGCTGCCATGTCAACATCAATCAAGGCACTCGGCCAGGACGAACAGCCCAGCGTCTCCCATAAAGAGGTGTTGGAATACGATGAGGACAGCAAGCAGGACCAGTCTTCGGCTTTGGAGGGGTCGGCAGAGCCTGCTCATATCGAGTGGACGGAGGAGGAGTCTCGTCGCGTTCGATTCAAGATGGATATCTGCATCTTGCCTTTGTCAGTATAGGCCGCGCTGCGGTCCGTTCAAGCTTGCACTGACTCAAGCGCGGACTTTTCAGGCTCTGTTTCCTCATGATCTGTTCGGTGGGCATAAAATCATTTGTAGACGAGATAGCCGAGGCGAAGCTGACAGCAATCGCCATTCCGCTGTTTGTTAGTTCCTCGACAAGGTGAGTTTCATGTTGGTCTCGGGCCAGCTTGAGAGTTCTAAACAGACGCTCTGCTTGTTCAGTCCAATATCGGCAACGCTAATACTGCCGGGATGTCTGCGGATCTTGGCCTGACCAACGACCAATACACGTTAGTGTTGACTCTGGACCGAAAGATCCCATTTGTACTGAAGAGGATGGATCTCTTCTCACATTTAGGATGCTACTGACCGCGTTCTACATCGTCTACGCCTGTTCGCAATGGGAGATCCTCATGCTACGTTTCGTCCAGCCCAGGATCTGGCTATTCTTTGTTTGCATGGCTTGGGGTCTTGCAAGTGCGATGCAGGGTGTAACGACCAACTTTGGAGGTATGATTACCTGCGTAAGTCGGAATTTAGCGTCTAGCAGCAATCACCCGCTCACTCACATCCGGGATCGTCATCGATGTAGCGTGTCCTGATCGCCTTTTTCGAAGCCGGTGGAGTGCCCGCCATCTCGCTATACTTCTCCATGCTATATCCGAAGGAAGAGTATGGTTTGAGGTGGTGTATCTTCCAGGCCTGCGCAGCTTTGTCCAACGCTTTTGCGGGGTAAGCCGACATCCTCCACTTCGGGAGCTACGCAAAGCGATCGGCTGACCCGACTCACCTTGCATCACACAGTGCCCTCGCATACGGCATCGTCCAGATCAAGAGCTCGATACCGGCGTGGAAACTGCTATTCATCATCGAAGCCATGCCTACTTTTATCTGCGGAGCCTTGATATTATTCTTCTTGCCCTCCGGCCCGGGCAAGTGTCGCTTCCTGAACGAGCGAGAGAATGCGGTCGCCTATGCTCGAGTTTTCCAAGGAAAGCCTGGCGAGCAGGAAAAGGGGCTGAATCTCAAACGAATGAGCCGGGGTCTCATTCGACCCTGGACTTGGCTCATTGCTATCATCCACTTTTGCGGTTCAACCGCGTTCAACTCGATTTCCGTCTTTTTGACTGCTATTCTCCGGGATGTGAGTATGGCCGGCATGGTCATCGTTCACGAATTCTCACCAATTGATCTCGTCACTATCGACAGATGGGTTTCACTTCGATCAAGGCACAGGGAATGTCTGCACCTCCTTATATCGTCGCATACATCGTCGCCGTCGCCATTGCCTTCTTGTCAGACCGCAAGAAGACAAGGGGAATCTTTGTTGCCATATTCGGATTGCTCGGTAGGTCGCTCCATATCTACAGGAGCCTCGGAAGGACTGATGCGTACTCCTTACGCAATAGGTGGAGCAGGGTACATCATCGTGGCGTATGCGCCTTCGATGCCTGCCAGATACTTCGGAGTGTTTATGGTGAGCCAAAGGCGTCATGACTCTCTCTGCGGGGGATGCGTATTGAGAACAGATGCCGCCCGTTGGACAGGTCGCTGTCGGCGTGTACACCGGACAGCCCATGATGTACGCCTGGTGTGCAAACAACGCCCACTCGCCGTCGGAGCGAGGCGCTTCGTTGGTGCTCTTCTCAGTGTAAGTGATCATGGCTCGATATAACACGCAGGCGATTCAACGCACATGATGTTGTTTCCTATGGCAGCACCGGACAACTTGGATCGATTCTCGGATCAAACATCTACCCGAAACACAGCGCGCCTCGATACTACCTGGGAAACACCGTTTGCGCCGGTGCGCTGTTCATGTCTTGCGTGCTTTCAACCATCGGGACCATGTGAGTGTTCCGCCAGCCGTCTGATGAATCGACTCTGACCCCCGTTGTAAACAGCGTTCTTCGACGACGAAACCGACTCAAGGCTATCGCTGATGCTCAAAGGACTCCCGAGGAATTGCTCACGATGCGGGCCGATCCTGACAACCGCGCCAACTATGTCTACACCATCTGAGTCGTCGTCTCGACAACAAGTCTGTTTGGCTTGCTGACAATGTCCAATGAGAAAGGAAAAAACAAAGAAACAACGGGAATGTAGCCATGTTATTAGGTCTTGCACAAACATCCGTTAATTGTCAAAGAATCTCGAACTCTGTTATTCATCTTGAACGCTTGTCCGAAGTTTAGAAATGGTATCTCAACATGACAGATTGCCTGGACATCGACCAACGCCCTGCACACCTGCATGTGGAGATTTTGAAGTCGTAATACTTGACGACCTTATCGAATCGTACAGTGAAGTGTAGTCAGCTCATCGCAATCTTCCTTCAGCTCCCATGTTGCAAACTTGCTGAACACACCTGCTGACACGTGGGTCACCTGTATTCTTATACACCACTGACCTCAGTGAAGAAATGTCGATATGACCCTATCTCTGCTTTGTTCAATGGTTCCATGGTGCACCTGTCTGCTTCGCATATGGTTCCCCATCGTGTGTTACAGTATAGCAGGCTATCCCGCTACTCAACCACTCGATCAGCCTACAAGCTCATCGGCGTCATCATCGATTCGTCGAATTCGCCTTCAAGTGAGCGGTTCACAGACTGTATGGTGAAGAGAGCGCTAGTTTCGCAGCTTGGCCTGTGATAGTGTGATGGTAGCAGAACGCATACTTGATTCGCACAGAACAGACCATCGTGTACAGATCCAGTGATGAAAACGGGTGAAACGTTGGCGTCGCGAGCAAGCCATTTGGAAGCAGACGGAAGCAGAATGAGCATGCCGGCACCGGGCTCGATCGAAAAAACGGAAGCGAGCCATTGCGTCATCCGTCTGGGACCTTTTGTTGTCTTTTCAGCGTCGAAACCGAAAATCAGGTCGACCGATTGATCAATCGATGGGAAAGGGATCATGATCGCACGATCCTAAGGAACCGGGGAAAGTATCGACCTCAGTTGAACAGCCTGACAGGATGGAGGTGATGGACCTGTAGAAGCAGATGCGATTGAATGACGGCGGTACAAACACGACTAAAAGCGCAGAACGACTGACCCCGGCCTCTGACACTGGCGCTCGAAAGGGAAGATAACGACCACGGTACGCCATCGACACGACGCAGTCGACCGATTACATCTAGCTTGTCGATACCCCTGTACGCGCTGTACGATATTAAGACTCACAAATCAGAACTGTATACTGTTCACAGTGACATGATGCAAATCTGATTATCGAACGCACGCTTGCTCGTCGATCGGGACGTTTTTTTTTCCTCGTTGATCCGTGTCTCTCGTTCCCCTTTCGCTCGCTCGCCCGCCGTTTCGCGCGGGCTCACACACGCAAAGGCTGAGGACCGGTCGTTCAAGTTCAAACCCCTTCTGTCGCCTTCTCCTTTCTCTCACAACTCCCTCCCTTTACATGTCATCGAAACATCACACCATCTCTCTCGTATTCACTGTGATCCTTCCCCCTTCATATATATTCTGTTGATCGACATATTCGGCTCGCCGTAACCCTCGTCTTCCTCCGACCTTTGTCGGCTTTTCCTCGTCTATCTATCCCTAAGCGGCATCACCCTACTCGGACGACAAGCAGGCTCGACCGATATACGGATAAACTCTTCGACCCCTAATACCTTCCTGCCACCACCACACCTTTACACCGATCCTATCTCCCGTCTTCATCTGTCACCATGGTACGTTCGGCCATCTATACGGTGTTGCGGGACCTGCAATCACATTGCCGGGTTCCCACTCTGCACCGGTTCGATTCAGGACAAAAGGAGGCTGACCTGTCGATCTGCCTGTCTACATATATGGGTTACTTGTTCATCCCTCTCTGCAATGGCCGTGCTATGCGGTTATAGGGTCAAACTCTTTCCGAGCCAGGTATGTCGTTCGATACCGAAGTCGATCCGATCGATCCGCTCACGAGCATTGTTTTCACCTTGACTGGTATCTCTCTTCCGACCAACCCATCGTCAAATACCCTCATCTGTGTTCGACCACCACTTTCACCTCTTCACCATTCACTCTTGGTGTCGACTTCGTACCCTCTTCTTATCTTGGACCCCACATAATGACAACAATAACAACAAATCGACTTCTTGTTGAAAACACGCAGTAACCGAGAAGCACACGTCGTTCTCGATCCGGGGCAACAAGTATGCGGTAGCCGTTAGCGATATGCAAGGATGGAGAATCAGTACGTATTGAATCGTCTTGTGGGAGTGAGGACATCGGTACCCCGGGCGATGGCGATCGGGTTCACATATAGGGGGTTGGGGTGCAGCTTGCAAATGGTGGAAGATAGTGCAATGGCGGTGGCGCGGGAAAAAAGCACAGGGTGATAGGGCACTCTGCGGGTCTTGCAAGAGCCCAGGAGTGTTCGCTCGCACGGGAAAGGGAAACATTGAAGACGAACGCATGTCAGACGATGCGGGAGAAGTCGGAGTCAAGAGGATCCAAAAGAGCGCCCGAGCACGCTGCGGAGCGAGATGTCAAGCTCGACTGGATTGAGACTCTCACGGCAGACTTTCCCGGCAACCTTGTGTATATTAGCAGCGGCAGGTTACTGATCGCCATCTTCATCTGCTTTTCCAACAGGCATGGAGGATGCCCACTCCCTGCATTTGTCCCTTCCTCCCGGTGTAAAGCAGGGAGACAAGAATAACTCTGCCCCAGAGCAACCCGCCGGTAGCTCGATGACCAACATCGAGGGAGACGACGCACCTGCTTTCTTTGGAGTTTTCGACGGACACGGAGGTTCGGCCGTCGCCAAATTTACAGGTACTACCATTCACGAGCGATTGGCTGCTCTCGACTCGTATAGTGAGCAGAGCGTGAAGAGGCCTTTATGCGTTGTCTGAAAGGGGTTCTGAATCTATCGTTTCTGCACTCGCAGAGAACGGCGATTATGAGAAGGCTTTGAAGACGCTTTACCTGAAGACCGACGAAGACCTCAGGGCCGGTAAGCAGGTCTTGGTCATACCAACCGGGAGAATAATACACTGATTTGGCTCCTTCACCTTTCTCAGACCCCAGCTTCTTCCAGGACCCATCGGGTTGTACCGCCGTCTCGGCTTTGCTTACTCTCGATGGACGGATCATCGTCGTAAGCAGAACGCTTCCTTCAAGGTTCAAGTTCTCGCGCCGTGTGCTGTGTGCTAATCTCATAAATGTTGATCCGCAGGCCAACTCTGGTGACTCGCGATCAGTTCTGAGCGACAAGGGATACGGGAAACCCATGTCGCACGATCACAAGCCTACTAATGGCCCTGAGAACGAACGTATCACCGCCGCTGGCGGTTTCGTCGAGTTCGGCCGTGTCAACGGTGAGCCCAGGGTTTTCCATCAATTATTGAGGCGACAAGACTGATCGATGATCTTTCTGCAGGCAACCTCGCCTTGTCCCGAGCTCTTGGTGATTTCGAATTCAAGCAAAACTACGGACTTGAGCCTGAAAAGCAGATTGTCACTGCCGACCCCGACATCTTGACGCACAAGGTGGATGGAGAGGAAGAGTTCCTCGTTTTGGCCTGTGATGGTGAGCCTGTCACGATTGGCCTCACAAGGGAGAGCCCGACGCTCACTGTTTCATGTTATAGGTATCTGGGACTGCCTCTCTTCCCAGCAAGTCGTAGACTTTATCCGTCGCGCTGTCGCCAACGGTGACGCGTTGACCAAAATCTGCGAGGATCTTATGGTAAAATGTCTTGCTCCGGACTCGGAGCTCGGAGGTATCGGATGCGACAACATGACCGTCGTTATCGTCGCCCTTCTTAACGGGAGGACATTAGAAGAGTGGCAGGAATGGGTCAAGAAGAGGGTCGATGAGAAAGGTCAGTTCGGACCGCGAGTAGGCCGGATTGCCCGTAACTCGGCTTATTCCCATCTTTCCAATACAGTTGGATACGACACGCCAGAGCGAGTTGCCGACGTCTTTGGTCACTCAAACGCTATCCCCCTTCCCGGTGTTGGAGGTGGGATCCGGCAAGGAGCCATGGGGGGTCTAGCCACCCTGCAACAGGCTTTGGGCGCCAGAGGTATTCAGTTGCAAACCACTGACGAGGAGGAAAGCGGTCAAGAGGCGAACGGCCGAAATCAGGACTCTGCATTGTCTCGGCAAGAGGTAAGTCAAGCCCAATATGCTTGATATCATCGAGGTAGTCTGGGCGGCTCGCTGAATTGGGGATCCTATCAGGCCGTTGCCCAATTCGTTCGAGCGTTCACCTCGGGAGCTCGAGGACCCACTCAAACTTCCTCCCCCGATAAACTGGTAGGTCGATAGCAGATAGTGCTATTTCGAAGGACCCGCTCTCATACACTTTGTTCCTGCCGTAGGATTCGGATACTGATATGGACGACAACGACGAGCCTAGCAAAGGCGAGACCCCGCCTCCCTCCTCCTCGGCTGAAGACAAAGTCAAGCAGTCGCAACCTCAGGAGCAGCTCAAATCCCAACCTCAAGGCGACGAACCGAGTGGCGCCGTCAAGGTCGAAGGTCTGATGGACAGCTCAGACTCCCCATTCAAAGCATAGAATCATCTCCTCCCTTCCGTCAGAATCATTTTCTCGTTCCCCTGCTATCACTGCAAAGATCCACCATCGCCTCAAATCTCGTCATCAAGGTCGACTTGATAGCCAAGCATCGTGTAATAATTTGTCTGCCTGTCTTGCGGCATAGTTTCGGTCTTCATGATGTGTTCTACAATTGTATAACAGCCTGATATCGAGCTCATCGCCCTGTTCGTTATTCGCTTCGTATGACGTGACTGGACAAGGGAATGGTTTCTCGTGATGATTAGATCTGCCTCAAGGTTTCTAGACAAACCTGTCTCCTCCGCTGTTCGCCTTGTTCTCCAAATTGGCAATGCGATCGCGAATGCTCGGAGAAGAAGGTCGTGGGGAAGTAGGCGAGCTGAGCTCAGCGACGATCTTGCTCGGCACTGGTCGCGGACCCCGCGTGGCGACTGAATGGCATGTTCAACATCGTATCAGTGCTTAAGCAATTGATCGTGATGAATGGCTCCTACTTACGACGTGGACCGCGAACCTTGCTAGTCTCGCCAGATCCTGTTCGTCTCAAAGTGCTATCTCCTTCCTGAATAGGCTGGTCGAGATCCTTGCTGACGGGTCGCTTCCTGGACAACCGAGCACCGCTTCCGGCGAACCCGTTACGTTCCCCATCGAGCGACAAGACAACGTCTGCAGCGTCAGTTTCCACCTCTGGGCCGACAGGTGCCGCTTGACTCTCGGAGGCTACTTCTTGAGCTGGAGTAGCTTGCACTTCGATAGGAGTAGCAGTAGCTTGTTTGAAGGGCTCGGCGGGCATCGATTCGGGCTCCGCGGTTGGTGCATAGCTCGACTTCTGATCATCGACCATTGAAGTGGCTATTGGGCTCGCAAGAGCCGCGGCCTGGAAGTCTTCTTGATCTGTAATCGTTCGTCCGGCTTCTTGAGTGATCACGGGATCCTGGGGAGTCTGGACCTCTTCCTCATGGCTGCCCAAGCTCGATCCTTCCCGCCCGTGAACAGAAGGTATCGAAGATCTAGAAGGCGTTCGCGGAACTTGACCTCGCAGTATTTCTCTGCCATCTTCTCCTGAAACGCTTAATTTGGACCTCGATATACGTTGATCCACAGGACGAGTAGCCTTGCGTTGCGGCATGGGCCTGTCCAATGTCTTGCGAGCTCGCTCGACCAGACTTGGCAAGAGCTGGTGTCTCTTTCGCAAGAGCTCGCCGAAGAGCCGAGATGGAGTATGGTCCTGAAGCGTGTGTACAGTCTCTACCTGAGGTCGCAAGAAGTCTGAGGGCGTGTCAACGTATGAGTTGTGTAAGCTTGGATTTTGAATTGACGGGGCAGAAACTAGTATGTCCTACTTACGTCTACCAACAGATAGAGAGAGCTTCGTGATATAGGCATCGTTAGATTCTTCCGTCTTCGTGTTCGTGATCAATGCGTTGAAGTGTGCGAGAATGGCGTCAAGAACCAAAATTTGGGGGCTGGACAGTTTGGCCAGCATGTCAACCAAGGGTTGCGGAGCATCCTCGGTTGAGGAGTTCCGTTCGTCGCCCTTTTTGTAAAAGGTCTTCATTGACTCGTAACAGTCGTATCCAAGTATTGGGGGCGAGAGTTCGAGAAGCCACAGCTTGATGGTAGCAGCAATCACAGCTGTCGATGATACGTAAAATAAGGGGTCAGCTTAGATCTTCATTTGTGGAAAAAGGCAATTGCCCAGTGACTTACGAGGGTTAAACTTCTTGACTTCCTTGATCATCTCTTGTGTCGGTACGTGAGGGTCGTTAATCAACTCTCTCAATGGATGAACCTCGCCCAGCGAGACGAGATACAACCAGGATTTCCGGCGAACTGCAACGCTATTGCGTGAGACTGGTAAGAATACTGGACGCCGAGGGAATAGACTGACCTTCGTCCGAGACATCGTTATACTTCTCTTCAAGCCCTTGTAAGAGAGCAGTCAAGACGTGCGGGATCGATTCTCTTGGAGATCCCTCGGTCGCTTCTTTCCGCATGATCGCCTTCCAGCCCTGCTGACCACCCCACTTCCGCAGATCGATACCGAAAGTAACGTCATAATCATCGGAATCGAGACTATCGTAGATGTGTGCTTTGGGTCGCTGGCGAGAGAGACAGAGATCAGTTTCTGTCTCAAGATCCTGAGATCAGGTGGCGGAGAACTAACGAAATTTCCAGTGCGACTGCCCTCGATGAGCGCAAGCAGGCTGACCACGAGATCATAAAGTTAGCACTGAATATGGCGGCTCGTGAGACTTCCAATAGAGCCCTACTCTGCTTCCGGTTTGTACGCCTCAACAGCGACCTTGACACCAGTCGAGACTTCATGCAACCTCTTGGGAATCTGAGCGACAACCATCTCGTATTGCGAAAGGACTGCGACCGACGATCAACAGCTGTCAGGTGCAATGTCGGTCTCTGTTTCGCTTCGGCAGCTCACCCGTCTTGACCGCCTTGAGCCTTTCACGTTCCCAGCCTTCCCATTGCCCCATTCCCGACTCCAACCTGGCCTCGATACCAAGACGCATATCTTCCAGCTCGCCGAGAGCTTCCCTGTATTCTTCATCAGCGGCTTTTGCCTCCCGCCTCGCCTTGACGTGACCAGCTTCACCGTTCATAGAAGCATTCTTCAAAGCTTGCGGAAGGTAGTTCTGGAGCATCGAACTGGCGGTCGCGAGAGTTGGCACAGATGGGCTTGCGCCTTTAGAGGGAGACGGAGGCGCATTGTCACTGACGGCAGCAGGACCGCTGACACCACGAACAGTAGCTGTGAGCGCATGGATATGGTTTCGAAGCGCTTCAATCGCAAAAGGAGAATCTTCCGTAGCCTACGGGTCAAGTGGTGACAGACACGATCAGCCGTGTTGAGAGGCGGTCGACGCAGAACACTGCTGTTGCCAGACTTACGGAATCCTTCAGCACGTAAAATGTCTCGTCACCTGCCTCCCAACCTCTTCCAACACCGATTCGACCGATAAGACCCCACCGCAGGAGCTCGGAACCAGCCTCTTCAGCCCGGTTCATCTGACCAGCGAATCCTTCCAGCTGCATCGATTCTCATCAGCCACCGATACCGTCCTTGTGGCCTAATACACGCTACTGACCTTGCTCAACAACCAGTCGACAAGCTCGGCGCCAGAGAACGATTCGTCAAAAGTTCCGAATATCGTCGTCCTCGTCCTACTTCTAAGCTCTCCTTCGTCTCCCTTGGCTTTTCCCTTCTCTCCGATCGGAGTAGGCGGTAGGGTCAAACTCAAGTGTCGTGCAAAGTCCGTCAGGATAGCGACAAGCCCAGGGAGAGGCAGGCTCAATCCGGCCAGTAGTAACGGGGCTGACGGATCCGTCGAGGTCAGGCCAGAGGTAACGATCCCGTTCACCGATTTAGGCCTTGCGGGAGGATCGTTGTGCATAGGAGGAGCGGGTAAGAGCTTCTCCCCGGTCCCGTTACTAGACTCGGGCCGGGGTTCCGATTCTTCCTTGATCATCATCGATTCCATGGCCGCAGCAGATCTGCTTACGCTGGCCAGTCTCAGCTTTTCGCTGATCCTCTCTGCAACGGTGCCTGTCCTCTTCAGTCCAGAGCCCGTAGAGGCCGAGGAAGAGAATTGAGAGGAACGGGGGCTGGCAAGAGCTTGAAGTCGGGGTGAAGATGGACGAGGTTCTGGGGTAAAGGTGTCCTTCTTGGGCGAAGCAATGGTGGTGTGGAAGCGGGCCCTGAATAGTTTCAGATTATGAGAGACATCAACGGGTGCGCTGACCGAGTCTTGAGAATCGAACTCACTCCTCTTCCAGGTCGTCCGCATGATTGGCCTTGACCAGGTACGTCTGACGCAGCTATAAAAGCCGGAATCACCTTACCTTCAGCTGGTTGCAACGGTGTAGATTACCCTGACATCCTGCTCACCTTGGCCACCTCTAACACCAACTTGCCATAATCCCCTACCAGACTTCCCTCTCCCTTGTTCTTCCCACTTCCCCTCTCCTCAAACGGCTTGGGTACATACCCGAGTACCTCTTGACTGGCCATCCTCGTCCTCATCTCGTGCACGTTCGCCCACCTGATGAACCCCTCGAGAACCCTCCTTTCGAGATCATCGGCGATAGACGCATGTTGCGAGGCTTGTCGCTGAGACAAAGTTTGAAGGTGGGCGAAAGATTGAGCTAGGGAGGCGGAAAGACCGGTCGAGAGGGAAGAAGTGAAGGTGGGGTATGATCGGGACGTGGACAAGGATTCCGCGAGCGAGTGATGGGCGGCCGCTTGTGCCTGCGATCGTGAAATGACATCGATTCAGCGACCTTTATTTGCAAGCCAAATCTCAGCTCTTTCCTACTGACCTTGATGAACGTGATGACCTCCTGATTCTCAAGGCATCCCTGAGAATTTAGATAGCATCGTCCCCTGATCAGCTCGTCCGCACAAGCATACCGTAGAATCACAACTTCTAGCTGATCTCACTTGCTCTAGCTTCCCGAACAAGACTTCCATTCCGGTTCGAAAGTCATCTTGAGACCAGAAACTATTCTGAAAGGAAGGTGGAAGGAGGATGGGAGCCGGCATCCTAGCGGTCCGGCCTAGTTGTCGGTCAAGGTGACTTTTGATGAAGGTAAGCTGTTAAGTGATGGTGCGGTTTCTTGTAGCTGTAGCGCCGGGTTCAGCGTGGTGCTGGATAGGACGAGACCTGATAGATTGGAGCCCGATTACTACGTAACTGTGAGACTGAGGCTATGATAGTAGAACTGAACTGATGTTTCTGATGAGATTATCACAAAGTAACATTCAGGTTGATAGGGGGGGGGGAGTATCCCATCCCATGCTGGATGCTGCTTCGGTCGTCATCAGTTGCACAGCACGCGAGCGAGCCATGACCCCGACGGATCCAGATGGACATTATTTATGGGCTGAAACGCCGAATCGTGAACAACCGTTCGCCGACAAGTATGTATACAACAGTCACAAGATACTATCACTGCATCCCATTCCTCTCCTCCTCTGCCCTCACAGCCGCATGAGCTCTTTCGATGGCGTCCAACGTGTACGCATACGTCTCGGCGCCATACGCTAGGTAATTCGTCTCCTCTTCCTCGTCGACTCCGACCGTCATGTCGTCCAGTCCGGCGGGCATGTCTAGCATCTGCAAGACACCATGGTCGTCGGTATGCATCGAGTCGCTTGTATCGTGTGGGTCGTGATGATGGTGATGATGCAGGTCATGGTGATCGTGGTGCAAGTGGTCGTGTTCGGATCGTTGATCGTGCCCGAGGTGTTGATGCTGATGCTGATGATCATCGTGGTGGTCGTGCAAGAGATGTGCATGTGCGAATTCCGCGGGATCCGATTGAAAGTCCAGGCCCATAGCAGCCATATCCAGACCCATCCCCGTCGACATGTCCAAGTCCATCCCGACATCCCCTTCCTCATGTTCATGCGTATGCGACTCTTCTTGGTGATCATGAACCCCATGATCATGGCCATGTTCCTGATCATGCAACGTCTGCCCATGTGCATGTATGTGTGGGTCTAGCATCTGCTGTCCTGACGCGTGTTCCTGTTGTTGGTCCTCCATCAAGCTCAACCTCACCCCATCCTCAGTAACCCCTGCGCCAGCTAACAACTCCCCCATGGCCACGCCCATCCCCATATCCATATCCATGCCCATCCCTAAACCTTCTCTCACCTTCCTCGGTCTTCCCACCCGTCTCTTCGGACTGACATACGACGGATCCTCTCTCCTCCTCCTCTCGCTGTCTTCAGCCTGTTGAAGCCGGTACAACTCTCTCCGTTCTTTCTGCCGGATCCGCCGGTTCTCCTTGGTCTGCCAAGCCGGGACGTGTGACTTGTTCAGAGAGCCTTTGGGTCGACCTCGGCCTCGTTTGTTTGGGTTGGGGTTGGGCTCGGGATTGGAGGGGTTGCCAGACGAGGAGCAGGGATGATCGATTGTGCCTTGATAGTCCAGGACGGCGGCTTCGAGGGCGTCTAGGCTAATCGGAAGGGTAGGGTCCGCTTGCGAGTCCAGCAAGGGAGATTGTGGAGGGAACGATCCCGCCTTTCCTACATCCACATCCGCAGCTACGTTCTGGTCCATGTTTACGTTCATCTCCATGGCCAAGCCCGACTCTTCACCTCTTCCCACTTCCGACGGTTCCCCATGCCCATCATTCACTTTCGATATCCCACTTTCGACCCCGACCACGAATGAACTCTGATGTTGCCGCTTGACCCTCGCTCGTTTACTATACTTTTTCTTGGCTATCAGGTCGACGAGCTTGACGTGCTGGCTACTCAGGGGTGAGACGAGGGATTCGAACAGTGCATCGCGTTCGTCGTCCGGTGGAAGGGTTGGAACGAGGGAGATGAGGATAGCGAGGTCGTGAACGAAAGCGTCTGTAAAGCAATGCAAAGATCAGGCCTCAGTACGTTAGACGAGAATACTCGGTAGTGCACGGCCCATACACTTACTGGGCTTGGAAGACCCGGATTTCGATTTGGGTGTGGGCTTGGGTCCGAATAACGCTCTCATTTGGTCGGCCTCTTCGTACAGAATCTCCATTACTGTACTCTTAGCTAGATCCGCTCTTTGATACTTGTTCTTGAAGTCTGCATTGGTGTTCATCTGCAGTTGCAAGCGTGATTCATTCAGCAAACTAGCGGGAGGCACTAGCAGGCGTCACGGCGGCTCACAAATTCCGTCAAGACGTCATCTGTCGATTTCGGCCTGTCCTCCTGTTCCTCGATGTCATTGAGATACTCATGCTCCAACGAGATCTCTACACTTGTATTCGGAGTCCGTACTTCTTGGGCTACGGTCATCGCCTGACTAAGTCGAAGGAGAGCAGGATCGATGCCGGACAAGTCCGGTTCTTCATGATCCGGTAGCAGGGACGGATCGACCTGCATCGCAAAAGCTATACCCAGAGGTTCGGCCTGGTGGGGTACCAGCTCCCTGTCTCTAGAAGATACAATAGGAACCGGGTTGCCCTTATAAGCCAAAACGATATGCTGTACAACTTCGAAGCCTGAGGTCGATCATCCAAGTTAGGAGGAAATGAATAGATGTCAGGCTCAGAACCGAAACGTCATAGACCTGCTGCCATGGCACATACTTGGTTGCAAGCAGCGATTGGAGTCACTCTCTTGGAGATCACTATCAGCCAGCCTGCCCGCTATAGTCGGACCTCGAGTACATCCTATCTGCTGCTGTCAGGATGGACGACCCAGTTCTGTACAGGGCTTTCGACGGCTTAGTTGGAGACGCCAGCAAGGTGGACGGTACGGCTTACTCCAAAGAGCGTGTCGAGGTCGTACAGAAAGCTCGACAGGAATTAAAAGCCTCGCTGACGGCAGAGCAGGCAAGTTCGGCCTTAGTCTGACGTTCGTGATCTCAAGCTGACAGTCCATATCGTCGGTCACAGGACGGCTTGCATCGTATTCTCACGGAGAACTTCCCCGCCGTCTCGAAGCAGTATCGATCTGCCGACAGTATACAGAACAAGCTCAAAGAGACCCAAGCATCCCTGGAAACCCTAGAACAAGCTACCAGAAGCACCGCAAGTGTCACCTTTTTCCATGATCATCACTCGCTTAGTTGTTAACCATTTCAATTGACACGCAAACAGGACGCCTTGACCCAACCTCTTCTCGCACTACTCCAATCCCGAGCTCATCACCTAATCTCACAACGATCATCATCCGCCCACCTACAAGCTCTTCAGGAGCTACAAACACATGTCAAGAAGCTACAAGAGCTGGAAAATGATATCAGGGCGGGTCATGGGGACTTGAACGGAAAGGAGCAGGAATTCTGGAGTTCCATCGGGAGCGGGCAGGGCAAGGGGAAGGGTAGGGAGGGGATCAACCTGGAGGTTAACAGCAACGTACTCAAACATGCGAGAGCTACTGGACAGCTACAGGTCAGTCGTTGTCATCTTCTGTCAGGGTGCCCGAAGCCTAACTCGATTCAAGTGGTTTAGGATCGAGCGCGGTATCTAAGGTCGTTATACGTTGGGCAGATGGAGGAAGGATACGCTCGAGCGGTACAATTCGACATTAGTGCGGAGAAGACCACTTGCTGGATACGTTCGAGCGTGCGATTGAAATCGCAATCAGGTACGGATATCTAGCCAACATCGTCTCTCGTCACAACTGATCGGCTGACTGACGTGATCACTTGTGGTAATAGCAAACGGAAAAAAGCTCCCCACGCAACCTCCGACGACGTCTCTCGAGTTTATCCTGCGTACATTGTGCGAATATCAAAGACTCGCACCGCTTCTGGAGAACACTCGAGAGGAATTCGGAAGGACGATCCTCAGGCCTCTGATCTCACACCGCACGGACGGGAAGGAACAGCGTCTGGTCGTCCAAGAGGATGGAGAAGGTTGTGCGATCAGTGTCGAAGTCAGGCCGACAGGGTTGAAGGATTCCGAGAAGGACAACAACCTGTATGAAGATCTGGAAATCCTGTTCGAACTGCTCGGCCGAGCTTTTGCCATACCGGGCTCAGAAGGCAGGAATGACGACTCGCTCAACGCGCAGATGGAGGACCTTCGCTATGCACTGGCTAAAGAGTCGATGCGGATCCTGCTAGAAGACAGGCTGAAAGCGGGATCCCCAGCCAATCGATATCTTTTAAAAGGCTGGGCGAACCGGATAGCGAAGGCGGTCGAAATCGAGACCAAATTCAGTGGAGGGTTCCAAGGTCAACCTTTCACTTCCATCGGCCGATTTTATGCTGAAGAGGCGGGTCAGTTTTGGGCGCAGAAGCAGAAGGAGACGATATTGGAACGCGCTCGAGGGATCATTGCCGGAGGATGGGAAGGATGGGAGAGCGTCGAAGTCAAGAAGGAGCAGAGGATCGGTGCGATGCCTATGGAAACACCAAGGGTGTTGGATGACAATACCGTCAGAGATCTAGGAGCGGCAGCGGAGATTGGGCCTGCAGAAGCGGAGGCGGAAGCGGGCTGGGGCTTTGATGATTGGTCTGTCGAGGAAGAACCCAAGACCGCTTCAGAGCCCAAAGTCGAGGAGAAGAGCGAGGACGGAACGGAAGCGGAGTCAGGTTGGGGCTTTGACGAGGACGATCTCGGATCGCTGAAGGCGTCGCCACCCAAACCGGTCATCGCCCCGCCTAAACCGATCCGGCAGGCCAGGAAATTGGGCAAGAAGCAGAAAACCCATCTAAATGACCAGGAAGCAGAAGATTCGATGCCCAATTCGGTTTATTCAGATGCGGGCTCCGCAGCACCTTCGGAAACAGCTGGAACCGCCACGGAAGGATGGAACGAGTCGGTAGCATGGGAAGAGCCTGTCGTACAGCCGCCTGTGGCTTCGAAGGTAGCTCAGCCGGAGTCGCAGATAATAGTGGAACGATATCAGGTATCCAAGGCCTGTGACTCGTTGCTCGAGGTCATCCTGAATGTTATCGAAATTGCGCAAGGCCTTGAGATGGTCAAGTGAGTCGATCTCCAGCCGACGTTCTGAGTGGCTCGTGCTGATCCCGGCATCGTTCAAAGCATTCCTGGCGGCTCCTTCCAAAATCTGTCCGAGACCGTACAGTCGGTAGCGCCCGACATCCTGGACCTTTACGGGGATTTAATGCCGAAAGCGCACGCAGCCCAAATCGATCACGTTCCAGCGCTCGCAATGCAGTTTTCCAACGATTGCAGCCAAATAGCCGACGTCGTCGAGTCGATGGCACAGACCTGCAACTGGAATCCGACCGAGTCCGTGGCCCGATTGCGGGAACTGAGCGATATAGCTTACGAAAAGCAAATGGTAAGTTATCAAGTCTGCTTGTGCGACTCAGGGTCGAGATGTCAACCGTTGACGTCGTGAAACGTACAGTCAACTCAACGACAAGGGGTTCTCGAGGACGTAGCCATGGCCGAAGGATTCGAGGGCTCTTCATTCGACCAGACGTTCGAACGACAGAAGCAAGTCATGTCGCAGATTCGGCACAAGCTGGAGATGTTGCATCGAGTCTGGATGGTGAGTCAGATATGAGCGTTGACCGTGTGCTGTAAGCTGATGATATAACGCATTTCACAGACGGTACTGACCGAAGCGAGATGCCTCGACAGCATTGGGCAGCTTGTCGAAACGGCTGTTTCTCGGGTAGCCGATGATATCATCGCCATTCCCGACATTACAGCGGACGAATCTGAACGTCTGAAACAAATTTGCGAGGTTCTGAAACACGTCGAGGACATATTCTCAGGTCATGTGGGTCGGCACGCTGGTCATGTACGATGGGAAATCGCGCTAACCGAAGTTGGCATATTCAGGGCGTCAATATCGTTGCATACGTACCACACTGGTTGAGGTTCTGCTACGTAGCGGAAATCATGGTAGGTTGCATCGCCGTGCGCTTCAAGGCTTATGTCGCTAACGGCATATAAACTTGACGGCACGACAGGATGCAAGCTTGGCCGACATCACCTACCTCTTCGAGTCTGGTGCTCTGGTCGACTTTACTTCGAACGAATTGATCCACTTGATCTTGGCCTTGTTTAGCGATACACCTTTGCGCCGTGACACCATCGCCAAGATTCACCGATCTTGAATGAACTCCCAGGATACAGGCGAGCTTTTCACGAACTTTTACGATACCGTATACGACAAAGAACCGGATGTATGATCAGGTTGGCTAGCGCGATGCATAGGGGAATTAATACAGCAATCATCATGATCAAGTGGTTTCAGGTGGTCCATCCGAAAGTTTCTCATTGTGCGTGCTTCGAGATCCACGAAGGTCGCAGCAGCCTGAGGGGTCTATCGCAAGAGGCATGCATGAGAGGGGGATGTTCAGTATCGCTTCTTATTCGCGAGCTTGTTTGAGCCGCTCGGATGAGCTTTCTTATGCAAGGTCCTGTCATCATTACATTCCGGCATGGAGCTTCGATGGCGACGATACGGCGCAGTCATGAGCTTTGCGAGCTTGCGTTTTGCAAGGTTTGTGTAATTTCTGGCTGCGAGAACTGTCACCTCTAGCACCTCTGGGATCACGTCATCTTTGTCGCGGCAGATCTCGAGATGACGCGATCGGGACAATTTCAAGTCGCGCAAGTCGAAAGTCGCAGATCGCAATTTCATTATCCGACATCACAAAGCAACGGTTGTCCCAAAGTACAAGACAATAACTGTTAGCCGAAATGCTTCCTCGGAATAAAGAACGCAAGGTGAGTGACGGAGAGGGCTCCGTTACTAGGGACGCGGCACTGAGCAAGAACGTCGCTTGGCATGTTCGAACAGTTGCCTTCAAGAGCACCTTCCATACAATCAAATGCCACTCGCCGGCCACCTTCCGAAGCCATAGATGACACGCCCTTCGATGACCACCCGGTGGACCACGGCGATCTGCAGCTCCATGCACCGGATCGCAAGATGGCCGGGGAGTCGACGCAGAGGTGGTGGGAGATGAGCTTGGTGCTAAAGAACACCGGGAGCGTAGCTAGAGATCATCTGGCTTCGGAGCGGACATTTTTGGCCTGGATGAGGACGAGTGTTTCGTTGGCTATGGCCGGTGTGGGTGAGTGGAAAGTCGGATTGACGATCGCGAGGGATATTTCGATCTTGAACAGGTATTTAACGACCCGCTTTCTTTCCGCAGCCGTCGCTCAGCTATTCAGACTCTCCAAGCCCGCTCGTCCCCCACTTCAACTCCCCTCAGACGCCGCCGTTGACCCTACATCCTCCAACGCGGACGCTCAACGGCGTCTACTCGAGACCCTCGATGCCTACTATTCCGCCTTGACGTACGACCTGGAGACGAGTAACCGGAATCGACGATTCGCTAAACCCCTTGGGGGGTTGTTGATTGCTACGGGGTTGATCACCATGTTGATCGGTCAGTATTACATCCTCCTTCCCTCTTCCCCCTCCGTAGATCGGGAGCTTATCCCCTTTCCTTGTCTCGTCAATGCATCCATCTGCTCGAATCCCATTCAGGCATGTATCGATATTTTCTGACGCAACACCTCTTGACAAGAGACCAATACTCGGCGACCCGTACTCCCGTATTCTTTATCTCGGCGCTCACGGGGAGTATCATGATCGTCATCTTTGGATGCCTTTTGGGGAGCGCTCGATAAAGGGCCACAACAGGTCGGTTTTGAACGGGAAGAGGAGGAAACCTCTGACGGGGGTTGGATTACCTTCGAGGGAGAGGACGGACTGTTTATCCCTCTTCCCAAGACGTTCCGCACCGTCTGGTCCGACCAATACACTGGCGTTAGCGAGTCCGCTTCAGGTTGCCAACACCCGGATAGACCACACGCCAGGAACTGGAATCGGCGGATATCCGGCATCTCAGGACATGGGAAAGGTCGTCATCGTCTGCCACGCTTTCGTTGGCTGTTTACCGACACGCATCCCGCTGGCAGCATCACTGGAGATCTCGGGAAATGGTGGATCATAAGATCGCCTTGACACAAGCGCATCATAGCAAATGGTCGGAGGATGACACGGAGGACAGGCATTTCATCGTTGCGGAACAGAGTGCCTACGACAAGCTGGGCTTCGAGGGCAGATGGATATCATCTTTTCTTCATCGTCTCAATTGTATGACCTCTGGTTTCGGGCCGGATTGCTCGTGATCAGTCGAAAGCGAGGACAAGAGGAGCTTCGTATATAAAGGCGAGATGCACGTCAAGCGAAGACAAAGGGAGATACATCTGGGCATATTGTAGCGTATTATGAACTTAGCATGTGGCAGTGAGGACATGACTGTGAATTCTGATGACAAGGACGATCGACATGGCGAGTAGCGAGTAGCTAGTAGATTAGGCCATCTTTGCACCGCGGATCTTCGGGCCAAGTCCAGGGTTATCTATAGAACCCATATCCACCCGGAACCTGAAACGGATGTATTCACGGAAATATCGATCGGGGCCTCTGCTAGCTGCTGGTAAGCTGGTAACTAGCATTCCCCTCAGACCTGGACATCCGTCTATATCGTCTATACGATCTATACTGATACTCCAGTTTTCGGCATAACAGCGCGGGTTCCTGATCACAGAATGTCCGCCGCTGAGATGGACAAAGACCTCGACATCAAGCGTACAGGCGTTCCCGAGTACGTCCACGTCCGCTAGCTGGCTCGGTGATATCCGAACGAGACGTGAGCCTGAATCGTGGTTCAAATCAGACCTTCGACCCCGCCGGCGGTGCTGTATTCTTCAGCGGACGATGGAGTTCCTGAAATCTCGGATAGAACTTCAGACAAAGCTGCGCTATTCGCCAACCCTATTCCCTTAACAGGCGAGCGCAAGACTACGACGAGAAGAGAAATTTGGGTAGGGGGCTTGACCAGCTGGAAGTCTTCGTATCGCATGCTCATTTATCAATCTGGGTCATCGGGTCAGGCTTGGTATGCATACTATTGCGGCAATAGTGGTCTAGGACCTTTCAAGTAAGCCTGGTATTGATCGGCATCCTGCCGATTCGAGTCATTGAATGTAATCTGCTATCTTTTAGCTTCGCGATCTCCGCTTGGCAGAATCTTCGTATGCTCATTCCATAAATCAGCCGAGCTAGTAATCTCAACACTAAAGCTGTGTTTTGTGACAGTGTACCAGGCTGGATGGGACCCCGCTTTTCCCGCTCGATCGGTGCCATGTGGAGATGGTGGTAAGCCCGATCCAGCTGCAGCAGTATGATGCTTTGGGGCTCATCGTCCTATGCAACAGGCTGCGTGATCAATGCATTCGGTAGCACCCGAACCAGTAAGCCGTTCTCAGTCGCATTTGCATGATCATCTGTGATTGATGGCTTCTCGAATCGCCTTAGTCAACTCTACTGTTCTCATTACGAACGGTCTATCCTTCGCAATCCAAGCTGCTCTCTTCCTGGTTATCGGGAGTTTTGCTGACTATGGCCGCTGGAGACCCTATATCACGATAGTCTTTACAATCTTGACATGGGCAGTCAGCTTCGCCTGGCTAGGTGTTCAGTCACCCGAAAAGTCAGCCCTTGCGATCGCGACCTCGTATTCCGTGTGACTGACATGGGTCACCCGCAGGTGGCAGATCGGAACCGGGCTATATATCGTTGGTTTGATCGGCTACCAATTTTCTTTGACCTTCTGGACTGCAGCTTTCCCGGGACTAGCAAGAGACTTGCCGGAATTGAAGGAGAGCGAAGAGAAATTGAAGACTGGCGAGACTGAGTAGGTTTGTGCTCAGAACTGTCTAAGATGATTCAAGCTGAAGAATGTTCATTGTCTCGATAGCCAAAAATCACATGACGAGCTCGATATGCTCGCTCGAAACCGCTTGTCAAATGTGTCCTTCTTCGTCTGCTCGGCTGGCGAACTCGTCATCCTGGCCGTTCTGGCCGGTATTCTGGTTGGTATACACGCGGACAGAGATACGGAGAGCAATACTAGGGCTTTCAGTATCGTCTGCGCCTATAGTGCTGGAGTTTGGAGTAAGTTTTCAAGCGCAACAATGACTGTCAGACCGCAATTAACTCGTTCGATGTCAAATAGTGCTTGTTGGGATCCCTTGGTTCTTCATCGAGCAGCATCGACCAGGAGCACAGCTGCCACCCGGTACCTCGTACATAACGATTCCGTAAGAGGCTTCTATACGTCTATTTCGAGCGGGACCATGCTTATACCTACCTGCTGCCGCAAAGTTTCAAGCAAATCTATCACGCTTTCCGGTTGTGTTTGCGTTTAAAGCAGACTTTCATCTACCTGGTGAGACTTGTTGACGATCGTCCAGCGGTTCGAAAGTTAATCATGTTGGTTTATAGTTGGCATTCTTCTTACTCTCGGATACTCTCAATACTATAGGTATGTCCGATTTTAAGCTGTTGCGATCATCCTCTTGAGCTGATGCCAACAATACTGCTTATAGTTACGGGTAGGGTAACAACCATTAAAGGTTCCGGTCCGATTCCTTCTAATAGATTTATTTTGTGGTACAGTCATTGCTACTCTACAAAACGAGATTGTTAGCTACAATACACAGACCTTGAATTAGTGCGTTCTTTGCGGCAAACACCAGTTGACCAGTTAACGAATTGAAACGCCTCGATGTAGCCTCCTCATAGATGGGATCGCGGCGCAAGCTCTAGGCATTGGAGCGTTTTGGGTGGTGCAGCGACGTTTCAAAATCAAAACGAAAACCATGTTGATGTTTGTGAGCACAAAAGCAATTTCAGAACCCGTTGCGAGTCACTGATATTGGAACCCTACACAGAACGCATTCTGGACTCTGGTGCTTGCCGCTTGGGGATGTGTCGGTATAACCCAAACCAAGCTTGGATTTCACAACGTATGGGAAGTCTGGGCGTATCAGGCCTTTTATGGAGTAGGTCTTTGATCGGAACGGGGCGCGCCGACCAGTGACTAACGAGGATGCTATGCTTCTATAGGTATTCGTATGTCCCTGGTATGCGTTATCGCAGACGATGATCTCCGAGGTCGTTCCACGGGGCAAGGAGTTTCTTTTCTTCGCTCTCTTCTCTATCATCGGCAAAACATCCTCCTTCGTCGGTCCTTTCGTATCGAGCGCAATTATTGATGATTCAGGCAACACGAATATGCCCTTCGTCTTCCTGCTCGGTCTCGGCATCGTTGCCGTCATCATCCTCTACTTTGTAGACGTGGAGAAATCGAGGGTCGAGTGTAGGAAGTATCTCGATGGGGAGGCTAGCAGGATTTACGGGTTTGAACCGAGTGATGCGGGGAGTTATAGTATGGAATAGGCAGTTGTATGCGAGGATCTGAAACTAGGTCAATATGGTAAAGATAAACAGGCGCAACTGCTTGAATGCACAACCGTTGTAGCAAGCTTCGTATAAGATGAACGAGTATAGATATCGATGCGAAAAAGCTGCCTAGACCGACTTATTCCGCAAGTATTCCTGCAACGACCTAAAAGCGGTGCAGTGTCTACCACGGTCGCTCATGTGCACCGGGTCCAGAATGACAAGATGCTCGTCCACTATCGTACTATATTGGGCTGCTCATTTCTCCAGCCTCGATCGCATGTACTCATAATCCGTGCATACCGCAGCGAAGATGCCGTGCAAGAGATAAAGGTATCACCGCCGTCTTCGGTGGGACACTGTTCAGGCGGTGTGACCGGTTTTTAACGCTGCAATTTTACGTATCAGCGCAAGTAGCAGCTTGCCAGTATACCCGTTGAGAGATACTAGCTTCGAGGCAAGTCTTGTGATTCCACTGCCTTAGGCGTCGTAGCGGTTTCAGCTCCATGCGTCTTTGAAACGCTCGGTAAAATGTTCGTCAACAAGGGGAAGAGATTCCGTGTCTCTCGTTGTCACCTCGGGTACGGAGGACAGATGCAGGGTGGGTGCAGAAATCTTTCCAAGCGAGGGAGCCATTCCGTCCTTGCGTGGGTTGCGTTTTGCATCCTCGAGAACCCCCTCGCCTGCTGTTCCTCTTGGCGTAAATTATTCCGCTCGCGTCTCTCCCTGTGCCTCGGTAGGTGGGGCTGATGTCTGAACCGGACGAGGGCGACGGACCGAGCACTGTAGCAACAGGCAGGCCTCATGATCTCATCGACGATCATTATTCTTCGTACAAATTTCAGTCAGGTGAACGTGTTTCCTCCGCGGATAGAACGTCCTCTTTGCATAACCATCATAGATCATAAAGCTGTCTGCCTCGTCCTACTCCGGTATCAAAGCTCGACTAAACCCTGCAGTAGCGCAGTAGGGTCGTACACGAACGTTCGCGGCAAACTCCGGGAGGAGGAGATACTGGTTATACTGGAAGGATAAGCCTTTGAGATCGTTACCTGCTCGTCAACCATAATACGTCCAGCCACGAGAAGATTTCTGGGTTACACGGCGACATGAGCCATCCTTCAAATCCGACGCCCTCCGATTACCTCGCCCTGGCGTCTAAGACGCTCGATCGTCAAGGGTCGATACCGCGAGAATCCTCCGAGAGGCTAGACGAGTCGTACGGCTACCTATTTACCGGCCTCGCTCTCCTCTTGCCCGTTCTCCAGTCGCACACTCCTTCCGATAACTGCTCTCAGCGGGACGATGGTGCTGGCCGATTTGGAGTTGGCGGGCTGGTCATCGGCACAAGGAAGAAGAGGGACAAGAAGGGCAAGGGCAGAATGGTAGAAGAACCGACGTGTATGAATCCCGGATTGACGGGTGGAGACATGGTCGTGCTGGTAAGTCTGGCCTGTTTCACACTCTGAGATGAAACCCTTCGCTTATGATCGTGTGATTTCTACACCAAACCTTCCTTTGCTGATCTGAAACGACTTCTTTCTTGATCGCTTGCGTATAAAAATGACATCACCGCCGGATACGACCGTGTTCCCCCCGTCGTGTCTCTTTCGTGTCTCATCATCGAATCATCGATCAACAACACCGCAACATCCCTTTGATCGTCGCATCCTCATCAAACCTTGAACATTCATGTGGTGAACAACTCTACCAACATCGGGGCCTCGAACAGTTCCGACTTGTATGCCTCCTCGCTCAAGAGTACCAAAGCCGCAATATCTCTCGGTTCGACGGAACTCTCTTCAGCTTATCCCCTGCCAAACTCTACGCCCCGATAACAACGACGAATAGTTCCAAATCGATACATTCGTGGTCACACGACCCCATCCTACCTCTGAGCTCGTCGACAACCGAGACCGGGACAGGAACCGGGTTGACAGCCTTTCAGGTTGGAGCAGAGCTGGCGAAAGCCTTCAAGGTGGCCTTGGAACGGTTGATGGACCTGGACATCGCTTTCCCTTGTCTACAAGAATCGATCGAAGACGAGGTCGAGCTGCTAACAGGTCAAGCACACGAGGTCGAGCTCGAACGGGGAGACTTGGTCAAAGGTTGTCTGGCATTGTGTCTCTACATCGTGAGTTCATAATCAGTCAGGGTTTGACTTTGTCAGGCTTGCATAATTTGGTGCTGATGATAGTCCTCGAACCGCTCCGTTCGCAGCTCTGCAAAACTCAGCCCTCATCAGACATTTCGTTCTATACGCTCCAGCTGCAAGAACTCTACCCAGTCTGCCTGAAAAGCGCAGATACGATCTTAGACTCGTTATTCGCCGAGTCTCCGATCGTGCATCAAGATTCTGGACCATCTACCCCCGTTTCGCCAATCTCGACCAATCACCCTCGGCTACGATATCGGGCTCGGCAAGATCCGGGCTCCCCTGCATCTTCTTCCTCTCGTCTCCCTCGGAATCATCACCCCCACAATCACAACGACCGGTCTAGTCTGGCCTCACGAACACACTCACATTCTGCTGCGAGGAAACCCATCTTCCTTCCCTCCCGTCCGAGCATGATCTCGATGTTCTCCACCGAATCTAACGGAACGACAGCCGGGCGGAGTTTCATGTCCTACTCGGGCTCGATCAGGTCGGTAACGACGATGACGGCCCGGGACGGGTTCTTGACGAAGTCTACGGCTAGTCTTCCTCAACTCTCGCTCTCGCAGCAGGCGGTCCACGAATCCGGAAGTAGGGATCCTGAATCAGATTCCCAGCCCCGTCCCGAGTTTTCCACTTTGGGCCCTAGGAGGAACTCGAGAATGAGGAGCATGATCGATCTGCCCAAAGCGGGCAAGGCGAGCGGGTTGTCCATCGCTGAAGAGAGGTTGAGGCGGTATCAACGCAATGCAGCTATCGAGGCTCAATATGCATCAGGTGGATATGGACAGCATACAAGAGCTAGGACGACGACTGGAGCCCTAGAGACAACGCCTCTCAATTCGGGCAAAACCGGGTCCGGGCCGGGGGAAAAGGGATGGTTCTCGAGCTTCAATTTTGGGACGAGGCGGTTTAACGGTCGGACAGGTTCGGAGAGACGGGCTGATAGGGAGCACGTACGGCCGTTCACCATGCCGTCAGATGAAGATGAACATTTGTTGGTTCATGATGCTGTCGACAAGGAGGAGGAGGTGTTAGGGAAACGCTTTCCAAATAATCAGCCGGGTTTCAAGCAAGATCTGGAGAGCGTCTACGAGAGCGAGCCGGGATACAAACAGCCTCTACCGCAAACACCCGCCGCCACCCCTGCGTCGAACAGACAACTCCCTCTAGTCGTCTCTCCCTCCAGCTCTGATCTGGCCACGAATAACGACCTCGGACAGGAAGACGGAAAGTCTCCACGTCCGCTCGTACCGAAACGGGCACTCCGAGCGTTCGAGGATGAATCAGATCCTCCTCTGGCGCCCATGGACGCGAGGTTGTTGGATGCCGAGATGAAGAGCACCATGACGCAAAAGGTCGTCTGTGCTGTATGCCACGCCAAGGGCGTCAATTTCCCTAGTTGTCGAAAGTGAGTTGCAAGGGGGTCGTGACTTGGAAGGATCGACTTGTTGACATTCGTTTCTCGATCAGGTGTGGCGATACGTTCTGTTCGAGAGAATGCCGGGTTGGGATGGCGGCGGGAGGAGATGGCAAGAAGTGAGCCTATACGGGACCGAGTTTCATACCGCAGTCGATAGCTTATGGAATTAACGTTTGCTTGGCCCAGACACGTGTGCGGTCTCCTCGAAACACGCTTGCTAGCGAGGGCAGCTCAGTCTCCCAATGGAAATTTACTGCAAGTTGCATTGTTCATGTTGGTCTGTGCTGCTCGCATCAGCTGATTCTAGAACACTTGTCAGGCCGTCCCCGCCCACCGTGAAACCCGTCAAGAGGGTCCTGATCACCTGAGAGAGCGTTGTGAACTTATACCCTTATACCTCAAACAATCACGCATTTATCTGACGCCCGTCTGAATGTCGGCTTTGTATATCTTGTAGCTTGTATGCATCGAATACACGAACGCCCGTACCGCAGATTCGCCGAGATCGTTTATTCGTCAGAGATGCCGTAAGGTTGGAGGTCGCTTGCGATCGCTTGGACGAACGCAATGTACGCCAGTTCGAAATTCGTTTCGCTTACCGAATTTATTCAAAGCTTCCCACATTGCTACTCTTTCAACCTCGAGCAACCTCAGACAATAAAATGTCTGTGCTTTTCACTTCAGGTCGTGCGAGCTTGACTCTCTGGAGGGCGACAGTACAGCGTGCGCCTTGCCCGGCGTCCAGCTCGATTGTCGCTACTCGACCGCTACCCCAGGCCCCTTCGACCAGCTCGAGCTTGACATGCATTCGGGCGTATGCCAAAAAGTCCAAGAAGGGCAAGGGTAGAGATGATGACGATGATGTCGGGACGACCGTGATCAAGACCAAGGGCAAAGCAAGCTCGAAGAGCGGCGTCTCGATGTCGGCGAGCAAAAAGTCCAAGGGAGACTTGATCGCTGGAGAGGAACCTATCGATCTAGGGGACGTCGATGCTGTTGACGCCCATGACGAGGCTCTGGTCGACAAGATGAAGACAAAGATGGAAAAGACCGTCAGTTGGTGTCAGGGGATCGTATTTGACGGTGTCGAGCGAGGCTCGGGGAGGGTCAGCCCAGGTGAGCATCTGTATTGACAGATACCGCACAGGTTATCAGATCTCATGAAAGAATATCTTTGCTACCTGTCAGCTATTCTGGATTCCGTTCGGGTACCGCTCCCAGACTACCCCTCGCCGGAGCCCATCGTCAACATAGCGAGTATTACTGTTCGACAAAATGCGCTTTGGGTCGAGGTCTATGACGAAGGCGTGAGTCGCGCCAGCTCACTCTCTGATGGATAACAATGCTCATGAATAGTACGGCCTCCCGCTTTCGTAGAGCCTGAAACACATCGACTCGGCCATCCAGAAGGCCAATCTTCCCGGTATCAGTCCTATCAAGCACGACAAGCTGAGCTTGCGGATACCGGTGTCGAGGTGAGCTTCCAGCAGGCCGTCGTCATCGTCTCCCGTGAGGAGCTCCGCTAACAAAGTCTCTTTTCACAAAAAGGCCTACGGCCGACACTCGAACAGCTATCATCAAGCACATGAGCGATACGGCCGAACAGGCGAAACAGCAAGTGAGGATCGCTCGGACAGACGCTTTGAAGGGGATCAAGCACAAGAACGGGAAGAACAGCCCGAGCGGGAAAGAGGTAAGTCGTCTTTACTTGTCTTTACGTGCTGTGGATGGGAGGGCTGATGGGTCTCCGTGCGCGATCAATAGGCTCAGCAGTTGACTGACAAGTATACGAGCGAGATCGATGGTCTGATCACAACGGCCAAGAAAGAGCTTGCCAAGGCATGATATGCGTGCGATATATGCATATATCCGCACAACCTGTACCACTCGGTGTACATCGGTGATTTTGACACTAGCCTGGCCGAACGGGTTGGCTGGTCGTCTCGCGATCCTGTGTGGGCGAGCCCTTAATTGGCCACTATGATATCCACTATGTCCGGTCGCTGTTTAGATGAAAGCAGCGTCGTCGGTCTGCATCCAGACTCTCTCCAAGCCTCGTTATGGCTTTGACGACTTGTCGTTCGATGGTCCGATATGAAATTTGCGTGGGTCATGTCGGTCGGGTCCGGATGAGTAATCACGCCATTTCCCTTTCGCGGGGGGTTGAATGCATGACCAAGTAGGAAAGTCGATCAACACTATCCTCGACCTCCTGCTCATCGCTGCCGTCCGTTTCTTTGTTTGCACGGTCATCCTGTCCATTCATAGCCTCGCCGACATGACCTCCCAACTGCCCGACTGGCCGCCCTCGTTCACCCAGGAGCAGACCTCACACCTCTTGCTCCTCGCGACGACCTATGCGCTCGGACACGGCTTCACCCTCCTTCCCCTGCACACCCCTCAGACCGGCCCGGTCCCCACTTTATCGATCCCTGCTCCCTTATCACTCTGTCCAAGTCCGTTTCCCAAGGACCTGTACGAGTTGGCCGTCAAGATCCAACCCGCTTATAATGCTCTATACGTCAATGTCACGAGGGACTGGGTGTTCTTGGACAAGGTCATGGGTGGGGTCGTCAGCAAGGTCGACGAGTTTCAGGGGGAGCTATGGAGGGCTTGGAAGTCTTGCCGGGAAGAGCTCATTCAGGTGGGTGTCCTTGTGGCATCAACGCGAGACCCTAGCCAAATGCTCAGTTGACGCCGACATGTCCGCTTCGTTAAACTCTTGTCTCAGCCCCTCCACCTAGGTCTCTTTCGATCAGACTACCTCCTACACAGCTCGGCTTCGGATCCGTCGACGCCCTTGGAACTGAAACAGGTGGAATTCAATACGATCTCTTCGAGCTTTGGAGCATTGAGCCAGTTGGCTGGGGACCTACATCGGTACGTTGAGCACTTCCCAAATTCCTGCTGCTTTGTCTCATGGCATTAGGCTGTTTTGTACATCAGACTAATCACCTATCCCCGTTTTCTGCAGCTACTTGGCTCTATCTACCAACTACTTTCAAGCCTCTCCCTTCCTGATCAACCCCGACCCGTCCCATTTCCCTCCGAACGACGCCCTCAAGGCGCTCGTCCAGGGTCTAGCAGACGGCTGGAAAGCTTACGGATCAAAGCAGGCTAGGGTGTTGTTCGTCGTACAAGAAGGGGAGAGGAACGTGTTTGATCAGAGGTGGCTGGAGTGGGAGCTGTTGGAAAAGTCAGTAACGCAATGGGGGTCGCGATCGAGATCAAGCGGAAAGAGTGATTTTGATATTCAATCGTTTTCGGCTCTTGTGATTTCGCGGACGATCCCATTAGACACGGGATCAAGGTCGTCCGCCAGACGTTCAAAGACCTCTCTATCGTCCCCTCCCTCGCCTCGGACGATTCATCACGACGGCTGTTCCTCCCCGACCCGCTCTCATCCACGTCCGACCCGATCGAGATCGCCGTCATCTACTATCGAGCCGGGTACACGCCTACGGACTATACGTCCGCTGCAGACTGGACGACCCGGATCGCCCTGGAACGCAGTCGGGCCATCAAGTGTCCCAGCTTGGCACTCCAGTTGGCAGGGGCCAAAAAGGTACAACAGGTCTTGAGCGAACCGGGCATGGTAGAGAGGTACCTCCCTTCGTTTCAAGGATGGACGGACGAAGATGCAGAGGGGTTGAGAAGGACGTTCACGACGCTCTATCCCATGGACGACGAGTCCGAGTTGGGAAGACACGCGCAAAAGTTGGCGTTAGAATCTCCGGAAGGCTATGTCCTCAAACCTCAGCGAGAAGGAGGCGGGAACAACATCTACCGGACCGACATCCCCCCGTTCTTGCGGGACTTGGCTGCTCAACCCTTGGCCCCGGGTGAACCTCCGAAAAAGGAAGGATACATCCTGATGAGCCTGATCGAACCCCCGCTCGGTCTGAAAAACCTGTTGGTCAAGGGAGGCCAGGCCGAGGTGAAAGAGGGCGAGGTGGTGAGCGAGTTGGGCGTCTATGGGGTCGTGCTGTTTGACGAGGCGGAGACGAGGGTGAATAGGGGTGCGGGGACATTGTTGAGGACGAAGGGGAGGGAGAGCGATGAGGGTGGGGTGGCGGTGGGGTACTCCGTGGTGGATAGTCCGGTGTTGGTTTGAGGCGGCCTGGAATTGATTCGAGGATGCAGACGCAGGGAATGGTTGTACGAGGATCGCGCGCTCGTGCAATGACTGGACTATTGTAGATGGGAGATACATTCGGCATTATTATTATTGATGAAACGTGATTAAAGGTATCACGCCATTGCCAACCGCGGCTTATGATCCGCGGTGCGCACGAATCTCTCTCTTCTGTCGTTATCTCGCCACTTTGAGAGAGTCGCCGCAGTGCCGGAGATGACCGAACGCCGTCCCTTCCTCGGGCTAGGCTGGGGTATTACCGGAAGTAGCCTCGAGTGAGTGGCGAGTCATTTGCATCCGCATCACACACGCTGAGGTGATGGATCGGGAGGGTCACGGCGCTGACGCAACCATCGTCGTCCGTACTCGTATCAAAGGGGGTGAGAGGGAGGTTATATAACAACCACCATCAACAACCATCAACAACCATCACACATTCAATCCAACACAACACATCGTACCACCACAATGAAACCATCATCGATCCTCTCCATCCCCGCGCTCATCGCGCTCCTCCCGGCCATCGCCGCCCTGCCCACCACCACCCCGCACCTCGCCCCCTTGTCTTCCCAGGGAGAGATCATCCCGGACAAGTACATCGTCGTCCTCAAGAAGGGCGTCGAGTTCGGGTCGATCCAGGCTCATCTGGATGTCGTCCAACAGGCTCATAGCGAGAGTGTGAGTGGAGTTTGGTGATTTGGCGATCATATCGAGCTGCTGTAGCTTGTGTGACATCATATACCGCTTTCTGATCATTCCGCTGACTCGATTCGACTCGACATCACCCTGCCTTTACCCTCGCCTTTGTTTGCCTCTCGCAGCTCCTCTCCTCGCTCGATGGCATCACCAAGATCTTCCAACCCACCACTCACTCCCAACATGGGTTCTACGGATACGCCGGGCAGTTCTCCCAGGCCACCTTGGACTTGATCAGGTCTAGCCCCGAGGTAGAGTACGTCGAGCACGACCAGGTCGTCAGGCTCGATTTCGGGACCGAGTCGTTCGAATCTCAGCCTCGAGGTCACGTCGAGAACAACTTGGAGAGCCTCGCCCAGGTCACTCGGGCGGAGGAGGACTTGATGATCGCCTCGGACGGGTACAACATTACGCACCAACGTTCCGCCCCCTGGGGTCTCTCTCGAATCTCCCACCGACCTCATCTCACCCTGTCCACCTTGATGCGATACGATTACTCTACCGCCTCGCTCTCCACTTCGCACGACCCTCAGGGCGTAGACGTCTACGTCGTCGATACGGGTATCAACGTCGCCCACGTAGAGTTCCAGGGGCGGGCCAAGTGGGGCAAGACGATCCCCTCGGGAAGCAAGGATTACGACGGTAACGGTCACGGATCGCACTGCGCGGGAACGATCGGCAGTCGGGCTTATGGAGTCGACAAGGGGGTCAACTTGTGGGCCGTCAAGGTGTTGAGCGACCAGGGAAGTGGGACTTTGAGTGATGTCGTCTCGGGTATCTCGTAAGTCGCTTTACATTCGTGATTCGAGACATGGTTTCAACGCGGCTGACATTTACGCTCCTGCAGGTGGGCCGCTGAACACGCCGAACAGAGGGCCAAGGCTGCCGAGGCCGAACTCGCCGCTACTGGCAAGACCGCTTACAAGGGAGCTGGTGAGTGTCGTCGCGCAAACTCCCTCACAAAACAAAGCCTCCCCAAGCCATCACATCAAGCTGACCCGCGATTCGATCCTTTCCAGTCATCTCGATGTCTCTCGGAGGAGGCAAGTCCGCTGCCACAGACGACGCTGTCGATGCGGCCACTCAAGTCGCCCTCGTCGCCGTCGCTGCCGGTAACGACAACAAGGACGCCTGTGATTACTCCCCGGCTAGGGCCAAGAAGGCGATCACCGTCGGTGCCTCGACTTTGGGCGACGAGAGGGCTTACTTCAGGTGGGTCTGAACGTTCTCGGGCGATTCTTGGGTGGTCGGTCTGACGAGGTGTCATTTTATAGCAACCTTGGCAAGTGTGTCGACATCTTTGCGCCTGGTTTGAACATCTTGTCGGTCTGGACCAACGGAAACATGACTAGCAACACCATTTCGGGAACCTCGATGGCTACCCCTCACGTGAGTCGCCGAGATGACGTGGCGTCTCGCTAACGTCTCGACTGACATTGCTCCTCGCGACCCTGCAGATCGCCGGTCTCGGTGCCTACCTCCTCAGCGTCTACGGAACCGAGACCTTGCCCTACATGACCGCTCGAGAGCTCGCCAAGCTGGACAAGATCGCCGGGTCCACCCTCTCCGAATCGGCCTTGATCGAGACCATCCTCGCCCAGACCCCCGCTGCGTCCATCCAATCGGTCGCCTCGTCGTCCTCGTCGAGCGTCTACTCGGTCGTCTACTCGGCCATGCCCCGACTCGCTCAGGCCTTGTTCCCCGCGCCCGCTACCCAGTTGGAGTCGGTCGCCCCTATCGACAAGGTCATCACCACCATCAAGCCCAACCAGCTCAAGGGATTGTTGATCAGCTTGTCCAGCAAGGGACTCTTGTCCGGCGTCGGAGAGGGTAGCCCCAACTTGTTGGCCTTTAACAATGCTACCAGCGTTCCTTCCAAGAAGAACTAGACGGCGACGAGTCGGTCGTCGATTTGCCTACAGGCGGATCGTCTGGTTTGACGTGTGGATGGATACCTTCGGGTCGTCTTCCGGTTCTTATATCTCAGTGTAACACCATTCTTCTTCACGGGACGCTTTCGCTCCCCCTCTCATTTGGTCTCAGTATCCGCTAGTCTGATGTAACAAGTAAACACACGAAAGAAAGTTTTTGTCAATGATTGTGATATGTTTATACCTATGCCTCGATCGTCCCGAGTGCGATTACATAGTTCGGGCCGGACCTAAGACGTCTCAATCGACCTTGAGGCAAGCTACCTCCCCTCGAAGATAGAGCGCCACCTCTGCTTTTTCCGACAATTGACAATGACCTCAATCCTACCCAAATCCATTACTGCCACACAAAGTGCAAACCTCAACAACCCAAAGATTGGTACCAACTGGTTGGGGCTATGATCATGGATACAAGGGCTTCTACTGGTACCTTGGACTACCTTGTCTTGATCTGCTTGTACAATGAATTCTTCGGTTGTCCTCTTACATAAATTAACTATTTATCGATGCAAATATCTACATCGATCATCAGTGGAACCTCAAGCCTTCTCGAATCAACTCAGATGCTAGATGAGCTCAGTACACTCAATGCCAGCCCATGCGGAGAGGATAAATGAAGCTATTGACTCGAGCCTGTCAACTCGAGGCCTGCTGGCAGACGATCCAAGAGACAGCCGACCCGTTCTGGGCACTAGAACCGTTGCGGGCGCGGTCATCCGCAGACAGTATGCATCGTTTGTCAAGAAGATTGGGGGGAAAGAGATTGAAGATCATTTGGCAGCAATTCAATCAATGGCGCGATTGCCCACACGTCAGGAAGGGCATTGAACAAGCTGTGATCTCTAAGCTTGGTAAAGACATCAAGCCAGTACAGATGGTGTTGATATCTGTCGCTTTGTCTCGATTGGGCCTAAGCGATGAATACAGCAAATCTGGACCCCATAAAAGTGCTTCAGATGGAAATAACCATATTACGATTCACCTTGCTTTGGGGCCACAACACATCAATACACCAGGAAAATTGCAATTGCAGATTCAAGCTGTACAAGATGCACAGGACATGGGCAAGTAGGCAAGATAAACCTGAACATCAAAGGCCACTCCCGCCCTTTCTTCACCCTAGCTTTGGTCGACAATAGTTCCGTCTTCCTAGACCCGTTGAGCGCAAATGCCACAACCCGTCTCACACCATCGATCAAGGAGGAAGATAGGTATAAATCAAAATTCATTTGTTACATATATCCTACGAGCCCGGTCATACGAATCTCGCTTCATGCGGTGGCGGGGGATTGCTGACGGAAAGATTGCTAACAGCTCGTTCGAGCCCGTGCATCGGGCCTGGGGCTGAAGGCGCACCACCCAACGGCTGCTGCTGGTGCTGGACTACACTTCCCTGGCTCGCATGCGCTTGATGAGCAGCCGGATGCATGTACGGCGACATCGATGGATGGACTGCAGGGCTGCCGCCGTGCATCGGTGATGGCGATCCGTACGGCTGTACCGACTCTCGTCCGCCCAACCCTGGCGAGGTCCCGTAAGGTTCATTCTGTCCCGGAGCCGAAGCATATGGGACGGGTGCGGAACCCTCCTGAGACACCTGGATAGCAGGCTTGGGAGCGATCGGTGGTGGTCCGCTGGTCTGGCGCTCGAGCGGCAGATACGAGGAGGACGCGTTCTGTTGCTGAGGTTGTCCGGCGAACGATGGTGCGGACGGTCCCGCGCCTGCGGGGCTGTACGGATTTGGCATGGAGTCTTCGTTTGCGAGTCGCGGATCATATCGCTGTTGAGCCGGTTCTTGGGGAAGGAGTGGCTGAGCGGCAGGTTCTGGAGATCTAGCCAAAGGCAAGTGGGACGTTGAGGTGGATCCGAGAGCCTGGCCCATAGGCTGACCCTGAGCGTCGATCCCATGCCCATATGAGCCGGAGCCCTGACGCATGCCAGGATGGTTCTGCATGGCCGGTACAGTCTGGGCCTGGCCCTGCGCTGGTAGCTGTCCGTGCGCTTGAGCTTGGGCCTGGGCTTGAGCCTGTGCTTGCGCCTGACTAGCATAGTACGCCTGCCACGCAGCTGCGATCTTCTCTCGTTCCGCCTCGCTCTGCCCTGCCATCTGCGCGTCCTGTTGCTGCTGGAGGTGTTGTTGTTGTTGTTGCTGCTGCTGATGTTGCGATTGGTGATGCTGCTGCTGAGGCACCTGTTGATGTTGCGGATGGATCTGACCTTGACCCGGCTGCTGCCCGCTCGCATTCGGATCCGCTACCGCCATGGCCTGCTGATGTTGAGCCAACTGAGCATAATACGCCGCCCAAGCCGCCGCATGTTCGGCCTGTTGACGAGCAACGGGGTCGTCATTCGCAAATCCTTGACCCTGGCCCGGAGCTTGTTGCGATCCGTAGCTGGTCTGACGATGCTGTTGAGGGACTCCCTGTGCTGCGTAAGCTGTGGTAACTCCGGTCGGTTAGCGCGTGGTACCACTTCAACCTGCTTGACGACGTGACATACGGTCTTGACCCGGTTGAGCATAACCGTTTGCCGCCTGTTGTGGCTGGGTCATGACGGCATACTGCCGAGACGCCTTGACAAAGCCCATATGGATATGCTCAAGCTCCGCTATCGAATCAAACAGTCGCAAATTAGCCTCCGCCACGTTCATATCGCCGACTATAAGGCTGAAAAAGGACTCACCTCGTTGATCCGCATACTTTTTCATCAGCGAAACGATCTGGGGTTGCAGTTCGACGACCTTTTGGTACATGTTTTCCAATTCCGGGTCGTCCAACCTGTCACCTCGGGAGGGATCGAGACCGTCAAGCATTCGTTGCAGGTTGACGATCATCCCTGAAACGCGGAGCAGGTTGATGAGAAAAAGTTCTAGCAAGGCTATATGCTCTGAAATCGCTCACCCTGTGCCGCGAAGATCTTTGCCTCTTCCTGAGCCTCTCTCTGTAGTTCCTGTGTCGTCGGATCAGGCAAAGGTTCCTGCTCGAACCCGATTCTTAGCAAAGCCAGTCATGTTGGCACTGAACGTCTATCTATGAATGCGACCTACCACGTAGCTGACGGGAAAGATCCCAATCCTTCCGCCTACAGCCCCCGTATACCACTCGTCGTACATCCTATCGATGACCTTGATGACGTCCCCTTTGTCGAAACTCAACTCGCCCTTTTCGTGGGTGACGAAAGGGTAGATCGCTCGAACCCGAGAAGCCGTGGCTCGGGTGGGCATAGGAGGCGGGGCAGGTTCACGAGCGGGGAATGGGCTGGGCTGCGGGGTGGCGTTCTGAGCAGGACCGGCTGGGGCGTGATGATACGGGATAGCAGAAGAGACTTCGCCGTATCCGTTGGTTTGAGAGGCCGAAGGCCCGGCACTCCCGCTTCCATTGCCGCTACCGCTACCGCTTGGTCCGGCGGTTTGAGCAGGTCGAGAGTTCCTTCCACCTTGATCTTGCTTGGACAGCTCCAGGACTCGCTGCAACTCTGCTTCTTCCTCACGTGCGCGTTTGGTAGCCTGGGAAGAGGCGGTCATCAGCGTAATTTGCGTGCTCGTATCGTCCTGCGAGGACTGACCTCGTCCTCTGAGACTCTCTTCGTTGGCACTTCAAGCGGGACATCTAGCACAACACAGCCGATCATATTAGCCACCACACCTCACTAATTTGAGCAAGTGCCAGACCGTCAACCCCGCTCACTCTTGGTCTTCAACGTCTCGATCAGATCTCCCATGACCCCCTCGGCTTCTCCGCCTTTGAGCCCTTGCCACCAAGTATTGACGTATCCCACCGCCTTGTTCTTGACCTGCGGCACTGTCGTCCGATCGGTAATCAGGCGTTCCATCGCCCCGGTCCATGCTCGGGAGGTGAGTTCAAGGTGGAGGAGTTTGTTGCAGTTCTGGTAGAGCGAGTTGGCGAGCTGTTGGAGCACGCAGGAGGGGAATGGGGTTAGCGTAATGACCCATCTGAGCGCGGGTGAGGAGCGGAGGTGGAGTGGGACTTACTTCGAGTGAGAAGATCTGCACATTGGGATTACGGTGAACTAGCCGTTTCAGGAGAGAGGTGATAACATTCTTGGCTCTGGACACGTAAAAGAAGCGTCAGTTGCGGTCGAAAGAGCTTGGTCGTCGATGCAGGATACGAAATGCGGACCCGGGAGGACTCACCCGACTTCGCCTTCCGCCTGAACCTTGTCACAAATCGTCAGATTGGTATCCCAGTCTTCCGATAGCAGGTCTTCATGAGTCGCCTTGACTGTGAGACGGTGGTATTTGTCAGTAGTCGTTATCAGTCGTTTGCCAAAGGGGCCGATTGCCGAGAAGTGCACCGTCCGGACTCACCGACGAGCTCGTCGTATGGGTTCGTTGGAGCAGCCTTGAACATCGGTGAAGCGAGAAGAGATAGGGCCATGCAATTCAGGGTTCGATGATTCTCTTTGATGAACCAGAGAGGATGATGTACAGCTCGAGTGACAAGCGTTCAATTAGCTCGAGTGTGACACAGCCCAAGGCTAGAGGTTGCCGAGTACGAGTACATCGGGTTTGCGGTTTCCCGCGAGTCTCGGCTCAACCGCATGATGACGAGGCCATATTCACGAGTTGAACTCGAACTCCGTCGGGGATCGCACAACCACCTCGTACCTATCAAAGCTCATCAACCCTGATCACACAAAACATTCCCAATAATCACATCACCGCTGTATTAATCTGAGATAATCAGCCGAGACCGGTAAGTACTACTTCGTCGAGATTGTTCTGGTCGCATATCGGACCTGGCGAAGGCTAATCTGCAGTCGGCCATGCCATACTCGTTCTCCTGTGACACATTCCGGATCTAGATAACATCATCACCATGGCCAAGAGCAAGTCGATGAGAGTTGCTCGGAAACGACGAGTGGTATATGCTAATCGAATCTATGACCGCTTTGTATTTCATCGCCTTCAACCTGGCTCATCATCACGATCGTCGCCGATACTCGCATGTCCACGACCCGGATACCATTGTCGAAACGGTTCAATTCGCCTGATCAGTTCCGAGATCATTCCGTCTGCTTGAAGAGCTGGAGAAGGGAGAGAAGGGGTTGGGAAACAGTAGCACCAGTTATGGTCTCAAGGTGAGCGATCTCAACATGATCTACTGCTCATCACAGTTCGTTCCGCTCTGGCGAAAAGTCTGAAGCGCCGAGACGGGTGCAAGGAATTGAACCTGAGAACTGGCTGCTGACTAGTTGTATGTTGTTGTCTTGCGTCTTCACTGTAGAACCCCGATGACCTCGATATGAAGGAGTGGAACGGGACCATCCTCGGACCTCCTCACGTATGTCATTCCCTCCTTTCGCACCGAGAGGCATTGAAGAAAGACCTACTATCTAAACTTACATCCTAACTCTTGCGTTACATCTCAGACCGCCCACGAGAACCGGATCTACTCGCTCACCCTGTTGGCGGACGCCACCTACCCCGACGCACCCCCTCTGGTCAGGTTTGAGAGCAAGGTCAACCTGACCTGTGTTGATGGACGAGGTATCGTGAGTTTGCTATGGTTTCCACGACCGCTCGCTATCTTCCCGTTACCATTGCAAGGTCACGAGAGGCATGTCCTGACGGGGCTGTTATTGGGATGTCTAGGTCAATGTCGGAAAGCTCGCTGCACTTCAACCTTGGAGACGGGAGTACACGTTGGAATCGGTCTTGACCGCCATCTACCGGTACGTTGCCATCAACCCTTTCCAAAGCAAAGCGAATCAAATCTCACCATTCACGTCATGCACCTCCCGCAGTGAAATGCAACACCCCAACAACAAGAAGACGCCCCAACCGGCAGAGGGTACCGAATTCCCTCCTTTCGACCTGTCCTCTCTGGCCAAAGCCTGATTGACTAGGAGGCAAGGCACGAATGTAGCGACCTTCCCTGACCGGAATTCTGTTGATCGATATATCGTATTATCCCGTTCCTCGTTTGGACCCCATATGACGACCCATGACCATGTACTCGTAGATCTCGGATCACGTGACCGCTTTCCGATATCATCGCGCGTCGCTCGAAAGATGATGTTGTTGCACGGATGGATGGATGACTTGACCAACTTTTGACGCTGTACACTTGCACACTTGTAACAGCCTGTTCTATCTAGCTCTGATCCTAGTCTAGCTATAACAAACAAAATGTCCAACTCTGTCAACGGAACGACGACCACCTCGTCGGGTACCCCCTCGGCTAACCCGTCTAGGTCGAGGTTTGCGAGCGAGTCGGCAATGTCCTTGTTGGTCGACAGTCTCAAAGACCGGATGCTCTTCGCTATTCCTAAGAAAGGTATGCCGGCGAATCCAGAACAGGTTTATGGAGAATCGATGTTGATGTGAAGCTTGTTGAGCGAATGTAGGAAGACTGTTCGAGAAGTGTATCGAGCTGCTCGCAGGTGAGTTTTGGATGCTACTCGCAGCAGCAAACGTGCTTGGCCGACATCCGATGCTGACAACCACCTCGCATCCTCGTCGATACAGGTGCCGATGTCAAATTCAACAGGCAACACCGACTAGATGTAGCGCTCGTCCAGAACCTGCCTATCGCCCTGTGAGTGCAGGTTGTCGGCTGAATAGCTGGAAGTGGACAAGATATGGGCATATAGGGGCTGAGCAACGTGCTGTAACAGCGTCTTCCTGCCAGCTGCCGATATCCCTCGGTTCGTTGCTTTAGGTAACGTGTCTCTGGGAATCACCGGTATGTCGCATCAGGCAAACGATGCCACACTTATGACGGTTACCAATCATCACTTCGCTCGACTTAAATCAGGCCAAGACATGATCGCCGAATCGGGTCACGAACCCGCCATCGAGCAGATCCTTCCTCTCGGATTCGGCAAGTGTGCCTTGCAAGTCCAAGTCCCCGTATCGGGTCACATCCAGTCCGTCGAGGCACTCGCCGGATCCCGGGTGGCTACCAGCTTCGAGGTGCTGGGTGGACGGTATTTCAAGGAGATTGACGAAAAGGTTCAGGCCAGCGCCGAGGGCAAAGGTCGACCGAGTACGACCATCGAGTATGTTGGAGGAAGTGTCGAGGCTGCTTGTGCTCTCGGTATGGCCGATGGGATTGTTGATTTGGTCGGTGAGTAGGATTTGCGGCCCAGGCTAGCCTTACCAAAAGTGCTACTGGCTAAAGAACGCCGTTGACATGCCGACTTGACAGAATCGGGTGACACCATGCGAGCCGCTGGTTTGCATGCTATCGCCACCCTGATGACCTCCGAAGCCGTCCTCATCACCCCTTCGCAAGCCCACCCTTCGTTGACCCCGGAACTGGCTCACATCATTCCCCTCCTCAAGGCCCGTTTCGCCGGTGTGCTCGCTGCCAAGCGTTACGTCCTCGTCAACTACAACGTCCACGAAGACAACTTGCACGAGGCTACCGTTATCACCCCCGGTCGACGGGCTGCCACCGTCTCCAAGCTCGAGTCGGGCGAGGGATGGTTGGCCGTGAGCGCCATGGTGGAGAGGAAGAAGATGGCCGAGACGATGGATCGGTTGAGCGAGACGGGTGCCGAGGATATCCTGATCCTGGCGCTCGACAACTGTCGTGTCTAGGTGTGGGCATGATTGGAAGGTCAACATCTAGACATGAGGCATATATACATAATGATGGCTCGCTCGAGGCTTTGAATGGCAAGCGAAATGAGGTATGGTCTTTTGAATGCAAGAGATACGCGATTTATACAGAAAAACGGGAAGTCTTGGCTACATGATGATGTCGACTAACGATTGCCCATGACAATCAATTCACTACTCATGCTTGACGGCGGCTTCTTCCTTGATCTCCTGCGCCTCTTGCGCCTCATCACCACCCTCATCACCAACCTCATCGCTGCCACCGTCAACACGTTCACCGTCTTGACCGCCCTCTCCGGTCACCTTGTTCAACCTCTCTTCCTCCTCCCGTTCCTCCTGCGCCAACCTCTCCTCTTCCTCCCTCTTTTTCTTCTCCCTAGCTTCCCGTCCTATCTTCTCTCTTTCCAACCTCTCCTTGACACGCTCCCTGTCGGCGTCGATCTCAGCCAACGCTCGTTTCTTTCGAGCAGCCTCGGATTCTTGGGCAGCGAGGATGGTCGCCGAGGCCGTACTGTGGTCGAGCCGGTCCAGAGCTTGAGTGAGCTATAATACAGGAGCTCAGGAATCAGTACCCTTGTTCCTGTTAGATTCTCGACTCCTGATCTGACGTGGACTTACATGCGCCTCCAAGACCTGAACCCCCAACTCTAACCCGTGTTTCATCCCCGGCCTGAGCGGGAAAGGTTCGAGGACGAACGATTGGGTGAAGGAGATTGTGCGGGAACGGAAACCCATCTGTTTGTCGACCCGGCGTTCAGATCGATCGCGGTGGACGACAGTGGAGGTAGATGAGGGTGTCGTGTAGTGTGTTATAAGGTGCATTGTTGATGATCAGTGAGGTCATACTTGAAGCAGCAGATGTTCCCGCAACTCACCGCGACGAGATAGTCCTGCCCCCCCTTGACGTCGAGCACGGTCCGCTTCATCGCGGCGTTGTTGGTCTTGATCTGAGTGAACTTTTGTTCGGTAGGATTTGAGAGCACGTTGTTGGCGATCTTCAACAAGGTCTATTCTTGTCGAGACGTATTTGGTGAGGTGTGTAAAGATGAATCAGCTTCTCATCTAAATGAGGTGATCTGGACTGAACATCAATCCTCGTATTCACCTCGATACAAGTCGCGGCAGAGGTGTAATTGTTCGAACCCATGATATCCCTGGCGACGATCCTTCCCAGTTCGAGCTTACGTTTCCTATCCTCTTCGGGAGAAGGAGGTGTCCATGCTCCGGGGGTCGAGTTGGACGAGGGCTCCTGGGGGGTGCTCGAGAGCGGGCCGTTCCGAGCTCTGGCTTCGATGGCGGCGAGGGCGGCGGCCCTCTTCTCGGTAGCGGTGGGAATTTTTTTGGGAGTAGTTTCTGCCATGGCCAAAGCGAAAGGTGTTCGATGTGAGGAGGTGTAGGTTGTTATAGGTAGACACAGTTGCGACTCGATCTGGTCTTGCACTCTTTCTTGTAGCAACTTTCGTCATCGGTGGTGCTGCATCCCGTCGATCTCACTTCGGGCGTCGCCGATCGACTTTATAAACAACCAACAACCCTGGGGGCGCTCGAGTGATATACAAACGCATCTCTCCTCTCTCTCTCTAGGTCCTCATCCTAGCCTTCCTGTACAGAAGAGCGTACACAGCTACAGACTATAGTCCTCCCTCCTTGACGCTTGTCGATCGTTCCGGCGGGCAGCATGTCTTGGGCAACGTCGAACCAACGGCGCGATTTGTGCGAGCCAAGTAGAAGCGCACTCGCCCTTTTCGTGCGCTTAGCTTCGCTAGGGAGGGGGGTAGGACCTTGAATAGAACCATCCATCAACATCGTCGACGTCCCAGGTTGGACCTATCCTACTTGATCTTCACTTGTGCAGACCTAGTGGGTAACAGGTACACTCGGAGGTCCTGTCATCTTATCCTATCGAATAGACTGGAAACTCAAGAAAGACACGGCATCCTCGGCTCACGTTCAAGATGCCCCGAGTCGGTAAGTCATAAACATCCTCTCGCCCCCTATCTCTTAAACCTCTCTACCATGAACTGAATCCTTCTTCCAATATCCCAACAGTCAAGGGCTCCATGAGCTTCAAGCCGGCTTTCAAGCCCAAGCCGAAGGCCGCAGCGCCAAAACCTCAACCTCGGCAACCCGCCCCGGCTGTTGCGCCTCCTGGAGATGCAGCCGGTCGAGATCAGAATCAAAATCAAGAGAGATCGAGCGAGGCGACGGGCACCATGATAGGACCTGACAGGAATCTACCCACAGGAGACACCATCGAAGTGGCACGATCTACGCGAGGAGGAATGCCTAGCGGGGATACCATCGAGGTCGTCAGGCCGTCTGTGCCTCGATCTAGGATGGCTAGTCCTCCTCCTTCTCTCCTTACCCCGCCTGCCACCCAGACTCAAATGCCAACGCAAGTTGAGGACCGGGCTTACAGTCTACCCCCGTTTGTCCCACCACCCGGACGTGTTCCCGTTATGTTCGAGCGAGACGCTCTGCCTCCGACTCCTGGACCCACTCAGCAAGACTCGCAACCGCAAGCCTCTTCCTCCCGTCCGACTGCTCCTCCCTCTCGCTCGCCTTCTCGATCGCTCTCCCCGCAACCTCAACCTACTTCTGCCTCTACCTCTCGGACCCCTTTCCAACGCTCGCCGGTCTCACGACACTACTCTGAACCCGAAGAAGAACACACTGTCATTCCCGTACCCATCACTATCAAGGCCAACGAATTCCCTCACCGTATGACCGACGATCAGTTGCTTCCTACGCCAGGGTTCGTCTTGCCTAGTCTAAAACAGGTCGGAGGGGGGCCGAGGCATGGACCGCCGGTGAAACCTTTGAGTTCGGGATCGAGTTCGCCCAGAGAGGCGAGGAAGAGCACGAGGACTAGAGGGAGCGGCAAGGGGAAGAGGAGGGAAGGTCCGGGTGAAGGCGATGCGGAGGAGGAAGAGCGGAGTATGGATGATGAAGGGGAAGATTCGGACGATAGCGAAGACGCTTATGACCCTCAAGGGGAAGCGGGGAGGAAAAAGAGGCGAGCTGTCAAGCGGAAAGAGCGGGCTAGGAGCGGGCGAGACGGATCGCAGGAGGAGGGAGTCGAGGAAGATCGAGAGGGTACGGGTGCGGTTGTGGGCGTAGGGAAGAAGAGGAAACGGACGAAGAAGACGGATATGCAAGCGCTTGATCCTAGTCTTGTTGCGGCTGGACAACAGGGTGGCGATAGCGGGACGGACGATGGCACCGAGGACGATGATGAAGACGACGATGAGGAGACGGGAGACAACAGCAGCAATGGCAACAAGAAGAAGACCAAACGCGGAAAGAAGGCACGTAAAGCCAAGCGTCTCCGTGTCAACATCCGCGACGACTTGGACGAAGAGCAGTTGGCCACGCTTCAACCGGGTCAAGCGATCGGAGACGAGATTGACGAGGAGACGATGACCATGGCGGATCTCGCTGCTGGTCCTGGACAGGGGAGGATTTCGGGCAAGGCGATCAAGATTCAACAGGGCAGAGAAGAGATTCAGAGGAGAAAGGAGGAGGAGCAGGAGAGGAGGATCAGGTTTAGGGTGGAAAGGGAGACGAGGATGAGAGGGGTCGGAGGCCAGGCCGCTAAGCAGGCCGCGGCGGCCGAGAACGAGGATCAAACCGAGGGAGCAGAGGGAGAGCAGGCAGATGGCGCTCAGGCGGGAGAAGCGGGCGAGGAGGATCAAGAAGAGGAGGATATCGAGGATTACGACATGAATGAAAAGGGTGATGGGGATGAGAATATGGACGTCGATGGCAACAACGCTGACGCCAATGCTGGAGACCTGGATTTGGAAGAAGACGACGACGACCAAGAATTCATCGTCAACCAGCATGCGAGGGGATTTCTCCAACTCGATGAAAACGGCAATATGATCGTCAACACCCAGTTGAACAGGCAGCAGATCTTGAACGAGTCGATGAACGAGGGCAACGTCTTTGAAGACAATGACGATCTCAAGTTTACCAACTCGATGAGTCATTCGAAGCGGGCGAGCGTGATCAGGTGGACGAAGCCGATGAACAACAAGTTGATGACCGTGAGTGGCCAGCCTCGATGTCCGCACGCCCAGCTATAGTGCGAGCTGATTTTGTGACTTTGTTGGGGATCGTGTTCTCGAATAGCTCTTGCGACAACATGGTCCGGTTTACGAGACGATAGCCAAGATCATGGCACTCACATACCCGGCCATGGAGCGGACCCACGTGGCCAACCACATGAGGACGTTGAATGCCAAGGATCCCGAATTGTTGACGTGGGCTTTGTCCAAGGAGAACAAGCTGGAGATCGGTAAGTCGGGCATAAGGCGATGATCTACCAATAGTGCACGGAGAACCAATTCTCTGCGATTGACCTCTGCAGACATGAACGAGCTCAAACAAGTCTACCCTGGGATCGACTTTGAAGCCCCCTTGCCGGACATCACGATGTATTTCAACCCGAACATCGACCCGAGCGAGATCCGGGCGATGAAGCGTAAACAGGCCGCCTCGAACAAGCCGATGACGGAGCAGGACAAGAAGAAGCAGGCGAGACGGGCGGCGTTGAGCAAGAAGAAGCAGGAAAAGATGAGGCAGATGGCCATGATGGGTACGGTCGAGGAGGGAGAAGAGGTCGGGGACGAAGAGTTGGCGGCGATGAGACGGCAGCCGGGGTTGCCTTTGTGAGGCGGCTGGTTGACCTGGTCGGAAGTATAGATGTATTATTGTGGGCATTAGTGAGCAGAAAAACGAAAAACGCAAAGAACGTTTTGGTTGTATGGCTAGATTACACCCCTAGAATGCCTAGAACCGGCATCTATCATCGTATTCGGGTTGAATTCCTCAAAGTGGTAATTTCGACCGGACGACGTCATTTCGACCGAGAACAAAGAGTTTTTGCGAGTTTCGCGTTTCAGGTTGCTAGCAAGGGGGGGCGACGCGCGCGTGGACGCGACTTTTGGTACGTCTCTTCTTTGTTCGACCTTTACAATTCTTGTCGGTCTTTTTGTTCGATCGACCTATACTTTCCAACCAACATTACCGTAGACAAAAGAAAATTAGAACATACACAGCAGTATCGTCATCATCAAACACAGGAGAACAGCCATGTTGGCGTCAGCGTCGATGGTGGCGTCTGGCCGGAGGGATGGGGTATGTAGTCTCACAACTGCGAGTGACCGTGACCCTCTTTCTGACACCCTGACTTTCGTCTTCATTTTCACTTTCACCTCCTCTCGTTCATCGTACCTGGAATTATCCGTACACGAACATACGTTTGACCTTGCACAACTACCGCTCGAACTGTGGACAGCTTCGAACCACGACAATATACGCAATCGGCACGACCTCTCTTCGCGTTGCATCTCTTTACGATGCCATTTTCCGACCTCCAAAGCCTCAGTCCTCGCCAAACATCTTCTCCTCAGCCTTCGGTATATCCAAAGAAGATGGTCCGGCTGCCCTCCCCTCTACCTCCATCGCGGACCACTTCGTTCACCTCGGAATCTCAAGAAACTCTCAAACCATACCTCTCTCTCAAAGCCCGTCTCTCTCACACGATTCTCTCTCTCCCACTCCTTTCCTTGCTCCTCGCTCTGGCTTTTTTCTTATCGGCCAACAACTCTGCACAAGCTCGAGCCGAGGATGCAAAGGCGCAGATCATGGCGACTTGTAAAGGCGTCGAACAAGGAGTCAGGTTCATCACGGATGGCGGGATGGCGAGGGTCATGGCGGACAAGATCAACGAGCAGACGGTGAATGGGGTGAAAGCGACATTGCGGGGCGTACATAAGGTGTTGGAGATGAGGTGAGTCGCGTGCGAGTGCGATATTGAAGTCTTCTTCTTTTGCTGACTCTACGGATCTCTGGGTCGCAGCTTGACGATAATCGAAAAAGTCATCGGGTTCATGATAGACATGTACAGGTCGCTCTTGATGTGCACGATCGAATTCGTCGTCAGAGGCTCTCTGGCCATCATGATCGGCGTGGTCGAGACGGTAAGTCACGCGTCAGTAGATTTGAGGATGCCTGAAGGACGCTGATCAGTTTTCCCTCCCAATCGACAATCGACAGATCACGGACGGGATCACCACGACTCTCAACGGAATCCGCAGCAAGATACAAGCGGATATCAACTCTGCCAATGCCGTCATCGCTACCGCTATCAAGGCGATCAACAGCGTCACCTCGGTGGTCAATGTCAATCTCTCCGTCCCGCAGTTCGACATCCCGTCCCTGAACGGATTAGCCAACGTCTCCATACCCACAACTTTCGAAGACGACCTCAGACGGCTCAATGCGAGTCTGCCGACCTTGGAAGAATTCAAGGACATCTTGGAGGATCTCATCGCGGTGCCTTTTGACAAGCTCAAGGGCGAGATGAACGAATCGTTCAACGAGATGATGAGCAAGATCACCGTGGAGTCCCTTCCGATCATAGGGGATGTCTCCAACTCGACCAGCACCTCGCTCGAGCGCCGTGCAGAGACCGAGGCGTACGACCTGTGCGGCCAGATGGATACCTCCTTTTTGGACGATATCGCCTCCTCGCTTTCCCGTCTAGCCAAAATCGCCACCGGCTTGCTCGTACTCGCCTTCCTGCTGCTTTGGTTCGCCCTAATCTTCTGGGAATGGTACACCTGGAAACAGATGAACGAGCAGGCACAAGAGGTGGAGGATCTGGTGGAGCGGGAGATGGCCGAAGGCAGACGCGTGGATGGGTTGCGGATGGTTCAGATGGTCGAACATCCGGTCGTCGAAAAGTATGGAGGAAAGGTGGTCGGATTGTTGACACGGAAGAACGAGACGAACAGTAATTTGAGATGGTTCCGTAAGTCCACGGATACGCGCGTTTCATGACGAGCCAAGCACGCTGCTGATAATCTTATATCGCAGTCGCCTACATCACTCACCCGCCTGCGCTTCTACTTCTGGGCTTCGGCATCCTTACCTTTCTCACCATGCAAATCCAACTATCCGCCGTTCACGCTATCAGGGAACGTTCGTCTGCCGAGGCCAACTCGGCCATTGCCGAACAGTCTCAGTCTCTCGGGGTCGCCATCAACCAGGCCATGCTTCAACAGAGTGGCGATTATGCGACCGATATGAACCTGGTCATACAAGGTTGGCAGGAGGATATCGATACTACGATATTCGGGCCCTGGCTCAATACGACGACGGTGACTCTGAATACGACTCTGATCGAGTTTTACGACAAGGTGGAACAAGGTGAGCCGAGAGCATCGCAGCAATTCCAGGAAACCCCCGCTGACCACGATGGCTTGTTTTAGTCCTAAACGTCACCTTCGGAAACACCATCCTCGCCACATCCGTCAACAACTTCGTCTACTGTATCCTCGGATCCAAGATCGACAACATGGCCACCGCCCTGACCTGGATCAAAGACAACGCCAAGGTCACCCTGCCGACCTTTAACGCCGACATCCTCATGCTTTCCAACGCGACCATGGATTCGGTCGCTGACCCGATCGCCAAGGCTGCTGCTGGAAGCGGGTCTTCCGATGGCGATTCCGACGATCAAGGTGTCATCGGAAAGCTCTTCGATCGATACGAAGACGAATTGAGAAAGCAGCGCAATATCGCGGCGATCTTCATCGGACTGTACGGCATCGTCATGTTAGTAGGGCTGGCGGTCTTTATCTGGCACTCGTGGCTCAAGCGACCATTCGCTCGATGGAGGATGCAACGACGAGGACTTGGCGAGCACGACGAGAAACCGGTTCATACGACCAATCGTCCGACCGAGGCGGAGAAGGCTGTGCATCTGGGCCCGCCAGTGACTTCTGAGCCCGGACGCCAGCTTTATCCGGGACAAGGCTACAATCACAGTCAACAGTCATTTTTCGATGACTCTGACCAGCTAGGCGCTTATCAGAGCAGCTCACCCGGTCATCGTCACGAAAGGTCTGGACCTAGTATGGCAGCCAGAATGAGAGCTTTGTCTCCGATCCATCGCAGCCCCGTCGAGGATGACTATGACGAACCGATGTTGCCTCCGACCGCAGCTCGTCCTGAAGTTCAGTCCTCGACTTCCTGGCAGGGCCGCCTTGGCAACATGCTCGCGTTACCGACCTTTGCCTCCAAACTTTCGCGCAAGACGTCGCAAAAGAGCTCCAAGACCGACGTATCTTGGTCCGGAACGGGTTCAAGTCCGGGTCCTTCCAGGATGTTCCAGATCAGTGGTCCCAGCGCTCTCGGCGGATACGGCTCCCAGCAGGTGCCTTCGGTTATCAGCAAGCCCGTCCCCAGCCCGCTCCATCAGAACCCCTTTTCGCTGGGCGACGAGGACGAGGTTGGCACCCCCATTGCGGCCCGATTTGCGCAGCATCGGACGCGAGCAAGCTCCGACCAGAACCCTTTTGCTGGGAGGTACGTATGAGCGAATGTCATCAGGTGTATGTAATCTGGCTACAAAGTTGTCCGAGTGTTGTAAGATACAAGTTATGCTGTAATCCGTTCGTCAGAAATGCCAACTATAATCGATCGATGATGATGTCCACTCTCTATGCGGTCTGCAAATGTAGGCATTCGACAAAGCCCGTCAGATCGTCTTTCCGCACCTCGACTATGCTAGTGTCAAACATGTCGTGACGAGCGTGCGCTCCCGAGTCCGCCGCTGCAGACTGAAAGGCCAGACCGAAACGACTGGAGGTAGATGGATCACGGGTCGTAAGCTTTTGGCGCTCGATCGACTGTAGGCGTGACGCAACTCACTTCTTCCTGACGTCTCCAAACTCTGGTGCTCCGCTGATACCGACAATGAGGAACGTATCGCTTTCCTCGTCGAGGCAGGCCAGGACGATCGGATGTGCGGGCGTCTTTCTCCTGGCTTCGGCGGCCCGCGTCACCTTGTCTCGGGTGGCATCGATCAACCACAGAGCTAGCCTGGTGAGGATGCTAGCGTGCGAGAATAGGCGCAAGTCGGGACCTTCACGGATCGTGACGAAGCGAAATGATCGGAGGGTCTTCATGCTGTTCTTGTCCAGTATTGAACATCCCTGACGTATGATCGCTTGGTGAAGACCTTTGGCCAATCCTAAGGACCGCGATAAGAGTTTCACGCTGTGTCTCGTTACTGGTTAGCCTTCTATGACCATCGAACGTTCGAAATCCAACCGGCTTACTCCTGCATTGCGTCGTATGAAACCCAAAAATTCTTCTCGCATCGTTTCTGCTCTATCCGCGCATGCCGGCTGAGCTCGTCGTTCCCGTCCGCTTCTGCTTCCGCTTTATCTTCCTTGTAGGCGAATGCGTTGCTTCCCGAAATCCCGCTGACGGTCCAAGCCTTGGTAGCTCCAAACCATTCTCCGCCCCCTTTGCCTCCATCCTGCTCGATTTCGACTCGGATCCCTGTGGCAGCCTCGAGCAACGCGTTCAGACCCTCCACTCCGTCCGCGGCGGACAGCGGTGCGCATCGGTACCCAAACGCTCGCATGAAAGATGGGTAATGCAGTTCTACCAGCCCGTATTCTGGCGCGACCTCTTCCAGCTTGTCTCGTAGTGTCGCTTTGAGATCCATGTCCATGTGCGAGTACGATTGACGACTCTGCTGTATTGAGAAACTGTTGACGAGTTGGACTCTTTCAGCCGACGGTCGGATGGACAGGATAGCACTACCTCATCGACTCACCCCATCTTGGCCAAAAGTCCCACCAATTTCTTCCGTCCCTTCTCTTTCCATATTCCCATACGACCTGCCACGTAACCTGAATGAAACATTGCATCGTAAAGATTCCAATGCCGGAAAAGTACGAAACGCAGTTCCTCGCTCGGCGATATAGCATTGTCGTCGGGACTTCCGTTGCCAGACGAAGTCCCGTGGCGGCCCGGTGATGGCGGATTCAGTCGTGCTACTTCGTCCAGGTATAGCGAATGTCGCTCATCGTACGTGTCCCGATCGATCCGTGATGAGATGTATTGATGCGTCAAGCCCAATACGGCGTACCTGGAACGGACACCTCACGTTAATACCATGTGCATTTCTTTCCGGATTGGTGAGCAAGAGCGATACTCACCACAACAAGTCGTTATCGCCACGCTCCAACTCGCTTGCAAGGATGTAGCAACACTCGACTACGCTCATCCCGTACGAAGTTCCAGCTTGATAATACCGCTGTACACGTTCGGCGTGCGCATTCCGTATCGCTCGTGGTAGACGCTTGGGCTGAGGCAGTCGCCAGGACGACCGTGTCAGTCTTGGAGCTAGTGTAACAGATGTATCACACTCACTCGATCAGGGTCTTCTTCTCTCCGCTTCTTTTTCCGGCGGCCAGGTTGGTCTCCAGCGTCGTCCCCGTTGTTTCGTCTGCGCTTCCCGTTCGAACCACCGCTTCCTTCCCCATCACCACGATCTTCATCTGCATCTTCAGCTCCATCTTCTTCCGCTTCGTCGTCCTCGTCGGTATCTTCTAGGTCGGTATCGGATTGAGAAGCGTCTGAATCGCTATCGGACCCCGACTCTGGTTCGTACTAAGCGCACATCCCAGGGAGGTGAGCAGCAGTAGGCTAGAGATATATGACACCACTCACCTCGAGCGCTTCCCAGCTCTTCTTCACATTCTCCAGCTTCTTTTCGTCGCCGTCCCCCCAGATCCAGATCCTCCCCAGCAATCTATCTTGAACGTCATCCCCGTCTCCACTTAATGCATGGCCGTTCCGTGCATCGATCAGGTGACCATTCCTAGAGCCAGCTCCCAAGCCGTCATTCACAGCTCCTCCGAAGATGTTCTCCAGGTTGTATGGCCGATGAGCATCGATCAAGTGAATATCACATGTGTGGGTGCCGATGGGAAAATATGACGAAAGTGGCAAGAGGGAGCCTAGCGAAAGCAGTATGAGGGTATGTACCTATCACAGCAAGGTTGATCAAGATCAGCAAAGTTCGCTCAGTGCGCGGTCGATTGCCAGACGACTCGCATCGGGGTTTCCAGGATATCGACCATCCTCTGACCCAAATATCTGATCTTTTCTTGTTTCCAGCTCAGAGTATCCTCCAATGGGGATGAGCGAATGAGGTATATCTTCCTGCTTGAACAGGTTGACCAGGACGTGTGAAGCCAAGAGAGCGTCCTTCGAAACGGAACATATCGACTATCAGCCGTCTATAATCGAATGGTCGGGATCACCAATGCTTACCAAGTCTATAGCTGCTAGGATGACCACACCCCCTGCACTGTTTTGAGGATTCGCCCTGACCTTGCGGATGATAGAGCTCCAGGCATGTAGATAGGTAACTGTCCCAGCAGGCAAGTCCGAGCTCGGCGGGCAGATCACGGGCATTCTGGCGGCTCCTACTTGAGGTTATGGTATCCAGATCTAGCGAGTCATGATACGAGCTTGCGTACTATCGAGATCTAGTTGCTCTCAGAGTCAGTTCAGAGCACATCTAGTCAAAACTCGATCTGGCTCAAGTTGATCGCAAGTCTGTGCTGACCTCGACGCGTCGCGTGCGAAACTCAAACGCGTCGACGCGACCGGGGATCGATCCCTCAGAAATCGTTCATTACCTTGAATCTCGAGATAAACGGTTGTAGCCGGTGTCTATATCTACACAACTCGTACAAATGGTGATCATGCTACAAATGTGTCGTGCAAGAATTTCTCATCTGCAGAGTCCTCGTGGTCAGCGCTGTCCGGGATGGATGAATGAAACAAGACTCACAATCGTAACCGGCATGTCCCTCGTCGTCTACCGCCTGCATGGTCTGCTTCAAGAAGCTCGTAACCTCTGAAGACAAGTGTGCCTGACGCATATCCGTCTCTGTGATGAGACGGTCACCGTTGGCGAGATTGTGGAAAGCCTCCAAGAGCTGGTCCATGGAAGAGGAATCTTCTGTGATTTCCACCTGGCAGAGGAATCATGATGTTGAGCATCATATTTCGCTGGCCCATCTCGGGCAAGTGACATACCAGTAGATGGACGAATGCGTCATGCGTTACCGCCCCGAATTGTGCACAGGTGTTTCGATATAGCCGTTCAAGTTCTTCCTCCTGTGCATTTCGCGATCGTTAGCTGCTGCACACAACGTTGATGCAAAGCGATCGACCGCCACGTACGGTGAACGTCATGCCCAAGGCGGCAAGCGCCGAGTTGAGTTGATAATAATCGAGATGCTGTCAAGGGCGCAAGCTGTTCATCACCGATTACAACATCGGCTGATATTATGTCGCACTTACATCATTCGGTTCCATCTCGAACCGCTGCCATACCTCTTCCCATTCGCCCAATTGATCGGCCGTGACATTCGTCGTGCTCGCCGCGCGAATCTCTACAAGTCACAGAACAATCAGCCATTGAGCACACGATCGGCTGGTTTCTCAATCATGCACGACGTACGGTTCTCGATAAAGCTCTCCTTTTGGCGAATGGTATCGTCCAAAAGACCCAGCTCGAACTGAAAATCCTTGACGCTCGATGCTCCCAGGTCGATCTCGTCGATTTTAGCCTCCCGACAGGCCTTGCCCACCTCGTCTACGGCCTCCAGATTTTGCTTGAGACTGGACGCAGCCGCTCGAAATTTTGGCATGATGGATTGTTGGGCCTGGAATGATCGAGGTCAATATGTATTACACACATCGCTGCGAAATCGAGTCGAGCACTCACTTCGAGGCTACCTTGCATATGCGTCAACTCGTCTTGCAGGGCCGCGATTCGCGTGTCCAGAGATTTGGCTGCTGCTCTATATTCCTGTTTGAGGCGGTCCTTGATTCTGTTCACACGATGTACGTTTCAATTTGTGGAGTCGGGGAGAGCTCATGGTATTCTGAGACTCACCCGAGAAGGTTTGCATTGATGGCCTTGGACGTTGCAGCTTCCGTGGCTACCAATTCTTGCCATACTCTCTCTACTTCCTGTGATTGACGTTGTCATGCAGCGATCAGAACGACTACCTCCATAACCACGAAACAGCGCACTGACCTCCAATCCTACCCCTTCTACCGGTCGATAGCCTCGGATGCCGGCCGTCTTGAGTCTCGTTTGTATGTTGCCGAAATTCGTCGCTAGATACTGTCGGTTCTTCGCAAAGTCTCGTTTGATGACGGGGTATTTTGCGAAATCGTCGAAATGCTTCCTGGCATCAGCGTAATCGCCTGTAAATGTTATCCGGCGGAACTGGTCTATCTGGCTGGTCATACTGTCTATAAGCTGAGAACGGATATAGTCAGTATCCGCGCTGTGTTGTTTTGTTAAAACGAAGCCTACCTTCTGGGTCCCATGCTCATAAGCCGATTGTGATCCCCTACAAACCACCATGAAACATCAAGATCGAGTTGACTAGCATTGAAAGGGGTGGCCGTAACTCACTGAAGCGCCTTGAGCATCTCTGCAAATTGCGTCACTCGCCTCGCAGTCGTCTCTTGCTTGTCTATTCGAGCAAGATGGCGTCAGTGAGTCATTTCCAGTGTCAAGTTCGGTAGGCAGACATACCTAGACTACTGAATGCGTGGAAGAACTCGGCCACGTATGTCATTACTGCAATAGCGAGCTGTCAGCAAGATGATGAGACGTTTCCCTTGATACCACCAACCTGATCGCTCATCCGGTACGCTGTTACAGACGTCCGAAACTTCCAAAAGTTGCTGCATCGATTAAGTCGAATAAGCACACGCCGCTCAGGCTTTGTTTCGACCAAGGCGCTTACAGGGATTCCAAGATGTTTGGCTGCTATATCAAAGGCCAATGTCGTACATGCTTCGGCGTTTGTCTACGGAAAAACGGACTGATGAGACCATATCGTCGACGCAAAGAGACCTTTACGAACCTTATCCAACGTATCCCAATCCAGCAGATCCGGTCGATGACGATGTATCAGAGCGCAGCTGCAATTTCCGGTTAGCCATCGAGTCTTTCGAGCTTCCGCAAAGCTGCCGACTTACAAGGCCAACCCGCTAGTGAAGCTCTTCCCAAAGTCCCGTACTTCCACCCCATCTTCTGAATACGGCGGAACCGATGTTTTCCGCTGACACCACAGCAATAGACCTTCTCTGGCCGAAAGACCCTCCTCCCTGAAGCAAAGGCAAAAGCCGGTCAGTGACAATCATGGCGAGATCGCGAACCAGCCAGAACCCACGTGATACCGTCGATAGTGAAGCGCAAGATCAACGTCCAGATCTATTGGCCTTCATGACGTTCAGCTCGCCGACCATTTCGTCTCTGAAGCTCGCTCGACCCACCAGACCAAGGATAATCTTCAAATTGCCGTCCACGATGTCTGCAACGCCGTTATATCAGAATCGGGCGCATCAAAGGGCAAATGTATCCCTCGAGAGATCGACTAACCTTCGGGACCTATCGCGCAGTAAAATCCCCGCTCTTCAGCTACTGCAATATCTCGTCTCTATGCCCAATCCGTACTCACCGATGTTAGTCAACCTGATCCCTCTGCTTCGAACGAAATCTAGCGCCTTTTTCGCGTTCTACGATGAAAGATCAGATCAATCCATATCAGTGTAGTCTCTCATATTTCGATCTCTCGTGGTCCATGGTACCGCTTCGGCAAAGGCTCACTTCGGCTCGCTGTACCCGAAACTTTGGTGTTGCGTTATATCGACCTAGACGGCCAAATCCAAGAAGATGATTGTTCGCTCTGATTATGGATTAGACAAGTTTCTGACGCTCAAGCGGGCTTACCAAGTGACGTATCTGACATGGTTTCCTTCATTACGCAACGAAATATCATGGATCAGTACGGGCTCTTGACTTGTGATGTTCGAAGGCCGGCTTACTAGGAGCTGAACGCACGGAGAGTCAAGAGGATACAGAATGAAATGTGAAGATCAGCAGATCAAATCATACCGGGCGATGGGAGAAGCTTACCTGGATGAGCTTTGTTCCATCGCAAATGTCTGGGATCAAGTCCCGCATGGGCGCCAACTCCTTGGCGGCTAGCTTCGTATTGATCCTACGAGATCCTTCTGCACGTAAGCATGAGCCCTGCTGATACGGAGAAGACAGGCCTACCATTTCGTAAACGTCCTTAGCGTTTCAGCAAGGGCGACTTTAGCGGCTGTTCAAACCCGAGACCTCATCACATCGTAGAATCGTCCTCACCTTCCTTGAATAGACGCCCATTCCACATCGTGTCCGAAAGTACCGGGACTCAGCATATCGCGAGATATCGATCACGATCAAGAGCAGATTGGGCTGCTGTGTCTTGGGAGATCTCGAATACTGACAAGAGGCTAAGAAGTCTTGTGCAGGTCATGGGCATATCGCACATCGTCTCTGATCTCAGAGCGAGTTTGATGGATCAAGGGGGGGCCCGGGGCTTGTGTTTACTTTGTAAGATCAGCTTCCGTAGGTGACTCACGTAATTCAACCGGGCACATTGCTTATCAAACAAGTCGCGCTAGTCGGGGTCAGAATCGCCAATGACGTGTTTGTTGCTGTTCATGTTTCGTTCTCGCCAGGCACAAGTAAGATGCCTCCGGGGATCGTCGGTGGCGCGGAAGCAGTAGAAGTTGGTTCAACGTCCAGCCATCTCGCGTGCCATGATCCGCCCAATCTTTCGCCGGTTCAGGCAACTCTCGATTCAGTCCGAGTTGCGAGAGGTTGCCAAGAGGTCGCCACTCCACTTTCAACTCTACCTCGTACCGTCTTTACTCGACATACCTATACTCTGTCTATAGCTCATTCTCTACCTTTCTCATAATCTCTTGGATACGCACACACAAGATCTTGACGATCCCCTGCGAATCGATACAGGAGCTGCTGGTCCAGCTTGACATACTTCGGCTTTGATAGCGTCTACACAACCTTCTACACTAGTACTACTATAACCTATACACCCTACAAATCCACAACAAGATGGTTCAAGGTCGATGGGGTCACAAGGCCGTTTACGTGCCGACTACCAACATGGTCTATGTCGTCGGGGGAGAGATCTCGGATAGGAACGGCGGTCCGCTAAAGATTACTAACGAGGTCTTGCAGCTCAATGTAAGCAACCATTCTCTCGCTCGCTTGGTCGAATTGGCTTGGTCTGATCGATCGAACGCGTACAGCTGTCGCAAAGCAACCCTTCGCCCGAGACCCTCGTCACTTCGTCACTCCTCCCGACGGCGTTTCATTCCCTCGCCTACGCGCCCTTGACCAACCAGCTCGTCAGTTTCGGCGGGATGACCTCGTCCTGCAGGACCGACTCGATTTTGCACTCGCTTGATCTCGATAACACGAGCGGAAACTTGACCTGGACGTCCGAGACCAGCTCTGGGTTGTTGAGGAGGCGAGGCGCAGGGATGGTTCATCTCGAAGCGACCGTGGGAGAGGCCGAGGGAAAGCTGATGGTCTTTGGAGGAGCCGTGGACCAATACGTTTGCTGTGAGTAGGCTTCTTCCAGGACATCACAACCGGATTGCGGGCGCTTCATATTCATCCGATATTTGTTTTCGCTTCGACAGCTTCCACTTCCAGCTACTACTCGGCCTTTGACGTCATTCCTTACCCCTTGAGCGACGCCGCCGTGCATAACAGCGACAAGATGGCCGCCTCGTCTTCTTCCCCTATCGGCGTATCGGATTTCGCCATGACCGCCCTGGCCAACGATACCGTCCTCTTTGTCGGAGGAACCGATGTCAACGGAGACATGGTCAAGATGGACAAGTTGACCGCTTGGAGCAATGAACAGGATTGGTACAGCCTGAACTTGATGGGAGAGATTCCGGAAGCTAGGGTTGGGGCTTCCATGGTCGCCCATCCGACTTTGAAGGACCTGGTGTGAGTCGTAGTTCGCCGTGGCGATGGCACGAATGTTGATCGATCAATCTTGATTCAGTATCCTTCACGGCGGAGCCATCCAAGACGGAGCCAGTACCTCTGCGACCGCCTCCATCTCGCTCCTCAACCTGACCACCCTGACCTGGTCTTCTCCCTACAACGTTCAGCCGGCTCGTCAAGACGCCCGAGCTTGGCACTCCGACATCATCACGTCCTCGGGCGTGCTCGTCTCGGCTTTCGGTATCGGCGCGGGCAACAATTCTCATTCTGAAGTCAACTACCTCGACATGAGGGATTCGAACGTTGCAAACTGGGGATGGAAGCGAACTTGGACGACGAACATGTTGAACAGCAACCCTGCATCTGGTCCGGCTACGGGTCCGACTTCCGGGACCACCAGCCCTGGATCCGGGTCCGCTGCGAATGTCAAGGTTCCTTCGACTTCGAGCAACGTTGCAGATGCGGAGGAGAATGGAGACGATGGTAGTCTGAAAAAGATCCTCCCTCCCACCTTGATCATCGGTCTTGTCCTCCTCGGATTGCTCGTCTGGCTGGCTCGCCGCCAAGTCAACATCGTCCGTCGTCGTCGACTGGCTCGACACTTTGAGATCGACAACACCCATGACGAGGAGGGGAATCGCAGGGCGAGCCTCTTCGAGCCTGTCACCCAGTTCATGGCCAAGAGGGGCTGGAACCGTTCGTCCCCCTTTGCCGGTCTTCCTCGACCTTTTGGTGGGGTAAGAATCCCTGATGGCGATGAGACCGAAACTGCCGGATGGCAATCTAGCTTGGCGGGAGTGGTCGGAAGGTTGACTGGCAAGAACCAGGCACAGGCCAACTCTTCCAGCGAGATGCGTCAGGTCGACGGTCGCAACGTCTCTCGAACTCAATGGGAAGAGATCGACTTTGGTCTCGGCCGGGTTGATGAGCAGCGAAGGAGCTCTGTTGGACCCACGCGACCCGGTACACCTGGTCGTCCATCCGAAGACACTTCTCGACAGATCCCCGCCCGGGAGTTCAACAAGAATCGAAGTCGAGTCAGCTTCCCTCCCGACAACGAACCCGTCGACCCGGCATACTTGCCCGCTCTCGTTGTCGTCCCGCCTTCTAACCCTTCGACTCCGAACAGCGAGCCTAGGGCAGGAGACCCTTTTGCCGACTATCCCGTTCTGATGCCTTCGCCCAGGATTCATGAGACCATTTCTGAAAAGCCCGAGGTTGACCCCAAGACCCGCGCCGAGTGGGACGAGTTGGAGCGCGAAGTCGAGACGGCGCAACCCTTCCGTCGATCTGGAACCGTTTCTAGCACTCACTCTGCCGGATCTACCGGCTCAAAGGAGATCGAGCCTCTGCCCCGTTTGTCGTTCGAGCAAAAGACGTCGAGCGAGTTTGTAAACAGCCTCAGCTCGTACGGCATCGGTCTCGGCAAACCCATCACCCGTCGAGCTTCTGGGAACGACAGCGTCGGGAACGCGATCGCTGGCCGAAGCGTCTCCTCGCCCTCGTCCCACTCACCTCCTCGTGACTACAACTCGGCCGCGACAGTAGGCTACTCGCCCAGCTACGTCCGCGATCTGATAACCGGGCACGCTCAGTCTCCGGCTAGAATTCCGCGCTCTGGCGAACTGAGCAGGTCGTCCACCATGTCGGATCGCCCTCACTCGTCGGTCAACCTGTTCAACAAGTATCAGTCCAACGACAGCGACTCGTCATTGTCCCTGGCCGACTACCGCATGGACGGTGCTCCCGTTCGGGTTCAGCGCTTGTCGAACCCGCCTCGATTCCCCCCTCCTACCTCTCCTTTGCCTCAAGCTCCCTCGACCGGGGTCAGCCGACGGGTCTCCACCTCGGATGCCCTTGAGCGATCCAGCGACAACGTCGGCACTTTGGCTCGACCCGCAGGCGAAGTCCGTCAACTCCGAGTGGTCAACGCTACGCCTCGACCTGACGAGGTGGACGAGTTTGGATCCAAGGCCTAGTTGACGTGATCGAGTCTTTTTCTTCGGTGGCTGGAACACCTGTAACACTTTTTCTTTTCGCTCGATGGCAAACATCTCGATATCACATAATACCCATGTTTGATACACCCAGTGCTAGATCGTCTCAAGCTCTTGTCGAGCTTCGTCCCCGCAGCTCTGCTAGCAGAATATCTTTGGGCTCCGTGCCTCTTCGCTTGGCCTTGAGGTTGTCAGCGACCAGGAACGCTACGTCTGATGGATGTTGTTCTGGTTAGGCACGGCCGCCATCGTTCGCAGGATCGGACTAGACTCACCAAGAGATTGCTCATAATTCAACCTGGGGTCGCAGTGTGATCTGTAGTTGAAGGACAGATCCTTGTCTTCTAACTCCATCGAACCTCCGATACATTCGGTCTGAGTGGGGAAAAAAAGTCAGCTGTAGCGTCGAGATTGCCCCGTAGGATATGACACGTACCACGCTGAAGCCGTCATCATTGACCTCTCCGGTTAGTTCGAGATGAACACCGCCGAGGATTGTTCCTTGTTCCTTGTGAATACGCATCGACGTGGATATCTCTTGGATGATGTCCACAAAATGACGAGTCTTTAACGAAGGATCCGTTTCTGACGATTTCGTGCTGTAGATGAAAGTCAGCTTGAGATCGAGCGTGCGAGGTGATATTCAACTCTGATACGTACTTTCCGTGCTGTATCGAATAAACTGCGATTTAGTCTCTTGTCTCACATATTTGACCACACCAAGACTTACCATCGCATCGCACTGCCAGACGACGATGTGCCTGGTCGCCTTGACAGCCTCGATATGAGCGGGCAGGAACTTTTCGATCTTGTCCGCTCCGTATCTGCTGATCAAGGTGACCTTGCCGGGTATGTTGTCCGGGTTGACCACTAAGGGCGAGTATCGATCAGCTCAATGGGTAGTATGTTAATTTCAGCCGACTGATCTCACCGTCAAGCAGCTGAACCAATTCTTCTGGCTTCATGGTCGGCCCAATCTTGATCCCGATCGGGTTCTGGATTCCCCTAAAGTATTCGACATGAGCGCCATCGAGCTGTCGCGTTCGATCTCCGATCCAGATGAAATGTGAGGACAGGTTGTAAAACTTTTTGGGGGAGCTGCTGGCATCTGATCGTGCGTTCGCAGAACTTCGGCGATTTCGGGGAAGTAGCGAGTTTGACCTCGAGAGCGACCCAGATGACTCGGGCCGAACGTCGGTGCGGGGACCTCGAGTCAGCGCTTCTTCGTATTCCAGCGAAAGACCTTCGTGACTAGGGTAAGGGTTAAATTCAGCTCAACAACAAAGTCCGTCTCGAGCTTGGTGAACGCACCTCGTGTAAAAGTCTACAGTCTCCGTACCTCCTCGGCTACCACCTGGATTCGAACCTCCGGTCGCAGATCTCATAAAGTCAAGGCTGTCCATCAAGCTATCAATGACCTCCTCGAAAGCCTTTTGCAGCTGAGGCGAATGGACGTGGGAAAAGGACCAGTTTCGAGGTTGATGCAGGTCGGCGAAACCAGACGACAATAGCGCTCGAATGTAGTTGAGGGTAGAAGCCGAGTGGAAGTAGGCCCTGAGTGGTAAAATGTTTTTCAACGGGGAGTCTGGCAATGACCTTCCCGCACGGACTTACCCTAGAAGCCTCTCTGGATCGGCCTTCCTGTCGGTAACGTCGAATCCGTTGACATTATCCCCTCTGAAGCTCATGACTTCCTTCTTCTCGGTCTTTCCATCTGCAGTAGGATAATCCACCACTTCGGTAGGCTTGCTTCGAGGTTTAGCGTATTGACCGGCGATTCGTGCGATACGGATGACGGGGAGACGGGATCCATGCAGGATGATCAGGGACATCAAGAGGATACTAATAGATGAAGAGGATGTGTGGAGGATTAGATCGGTCGACGGTATACATGCAAGATATTTTGCTTACAGAGAAAGCTTGTGCTCGATAGGATCCTGAACGGAATGCAAAGACAGAAATCAATACCATCGAATAAAGTCGAATCCTTGAATACAACGAACTGACCTGCGAACAAGCCTCAAAGAGCTCGGCACAGTCACCACCCTGAAGCAGAAAGGCTTTACCCTGAGCTACATCCGCTAGCTGAGTTCTCAACCGGTCAATCTGTGGGCCGAGATGGTCAGTGACCGGGGTTCAAAGGGGTCTCGTAGTATCAGCGGGGCACACCTCGTTCGGGGTGACCAAAGGTGGGAGCTGTCTGAGCTTTTTCAAAACTCTGATGACAACAGTATAGCATGATCAGCCTGAATTCGCTTCCATGACCTGCTTGTTCAAAGTCTCACTTGTCAAGGTGCTCGGTGTCGTCATAGATGACATCCTGAGCGATAGGCTTGCTTCGCCAAGAATCCGGAGTCCAGTTGAGGGTGGCCATCGCTTATAGTCGGAAGATGGCGGTCTGTGATAGCTGGTTGTTTTGACTAGAGTCTGGGACGAATTGCAGTCTGGGACGTACTTGACGAATGCTTCAAGGCTTGCAGCTTTGTGACAGGGATTGTCGATCAATCGGTCGGTGTGAGCATAAATCTCAGATCTCAAAAAGCCCGAGTCAGTCACATGGATGCGCGTTCGTCATGAGTCATAACGGTGGTGACAACCCCGACAATAATGAGTCTTGATATCGACTGGAGCCTCGACAGGTTGGTCCAGCCATGCATATACCATATCTACTCTAGTCTAGCCTGCTTCCATGCTATCTTGTGTCTACACTCGGACGAGCCAGCCCATAAAGATGGCCTGCACCATCGCGACGACAAAGAGGAACTGTACCCTCCTGGAACGTTGCGCGTGCGTGATGATCACAACGGGTTCGTGGGACGGAGCCGCAGATGGGTCGGGCAGGAGCACGTATTTCAACGAACGGAGCTGAGAGAGCGATAAAAGAGCCACAGCGAGTCGGTCAGCCTTTGCATGGACCAAACATAGAGAAGCGAGCGGGACTGACCAGGAAAAAGGCATTGGCTGCAAACGTATAGAAAAAGACGGCTAGGTAGAACACCCTGCCGAGGCTGAGGAATGATGCCAAGATGGTGATGATGATACTATGAGTCGAAGAGAAGGCAAGATCAATTACCTTGGTCGCGGGAAGCACAACTACTTGTAACTCACCCGACAAATTTGTAACCACCGTATCCGATCAGTTCGACCCCGCTCGCTCCGCTGCCTCTTACGTCCAGCAGATAACAGCCGAGTCTACGAAGACCGTTATGATTCAGTATAAAATTGTGGAGACGAGCATACCCGGGAGACGACTCACCGAATGCAAAGGAACTCGAACATGACGATCGCAAACGATTTGCTGAGGCAGATTCCGAGGACCTCGGGGCTACCCGAAACGAACGCGGCGAGCAAGGTGTAGGTGACCAGTGCCATGGCTGTGAGGCGGGAAAAGTAATGAGCCTCGACAGACCTTCATATGGGGGAGAGACCAGATGTAACGCTTACTGGGAATGTAGAGATCCGGGGCGTTGATATCGTCTCGAGGAGGCATCCATCCTTCGACGCCTCCTGATCCGTTGGAGCCTTGATCACCGGACATGCCCCTTCTAGAGACTTTACGGGACCACGACTTGTGTCTCCAGGGAAAGAGGACCAGTCGGAGTTTCTTGAGCACGTAAGAGTTGGTCACGGAGAAGGAGGTCTTGAGGAGTGGAAGGGGAAGGTATCGAGAGACCTGTAGTCGATGACATGAAAGGCAGCTCAAGTCAGCTTCTGGCGGGGAAAAGTATAGACTGCCTCAAGGAGCGGCTTTGGGGACTTGCATTCTTCTCGACGTAATCCTGTCCAGCTTTCCCGATCATGTTCGCCGTGGCTTCGTTCATTCCGACCATGGGCCATTGGCCGAATCCTCCCATCATCGACTGGAACCCTTGTCCAGGCTGTGTTGGCGCGCCATGCATCCCAGGGTTGTACATTCCCCCGGCTCCCGCTCCAAGATTGTTATGACCCGAGGCAGAGCTGGGCCCGGCGAATCCACCGCCGTAAGGTTGTTGTTGCTTCTGGTTCTGAGCGGCACCGAAGCTTCCGAACGATTGAGTGGCAGGAGCGTAGTCGTTTGACATTCCCTGTCCAGCTCCAGCTCCAGCTCCAGCTCCGGGTACCATCTGCGTCGGCATTCCGCCTAGCCCAAACGAGTTGCCCGAAGAGTACCCTTGGACAGGCGGGCTGCTGTACCTCGTATATCCCTCCGAGCTCTGCCGAACAGCGTCAAACGATGCTCTAGCTTGTTCGACAGAGAGTCGGCTGGGAGGATTGTAGGGCGAGGAAGGGTCCGGGGTGATGGGTTCTGGTGGAGGTTGAGAGATGTGGGAAGGTCGGGGGTGGACCAAGGGGGGAGGGGAGCGGGATTGACTGTAAGGCATCGACATTGTGGTGACGTCGGGTGGAATGGCGAGGCTGCAATGACTTATCTGCCGCAACCACAATAGTTACATGAAAGTGGTAGGATGGTCGTTATGGATGAAGGATGTCGTCCGAGTGACGGAAAGGCCCCGTTCCACGTAATGTCACGGCTGAATTAGATCCCAATCTTGACGCGGACATGAAGCAGGAGCGCAGGCAGTGGACGTATACTTCTCAGCTTTTCAACGCTTGAAGCGAGTGAGAGAGTTGCAGCAGACCCTGAACAGATGGTAGGACCAGTACATATGTCCTAGTGAGGAGTATGATGCTCTTGCAACACATGCTCTTGCAACACATGCTCTTGCAACACATGCTGCAGGAACCAGAAACTTGCTTGCACAAGGTTACTTGGAGAAACTTGGGGTAATCTCAGTGAAAAAGGCCAAGCTTGTAAAGCTTGTTGACCAGGAGAAGGCCAACGCTGCAAGCCTCTGTAAAGCCAATACAAGGAAGCTTGCAGCAATAGGTGAAAACTGCCAAAGTCGTCAATGAGTTTGGCGTAGTTGCAAGGGAAAAGGCAAAGTTAGTGGACGATTACGAGACTGAGAAGGCCCGGTCTGCAAAGCTGTCAAAGGAGAACGAGCGGCTGCCGACCCAGAACGCAAAGCTCTCGGAAGAGAAAGAGCAGGCGTCCACCCGGAACACCGAGCTCTCGAAAGAGAACGAGCAGGTGTCCATCCGTAACACGATCCTGTCGAAAGAGAACCAACGGCTGTCGACCCAGAATACGAACCTGTCGAAAGAGAACGAGCAGGTGTCCACCCGGAACACGGAGCTCTTGCAAGAGAACCAGCGGCTGCTGACCCAGAACACGGACCTGTCGACCCGGAACACGGGCCTGTCGAAGGAGAGAGAGCAGCTAGAGTCATCACGGGCGGCAAACAAGAAGCTCTCACAGCACAAGCAGCGAGGAACAAGAAAGCCTCGCTCGAAAAGCGCCTTGATCATCAAGAGGTCAAGCACATCTTTTCACGAGCAGCAATGCACGCTGCAGCCCAAGCAAGGACGATGGACATAGCCCGGTGCGAAAATGAGATAGCCTGTAAGGCCCGGGAGCGACCCCCGGCGGGGGTCCCCCTGGACAGGCTGACGGGACGCAGGAATGAGGCAAGGTACGGGTAGACATCTAAATGTAATAACGGATGTAGAGCTATTACAGAGGTACTAGTTCTACATCAAAACAACAACACCGAAAAGTACCCCCGACGGGAGTCGCATACGGGAGTCGCGTACGGCGCGTCCGACGCGTCACGTGATCGCTGTAACAGGATCCCCCCCCTAGATGCGGACTCCGAACGCATCAAGCGTCGGCGTACTCCTGTCGACCGGGCTGCGGTAGATGGGGGTAGCGCTTGTGGAACGCCGCGACGACCTTGTCGTCGTGATCGAACTCGGCGGGGCTGACCCACTCGTTCGACTCGTCCCCGTACCCTTCGAATCGCACCAGGTATTGGGTCTTCTTCCCGGACCTTCCGGATCGCAACGCCTTCGAGTGTACGATCTCGGACACAACATACCCCAAGTCGCCGTTGTCGAGGACTTCGGGGGTAGGTGGCTCAACCACCTCTCTTCCTTCTAGCTCGTTGGCCCGATAGGGGATAAGCAACGACACGTGGAAAACGGGATGTACCCGGCGTAATTGCGCGGGGAGTTCCAGCCTCCTCGCCATCTTGCTCTGGCCGACGATCTCCGTGATCGGGAAGGGCCCCAGCGTCTTCATCGAGAGCTTCTGGCTGGGACGCACCGATGTCAAGTTCTTGGTGGATAACATCACCAAGTCTCCTACGTTGTAGCCCTCGTCAGGGACGGCGGTACGCTTCCGATTTGCGTACTTCGCCATGTCTTGTCGCGCTTGCTCCAGCGCCTCCTTCACCGACTTGTAGATCCCGTCGAGTCGGTCTCGGTACTCTCCCGCCGACTCGACCGCCTCCTCCCTAGTGCCGGGCACCGGTAGGGAGAAGGTATGTTCCCTTCCTTCGGACGCCATGAATGGCGACATCCCGATGGCAGAGTGCTTCGCGTTGTTGTACGCGAACTCCGCCATGGAGAGTAATTCCGCCCAGTCGTCCTGGAGGAAGTTGACGTACGACCGCAAGTATTGCTCCAAGGTGGAGTTACTTCGCTCGGTCTGACCGTCCGTCTCCGGATGGAACGCCGTGGAGTAGCTGTTCTCCACGTTCGCCATGCGGCATAGATCTTTCCAGAATCGCGAAGTGAACAACGTACCTCGATCCGAAATGATCTGCTTCGGGAACCCATGCAAACACACCCATCGGTCAAGGAACAGCCGCGCCAAGAACGTGGCGTCGTTATCCTTTCGACAAGCGATAAAGTGCGCCCGCTTGCTGAATCGGTCGACGATCACCAGGATCGAGTTGGACCCCATCGACTCGGGCAGGTCTGTGATGTGATCCCAAGTGATCGACTCGTAGGGCCCTGCCGGTACCGGTAGCGGCGCTAGCTCGCCGACAGGCTTCATTCGGGGTCGCCGGTTGCGCTGGCATATACTGCAGCTAGCAACGTACTCCCCGATCCACTTCGCCATCCCAGGCCAGTAGAAGTCCCTACTGGTCAGCTCCACGGTCTTGTCCCGCCCCCAATGGCCGGCGGCCTTCCCGTCGTGTAGACGCTTCATCAGCTCTACCTTGATGTTCCCTGCGTTGGGGACATACACCAACCCGTTGTACAGGAGAATTCCAGTGGGGCTCAAGCTGTATCGCTCGTTCGCCAAGGTTCCCGCCTTGAGCTGCGCTACGAGCTCTTTCGCCACCGGGTCGTCCTGCGCCGCCGGTATCAGCGCTTTCACCATCCAATCGCCCAGTGCGGGGATGGTGCCATTCAACCGCAAAGGCGGTCGCTCAACCGGACTACACCCCTCAGAGGGTGCGTCTTCGACAGGCCGGAGCAGAGTCTCCGCTCGCTTCGGTTCTGTCTCCTCCATCAACTCTTCTCGCCGACTCAGCGCGTCGGCCTTCCCGTTCTCCGTTCCCGGTTTGTACTCCAGGGTGTAGGAGATCTGGTTCAACAGCTGCGACCATCGCGCCTGCCGTTGAGACAATACCTTGTCCCTCTTGAAGTACTCCAAGTTCTTGTGATCCGTGAGGATCCGAACGGGGTACTTGTTGTCGAGATAATGTCGCCATATCCGACTGCAATAAACGATGGCCAACAGTTCCCTGTCGTGCACATCGTAGTTCCTCTCGGCGGGCGTCAGGCTCTTCGACATGAACGCTACCGGGTGGAGCTTCCCATCGTCCCCTACCTGGGACATTACCGCGCCGATCGCTCCAGAGGAAGCGTCGGTCTCGAGCACCACTTGGCGTTCCTCGTTGTAGTGCGCCAGTATAGGCGCTTGGGTGAAGGACTCCTTCAATTCCCGGAACGCAGCGTCAGCGGCTGCCGTCCAGGAGTACTTCACCCCTTTCTTCGTCAGGGCCGTCATTCCCTGAATCTTCTTGGAGTAGTTCTGAATGAATCTCCGATAATAGTTTGCAAATCCTAAGAAGGACTGCAGTCCCCGAATGTTCTTCGGGGGGGCCCAGTCCAAAACGGACTTGACCTTGGAAGGGTTCATACTAACCCCCGTCGGGGCAATATCGTACCCCAAGAATTCGGTAGCCACCGTATCGAACTCACACTTCTCCGCTTTCGCATACAGGCCATTTGCCTGCAGCCTCTTCATAACCTCCTTGACCTGACCATCGTGGGTCTCCTGGTCGGAGGAGTAAATAAGTATGTCGTCGAGGTAAACGACGACGCACACATCCAAAAGGTCCTGAACCCCCTTCATCCACCGCTGAAAGGTAGCGGGGGCATTGGTCAAGCCGAACGGCATGACCAAGCATTCGAACAGACCGAAACGTGTAGTAAACGCGGTCTTCCAAATGTCTTCTTCTTTTACGCGTAGCAGGTTGTACGCGCCTCGGAGGTCCATCTTCGTGTAGACCTTCGCGCCCTTCAACCTGTCTAGCGTCTCTGAGATGAGGGGTAGGGGCGTCCTATCCTTCACCGTAATGTCGTTAAGGCGACGGTAGTCGATGCACATACGCATCTCGCCGCCTTTCTTCGGTACAAACAGTACCGGGCTCGAGCAGGGCGACTTCGACGGCCTGATGAACCCCTTCTCCAGATTCTCCTTCAACCACTTCTTTAGCTCCTCACTCTCCCGCTGGGAGTGGTTATAGAGCTTCTGATACGTCGGCGACGTACCGGGTTTGAGTTCGATCGCATGGTCGATCGATCGCTTCGGGGGCAGTGTATCTGCCTTCGTCTTGGAGAACGCTCCAAGATGTTCATGATACTTCTCCGGTACCATGTCCCTCAGCTTCTCCATATACTCGGGAGGATCCAGGTCATCCTGGAACGAGTCTGTAGGTTTGACGTCCCAATCCCACAGGTCCGGGCGCCTCGCCCGCTCGTCGTCCTCCCGGGTCATCTGCATTTGTGCGACGACCAAATCCTCCGTGATAGACCCCTTCATCTTCTTGAACGGGTCGATTCCTCGTGTCTCCACCTCTACTTCGTCCGGAGCATACACCGTCTCGGGCCTCTTGAGACATCCCGTGCTGATGCAGACATCCCCGAACGTCACCGCGTTGGAGTCCCATTGGATATGCGGATTGTGTCTCCGCAGCCAAGGGATACCTAGTACGACCGGGTACCCACTCAAATCGGTGAGGTGGAACTCGGTCAGTTCCAGGTGCACTCCCGTACGTACCAGCGTACGAGCCTTCTGGGTGATCCTTCCTCCCTGGATCTCCCGACCATCGATCACCGTTACTACCCGCGGTGTCTCGAGGTCCGTTACGTCGAATCCATGTAGCGACGCGAATGTCCGATCCATGAACATCCCGGTCGCTCCCGAATCCAACAACATGAGTGCTTGGACCGGCACTCCTTCCGGGTAGAACACTCCTACCAACGTCAGATGGCTATCTGGACCGTTGGGTACTCCGCTTGCACCCAACTGCAAGGGGATCCGGCTACCTCCCTGTGCTCCCCCATTCGGGGTCCTTTGATGATCCGTTATTCTGTAAGGCCCGGGAGCGACCCCCGGCGGGGGTCCCCCTGGACAGGCTGACGGGACGCAGGAATGAGGCAAGGTACGGGTAGACATCTAAATGTAATAACGGATGTAGAGCTATTACAGAGGTACTAGTTCTACATCAAAACAACAACACCGAAAAGTACCCCCGACGGGAGTCGCATACGGGAGTCGCGTACGGCGCGTCCGACGCGTCACGTGATCGCTGTAACATAGCCTGGCTTGAAAAGCGCCTTGATGATCAAGAGGTCAAGCACATCTTTTTGCGAGTAGCATCAATGCCGCAGCCCAAGCAAGGAGGATGGACATGGCCCGGCTCGATGATGAGAAAGCTGAGCTCGAACGGCGCCTGAGGACAATGAGGCAGGATCGGGACCTTGTCAAGAACTCCCTTGTCGCTGCCGAAAGGGATGTTCAGACGCTGACTACTGAACGAAACGAGTCGCAGGAACAGGCTCGAAATCTCAAACGGGAACGGGATAAGGTGCAAGGGCAGGTGAAAACCCTCACGAACGAGGCTCAAACGTCGCAGACGCAGATTCCAAAACTCAAAGAGGAGCGGGACGAATCGCAAACGCAGATTAAAACTCTCACAACAGAACGAGATGATTCCAGGACTCGGGTCGAAACGGTGATCAAAGAGCGAGGCGAATCACGACAGCAGGTTCAGAACCTCTTATGAGAACGGGATGTGTCCAAGAAAGTTGTAAAGACCCTCACCGAGGAAAGGGATACGTCCAGGAAAAATGCAGAGACCCTTACTACGGAACGAGATGCGTCAAGGGAACAGGTCAACACCCTTACGACCGAACGGAACACATCAAGAAATCAGGTAGAGACGTTCTTGAAGGTTGTAGAGACGCTATTGAAGCAGGTCGACCAGCTTGAAACGGTCATCACCGAACGGAACCGACTAAGAACTCAGGTTGAGATGCTGGCAACCGAAAAGAATGCTGTTAAGGGTAAGCCCTGCTGCACCCTTGGTTGCTCCTCTACGTGAGACTTGTACTCAGGCTCTAAACCTACCAATCATATAAGAACTATCTAGTACAGGTGTAGGGATAGATTTGCATTGAAGTGGACCGTCTATATACTCCGGTATGTTGCTGCTGGAGCGTGGCAAGCAGCCACTCTGGTACTCTAGCGGTCAGCCCGTTGCTTGCGTCAATGAATCACGTCTGTCAAGCACGTCCGAGTTGTCTCCCCGAGAGCTCCAGCTAGGGGAACGCCCAGATCACGACGCTGACGATTGACTGGGACGCCTCGAACGCTCAGTTTCAGACGATTACCAAGGAACGGGAAGCCTTGAACGCCTGCTTTCGATTGCTCATAACTCAGGTTAAGAGAAGAGGTTGATAAATCAACGGAATGTGTCAAACGCCCAGGTCGAAAGGCTGACAGATGAGCGGAACACATCGAATGCCCAGGTTCAAATACCTTCGGGAATGTGGTACTGTACAGACGCTTACGACGTTGATTGAGACGCTGATGATTGAACGGATCAAGAGCTCAGGTCGAGACGCTGACGACTCAGTTTCAGGCGATTACCATGGGCCACGGAACGAAACTCATGGGGAGCTTAGGCGAAACGAGAACCGAGGACAATCTTCTCGCAGGCCGACCTTCGCCTAATCTTAGACCCGCCTTCAACACTGCAACTAAACGGTCTTCTCGCTGGATGTTAACCCTTGCTCCTGTCCCTGAGGGCGTTGAGGTCGCGAACAGGCACTGGAGCGGACGTCGAGAGCTAAACGCCCGAGTTCTGGTAATGATAACGTGGTGACTCTTCGATCTTCGAAGATCTCCTGGTCCGGCCTAGAGCTTCAAGAGCGGAACGAGCAGGTTTTCACCATAGATCCATAGACCGAGACCCCGAGGCGTGATTAGCACTTCTTGCCCAGGCCTTACGGGGTCATACTCCGGCTCGATCAGGCTTTTGCTGATACCGTAGATAGCCTCAAAGGCCTCAGACAGTTTTCCTGAGACATGAGACATCGAAGATGCCGATGATCCGGTGAGGAAGCCGAATGATTTCGATCAACTTCTCCCTTAGCCCATAGCCCATAGACAAGTACCTGTCTTCAAACCGTTCGTCAATGGCATTGGATAATACATGGTGACCTGCTCATTGCGTCTCCATCGAGAAAGAGCTTTGCGAGAGAGGTCATTTCCAAAGTGCAGCAGCCAGCAGCCAGCCAGATCTTGGGAGCGAGAGCCCCGCTCGGTGACATGACGCACGTCCACTACATACAAGATGCAAGATGAGATGTCTACATTTGTATCGCTGCTGAACACAGAGGTCACCTCGTACTCTGTTATAGCCATGAACTGATAGCTGAGACCTAGAAATCATCTCCTTCTGCCGGTTCCACGTCACCGCCGTCCATCCGGGCAAAACATTCGAAGGGTTCCCCTTTCGATTGATCCTTTGTCAGGCATAATCTCCGGTTCGACCGTTCCTTTCCCAACTTGACGACCCTCTCATGCTACCTCGCCCATCAGAAAGCTCTGTACGACCTAGAAATCTTCAAGACCCCCTTGCATACCTCGAACAAGGACTACCTCTTGACGACGGCCACAACACGCATTACCGTCCACGACCGCAAAGCCAGCTATATCACGACAGCAAGGGTGCACACGACAGAGAGATGTATGAAAAGACGCATATACGACAGAGGTCAGGGTACTTGTCGCCCACTCTGGGAACGTTTCCCCTTCCTGGAGGTGGCCCAGCGGGGAACGAGGACGCCGGGACGAGACAACGCAAAACCGCTGCCAGAGCGGATCAGCCGATCAATGACACAGCCAATAGCGAAGGGACGGCTGGGTTGGGCGGCTTGGGACTAGGGTTAGGTCTGGAAACTCGAAGAGAAAAGGATGGGCAGGTCGTGTTCGAGAAACCAAGGCAAGAATCAGATCAGGCAGAATCAGCAGGATTGACGGGAAAGGATAAAAAGGCTTTCATCTTGCTTGTTATGCTTTGTAAGTCAATTTGCATACGAGGTTGTACAAGGAAGATGCTGATCTGTCGAGATATCTGTTCATCATCTTCCAGACCTGTGAGTGACTAGAGATCCCACTTCGCTCGGGAGGTCCGGCCGATCGACTGACTCCCTGCCGCATCGCCCAGACTGCAGGGCATCCCAATAGGTTTGACCTTTGGTACAATCCCCTTTCTTCTCAAACCCCACGTCTCCTACTCCCAACTCGCCCTCTTCAGCCTGAGTTCGTGGCCGTACAGTCTCAAGCTGCTTTACAGCCCGATTGTAGACGCTTGGTTCTGGAATCGGCTGGGCAGACGGAAGAGCTGGATCGTACCCGTGCAGATCGTCTTGGCCGTGACCATGTGGATCGTCGGAGGTCGGGTACAGGGTTGGATAGATGCGGTATGTGAGGCGGTCCATCTCGACGAGAGTTTCGGCTTGTCTCGGGTTTCAACAAGCGGGGGACGACTGGCTGAAGCTTGGAATTGCATCCCTTCCCCACCGTCCATAGGAAGAGATCGACGTCCACTTCTTGACATTCATCTTTGTCATGTTCATCTTTTTCGCTGCGACCCAAGACATTGCCGTGGACGGCTGGGCGCTCACGTTACTATCCGGTCCCAACCTCTCCTACGCCTCGACTGCCCAGACGATCGGTCTCACCATCGGATCCACCTTGAGCAACACCGTGTTTCTCGCGCTCAACAGTGTAGAGTTTTCGAATACTTGGTTGCGAAGAGTACCTAGTATCGAGCCTGCGATCACGCTCGAGGGGTATTTGAAGTTTTGGGCAGGGGTTTACCTGGTATTCACCCTCTGGTTGGCCTTTGGCAAGAAGGAAGAGCCAACGAGCGATGATGATCCCGATCTCGACGTTCGCAAGGTGTACACCGTCATGGGCAGTATTTTGAAGCTGAAGAGTGAGTGCAGACTACCTGGAGCATCTGGGACCTTGCTCAAGTGAATCGCCGCCATGCCTCTCTGCTTTGACAGATATTCAATCCTTCCTGGCCGTTCATTTGGTCGCCAAATTCGGTTTTCAGGCCCTCGAGTCCTCTGCCTACAAATTCATGGAAAAGGGTCTACGCAACGAGGACTTTGCCGCGATTCACCTGCTCAATACGCCCTTTGAGCTGTTGGGCGCTTCAGTCGCTGCCAAATGGTCGAGGGGAGACCAACCGTTGAGCGCGTGGCAACAGGCCTTCTGGCCGAGGTATGCCATCGCGGCGATGGTCATGGTCTTGTTTTACGTGTTTCCCGAGGGACATGTGGGGCCAGGGTATATGGGAGCGTTTATCGCGATCACCCTGATGGGCAGTTTCGCTAGGTGAGTGCGAGGTCGTGGGGTCAAAGGGCAAATGCTAATGAACTGGCGTTTTTTTTTTCGGTCGTGGCTGGTCTCTATAGCACCGTGCAATTTGTCGGTGTCACGGCGTTCCACACCCAAATCGCCGACCCCCTGATCGGAGGGACCTACATGACGGCAAGTACAGCATCAATTCGATTCGCCCGAAATGTCTTTCTGACAACAACCCGACCACCAGCTCCTGAACACTGTAACGAACCTCGGTGGAACTTGGCCAAAGGTGAGTCATTCCCATCGAACCTTTTCTGGGCGAGTACGATGCTAAAGCATCCCTCACCCCTGCCGCAGCCCGTCGTCCTTAAAGGCATCGACTACTTTAGCCGATCGTCCTGTCGAATCAAGGAAGAATCAGGCGTGATATCGCTACGAGGTTCGTCGCGGCACTCCCGGGGAACCGCAACATCGACTTGATCTGACAGATAGCTCCCCTCCGTGCTTGCCTTAGCGGCCGAGTGCATCTCGGACCACGGTCGGGCAATCTGCGCTCAGGAAGGCGGCGTATGCGTGACCGAGCGGGATGGGTACTATGCCATGTCCATGATATGTATCGCGGTGGGTGTGATCTTGCTGGTCACTTTCGTATTGCCAACGACACGCCGACTTCAGAGTGAGTTCAAAGCCGAGCCGTATCAATGATCGCGTCACTGACGTATGGCGGCGTCATTTTTCGCTAGATCTGCCAATGTCTGCATGGAGGGTCAAGATCCCGACCTAGATCGGGTTTGTCGACGAGGCGAGATTTGTAAACTTGTAACAACCAGGTTTGCGTGCGATCATGAGGCATCCAGGGGTTCGTGCCCAGCTGTTGAAGCGATGTCGTTGTTGCCCATGTCCAAGTCTGTCGAGGATGGGAGGTAGTTTACGAATCCAGGCACATAAGCTACTTTCGTCCTCCCGCGTGACGTAACTTGCGAGTCGGAAGAGGTTGGTTGAAAGAGGTTCGATTCGAAAGTGATCAAGTGGCAAGTGGTGTCGTGGAAGGTGGCTCGACCTGGAACTTGTCATGCAATTTTTTACCTTGCAAAGCATAGTCTAAACACCGACAAGAACATCATCCAGACCCTCTCGAAGATGCCTCCCAAACTGTCGGGCTCGGCGCTCGAAATTGACGAGGAAGATTGCCGCATTCCGCCGAAGCTCGACTTTCGCTGGTCACATTCCGGCTCTTCCCATCTCTCGTTGCTTTCGACGCCTCTTACACAGACCAAGACTATCACCTATGCGGCCTTTTCTGTGCTTGAGAATGAGAATCTCGAGGCGGCATTCAACGCTCTCAAGCCGGCCGAAAGGGAGGCTGCTTTGCGCAAGATGGGCGAGTGGAAGGAGGACAAGAAGGAAGAGCCTACTGCTACTGCTTCCAGTGGCTCAACAGACAAGGATCGCAAGGGAGAGAAGAGGGAGTACAAGGAAGGCGAGGTTTTGGTGGGGGACATGTCGGACATGGACAGGAACGTCGGAAGGAGACCCAGCGCGACTCCGAGCATGGATGCGGACAAGTACCCTGATCCGGATTCACAGCCTATCGAGCCTATACCGGATGATACCCCGGAGGAGGAGGATTATGACAAGATCAAGGGAGTTCCTGTTGCTCAGGATGGGTTGTTCGAGGTGGACCTCACGACAATGTCTTTGTTCCCCGTCTTTTGGGCTCATACGGGAGCGCGGGTACCGGTCATCCGAGCCACCTGGTTCTTGGAGGACGAGACCAAGCCGTGTAGCTGGGAACTAGCCGAAGAGCTCGAGAAGGGTTATCAGTGAGTGCCTGCGAGAGCAATGACTGCTTCCTGGCCGAGTTTGGTCGAGTCTGACGTATTCATGTTTTCATGCGACCTAGGGAGATCAAACCTTGGCTGCCATCTTACCCTCAAGAGCTACAGAAAGCCATCGAACAGGGAGCTTCGGCAGAAGAAAAACTAAAGTATCCCATGCCAGCCAAGTTCAATGTTGGCACGAGCGTGGTCTACCAGAACAAGGAGTGCGGGCAGTTTGTTCAGTCAGTCGAAGCGATGTCGATCGGTCGCCGCATGGTAGGACGAATGTGCTGACGTAGAATTGCACCCCTTTACTAGATCCGGAATGGGTTCCTACCTGAACAAATTGTTCTGGACCTCGTTCAGAAGCAAGCCGGGCGGAATTACCGTCTACCGGGGATATTCGGCTGCTCTACGAGGTAGTGGACACGAGAAGAAGCTGTCTGTCTCGGCACCGGGGTCCAGAAGGGGCAGCACGAGTTCCCGCAGAGGGAGCACTAGCAGCAACATCAGCGCCGGCAACGAGGACAAGAAGGACAAAGACAAGGACAAGGAAGCGGAACCCAAGGATAAGCCAAAGGAAAAGACCAAAGCCAAATCGGGATTGAGAAAGAGCCTCGACTTTGCGATCGGGAGTGCGGGGCTGAAAAAGTCTCAACCTGCGCCTGGCAACAACGAAGTCAAATCAGACTTATTGGTGCCACCGCCGCAACCACGGCCCAACCGGCAGGTCTCCCAGATCATGGAAGAATCGCTCAACGGACAGGGAGAGACGTATCAGAAGAAGAAACCGCAGGTCAAGGACGCTCTAGATGAGGAGCAGATTCCCATGACCGCCGACGAGGACGATGCGGAGGAATGTACCGATTTGATTTTGGTCATCCACGGCATAGGTACGTCAGAAGAGGGTTGCGAGCTTGGTCTCTAGATGGGCTCAAAGTGCCAATCGCCCCGCAGGTCAGCAGCTCGCGACGACGTACGAAGGATTCAACTTTGTCTATGCGACCAACATGCTCCGACAGGTTATGAAGTAGGTGTTGGCTCGTATTGCATCGTCTCGTCCAGTGAGCTGACAAGGCTTTTTGAACCTCTAGGCAACAATCGGCAAACCCGGCTCTTGCTAGCATAATACGAGATCGCCGAGTGCAGATCTTGCCCATCCAATGGCGAGCCTCGTTGCAGCTGGCCGAACGTGGAGACGAGGATGTTCAACATGGACTAGATAACAGGTTCACCATGTCAGGTACGGGCCGACGCTGTCACCGCAAGCGAGACCGCGCTTACTGGAACGACTGACACTCAACAGACATCACGCTCCCCAAGATTCCAGCAATCAGACAGATCACCAACTCGGTCTTGCTCGACGTCCCCTTGTTCATGTCTCAGCATCGGCAGTCGATGATCGAGGCCGTATGTGTACAGGCGAACAAGGCCTACCGAATGTGGTGTGCCAGGAATCCAGGGTTCGACAGCAAAGGTCGAGTGCATATCATCGGTCATTCCGTGAGTGTCTCTTGGAGGTAAATTGGTTGGAAGAGTGAGTGCTGATTAGCTCGCGCGACTCGTTGCAGCTGGGGTCCGCGTTGGCAGCCCACATCCTGTCCAATCAGCCGACACAGATGCCTCCCATAGCGGATCTGCCCAAGGTCGTTAAAGATGACGCCAAGACGCAGTTCATCTTGTGAGTACGGAGAGGTAGCGCATGCGAGGCATACAAGCTGATTGAAATTTGTGCGCATAGCAACACCTCGAACCTGTTCCTCTGCGGATCACCTCTGGGCATCTTTTTGCACATTGACCAGGCGCAGATCATCCCTCGAAAGGGAAGGGAGCGGACGATGCGTGAGTTGATGGCAGAGACCGTTATGTTGCCAAGGCGGTTGCTGACTACCCTCGGTCTCTAGATTCGCCGCCAGACGAGGCTGTAGGTCATGACCGCGATTGAGCCAACGCTAGGCTGCACGCTAACGCCTCTCCCCGCAGCTCGACCGCGCTGGACGATTCGGATGCATGGCCGTCGACAGTCTTTACAACATCTGCCACTATTCCGACCCCGTCGCCTATACCCTCACGGCCACGGTCGACTCGGAGATCGCACGTGATCGCCCTCCACTCCCGATCACGAGCGTCACGTCGCCATTTTACGCGACCGTGACCGACCCGATCAGGGATTTGGGCAAATACTTTGACGGGATCCCGTTCATCACCAGTAGCAGTAGCGGGAGCGGCACGCCCAACAAGGGGAACAAGGACGCCGGGGGTGCGCCGGGGACCGAACTGCAGAGGAAACCGATCATGGTCCGGTTGCCAAGCGGTATCGAGGTGCGTCGGGGCGCATCATCGCCGTTTCATCGTGTGCGAGGAAGAATATCGAACTGAAACGTTGCGCGCGCACAGATGATGGGTCCTGCCGGTGAAGAACGTTTACAAGGCTCTCGAGGCGAACGACGATTGAACGCCTTGAATCCTCATGGGAACATTGATTTCATGTTGCCCAGCGCCGGGATGAGCGAGTACTTGGGTGAGGCATCAGTTGCTTTGGAGATGCGATAGGTGCCAGAGGCTGATGGCGATGTTGCGATTGCAGACGCCTTGACGAGTCACGGAGCGTACTGGTCGGACCCCAGTTTCGGAGCGTTCATGCTAGCAGGCGAGTCGTCAATCTTCTCCTCATTACCTTCCAAGTTTAGCGACGCTGATGCACGCCCACCTTGATGCTGTCTTCTCCCCTTGTCGTCTTATAGAGATCTATTCGACCAAGCTCGACCTCTTGCGCACCGGGATGGGACTGGCGAGACAACATGGAGTCGGGATCGTCGGGGCTGAAGACACGGTGTGAGCGTGGTTGCGAATCGTTCGGCTAGATATTCGAGATCAGAGATCCGAGGTTGGTAGAGGAGAGGATATAGATGGCTTGTTTGATCACCGTTCTTGGATCTCTATACACGTAACAGGGAGACCGAGGCAAGCAGGAGTAGCTGCAAGGGACTTCGATATAATAAATACCCATAAAGAACGAAGCAAAGAGGGAGCTGGTCCCACACCCGCTCTTCAGGTGATACAGATCATTACTGTCAAGATAACCGTTGCACCACCGATACACATATCGTTACCGGAACTTTCGAAAGCTGAGATTGAACTGGCATGATCGCTTCGGCAAGTAGAAAGCACAGATCTGAACACCAATCGTCAGGATGAACGCAAATCTGTCAAGTCAACATCAAACATGCGCCTTCCCCATATTCTCGGTGGATCGGTCTGGTGGCTTGTGATACGTGTCTCGGTTGGTGCCTTTTCGGTTTCGGTCCCGAGGCATACGAAACGCCCTCGACGCGATTTAGGTTGCGCGGGTGACACTCCGCCGCTTGGTGGGGGGGGTGGCCGCTTCGAGACCTACGTGCGTGTGGGCAAACATTTCCGTGCATCGCAGATCGCAGAGCAATATGGCAGCTGGCAGTACAGATCTCAAGAAGGTGCTCGTGTTTCCTGTGGTAGATGTCGGACAGGCGGGACCGGGCCATCGAGCTGGGTTTAGGGGCTAGAAATCGGAGTTGGCGAGGGAGCGGGGAAAATCGGAGGCGAAACGTAAATCATCGGATGATCGCATGGGAAGCACGAGACATCGACGTAGCTGGTCCTCTGTTCGGGGTGTTGTTGTTATTTGCTAGTCCTCGGTGCTTGGTGTTGTTGTGCTACTGAATTACTGACCGATCAGGTGACCCGTGTACGTTGTAGTTGAGAGGTGTTCGGCGAGTTTTGCGAGAGTTGCCCGCATGCCCAGCCTCGGCTTAGGCTACGCCACCGCGCAAGTCAGCAGCCTCCCAGGAGCCAATCTGGACACGACAGATTTCTTTCCGGTCACGACGTATCGATCAGTATTTGAATAGACACCGCAAAGTTGCAAATAGTCTACCCGTGTGTGTTTACCTCCGCATTCATTCACGTGGGTTAGTTGTTTCGCATCAATGCTTTGGAGAACGTCTCATAAATAACATATTGTAAAAAAAAAAGAGGGAACGACCCCTCGCATCGATGAACCGGGGACGACCAGCGCCCCCTACAAGAACACATCACCATTATAACGTAGAAAGATCAAAAAAACCTCGTATCAAAGCGCACGAACCCGTAAACCCAACCAAGTCGCAACGATCCGAACCATCAATCATCCTCGAGATCCTCGAGCTCCTCTTCGACGGGCTGATCAGCAGCTTCGAAGAAGGGGGCGTGCAAGACGCAAACATGGCCCGTATCGTGGCCATGCGAGCCGTGGCACAGCTCGTTCCTCTCGATCTCGAAGATCTGCCTCCCAATCTCGAGCGTTTCGGCCTTGCTCAACTGTCCGCGGTAAAGAAGCTTACGGAGCAGCGAGGTGTGTCGTTCCCACGGATGGGTGTTGGCGTTTGCATGCGCCGGACCGTGGAGCGAGGGGAGTGGGTCGCATTTCTTGCCAGTCGACTTGCATGGACCACAGGTCCCCGACGTTGCGGCGGTTTGGCTGGCGGTGATCGTTCCGCGGCAAAGATAAACCGTCCCATATTGGACGCACTTGAGCAAGGGAGGGAACTTAACGCTGTATCCCACCTTGCCCTCGACATCCATCAGATCGTTGGGAAGGTTGTATACGGGAGGAAGTTCCGATCCCGAAATGTCGAAGCATCGACCGCAACACAACCTCCACCCGCCTTGATAACGCATCTAAGAACAGAAGCAACGATGAATTAGCTTTGATACGTCTTATCGATGCGACTCAGATACAAAACAGTAAACTTACCAAGTAGGCGTTGATCTGGTTGGTGTCGGGCATCCCGCTCTCGTCCAGAACGATCCAGTCGTTCCATTCCTCGGGGGGTTGGGTCGGCAAGACCGGTCGCTTTTGCTCACGGAGCAACTCTTGGATAACTATCATGCGTGAAATCGAACATCAGCATTGATGAATACCAATCTTGCAAAGCATCGATGCATAAAAACTCACTTCGCTTATCGTTCCTTTTGATGGGAGGGGCGTTCTTGACCCCCTTTGTAAGGCCCGGGAGCGACCCCCGGCGGGGGTCCCCCCTGACAGGCTGACGGGACGCAGGAATGAGGCAAGGTACGGGTAGACATCTAAATGTAATAACGGATGTAGAGCTATTACAGAGGTACTAGTTCTACATCAAAACAACAACACCGAAAAGTACCCCCGACGGGAGTCGCATACGGGAGTCGCGTACGGCGCGTCCGACGCGTCACGTGATCGCTATAACACCCTTCAGCTTCTCGGTCTGGATATTCGCGATGTAACATCCAGTCGAGAGTCGGAAGACCCTCTCCTTATCGATACCGAGTTCAGGCCCGTAATCCGCCTGCGAAGTCTTCTTGTTCTTCCCAGGAGACAGGAGCTGCGCAACCTTCCTCTTCTTCGTTGGAGAGCTCTTTCCCGACTCATCGTCGCCCTCCTGGAGAGCCTTCTGCCACTCGTCTTGCCAATGAGCGAGGGTGTGGAACGCGGCGGGCCAGATCGAGATCGTCGGGGAGGCCAGACTGGCCGGTTTGTCGATCAGGAGGAACGATGCCGACCATATATCGATGCTAACAAACCACAGCAATGATACTCAGAAACGACCTCTCGCATCGATGAATGGGAAAGAAACAACTCACAGAGGGGGTTCGGGAACGAGACTCCCACCTCCACTCCCAGACGCGACAGGCTGTTCGCCAGCGGGAGGGGGAACTTGGCCAAAGGGGGGGACAGGAACTTCGCTCGACATCAATGCGACGGCTTGGTCGAGAGACTGAGATGGTCCTACGTAGCCGTGATTTCGCCTTAGAACTCCTCGTAGGCCGAAGATATCCTCAAACTTGCTGTACAATCGATTCGAGGGAACGATCAGAATCATCTCTAAGCAGGAAAAGTCAGTTTTACTCACACGCCGTTTCGATCGTCCTCCACGATCTGCTCGAGTTCCGTATAGGGAGATCGATTCTTGGGATTGAGAGGGCTTTCTTCATCTATGACAAACTTGGGGGGCATGTATGCGAGGTAAGGATGTGTTGTAGTCGAGAGGAAAGTCGTGTTGATGAATGAATGAGAGGGAAAGGAGAGATATATGTATCCAGCGCGTCGATAAGGAGTTTTGTTGTTTTCCTTTTGTCATGACGCGTTGTTCCTCTAACCGATGATGTAAACAAAGAAAGAACTTGATGAACGCGAACCAAAGGAACGTAGGATTGATGCGACGACAAAGGAGAAGATGAAACGTTGGTGGTACAGGCGGAAACAGGAGCGGACGCGTCGATGTTCATCAAACATCTATTGCATCGTCCACTGCTGCCTTCCCTGCGTGTCGATGCGTGGTTGCGTCATAGCCAAAGGTGGTGGAGGCATAGACATGAAAGGGATTGACGCGTGGGAAGTTTGACTTGCTGTTGCCAGGAGCAACGATGACGTGGAAGCCAGCGGCCTGACGACGTGCTGATACCCTGCAAAGCTGGAGGAAGGAACGACGCCTTGCATGGTTGCTTGTGATTGAGAGTGTTGTAAAGTCGAGAGGGATCTTTGCTCTGCCGTTTGTGAGCTAGATACCATTTGAAGCAGCCTCGCTTCGTTCCCCTTATTGCACTTGCGACTGTTCTTGTTGTGACCTGGCTGCTTGCATGCGCCGCATTTCCGAATAGTTTTGGGCTTCTCGACGTTCTCATGAGCACTTCGTACGCGTTGGGTCGAAGCTGTGGGTGCGTAGATGTCTTGAGGAGGAACGACCCCTTGCAAACGTTCTGTAGCAGATGGTTGTTGTGAACGAGGCAACGATGCGATTGTGCCATCCGTTTGGCTCGGTCGAACGGTTGTTACACGTCCAATCTTTGCCTTTCGAGCAGGGTTCAAGACTGTTGGCGAGTCGTTCTCCCGTATCGATGATTCAGATGGTTCCTCCAAGTAAGGATTGTTGATCCGAGGTGCAGTGGAAGTTTCCACTTCTTCTTCGATATGGAAGAACTCTCGAGGATCGATACGAGGTGTATATTTCCCAATCTTCTTTGCGTCTTGTACCAAACTGCTCTCTTGTACGATGTGCCAGTACGGGTGAAAGTCGTCCAGAACAAACGGTAGGCGTCTTCGATTCTGGATGTAATCGTCGCAATCATGCTGACAAGGTAATCCCAATGACGATCGCATCCCTCCAGAGCAAGGATTAAGAGGAACTTCCTTCTTCAAAGCACTCTTCGCAGGATAGTAAGACCGTTCTAGCACCAACAGGATCGCTCGCCGAGATACTTTCCCTCGAACCTATAACCAGTATGTGAGTCTCGCATCGATCCTGACAAACGATTCGACTCACAAGAGCAAAGCAATCAGGCAAGTGTAACAACTTGGCGCGATGTTCAATCGCATGCTCGAGAAAGATCTTTGCTTGTGTTGCACTCATGTATCGGAGAACGTTCTTCGTAGTCTGGAAGAGGTTCCCTGTGGTGCCATTCAAAGACCTCTTTATCGCTGCATGGGAACTTTCCGCTACAGACGTTGCGATGTTGTTGAAATGTAACAATCCGTTGGTGAGATGTTTCGTAAAGTGCTGTTTGTCCTTGAAAAGATTGACCATGTACGTGCATGCAGCGGATGTAAGCGGTTTATCAATGCCATAGAGCTTTGTGAAGTCTTCAAGCATCGATGCAAAGCATTCTTGAGTAGGAGCTTGAACGATAGCAGTCCATCCGGCCAACATTGCGTTGAATGTTTCCTCTGCTAGGCCCGGTTTGCAATTCGTTACGATGTTCTTGTTGATATGCCAAATGCAGAGTAACTGATTCCACTCGGGGAATGTAGTCGACAATGCGTTGCGTAGACCCTTCTCATTGTCTGTGAGCACCGTTGCGACAGGTAGATCCTCCCCCATGATTGCCTTGAGAGATTGCATCGCCCATAAGTAGTCGACTTCCTTCTCTCTTGCAAGAAAGGCGAATGCGACGGTAAAAGACGTGTTTGCGCAAGTCGTGGCTACCACATTGAGCAAAGGTAACTGGTACATGTTCGTCTTATAGGTGCAGTCCATGTATAAGACGTATCCATAACGTCGCATCAATGCGAGTGCCATCGGCTCTGTAATGATGAGGTGCGTCAATTCGCCGACTGAACCAACTTTATGTCTAAAATTGAATCCAGCCTCTTTGAGCTGCGTCATCAATTCGTCGGTAAAGGTCCTGCCTTGATTTCCATAGGAAAAATACCGTGTCTTGAGGTTGTAGATCTCTCGAATCGAGACATATGTGGAACGATGCTCTCGATCTGCGAGTTGTCGTACGAGCTCAAGGATCTTGCTGGCGGAAATTCCCGCGTTAAATGATGCGATGATTGCATCCTTTTCATTATCGGTAGGTTTTCGATGCTGATGATGCGTACGAGGGGTATCATCTGGCTCATGGTTGTGTTCTACATGTTTCGGCGTATAGATCCACTTCTTATTTGCGTCCAGGCGAGCGTAAAGTTTGAACGGACAACCTGTGCGTTTGCTTCTAGGATGCTTCGTACGGATGCGACCAAATGTCTTTATGTATGGATGAGTGACGCGATGATGCCCCTCTAAAGTGCAGCAGATGTATGCACTTCGAACTATGCCTCTGGTTTTTGTGGTATTAAGGATCCGTACTGCATATCCTTGTAATCGAGCTGACGCATTGATCCGATCGATCAACGCGTTGAGTGTTTCTTGAGGAGAAATTGCGGGAGGTATAGTCGTAAAGGAAGGTGTGGGGGCGGGAGGGATGTTTGCGGGGGGTCCTTCATCTTCAACGTTGATGTAGTCTGCTATCTCGAAATGATCCTCTGGATCTTGATCTATCTCTATGATATCCAGTTCTCTCGCATCGTTGATAGGGGAAGGCAGGGGAGAATTGATCAACTGCTGCTCAACAGCGTAGATTTGATCTTTGTAGGAAGACAGGAAGGCTTGCATGTTTGCGTGTGATCTTTAAAGAGTGTGGGTAACGAGGTAAGGATCCTGTTGCGAGCTGAAACGTAATGATGCAGAGGAGGATGATCGACAAGAGATCAAGAGAGGAACGTTTGGAAGCATCTTAGCGAGAGAACAATACATGGAACAATGTGAGGTGGATCATTGCTCGACAAAGGTAAGAGTCACGTGAGCAAAGCATAGATTCATTTGCAACTTTGCGGTGTCTATTCAAATACTGATCGATACGTCGTGACCGGAAAAACGTCTGTCGTGTCCAGATTGGTTCCTCAGCCTCCCTAGCTCCCCTAGCTACACCTCGTTGTACACCGGCCGGTAGCAACCACCCCGACCTCACATGTACTCACAACAACATACGAGGTCGAACGAGGAATCCAGCTTCCAGCTAGTCACAAGCTAGACCTACGTACGCTAGAAGAAACATCCCTGTAGTCAGTACCATCTAGGTCGTGTTGAACGAGGACCGGCGTCTTTTCCCTCATCGAGCATCCGGGGAAAGCGAGCGCCAAGAAACTGGCAACTAGCAAAAAGGAGGCAGAAAGAGCCGAAAGCTAGAAGGGGATACTCTGACTTTCGACGTCGTCCTTTCGAACATCGTCCATTCGATTCTGCGCTCTGTCATCATCGACGTCGACGACAACATCGCCTTTGACTGTTGGGACGTCTGGCGAAGTGCATCAAGAGCGAGCCCGATAAGTAGTCCTACCCGGACTTGCCGAAAGCGACACCCACCATCCTCACCTACATCGACCTCGCGATTCATCAAACCATCAACTCACCTTTGACCTCGACAACCGAGAAACAACCGGGAACAACAACGATCACGCGGTCGACAACCTACTTACTGTTTTGTCTCGCCGACGGATCTGAACATGCCTGAACTAGCCTCGGTCCCCTCCCGTCAAGCTCGTCGATCAGCCAGCCCTGGCCCCGGTCCATCGACGCTACAGGCACAGGCGAGACGGTACGGCCAGGCAGGCTCTGGATCTGGGTCTGGACTGAGGATGGAGCGGACTCGGAAGGATGACCGGGAGATGGAGATGAGGGGCAGGAGAGGAGCGGGTGGGTCGCATTTGGAGGTCAGACAGGATCCAGGACAACCACAACAATCACCCAGCTCGGAGTCTTTGGGAAGCGAGACCGGAGCATCGCCGACTAGCCCCGGGGTGGATTCGTCGATGGCGGCCTCGTCCACCACAAGACCGTTGTTCTTTAGCGGGACGTCTACGAGCATGCCCGTCCCCACGCCCACATCTCAGTCGTTCACTGGAACGGACACGGGAATCATCCCCGTCGTCTCGTCCTCTTTCTCCGGGACCGATGTGCAAGCTACAGCAACTCCTACAAGCACGGACACGAACACCCTTGCCCCCTCGCCTTCCTCCTCCGACTACAACTTCAACTCCAGCTCCAGTTACACCCTGACGAGTTCGGACTTGTGGACCCCTACGGCTACGGCCGCATTGCCCGGTTCACCCACCCTGGCCGTCTACGTGCCCGTGGCGGGACAACCGTTGGAACAGGGACAGAATGGGTTGATTGCAAACTTGACGCTGGCAGGGGACGACGTGGATCAGTCGTGAGTCGGCGTTTTGCGCCTCCGTGTCTCTCTGTTCCTACGCGGCCTCTCAATTAGATGGAGACGCAGGAGGCTCAATGGGTTGTTACTGATCACGATGCTCTTGCTTTGTTTCATTTCGTTGCGGGGACGTTCGCAGGGTATACTCGGTCCCGGTCGTCTTTGGGCACGCGAGCACGGGGTCGTCGACGAATCGACTGGGGAAACGGGCGGGAGAGTATCAGACGATGAGGTTGGCAGTGGATTTGGGGAGTAGCGATCTGGTGAGCGGCGGGTCGTCATTTACAACATGATGAAAATCAGCGACTGATGATGTGAATGTCCGCCGGCTCGCATCCGCAGTGGATCGCCGCGTCGACGTGTACGACCTCGGACTGTAAAGGCTCAGGAGTTCGCAAGTTCAACGCTGGGTTGAGTATCGATTCGGGGCAGTATATCAACCTGCAATACCACCAAGGGTCCGTTTCGGGTAGCGTCTACTGGGACGAGCTCCAGATTGGGGTGACGGAGGACCAGATCGAGACGAGCGTCAACGGGACTGGTCGGGGCGGGGCGACGGGATTCGACATCGGGTTCCAGGCGTTTATCGCTGCCGATCAGGTGACGGATGAAGATTTGAGTGGAGGTGAATTCGATGGGATCCTCGGGCTGGCTTTACCTGCCAACTCGATCATCCAGAGTTTCATTCCCGGTTCGACGACGGGTCAGCCGGACGGGGCGACCTTTTTGGAAAACCTGTTTGGGCTCGGACCAGGGGCGCCGATCGGGAGGTACGTCTCGATGAGTCTGGAGAGGAGGGGAGATACGAGGACGAGCAGCTCGTTGGGGTTGGGCATGTACGATGAGACGTTGTGTCCGGGGAAATGTCTGCCGAGTTACAACCCCGTCGTCACGTCGGTGCACGGGCCGCTTTACTGGAGGATTCTCTTGCAGGCCGTCAATGTCGGTGAGTAGCATCAGTCGTTGTCGCCAGACGCCCACCATGTTGACGACGCACGCTAGCGGTCTGGCCCTCGGACCCCTCGACGGGACCCCCTGTAAATCACCGGATCAGTATGCCATCGAGCACGACCACGCAGCAGAGTTATCCGGTCGCCGTCCTCGATTCGGGAGGGAGTCAGATGTTGTTTGGGAATCGAGATTTCTTGAATTCGATCTATGGCATATATGGGAGTGAGTATGCGGAGGCAAGGGGTCGCCTGGTTGGGAACACCACTTACGTTTGTGTTCGTTCTCGACAACGTGCCAGTCGGACCCTCGTCGGACGGAAAATGTGAGTTGCCGGTATAGCCTCAACGCGACCGGCTCGTGATTCTTCGCTAAACCCACGACCCCATCCCACAGACTACATGTCCTGTACTCAGCTCATGTCCATCAGCTTTACTTTCAACGGGCAAGACTATCCTATCCATCCGCTCGACCTCTCGGACAATACGGGCGATACGCAAAATTGCATCGGCAGCATGCAGTACGCGGATGGCCTGGCTGCAGGGGACGTCATTCTCGGTAGCACCTTTTTGAAGAATGTGTGAGTTTGAGGTGGTCCACGACGACAGCTGAGGGCAAGACTGAACGTACGGGCTTTCCCTTCGCAGCTACTCGATCTACACGTACCCGGCCGGCTCGACCAAGACGCGATCGCAGCCACCCCTCGTCGGTCTCGTCTCGCTCACCAACAGTACCCAGGCGGCTTCGGAGTTTTACGCCGTGCGGGACCAGCATCAACCCTTGACACCGGACGCCTCTGGCAACGTCGGTATCAACCCGGACCCTCGCGCCGCAGGTAGAGCCGTCTCCGGAGGGATCATCGCATTGTCTGTCGTGCTCGGGTTCGTCGCCCTGGCCGGTGGCATCTTTTGCGCCTGGTTCTTCTGGCTCCGACGCAAGTATGGACAAGACGGCGTCGTACTTGGAGCCAAGGCGCGCAAGAGAAAGGGGTCTCAGCCGAGCGAGGGGGGCGGTGCGGGGCTCGACGACGAGGACGAGGAAGTCGACGTCGTGACTCGGGCGAGACGGGCTAGAAAGTTCAAGAGCATGCAGAGGCAAAAGAGCATGATCGATGGATACTCGGATTTCGACGTCGATACCACTTGGTCGGCCGACGCGGACGATAGCGTGACGGCGGGAGGGGCCAAGGCCGACTACGACCCGGTCAAATCGGACGTCACGGACGGGATTGCAACGCTGGAAAAGGAGGCGACGACTCGATCTGCAGACGGTCTGGCGGCGAGAAGGAGCCGAGCGAGGATCTCGGCCTGGGAAGGGGCTTACCCGCCCACCGGGTGGAAGGCGACAGACACGCGTTCCAGCGGGAGGGCTGTGAGTGGGGTGGGCTACGACAGAGACGGGGTCCAGACGCACGATCGCACTGGATCCGCCTCGACCATGGCCACGAGTACCACCACTAGGACGACCATTCAAGAGGAGGATGAACTCCCACCTATGGCCTCGAAGCGGTTTGCAGATCAGCCCGCTTCGCCTTCCCGGGAGGCTCTCCTCGCGGACCACTACGAGTTGGGCATCCGAAGCCCGGAGCGAGGGAGTAAAAGTGGGGACTTTACGGACGGGTCGATCTTGAGGATCACGGACCCGGCGCAAGGTCGGCGGTTGTGAGCGGGTGGTGAGACGTGCTGTAGCGCTTTGGCATATTGTAGTACAGATTATGGAACGGACGGTTGGTAGTGAATATGTAGCGATGAGCATGTTTTTGGATATTTATTTGTCAATCCAGCTCTAATCGTCGGCATACGCTCAGCCTGTTTTGGATTCCCAGCTATGGTTACGTAAGCGGATTCCCCCCTTTGATAGGCTCCGCTCTCCTTTTTCCCTTTCTTGTTTCAGCCCTCGTATATCGACCCGATAAACTTCTCGAGATACGCATCAATGCCGGACAATACACTGTTGTATCTACTACTACATTCAAGCTTACAACTGGACACACAGACGGGTCTCTACCGCTATCAAACGTAGATCGTCCTCGTTTGAACGACCGCCAAAGCCACGATTTCTCCCTAACCCATCGCAACCATCTCCACTATGTTGAGGAGAAAGATGCCGAGTGAGTGCAACGGCGTCTCGAGTGAATTGCTAGAAAGCTGAGGAGCCATACTCCAGCAAAAGGGACGCCCGCTCAGGACTTCGGATACTCTCTTCCAGCTTTCTTGCACGTCCTGCCCATCAGCAAAGCATGGAAGATGAGCGGCCGCCAGCTACTGACCTCCATTCTCAGCACAACATCGATCCTGTCGTAAGAATATTCCTAATGCTTGGTTTGGCGCCGTTATCGGCTCATACAGAGACCTTTCGGCAGCTTCGTATCGCCTACGTTAGGTCTCTACTTCTCATCAACCATCTACACCCTGTGGAACACATATCTCATCACTGGCTACGGGATTCTCCACCCTCAAAAAGCCATGGCACTGCATATGGTCCTCTTCATGAAGATCATCTTGTCGATCCTACAGCATCTATCAGTCTCCTCCTTCTTGGGCCCAGCTTGGTGCCTCATCATTCCTAGCTTGATGACCTATAATCTCGGGAACGGCGTAATCGTAGGCCACATGATGTTACAGCTGGGTCGATCGGGGGTTTCGCAAGTGATCTTTCCACCGCTCGTATCATTTGAGAAGATCAATGATTTCGGCGGTCTGGATAAGTTGGTGAGTTCAGTGACACATGAGAAGCTTAATACTGGATACCGACGAATCGGCTATCGTCAGGCTCGGCATATCGTTCCGGGACTGCACGAATCAGTGCAAGTTATCGCTTCCAGGTGTGGCATGCGGATCCGAATAGAGCAAATCGTAGGTATTCTCCCACCAATGCATCTGTTTGAAATCTATTCGATGAAGAAAGACTATTGATATATCCTCACTCTTCGATTAAACCGCAGTGGCTCTCTTCGACCGCGATCCTCGTCATCTTACAGTGAGTTGGGGATACAGAATCCGCCGATGTGACAGTGCAAATACAGGGCACTGACCTCGTCTGTTCTAGTCAAGCGGGCTACAACGGGCTCGGAATAGCGCTGGAATTCATGAGTTGGTACAATTTACCACTATCCTCCTACACGGTCCACCCGCACTGAACACGGTCTCGTCCTCGAGCAGACACCTTCAAAGTTTGGTACAGCCTCCGAATCATCCTCTGGCCGACCACCAGCCCAGACTATAGAAAGATATGCGAGAACGTCTTCAGCTTCTGGATCCTGGCGGAGATGATCGATATGACAGGCGATATTCCGCTTGTTGGGCCGTTTGTGTTAAGCCACGAAAGGGTCATGGCTGTTATTTCGACGCTAGCGATCATCATTGGGTTGACCGGGTATGGCTCTAGGGACGGGGTGAGTGTGACGCCTGGAGGATCATCGTTGGTATGGATTCACTAACCATATACTCGGACACAGTACTCTCGTTTGATCATCAAGCTGCTGTTGGACATTTAACAAGCGCGTGCGGTATCCAGCGTATCAGACTCAGTGTGCGACTCCGCGTTGTGAGGATAACGAATTGAGCGTCCTCTGAAATTCTCGCTAAACCCTACCGTATGGTGTGTGCTATCGAAACGAGATTAGCTGTGCTGTAAAATAAACTTGGTTCACTGCGTAAAGGTGCAAGGGAAGCGGCTGAGGGCCTCAAACCCCGAATGTCCGTTGACCAGGGATATGGCACTCCTGCGGATCGTCGATAGATCATCCCTTGACCTTGACCTTAACTCAAGCACTCAATCTCGGTCAGTCCACGAGAATCATCAAAAGTGTCACCAAGCGCGTCAATGCCAAGCCGCTGGTTGCATATGCATGCCTATAAGCAATACATTTGCTGGTATGAATCTTGCTTGACACGTGTATACTTCAACGCTTCCCCCACTTCGGTTTTCTTTTCCCCCTTTTCCCCTTTTTTCCGCTTTTTTCCCTGCAGACTGGATATGGATCGCTGGCTAACGCTTCATCGCGTGCTGTGATGACCAGAAAACCCCTTCCAACTAGCAGGTGCAGTTTTGGTCTCTCTACTAGAAGTTGCGTTTGTACCAGCAGTGCTGACGCTCCCTGCAAGGGATGACGGCGTAAAAGAGTACGGTATGGTCATGGAGCTTCCCTGATTGTCCATTAGGTGTATAGACATCTCCGTGACGTTGTCCCAATTGAATGACTGGGTTGCAAGAGGAGCATACCTGTATGGATTCTGTGCGTTGACAGAACCGCGAGCTGTGATCCGCAAGGCATTCCACTCCTGGCCGTTTGCGTCGAAGGTCTGATGGTCGGCAAAGCTCACAGGGCAGCCGGTCTCGGAATTGTGTGAGCCTTCCCTGTGTTTGGAGTCACCATTCTTGCCGTAGAGATCGCGTTTTGGTCTGGTCCTTCTAGGCGCCTGACGTTCTGCTTTTGTCATTGGAGTATCTTTTCGACGTGAAGGTACGCCCCCGGTGCGGGATACGCTTTGCAGACTGGAAGCAGTGGTCTGCACCTGGAGCGAGGCGGCGTCAAGCATCTTGGTCACGCCATCAAGGGCTGAGTCTGCAACCTCCTCCTCATCGGTATCCCCGAAGGTACTCTGAGCATCCTCAAACTCGTTGTCAGACGAGAATTCATCATCGGTCGGCCTTTCGACAGGCTTCTTTCCAGTGACGTCTGTCTTGACGGTACCCTGACCTCGAGTCATCTGCGCCTTAGGCCCTGTCGGCACGCCCGACTCCTCCGCCCATGCTCTTTGCGCGGCCTTTCTCCTCTGCACACTTTTCCCTCCACGCGTGGGCTTACGCTTTTTCATTCCCCTATTGTCGCTCGCTGCATCCTGTCTGTCTTCTGCATGACCTCGTTGGAAGTCGGACTTTTGGGGACTCGGCGCTTTGCCTGAGTTCTGTGAAGCCGAATTTTTTGAAAAGGCCATAGTACAGGAGCAAGGGAGTCGTTTGATTTGAAGCGGGTAGGGGGTCCTGGTAAGGCAGTGGGGAAGGGGGTTCGAGTGAAGTGGGGACTTGTAATTATGTTAACTAGATTCAGTTTGTCCTTGCAATTGTCCAAAAACGTAGCCCTTATATAATAATTCGGTCGGATCTTCGGCTGTGCAATCAAACAATGAATGGCGTATGAAGCGGAGGACTTTCGAGCGGAGTACCGGGATGCGTGATATGAGCCCATCAGTACAAAGGACAGACGGATGGCATCACATGGTGCCATTTGTCGTGCGAATTGCAATATGTCTCGCAAGGACGAGTGATCGATGAACGGGTGTGTGACTGTTCAACCAGCCTGTCAGGCACCCAAGGAGGAAAATATGTCCCCTGTCTCTTCCCAATAATGAATACATGTCTTTAGCAGGACATCTCATGCTGGAGCGTGAACAGTAACGTACACAAGGCCGGTACGGGAAACATGAGTCGCGACCCTCGAAACATGGAAACGAACTTCACAGATGCACGATGCCGTGACATGGCGTGCAAACAGCTTGATCAACGGGATCGAGCTCGACGAGCCTTCCATTGATCATATCGTTGACGATCTATCGATTGATAAACTGTTAAACTGTAGTCCCGTGACGGGCTGATCACTGAACCTTGCGCCATTCCGCCTCTCTCGCGATACGGACATTCGGATGAGATCCGCGTTCCGCACGTCATTCTTATCCCTGAAACGCGCATCGAATGCATGATGCAATCAGTCGTGACAAGGGTTAATGAAACTGAATGGCGCAAGACACGCAGTGTATATGCAACATGGCGACACCTGGATGAAGCTTCTCCGGACCGATCATCTGACCTGACGTTATGACCAGACCGCTCTCGCCATATCGATTCACTCTGTGCTTCTCCGCCGAGCCGCAGCAGACTCATCAAAGGCCTGTGAGTTTGACACCGAAAGCCCTTTCGTTTATTTTCCTCTCGGCCTCTCGCATACCCTTCTTCGCCGCCTGTCTCGAATCCCTTCGGGCGACAGGAGGCCATGGAACACTGCATATCCGCCGCGAAAGCGCGATTTCCCCTTCATCAGTTGTTCGAAAGACCATTCGCCACGATCGTACGATATAGCGATCACGCCATACAGATAAGGCGGCTCCATCTAGATGTTGCCTTGTGGGAACATTGAGCTCTCCTTTAATGGATGTAATAGTAGGATCGTTGACTGCGGGCGCAGCCCAGGGGCGCGGCTAGTCATACGGAACGACTGACACCTGACGCTACTCGGAGGAGATGTCGGTCCCGTGGTTCCGACGGTCCTCCTTAGTCTCGATGGACACCGGACCAACAGCTATACCTTGCTCGATTCAGATTATCGTATACTGTCAGGACATACAGAGGGATGACCGCCTGGCACTTTTGGCAGCAGGGATTTTCCACGACAACCTCAGCATTTACTGGAAAAAATCTACTTGCCGCCTGTTCGCGCTGTCAACGGACAAATTGCAGTTTGCATACGGAACACAAGGTCTTACTCTCGCAATCTCTTCTCTCATCTGTACACTCATTATACGATACACCTGTCCCGTCGTTAAACCTGTGCGCAAGATCGACCAACATGTATACTTCAGATTATTGCTCCTCTTTCACTTCGTCGAAATGTAAAAGCTGTGGATCACAAGGCGAAAAAATGTCGTTGCGTCGATCTGAGTTGAAAATGTCCGGGGACTGATATAATAAGCCACGTAACCTGAACTACGGGTCAGCCTATCGCGACCATCTATCATCTCGCCCCTCAGATGATAGGGGGACGAATTCCTGGTACTTCTTGTCCAGTAGTGTAGGATGACTACCGACATAACTTGCTAATGCCAACGTAGTCTGTCGCTATCCTAGACGAACATTGTGTCCCTGAGATAATGTGTGCGCGGCTCGCATTGCATTGACGTCCGAAGCGCGATTCACAAAGCACCAGTCTGTCTGTCGTGTCGATCGTTCGCCTTTCGAAGATGAGTGGTCAGGGCTGAGAAGACCGGCCTATGGGGATATCTGCCCACCGCCAAAAAAGGTAGACAATCGCGAGGTAGCGGTAGTCGCTCCATCGTCGCACCTCCTTTTTCCGTCTCGCTACTCCTGTGTTATAGCCTTCCTTTGCAAACCCTACGGCCTCTTTGCAACATCTGAAAGGTTCCGGCATCTCTTTTGTCCCAGTTGATGGTTGGTGTAGGCTTCTCCTTTGTCTTCCAGTGAAAAAACAGGTTCAGTCGGACATCTTCGGAAACTTCCTGTTCTGGCCGCACGAACAACCTGAAGCCACTGAACGCCACACCCGCCTAGCGTGACTTCCGTTGATTCAGGAAGCCACCATCTGGCGCATGTTCCTCTCCGCCATCGATTGAACGACAGGGATAAAAGGTCGCATCGAAGGTCGACAATCAGAGATACTGTTCCCTGACCTCGATTATATCCAGCAAACACCAAGCTATCCGTAGACTTGAGCATCGCGAACATGTACCATCCCCAAACTTATCAAGCACGCTTCGACCCAAACGCTGCCCCTCCTCCTCCTCCTCCTCCTCCTCCTCCTCCTCCTCCTCCTCCTCCTCCTCCTCCCCCACCAGCTCAAAACCCTTTCGAACCCTTACCGGTGAATCTATTTCAATGTTGTTCACCTCCCTTACGCCCCCTCGAAAGCTGACCCAAGTTCGCTTTTACCCGTCTTTATTCCTCCTCAGACGTACCCGCCGGGATTCAGTCACATCGATCGACCCGCGAATGAGCCCCGAAGGCCAACTCGGATCAGGCGATTCTTGAGGGACATGCCAGAGTCTGGCTGGGAACCCGATCAAGACGAGAATGCCGTGGAATACTGGGACGATCTGACCCGCGAACAACAAGAAAAGCATCAGGGTGCGGGCAAGATCGAGATCAAAGTTGGCGAAGACGGGAGCTTCCAGCTGTCCTTCAGCGATCCAATCGCGGCGCTGAATACTGGGATGGACCCATTCATCGATCAAGAGGAAGTTGGACAGCCAGGCGAGGACAGCTTGGATCTCCCCTTCGGAAAGACCGTTCTCGCAGATGGAGTATCCATTTCCATACAGGGATCGGCGACTTGTCCGCCTTTGGAGTTGACTCTGGGTTGCATCGTCCCCAAGCATGTCACTCGACTCAAGGATCGAGACGCGGATGACTACGACTTGGGAATGCCTACTGCGCCCCCGCCTCAACACCATCCCGAAGGCCCTCCGGGATCTTTTGCCTCGTCAGGAGCCGAGCCTTCTATTGCTGCCACTGTCAAGTTTCCGCCCAAGTCCATCAATTCATCCATGGCCAACACCTCTCTGGAACCGACCGTGAATGCCCCCTCGCAGACCGACGCTACGTCGACTTCTGTCGGAACGCAGTGACCGCCGCGCGATATGCACTTACAAGAGTATCTCGGTGCGACTGGATTTGGGTGATGTTGCCTCTCCAAGCTCATTTTGTTCGATAGTATGTTGTTGTAAAATCATGCCCTCTCCATGACTGATCTAGAAATTCATGAGGACCCTGCTTCGCCGTTGACTATCAACTTTCGAAGCTGATTTCTGAATATGGCAGCTCATCCGGAAAGACGAGCGGACGGAACAGGCCAGCCAGAACGCCGAGCCTAGTAGATCGCCGACAAGGGTGTTCTGTCTGCACGCCGACCTGGAATCGATTTTCGAGGATAGCTCCGAGGCGACATCTGAAATTATTGCATAATTTCTTGCCAGACGTCCCGCGTTTTGAATGCCCTGACTTCCATCGGGTTGAATACCCACCTATAAAACTCCCCACGTGGTCTTGCCCTTCCACCCTGAACCACTCTTAATTCCCACTGCCAGCGCTACTCATCCAATTGACCCTCGCCTCCTCGCCTCCCCACACGAAATCCTTACCCACCCTCGTCTGATCCGCCTGGATAGGCTGCCAATCGACTGCCCATACTTGACTCCCCGTCTGGGTTGTCGAGAGACAGGCGCGTTGGGCAACGTCCCATAGTCGGAGGGTCGAGTCAGCGCCACTGCGAACGCATGACAAGAGCGATCAGTATCAATGAATTGCGTTGCGCGTCTCCGTTTAGGGAAGTAACTCACCCAGAGACCAAGCCTCTCCCATCCGGACTAGCTCCCAAGCTCAAAACCCAGCTCGAATGTCCCTTCATTTCAGCCACCGCAGCGCTTCCCCTGCCGGACGAACCGGCAGATCCGGCTCGGACGTCGTGCAGAACAATCCGTCGGTCGTCAGATCCGGAGAACAAGTACTGCGAGCACCAAGAAACGGCACGTCAGATCGAGGCGTCTCGCTGAGGCCGGCACACCACTTCGGGAAAAATGCAGAGAACACGCCAGCTCACCTGACTATCTCCGCTCCAGCTCAATGTCCTCACACACATCGCATGCGACGTATGGGTAGCGACGACCTGCCTCGATTCGGTGTCCAGGATCATGATCTGCCCGGATTCCGTCGACAAAGCTAGGGATCTTCCATCTGGGCTCTGGATGCGGAAGGGGTGCGACAGAAGTGATAAAATATACGAAATCAGTATCTGGTAACAAGACAAGACAATTCCAGGGAGAAGGCGGGACGTACGTATTTCAAGCACATCCCAAACTTGCTCTTGCCGGTCTCTACGACCTTTTCCAGCGAGCCCAATCCGTCTCCGCCTTCCTCGGCTAAGTTTTCGTTCTCAGCCTCACTCGCACTGGCACCAGCTCGGAGGTGAGCGGGAAGAGTGTAGAAACCGATTTTGGCAGACTGGCCGGTTGATGCCCAGTGAGACGAAGAAGGGTGGAGGGCTAGGGAGAAAGAGGAGATGACTGTTATCGTTCGGATATGATAGAGGAAAGTAGCGATGTTTAGGTACGACGTGATCGATACCGGGAGATCAAAAGCAGAAGCAAAGTCAGCTCAAGAAAGTTTCATGAGCATCCTCAAAGAAACCCTGCGTAGGACGTAAACGTACCGCTACCGTCTTCCCCTTCTTCCCCGAAAGTCTCCTTCCTCCCTAGAATCTTCCCGCCTTCAACTCCTAGATCGCTCAAGACTACATTCCCCTCGATAGAAGTCGACAACGCTCTGATACCGGATGAGTCGACCGAAAGAGATGAGATACCCAGGCGGTGGGCTCTTAGGTGGACAGTAGGCTTGGCGGGGTTGATTGGTGACCTGTAATCGCGACCAGAGATTGTTCGTCGTAACGGTCAAGAACCAAGGGGCAAAAGGCGAGTATGAGAATGATGCCGAGTCTTGATCGTGGAAATGACAAGCTTAGAGCCGCTTTGACTGACCAAACTCGAACACCTCCATCAGCCGAAGCGGAAACGACCTCGTTCTTATTCGTCCAAGTCAGTTGCCAGACGGCATCCTCGTGAGCTACGATGTGCCATGAGATTGAAGATTGTCGAATCAGCTTTCATATCAGAGAAGGAGTACAGCTTGAAACGGGTTTTCATAGGTAGGTAGAGATGCTGAGCACGATGACTCACGACCCGAAGTCTGATGTTGCAGGAAATGCGTCGACTACGACCTCAAAGTAGCTCATTTTCAGCCAGACGAGCGTTTTATATGGACTATCATGCAATCCACTCACCATGCCTTCAAGCGTATGCGATGTAGCTCTTCAAAAATATCAACTGGCAACTGGACGACCCTATATACGACATCCTCCTTTAGAGCTCACCGTCGGCATGTACCCCCTCTCCATCTCCTCGATCTCTCATCGAAAAGGGGCCGACATATCAATTAATCGTTTTTTAAAAACGTTTACGGCATTGACGGAAGTATTTCTATGTTCCCCCGGAAGCATATCTTGGACCTCGGTGGCTGTGGTATCAACCTCGAATGACCTCACTAACATCAAAGGGGGATGGATACGCTCGACCTCGACTCTTGAACACTATCGACTCACCAGACTAAAATGCAAACGACACCCTGACGACTAATGAAACGACCATAATGACGACGACGGCACATCCCATGCCGCCACCTCCAACCACCTCTCGGACGATCTACGAGCTGTCGAAAGAAGCACACGATGGGCTTCACTTTTCACCGAGATATGCGCTCGAGACGTGGGTCCCCGGTGCCAACTTGAAAGTGTCTGATCGGATGGTTGCTGACGAATATGCTTGATCGTCTTTCAGATGGCGACGCTCAGCAGAAGCGTTGATCAAGAAATCAGAAGAGCATTATCGATCGGGCCAGGTCGACCTCGCTTTCATCCTCATGGCTCGGGCTGCCGTGTAAGCCGGGAACGTTTGCTGCAGCATACGGGTCGTTTCAGCTCAACAGAAGCTGATGCAATCTGTTGGGGGCCGATCCTTGTCACAGGTTGCTGTTAGAAAAGATCCCACAACACCCGGAATACGTGCACGGGTTGACAGAGTATCAACGGGGTCAGCTGCGCAAGGTATGTCGGGCCTGTGCTCGATTTCTATGCCCAGAAAGTGTCGGTGGAAGAATCAATCGCTAAATTCGCCCTTCCTCTATATGTACCTCTTGTGTCCAATTTTCTTGGATCTGCACGGCTCGCGCTGCGGCTTAATCGACTAAATCGGCATTGATCGCCAACTACGCAGGACGGAGAGCAATGTCTGTCGACCTTGACGACGTACAAGTCCATGCTCAACCGAACCGCGCCACCCGCATCGACGCCATCGCCACCACAACTTCCTCCTCTGCCTGTTCAACATGCCGGGTACGCCACGGGTTATTCGCTCGAGGTCCCTTCTTTGCCGCCGCCTCATGCTCCACCACCACCTCAATCGTTGTTACCAGGATCGAGGCCGACCCAAGCAGGAGCCTCCACACCGGCTGCAGGTTCGAGAACGCTCGTCCCCGTCTCAAATCCGGTGCACGAACGGTATTCCAACCCGTATCCACAGCCGCAAGCTCATGCTCAATCTTCAACCTACTCGTACGACCATCACGAACCGTTAATCAACAGCTCCTTGCATCCGATTCCGGTCTCGATTCCACACACCGGCATTCGACTTCTTCCTAATCCACCGGTCGCTCACTCTCAACCCGGATCTCAAGCTCAACCGGACTATCAACCCCGCCAGACGCAGCCCGCCGTATCTGCGTATTCCTCTTACTCGCACGGATCCGACTACAGCGCCCAGGAACGAGCTCGACTCGAGAGGAACAAGGAGATCGAGAACAAGGATTGGGAGTACGCTTGCAAGCTCGCCGAAGAGCAGGAGCGGGAGCGTGACGCGGGATTCGGGTTGGGTAGGATGATGCAAGGGTTGGATATCAACTCGAGAGATGGTCCAACGGGATTGACTGCGATGCCAGATCCGAAGGACTATAAACGGCAATCTGGGATGGCATACGGACCTGGACCGCCGAGCGGAGTTGCAGGCGGTCATGGTGGAAATGCCATCGGATATGGTCAGCCTCATCCGCACGAACACCCGCATGCACGTCATTCCAGTCATCCTCAATTCCATCCTTCGCCAAACCCATACTCGAGCCACCATCAGCAACACGCGTCATTGTCTTCGTCTCCCCACGCGCCGCCTGGTCGACCGATCTCGCACGCCCATGTCCCGGAAGAACCTGGTCGACACATGATACAGCAACCCCGAGGTCGACGCCATTTGAGACCGCTTCAAGTACCCATCTCCCTGATTCCGACCTTTTTGAGGATAGCGTCTTCCCATACTCAACGGGGAATCGAGATGTGCGGTCTCCTTCTCGGTGTCATCCGCCCTGCAAATCACCATCGACACTCTCACTCGCACGCGTCCTCCACGCACCACCGTCGAGGATCCGACGTTTCCATAGCCCAGTCTGTCTTGGGCCATCAAGAAGAAGAATCCGGCGAGCTCGAAGTGCGGGCGTTGTTGATCCCTCGACAGGAAGGGACGTCGGATACGTGCACGATGAAGGAGGAAGAGCGGGTCGTCGGGGTGCAGCTCGAACGGGGGTTGATCGCTCTCGGCTGGGTGAGTTGGAGCTGCTCGTGGCGTCTAGTAACATGACTTACATTGCCCGAGGCTGACGAGCGAGTGAAAATTGCGACTGGCAGATACATACGCACCCGACGCAATCCTGCTTCATGTCGTCCATGGACTTGCACACGCATTCAGCTTACCAGCAAACCTTGCCAGAAGCCATCGCCATCGTCTGTGCTCCACGCAGCGATCCGGCGTGAGTCCGTCGTGGCGTCTTGCAAAGCCCCGTGACCCGCAGCTGCTGAAACCGTTCGACATGACTGTTGGACAGGTTCGGCATCTTTCGACTGACAGAGCCGGCAGGACTGATGACCGTGCTCCAGTGCAAGCGTCGGCAAACGTTCCACGAGCACCCCAGGATTTCCGGAGGACTATATACGGACGCGGATCATGGAGGACACGTCTTGTTGAACGAACGGGGGAGAGGGATCGAGGTGATCGATTTGAGGCGATAAGGAGGGGGACGCGAGGTCTGTCACAACTGTATCGATCGATTTGTGAACCGAGAAATCAGTTTACATACTGTAGCATAACAGCCGGGCAAGGTATTTTTTAGCCATTGACGCAGTAGCGGCGTCGCAGCTCCGCCAAAGCCCATGGGCCAACCGTAACAAAATGGCAAACGGTGCGATTCCCCGTTGCAGCGTGACGCCACATATCTTCGGCTACTCATAGTCCCAAAGCCCCGTAAACCCAGTCTCCGTCGCCATAATCTGATTCTTGGTCACGTCGCTCAATCTCGTAGAGCAAGTCTTCCGAAGCGCCATCCCAGACTGAGAAGCGAAAAAAGCGGCGTCAGTCGGTCGACCGCAAAGACGGCGAGATGAAGAGGATACTTGCAGTGTGTGACGTCTCCATTGCCACAGTCACATTCGCTTCTGAACCGCACGGTATATCCCCCTTCCTCGATGTCATCGGGGACTCGACTTCCAAAGCACCATGTATGATCCTTTGGCACGCTCTCGGCCCGACCGAGGAACGGTCCCACGGTAAAGTCGAAAGGTGTTCCTATTCCTGTGGACCGGCAGAATTGTCGGATTATGTAAGACAAGCAGAAAGCTGCCCGGCCTCGCTCGTGGTCCGGGAGCGTGCTGCTTTCGAACAGCGGAACTCCCTTGAGACCGAGTAGTATGGTTACGTTATATCTACGCTCATGATAAGGGATAAAGGGCCTGTTCAACGTCCAAAAGGGGCGATCGAGTTCAGCAGGGTCGTGTATCATTGGCGTCGTCTCCCAGCGCTTGGTCAAGTAGAACCACGAGTCCGGAGGGCAGACGAGTGTCGTCGTCTCGCACAAGTCCAAAGGCATCGCGACTGATTCGTCCTCGGTAGTAGCGAAACCCATGTACGTGAGATGGCGAACGTCGAAGCTGCAAGATCAATCGCGCCGGGCATCCTCGGTCAGCTATTCTTGCCGTTACAGAATAACCGGACTCACAGAGCGAGGACAAGCTTGATATAACGTCTATCCTCGGCATCCAGTTTCACCAGGTCGACTCGGGGCAGATGACCGTTCGACCAATCTGGTCTGTGAAAGCGTTTCTTGTATTCCTCCCTTCCCTCATCCTCCGATAGAATTTGGAACATCCAAAAGTCCATCACATGTCCGGGAGTGCCTCTCCTGTGCAATGGGCCAGATGGGTGGGTATTACGGACCTCTAGGCATCGCAAGTGCTCATAGGATTCGTAGGCCGGGTCGTTCAGGAAGGAGAAGAGGGTACCGTGGCACAGGATGACGGTATGACTGTAGAGCTTGGGTAAGAACATCCCCGATAAGAGCTTGCAGCTCAAAAGGATGGGTAGCACGGGCCATACGGGGATTCTCTCTTTGCTCGCTTGTCGACGATCGTATTCGAGTTCCTTGAGCCGCGACGAGTTGTAGGCATCCAGAATGAGGTGCAGTATCTCGGCAGGCAATCGAGAGGTCGACTCTGCCACCGATTGGTCTGCCGAGACAACGCTGTGGTCACTCATGTGGAGAGCAACCGTCGAGGACCTGCGCGGACAACACGGTTTCAGAATATCAGATCGGGTCAGAAACGGAGGCAAGTCTCTTACTGATTGACGCTGGGTCGACCTTCTCTAGTGGAGAGGATCGTTCTTTTGGCAACCTGTTTATTATCTATGATCCATATGCATATATGTAGGGATTGTAGGGATCATACGACATCTCATCAAATAGTCGCATCATCCAAAGTGCCCATCATCCTTGACGTCATAGAAGCAATCCAATCATCTCGGATCAACCGGATCGCGCGCGCGTCATACTAGTATGTCGCCCCCAAACCTTATCTTCTACCGAAAGGAATCGAGGTGACACGATCTGATCGCAACTTCGCAGGCTTGGTAGTTCTTCATGATTCTATGCTGTAATTGCAGCCCGATATACAACCAAGGTACAGATTGAGTCGTTCCCTCTCCTCGCTCCATCTTTCCGTCGCTCATCGATTCATGATGTGTCCCGTCTCCGAACTCGATTTTGTTGACTGTGTTGGTATCGTATTCGATGCCTCGGTCGAGTCCGAACCTGATGCGTCCGGCATATTCAATTCCGACACCTTTGCCGTTGAGATCGTGCTGTCAGCCGATGTCGAATCCGCCTCCTCAGTCGACATTGCTCTAGCCGATTCCCGTTCCGCCGTATTCGTCTTCGGCCTTCCTTCCTCGTGCTCTCCATCTACTCTCGTCGTCTCCCCTTGCGACTGCACCTGCGCCTCCCGCTGGACCTGTGCCGTTTCTTTCCCCAACCTCTTCAACTTTCGATCCTGCTGCGCGAGCAACCTTTTTCTAGCATACTCCTCTCTTCTTCGTGCGTTTGCCGACAAGGGGATCGGTTGCGCCGCCAATGTCTCTCCCTGTACTGCTGGTTGTCCTTGTTCTGATCCCTCTATCGGGCCGTCAGATACGCCTTGGTCTTGTTCCATCTTGGCCTGGATCTTGTCCGCCTTTTTGCCAGCAAGCGCCGCCTGTTGTCGTTTCCACCTCTCTCGCCTCTCCTGTTGCGAGGTGGAGCGTGAAAGAGCCTGACTTTCGGCGACCTTGATCATCATGAGCAGCGTCTGGTTCATCGTCGTCGACGGGCTGCCACCGCTCGAATCCGTTTTCGAATGCGCCGAACCCTGCTCCCGTCCGAGCTTGACCAGGTACCCATTGATGTAATCCACCTCGGTGACTCCCTTCCCGTTGGCGAGTTTCAAATGACTTCGCATGCTAGACACGTTCTCCCTCGTCGATCTCGCCACTTCGAGCGTCCTCTGGGTGAGGGAAGTGGGGCTGAAGAGGGCTGCGATCTCGGGAGAGAGGATTGGAGGATGAAGGTCGGGTTCGGCTGGGGTTTCGGTGGCGGAAGGATCGACTGTTGATGATAAATTCGACGTTTTTGTTGATGTCGACGACGACCCTAATATCGACGGTGGTGTCGTCATCCCCGCAGACCCCCCCGCAAGCCCTCTGAGATGCCCCAGGACGATCCCCGAATTCTCCTCACAGAGCCCCTTGACCAACCGCCTCATCTCCCCCTTTTCTGTCACGCTTCCGTTCTTCACCTCGAAAAGCGCCGTCAACGGATTGATCACCCCGTTCACGGCGAGTTTTAGGAGAAGCGTCTGATGCATGAGGTGGAAGGGGAGGACCTGAGGAGAGAGGGCGGAGAGGGAGAGAAGGTGCGAGAGAGTGGCTGTGAGGTTGGGGTGGGCGAGGTCCGGAATCGGAAGGGCGGGAGAAGGTGGTGGAGTGAGGATGGTCTCGTAAGGACTCGAGAGGGACGACGACGCTGAACCCTGCTCGTACATCGAGGGGAACAACACCCTTTCCTCATCCACCTGTGATCTACGGTCCGGTACCACGCCAAAAGTGACACCTCCAAACCCCGTATGGACGATCTTCCTCCCCTTGTTCCGATCCCTCTCCCTCAACGCGGTCTTGTCGAACAACCCCGTCTTAACCCCATGCGTCGTGCTCCCCAAGATGAACCTCGGTCGCTTGTGACTTTCCTCGGTCCCCTCGGGCCATATCCGGCTGATGAGCTCGTCATACACTCCCATCCCATTTTGCAAGAGCGTGATGCATGTATCCTTGTTGATGCGGTGTTTGAGTAACCCCAGCGCCGGCACGGTATCCGGGCATTTCAAGGTGACGATCAAGCTCTCTATCGGGTCGTCCGGCGTCAAGGGGGTAGAGAGTACGCGGAGAGCTTGTTGCTGCTTGTACCGTAGCCGAGGAAGTTGAAACCTGCCGACCTGATATGAACCCTGGCGGGCTACTTCTTCGTGAGCCTTCTGAAGACCCGGTCCGGTGTACTCGGTAGTATAGCGGCGAGAGACCTGAGTCTGACCGTCTCGCTCGACCTGAATCTGAAAGTCTGATGTGGGCGTCGAGTCCGAGCTCGTGTCCGTGTCGATATCTTTGGCCTCTGGCAATCCTCGACGAGAGAGGATGAGCGACAGAGGCAGGCGAGGGAATTGGGTGCGGAGGTGATGAGCTACGAGACTGCCTATGGACCCGACGCCGAGCTGCAACAAGAGGCATCGATGAGCTAGGGGGGCGGGCGTTGTTCGACTTGTGCGGTACTTGCCACATGTATGCGCATGGCCCTGTTTTCCACCAAAGCCGGTCAGTACGGTGGTCGTCCTTCTTGTCGAAGGATATCAAGTGCGATCTTGTAGCTTGTAGTTTTGAAAGCTTGAAAGTTAGATCGACGATCTCGAAAGAGAGGAGTGACGAATTATTTTGATTATTGAATGGTCAAATAACATGTCATTTACTTCTCGAGGTTGATGACATCACTCGTTATCAATTAATTTCGAACTTGGCCAGAAACTAGGTAGCCATCCGAAGAAACGCAAGACCTCACCATATCTCTTGCTATCCTCATATAGATCCCACAAGAAGATCTACAAGACCAGCCCCGGGCAGACCTCGCACGATGTACCGCAACGCTCGTCCTGCTGTACACGCCGCTGCTGCAGCATCCCGCTCGATCGTCGCACGTCGTCATGCTTCCACCCAGACCTCCCCGATCCGTCGGTCTCTAGGCACACTCACCCTGGTCGGAGGATCGGTCGCCTTGATCGCCTACTACTACGACTCCCGGTCTTTACTCCACGAACACCTCATCATGCCCGTCGTCCGAAGCGTGACGGACGCGGAAGAATCCCACAGGCTCGCAGTCAGGATGTTGAGCATGGGAGGTTGGGCCAGGCCGAAGGACAAGGTAGCCGATGACGAGCGATTAGGAGCGATGTTGTGGGATAAACGGCTGGACAACCCGGTCGGAGTCGCCGCTGGATTCGACAAGGACGCCGAGGCTATCGATGGTAAGCTCGAGCTCGTCTGGCACTCGTTTCAGCGTATACACGAGCTGACGTTCAAAATGCTCGTCGTTTTGCATGTTCTGTAATTCAGGCCTATTCGACCTCGGATTTGGATACGTCGAGGTCGGAAGCGTTACGCCCGAACCTCAGGTGAGCGGTTTCTTTTGTAATATCAGGTCTCACCATATCATTCGAAGCTCATACCTGATTTACTTTCATGGCGGCCTCTCAGCCCGGCAACCCTAAACCCCGCTTCTTCCGTCTCCCAGAAGACTCGGCCGTGATCAACCGGTACGGCTTCAACTCGTCTGGCCATCGTCAAACCCTCCACCGTCTACAAACCCGTCTTCGCCTCTACGCCGAATCTCACCCGTCCGAGTTCCCGGGGTACAACCCGTCAGATCCTCTGGCTTACCGGGAGCTGGTCCACAACCTCCCGGAAGGGCTACCGAAATCGTTGAGGCCAGGAAGGCTCTTGGCTGTGAACCTGGGCAAGAACAAGACCTCGAAAGCGGACGATCATGAGGATTACGTCAAGGGGGTCAAGATGCTGGGACCTTATGCGGATGTCATCGTCGTCAACGTGTCGTCACCAAACACGCCTGGATTGAGGGGTTTGCAGAGGGGAGAATCGTTGTTTGATCTGCTCAGTCAGGTGGTCACCGCGAGGGATAGTTTGCCTTCGAGCAGAAAGCAGGATCGAGCCAAGGTGGTGGTCAAGATCGCACCGGATTTGGAGGAAGAGGAGATTGAAGGCATCGCTAGGGCTGTGAGGCAGAGCGGGGTCGAGGGGGTGATTGTCAGCAACACCACCGTCAAGAGGGACGGTTTGGGGTTGATCTCGGGTAAGTTGCTTCGTTTCTGAATCACCTATTTCCGAGCTGTCACTGAACTCTCGAACCACCTCTTGACACGACTTTGCAGCCCACCAAAACGAAACCGGTGGTCTCTCTGGCCCTCCTGTCAAGCCCCTCGCCATCCTTGCCCTAAAAACACTTCGACCTCTGCTACCACCCTCGATCCCGATCATCGGCTGCGGAGGCATTACCACTGGTGAAGACGCTCTCGATTACGCCAAAGCTGGAGCGTCGATCGTCCAGGCTTATACGGCGTTTGGGTACAAGGGCGTCGGGTTCGCCAGGGGGATCAAGGACGAGCTCGTCGATTCCTTGAACAAGAACAACCTGGGCGGCGACTCGAGTTGGGCCGGGGTCGTCAAGCAATCAACGGACGCATGGGCGAAGGGAGTAGAAGAAGTCGGCAAAGACCTTGTCAAGCTCGGAGAACGGATCAGGAGCAGGGAAAGTCGAATTCCTTGGGAAGACATTGTCGCCGAACGAGGTATGGGTGGGGCGCAACAGAAGGCGCAGGGCGAAAGCAAGGCCAAGGCGATCCCATTCGGAGAAACTGGCGGGTCGAACGTTTCATCGAAGGATTCACCTTTCGCGCCCGTCTCTGCTCAGGGCGAAGGTGTTGTACCGGCCGTGACGAGGCAGTTGACGGATTTCCTCGGTCGGGCGCAGGCTGTCGTCGGTCAGGGGCACGTGCGAAGCGTCGGAACGAGCTCGACCCCGTCATCGACCGGTACTGGAACCGCACCGACCTTGAACCAGACGGTCGAATCGGGTTCGGGAGTGCAAGAAAGCGAGCCTGAAGACACTCGACCGGCGATCCAGCGCGAGTCTAGGCAGTTGGCTTGGGTCAACGAGGTCACCCGGGGGAACCGTCGGATGGTATAAAATAGTCGCAGATGGAAGTACATACCCACATAAACAGAATAGGAAACTTGTAACCCACATTGATCAGACGACACGGGCATGCAGTGCAAAAATGGCAAACACCCATGTCGAGCATAACAATCGTATATGAAATCGTCCCAGACTTGCGCTTCTACAGTTTTGCGTCATCTACAAGTCAACCTGCACATAGCTGACCACAATCTACCTTCGAGCAGGGGGCCTGTAACCTCCAGTCGAAGCGGGAGGCGCATCCGAAGCGGCATCACCACCGGCAGCCTTCCTGGCAGCTTCCCTTTCTCGCCAACCGCCACCAGCACCGGCCTTGAAGACGGGAGGTGCAGGGGTCGAGGCAGCGGGAGTAGCAGCTTCCCTTCGAGCGGCCCAACTACCAGCAGCAGCAGGAGCACGAGCAGCAGGAGGGGCGGCAGCGGCAGGCTCGGCTCGAGCGGGAGCAGCAGCAGGAGCAGCGGCGGCAGGAGTCGGGGTGGGGGCAGCCTGTGCGGGAACCGGCTGGGTCCTAGGAGCGAGTTGCAGTCGTCGTCGACCACCCTCGGCTCCGGGCGCAGAACTCGAAGCGGCAGGGGCAGGTGCGCTTCGAACGGGTCCTTCTCGCGACCTCTCTGCTCGTCTACGCTCACGCTCCTCTTCCTCCTCGACACGCTTACGAGCCGCTTCAATGTCCTTTTGACGTTCGGCCTCACGAGCAGCCCTGCGTTCGGCGGCGGCGGCAGCATCAGCCTCGGCCTTGGCAGCAGCAGCAGCCTTGGCTTCGGCCTCGGCGGCGGCACGTTCTGCAGCGACAAAAAACGAAAAATCGTCAGTGACGAGCCCACATGCACGCTGGACCACCTCAAACTCACCCTCCTCCTCCCGCTCGGCCTGCTCTCGAGCCTGTCGCTCTTGCTCCTCCTTGCGCCTCCTCTCGGCCCTCTCCTTGAGGACCTGTGCCCGGTAAGCCTTCTTCTCCTCGGCAATCTTCTTGTCGGCCTCGGCCTTGCGCTGAGCAAACTCTTCCTGCCTGGCGCTCTCGATGATCTGTTTGGCGGATTGATAGTCTCCCAACATCCTGCTGAGCCTCTCCTTGAGGGCGAGGTCGAGGTGGTGCTTTTCGAGGGCGGCCTGTTGAGCGGCCTTGATGGCAGCCTTGTGGGCGTCCTTGTCGGCCTGCTTTTGCTTTTCGTAATCGTCCTCGAGCAGGGGTCGCTCCTCCTTTCGGAACGCTCGCTCGAGGTGGTCGACACGCTTCGAGATGATTCGCATGCGTTCAGCAATGTTCTTTTGCTCCTTGGCGATCTGAGCGCTCTGGAGTTGCAACAGCTTTTCGGTATCGAGGTCCTCGACGCCATCAAGATCGACCTTGAGACCGCCACGAGCCTTGAGCGTCTCGGCGAGCTTCTTGGCCTCGGCGTTTCGGATCGTGTCGATCTCCTTTTGAACCCTGTCCTTTTCCCTCTGCTTGTAGGCCTCGGCCTCGCGAGCAGCAGCCTCGACGGCAGCCTCTCGAGCACGGGCGACCTTGGCGTCGTTCTCCTCTCGCAGACGCCTCGAGTTGATCTCTTCCAGCTTCTGACGACGACGGTCAACGATGGCCTGTCGGTGAACGGCGGCCTTGCGTTCGTCTTCAGCCTCGGCGAGAGCCCTAGCAAAGGCCTTGGCACGAGCCTGTTTGGCATCCTCGAGGATCGAGGGATTCAGGTACTGAATCGTGTTCTGCAGAGCGAGAGCCAACCGAGCGATCTGGCTGGTCTGACCGGTGGCGGCAATGTCTTGCAAGTTGGAGACCTCGCTCAAGACGACGGGCTTGACGGCCTGCTCGTGCTGGAACGTGATGGCCTTGCTGATGTGATCGACGGCGACGCCCAGCTCTCCCCTCTGACTGGCGCCCATCAAAAAGGTCTCGAGATCCTTTTCGTTGGTGGCCCAGGGACCGCTGGCGAACGGCTTGACGAGGCCCATGACGTAGCTGATCGAAATGGTCGAGTAGACCTCGGACAGGGACTGCAAGAGACGAGCGAGGACGACGGGCTTGAGTGCTCTGATGTACGGCGCATAGTCTTCGTCCTTGGAGATCGAGTCGACGAGCGGGGCGATGATCTTGCAGGCGGTCAGGGGGTGGAAGTCGACCTCGAGCGCGTTGTACAGGTCGACGAGCTGCGAGGGGACTCGGTGGAGAATGTTCTTGTTGGTCTGTGTCCAGCAAGAGCGGTGCATATGTTAGCTTCTGAGTTGTGTCCAGACCTGAACTCGAACCCCAACTCACAATCTCCCTCAGCATGCCCTGCCTGGTGGGCATCTTGTTCAAGTTCAACAAGGCCATCAACCTCTGTCCGTTCCTTCCCTCTCCACTGACACCCTCGACCTGACTCAGGGGCACGGCCAGCGCACTGAGCAGGACGGCACCGGGAGCCTTCTCGTTGACACCTCCGGGACCGGACGAGGCCGACTCGGCGTGCTGCAAGTACCTGGCCCAAGCGGCGGCGTGGAAGACGGCCATGGTACCCGTCCCACCCTCGGCCTTGAAGATCCTGGTCAACTTTTCGTAATAGTTGGCCATCATCTCCCGCTTCAACCCCTTTTTAGCAGCGGGCAACATCAACAACCCATGAATGTCTTCGACGGATCGAAAAGCTTCCTGCCAGAGTTCCAACTCGACGGCGACTTCGAGCTGTTGGAACCTAGTGTCCAGGAACCGGGAAAAGGTGTCCGGGTCGCTAAAGTTGATCGAGTGGGCCTGCGAGGCGTACTTTTGCGCGTTCAAGAGGTCTTTGCGGAGTTGCTCGGTCAGACGACGGAACTCGGATTTACGCGAGTGGCTGCGGCAGAACCCAAAGGCCTGGAGGGCGACTTGCTGTGGGCGCGAGTAAGACCAGCGCATCAGCATACGCTCGCCATTCGATTCTGCACGCAACCCGAACCCACCTGATAGACAACCTCCAACCTGGCGTTGCTCTTGCAGACCTCCAAACACGTCTTGTAAGCCTCCCAAGCGAACCTCAACCAAGGGGTGACGATCTTCCTCTCGACCCTGTCCTTGTCCTTGCTCCCGTCGACACCGGCAGCGTCACCGGCGGCAGCGTTCGGCTCCTCCAAGAGGGACTCGAACAACAAGGTATCCGGCTGCAAGGGCAATTCCAAATCGTCCTCGTCCTCCCTCTCCTGCTGCTTCTCGCCCTGTCCGGCTTCCTGTTCACCGAGAACCTCCTTGGCCTCGTCCTGAGCGGCCTTGAGCTTTTCCTCGGCGCCCTGGATGAACGTCTTCAGGACGAGCTCGATGGAGGGGATGGAGACTTGCTGGGCGGCGATCTTGTACAAACCGAGGGCGTCCCTGGCGAGACGGTTCTTTCGGAGGGAAGTGCATAGCTGGAGGAGCTTGAGGATGATGGGCTCGAGGACGGGCAAGGGGGTCTTTTTGAATCGGTTGCTGTGGTGAGGGCGAGCAAATGGGACGGTCAGCCAGCGACTCTACACAAGATCTTGTTGTCTCCCAGCGACTCACGACTGGAAGACCTCGGTCAAGCTGTCCAAAGCTTGTTGCTCCGATTGCGGACCTCCGAGGGCGAGCAAGTCTTCCGACCGCTATTGTGAGACGCCGGTGTTGATGGGCGAGGTAGGGAGAAGGCAAGTTACGACATTGTTGAATGGCAAAATCCCCAAAATCGATAATTCGGATGATTTTGACGATTTCAAGATGCATCCAAAATTTGGCGGTCCAGAGCGTCATTCAGAGATGGTGATGGTGATTGTATTGCAACGAAACCCGATATAAAGTGTAAGGTGTTTCAAAAGTGAAAGAGCGAAAAGCGCTTGTTTAGCTTCCAGGACGATCATACCCGCCCAAAACGAGGCAGATCTCGTGTACCGACCTTGAGAATAGTCTCGGGCTTGATGAATCCCCTGTTCATCTTGATCTATTTCTTTTCCGTTTATAACGTTTGAGATTCTGGGATCTCTTTTTTTTCCGGTCCTTTCTCTCTTGTCCTTTTTTTCGCGTGTTTCCTTCTCGCTAGTTCAGGAGACGAGCACGGGAAAGGGAGGGGAGACTATGTGCAGAGAGACGATGGTCAAAGAAGTCCGTACTACAGTGCTTTTGAGGTGTTATACGCTTGGCGAGAGTAAGAAGTTGCAAGGGCTATGGGAGAACAAGAGGTTGATGTCGAGCATGTCGAAGATGGAAGAGGGAGAAGAGAAATCACGAGTGAACTGCGTGAGAAAGCGCGATCCGTCGATGACGCGACTTTTAAGGAGGAGGAGCGAGCGCGAGCACCGCCCATCGACTGCGTCACAGAGACTCTCCCCGATCAGGTCACAATCGATATGATGTCACAGATCGTGGATAGGAGGTCACGTCTATCAGGCCATCTGTACATACTTGGGCTACTATCAAACATACACATCTAATCGAGGCATAATCCACAGTTGTCCTCTTGGTAGTATATTGCACGAACCCGATTGCCGAACCTCGACAGCCTGCCATTCGTCATCGGCCAGACCGTAACCAGGAACTCTAGTCAGATCCAGTAGATCTCCTCGACCATGGCTCAACAACTATCACACCTGCAAGTCTTCGAATTCTGTATCCTCACACTTCCACCCCCGCTAACCTCGCTCTTGTTATTACTTGAATCTCGCGACCTGTAGCGGCCGAGGCGCCGTCCGAGTCGCCAAAAACTACACCAAAGGCTACTCGGACACCCAAGTCAAGATCCGTGGAGCGACCTCGAACGACCCATGGGGTCCATCAGGGTCGCAGATGAACGAGATTGCGCAGATGACGTATTCGCAAAACGAGTTTGTCGAGGTGATGGAGATGCTGGACAAGAGGTTGAACGACAAGGGCAAGAACTGGAGGCACGTCTTCAAGGTCAGCGCCAGGAAGGATAATAGGCATGAGCCGGCGGTTTGAGATGCTGATGTGTTTTCCTCTCACTATGCTTGTTCTTGTCTTTCGCCGCAAATGTCGACCTCCCGACCGTCAGGCCCTCACGCTGCTCGACTACATCCTCCACGCCGGCTCCGAAAACGTCGTCATCTACTTCCGCGACAACATTTACATCGTAAAGACCCTCAAAGAGTTTGTCTACGTCGATGACGATGGTCAAGACGTCGGCGCCAACGTGCGTCAAAAGGCCAAGGACATTACCAACCTGCTGCAGGACGAAGACCGTTTGCGGATGGAGCGAAAGAGTCGAGGAGCGATGAGGGAGCGGATGTTGGGCAACATTGCCGAGAGCGGGTTGAGGGGCGAAGACGACCGTGGGGAACCGGAACGGAGAGCCGAGCGGAATAACAACAATTCGGGGTATAAACCGGCCAAGACGAGGGACGAGGACGATGATCTGAAACGAGCGATCGAGGAGAGCAAACGAGCGGCGATGGACGACGAGTCGAGGTCGAGGGCGAGGAACCAAGAGTGCGTCGATGGTTGCACACTGGTCTAACGTGGAAATTCGAGCCGCTAGCTGATCATCTGGACCGTGGCGGACAACAGGGAGGACGACCTCCGGAAAGCGATCGCCATGTCAGAAGAGGAAGAGGCCAAGCGACGTCGACAGCTGGAAGAATCCAACGCGACGGCCTTGTTTGACGACGGTCTGCAGATGTACGTCGTTTTTTCACTTGTTTTTTTGAGAAATCGTCTTTTTGGGTGCAAATGCAGGTATGGGATGCTGATCAACGATGCGCGTCAACTCGATAGGCAACCGACCCAGAACTTGGTAGATGTCGGTTGGAACCAGCAGCAACAACCGTTACAGCCGCAGTATACCAGTTTCAACGTGAGTTTGCGACGAACTGATCTCGAACTCCTGTTAGACGACGGAACGAGCATTTGTTTGCGTAAGGACTGCATGCTGATGCGAGTCGACCCTGCCACAGCCCTTCATGCAGCAACAGATGATGCAACAGCAACAACAGCAACAGCAGGAAGAGTACATGAGGCAACAGATGATGATGGCCGAGCAGGAGAGACAGCGACAAGAGTGGATGCAGGCGAGTTTCCTCTCCGTGTCCTTCTTTTCCGACGAACGACAGTTGATGGACGTGACGCGAAAGTAGATGCAGCAACAGCAACAGCAACAACAGCAGATGATGATGCAGCAACAGCAACAGCTCATGGCGCAGCCGACGGGGTACAGGAGTAACAACCCGTTCGCGCCCGGCGGAGGTGGACCGTCGATGAGCCTGATTCCAGAATCATCGCCCATGCCGGCACCGACACCACAGGCGCAGCCGCAGATCGATTTCTTCCAACCCGCACCTCAACCCGCATCTCAACCTGCACCTCAACAGCAATCAGAACGACAAGGCGGGTTCGCAGTCAAGACGAAGGACACGAATCCCGAATTGGCTGCTCTGTGGGCCAATCGGGAGGGCGGTCTGGATACCTTTGGAAACGTGGGGTCGTTACGTCAGTCCCGGCCGGTCCGCTTGCATCAATCTAGCACACTCGCGCTGATCACCTTCATATTTCCCCTCCTTCTCTGCAGGTATTCCGGTGGGGAGCGTCTTTCACGAGAGCAACCGGCAGGCGGTCCAGCAGGGTCTTGGGGGTGGGTTCGGGAACACGAATCCGTTTGCCCGACAGCAGCAGCAGCAACAACAACAGCAAGGGCAGCAACAGGGTACGGAACAGCCATTCTTTCAGATCTAGACGTGTTTGTGTTGTGCCATAATCTATTTGAGAGCAACTCTTCGTGTTCTTGTTTTCCCTATGATCGGATCGTATTTATACCTTTGGAGATACGCGAAGGTGAATTGATCGGTTTTGACGCGTGAGAGAGCGAGGAGCGAGGGGAGATTGTTGTCACCGCCCTTTGCCCTCTGCTGCCCTCGCCCTCTTGCTCGCTGCCCCCGCCTGCCCTTGCCCTCGTGGGATGGGTCGCTCGCTCGCTCGCAGCACCGACATGCCTCCCCTACTGTATCGTCAGATCAATCAGATCCAGGAGGACTATGGTCCATTTACAATCCGCTGACCACGACCTACCTACACACTCACACACTTGCACACTCTCCCCCTTAACGCCTTTTGAAACTCGTCTCGTCCCCCTTGTCTGCGGAAACGGAACCTCACCCACGAACGCAATCACGTACGACACAACACAAACAACACAGCCCTCTCTCTCTTCCTCGAACTTGATCTGATCGACGAATACGTACAACAAGAAGGAGATCTGGCAAAGGACCCCAGATATACATATCATATATATATAAACAGCAAAGTCAACCGTACCTGGATCTAGTTTACCTTGGATCTACCTCCGGTCGACTCCCTCACATCAACCGGATCACAACCTCAACAAACTAGATTGAAGCAATAATGTCCGAGATTAGGAGAAAGTTGGTCATCGTCGGTAAGTTCCCGAAGTCATCTGTGAATGTGGTTCTTTGTGCTCGGGAGACTCGCGGTCGTCGTTCGTCGTGCATGATTAGGTCGGTAGGTTGAAGAGGGCAGTGGGGCGGGTATGAACATGTCGGATGCGTTTGTCTGTCATCGAGGGCGAAGGAAACAGGTGGTCCGGCCCGGTCAGACACAAGACATCACCCTGGATCATCAAGAACACAGCAATCGAAACACGGTTCCCGGTACACATAGTCCCAGTCGAGGAATGCTTGGCTGGGAACCCCATCAATCAACTTGCTTCTTTCCCGACTTTATCTTAGCGAGGGAGGGCAGGAAGAAGATGACAAGGGTTCTCAAATCGGCACGCATTATGGAGATGCAAGCCTAGATGACGATTACCGGGCTTTCAAAGGTCAAAGGGACCCGGTCATATTGACACGAGTGGCTATCTGGGAATAGGCTGCGACGTAGGGAAGAAATCGTGGACGTCGAGGTCTGAGGCGAGAGGAGAGTGAATGAGACGGAGCAGGACGTGCGACGACCATGTTTGGCATTCGGCGTATAGTCGACATTCGTGACGGCGGCCTGACAGGCAAAGGCACGATAATATAACGAGACAGATACCTTTTCCCGACGATCTTTTGGGGGCCTTTCTGCTTGCCTGCGTTTCGGGTTTGCTCCAGTCGAGACGAATGGGACATGTGGGCTGACAATCGATATCCTCCTTGCCTTCCCCTTCTCTCTTTGCTCCGTATGCGACATACGATCGCTGATTCGCCTGGCATCAAACCCAACCCCACGAAACGAAACAATCTGTACTCGTTGACGACCGGGCTCGTGCGGACAAACATACTCGGCGGCTACAGGTGATGGAGCTTGTGGAAAGACCTGTCTCTTGATCGTCTTTTCCAAGGGCATGTTCCCCGAGGTGAGTGTTCCCGCTAGTCTCCCTTGTCCAGTTGCGTGTTGACGCGGAGAGCTGATTTCTTTCTCAACCCACCATTCGCAGGTCTACGTTCCTACCGTCTTTGAGAACTATGTCGCCGATGTCGACGTGGATGGCAAGAGGGTCGAGTTGGCGCTTTGGGATACCGCCGGTCAGGAAGATTACGAGTGAGTCGGAGGGGCTTCTTGCCTCTGGTTCCGAGTTACAGCCCGCTGATAGATTATGCCCGGTTGACCCTCTCGCAGTCGTCTTCGTCCCCTTTCGTACCCGGACTCGCACGTCATCTTGATCTGTTATGCCATCGACTCGCCCGATTCGTTGGACAACGTTCAGGAAAAGGTCAGTCAAGCGCTCGGAACCAGACTACCTAGGCGAGGCCACGACTGACATGCTCGCGATCCGTCCGCTCCCACTCGCTACAGTGGATTTCCGAGGTCCTCCACTTCTGCTCGGGTCTGCCCATCGTCCTCGTCGGTTGCAAGGTCGACCTGAGGCAGGACTCGAGGACTATCGCCGAGTTGGCCAAGACCAGCCAGAAGCCCGTGACCGCTCAAGAGGTGGGTCCCAATGCGCACTGACAATGTTGACGCTGCGTGAACGCTTACGTTTTCCGTTTCGAACGACCTCTGCAGGGACAAGCCGTCGCTTCCAAGATCGGCGCCAAGCATTACATGGAATGCTCCAGTCGAACGGGTCAGGGTGTCAAGGAGGTCTTCCAGGTCGCGACCAGGGCGGCCTTGTTGGTCGGACACAAGAAGCCGAGGAAGAGCGGGTCGTCGAAGTGCATCGTCCTCTAGAGAGCGGGAGGTGGAGCTGGGTGTCGGAGCGCATGGTGGGGTGGTCTCGTTGACGGGAGTCTCTCCCTTTTTTTTTCCCTTCTATTCTCTTCACCGAGTCTAGCACGTCTTCATCCTTTTCTTTTGCCGAGTATGGGTCTATCAAGAATGTTCTGCTTCTCTAGTTATTAGCGTGTGAGATGACGATCTCGTCGCCCCTGCCTCCTCGATCTTGCAATCTATCCGGACAACCACTCGCCGCGGTCGATCCTCTCGGCGGTTTGGTCAGACAACGACAGGCTGCAACGCTCGACGATCATCATACACGCGCGGCGGAGAGGAAAGATCGGCATTTGATGCGAGATAGAATCGTGGTCGGGGGTCTAGTCGAGAATCGTTTGGTCGTCGCATGCCGTTGTAGGATTATATGTCATCGTTTGCTTTCTATGTGCGATCGATCCGTACTAGCAGCTGACTTGGTGCCGTTTCACCTTTGACGAGGTGGGCGTGCAACGCGCGCAATCCAGTTGAATCATCCTGCACGTCGAAAAAGCTTCACGAACGACGTCGCCCTGTTGACGCAAGCCGAGCCCAAGCTGTTGTAGTACGATCATTATTATATAGCTGGCGACAAATCTACGATGTAAGCGGCAAGCAACCTGTTCCGATCACTGCTAAAGTCGGCGGCTCCTATCACGCTGCACCGAAACTTGAAACGCGTAACCGCAAGCACACACAAATGTCACAGGAACTCGAAACCCAGGACAAAGCCGACTCGGTCTCCAACTGCGGCAGTTACGATTACGACGCCGAAAGCTACCATGGAGATTACGATTACGATGCGAATGAGGAGTATGAGATGCCCGAAGAATCTCATCCTTCCTACACCCAGTTGCGGGTCAGTGTCGGTCTGCTACTCAAAGGCGAAAGATATACGATCGTGCGCAAGTTGGGATGGGGTTCATACAGTATCGTTTGGTTGGCTTGGGACAAAAAGTGAGTAGGACGTAGGATATAACGATGAAAGTACCATGCTGATCCCGGTTGATGCCGTAGAGAAGCTCGTTTCGTCTCGATCAAAATTCTGTCGACCGAGGGGACGGGCTGCATCCCAGAGGAACGTGGTCAGGAACTTGATCACGTTCGAAAGATCATAAAGACATTGCAAGAGGACCCCTCAAGTCACGGGCCGCATATTGTTCGCTGTTTCGACACATTCCAACACAAAGCGGCGGATGGGAACGAACACTTGTGCATCGTTATGGAACCCCTTAGCTACAGTCTAGACGACCTGAGAATTAGATTCCCCGGCCGCATGCTTCCCCTCGCCTCGGCCAAGCGGTTCGCCAAGCATATATTGATCGCTCTCCATCATTTACATCAAGATGCTCAGATCGTCTACGGCGGTAGGTCGTATCGTCCAATGTTCTTTCGCGTGCCATTTGGCTGAGACAGTCATGAGGAATCACCCCACCGACTCAGATCTCAAGCCCAACAATGTCCTCCTTCGCTCGCCAGATATCGATCGAATCATCGCACAAGAGATGGTCCGACGACCTCCCGTCATCAACGTTATCAATGGCACTCCAGCACCCCCAGGAGCGATAACCTACAAATCTCAGCCTTTGCCACCTCTTGGGAGGGACGTCAAGAGCGAGAAAGACTTTGATGGATGCGACGCCGTCCTCGTCGATTTTGGACATGGCACGTGTCGATCTGTTATCAGAACTGTCGACCGAAAACGAATCTCACAGACTAACATATGCTGTTTGTACTGTTTAACGCGAGCAGCTCAACGCATCGATGACCACATTGACGAGGAGAACATACAGAGTACGTGTTTCCGAGCGCCCGAAGTGGTACTTGGGCATCCCTGGAGTACGGCTGCCGACATCTGGAGCTTCGCTTGTACCGTAAGCCTCGTCCGCGTCGGGGGTCTACCGATCGGTCTTCACTACAGACTGACCTACCCATCGTCCGGCGTTCAAGATATTCGAGATTGCAACCGGCGGCGTACTCTTCGAGGTCTCGATGGGCGGGCAGCACCCCGAGACCGGGGAATGTTGGGACGCCGATGAGCACCATCTGGGAAGCATGGTCGAGGTAACTGGAACCACGATACCACTGGAGATGAAAGCCAAGAGTAGGCATTGGCACGAATCGCTGGACGAACAAGGTATTGTCTCTTTCCAAATTTTCGAGGACGCTGCCTGATACACTCGCTTTCTGCGCTTGTAGGAAACTTTTTGCACTTTGTTTCGTGCGGAGTAGCGTCTACGCTAGAGGAATGCACCCGTCTTTATAACGAGGACATGCCAACCGAGGACCTCCTCGATTTCAACAGGTTCCTCTTGCGATGCTTCGAGTTGCGACCGGATCACAGGCCCACCGCGGCCGAGTTGCTTCAAGACTCTTGGTTGAATGGAGATGTCTGATCGTGCTGGTCGTTCGAAGGGAGGGGCACGAGGAGCAGTATCGAGCGCGACGTATAGGTCCACAAGGTGTATATGTATCTTTCCAGGTTCAGGACTCAACACCAATGAATTCAGGAGAGATGAATCCCCAAGACCGCGTCGCGACTCAATGTGCCGCATGTGCCGTGAGCTTTCAGACTCGCAGTTGATAGGGCGCGAGAGGAAGCGAAATGACTCGCGAGGCTTTCCAATGCTGTCTTTCGAAGTACAGCTGGAAGTTTGTACAGGACAATCGCACCATTTACATGGGGTTCGACACATAGGTCACAGCCAAGCCAAGGGGTGACGGTCTGATACACCGAATGCGCAATGGTTTGTTTCATCGTAGAGAGAAGCGCGTCACATCTTGACAGCTGTTTCACCGCGCAACTGCTGTTCGCAATACGGCTGCTCGCGGCTCATGACTTTTTGCCTTGCAGCTCGTGCCCGTGACGAATCGACGAAGAATTGAAGAAATGAGACGATGGGCGCGGTAAGGCATATCGCATGTGCGTCTACTAAAGTCTTGGGCTCTTGAGACTGACCTGACCGAGAGATGTTGTCATCTCGAGAGGAGAAGCAAGTCACATCGCGCGCGCGGAAGAGAAAAAACAAAAAGGCAAAGAGAGAAATCCACCCGAGGTGCGAGGTCGAGCAAGGGCATATTCGATTCGAGACGTTTTGGAGATACATCCGTACATTCGACGATCGCTTTTCTCTCTGAAAGCCGCCGCTCGCAATCATCGGGAGGGAGGGTGCAGTCGCTTTGCTTCGGGGACTCGGTTTCATGTTGTGATCGACGAGGTCCGTGACTATCCTCGGCGCAGTGCGGGGAAAAGCTGTGCAAGTGGTGGTGGTGGTGTTTGCCGCGTCGGTTGGGAGGCGATAAGTCGGAGAGCGTGGACCACACGCGAAAGGACGAGGTCGTGACGCAGGCGACGTCCTCTGCCTTCCCGTTGCCTCTGCCTTGCCAGCTGCTGCGATCGCTGCGATGATGATGCGGCGGGGGAAAGTAAACAAGACCTCTGCTCGCTATTCCCCTCATTTTCATGTGAATCCGATTGCGAGGGACCCGTGATTACCGGCGGCCTGTAGAGCTCTTTGACCTCGGAGAGAAAGCGAATCAAGGGTCACAGGTGGACAGACCTACTTGCAAGCTACCTCACATCACCACAGTACTACTACTGCTCCAACGTCATAGTCTCACCTATACCTTCAAGAAAATTCCACACACCTGATATACACGTACACCAAGGTCGACCTCGTTCTTGAAAAGCTCTTGTTCACGATCAAAAACGAATAACGACCTCTCATCAGCACCATCGACAGCTCCAACGACGCGAAACCGTCTCTTCTCTCTTGATCAAACGATATCCCAGCGACTCCCAAGACGACTCCGAATCCAAACGACCCTACGAAACCTCATATCCATCTTTGATACCCTCTGATCACTGTTTCACCGAGTGATCACATTGCATCGCACTACACCTCTGCTTGTAAAGAGCGATACCCATCTAGCTCCTGTTTAAAGGGAACTTCCTTGTCGATCGCCCGGCAAGACTCAACAAGGACGTTCAAAGGCAGGTCGTCGTTCTAGTATACGCAGAAGAACAAGGTCCAGGTAAAAGCACGGCACAAGCAAGTGAGTCGATCATCCAGCATCACGTTTCCTAGTTTCTGATATGGAAGGCGGGCATTGACGAAAGATGTTCTTTGCAAATTAAGAAAGCAAAGACGAGACACGAATCTGATCGAAGCCTCGTGCGAGAAAACCTAAAACACATATCCAGGCGAAGCGAAGAGGGCATATCAAAGGCTACCCCCAGCTTTCGACAGACGACACTACAATGTCGGTCCCGGACGATCCTTTCGGTTCGCTCCCACCTCCTCGGACGAGCACGAGGGACCAGTCCCCAGACTCACAAATCCAACCTACCAACCCGCCTTCGATCCATACGCCTTCGTACGGGTTGACCGTACCCGCTGGAACCGCTGCTACCGCTTCGGGCTCGACTTCGGGTGCGGTAACGGGCACCGGTGCAAAGACGCCGAGGAGGGTCCAGTGGAACTCTCATATCGTCAACGTCCCCTCGGTCGAACAACGTGAAGCCGCTCAACCGATCGCCAGGCCACGTCAGGGTGCCGTCCCTGCTGCTGCGGTGGTCCATGACGACGACGATCGACACTCACTGAACGCCAGGGGATTGGCCCATCTAACCAACGAGCTCGAGAGGCATCAGAGCCTCAGTCGGGAACAGAGGAACAAGCCCAAGTTTGTCATTGGCGGAGACGACCGAGACCAAGACGAGGAATTGAGTCTGGACGGGAGCGAGGGTGGAGAGGATTACGACTACCGGCTGGACACCGACGGCGAGGGCAAGAAGAAGAGGTACGGGGGAGGGAGGAGGTCCGTCTCGGTCGGTTCGAGCGGGGCCTCGAGCGCTGTGAGTGACGAGACCGAGTATGATAGGACTCCAGCTCGGGAACGTGAGGAGACGGGCGACCGAGCGGGCAGCATGGGCGATCTCGAAAAGACGCTCTCGAACGGAGAAAAGATCGACGTCAACACCGCCGGCGGGGAAGTCCATCCCTCGGCCGCCCTGCCTCCTCCTCAAGCCTTGATCCCGGAAGAGAATTACGAAATGGAACCGGACATCAGGGACGAGATGCCCGTCTTTGTCGATCCTGGCGAGACGGACGGTCTCCCCACCTTGCCTCCTGATCACGATTCTGCCCAAGCGGGTGTCAGGCAGTACAATGAAGCCGAGCAGATGGGCGCCGAGGCCAGTGCGCTCGTCAAGGCCCACAAGAGCGGGAGGTTTGGCAACTTTTTGAGGAACCGCAAGACTGGATTTCAAAAAGGATTCAACGGGGTCAGCAATGGAGTCAACGGGGTGGCTACTGGTGTGGGGGGTGTAGCGACCGGAGTAGGAAGAGGAGCTGCTGGAGTCGTCACCGGCGTGGGCAAGGGTGCTATGGGAGTCGCCAACGGTGTCGCTGGGACCGTGACCGGTCGAGGCCGACAGGGCGGTGTCAACGGTGCGGGCATCCAGGGCATGGGACTCGGGGGTCGAACTGGTATGGGTGCCGGAGCCGTAGCCGGCGGTGGTGTTCTCGCCTCTCTCTTGACCCTGTACGATAATGGCCAGAACAACCCGTCCGGTCAATCCACTCCCGCCAGTTCTCGAGCCCCCAGTTTGATGCCATCGGAGGATTCGAGCGATTCCGAGGAAGAGCGCGAGAGGGAACGCAAGTGGAGGAAAAAGAGGGAAAAGGAAGACAGGGCGAGGCTGGAAAAGGAGATGAGACGGTTGAAAAAGGAAAACGACGCCAAGAACCGCAGGAGCTATACCGAGAATATGCCCGGTCGTGTGAGGTCGCCCTTGCATTCGACCGTGGGAGCCACCTTGCAACAGCGGCGAAAGCACGCCGTCTCGGATCCCCCAGCCCCCGAAGGAGACTTTGCTGGTACGGGCGAGAACTCGGATCTGACCGTTCCCAACGCACCGTTTGCGGCTGAGCATCGAAGCCAGAGTCACAACTCGTTGTCAGCCTCGGGCAGGCAGAGTCCGAGGTTCATGCAGTCTGTGAAAAGGGCTGCGGATAGGTTGGGTCTGGACGTAGACGACTATGACCGACCGAAGGGAGCCAAGAGTGGTGCAGGTGTCTTTGGTGCGCTCATCCAGGGCGCCGGATCGTTGACCGGGGCCGCTACGCCTGCTGGTGCATCCCTGACGGCCAACGCCAAGAGGCCCGGCTACCGCTTGTCTAGGTACTCTGTCGGCGACGGACCTCGCGAGAGTGGGGATAATTCGCGACCCACCTCGCTGTACGAGCGATCTGAAACCCCGCAGAGCGCTACTCGTGTCAATACGGACGAGTCTCCTACCAGTCAGACCCAGATGATGCCCTCCAGCAACGCGCTCAATCGACCCGCCACGACCGACAACCGTACCCGTCCCACCGCCATCGAATTGCCTCCCCGCACTCGATCTGGCAAGCCGTTCAGCATCAAGTCGTTTACGGACCTCACCCATCTGCCCTTGACACCGGGCTCTCACTTCAAGAACTTTATGAGCGGCAAGGGAAGCCAGCCTGGAACGCCTCCGAGCGAGTACGGCGATCGCGGTTCGGACTACTTTACCGAGAAACCCACCAAATGGCAGCTCGAGGACGATCGCAAGCGCGAAAAGTGGGAGGCCGAAAAGAAGAAGAGGAAGAAGGCCAAGGAGAAGAAGAAGCAGCAGGAAATCTTCATCATCCAGCACGTCGCTGCCATCTTGGCGAGGCAGCAGTTTTTGATGAAGTTGATTCGTGCTTTCATGATGTGAGTGGGGGGGGGCGTTCCACGTCAACTTCTCGCTGAAACTAACATGACCCATACCTTTGTCCCAGGTTCGGTTCTCCTACGCACAGGCTCGAGGCCCAAATTCAGGCTACCGCTCGTGTCCTCGAACTCACCTGCCAGGTCGTCTCCTTGCCTGGCCTCGTCTTGATCTCGTTCAACGACGACGCCACTCACACCAGCGAGACGAAATTCTTAAAGCAAGCCGGAGGTCTTGACCTTCAGAAGCTTTTGGCTACGCATCACCTCTACTGGGACGTCGTCCACGACCAGCTGTCCGCCGAGGAAGCGTCGAAACAGCTGGACATCTTGATGACTTCCAAGCCGCACTACCCCTTGTGGGCTCAGATCGTCATCGGAGGGTTCTGCAGTTCCTTCATTTGTTGCGTGTGAGTCTGGTTAGGCGAGAAGTTTGGAGAGACATTCTTGCTGACCAGCGACTCTGATCCATGTTGACAGCGCTTTCTACGGAAGTTTCATCGACGCCCTCATTTCGTTCCCGTTGGGTATGCTCCTGGTCGCCATTCAGATTCTGGCCTCCCGGAACGACCTATACTCGAACGTCTTCGAAATCGTCATCGCCACCATCCAGTCCTTCCTGGCGGCCGCTCTGGCTTCTTCCAACTACTTTTGTTACACCGCCGTCACGTCATCCGCCATCGTGCTCATCCTTCCCGGTTACATCGTTCTCTCCGGCTCTCTGGAGCTGGCTAGCAGGAACATCACTTCGGGTAGCGTCAGGATGGGGTACTCTGTCATCTACTCGCTCTTCCTGGGTTTCGGTATCGCCATCGGAGCAGAATTTTACCGCCGTATCACCGGCAGCGAAGTCTCTGGTGATGGAAGGGATTGGGACTGTCACATTACACATTACCCCGGAGCACCTTGGTATCTGCAAACGGTCCCGGCTTGGTGGTACTTCCTCATCGTCCCGGGTTACTCGTTCTGGCTGTCTCTCAGGCAATCTCAGCCTATCTTGGCCAAAGAATTGGTGAGTCGTCAGGTCGTGTCACTGGTGATCTGGCGCGATACTTATTCCCTTCAACGTTGTCAGCCTGCAATGGTTCTGATCTCGTGCGCAGGGTGGAGTGCGAACCACTTTTCTGCCAAAGCATTCCCCAATCGTGCCGATATCACCTCTGCCATTGGGTAAGTTGCGCTCCTGACTACACGTCTTCCCGTCAAGCTAGTCTCATTCAAGTCACTCATGCATGGTCTCGCAGGTCGTTCTGCGTCGGTCTGCTCGGCAACGTCTGGGGACGTTTCTTCAAAGGGACCAGGTGAGCGGATGTTGCGGGACGTGCGGCTGACGACAATCGCTGATAAGTCAATTCCCCAATCTTTCAGCTTCGTCGTCATGTTGGTCGGGGTACTCTTCCAGCTTCCCTCGGGTCTCGGAAACGGTGGACTGTTCAACTTTGCTGCTGAGAGCGCTGACGGTAGCTCGACATCGTACTCGACCGGTTTCCAAGGTGAGTTGTTGGTGGAACTTCACAACAAAGGAGAGCGCCTGACGTCAATTTTCCCCTGACAGTCGCACAGCAGTTGGTGCAGGTCGCCATCGGTTTGACAGTCGGTCTGTTCTTATCGGCCATTGTCGTTCATCCTTTCGGAGGTGGACGACGACGCGGAGGATCTGGTATCTTCTCGTTCTAGGCTAGGGGCAATCCCACATTGACAATTACTTAGAAGAGGATAGATTCGCGTACTACATGTATCCATAGAGGCATCAGGCTCATTCCTGGGTACACACATGTATCTTGTAGATCAGAGCCTGCGACAATGAAATAGCATCAGAAATACTCTCCTTTGTTGCGATACCCCGTTGCTCATGGGTCCCTGCTGTTGCAGTAGATCTCGCAGTCCCTTTCAAACGGTCTAGAACGACTAGTATAAGTAGGGATCAAAATCCGGTCGATCGTGACTGGTCTTTCTCGACAAGGTAGAGGCAACAATCCGTAAACCACACTACTCGAGCAAACCCACAGAAAGTATGCCTTCCATCGCCGTCACGGATCGTGCCCCGCAAAGCAAGGTCGGGCCCAGCAAACCCGCCTGCTGCCCAGTCTCTCACATCGACGACAAGACGACCCAAAAGCTCAAGCTCGATCCCATCTACTGCCGTAGCTGTTACCCCGAGTTCGAGATCGGTCACCTGGACGCCCTCGAGGCCCGCAGGACTGGCGTCTACGAGCCTCACCAGACCGCAGAGTATGGTCTGAGGCTCAAGCTTCACCAGGTCGGCTCGAAGGGTTCTCCCGCCTGCCAGGCCTCGGCAGCGTTCGTCGGTTGTCCCGAGTTGACGAACCAAGACAGCGAAGCTGGACGTTTCGAAGCCATCTTTGCCTCTCGCATGTAGACACGACCCGTGAATTATATGTCATGTTGATGGTTGTACCTCGGCACACGTGAATGTACAAAAATGGCGGCGCGATGTGTTGTATGGGGAACCGATGATGCTATCCTCTACTTGGTCTTGGGGTCGATGTCGTTGCGAGAGGGTACCACATTCGGAAGCGGTACCATTGGGGTTGGGATCAAGCCGATACATCCGAATATCAAGAGGTGGAAGGAAGTCGCTGCAGCGTAGGCGTGTTATGGACTCGTTCTCTCGCCGACGTCGAGACGAGATGACTCACCAGCGGTCATCGCTTTGAAGAGGCCTACACCTGCACCTGCTTTCAGAGCCCGTACGCAAGACAGCCAGCCAACCAAGATGCTAAACGTCAGAACCTGCAATCGCAAAGCGAGGTGAGCGACGAGGTGGCCGTTATTTCGAGCCAGAACCCGACTTGCCGGAACGATCAACCGTAGACGTTTCGATCGCTGCCACAGAGGGTACTAGAGAAATGGGCAAGTCTGTCAGCATTACCAATGAATATTCAGACTGGATAATGCAAGGCTCACATTTGGCATGTATCCCCGAAGCCATGGCAAGAAGACAACGAGGTAGAGAAATATTGCCTGCAAGCAAAAAGGCTTCTCGTTAGCTTTCATAACAAAGATACAAGTAGACAACCGCTACCCACCACAGTGACACCCTGCAGTAGTAGAGAGAGCGTCATGGTCTTCCTTCCTCTGATCCGTGTGAGACAGAGCTGTGTTGGCCTAGATTGCGATGCGGTAGCCGCCAGATCTCGCTATAACTCACCTATGACTGGCGGTCCCCTTCTTGTTCAGCCACGACCCATCAGACTCGGCGTCCATAGCTTCCCGAACGAGGTTCAGAGCATCACAGTACCATACGCCTGCAGTCCCGATCGCGACGTATTTCCCATGTCTGGCTAGTTGCGAAATCGGCCTGGTTCCCGATACGCTTGCCGACCTAGGCATGAAGGGGGCATCCCCTGTGCTTGATACCGATGGCATGGTGATGATATAGTCGTTCCACGATATTGCCCAAGAAACGATGCAAATGATAGTCGCCCACGCCTGTGAACCTGTTGTTGATGTTACGGTCGAGTTGTATTTACAACGAGCAACGAGCGAGTTGACCCGGAAGCAACCTCGGCGAAATACGATACAAATATGACCTTACGGATCTACGACTCTAGACTTCGACCGGTGTCGACAAGGATCCTGTAGCGCCTCTTGTGCCAACAATTCAAAGACGCAATGTTATTGCATCTGTCATCTAGAGGGTCTATCATACAAGAATTGTTTCGGAACCGCGCAGATAGGACTTCATCGACGGTTGCATCCCCCAATGCTCCGCTGATTCATCTCGACTTTCCACTTCGGTTCATGCTGTTTCTTTTGTTTCTGGAGAAAATTCGTCAAAGCTGCCATAGGCGCAGCTACTGGGATTGATGTTGAGATTTTGATATGGACGCTGTTTGTAAGCGTCTAGGCAGCAGGGTTCAAGGTGCCGGGTGCAAGGATCAGGGTCAATAGGGCCATGCGGATCTGTAGGCAGCAATGAATACGTCAGTGGGCGGCCCAGCGCAAGGTAGATGATGCGCAGAACAACTTACGAAAAGACCGTATCGCATCTGACGGAAGTAGGCAGCACGCTTGACATCAAAGTCGACAGCGGGGTCGATTTCGCTAGATGAAGAAACGAGCGCATCAGCCCAGCCGGCTCAGCTTGCATTTGTACGGCACAGAAAGACCCACTTGTTCCTGGGCAGAGGGTGCATCACGATGGTGGTGGGCTTGGCGCGTTGCAACAAGTCGTTGTCGATAATGTACATGTCCTTGACAGCATCGTACTCGTTCTCGTTGGCAAATCGCTCCCTGTTTATTGTAAAGGTGAACAATTAAAGACCGGTCGCGATTGAACGTATTGCGTCCCCCAGTCGAACTTACTTCTGCACCCGGGTGACGTACAAGACGTCGCTCTTTCCGACGACCTCGTCGAGGTTGACGTACTCGTTCCACTGAACACCAGCCTTGGTGGCCTCGGCCTTGACAGACTCGGGCATCGCGAGCGAAGGAGGCGACACAAAGTTCAATGTGACCGAGTAGAGCGACAAGAGCTTGACCAAGCTGTGGACGGTCCTGCCGTTCTTCAAGTCACCGATCAGGGTGACGGTGATCCCGTTGACGGAACCCAACTCTTCTCGGATACAGAAGACGTCGAGCAAGCTCTGCGTAGGGTGCTCGCCGATACCGTCACCAGCGTTGACAATGGGAACGGGCGAGAACTTGGCAGCCGTTTGCGAGCTTCCGACTTCGGGGTGCCTGATGACGATGGCGTCCGCGTAACATCCCAGAGTCCTGATGGTGTCGCCCAGGGACTCTCCCTTGGTGACCGAAGAGCGGTCGGCGGCGACCTGGGTCACCTCACCACCACATCGCTTCATGGCGGCTTCGAACGAGGTCGAGGTCCTGGTCGAGTTCTCGTAGAACAAGGTGGCCAGGACTCGGCCCTGCAAGGTGTTGACGGATCCGCTTCGCTCCACCTGGGTCCTCATCTCGGAAGCGATGCTGAAGAGGTAGTGCAAGTCCTCCCGAGCAAACTGCTTGACCGAGAGGATATGCCTCCTAGCGAAAGCGGGGTGAGCCTGGAGACCAGCGAAAGGTCGGACGGGAGAAATCTCCCGAGTGCGACGCTGCTCGCTAGACTCGACACCGGGTACCGATGAGAGAGACATGAGGTTGGCGGGCGCACTGTCGAACGTGGGGCTTCGCGGACCGGGCGCAGGGGAACCGAATCCAGCAACACCACTGATCGATGATCGGGCCCGGCTGAAGGAGCTTCGAGACGCCCTGGGAGCGATAGTTCGACCGATGGAGCTGGAAATGTCTCGGCCCAAAGGCATGCTGCTCGACCGACCGTCAAGGAAGACGGACGAGCCGTAAGTAACGACTCGGTGAACGGCACCGGCAACGTTCTTTCCAGCGAGCGGTGACCAGCCCGAGTTCGACTGGAAGGCAGACGAGCGCGAGATCTCGACCTCGACGTAGGTCTGGGTCTGCTCGGGCAGCTCGTAAATGGCCCTGGGGTTCTCGTACAGCTTGGCGCTGATGTCGTCCAAGGTCAACCTACCCTCGGCAACGGCACCGAGCAAGAGCGGAAGAGTCTCCTCGATACCGGCGGTGATTGAGGGCGCGTGTCCGAGCTCCTTGGCGAGCTGGTAAGGGATAGATCCGACCGAAAGCATGTCGATGGCGTCGATGTGGTCCCAGAACACCTTTTGCTCTTCGGCGGTAGGCAGACAAGTGCTTCCGGGGAATTGCTCCTTGGTGAAGAACAGCGAGTAGACGGCGACATCGCAAGTAACCTTCAAGCCCTTCTCCTTGGCGAGGACGATGAGGCTGATGTCGTCGCGGGTGGCGACGTTGGTCACGTGAATGCTGCGTCCGTTCAAGCTGGCCAACAACAAGATCGAGGCGAGGTCGGTGGTCTTTGCGTCGGTGATGATGGGTCGCTCGGTGGGCCAGGCAGCAAAGTGACCAGCGATGCTGGCGACCTTGTTGGCAGGGCTAAACTCGTTGAAGGGAATGTACAAAGCCTTGCTTCCGTTCAGGACGGCATCGGTACCGATCCTGGTGGCGTTGTCGGCAGATGCAGCGACCGAGAAGAAGTAGTCGCAGTGAGCGGCACCTGAAGCGTTGGCCTGAGCGACCTGGAGCGAAATCTCGTCCTCGATGGAGCTGCCAGAGCCTTGACCGGACATGTGCACGGTCGTGAAACCGCCTCGAACCGAGGCTTGCGAGACCTGGTTAAAGTCGTCCGAGCCGCTGGCGGCGATACCGGGCACGAACGCCTGCACGTTGACGAGACCGGGGAAGGTGTGAGTCTCGTGCGAGGTCTTGAAGTCGACGCTCGAAATGTCAAAGGCAGGCTTCCTGATGACGGCCTCGATGAACAACTTGGCGTTCTTGACGTTGGTGATCAAGGGGATCGCAAAGTCGACGGCCATACGACGCGACTTGTATCCCTTGGACACGTACGAAGCGGGTCGTCGGTATCGGTTCTTGGAAGGCAAGTTGATGTAGACGTCGATCAGGTTCTGTGCCAAGTGCTTGGTCAACGAGTACTCGGTCTTCTGAGGGTCCTCCTCGTCGTTGTCTTGCAAGGCTTCAAGGTACTTGACGGGAATGCCGTGCTCCTGAATGAAATCGGCAGTACCCGAGGTGGCAAACAGGTTGTAACCCATCCTGTGCAGCTTCTGGACCGAGGACAGCATCTCGAGCTTTTCCTTGAAGGAACCGATCGAGAGCAAAATGTTCTTCTTGGGAGGGAAGATTCCGGTGGAGATCAAAGCCTTGAGGTAGGCCTCGTACTTGTCTTTGCCGAAACAAGCGACTTCTCCGGTAGAAGCCATCTCGACTCCGAGGACGGGGTCGGCGCCCGACAATCGGCTAAAGGAGAACTGAGGCACCTTGACACCGACATAGTTGGGAGGCATCTTCAACTCGGGGTACGCTCGGACGGGAATGTCGAGCATGACCTTGGTAGCCATCTCGATCGCGTCAATCCCGGTGACCTTCGAGACAAAGGGGAACGATCGAGCGGCACGCAAGTTGCATTCGATGACCTTGATCTCGTTGTTCTTGGCGATGAACTGGATGTTGTAAGGTCCGGTGACGTTGAGCGCTTGACCGATCTTTTGAGTGGCAATCTCGATCTTGCGGATGGTCTCGGGGTCGAGATCTTGAGGCGGCAAGATCAAAGTGGCGTCACCAGAGTGAACACCAGCATTCTCGACGTGCTCCGAGATGTAGTGCATAACCATCTTTCCGTCCTTGGCAACGGCGTCCATCTCGATCTCCTTGGCCTCTTCGATGTACTTGGTGATGACGACAGGGTGGTCTCGGGAAACGTCGGCAGCTTGCAAGAGGTACGCGGCGAGATCGTCTTGCGAAAAGACGACGTTCATGGCGGCTCCGGACAAGACGTACGACGGCCTGACGAGCACGGGATAACCGACCTTGTCACAGAAGCCACGGGCCTCTTCGAAGCTGGTCAACTCCTTCCACAGGGGCTGGTCGACTCCGATCTTGTCGAGCATTCGCGAAAACTTGTAACGGTTCTCGGCGGTGTCGATCAGTTCGGGCGAAGTACCGTAGATCTTGACGTTCTGACGGTGCAAGGGCAAAGCGATGTTGTTGGGGGTCTGACCTCCCATGGACAAGATGACTCCGGACGATTGCTCGATATCGTAAATATCGAGAACGGTCTCCAAGCTGATGGTCTCAAAGTAGAGACGGTCGGCCTCGTCGTAATCGGTACTGACGGTCTCGGGGTTGTAGTTAATCATGACCGTCTTCCTTCCGTTGGCCCGCAAGGTTCGGATGGCTCGAACGGCACACCAGTCGAATTCGACCGAGGAACCGATTCGGTAGACACCCGAACCGAGCACGATGACACCGTGGTCGTCAAAGGTGATGTCATGCTCGCTAGCGTTGTACGTGTTGTAGAGGTAGTTGGTGTGACAAGGGAATTCGGCGGCGACCGTGTCGATCTGTTTGACGAACGGCGAGATACCGGCTTCGAGACGGAGACGACGAACGGCAAGCTCGTTGGACGAGACGGCCTTGGCGATCTGCCTGTCCGAGAATCCGAGCTGCTTGGCGTGTCGCAACATGCCCGAGGGGATGGTCGAAGCCGAGAGCTTGCCCATGGCCTTTTCCATCTGGACGAGTCGCTGGAGACGAGTCAAGAACCAGGGGTCGATCGAGGACATCTCGTTCAGCTTTTCGACCGAGTAACCACGGTGCAAGGCGGTAGCCAGGGCGAACAATCGCTTGTCGGTAGGGTTGGCAATCTCTGTGTCGATATCCTCGACCAGGTTGTTCTGCAAAGGTTGGCGGCAGCGTCAAGGGCAAAGGGCATTAGTGAATGTTCCCGGTGTGCAAGTCCGAGAACACACAGGCTCACGTCTCCAAATCCAGGGAACGAGTCGTCGATACACCTGATGGCCTTCTGGATCGTCTCCTCGAACGTCCTACCGATGCTCATAACCTCTCCGACCGACTTCATCGAACTGCTGAGCGCCGGGTTGACCCTGGTAAACTTCTTCAAGTCCCACCTGGGAATCTTGACGACGACATAGTCTAAGCTGGGTTCGAAACAAGCGCTCGTCTCCTTGGTGACCGAGTTCTTGATCTCGTTGAGCGGAATGTTCAGACCCAACTTGGCGGCGATGAAAGCGAGAGGGTAACCGGTAGCCTTGGAAGCGAGGGCGGACGAACGCGAAAGACGGGCATTGACCTCGATGATACAGTATTCCTGAGAGTAAGGGTTGAGGGCGTATTGAATGTTGCACTCTCCGATGACTCCCAAGTGGCGGATGACGTTGACGGCGGTGGTACGGAGCATGTTGTAGTCGGCGTCGGACAAGGTCTGCGACGGTGCGACGACGATCGAGTCTCCAGTGTGGATACCCAGAGGGTCAAAGTTCTGCGTGAAAAAAAAGCAGGGTCTGGTTAGCAAAACACTTTCCCTGTCTTGAACTCGTCCTCCGGGACCCGACTCACCTCCATGTTACAGACGGTGATACAGTTGTCCCTCGAATCACGGACGACCTCGTACTCGACCTCTTTCCAACCCTTCATACTCCTCTCGACGAGGACCTGGGGAGAGGTGGCAAACGCCTTGTCACACAGCGCGACGAGCTGATCGTCGTTCTTGGCAAACCCTGAACCCAATCCACCGAGCGCGTAGGCGGCACGAACGATGACCGGATATCCGATGTTGTTGGCCGCAACGATGGCCTCGTCGATGCTCGTGGCGGTAGCAGACTCGGCGCACTTTTCTCCAATCTCGGCCATGGCGTTGGCGAACAGCTCTCGGTCCTCGGTCATGATGATCGTATCGATCGGGGTTCCGAGCACCTTGACTCCCAACCTGGCAAACTCGTCCTTGAGCTTGATACCGACGTTAAGCGCGGTCTGTCCACCGAAAGTGACGTAGATACCATCGGGCTTTTCGTGCTTGATGATCTTGCGAACAAACTCGGGGGTGACGGGCAAAAAGTAGACCTTGTCCGCCAAACCCTTGCTGGTCTGGATGGTAGCAATGTTGGGGTTGACGAGGATGGTGTAGATCCCTTCCTCCTTCAACGCCTTGATTGCCTGACTACCGGAGTAGTCAAACTCTCCGGCTTGACCGATCGACAATCCACCGGATCCGAGGACGAGGACCTTTTTCACGTTCTCCCTCGGGTACTTGGCGGCGTTGTCGACGAGCTCTCCACCGGGCATGATCATCGGGACCAGCTTGCCAGCTTTGGCAGACTCGACCATGTTGTTGATGAACACGTCGAACAGGAACTCGGTATCCCTGGGTCCGGGCGCAGACTCTGGGTGGAACTGAACCGAAAAGTAGGGCTTGCCCTCTCGTCCCATCCAGATTCCCTCGTTGGACCCGTCGTTGGCGTTGGTGAACAAGGCTTCCCATCCTTCCTTGAGGGTCTCGACGTCGACCTGGTACCCGTGGTTCTGCGAGGTGATGTAACACCTCCCGCTAGTCGAACAAGTACAGGGCAAGTTCATCCCTCGGTTTCCGTACTTCATCTTGCTCGTCTTGGCTCCCGAGGCGAGAGCGAGGAGCTGGTGACCGAGACAGATACCAAAGATGGGCACCTTGGCGCTGTCCATCATCTTGCGCAAGTTGTCGACGGTGGCACCGACCATGGAAGGGTCACCGGGACCGTTCGAGACGAACAGACCGTCGAACGAGCCTTCCTTTTCGAGCGTGTTGAAATCGTAGTCCCAGGGTACGACCTTGACTTCGACACCTCGGTTTCGGAAACACCTGATCTGGTTCCACTTCATCCCGACGTCCACGGCGATGACCCGGATAGGTCGACCGGCCGTAGGGTGCTGGACGACGGAACGCTCCGAGGTGGGCTTGGGGGTGTAGGTGACGGGTTGTCGGGTGGAGACCTTGGCCACGAGGTTCTCAGCATTGGGGTCCGCAAAGGGGACGACGTGGTACTGCTCCCTCCAGTTAGTAGGCGCTTCGGCAGAGTTGCCAGTGTTGACGCCCAACAACTTTTGGACGTTGGAGAGCACTCCTCCAGTCGAATTGGCACCCTCGCTCGACTCCTTGGTGAGTCCGGCAGCGACGCCGAGGTTGATGCCGTCCTTCCTGGCGAGCACCCTTCCGAGGATGGATCCACCTTGCCTCAACCTCTTGGTCAACATCCTCGTGTCCACACCCCACATGGCAGGTACGCCCTGCTCCTTCAACCACTTGCCCAGACTGCTCTGCGCCAGGTGGTGCGAGTAGCTAGGGTGGTAGTTGGCCACGATCAACGCCGAGACGTGGATGTGCGAGCTCTCGAATTCGGCGGGAAGCGAGTCGAGCAGGTCGGAAGTGGGAGGAACGTTGTGAGCATCGGCAGTGACGGGAATGTCGGTGGTGCTGCTCGCCTCGTTGGGAGAGGGACGAGCGGGAACACCATAGTTGCCGATCAGGGGGTAGGTGAGGATGAGGATTTGAGACGAATACGAAGGGTCCGTCAAGGATTCAGGGTATCCGACCATTCCTGCCGAGCGTGGACGAGAATTCCGGTCCTCCTGTCAGCTCGCCTGTCGTCATTCCCGATTTCGACACCGTTCGAACTCACCGGTCTGAAACACACACTCTCCCGAGATGCTCTTTCCCTCCGCGCCAAAGCTCGTTCCGCTCAGAGCCAGACCGTCCGCCAGCTCGAGCACCATGTCCGGCTCGTCCTGTCCCTCTTTCCACTCTTCGACCAACTCTCCCTTCTTGAGAGCCGCGTTCATCAGGCCTTGGTCGTCAGAGTCGAAGCCCCTCGAAGAGGCCGGCAGGGTTACGCTCCCCGCAGCCTGGGCTCGGGGAGGAAGCGCAGACGAGGTGGTCGAAGGGACGTGGGGGACGAGAGAGGCGGGAACGGCAGGTTGAGAAGGAGCCGCGTCGGTGCTAGAGGCGGCGGGGACGGGTTGGGCGAACGACATTTTGGTGCGAGCTTCCTCTACTTTTTTTTCGTCTACTGGTTCGGGTTTCGGGTTTTGACACAATGGAAGTGGAAAAAAGTGTCCGTCAGCACAAGACCATGTTGCAAGAGCACGACGATCCGACTCACCTAGACGAAAGTGTTTCCTATCTACTTTTGCAGCTTTTTCAAGTTCGGGTCAAAAGAGCCTGTTTTCCACCGACATAGAGGTCAGCCAAGGCGCTCCCGGCTGACTATACAGCTCTTGTCCGCCCACCTTTTCTTCTTCTATTCCGTTTCGAGTCTCTTTATATTTCCTTTTTCGCGGGGGGACGAAAGAGAAACAAGTCTAAGAACGGGTTGTTGATTAAGAAGCTAGAGAAAGGTTCTCGTGCTTTTTTTTTCGGCGTCGTCAAAAGTCTTTTGGGTGTATCGGGTGTGAAGCTAGCGGGGTGGGGTGTTTCTTCTAGGCTGTCTTTCCTTTCCCAGACATCCAAGGGTGTGAGGTTAGATGGCTGGGAAGAGGAGAAGAGAAGAGAAGAGAGAGAGAAGAGGAGGAGGAGGGAGAGAATCGAAGAGGTCGAAAAGAGATGAACGGTTGAACATGTCGAATGGAATGAAAACCCGACCGTTGCACGAGCTAGAGCTGCTAGGCTGGGGGATCGATTTTATTTTTTGATTCCGCTTGATTCCGTCCCCTCTTCCCCCTACTTTGCGGGCTGGCGAGCCGATGAGCACGCAGAGCGAGTGTTTTGCATCCGCGCCCCCCCCCTCTTATGCGTAAGGATTTATCTCGATAAATCGACACGCTGTAGGCCCCGGGCAATCGTCGATTTCGGTAGCAAAAATCGAATTTCCGTAAAGTGAAAAATAAGTAAATTGCACCCAAACAGGCAACTTTGCGAGGTCTTTATTTTTGCCGAATTTATCTTGATTTATCTCGTTTGTAAATCACTTTATCTCGCTTAGGATACTCCCGCGCCCGTAGGGCGCCGCCCCAGATGAAATTAGTCATGATTTCCACGTAATTCTAAGCGCAAAACGACCTCGTTTCGACTAGCAATTCTGAGCTCGATTTGAAACAAATTTGTGAAACGAAGGACTTACATCAGTGCTAGCTTCCTCGAATCTTGTATACACTATCTTTGATACTCCTTATATAACATACTCTGAGTTGGAAGCGTTTGAATAAGATGGCTAGAACATATTCAAGTGACATACTTAGACATACGTTGTGGGTGCAATTATGTGCATTTTCAGTCAAAGTTATGTTCGAATCGACGTAAGTTCTTACTGAACAACGTGAACGTTTTGAGCTTACAGTATGTTATTAGACTAGGTGTAAGAAGCACGTATTTCATTATAAAGACCTGCATATTACCGTATAAGAACATAGAATACAAGGATACACAGCTACGAGAAGTCCACGATATCACCATCGACGTCGAGCACCTCGATCTCGTCGACTTCGTCGTATCGCACCGGTAACCCTTGCAGATCATCCTTGAGCTCTGCGACGTGATCAGCTAGAAATCTAGCTAGCTCGGCGAAGTCCTTCATCCTATTTTTATCGACGAAAACGTTCCCCTTCGGACTCGCCTTCTTTTTCGAGTAGGTCTCGAGGGCCACCGCTAGCGCCTCGGTCTCCTCATACGGCAGCTCCTCATCTAGACCCTTCTTGACCCTCACCAACTCGTCACCATCCGACTGCAGCGAGCACTTATTCCCCCCGATAGCGCACTGAGCGCACCTCCCCGTCGGTGAAATCTGCTTGCATTTCAGGATGATACCGGGAACATCCTTCGAGATCCTCCTCTTCGCCTTCAGGGGGAGGTTCTGGCAGCAGGTGCAACGTTTGCGACCCGTCCATACCTTACCCTTTGGGGCGAAGTAGATATGCATAGCAGACTAGCGAATAGAAGACATGAAATGATCACGATCAGATGTCGGTTCGTTCCGGTGAAAGAGGGAAAGATTTCACCAAGACTACTCACCTCAATATGAGCCGACGCCTTCACCTCCTCTCCCTCCGGCACCTTCTTCTTCTCTCGAACGATCTCCCTGGCCTCCATCCAGTACTCGTAGACTCGCTGGGGAGTCCAGTACTTCCTGGCGGCCTGGTATTTCCAAAATTGAGGGAGATATTCCCCCAACACGGCTCGCTGCTTGTCTCCGGCGAAATTGGGGTCCGAAGCAGCAGCCTCGGTCTCCTGCTCGTCGTCGAGCTCATCCCCATCGGTCTCGTCGTCCACAGTTTGAAGAGGGGTAGGGCTATCGTATTATTGAAGGAGTAAAGAGGTCGAAAGGATCTGAGTTAGGCTTCTCGGTGCAAAAGCTCAACATTTCACTCACGCCTTCTTCCCCCTCTTCGACCTCTTCTTCTTCGCACCCTCCTCGACATACTCGTCCTCCGAGTCACCAGAGCCCGAGTCTGTGTCCTCCCGAGCTCTCTTCTTCTTCTGCTGCTCCTCCCAGCGGTCAGCCTCAGCCTCCGCGTTCTCAGCCTTCTCGCGATCAGCCTTCTCGCGAGCCTCGCGAGCCTCTTCTTGAGCGGCCAACCTCTTGCTATGCCGAGCAGCAGCCGCCTCTGCACCTCCCCACTGCTTAGGCTTGGGCCTAGAGGAGGATGAGGCGGTCTATGAGCAGTTTATAGGCTTGTAAGTCGTTTATTCGGGTGAAAGAAGGTCACGTTTCGACGTACGGCGTTTTGAGAACCTTGGGCGTTCGACATGGCTTGAAACGGGAGTAAAAAGACTAGTTTGGGCAGAGGTGAAACGTGTAAGGCGTAAGGGAGGTCTAGAGCAATGATACGAGGTGTTTTGAAGTATCTAGTATTGATATTAAGACTTAGAACGATATCGAGGTGGTTGATGTAGATGAAGGTTCTTGGGTGAAATCGTTCGACTATGCTAGGCAAAAACGGCGATCATTTTGGTGAAAATCCCTTATTGTTCATCGACCGTTTTGCTCGTTTTTGTCGATTTCGAGGGTTTTTTCTCAAAATCACCCAAACTCGATTAAATCGATCTAGATCAAACATACAGCCTCGGTGCATGTTATATAGCTATACAGAGTGAAAGACAAAGGTATTTCGGTGGTATAAAGACGATCGAACCCAAAAAACACGAAGAACAGTAGAAATATGGGAAAAAAAGGCAAAAGCCGAGAACATCGTGTATTCGACTACTTATCGGTGTTCTGCTTGCGATTTGGGCGATTAGTGATCTTCCCCGATGCAGCAAGATCGTTCCTGATTGCTTCGAGGACGTCCGTCATCTTCTTCTCCGGGTATTTCGTCTCGAATCTTACCCAGCCCTCTTCGGTGAAATCGGTCGCTCCTTCATTGAGCATGGAGTACGCCATCCCCAATCGACTTCGCTGGCCGTAGATGACCTGAATCGACTTATGGACTATGTCACCACCCTTGGCACCTGAATACCACTGCTTCGGCCAGTCCTGCAAGGCGTAGTAGTGATATTCGTGGCCACCAGCTTGAAACCACTGTTTTACTGCTTCTTTCACCGTCGACGTCTTCGGTATCTTCGGAGGTCGATTTCCCACGATTTCACCGCTACGACGGAGTCGTAGCTCGGTGAAAGGCGTAGTAGTTGCACCCTGAGCGTTCACATGCGATGCAGCGGGTGCTAGCATGTTTTCGACACGACGTTCGGACGATTCAAACGGACGACTCGAGCTCGATGTCGACGCCTGTGCTGGCACCACAGGACCTGCAGAGATCGTCGCAGGACCCACTAGACCCTTGGCTAGGAGGCTGGCAACGACAGCATCAGCAACTTGGCCCAGGATCCCCGCCTAAGGTCGAAAAGCAGTTAAGGTCTCGGTTCAGTGAAATAAGTTGCCTAATCACCGAAAGCAGAGAACTTACCATCGGAATCGATTCTACAGGTCTGTCTAGCTCCTGATCTCGCAATGTTGTTCGCAGGCCATCCATCTCACGTCCTACGACCCGTGCAAGTCGATTCATCTCCTCCCGGAGCTGTGCTATATCACCGGTCTTGGCGATTTGCAAATCCGTCGAGGACGACTGAATGCTTCGACGAGCGTGATTACGCTCAGGATTCATCTGGTCTGAGTACGAGGCCTCGTGCTGATTACGTTCCTCCAAGAGATAGCGTCCAATCGTACCGACCTAGACAAGAAGCCAAGATAGACAACAACGATCGGATGTCCGGTGAAAATGTTAGCATGTTCACCCGAGCTTCGACTTCACCTTACAGCTTGAAAGATACTTACAGCCTCGCCTTCAGCCCACCCTCCCCACCATATTGAAGCCTGTAGAGCCCATTTGACGGCTGGGTCTTCGCCAAACCGCCACTGAGCCCCTCCTCGTCGCATACAGTGACCGGTGAAGTTTCCATTCGAATACTTATCACCAAGGCCTGAATCGTGGACGATTCTATCGAACATGGACTGCCACGTCGCTGCAGACATCCTCTTCTCTATATCAACCCCTCCGAACTTGTCGATAACAGGAAACAGAAAGAAGTGGGGCTTGGCGTCGACGTGGGTGAAGGCTCGAACGTGTTTCACCCAGTTTTGAAGGTGGTGCCAAACGGCAACAGGGCGCTCGTCGGGATTGGTGGGGTCATGAACCTGATAGACACGACCTATAAGCACGGTCCCACAAGAACATAAGCATACCGCAATGATACAAGGCGAGGTATACATCAGTACGGAGCTGTTATGCTGCTCAATGAAAACGCTTGCTCTTTCACTCACCCTTCCTCGCATCAGCCTGATTCGTCTTTCGGAACGTCAGAGTGATCGTCTTGAGTATTTGACCTGGATATCCAGGGTCGGTAGCATTGTCTGACACGTGCTGGTATTGTAGGCTGAGTACCTCGTCCATTCGACACCACAGGTACCATGTAGTACACATGTACGCGAGGGCAAATAACCACTCAGTTCGAGCTTTAGCATCAGTCTCGACCTTGAGCTGAGCCTCTACCCAGTTGACAAGCACGAGCAGATCGGGTAGTAAGAGCGGGAGAGACTGTACGAACATGAATCTGTGTATCAGTATCTATAGGGTGAAAGAGGGAAGGATTTCGGCGGACGAACCTGCTCGCTAACTCCCGCTCGACCATCCCGGTTCTTGATCGATTTCATCAGATCCCTGACTTCACCAGCGTACACAGGGTTCCCATGCCACGTTCCGTTCTCTCGCTGGTGCCAGAATTCGCCCTGAGGAAGCGTCGTTGCAATTGACGATGTCGGCACGGAACTCAATGAAAACGCAAGATCTTTCACTCACGTAGCACTGATTGCCGAACGTCTCTTGAAAGTATGCTCGCAACGCGGCCTTGATGCCATCGCATGTGTCTTTGCTGTGTGGCTTCGTACCATTCTTGCCTGAGACCCCGTGAGCGATGAACAGGTGAACACATCGGGCAGAACGTTCGCTCAAGACGTCTAGCGCTCCTTCGAGATTTGGGTCGCCAGGTTGTCGTGTTTTGTTAAAGAGGTCCAGCCATGTTCTACACCTCTTCATGTAGCCTTGATAGACCTTCTTTGTACCCTTAGCCCTCAGGTGAGACTGTACGATAGACTGCGAGGCCTCTAGAGCGGTCGAAGGGTCGATTCCTTCGTCGTGTCGAAGAGATCGACCCTTGTTGCCTTTACGGGCCTGTTTGGCGGCAACAATGACCTTTCGGGATGCACCTTTCTTTGCAGAGGGCTCTAGTAACTGCGAACTTGATGCCAGAGGCTGTGTATCGAAGGGGTTATTGTATCCCCCTTGGCCCGACGAAAATGAAGGAATTTGCACTGAGGATCGGTCGTCGATCTCTTGGATGATGGTATCGCGGCCCAAATAGACTACCTCATCAGTCGATTGATCTGGCACGTCGACAAAGTCTAAGGGAAGGTCTAGTGGTCTTGAGAAGGGTTGCTGAAGGATATTTGGGGGGTTGTAAGGCTGGTATTGATCGAAAGGGAGTGTAGCGAAAGAGTCGTTGATTTCAGTCGACGTCGACGTCGACTGACCTGTAGGTCGGCTGTAGTATTGCTGACGATTGTAGGGGGTTCGTGATTGCTGGTACATGATGGCGTAGACGACGTTTAGGTGGTACTAGTAGTAAGACAGATGATGGAACGGTAGTATAGTAATAACGTCGATAACATGTCGACTTCGACTGATCGACTTAGACGACTTCATCAACAGACGAACGTAAACAATTAATAAATAATAAGACACGTCATAAATCGCTGTTCTAGTTATTATGATAGCGCCAATTTACCTGAAATTACCTCCGAATTCACCGATCGATAAATCAACCCCCATCAAGGCTACCTTTGCCCATTCGATCGCGTTGAAAGGTGAGCGTGGACTCTGCGTGGACCCAATTCAACACGTTTGGCTGCGAGTAGGGTGATCGGATGTATATAAGCACCAGCATGGGCCAAGGGCCAAGGGCACACATTCCCCTTCTCCCTCGTATCGCTCACCGCGTCAAAAGATAGAATAGATATCAGGTTCACATCGTAAATACAAGCTACAAGAGGAGGGAGATCTGTCGTCACGATGAAGGGGAAAAAGGCAATTCAATCAAAGGTCAGTAGATATGTTAAGTCTACTTTATACAGTTTCGACCGAGATGCTCATCGTACAACATATGAATCCACGCTTATAATTCGTGTTGATGCCCACCGCCCGCAGTTCCCGACGGCACGGATCAAAAAGATCATGCAGGAAGACGAAGAGATCGGAAAGGTCGCTGCGGGTGCACCCATCGTCATCTGTGAGTCGTCGGGCTCTTCCTCTTCGTCTTTTTGTCGGATCATGATCAGTTCTAACTGATTTCCTTGCTGTTCACTTTCGTTTGTCGTTCTCCCTGCCTTCGCCTATCCTTTTCTTTCTCGACAGCCCGCGCACTAGAACTATTCCTCAAAGACATCATCCTCCAGACGACCACCATCGCCCGCGAACAGAACACGAAAAAGATCCAGCCCTACCACTTGAAACGACTGGCCAACGTGAATAGGACGTACGATTTCCTCGACGACGTCTTGGCCAAGTTTGTGGATCCCACAGGAGGGGTCGTCAGCGGGGGTGCGGGGAGCGGGAGCGGGAATGCTACAGGTGCAGGTGCAGGGGGAGGTACGACGGCCAAGGGGAAATCGAGAGCCAAACCCGCCGAGTTGGAGTCTGACGAGGAGGAAGAGGAAGAAGAGGACGAGGACGAGGGTGGGTCGGATGAAGCGGGGGTTGGAGCTGCAGGGACAGGGAGCGGATGATCGGTCTAGGCGGCGATGAATGGCATGGACGTTGAAGCGAGGCAGAACAACGGGGAGACGTTCAGGAGGAGGACTGCAAAGTCGTTGGAGATTGTGGAAGCGCAGAGCATTGGCGGTCGCATCAGGACGGGAGAGAAGATACATCGACGGATCAAGCGAAGGGAAAGAAAGTCGGGTCGAGCCGTACCGACTTCTCTCGGACTTGCGAGGGGGATGGAGCCCAACAACGGCCAGATGGGTCGGAGGTGTGGTCACATCCGGTTCGGAAGCGAGAGTCGGAACGCCGGGAGCACGAGGATACGAAACCCGGACATTGGCCCTGAGACTCGAAGTCTGAAAGTCGGGATGCGCTATAGACGGTCGGAAGTTGACGTCGCCGATGCGATCTGGATCAACCGTCCGACCTCGGACCTATCGCTCGGATTGGAGACCCTTGGACTGTCCCTCCCATTCGAAACCCTTCCGTCTCGATCTGGCCGGGGATGCACCCAGCTTCCCATCATTCCACTACCCGAACCATCTCATCATCCCATCGTTCTGACGTTCTCGACCGTAACACCAACCCAACCCCCTGGTAGCCCACGTTATTACCTCACACCAGTCTGATCGTCGTTGTCGTCCCCGGAATTTGTAATCGAGCCGAGGTGTCACGAGTTGTATTTCGCCTAGAGTAGATGTAAAAGTATGACAACATGAAGAGAAGCCCGATGACCATGCCCAACTTCTCCGTCATCTGTTGTCATGGTCTCCGATCCCTCCCGCTGATACTGTCGGCTCGCATACCCGCAAAACGCACGGTTATGGTCAAGACTACCCAGGTCGCCTTTAGCTAGCTGAACAGCTATCGCGATCGCCAGCTGGACTATCATCTCGTCCATCTCTGATCATCCTAATCTCGACATCTCTTGTACGGCCACAAGCCCGGTATAGAAGCGTCTCCCTCATCAAAGACCCTTGGATTTCCCCTTCTCCGCTATCCTCGCTATAAGAAAAACGGTCGTATCGTCAAATCGGAACTCGGTATCGCTAGACTCGGAACAGGCCGTAAGATCGGGGGAGATCGTGTACACCAGACTGACCTTGCCGATTGAACTGTTGTATCCCCACAAACCCGAACAAGAGGGTGGTCACGACGTACTTGGCCTGTAAGACGTGTCCGATTTAGTGAACCTATTCGATGGCAGCCATTCAAGGATCGGCAGGGCGTAGGCTTCTTACACCAACATCCGCTGGGCAGTGATACTTGATGCATTGGGATAGCATGTACGAGGCTTCCGCTCCGTGCTTCGATAAACAAGGTCGAGTCCGGTAAGTTGTAAAGACGGCGAAATGCGGTGGACGACGGGCAAGAGGTGCTTACGGCTCCGAGCAGAAACTTGAAACTCGCAGCAACGAACCCCTTCCCGAGAAGACCCTCGACTGTATCCTTGACGTAGGCGGCTATCGAGTGCGAAGAGAAGTGTACGAAGAGTTGGAAAGGTATGAGGACGAGCAGGAGTGCCGGTACAGGGAAGAAGGGGGGAGCCGAATATCGGTTGACCCGGGTAGGTCGGTCGTCGGTCAGTTGCATTTCTCGGTCCTAATGGAAGTCCTTAACGTGGCCTGTTCGACAGCTACGTTTACCGGTTGATGTATACGTAGCTCGCACCTCGTCTGCATATCTGCATCTGCATATATAGGCCATATAGGGATATAGGGAGGGTATGTACGGTGATCCGGTGATACAAATATTCATTATTATCGAGACGCGATCTACGCAACACATGCACGCTACTGATCCCACAACTCGGGATTGTAAGGCTCCCATTCCGACTCCGAGTTCCAGTCAAACTCGAGCTCCCTGAGCTCCCTGAGCTCGCTAGCCGACGGGACTCGCCCGGCCGGCTCGGGAATGCCGTAATTGTTGCTGGCTTGAACAGCGACGTCTTGACTACTGCTGCTGCTACTGATGTCGCGAACACGAGCGATAATCAGACACTGCCGAAGATATCAGAGACCGACCCATGACTTACCCGCTGGTGCCGCCATTGTTGTTGTTGTTGTTGTTGCTGTTGCTGTTGCCGCTGCTGCTCACGTCGGCGTTGCAGTTGGTGTTGTTGCTGCTACTGCTGCCGCGAACACGAGCATCGTCACCAAACACCGCCGACGACGTGAGACCGACCGATGACTTACCCGCTGGCGCCTCCATTGTCGTTGTTGTTGTTGTTGCTGCTGCCGCTGCTGCTCACGTCGGCATTGCCGTTGGTGTTGTTGCTGCTGCTTCTGCCGATACGATCGCGAGCATCGTCATCAAACACCGCCGACGACGTGAGACCGACCGATGACTTACCCGCTGGCGCCGCCGATATTGAAGACCGGCCCAAAAAACACGTTCCCATAATAATGATTGTTGATATTGTTGTTTATAATTTGGGTCGTCGCCGCAGGAGTCGAAACAGTCGGGACAGAAGTCGCGGCGGCGGCGTCGTCAGCGTCGTCGTCGTTCCTGTTGTTGTCGTTGCTGCTGCTGCTGTTGATGGAATTGACGACATGGACATGACGTGCCAGGTGAGTAACGCGAACGAGCGAACGAGGCCGATGCGTAAATTGAGCGAACAAGCAGAAGGTCGATGCGTAAGTTGAGCGAACGAGCAGGAGGCAGATGCGTAACGTACCCGATCGGAACAGGGGCGGCGACCTTGTGGGTGTCGGCGTCGTCGCCTTTGTTGTTGTTGTCGTTGTTGCTGCTGCTGCTGCTGCCGTCGATGAGATGGCGGTATGGTACGAACATGACGTGAAAGGTGAGTTGAGCGAACAAGGAGGTTTCGATGAGCGACGTACCTGATCGGACTAGGGGTCGCAGTGGTGGTGGTGGCGGCGGCGGCGGCGGCGGCAGCATCGTCCTTGACGCTGTTGTCGTTGCTGTTGTGATGGCGGTATGAGCATGAGGTTGAGCGAACGAGCAAAGGAGGTTTCGACACGCGACGTACTCGATCGGAACAGGAATCGCAGAGGCGGCAACATCGGTCATGACGGGCTTGACATCCTCCGAGCCAAGAGCACCAAACCGGGGGAGAAGCGAGCCAAGGGGTGCCGGTGCGGGTGCGGGTGCCGGTGCGGGTGCGGGTGCCGGTGCGGGTGCAGGTGTTTCGACATATACCGACCAATTTACTCGAGCAAGCTCTTCCTCCAGCGAATCGGTCACCTGATCCCGGAGGAAGACGGCGACTAGAAGCAATGGGGAGGCCTCGACCAATCGCTGTCGTCGGTCCGCCACCGGTGATCGCCACACTTCGCTCAGCCGATCCAATCGCTCCCTGAAGGCCCCTCCCGCTCTCACAACTCTGCCGCGAAGGTGCCGACTAAGAAGGAGCCTTCTCGCTCGGCTGAGAGACAGACCTCTTTGATCGAGCCAATGTCGAAACGCGGCCAACAAGTCGGGCGAACGAGAGCGACGACGACGATGAGTAGAGGGGGTATATGAACGCCGTCCAGCCATGATGATGTGAGTTGTTCTGGTTCGGGGTCGAGTTCGAGTTCGAGTTCGAGTTCGAGTAGAGTTCGAGTTCGAGTTCGAGTTCGAGTAGAGTTGCGAAAAAGTTGCGAGGGAGTTGCGAGAGAGTTGCGAGAGAGTTGCGAGAGAGTTGCGAGGACGAAAGCTAGCTTTATATCTTCATCCCATTATTGGACGACCGTGATTCCAGCGAGCGAGCCAGCGAGCCAAACTGGAAGCGCAGGCCAAGCGCGGGTTCGTTCTCACGCTGTCCGTCATCTTGTCTACGATCTTGCAAGGCTCCTGAGGTCCGATACTAAATGTATTTCGATTCGATAACTCGAGAGTCGATACTAAGTCTAGTCGATGGGCCGTTGGGGTGCCCTCCCGGCGTTCTTGCCTTTTCGCCCTCTGTATATGTATATACTTCGGTCGACCGCTCCGTTTTCGCCGCTTGCGTGTCATTGTTCCACCGTTTTTCATCATCACCCTCCTTTCGACTCCGACCGGAACGGACCCGATGGTCCGATGATCCTTCCAGCCATCTCTCTGAAAGGAGGGTCCTTGTCGTTTAACCGATGGTTTCCTTTCTTGTCGTCCGTCGCTCTCGCTGCCGTTGCGAGACAAAGACAGATACGTTTCGTATCGGCGATAGCGTGTCGGCTGACCGAGTCGCCCATCAGACCCATCAGTACGTCATGATCCAAAGGACGGTGATCCGGCGTATGCTATCGCCGAGGTTCGGCAAGATGGATCAGAGACGATGATCCTCCACCCGACCGATGATCTGAAACAGATGTTTGGCGCGGAGTAAATCGAGGCTTGCGCTGTTCTTCTTTTCGTCGATTATTCTACAGTCGACGTTGCCTCTGCCCAAATCCAAGTAAGAGGGTAACCACTTGGACAAAGTCGAAAACCATTTCCAGAGACACCCGAGAGCTCGTATTGCGCCAGAGGGACAACCTTGTAGCTGATTGTGCTTTCGGCTTGCGGTGAGAGAAGAGGGCTAGGAGTTGATAGCGCTCCTCATGCGCTGTCAAACATACTCATCCCGACCGACCCATATTGTCCTGTCGACATCGATCTCCCTTTGAAATTTTGTAAGGCGTCTCCGTCCAGTCGCCAGCGCCAACCCATGTCGCCGAATTCTTCCGATCTTTTAGGGTGCGTCGATGATATTACCAGCTTCTCGCGTTTCGCATCCGATTGCAACTACCTTGAGGGATGTTAATGCATGCATGTTCTGATAAGTCGAGCCTAGAGCGTGAACCTAGATGCTACAAATTCCTGATCGACTGAGATGTAACCGAAGTCAAAGTCGGAGTCCAATCAGCCAACCGGTCTGTTTCGCAAACGCTCTCGGATTGGATATATCAGGAAATTCCAGATTGAGATCCCGTGGTCTCTCCGTTCAAGCGGGCAGGGCTGACTCACCTAAATAATACACTGCAGGGAGAGTCGCGTAGATCTGCGTCCTTGGCGGTAATATTCCAGTGATGTTTTCCGCCAACAAAATACTAGGCGAGACGACCAGCCGCCAATCGCAATCGAACTGGAGAGCCGCCGACCGAACCGCTTGCCCGTGTGGGTGGACGAGAGGTGCATAACGTTCCGACCCAGGCAAACGGTGTTGTGACAAACCGGGCCAACACATCGGCGGGGATACGGAGGCGAGAGGTGAATAACGCTCACAACGTATTTGGTCCCCGCAGTGTTTTGCAAACCCGTCGGCGAAGGCCTCCCGAAGATAGGCGATGGAGCATGCACCGGCAGATCATAAAAAAGTCAGTTGATCAGTTGCAAAGCAATGTATTTTATCAGCGTCAGGCCAGATCGATTCGATTGGATGGCCCGTGGACGTGCGCTTCGCCCGCGCTTCTGGTGGCTGGTAGAGATGCGAGCGCGTTGGGACACACGCATGCTCTGGTCCACGTCCGCACGCCTACCTCTTCCTTCCTCACTCATCCTCCGTCTTCTTTCGTCCTGTGAAGAGCTGTGGAGAGCCGGAAAGATATCCAAGCACAGCGTCTCAAATTCTGGCCGACATCAGTCTACGTCTGGAAGACAGGTGGCAAACAGTGCTCGTTCACCATCGTCGCAAGAGTTCGCCTGGATATACCAGACATAGCTGCGGTCGGGAATTAATGGGCTACGTCCGGGAATAAAACCAGGACTGAGATGCGAATGGAAGTACTGCAGACAATCTTATCGGAGCTACCTGAATGTTCAAAAGGCTACACGCGTCGTCTCCCTGCTGTTCGACTGGCTGATCAGATGGAACATCCAGTCTGGACCTTAATCGCCTTGCTAGGCGACACGGAAAAGATGGCGCTTGAGTACACGCTTGGACTACCCCTTGATCGGACCCTTCTCCACACCAAAGGGCGGTTGTTGGACGTCACGAAGGATGCGCTTCTCTTAGATCATCCGGGAAGCATGGGATGGCCAAAGCGCGTGTCTGCGATGCCGACAACATACAGTCGGGCATGATCTAGATTCAGAGCGAGAATACAACTCTCAGACCGATTGGCAAACCATACTTGGACCCCGTCAGCGAAAGTGTCTAATATCAGTCGGTCGAGTGGGTTACCCCTATCGCGATCACAGATGGCGCGATGGAGGGACAGAAGGGACATTGGCTTGGGACGGTGGCTCGGAAATTTGCGGGGGACCCCTATACATCCTACACCTACCTGATCTACAAAATGCTATGGCCCACCACTAGAAGATGGCGAGAACACGTTGGCATACTAGACGCGTTTCAGGTTGATCCACTTGACGTCGAATGGGCGATGATTCGCGCTCGTTGATCGCTTATCACGCCGAGGTGAACGAGACCGAGACATTTCTGTCTCGGTCTCTCGGTCAGGGATCAGGAGATCGTACGATGGGTTTCGGGTCAGATTGGGTTTTCGGGCAGCAAAAGAATTGGGACTGGTCATCAGCAAGAATTCAAATATATATACTCGCCAGGCAGATCAGGGTGTTTCCTCGCCAAGTTCTTAGGGGCTAGTCGCGAATTAAACGGGCATACCCATACGGTCGTCTAGCTTGCTAGGCAGATCAGGGTTGTTCAGGTGCTGCGGGGCTATCCATACGGTCGTCTGGCTTGCCAGGCAGATCAGGGTGTCTCCTCGCCAAGTTCTTTCGGACGTTAGCTTTGGGAACCAACAAGGGGAAATACGAACACTTTTCGGAGCCATCGAACAGCAAGTTACAACGCAGAAACTAAGCTCGAACTCTAGGGCAAGACCAGAACGAGGAACAAGGTCGCCTCACTGCCGACCACCTACACCATGCTGGTCCCGGACAAGATCGTCTATAGTTATGGCATACCAGAAGCAACCGCTTGGCTCTCAATACTGCCATACCTCGACGATGCCGCCACCACCTCGAAGCGTGATCAGACCTCCGGGCGTAATTCCACGTCATGTGGAACTCGTCTGTTATCAGAAAACCGGCAACGCCGACGCGCTCCCATCGCACGATATCGCCGAAAAGCGAAGAATTTGCAAACTTCAGCGCTTGACTCTCGGCTCGGATGGCGTGATCAGGCGACGCGGATGCTCGAAGTTGCTCGAATTTTCCACCTGGGGGCCGGGGGGGGCCTCTGGGACGAGTATATAGAGGGAGCACTCCCGGAGTCCTTCTCTCCACTCGCCCAGTCGCTCTCTACTCTCCTCTACTCTACTCAGCTCAAAAATTACTAGACTACGAGCAAGATCATCATTGTTAACCATCGAAACGCGAAGACGTCGACATGCAAGAACATCCTATCGATCGCCCTTCCTCGTTCCTTTCGTTACACCTTCTACATCTCATCGTTGCTCTTTCCTTCCTTTCCCCTTCGACGGTGCACTTCCCCCTCTTTAAGCCCGTACATCCGCTGTCCTCTTCCTATCGCCGCCCACGAGCGTCCAGTCGGGAGGAGAAAGTCGGCCGAACTTCAGCTTTCGAGCAGTCGAACGGGGCTTCGTGCCGAGCCACTTTGCTTCGTGCCGAGCTACTTTGGCTCGGATGAATCGTAAGTCGAAGCTGTCGGCTCGCTGTCCGCTTGATCTCGGTCTGACAGGTTCTCATTTCCTATATTCAAAGTCGGCTGGACCTAACGACAAGACCGTAGACGTTTGTTGTGTTCTCTACTTTCGCCCCCGGGGAATCGGGTGGCTGTTAACCGCGAGAGTGATCGTTTGTCTCGGCAGACGGTCATGCTGAGGAGGGTCTGTTTCATCGCGTTTCGCTGGTGTATACTCCCATTTCATCGCGTTTCGCTGGTGCCTACTCCCATTCCATCCCCTTCCTACTTGGTCGTCGGTGCGCTGAATCGTAAGCACGCCAGCTTGATCATCGTCGACTCGACTCGACTCGACCTGACTAACTTGTCGCGTTTTGCCGTTCCTCCTGGTGTACTTCAGGTGAGATCGCGCTGCTACGGTTCTCGGGATTTTTGGTGAGTTCCTTCTTGGGCCGTGTCCGAAAGCAAGTTGGATCTAACTTGGCATCGACGAACGGACAGATTTAAACCATGTCCTCCGCTCGTAACCGTCGCTTGAAATCAATTGTCTCGACGAGGTTATCGTAGTCGTGACCCCTATATTAAAAACGGACGCTCGAGTCCTACATTCCCCCTGCCATCCTCTCCGTCGGCGAATCTGGATTGACCCACGACCACCATCAGCCACTCTCGAACCAGGACCAATAGGGCGACTCGACCTTCGATCACCGGTTCAATCGATGATCGCTTCATACACTTCTCGACTCCAACACTCGACATGTTCTTTCAACCTCGGCACATTCGCTTACGGCATTCGCATGCAAGAACTTCCCCCCTCGCCATTCCTTTCCTATCCTATTGCGGGATGATCTCGCGGCTATGCTCCGCTCGAAGACATTACGTTCGCCCCTCCCCCTGGACCAACGTCCGATGAACGATGGCAAACTTGGCCCGGCTTACGACCACCAGCACCGATCATCGGCTCGTACACCTTTGGAATTTCAGCCCTCGATATGTTCTTTCGACCTCGACTCGACCGAGGGGTTCACTTCGAGCTTCAGCGAATCCCAGCGGCCCGAGTGATAGTTAGGTGTGAGTATCGACTCGAAACAACTTTCCCAATCCCGACCGGCCTTTATGCCTCCCATCGTGCGACTCGGGCTTACACCTCGATATTGTTGTTGCTATTTGCCACGTTCGCAGCTCGGCCGTCGGAGCTGGATTGGATGGCGGACACCAGCTCGCCCTCACCGGGAGTGATCCTCCGTGTACAGGTCGTCATAGGCTGACGCCGGTGGTCGAGTCACCGGTAGACCGTTCTTGTGACACGCTCGACCGGTTCGCCCCGACCGTCTCGTGTTGCAGGAACGGTCACAGCCACTCTCTTTATGGTAAGCCACGCGTTCGACCGCGACTCTACCGACGCGTGAGCTTATATACCTTTTATGACACGGCATAGACGACTGATGGTACAAGATCATGCGTTGATTGCGCCTCTGATCGATCCCCTCCGATACCACTTGCGTATCGTGACATAAGACCGGTCGACTCGAACGACTATTGCGGCGTCGGCCGCGTCCTGGGTGCACAAGTAAGTTCCGTTTCGCAACTTTTATCTCTCTCTTATAGTCCGAGACGGCGGGGTTCCCATCGTAAGTTCAAGAGGACCTGAGCAGTGCCGACCCGATGGCATCTGACTGACTCAGCACTTTCGGGATCTTGTGCGGCGTACTTAGGTGAGATCATAAGCTGCGACGATCTCGGGATTCTTGGTAAGTTTTCTGAATCATGCTTCGTAGCGGTACAAAGTCCTAACACGCTGTCGATCACCAGATTTTCAAGTCATACTACGCTCGCAATCTTCGCTCGAACTCAATTGTCTTGACGAGGTTGTCGCTGTCGTTCACTACACATCGACACGGACCACGAGTCCAACATTCCATCTCTTGCTGTTCGCGAGCAGCAATGGCCGGGCCGGCTTCAGCATCGATTGCGTTGTTCGGTCCGCGTCTTGACGGTTGTGAGTCGACGATTGATCATCTCCAACGCCGACTGCTGATGTGGAGTTGCTTTTCATCTAGTCTCTCGTCGATGACTCCCATTCAGGATGATATGGACCGAGGCCAAGCACGCCCATACCTTGATCGTCAGTGAGCACCTCCACTTTGGACTTGCCATAAGGGACACAGCTCTGACACTGAACTGACCGATTTCAATCCCGGTTGACAGATCCGGTTGTGAGTCGACGATTCTTCATCGCCTCGTCCACACGACCACGCTGATCTTCGATGCTCTGTTCTCCTCCATAGGTCGAAACTTTGCCACATCGTCGTTGAGTCGCCCTGACAATCCAGTGATCGATGGTCCTGTCTTGGCTCTCTCAACGGCGACAAGTTTTCCCGATGCACGCTCGCTCTCTCTATCTATCTGTCATGAACTAGTCTCTTTCACATAAGCACGCAGCTTTGTAGTATGATACGCTCTCTAAAGACATCTCGATTTATGCTCGAATGACGGAACCGTGAACAACAAGCAGGCTTGAACGATCGTACTTACGACTTTGCGCTTGAGGACGAATGATGCATATCGCTAGTGTCGAATATCCCAGCATGTTGTAGGTTTCTACCATTAACACGAAGATGCGGAAGCCCGACCGTAAGCATGGTCATTCCAAATTCGGCCTGCTTGAACCGATTTCTGATTTTCCTACTCGAACAGAGACTAATATAGCACCGAGACCTGATGGCAGCATCCTCATGACGGCTAAAATTGTCAGCAGCACATGATCGATCGATCGGTGACCTAAGCAATGACGTGAGTGCATGCATGCGCATGCACGATGGGATCTTGTTCCATGTTGGTTCTCGTTGTCTTTTTGCGCGAACCTATATGTCAGTGACTTTTTCATACCAGTAGCAGTAGCAGGAGACGCAAGCGGGACCACAAAAACGTTGGATACATCCTTTGTTCTGGCTCTTAGAATACCAATCGCCTTAGGCGACCCTTCCGATAATCTTGCTATCATCGCCCGTGTCTCTAGATCACGCCGGGCGATCGCGTCTGACACACAAGACGAGCGCAGTAGACAGGTTGACTTCCGATAACGAAAATGCCGCATACTTTCAGCTATCAATATGTTCGGACGCTCGCAAAATGGTCCGCGGTGAAACTGGTACAAATACGACATCCGCTACGCACGTCGCACTTTCGGCCACGACAACAATAGCTGTCGCCAAATGGCTGAACCTTGACGTCCTGGAACCCAACTTCTGAGCTCCCCACACAGACATCTCATTCGGCGCTTTATCAAGGTGTGGTTCCGTTGAACATCCGATGCGGGGAGTAGGTAAATCAGCGAAACGAATCGGGTTGATCTATCGATCAAAAGTAAGCATACCTTCGCTTGGCGGCGAGAGCTCTTTTCATCCTTCGAAACTTAGCGGCTCTCAGGAGCTTCTTGGCCTGTCTCCCGCTGGTCTCAGAGGATCTCTTCAAAGCTTTTCGCTCGACCTTAGCGACCTTTCTGCTGGGTTTCCTAAGCTTCTTCTTCTCTTTCCCTCCAAGTGCGACGCATCCCGTAGTCTGCTGTTCCTGTGCGACCTCTTCCGTAATGAAGGTGGCGGATGTCGACATCAATTTGTTGAGCAACATTCGCACCGAGATCGGAAGCTTACCCTTCATGAGGAACTTGATGTGCCTGTCCACAATACGCATGAACCGTTTGCAGAACATATTGATCTGGTCCCGCGTAGGTTCTCCAGGTACCCAGGGCCTCCTTCGCAGGTTCTGATCGAAGCGCCCATCGGAGGATCCCAAATGACCATCTCGCCCTCTGGCAAGGAGGCATCAATCAGCTGTCGGGCAAGCGGAATGGACGCGACTCTGAATACATCACCTGTTCGACTCACCCAGATATCTTGCTCGTCGAGTGTTCCGAAGCACCCCCTTCTATCGCACGAAAAGCAACTCCAGCCAAGAGAGGGTATCTTTTCAACAAGTCCATCGGAATTGAGGGCACTTGGGCAACGAAGCGTTGCAATCGATCGAAACGAGCTTGCATATCTGTCTCCACGACGCTCGATCGCGAAACCGCACTAAAACTCTCGAGTCAGCTGAAATTCAGTTGCTTCGACTGAGAACTGATCTTACGCACCGTCGTCTCCGCCACATTTTGGCTGATACGTATTCAGGGACAAGAGGAGGCTAAAAGTGTATTATCGATGTTGTCACAAAGATATCAGCAAGACTCATAGATAGGTATACGAAAGCTTATCAACAGACATTCTTCTCCCTATCATCGCCACCTTGAATGTAATAGAAGAAGTCGTCCGCTTTGATTCGAAATAGAATGCGAGCTTCGTCTATTGGTGACGATCTTTTTCGTCCACTCGGAGTACGGCAGTATGGCCCTTCTTCTCCAATCTCAGTCCAAAGCTTGAACCTAGACCATTCTGACTGATCGACTTGCAACTTATCCTGCAATGGAGCAAGAATCTTCTGCAGGCGAGCTCTGTTACTTTTATTCAGGCCAAGGTGGTGCGGTTTGGACATGATCCCGGTTGTCGCAGGTTTCATGACTTGTTGGTCTTTGGACTGGGCGGTATTTTGCAATCGAAATGTCGTCGTGATAACTGGTTGAAGTAGACTGGAGCCAGTGCTTGTGTGCGAGGCAGATTGAGGGTCTGGAAGTCGGTGGTGGTGGGATTCGGGAAGATCACGCATTGGTGTCGTTGGCGTAAAGGCCGGCCTGAGCAAGGAACTCGAGATGGAGCTCGACCCATAATCAGGTCTGACCTGACCGTGTTGTTGGTTCCTGCCGGATTTGTGGGATGGTGGGTCCCAAGCTGCTCTCGTCTCGGGTCGACCATCAGAAAAGCGATCTCTCTTCCATCGCTTAAGAAGGGAGGCAATAGTTTTCAGTCATCTCTATTCATCGGCCCTCTCTGGTCCTAGAGACTTACGGTATCGTTCATCTGGGCTGTTCCTTGAAACGAGGCCCCAGGGAAAGCGACTTCCGGCCTCTTTGGCAACCCGGGTTTGACTTCCGACTCTGATCTCTTGCTAGCTGACATGTTGCTTGTGACACCGTTCATGTGAGTCGTGCCTAGAAGCGAGCCTCCAGGGAAAGCTATCTCCGGTCTCTTAGGTAGATGAGATGGTGCGGTATTTGCCAGACTATTCGCCGACCCTTTGGCCGATCCCTCTTTCGATGACCCCGCAGCGCTCCGAGGATGACATTGTCGAGACTGACACTTCGCGAAGATAAGATATCAATCAGAGAGACCATCAAATCAGTCAGGTCGTCAGTCCACCTCGACTATAACTCCGGAGAGAAACCGATCAAGATGATTACCATTTGGCGAATGATCTCCTGGTGTTGTGCCTCTCTATCCCGTTCGTTCGATTTGTCATGTTGCCTTTCCCTCTTCCAGTCACTTGAATCGCATCTCGGTCGAGTAGTCGGCACGAAATGCTCGCTGCGAAAACGTGTTGGCGGATTGACCGTCTGCACCGCGAACTGACCTGCGAAGATAGACCCAGGGAAGTATTCGTACGATGTATCAAAGTGGCCTGATACTGCTTACTAGCCTGACGATCAACATTTGATGCTCCCCACTTGGTAGTATCCTTGCCACAAATCCTGCTTAAGTCCGATCGTTGCTTTCCCTCCGAGTGGGCTGGGCAAGGTTCTCCAGCAATTGGTGGGACGAACTCCTGATAAGCTGTATTGGTTCCGTGTTCAAGCTGGAACGAACGCCTCTCACTCAATTTCAGATTGCGCTACAAGACAAACAAATATGGCTTTCGCACTCACCGTGCGGATGGTGCGTGTTTTCACCTCACGCACGAATACCTGCTTCATTTGAGGATACTTTTCAGTAGGGAATGGGAGGCCAGATCCGCTTGCGTGGATGGGTACAGCTGCCATGTTTGAGCGGAATCCCCTCGTTCGTAAGACGGTAGTGACAATCTGAAGGAGCCGTCCCTGCTGAACCTGTAATCAGCTCCCCAGCAGTCACGGGAACGGTGATTTCCTCCTCGATCTCGCGGTATGGGTTAGGTCTATGATAACTCCGGAGGCCCCTTGCACTAGCTGAATGGGTGAGTCCAGTAACGTGACCACTGGTCGTTGATCAAGTAGCAATCGAGTAGTGTGTGCGGTAGTAGTAGTAGTAGTGAGGTGATATTCAGGAGCGACCTGCGCAGGATTGACGATCGGACGGACCACGCGGCGAGTTTCTGCAGGCCAGACGCGTGAAAAGACTACCCAAGTACCACGCAGCTGAGCAGAGACTGGAAGCGTTCGCTACTCTCAGCGATAGCAAGGCCCTTCATGAAGCTTAGATACAGATACAATGCCGATCCCGGTTCATGCTTGAGACCAGTCGAAGTCATGAACACCTGAACGATTATCGTATCAGCGCAAGCCGCTCTGTTCTGTAGTCCTCGTATAGCTCTTCCCGAGTCCTGTCCACCAGAGTCTGCCCCACATCAACGGCTCGTTATTGGTTACTGACCCCAACAGCATCTGTCAACACCCCGAACTCACAGCTGTGAACGTCCTGGACAGCATAGAAGCATAGAGGCCAGCCGTGTCCGTGATCCGGACGTCTAAGACGTTAATGTCGCCCCAAGCGTATTTTCGAGAGAGACAACCACTGAGAGGCATATGTTGAACCGCCGAAGTAGGCTCTGGATTTTCGTTCACGGAAAGCTCTGGATTCGCGGAAAACACGGGGAGGATTCGTGCAAGCGTGTCGTTTCCGAATCTAGATGCTGTATTGGTATAGACCACATCCTGCTCGTCGAGCGTCTCGAAAGGGCTCCCAGTTGGATGCAAGGATTCCGTTTCCTGGCGGTCGGATAGCTGGTGGTCGCCTAGCCCCTCAAACACGGTAAGACCATCGCATAACCCAGCAGCGAGAAGATCGCGCCAGACCGCCTGCTTGATTACGACCCGTTCTTGTGAAGTCAGTGTATCAGCTTTTGCGATCACCGGTAGCACAGAGGTCCTACACGAAAGACGTGAGATCTATGATGATCAAGGAAGTTAGTTGAACCTGCTACACACGCCGAAGCTCGACCAAGATCGACTCACTGCCGCCACATCTTCCTGGCGCAGCTGAGGCTTCCACGCGTCAGCGGCTTTGCTGGCCTCCTCGTCGACGAAGTCGAAAACCGGAGGATCCGATGACGTTGCTTCCGCTCGTGACAACACTGAGCCGGGATCGATCAAATACAACACTGTCGTACAATAGACCGTAAGCAATCGTCACAGCGAACTGCCGAGTACGTACCGAGATGGATCAGATGATCGTCTTCCGTGCCGCCGCGATTCATGCGTCGTTCAACCTGAACCTCGCGGTTTAACCTATCGGCCATTCTTCCCTCGATCAGCCGTTCCAATCCTGCTATAGCTGCTTCTCTCTCGATGCTATCCGTAGCGTGAAGACCAGGTGTATCGATGATGCTGATAGGATGTAGAGTTTGGGTTGGTTTGCCTGGATAGCGTGAAAGTCGCTTCGCAAAATTGGTCGGGACAGGGGACGCGAGGCGATCCACAGTAAGCAGTACGGAATGCTGTTCGAAGCTACGGGTCGGCATGCACCGCTGAAAGGCTCGAAGTGAAGCAACCTCTTGGCCAGATTGACTTTGGTTGCCGGAGGATTCTTCACCGACAAGCAGACCTGGTACATGACGACCGAGATCCGGGTGCTTGTGCATATCGATTAGGAGTCTCGAAAAGCTGTCCGCAGAGTCACCGCATGAGGATGGTCAGCGGTACGTCTTCCACCTATATCTACGAGGATACCACAATCTCACCTCGTCTTACCGATCCCCTTGGCTCCACAGACGACCAGGTTCAAGCCGTGCACGTCCCTGCCTCTTCGCCCTTTCACCGAGCTAACGCTGATCGTAGCCCTGGGTTTGCTCTCGCTCGATTTCGCCTCTCCGGGTGATCTTTCCGAGCCGGCCGTTTCTGCCTCATGCTGGGCTTGATGGAAAATCATGCTCTTTCTCGGTCGGTCTAGCACGCTGCGGGTCGATCCAGACGTCGCAAATGACGGAGAAGGCTGGAAAGACGGCGAGACCTCCTGGGCTCCCGCTTGATCGCCGTACACGGATCCATTGGTGTGTCGCACGCTGGTCGCTGAGGGAGAGACGCGGAAATCCCGAGAAACGTCGTATCCTTCTTGGAAAACGGGGTTGAGTGTGACTGATTGAGACGCACCCAGGTCTGAAAGGCTTCCAGAGCGAGTATCAAAGTCGCTTGAAACATCCTGAACAGCTAAAGGATGGTAGGCATGGTGCGGTTTGGGTCCTACGGTATAGGTGGGATCGCTTTCCAGCGGCTCGACATACTTTCTCCCGGTAGAGGGCTTCCGTAGCTTGTTCATTTCCTGCCGATGGGCTTCACCAATGATAACTTTCGTCTCAGCGGTGCGCACGGAGGTGAAGGAGCGTCGGGCTTTTTGGTGGGAGAAAAAGTCTGGAGTGGGCCCCGTAGTCGTACTGCTCAAGGCGGAACAAGGCCTCGAAGTGATTGACACGGACCGGATCCTGTCGAAAGGCGAATTCGAATCGACCTTCTGAACCTCTGCTCCTTTTTGAAGAGGAGCCGAACTATAGCGAGGCTGATTGGATCGACTCAACGATATCTTACTTTGAGGTTCGAGGCCAGTTTTGGCGGTTGCCCGTAGTCTCGCCAAGTCAAATGCCTCGTCGGGGATGAAGAAGGGTTGATTCGTGACGTTGAGATCGGGAAGAGATGCTGAAGATCGAAGTCGTGGGACAGAGGTTGACGCAGTCGAATCCCTTCGCCTTTTCCTCCTGACAGACGGTATCCTGAACAAGTCCAACATCCTGGTTATCTGCTCCCACCGGTTGGTCAGGCTGCAGCGTTTGTTGACTTTTGATGGACCTGCTACTGGCTACTGGTTTGTTGAAACGCGAAGCTAGCGGTCAGAAGTGATCGCTTCCGCGTGTCGCTCTCTTGCTGCGGCGAGCGAGCAAGTAGCTAATTCAAATCCGAACGACTCGGCTTGGAAACGTAGAACATCAAGTTGCAGCTGATGACATCGAGAAGCCTGAAGTTTGGCGGGACATTCAACATCCTGTATATCCTGAGAAGAGGATCAAGCACAATCAAAGATCATGATGCAATCTACCTATCCAACTCCCTTTGGACCCCTTTGATGAGAACGCGTTTCAAAGGAAGCTAGCTCAAATTTTGGGTCCGCGTGATTAGAACAAAGGAAAACCGGCATGGCATGGCAAGGACGGCGCATATCTCGATCAATCAATCCTTTCAGATGCTCATCAGTAGTACAGTAGGCTCGCCGGATCAATCGATCTAGATTGACAGCCCCACCAAGGCCTTCGCCTCCTTCCGAACCCAATCTCCAAGAGGTCCAGGGCAGGCAGCGACTCGGCAGGACAGCAAGGACAGGCTCTGTGCGGCCTTTGTCTTTTCGCTCGGATTCAGCGTATCGGGATCCCACGCCATGCCCGCGCGGAGCAGTGATTCTGCGGTCGTCCGCCAGTCCTGTTGATCCAGTACAGTGGCATCACCGAGGTCGAGATCACGAAGATTGTCCGCAAGAACGGCAAGAGCTTGTGTAGCGATTGCTGATCGAGTCGTCAAGGAGATTCGGAGAACCATCTCGCTCAATCGGCGGAGGATCACAAGGTCTAGATTTTTTGCAAGAGGCTGTGTCAGTCAGTCACTCGAGCGAGATGTATGCGACGGAATGACTGTTCGACCCACCTCGCACCGGTGCGATTCGCGATATGCAACCTAAGATCTGAATATGCCATCGTCGTTCCCGCTCAAAGATCTTATTCGACTTGGACATGTCCCGTGAGACCAGAGCGGAGACAGAATTCTCGAGGATGACCATGATGTCTTCCAGGGCAACTCCCTTGCCGGTATCGTCTAGACAGGCCATTTCGAGCCACTCGATGAGACCCTCCTTTTCGGCAAGATGGATCGATGCCTCGGGAACAGCCGTCATCGATTGGAGCGCCTGAATGATGAGAGTCCGGAGATTGTATTCGGTCGTCGACTGGAAGATGGACGCTAGCAAGGCGAACGTGTGTCGCCTCTTACAGATTTGCCAGTCCTGAAACAAAACCTGATGGGTCAGCGCGACTGACGTCGACTGATCACCGGAACTCGAACTCACCGATCTTGACCTGACAGAATCTCGTATGAACCGCACCATCCACCTTCGTTCCCTTTTGGAGCCTTGACCCGCGGCGTAAAGTAGGTCGTACAGCATCGGCACGTCTTTGAAGTCCATGATCGGTCTCCGCAACAAGAATGCGCTGACTAGCGGGTACAGGTACGAGGATGGTTCGCCGATGGTGCGGAACGCATGAGCGAAGAAGAGCGCCATCATGAACGGTACTCGATCGATCGTTCCGTCCTCTCCGGTAGTCACACCATGTCTCAAGAGGCTGAGCAGACGCCTCAGAGCGGATTGTTCTTGGAAGGGCGTAGTCTGCGAGTGTTGAGCATTTAGCTTTCTGGGTCAAATGCACTGGGCACGAAGTATATTCACCTGTACCATCTCGACGGCTGCTGCGAGAACTGTTCCCGCCATATGCCGGACATCCGAGAACTTGGAAGACAACGCGCACGTTGCCAGAGCAAGCACGTTGCTTCTCAACATTTCGACCCACTGCAAGCCCGTAAGGGGACCTTCCCGCAAGCAAGCTGCCACCAGACTGAGGACGAAGCGGGCGTCGTACACGGTGTTGTGTTCCGGTCGGAGCGATTTGCGCTCGAACGCTATGCAGGTAGCGAAAACGATTTTCGGGTCAAGCTGCTTGATCGCTTCAAGTGCCGTCTCGTTTTCGTCGGCTGCCATGTTCATTTGCGGTGTCCAAAGCGCTACGATAGCTCTCGATAGAGAGGTTCTCTTGTAGCGTTCATACAGGCCGCAGATGGCCATCAATTCGATATCGGCGGGGTCCAAACTGCCTTTGTACAGGCGGATAAGAGGCTCAATGAATGAGACTTGACAGGCCGAATAAGGCGACGAGTTGAACAAGGCCAGCGCGATTGTTGCGACGCTCCGACGTGCCCTGACTGGGTCGTGCTTCATAGCCTTGTTGAGCTTGTCCGGATTCAGCAGGAGTTGTAGATGTTGTCGAACAACCATTGCCTGTAGAGGTCTGGCAATCAGATATAGCTCCTTGTAGACAGATGCACGTGACTGACCTTGATGGATGACTTCTCACAAAGAGCGGCGGCCAAGGCGACGACTGCTGGATCGTGGAGTCGGCCTTGTATGACAGCAGCCAGTAGGGGTTCCACCAGGTGTGCTGCAACTTCCAGCTCAACCGAACGCACAAGGTGATCTGCGTGCACGATAGTATCAGCACTGAGAGCTGTGCGAGCAGCCATTGCGACTTACCCAAGGTCTCCGTTGCGCACAGTTCCTTCTCGGACAAAGGAACATCGCTAGTCAAGCGGGGAGTGAGCCATTGCACAACCCCCTCCAGCACTGACTTGACTGAGAAAGTGCCTGGCGCCATTGCCGACAAGTCGTGCAGCAACTGAATCTTTACTTGGGTAAAGGCAATACTGTTTTCCCGCAAAAGTCCCAAGATACTGCCAGCCAGCCGTTTGTCGAAGCTTGCCCTATCAAGCAGAACCGGTCTGACTTTGGTCAAGAAAGAATCTGCGTCGGCGGCAGTGTCCGCGAGAGCGCTTTCCGTCACTAGGGAGACAAAGCCAGGACGAGAGGATTCGATAGCCTCGAGATCGACCTCCTGGTACAAGGACCGCAGTCGCCGCAGCGACCCGGATGTCCAATTGACCTGTACCATGGCATTCGTCACTCTGATTGGGCCATCGCGGCTACAGCTGGAACAGAATGCAACGAGTTGCAAGGCGGATGTCGAGAGCGAAGCTAGATTAATCCCAGCGAGGTCGAACTCAGCATTGATGGCATCACCACGTGTTGCATCTTCCATTTCTCGTCCACTCAAGCTTGCGCTCGTTCGGGTGAATGTGCCGAGCGACCGAGTGCCCTCCAGTGCAGGTAATTGCAATTTGTGGGCCAGAATAAACTTGAGATGAGACAGCACCAACGTCACTGACTTGTTTCTTTGTAAGAGCTTGGCGAGAAGGTGCAAAGAATCACGATCCCTCCTGCTTCCATTTGTAAAGCTGACAAAGATCTGTTCCACGAGATTCCTCGGTAGGTACCGAACCCAAGTAGCAAAGGCGCGGCTATGAGCGATTTGCTCGTCATCAGACATGCCGAGGAAAAGGGCCCCAAGGTGTTCGGCAACTTCCGTTATGACCGCAGAGTCTAGAGGTGATGCGTTGCGGAGTACGAAGACTAAATCTATGCAACCGATAAGGTCGAGTCAATTACCGTACGTCACTTTCCATGGCTAAACTCACTTTTGCGAATCCGCTGGTCTCGATTCATCATGACTGCTTGGATGGCAGGAGTCGCCACTAACTGTCTGATCTTGGTGGATTTATTCGCTGACGGCTTGGATCCATCGACTTCCAGGTATACGACTAGAAGCTCGATCGCATGACCAATTAAGCAAGTCGTGCCGTTGAATCCTGTCAGGCGATTGAGTATGCAAGCGTACTGCAACGAGCGTAACCTGGCGGAGCTAGAGCTCATGCAGGCTTGACGGAGTAGGGCGAAAGCCGCAGACAGGTCCATGTCCTCATTGAGATCGGCCAGCAGGACCGGGAAAGGCGTCACGGAGACAAGTCTGTACCAGTCGCATAGATCAGGCCAGAGCTGACTGTTTCTAGATGACTCAAAAGACTTACTGAGCGACGGTGTCGGGCTTCAGATTGCCGTTTAGAAGAACATTCCACACGCTCGAACTGGTGCCCGGTGGAGCGTTAAGCACCCGCCTTCGAAGGTTTTCTGCTTCATCTTCACCTGTGGAAAATCAAACGATAAAGGTCTGCCTTAGTTTCGTGCCCAAAGACAAATCGATTGTTTTTGCGTACCTTCAACGTCTTTGGCGACGGATTCGGCGACAGCCGCGCTAGGACGTCCTGCGAAAGCGTCGAGCTGCATAGCCAGTACTGCGAGTTGAGTCGAGAGGCTCGGTAGTGCGGTCTCTCGCTTGAGCTCGGCGGCAGACAAGCATGTCTGAAGCCGTCCTTTGAGCAATTGGATGAAAGCCAGGTCAGACTGCTTGGCAGTCATGGCGAGCACCACGTTGCGCAAATACGCGAGAACAACTTCGGCAGCATCCGCAGCGATATGATGCCCAGCTAATTTGGCCTGGAACTGTTCAAACATGGCGAACAACAGTGGAGACGGCCAAGTTGATCGGTCGATATTGACGGGGTGCTGCGCGACCAAGCTTGCAGATTCTTCGATGTACCGATATGGTGTCTTCATACATCTCCTGATGCAGTCGTCGACGAACCCGAGCAGATGCAGCCTTTCCAGGGCTAGCGTTGCAGACGTCTTGACGCCAAGGGCTCGGGTCCTCGGCAGACATTCTACCCAGAGATTCCATTCTTTTCGGTCGTGATCGAACATGATAGATTCGCCTATCATCTCCGCAAGCAACTTGTCCGTAACTTGGACCGTTCGAAGATGCGGCGTGGATAGCCTCAATTGAAGAATGTGGTAGACGTACGAGTAAGCGGATCCGGCTGTTCCAAAAGGATGATTGAGGGTAAGCTGATCACGCCGTGGATATGCTGATCGTCAGAGAAGGGCAGCGTACCTGCTTTGGCAGTCCAGTCCCATTCTCGAACTGATGCCAACAGCTCGAGAACGTGGACCTGACTGAGAGCATCGAACTCCGCTACATCCCCCCTCGATTGACCGAAGCCTCCACCCATCCCAGCACTCCCGACAGTTCCAAAACTGGCAACACTGCCGCTATCATCGATGACGCTACCCTCTCGAGCCATCTTGCGAGCAGCGGCTTCTTGTTTAGCGCTTGAAGATGACACCAATAGCTTCCCGACGTCGAACCGGAATTCGGCGGCCATGTTGGGCAAGGCGTGGTAGTAAAGTCTAAACAGACGCAGTGCCGACTCGGTAAGCAACACAGCTTTGGCCTTCTCGCCGTCGTCCGCTTCCTCGAGTGAGGCTTGTAGCGCTTGAGATGCCGCAGACTTTTGCGCAAACGCGATGATGACCGGCACCTCCGGTACTCGCTTTCGTGCCTCCATTTCCAATTCCCGCAAAGCTTTCGACCAGGGGTCGTCGAAATGCTGGTTGCCCATATCATGTCGAACCTCCTTGCTGAGCTTCGCGAAAGCAGCCTTAACAAGCAAGAGTTTCTGCAGGGCTCGTGCGAGGGTCAGAGCGGTCTCGTGCTGAACCAGGCCTACCCCGTGTTGCAGTCCTTTGCTTAGGTGCTGTTTGGACAATGGCGACGGCAAGACTGCTTCGATGATAACCTGGAGCGCGGGGGGTGAAGCTTTAACGACCATCTCCTTGCTGCCGTCAGGTTTCGTAATGCCAGTTGTAACGTGAAACGTGTCGTTTGGCGGCAACGGTAAGGAGATCACATGACCCAGGAGGGCCATAGTCGCCAGCCACTTCGCCGAAAGTCGGGGGTCGACGGAAATGCCCGAATGCGGCCAAAAACTTGCAACCAGTTCAGGGCAAGATCCCAAGATCGAGTAGACCAACTCGGCGACCTTGGGTTCTTCGACTGCTCGTGCGCCGATCCGCCGGACAACATTTCCGAGAATGTGATTGTGAAGCATTTTAGTACCATAGGCACTTCCATCCTTTTGGGTTTCGCCTCCATCTCCGCCGTCGAGATCCGCTTCAATCATATGCAGGTCGTCCGCTTTTCCTTTGCCTTTACGCTTGTACCATCCTTGATCTGGGAAGCACACCCCAGTACCTGGATTGGTACAAGTTTTCAAAAGGAACTGATGAGCCATCTCCGCAGGCGAGACCTCGTTCACCTTGTCATCCTCGTCGTCGTTTGCATCTCGTTTGTATAGCTTCACGATCCCGTCGATAGAGTTTTCGTGCAATAAAGCGACCGACGTTTTGCGGTTGATCGCCGACGAAGGTGATGCATTGATAGCATCCCAGATGGCGTCCAAGACCCGATAAATGGTCCGAGCAGGGTCGTCCTTCAGGTTGGAAAATAGTGGAATGACCATCGGTTTCGACCCGGAGAGGAAAAGAGGATAGGCGAGGAACGGTAACAGAAAGTGGACGGTGAGGTGCCGGATATCTATTCAGGTTACTGAATCAGTATATTGCATCGTATTATACAACATATCGCAGACTCACCAGGCTTGTCCATGGGATCGGCTTGAGCAGCGAAGCCTCCCTTGCGCCGCATACTGAGCAGCTTCGGCAGAGCTCGAAGACATCCACTATCGGCGATCATCGTCCATATCCTCCCATTGATACGACTGACAGATCCCTTGTGACCAGGATCGACGTGAACGAGGGCAGCCGCAAGGCCCATTCCAAGATGAGCATGCTCTCGTTTGGTCGAGAGGATCATGCGGGTGAGCTATACACGATAGACGGATTGTCAACACGATGAGCTGGGACTCGAGCTTGAAAAGGTCATCTACCATGTTTCCGTAATTCTCAGAGGTATCCAAGAACTTTTCGACCAAGTTCTGGAGCGTTGGTAGGAAATACGGGATCGGAACGAGCAGGTTGATCATGGTGGTGAGGAGTTGCATCGAAATTTCCACCAACTGCGTGTTCTTTCGCTGTCGAATCGAAGCAAGAACTTGAGACGCATATCCACTGTTCGCTCGAACCCATACGCACGTCATTTCCATGCTTCCAATTTGTGAGAACCTCATCGCATTTGGGTGAAAGTGCCAGATATTGTTGAATGATCACGACACTGGGATGAGTCAAGGAAATCGTGGCCTGTTGCGAATAAACAACTCGGAGCTGCTTTTCGAGAGCCACAATGGCTAGAGATCTCCAGTAATATCAGCGCAATCCATCGATCAGGAATGATATGCCTTGTCAACTTACCGTCCTTGCTGCCTGATTCGATCGCAGCCTTGACATCTTTCCCGGTCGAACACACTCTTGCAGGCTTGACGTTCGAGCTCTTGCCCTCTATCGGGACAAAATCCTGCGCCCCTCTCTTGCGTTTGAGGGATTCAGCCATGGTAAGAAGTGATCGATATGAGCTGACGAGGTGTACAGAAATACGGGACCACTGAACGCCTTGCGATAAGATAGCAACGTTGGCATCGCACCTTCGTCATGGCTCAGCTCACCGAAATTGGCGGATAGATGTTCACAAGAAAGATTGATCACGTGACTAGGCCGATGATCATTGCCGTAAAGCCGGGGCCAATCGCGGAGGCAAACTGAACACGCATATATCTGTTTTGCCTTGTTGCTTGTTGATGTCGTGGAGGGAGAGAGATACAGAGAGAGCGGATGACGAACAGCTGCACGGCTGCAGCACTGCTTATAGCTATCCTAGACGAGATTAAGCGCGCGACAGCGACATCTTATGGGCCGAGCCAGTCAATATTGGGTGGCAGCGCGGTCCATCTAGGAAGTGTATGATACCTGGCGATCTGTCTAGCTACGCGTACTCTGCTTTCGATTTGGCCTGTGTTAATATGAAACAGGGCGATATGGCCACGCAAAGGCTTCCACGGAACCCTTGTCGTCCTTCCAGCTCCCGAGCTTGCTTCTGATCGCTTCGATGCCTATACATCCAGCTCATACCGTATCTGGAAGTCTCGCTAACAGGAGGTACGCTCAAGGTAGAGTGGCAGCCAAAAAGGGGGCTGACCGACAAGCGACATTTCGCCACCATCGTCAATGGGATGGCAGTATCGCTCCAAACTGACGGTACCTATCTGTCAAAGCTTGGAGCAACATGCTTGGTGCTAACAGCCGACGAAAGATCCATGGTAGAGAACCCGCCGAGTCTCTTGTCCGAGTGCGTCCAGTAGTATCATCCTCCCAAGACACGAAACTCAAGTCGACAAAGTACTCGTACAATCATCAAGATGGTGCGCGACAGGCGCTCGATGACATGAGGGGTTGGCCACAGTGGGGTTGTATAGCATCGGATGAATCTGTTATAGGCGAAGCGAGACTGCAGAGTTTGCGCTTTGCCTTGAGGGTGAGTGGGAAGTGTTGACCACGGAAAGATACCACGCAGCGATACAAGGAGGATCTGTGACAAAGTATCTCGCAGCAACTATAGCAACACTGCTTCTCCGATTTCCGAGGTATGATGCTCGGAATATTTCGCCTGTTCATCCGCCTGAGTTCGCTGTGTTCTTCTTCTGCGTCAAAGGTACGGACGTCAACAGCATGGGCAGCAGCGATATCATCATTATTAGTGCATTATCCTAGGCCCCTCTTATCCATGTGGACATCTGCTACCAACGGCTTCAACCCTTGCCAACAGCAACGACGACAACAGCACTTACAATGACGGAGATGGACTAACCGAGCTGTCGAGGCATGTCATTAGCAATGTACCTCCCACCTATTCGGAGTGATCACGACTCCCCCTCGTCACCAAATACAAGGAGCGGTCTTCCCGAGAGCGCGAGAGACCCTATCGAGCTGGGTGCTGACGATGATGGATACAACGGAGACACAAGACGATGACCGGGGTGACATTGATCCAACAAGAAGAGATGATGACGACTAACAGGCTATGGTGTTCGGTCGTTCCGGTGAATCATGATATCATAGAGTATTCACACGTCTAGCACGTCTGCACTCCGCTGGCCGCTGGCCGCTCGCGACATCTCTCGGTCATGCAAAACGGGACTTGACGGCGCTGGCCGTCGAAGGCAGGCTGATCTCGCTGAATGCGATCTGTCTTCGGCTGCTTGACGGTATGCAAGTCGCAGTTGAGAACCTTGTTGACTGGCAACAGGCTGTACAGGACCATGCCGGTTGGCCTGATAGGTGGGAGAGGAACAACGGCATCGCGGGTGCCGCTACTGTGGGTGCCGTCGGACTCGGCTCGTTGTTAGGAAGGTTGGATAGATTTGACGTCAAGCCGAAGATCGAACATGGCATGTCTTGTTGATGGTCTCCTTCTTGGAGACAATTCATTACCCCCCTCATGGTCGGCGTTCTCCATCTTGTCGACGGCCTCCCATCCCTCGTCGTCAATCTCGGCCTCGTCAAAACTCCCCTGCTTGCCGTTATGTAGCCTTCCGACACTCGAACTCGAACTCTACTTGAACTCGAACTCGACCCCTAACCCAGAACACTCGCATCATGGCTGGACATCGCTCACATACCCCCCCTAGTCATCGTCGTCATCGCTCTCCTTATCGACATCGATCTAATACTCCCCGTCCCCGGCGTGGTGACCGTAGTTCTCCAACTCCGCCTCGTCGACGGTCTCCTTCTTGGAGACAATCTGTCACCCCCCCCCTCGTGGTCGGCGGTCTCCATCTCGTCGACAACATCCCGTCCCTTGTCGACAACATCCCGTCCCTTGTCGACAACATCCCGTCCCTTGTCGACAACATCCCGTCCCTCATCAACAACCTCCCGTGCCTTGTCGTCAATCTCCGCCTGGTCGACCTTCCCCAACTCGCCGTTATGAAGCCTGGCTAGCCGAGAGGGGTCTCTCATTCGGGAGAGGAAGGAGGTTTGCCGCGAGTCGATATCTAGATGGAGGCTATGTTGGCCCATACGAGGCGGAATTGGATGGCATGGAGGGGGGGGGTTCTACGCAGGGCCCTGAGCAAAATCCGCCAATTGACCGAGGGAAAGCCGATTTTACTGGTTGCGATCTTCCTTCGTTCCAACACTGGTCTTGGCTTGAGAAACGTAGCTCTAGAGGAGGAACTTTCGCAGCTGGACTGGTCGGCTTTTACTCCGCCGGCCCACACTTCAGCAGCCCCCCTTCTAGATTCGCTTGTCCCTCGCTTCGATGCTCTCGGCTCAGAGGACGTCAAGCCCGTCGTGACCGGCCCTGCGATCCCTGCTACGATCAGGTAGTCACGACAGCAGCACCACCACCACCACCACCAGCGAGCCCGACTCGACCAAGAATGAAGATCACGAGATTGAGAACGACAACAGCGGCAGCCAGGCTGCGTCGGGGTATGTCTCGTGTGAAGATGTTCCTACCCAACCTCGACTGATCATCAGGTTCCCCTTTGCAGTCCCAACACGACCCCCGGAAGCGCGAGCGACCCCATCGAGCTGGGTGGTTCTGCGTGTCCCATCGACGTCAGCGACGATGAGGACGATTGAGCTCCGTATCTCGCCGTATCATTCCTTGACCTCTACAATGATGTATCTTTCATCGTTTTTGATATTGTACAACCGGGGTCCAGCTCAAGTCGCCTTGTATCGTCCCAAATAGACAACTTTATACCCGTCGCTCCACATTTCACCCCGTCTTCGAAGGCTTCTTGACCATGACCGGGATATCTAGCCCCTTTCCTCCCCTCCCGACCACCTTCAACGTATCGACGACCTCGAACCCAAACTTCCTGTACAACCCCTGACCCGCGGGGGTGCTTTCCAGTTGCACGGCCTGGTCGGCAGGGAGGGAAGAGAGTTGGGTGGAGAGCAAGGTATTGCCGAGACCTTGACGTTGGTATATCGGGTGGATGGCGAGGACTTCAAGGTACCTGTTGATACGAAGCGGGCAAGGACGGAATGAACGAATGGGTCAGTTGAGGGCGATGGAGGTTGAGACGAGATTGACCAGAAAGGCGGTACAGCAAGAGGGAAGATCGAACGAGTATCCGTATACGGAGAGGAAGAGCTCCGAAACTCACCAATGATCTTTTCCCCCATGCAATCTCTCCCGTGACTTTTGCATGTTCCCAAAGAGCGTGTTCCACCCGTCCAGATCGACCTGCTCGTAGACCTCCTTCTCCTCGTCCGTCAACTTTTCTCGGTCGGTCGACTCGAATACCCTATAGCCTGTACCAGGAGGCTGCCAGATACTGAACCCGGCCATATCTCCGTCCTTGCCAGTCTCGTTCTCCGGATCATCGACGACGGCCTTGAAAGCGACCTTTCCCTTTCCCAATCCATACGTTAACCGCTTGACCGTGCCCTTCTTTCGTTCCTCCGGGCTGGGATAAGGGTCGACGAGGTAAGTCCGCTGGAACAGGCTATTCTCGCTATCGAAGGCGGCTTCGGCGAGTTGAGCTGCTTGGAGCATGTCTTCGGGGGATTTGGGGTCGAGAGGGAGGAGACGGAATTTGTATTTCTGGTTGGTGGGAGTGGATTCCGACATGATGGGATGGATTGAACTAGGCTGCTGGTCTGGCGTTGCTGTTGCGTGGTCGTCGCAGACGATGCTAGAACCTATGAGTTAGATTTCCGAGGTCTTGGAAGAGGAAAGTTGATTGATAATCTCGATCCTGTTCAGCTTGGTTTCACATTTGACTAGTCGTTCAATCGATTCGAGCCAGGTATGATGGGTGCATGGGTGGTCTGACGTGTATCTCAATCTCCCATGCGGTGCCCCCTTCTCCGAACCTGGCTTGGCCCAAGGCGTTTTGTCTTATTTCCACCTATACCACACATGGGGTCGGTCATGACCGAGAGGAAATCTTTTTACCCCGAGAAGTTGCGATCAGGTTCAAACATTGAAGTCGCTCGAGGTGCGACCTCATCATCTGGCTAACCAGCTCATGGTGTACTACTCACCTATTGCTGAGTCCATCTGCCAATGCTAATCTCCCCCCTGACATGCATGTGCGCTCTGTCGAATGTAGATGTCCGGTCCAATTGGGATTACCGCGTTTTCCTCCGAAACCGCCGTCTCGCTTGTTTCCACCTTGGACGCAATCACCTTTGTCCGGGAAGGTTCTATCCCATCCCCCCGTTCATCCTCGATCAAGTGAGCGAGCAAGCTACCAAGAACTGTCGAGGTAATGAGCTTGTGAAGCTATATGAACTCTTTATCCTGATCCCTTTGATCGTCTGAAGGATCTTATACGTTCGGTCATCGTACATCCTAGTCATAGATCAATTACAAGCTTGAACACGCAACAATCGGCTCTTTTGCGGGCATCACGGACCGAAACTCGGTACGACCTAGCTAGATTTCACGAGTCGGTTAGGGTAGATATTTCGCTCAAGGACGAGGTGAGTTTTCAGGACGCATCTGGATATTCGATTCAGGGCGTCAAGTTGACAAAGGTGGACGCTCTTCCTTTTCCGGGCGCAGATCTATATCATCGTGTCTCAACCCGTTCTCAGGCCGAATCGCTAGATCACAAGACCCGCTTGAGCGCTCTCATCTCCAAGAAAGACTTTTCACCGTCGAGGCACGCCGTTCATTCGTCAAGCCTCTCTCCACTCGAATCGAACAGAACGAAAGGCTTACAGGACTCGCTGAACGAGGTTGAACAACCCTTCACATCCCAAACCAGCCGTTCCAGGTAACAGAAAATATCGACTGCAAAGATGTCAGGACCCGTCCCTATGGCCAACCTCCCTTCCATCCCGATTCCATCGGGTCCGACCGGGTCGTCGTACTCGTCCAATCGTTTTTCTTCTTCTACCACGGATAACCACCATCACAATCATAATCAAGGTTATGGAATGGAACATCACGCCTATGGAGGTGGAAAGGAGATTGTCGAGGATGAAGATCGTTGGAAACCTCAACCTCCAGGCAGGATGACGAGGATGATGAGTGCTAGCGATTGGTTGGGACACGGCACCGTCGACCAACATCAGCATCAGGACCGTTATCTCGACAACGAGTCTGAGCCCGATCTCAGGTCGCCTTATAGCGAACGACCCGGTCAACCCGATCCGTGGTCTCTACCCACCTCGCCGACTTCGAAACCGATGGGGTTGAGCAACAACGATAATAGCAATCTCATCCCGGATCACATCACCTCGCACCCCCTGTTCTCGTATCACGCCGCATCCGCTTCGAACAGTTACACGGCGAGCCCGCCGGGACAGATGCATTTGCTCTCCACGTCGGCTCCTAGCGAGATGGAAGATCTGCCAGGACCTTCGACCCTGCCCGTCTCTCCCGGCAAAGATCAAATTCAAGCCCAAGCGGGACCTTCAATGATCTCGCCTATCAACGAGGGGCATACTTCATTTTGGGCCTCGAGATGGGCAGGGGTCAGCGAAAACCAGGGCGCGGCCAGCGGTACGACCACGGCCACCCCGACGAGGAGTGCCAAGATCAACGAGACTTCGCTCATGGAAGCTCTTTCCGGCGTACGGCAGGGCGATGAACCTAGCGTACTGAACAGCAGCAGTCAGGGCGGAGAACCGTTCTCACCCGCCTCGGCCTTTTTGTCCAACTTTTCCTCGCCGACCTTGTCAGCGGCCGGGACGGGCGGTCTGAGAAGAGGGACGAGCATGAAGAGCGAAGTCGGATGGGGTGGCAAGATGGGGGAGAGTAGCGTGGGCAGGGTGGCGAGGCAGTCGTCCAACGAGAGGAGTCAGGAGAGGAATCTCAGCGTGTCTCCTCAAGACCGTCTAGGGTATCCAGCAAGGTTCACGCCGTCGCATGCATCGGGAGGAGGTGGGGGTTTCGCGCATGGACGATCGATTTCACCCTATCGATCGTTCTCGCTCAACCAAACTGCTTCTAGGATGGCAGCGGAGGAATTGTCTAGCAACGTATCGACGACCTCTTCAGCCCCGGATGGAAAGGGCGCCAAGATCCTCGGATACACCTTGGGCAAGATCATCGGGAGAGGAGGGTTCTCGACCGTCAGACAGGCGACGCACGACGAGACGGGCGAACTGTTCTCGTGCAAGATCGTCAAGAGAGACGATCTCAGCGATACATCGGGGTCGTTGGAGAATTTCGAACTCGAGCTGGAGCTTTGGAAGAGCCTTCCACGGCATCCTCGAATCTTGCCGCTCTTGGAGACTTATCGGGACCCGGACGGATACGCCACGTACCTCATCTCACCTTACATGGCCGGCGGGTCGTTGTTGGACGTCGTCAGGCGGGACGGAGGGAGCGAGGAGACGGCCCGGAAGTGGTTCCCAGGGGTGGTCGCTGCCGTACAGGCGCTTCATGAGGGTTATGAAGGGTTCGAGGAAGGGGGGATGTTGCATGGGGACTTGAAGTTGGACAACTTTCTGGTCGGACACGACGGGAGCATCTGCGTGTGCGACTTTGGGTTGGCACAGAAGCTCGGTCGGGCAGATGGCGAGTCGGGGAAAAGGGAAGATGAGGAGCGGGGCAGGGGGAGGTCAGAAGGAAAACGGGTCATTATCGAGAGTCGACCGGCTTCGAGGGATCGATCACGCGCTGCCGGGTCGAGGTCGAGGTCGAGATATAGGCAGATGAACCCGTTCGGCCAGGACCATGGGCACCCACATCAGCATCAACATGGACATCAGCAACATCACACTCAGTCCGGGTTCGTCGAGGGTAGACGAGGTAACGTGCGGCACTCGCCTTCTCCTGGTGGTCGGTGGGGTGAAAAGATGCCTTCGAGCAAGGCTTTCCCCTCGGCTTCATTGCCGTACGCTCCTCCAGAGATATTGTCGGCCCCTCCTAGTGGACCTTCCTTGGCGCAAGACATCTGGGCGCTGGGAATCATCCTGCACGCCCTGCTCACTTCGCGTCTTCCGTTCGTGGACACGTTTGATCCTCGGCTCCAGATGAAGATCCTGCGTGGCGATTGGGTGGTCCCGACTCACCTCGGATCGGAATGGCTCGAATGCCTGCTTGGTTGCTTGGAAGGAGATAAACATAAACGATGGAGCATCAAACAGCTCGCAAGCTCGGACGCGCTGCAGGGTTGGCAACACGTCAAGTCGAGGAGCAGAAGCCGAAGTCGAGCGAGGAGCATGAGCCGTCGGCGGGACGACAACACGTTGAGCGTCTCACCGCAGAGCGATACGAGGAGTACCAGCCGGGGTCGTGATCTGCGTCCACCGAGCGTCGACCGTAGTCGTGATCGCAGCCGGGAGCCTAGACCGCCTAGCATCGATCGTCTCGGCTCGAGGAACAGTTCTCAAGGATCCAGCCGGGCGCCGTCTGTTCCACGACGACCGAGGTCTGCGTACGACACGCCTCCCACTTCGGGTACTGGAGGTCACGGACTGACGAGCGTTATGGAGGCTGGGGATGACCTCGCCTTGTCTATGCGACGTTTGGCAGTGGAACAGAACTCTCGAAGTCGGTCACGAGGGCGGAAGGAAGACCAGCCGGGTGTTTCTAGCGGTCGTTCGGCTTCGCGGCAGTGAGATGACGAGGTTGACAGGATTGTACTAGCATGCAAGAGGGTAGATGAATACGACAATATACCTGTTGACATAATCATGATACCTGCTGTGATTACACGACGTCTGATTGGGAGTTTTAGCAGAGTTTGTGGTCCGTGGAGATGTTCGAGCGTTCAGTGAATGTATAGTTTGAGGTTATAGTTTTTCAGTGACAACACGCGTCAGTCGCATCTTTGCTGGTGTATTGGTAACATTGGCGCTTGTCATGATATCAACTATCAACACTACTCGCGCCCGCGCTGGGTTCGATTCCCAGGCAGAGAGTTTCTTTTTGCTTAGCTAACTCTCCTCGAAGCTGTGTTTTTTACGTGTTTACGAAGTTGCTGTCGTCATCAAAGCTGGGGGCTTCGTCTGCACGCCCATTCTTATAAATTGATCCCCAAAGATCAAAGTGTCACCTATTCACTACATAGCTATACTCTTGCTACCATCGCCAACGGTATACCTTTTCGACGCTATGGACGTCAATTTGATCCTCAACAATCATGGCGGCGGTTCGGGCAAGGCGGAATTGGAACGCAGGCGATCTATGGGTGCAGTGAGATTCAGGGTCAGCAATTCCGAAGTTCCAGTTCGCTGACGCTCAGCGATGAAATAGGTGCTTCATCTTACCGAAGCGAATGATCTGCAAAGACTCGAACAGCGACGTCTTCCTCATGAGCGATTGCTTGGATCCGAACTGCAGCTCGAATATGCCTCGTTGAAGAAATGGGCTGGAGGAAGCAAGTGGATCACGGAGAGCGACCAAGATGCTTGTCATCTGCTTCGTATCCCGCAAAAGGCGCTTCAGAGACACATCGCCACAAGTAAGGAACGTGATATTGATCAGACGTATGTGCACTGGAAGCTCCGGACTGGCTGCACGTAATTGATTGTCGCAAACATCCTTTCAAACAGTGCTGTGAAGAGACCCGTCGTGAAGGAAGAGGACGAACAATTCGCAGCATGGAACGCCCATCGGTGGGGCATGTCCTACGTCAAGACCAGAGCTGGCAAGAAGTTCAAGATGCACGACACTTTCATCGACTTGTTCCGACCTCATTATTCCGAAGACCACTCACTCCACGGTTCCTCCTGCGACGAATCCCCCGACATCAAACCATCCTTCGACAATATCTCTCGCAATGGTACATCCCCCGACTTTGACATCAAACCATCTCCCAAAGATCTCCCTCGCAACTCTCCTCTACATGACTCAGCTCTTTACGAGACTACCGACGTCAAACCCCCAATCAACAGGATCTCTCGCAACGAACTATTCCAAAACGATTCCCGTCACCACAACCCTCCTCCCACCGCTGCCGGACCCTCTCGCAGATTCGGCGGACTTCCTCCCCTCAGCAAAGGCACGCCCCATCATGTCATTCTGTGTGACTATCCGATCCTTCTTGTCTACATCTATCGCGTCCTGCAATCGGAACAACCGACCGAACCTTCTGGCCGAAGATCGCAGTACATCGAGATGACTGACGGATTGAGTTTGAGGTTAGTCGCCCAGCGCATCAGCACGGAGAAGGTGACCCTGAAAATAGCCGCTGATGCTCCGAGAGCTCCCTTCGCAGCTATGCTCAAGAAGCGTACTGCAAGAGGGTTATGAACGTAGTCTACAGGCAGATGAAATTCGCCTGGACTCGTATTCAGAATCCCAACAAACAAGTGATCAAGACGAAGACGAAGCCAATGGGAATCCATGCCCTCAAGAAGCAACAAAGGGGCCGAAACTATCTCGCTAGACGATAGATACACCGATCTCCTGACATATACTCTCTCTAAGTACGTCCACTATTTTGGCACGAGTTCAGTAGTTCTCACAACGTCTGAACAGCAATCTTAATCCCGGCAGGACGTCCTGAAGCGGCTGTCGAGCCACGAGTGACGGGGTTGACATTGTGCGCATCGGTGGGAGCAATGATCGAGGGCTCGGAGTGCGCGTTCTGAGCATGGTTACGCTATGACGGCAAAGGCGTGGGATATGCACGTCTTTCGTGTGGGCCCGGAATGATTGTGGTGGTAGAAGAGGGCTGGAGCCGAGGCTCCGCATGCCGAGAGGGATCAGAATGTCATGCAAGAGAAGGCATGGGTAGATACATGTCTGTCGTGAAATTATGAAGAGTTCATCATGATCGAAGCGGGCTGATTTCGAGATTCCGCAGTCTGCTGCTTTTGCTGCTGATATTGATGCTGGTGGTGACGATGATGTTGCAACGAAAGCAGGGCATGCGATTCGGCACGGATTGGATGGAGGGTCGAAGAACCGGATGGAAGAGCCGTGTTCTGATGATGGCGGGACGGTGCGCCAACCCGATTAGCCAAGCCGAAGCTGTTCGTTTGGTTCTCCTTGTCCTCCTTGTCCTCCTTCGCGTCAATCGAATCCCTGCAATAGTCCTATCGCGACTTGTCGCGAGACTGCCATCGTCCGGCCTGATTGTTATGTGAGCGGAGAGGTTGAGGGATACCAGGCATCCGAGTCATTCTGCGGTTCTGAGCAGACCAGGTTGCGAGAGTAATTAGCGTGAGACGAATACCATGGATCATGAATACTCACTACGGGCTCGACAATATTGTCAGATAAGCTGGTACGGTCGATAAAGTCGGAGGGAATTCCTTCGTGGTCAGACACGGTGGTGAGATCGATGGTATGCGAGGACATTTCGCCGATTTCTAGCGACCGAGGGTATATGGCCAAAACACCGCCGCGGGGTATCCGGAGGCTCGGTTCGAGCAGCCCAGGCAGTTGTTTGAAGAAGGTTGATTAAAGATTATGATGGAAGGGTGGGTGGGTTACCGTACGAGGTGAAGAAGAAGTTTCTCCCGACCTGGATGTCTTGTTGACGAATCTAACTGTCGAAGTGATAGCGGTCTTGTTTGGATGCTCATCAGAAGATTCGGGAGCGCCTTACGTAACCCGCGATCGCGTTCCCAAATCCACTGGTTTCAAATCTGTAAGTACTCGCCGTTCTTCTTGGCAACCACGTAGTGACCTCGTAAGCAATTCGTGCTTGAATACAGCCTTTTTGGCAGCACTTCCGGACGAGGCAGAGCCCTTCGGCACCCCACTCAAAGGGGTCGATTGATGGGCAGACAAGTCACTCCCGATTGTTGATTTCCGAAGACTCTCTCTACAAACATCTCGAGGGGAATGACAGCTTGCCCTCAGACTGCCAATCCTCGTGATGACTTGAAGCAGACCCATCCTAGATCACGATCACGCCTATGAGCAAGAATGGGTCTTTTCCGGACGATAAATTCGGTGCCGTTCGAGCGTCATCTCCATTCCAAATTCATCTTGTTTTCTCGTGCGCTCTTCCGAAGTCCAGCTAAATGGATGAACATGAATGTCGTTTTATGTCTATTTTTTAGTTTTTGAAATGCCTTGAAGCGATTGATGTCAGGTCCCCTATGATTCGTTGGTGACGGACCCTGTCCGTCCACTTGGGTCCGTATGCCATTCAATATTCATCGCTTTGATGCAGAGCATCAGGACACAACCCCATGTTGCTTTGGATCAGGTAGATCTTGAAAACCATCGGTAGTAGCAACGGGGAGAGATCTTCGGGATCGTCGTTTCAAGTTGATCTGCCGGCGATCCGAGGCAGGCTGTCTAAGCGAGGTGGATCAGCGGCTGGCGGAGGTTTGTGATCTTTCCAATTGACTTGTATATCGAGTTTAGTTTCCACTGTTGCCTCGATCTCCAATGACATGTAATGGCGATAGTGGACGGTCGGGTTCAGCTTACGGTGTTTTGCTGATGTTGATGTTTCTGGGCGGTCAAGCTGAATCATCTCGCCTTTACCGCAAAGTCGCAGAATATATTACACAACCCGAGGATCGCTCAGTCAAACAGAGCTTCAAGCCTTGCTGCTACGTCGATCGCTGAGCTATTCTCTTGAATATCTGGAAGCTAGGTAAGGGTCACTCACGAACGCCGATCAGTTGCGCAGCAAGATGCTCGATCGTTCAACAATCGTGCGTGGGAGGGGCGACGTATCTTTTTCACAGGCGTATGACAAGCAGGAGTTTGCCCCGGGACCTAAAGGATCACATCCTCTGGACCCCTCGTAACTCACAGTATCTCGTATATGCTAACTACTTCAACTCGCTTCTTTCGTGTTACAACGAATGCATCACGTATTACTGCAAACGCATGTCACATCACTAGACGATGATGAACGCTGGACTATCGTCTGGCAGCATATTTGACTATCTGGCTCAATAGCCTTACATTTTAGCAACCGGCAAGCATTAGGATACTTTTATCGTCAAGAATCTCTAAGAGGGAGATGCAGAACGATCGTTCGGTCGAGAAACAGGAGATCTCGTGCGCAATGGTCGAACAGGATACGTGAGGGAGTCAACGACAGCAGACGCTCTCGATTTTTGCCACGAAGTTGGAGCAGGAAAATCGCTACATCTCCTCTACTCAATTCGCTGCTGGGACAAAAGCGTCGGAATAAACAAGTCTCCATCAGAGACGAACGCTGAATCCTGCGAGTACACAGAAGGAAAAACCATCGCAACCGACGTTGCGTTCAGAAACGATCGCAAGCTCTGTGTGGATCGTCAAGCGAAGGCCTGCCAAAATGCCGTGTCCTGCTTTGACCAAGTCAGCCGACGTTCACCGATTCCGTAAGCGGTTCATGGTTCAACCGCTGGTGCCGGACGGTACGATGCGCTTGCTTCAGACCCAGGTTCTCGTAACGTCGCTTTGTCTTAGACCGGTCACGGACAGCGTATACGATCCACCTCGTCATGGAGTTGTGGCATAAAAGACCTCAAATCAGGCCGATCATACCGGACATCAAGGATGGGTGCACTGGAAGCGCTGATCAAACAGCCGTCGCGAGCATCATCAGATTGATCGCGTAGGAGGACTGTCTCGTCTCGCGGAAAGATAGGGGAACCGTTTCAGCAGCTCAGCAACCTGCAGTCCATCAATTCGTACTGCTAAGATCTTTCAGTATCGTCATCCTGACAGCGAGGGTATTCGATAACAGAGACTCGGAACAAGCGTGCTTGTCAAGGAGCAAGGAGACTTGCAACGTCAAAGCAACCGGAGCCATTTTCTTAGCCCCGACCGGAATCTGAAAAGTTCTCTAGTACAGCGCGTGCCGACGCTCAAGCACATGGAGCTGGCGATGCGCTTTTCGCTGGTCTCACCTCCACGCACGCTGCGCTCCGCGGCTCGTTCCTTCGAGAATTTTCACTCCAGGCGTCCCCGGAAGGATATAAAAGGCTGGGCTCGACCTCGCGTCCCCCTTCCGTTTCGTACTCTACTCCTACCTTTTCTCGACAACCAACGTCAGACAAGGATGCCCCCCACCCTTGCAACACAACGACACCTCATTAACCGCATTTCATCCTTCCGGCGAACTTGATCCTCACAGGCGGTCGTCTCTTCGCAGCGTCGTCTCGTCGAATTCACGCCATGGAATACCGGTGGTCCCTGGCCGTGTTCGTGCTATACTTCGCCATGAAAAATTTCCGAGACTTCAAGATTTCAAGACCTCAAGACTGCAAGACCTCAAGACTTTACGCATCAAGACATCAAGCATCGACCGAAACCGCCAATCGTCAAGGGTTCGAGCAACGCAATTCATGTCTGCGTGAGTATCTCATCCTCCGGAAACTCTAGAACGGTTGACTTCCGCGTTGCAGTACTGATATTATGTGCATCAGGCGTAAGTCATTCTCGATTCATCCTGCGATTGCAGCTTGCTGACTTTCTACCTTCTCTCGCTCCATCGCTACCGGGTGACGTTGACAACGTCGTCGACATCACGTCACCCCGGTCGTCAGTGTTCCCTTTTGCGACCGAGTCGCCTTGCTGCTCATCTATCGTATGACCCGCGTATCATCTCCATTGTATCCTTTACTGTACGCTGTGCTCTCTCCATGTCGACATGCAACATGCAACATGATTACATACCGCAGATTGTAGACATCGTAGTGATAGGCTCGCAATTCTCGCAACGCATACCGACCTTCTGCCAGTTGCCAGCCGTATCATCATCGTTTTACTGCCTGTAGACCGAATTCACCACCGGATCATGACGCAATCGATCCGTTATCCGTTACGTAAGCGTTGAATTGCGTCATACCACTGTTTTGTTTACAATGTGGGCGTCGCTGGTCCTTTGGCCTTTGAACGATTGAAGGTGGTACACTCGAAATCTTGAGAACATCTGCGATCTGTATAACGTGCATACCTTCATCTGGATGTCAACGAGACCCTCGAAATCCGATACAAACACTCAGATTTGAAGAGGAAACGCACAGCTGAATCAGTATACCGACTCAGGGAGAACCACGCTCTGCGGTTCACCTAGAGACACGATGGAGGGCAGATCTACGGGCGAGAAGGAATGGGGTCACAAGGAATATCTGGAAAGGGAACGTTCAAGCCGGATCACTGCAGGTGAGCATTTGGAAATTAGCTGCACTGTCATTTGAAAGTACTTTCCGCCTCTATTCTTTCGAACTTATCCCGCATTATCCGTACAGAATACGACCGTAGGAAGGCGATCGGCGCTGTAAGACGGAGCCGGCCCATCGTACAAACATATTGTGATGAGCTGATTACCCAGAACAACTCGCATCATCATGGCTTGACGTCGCTCATATACCCCCTCTAGTCATCGTCGTCATCGCTCTCCTTATCGACGTCGATCTAATACTTCCCGTCCTCGGCGTGGTGACCGTAGTTCTCCGACTCCGCCCCGTCGACGGTCTCCTTCGCCCTCCGATCCCTGCTCCGATCAGGTAAGTCACGACAGCAGCAGCAGCACCACCACCACCACCAGCGAGCCCGACTCGACCAAGAATGAAGATCACGAGATTGAGAACGACAACAGCGGCAGCCAGGCTGCATCGGGGTATGTCTTGTGTGAAGATGTTCCTTCCCAACCTAAAACGATACGAAACCAAGAAAGAGGAATCAGAGAGAGTCGCTGAAACCGATCTACAGCAAGAGTAAAAGAAATTCAAAACGTGGATACTCAGCGACACCGAGAAGAAGTCAGAGCATTTATTGAAAGATCCAGCCGAAGCCGAGAAGTCAGAAGGAGCATCGAAAGGTCCAGCCGAAGACGACGCATCAAAATCCTTAAAGGATGCACTTCATCTTTTCCGCGTCCGTTCCGATGCTTTTGCGAAGCATCTGCTGGATGCTCAGCAGATGGTGATCAAGAATCGAGTCGAGCTTTACGAGATGGATCCCGCCCCACCCCAATCATACAGCGGGAAGCCAACCGGTGAAGAGTGGGTTGATCAAGAGGCAATGTTACGTATAGACGTAAACAGGTATGTTACCGATCCGCGGTCTAGGTGGTGCATGTACTGATGTCATACAGCAGATGGGGTGCCAGCACAGTCAAGACTGAGGATCAAGGGCGGCGGACACTGGAGGAAAATTTCTTCGAGAGTTTTGTCCCGCGTCCTAAGCAAGTCGTCCACAAGGATATCCTGAGGAACTACCCTATTCTCGCCGCATACGTTTTCCGCAGCATGGGACGTCAAAATCTTCAGCGCCGTGCTGGTGACGCTATGTATACGACGCCTAGGTATAACTCAGCTCTTCCCTGCATCGAGTTCAATGGAAGTAGCTCATCGACTCTATCTATAACAGCGACGCTCAACAACAGTACTGTCAGAAAATCATGCACGGCATCTTCAGACAGATGGAAGCCGCATGTACCAGGCTCTCTGCCCCCAAAGCTAGGCCTGGTGAAGCTTCGGGCAGTGGAAAACGAAAGCGCAGTGACAGTCCACCTGCAGAGAAGCCTTCTCCGGAAAAGCGATCGCGGGATATGACGGGTAACTCTTCTTTCTCCTTTTCTGTTGTTTACATCGATGCTAAAATGATTATGGCGCTTGATGCATCCGACAGACAGGTGACCGAGACCATCAACACTCTGTTCAAGCAAAGAGTAACACCTCCGAACGCGGCAACTCATCGTGACTTTATCGACCCGACATGTACAGTAAGATGTTAGCCCTAGTATATCGCGCAGACGAAACCGACAACGGACCGCGAGCAAGATGGGATACAGCTGGAAGTGTGACAGCGGAATGGATAAGAGCGACTTCTAAGTGGAAATGTTCACTGAGCTCGCTGCCGGCGATCATCGAGTAAAGAATGATGAGCAGGCGAGATCGGAAAATCAAGAATAGAACGCGTAGCGTAAAACAAGCAATGTTATTCGATATAGCGGAATTTGCAGTACAATCGGTATCATCGACACGAAGCGCATGAAACGATAATGACAGGGCGTATTGAGTACTAACCAACTTTTGGCGATCTAGGGATGCTAACGAACATCCCTGGCGTCCTCGCTGCTCTTAAACAAGGACAGACGGGTGGAGCTGGAAAATAGCACAGCGGACGCACGGACCTCGGGACAGAGAACGAGGTCCGCCGTCGCCGTTCGAGATGGGACGAGACAGCATCGTCAGCGCAGGAGCATGTCTGGAGAGAAGCAAATTGGATACTCACGGCTGCGGCTGGAGTAGTCAGTAACTGTAAAGCGGAAGTCAACCGTTCTAGGACATCTCGGGTCAATGGGTGCTTACGTGACGATTCAAGCGAGGAGAAGGGGGTAGATGCAATCGTCCAGCGGGACTACACATCGGTGGCACGACACGCAAGCGAAAAGACGACCAGAATCCACGAGCCTACAGCGGAGGAGCCTACAACTTGGCGTCGGCTCGGCGTGCGGCAGCAGTACGGATCATTAGCAAGCTTCCGCATGTGGTACGCAGGTACGCCAACAGTCTCGACTCTGCCTCCTGTAGACGGAAAGACCGATATTGGTCAGCTCGATTGTGACCTTGAGAATGATCGTCGGTGACTAGACTTACCCCCGACAGACAGAGTTGACTCGGAGGTGAGGTCGAATCCTACAGACAGAAGGGTCGAGATAGTATGGATTGAGAATCGATTACGAAAGCGAGGTATGTGATGAACAACTCACGACCACGGTCTCCTCTGTACGCTCGTATCTCCGTTCTTGATACCGGACAGCCGCGCTGGGGTGACAACGGTGGCAAGCCGCTGGAAGGGACGCGTTTGTGCTGTCGGCCGGAAATGTATAACCTGTCCACGATCATGGCGGAAGACTCCCTTCGATGATCTTGATGATCGTGAACAGGCCCTGCTGAAAGCTTCGAGATAGTCCGTCTGGCCTGGATCTAACGAGCAGGAGATCTAAATCAGCATACGTACGATGCGGTGACAGTACGTAGAAGGGAGACTTACGCATGTGATCAATTTCAGTACTGCGAAGCGGCGGCGGAAGGTAGCTGTTCTAGACATTTGCAAGGGAACAGGCACTCACATGTTGATCTGGACGCGTTCGTGCCGTTTGGCCGTGTTGATCTCACCGCGTTCGCTCTGAAGGCTAGACTCCCTTCTTCGTCCTCATGGGCAAGTACGTCAAGGTCTGGAATTGATGTTTGCGTTTCTCCGGTCGGATTGATATGCTTGTGCTGCTCTTGCTGAGGGAGAAGAGAGACGAAATCAGGGGGACGACGAGAGCAGTCGGGTTTGTAGGCCACCCTGCCACCTGAGTGAAAAGATTCCAAGCCGCGAGCGTGGAGATGCCGCACCAACAGGAAGCGCCAATGTTCGCCCGACGCGCCTCGGCGTACAACCCGAAGTCCGCCCCAGACCGTCACGAGCGCAAGGTCTATCGCCGTCCCAACAGGCATCGACCTATGGGTCTCACAACAGTGTGACAAGAAGTGCACCGTCCGAAGGTAGTGTCTCCCATAGATCGCGAAGACAAGTCTCAAATCACCATGTGCGCCATCCGGTGCTATCGAGCTGTGTGGGCGTGTGGTTTGTCAAGCCTGTTCGACATCCGGCGATTGATCTCGATTCGCCTTGCTGTACGGCTGACTGTCTCCTCTGGGTCTGGTGGTGATATTATCAAGACTTGATCCTCCAGCTTGTCGTAAATATGTTGGAGCCTATCGAATCGCCTTCTAAGCGAGGGTGGGCTTCGCGCAATTTTTCTGTCTATTCCCCGTGCGACAGAGGTAACGAGCATGCCTTGGTTCACTTGAATCGACCAGTGTGCTCATTACTGCTCCAGCCGATCATCGGAGTACCATCTTCGGTTAGTCAGCATGCGGCAGGCGCATGACTGAAGGTCCTTTGGTAATCGACAAGATAGAGGTAGTTGCGCTTGAACTCGCGTCAACAGTTGACGGACTGACGGTGGCCACCTGTGAAATAAGCAGACGATCTTGGAACAGTGACTGCAGGTGTATTCATCCGACCGCTAGTATCGCAGGGTACCGACCGTGTTTCCGGGTCATCGGGGGTCTGAAAACTATCTTTGACGATCACCATCATCGAAGTCTTGCCGATGCCAGTAGGCATGATAGAACGGCCGTCAATCTTGGCTCGTAGTATTCTCTTACTCCGAGTGCAGAGCATGATCCGAAGCAGCCTGCCTGACATATTATGACGGCCTGATTTGCATGATCTTCTGGGCAGGAAGTGTTCGCCGGGGCATCAGAGCGCGAAAGTCTGATGATATGTTCAAGTGTTCGATAGCTTGACCTGGATCGACCTTGTGTCTGAGCCCTAGAACCAGTCCGCTCTTGACAAGATCAAGTTGAGGCACCCCATACGAACATGACTGCAGGATGGACGATGGAATATGCACGCCGATATCTATCACCTAACATGATTGAATAGGCATACTTTTACTCGAGTGATAGAGCTCGACCCGGTGGTGTATGGTACATTGTAGATCATCGATACGCAAACGAGCTCGGGCCAACCGGACTAGCAGCCGGCGCTTCTGTACGCCTGGGAAAAAGATGCGTCATCTATCGCACGCTTGTGTTGCAGCCCGAATCGCCGGTCCGGTGGGCGACGGGCCACCAGTTCGAAGATGAGTTGTACCATTGAAGTACAACTGCTATTGCACCCATGATGGTGTTGCTAGTAGATTGACTGTCAGGATGCGTACATCGGTCGAGCAGAATTCTAGAGGACATACCGATCACAGTTACCGCCGTTGCTGTTCAGCATTTTCCTGAGACCAGGATCGCGCACCGGCCCAGGACGAAATGTCTGCACTCGCAAATATTGAGCAGAGCCCTGCAGTATGAGCCTGTGCTGCGTTCTCTGCAGTATTTTTCGTCTCGCCCGGTGCCTGGTCGCGGCCTGATCATCGATGATCTTGAGCGACGATCCTCAAGCTCGAATCCTCTCTTTGTTTTACACCGGTTCCGCCCCAAAGGCTGTTTCGATCTGACCCGTCTCGCTTCGGATCCATGGAATATCTCAGCGGCAGTCTTTTCAGGGATCTTCAATGTCACGGATCGCCAGATGCTTGGTCGGCTTTGGCGGAACTGGACGCAAGCTCCGTCTCGGTCTCAGAAGATTGAGAGAATCACCCGACCTGTGAGAAACCGTCAACATATTGCTGGAACGATCTCTAGGGATGTTGTTCTTTTGTCTCCAAATTCATGGCTCAAGCTCGCACCGGAATGGAGATCTTCTACATGGTCAATCCCCCAAACAAGATTACCTTCCTATCGCTGATCAAACGCGGCTTCAAGTTAGAATCAGTCGTGAATCCGTTTAGCAAGAGCCCCAAAGCAGACTGACACGAGGCCGGCCGAGAATTAGCAATCCAGACGAGAACGTTATTCCAGATGGACACACAAAGAGGACGGGCATCAAGCGTTGATGACCGGCTTACGTGAAGAAAACCCCCTGCAGTATCGGCTCGTATCATTCAAACAAAGGTTGACGGGAGGTACCAATGTTGATGGATCCGGTCAAAACCTCTTGTTCTGCTGCGAGATGAGTTTAAGTCTATCGAGTGTTATCAGAGCTAATTCATGTTTCGCTGCACAAGCCGATGATGAGACGGGCAGATTGCTGAAACGCTCAAGCTTGCAAGCGATCCAAGCGATCAAGAAGCAAGAGATCAAGAGATTGATCGACCGGTGATGATCAGCCATTACGTCAGACGCGCGTTCGTGCCGTAAGCGATCCACCTACCCCTCGCTACTGTGGCCATCCCCGCGGGCGAGCATTCCAACAAGCTACAAGCAAGCTAGTCAACGTCCACGGTTCGCTCAACCTTGGTCACCGTCGACGTCGTTCCAATCGAAACTCGATCGTACATCATCGACGTGGATCCTACACCTTGTCACCCTCGAGCAGAGCAGATCAGATCAGATCACATCAGGGATCAGGGATCAGTGATCAGGTATCACAGGTCAGAGTACGTCCTCGTGAGCGACCACGTCCTATCGAGCTCCAGCTGACGAAATTAATCCAGTTTCTATCATCTTGTCTCGCTCGCGTTCCTTCGGAAATCCCATGTCCCATCAGCCCAACAATCAGGTATGTTCGAATCTTCTCGCACCAACATATCCTATCAGGCTGACCAGTCGTTTCGTGCGTCTCGCATCAGCACGTCAGGGACTTAGAGCTTGTTATCGAAGACACCATGAGCAACGAGAGATACAAGCCCGGAAGCTTTGGATACAAACACCGAGAGTCGCCTTCCATCACATCCAAAGGCCGGGTGAGTAACCAGCTTTAGCGAATCAAGTCGTTATACTGACGTGTCTTGCACAGAACATTACCTCGCCAGCTCCTCGTCGATCAGCTTCACCTGGTACAAGTCGCTCTCAAGCTCTCACATCCTCTCGTCGTTCACGCTCCCCTTCTCCTGGTCCGGGTGCCCCTCATCATCGAGCCTCGCAACATCGTCCTTCCCAATCTCCGCCTGATATCATCCGCCTCTATCGACAATGGCTGGAGGCTCAAGGTGGCGTTTACGGCGAGGGACAAATGGAGGCCGTCCGCGAGTATCTTGGTGGAGGGCACGTTCATTTAAATTGCTGTCTCAAAAGTTGCACCATCGAAGAGAACTTGCTCCGGATCAATCAAACCTTGGCGGGTGAAAGACTCACCTATGGGGATACCTTTGACCATATTTCCCGGAAATTGGTATTGGAAACACCCGTCCTCATGGTGGCGATTTTTATCCAAGCTGAACTTCCTCGCTATGTGAGACCGGAGCGGGACAACGTGGAGCTCAATCTCTATCTCGAGCAGGTGGTCTGGTCCCGCTACATCCGACGAAAATCCTTGTACCACCCAACCAATCTCGCTGCACTTGAGCCGGATCTGCGCCGATTGGAAGATTTTCGACGTTGCTCCTGCTCTTCGGTCGAAGAGTGTGCTCGCATGCGGGAAATGTTCGCGGGGTGAGTTCCAATTACATCTGGCCCTCTTGCTTGCGTTTCTTATCGCCACTTCGTTCCATCACAGCCACAACACCAAGCAAAGCAATCTCAATCAAAGTGACACCTTTGGTCGCGACAACGTCGCTCACAACGTCAACTCTGCAGCTCCGGCGTCTCTCAGGTTTGTCGATGGTGTTTCTTCCCGCTCGCTCGCTCGCTCGCTTGCTTTGATTAATTATCACGATGATCTTGTGTATCGACAGCAACGAGCGCAGGTATGACGACTCCTCCGAAAGCTCAGTTGTCATTGTGGCTCCCAGGTATGTCGTAAAGTATCGTTGCCCGCTCGCCCGCACTGCTCATCCTGATGTCATGTTCTCTTGTCGACCATAGTATTCCTGCCATTACCGACCCCACCGATACCAGTACCAATACCGCTTCTCAGACGTCCAACCCCGACTGCATCGACACCGGCAGCAGCAACAATAACAACGGAAACTAGAACAATATCTCCGAAACGCAGCCCTAGTCCTGCAAACTGAAAAATTTCCATGGGCCTTCCCGGCTTATCACCGACTGATTGCGAACTCCTCGAGCAATTCGACTTTTGAGGAGTTTAAGCGGCAATCGATCTGTATCGATGCCTGGAAGAGCCGTCCGCGCTCCGTTGCGAGCAAGCAGTCAATGAAGAACAACTCCGTCCCGGTTTCGAGTTTCCGCCCCGTCTTTTTCGTTGCTGAATCAAAGTAGATTTATTCGTGTCGTGTTTCCCAATTCAACGAGTCTATGGATCACTTAGTATTGAATGAGATATCGACATCAGATCGCGGCTGGACTGAGTCTCCATTTCAAGCTGTAGCTATTTATCGCTACTATCGCGATATTGTCAAGGTAGGTATCTCTCACATCCAGTTCGCCCTGATTGCCATCTCTTGCCTGGTCTTTTGCGAAACTCTATGCGATATGGCATTATTCGACAAGACCATTAACGACTTTTGTACAACTTGTATTGTTCCAAAATCAACTGCAAAACAGCGTCGAAGTCAGATCGTAGCTCATGAACAGCAGGAATGAGCTCTCGACGCTCACCTCGTTGGCAACCAATGTGATGACCTGTTTGAATAGCGTTCAGCGTTTCTCGTCAGCCTTCGCTATCTGCTCGCTCGCCCTTTCTTTCGAACCACATACAGTGTGCGGTGCGATCCTCAAGAAATGCGCTGTGGTACCCTTGTACCATCCAAGAAATCCTTCAGTCTTTAGCGTCTTCCATAGACAGTCGAAAGGGTTCGAGTAAAGAGCTCCACGAATCCGACCGTTGGCATCGGTATATGTTGGCTCTGGGCATGACGAGAAGCCGATCAGGTGCCTGACACAATCACGCCCAGACCGATACTTACGGTTGTAGACCCGCGTGAGAGCCTGCATATAATCCGGAACAGGTGAGCGATGGTGCCTTTTCGTCTCTCGCAGGCTCACTACTTACGGTATCGGCAGGCCTTGAGAATTACCAAGTCCACGTTCGGATTTCAGCTGAGTTGATCCATCAATTTGCCACCCGCACTCACTGCATCATCAAACACTGTTGCAAGGCGATCAGACGGATTAGCAATTAAACTCGGCAGAGTTTCGGATCGCTGCCTGCAATAATGCTTACCACACAGATACCAGAGAACGAGCTGCTAACGAGGTACGTCCAGTAGCTGCTATCACTCATGAGGCCATTCGACACCAATTTCGATTTGGCATAGTTGTAGGAAGGGAGTTGCACGCTTGATCCCTGATCAAGGAGGTCAGCCACGCTGGTCAGCTCTTGCTTCGAGACTGCGCAGTTGCGATCGATAGGCTCGCTCACTCACCATGGCTGTTCTCAACATTGCACTTCCTACACCCCGGCTAAGGCCCATCCATCCTTCATTCTTCACGACACTGCTCAAGGCATGGATCGAATTCCGGTAGGCGTGTTGAGTGCCGATCGGCAAGGCGGGAGAGTACGCTTGCATCCTTGCCTTGATCAGAAAGAGAGGGTTTCCGAGAGTAGCTGTATGACAAGATGTTTGCTCTAAGTACGGTGAATTGCGTCAGTCTGCTACAAGCGACTGACCTCCAATCATTCCGCTGATAGAACCGGCCGACACCGCACTCCAAAAGACGGCTTCCTTTGGGTCGTTGCCGGCGAAAACGTTCAGCTTTTGTCGAATGGGCTCATAGAAACCCAGACGAGATCCGTTGAGTAAGACCTAAGTGAGGGATATGAGATTATGCTCTCATACAGGTAGCGAGCTGAATGAACTCACTTGGTAGGCATACTGAAGGCAGCGAAATCGCAGACTAATTAGCTCAAGCCGGTCAAGATAGCAGCTCTAGGCCTGCAATTACGCACGGCTGGAACGAGACCTCTCTGTAGACCTCTTATTCCTTCATTCCTCCACGTCTTTTTGAACACATCAAACACATTGGCGTAGACTTTCGGTGCATCCGAGGTCTTCATGAGCTCTCCTTGCAATTGCAGTCGAGTCTTCATCACCTCGGGGACGTTAGCTGGGCGGAGCAGCACAGTGTCAATCCACATATTAGACGACAACAGTAATAACGATAATCCAGCTGACCGACTCACAGACTGTTACTGCTGCACATCCTGCTAGACCACCACAGAGGAAAGTCTCTCCCAAGCTCAGTTGTGGGAGTAGTATCGCCGGCTTGGGAGATGAGACTGGTACGCCTTGTGGGACGATCCCGCTGGGCGATCTTGTTGACATGTCGAATTGGCGAGACGATCTGATGTCTAAGTTGCAAGTTGCCGAGGCGCTCGCTCAAAGTATGGTGGATTCCGCTGATGAAAGGTATGAAACGATCGATTCTAGAGCAAAGGTTGGGTCACCTCCGGCGCACACCTTGCTTGTCGTCTCTCGCCCGAAAGCCGAGCATGCGCGAATTTAGAGATCGCGTCATACACTACCACCCGATGCACACCATCATAGCAAGTCGAATGATTGTGAAATTTGCAGTCTGTGGTCGACCGGCAAACGTGGCAGAACATATACAACTCTCGAATTCTAGATACAGTGTATACAGGCACGCTATGTAGCGGCTCAAGGCGATCTCCAGGGTCACAGCATGTCGTCAAACATGCCGCCACCGACCATCCCGCCTGTTGGCCGGTGCCTCTTGGTCCGCTCATTCTTGACCTCCTTATAGTCCTCCTCGAGATCACTTGCTTCTTCGGAAGACGCGTCCTCCGAGCCGTCCGATGCTACGGATGGCTTCAATTCCACGGGAGATGCGATTGTCGGCTTCTGTTCTTGCTTCTTCTTATGTAGAGCAGCCCGGGGTGTCCCGGCCAACCCTCCACCTTCCTCCAATAACCGCTTCTCCTCTTTCGCCTCCCAGTCTTTCTTGCGGTCCTTCTTCTCTCGTCGCAGGAGCTTCTTTTCCTTTTGCTCGACCTTTTGTGACCATGCTTCGAACTTTTTGGCGTTGGCCTGCCTCAGTTCCGCTTCTTTCCGCCGTTGCGCATTCGTCTCCTCGCGCTTTTCGGCTGCGGTAGCCATTTCCTGTTGTCTATGAACCTCTCGAGCCTTATCGAGGTATCCGAAGTTGTCCCACTGAGACAGTATCCATGGTCAGCATGTCAGTTCGAATGGTAAAGGCAAATCTGACGAGTCCAGGATGAAGACTCACATCGACTTCTCGATCTGTCCAATCTACGCCACCGGTTGCTTGCACCTCGGTATCCGCTTCTTGAGTCTCTTTTTGCTTCTTGACGCGCTCCCGCCACTCCTTCACTTCAGGCATTTTTGGCAATCTCAGCAGGCCGTAACTGATTCCCATGCCGAACATGTCCAGTGCTTTGAGGCGAAAGATGTAAGACGCTTCGTGCTTGGAATAAGCCCGTATCGTCGAGACGAAAGCTTTCGCGGCCTGGAAAAATTGGTCATGTTTCAGATATACCGCATTTCGCTTACTCCTAGATCTCAACTGACCTTGTCGTTCAATGCTCTGTCCTTGATAACAATATCTCGCATCTGCTCCATCAAATCGAAAGTTTTCGCATCCACCGTATCTCGAGATGTCTTTGTTTCGCTGTTTGCCTCGGTAGCTTCGTCGGAATCCATGAGGTATCGATGCCTCGTGAGAGGTATTTTTCGAAGCTTCAAAAACTCTGTCAATGAGATTTGGTGTAAGCATGCTGCCTAAGTCACGTATCCGAAAATTGCTGGCAGGCTCACCGATGTATTCCTCTTCACATCCCTTGGCAAGCAACACGACGGCTTTGCCGCGCCGTCCCATCCGTGCTGTGCGTCCCGCACGGTGGCTAAAGCTCTTCGGGTCGCTCGGTGGATCGTATTGAAGGACAACGTCGACGTCCGGAAGATCGAGACCTCGAGCCGCAACATCCGTACACAGTAGTACCGCTGGACTTGTTGGCAACGAGGGGTGGGTTGTAAATGAGGCGAGGGTATTGGTACGGATATTCGGTTGCAGGTGGCCATGCAGAGAGCAGAGGTGAAAATTTGAGAGTACCGGAAGACGTTTAAGAACCTGGCGGAGTAGATCATTCAATGAATCAATTCTGTGGTATAACTCAAATGAGATCACTTGAGACTCACATTGTAAAAGTAGTCCACGGCTGCGCATGTGGCGAAGTAGACGATGAACTTGGCAGACTCGTCCTCCTTGGTTTGCTTGAGAAGCAGCCTTATCAGTTGTAAGGTCTTCTCTGCTTGGTGGCAGGTCAGGTACGTGTTCTGCAGCCTGTTCGATCACGTATTTCATATAGGCGATGGTCAAGACGATCCTTCTGGCTAACCAACGCATTATCGTACTCACATCAGTGGTGTCCTACGCTCCTCCTTCTTGTTCCCCTTCTTTCTCGACGTCTCCTCATCTTCCTCTTCTCCCTCGCCAGCTTTGCGCTTCTTGGTTTTGGCTTCCACCCTCACGACAACCCGAGTGAGGTTTCGCAACCCCGCCAACTCGAGCCCTGCTCCACCTCCGAGAGCACCTAGTCCGACTTGTCCGTTTGCGTTCCGCTCAGACAGCAGGTCCATCATCGTCGCACTGAACAACCAATTCCTGCGTTGACGAGGAAGAGCCTTCCAGATGACCTCGAGGTTCTTCAGGTGGTCTTTACTAGAGAGCAGACCGTCCGCCTCGTCCAACGTGAGGACCTCGAACTGGTCCAGAGACAGTGCCCTCCTGGCTCGAGCATAAGCGGATGTCGATGCACTGCTGCTGGAAGACGTCATACTGGTCATGTAAGATGCCAGACGTCCTGGCGTAGAGATGATGATGGGAGCTGGAGGAGGATTTGTCGTAGTAGATCGAGACTGTGATTGACCGGAAACGAGCAGGAGAGGCGAAGGATAGGTGGCCTCGATGATCGTTTGTTGCTCCGCTTCACCGGCCAGAGGCTCTTCGGGTCCGTCTCCTTCGAATTTGGAGGTCGTATCCTTCATCTCTGCGACGGCAGCTTTTCGAAGAGCCTCGAAAAAAATCTCAAAGACCTCCCAGACCTGAACCGCGAGTTCTCGCGTAGGCACGATCACCATGGCAAAAACCTCATTCTTCTTCAATCCCTTGCGCAGACCGCCTCCGCTAGACTCTGTTGAGCTGCTTCTTTCCAAGGCCAGAGCAGATTCTCTCTTGATGAGCCTTTCCAGGATAGGCACAACGTATGAAAGCGTCTTGCCCGAACCGGTGATGGCCTCGATGAGAAAGTCCTTGTTTTTAGTGATGGCGAGCGGGATGAGGGAGGCTTGAATCGGCGTAAGAGATTCAAAGTTGAAAGTATGGTGGATAGTATCCAGACTATGCAGAGGCACATGCCGTCAGTGGGAAAGTTTCCAAGTGTTCACAAACACTACGTACACCCAAGGGGTGAGAGCCGGGTTCATAGTCGCCCACTTGCCGGCGAACGCCGGGGTTGCAGCCTGCTTCATCCTGCGAAAACCTAGGGCCCGTCGATCGGTTGCTGTAAGATTCTTGTTTCCTAAGTGTAACAATTTGAACTATCGCAGGCTGAACCATAAAAACAGGGTCGTCCGTATAGTCCGGTAGTCCATGGTGGTCGATGAACAGGACGCAACATGTACACTCAAGTCGCGGTCAAACTTTGAAAGCTCGATGCTTCGAGCGGAAGCAAAAAAAGTCGACATGTAATCTTGAATCGGTGACGGTTATTACGGACATCTGACATCGCAGGCGTGGTGCTTGTCTCTCTAACTACAAGCGGCCCATCTTCTGAGGTAAACTACCGAGCGTATACGTGCGAGGCAGACGAGCACGTCTCAATGGCTTGCTTCCCAACTCGTTCAATTCCCGCGTCACGTCAGCATCCATCTGCTCTCGGTCAGCCGCAGTCATTCGCTGCTGCTGGTTGTGACTGCATAAGGGATGTTCTTTAGATCATTTTAACAAACGACAGTGCAAAGCTCAACTTACCTGTAGAAGTAGGGATAAGAGTTCTTGAGGTAATAAAATAAAGCCAATGTCGGTTTGCCGGCGTGCAGCTCGCGGTAGGCTTGACGTTGCCTCAGATTGACGATGTAGCTAATTCAACAGCCGATGCCCATGAGCTTATAGTACGCTGGGACGCTCTTTTCTTGAACTTACTTGTAAAGTTTTTTCTGGGTCGGCCCCGTACCCTTCATGTAACCGACCAATGTAGCCGGAAGGATCTCATCGAGCCATTTCCTCGCGCCCGTCCAGTTGGGGATTCGTGGATGAAGGAAGATGGCTATAGCCTGCTCGAACGTATCTTGATTGTAAGGGGTGACCACGGGCTTCGGGGGCAGAGCGGCCGGTCCGGTCGCAACAACTGCGGCGTCAGCGGTGTCCATGGTCCCGGCGGCGTCGGAAACAACCGAACGATTATCGAGCAAAGGCGGCACCTCCGGGTACGTGATGTATGTCGCAAAGGTCACGTGGAGTTCGTTCGGCATAGGCCTGCGAACCTCTTGATCGAGCTGTCGCCTGCACTCGGGTACAGGGCGGTCGATCGGGACTTCAGCGTCGAGGGCGGGGAGGGTGGAATCTGGTTTCGCTTCAATCGGCTGCAAGCATCGATTTCAGATGTGGTTCGTGGTAAGCGTAGCATGTTGACCCTTTCTACGAGAAGAAGGGAAGGATCAAAGCAGTGTGCTTACGGTGTCGGCAGATGCACGCATCGGTCCGGGTCGCTTGCCATCGGCTACGGTGACGAAAGGGCTGTCCATATCAAGGATAGGGGGCTCCTTTCGTCGCGTCAACGGATTGGCATCTCGTCTCTCCGGATTCTCGTTGTCTCGGCCCCTATCCGAGTCCGTGAAGATGTTCTCCTTATCGGCATCTTGGTCACTGTTGGGCTTGAGACGATCGACGAGACGTTTCGCCGTCGCGTATGCCAGCTTTTGATTAGGTGGCATATTGGCGGTCTTGATTTGGAGAGGCGTATTCATGTTACGGTGTCGTGAATGAGCGTGTTCAAATGAATGTAGGTGATGGTACCGAGAGGATTTCGTGGTGTTTTATGGAGAGGAGGTAGCCGGTACGGGTAGGAGGTATCAAGGTGAGATTATGATGTAGATGCAGGGCGGACTAGCCGGGATCGGGGTCGTTAGGTGGTCGTAGAAGGATGGTCGTGACGGATGGGAGAATGTGATCCTGACATTCTCGTAGTTGAGAGGTTGTCGATGATGGAACTTGATGCGAGTTGATGTTGATGAACCGCCGTGCCGAGCTGGGCGAGCAACGAGGACCGCACTCGCTCGCTGGTCGGGTCGTGTCCATGCGCGCCCATCACGCAACACGCGCTTGGGAACCCCCGTCTAGGGTAAAGGTGGTTCGGTTGTCTGACACTTCCACTCACGGTCAGCATACAATCTCTAGTGCTTCAGCACGGCTTTTTGATCAGATGGGCCTCAGTGACAAGCGGCATGTTCGAGATTCGAAGTGTTGTACCAGGCGGCACGGCGATGACCTGTGATGCTTCTCTTCCACTCCTGCAACCGTCTCCGATGGTTGCGCCTCTGTGTTTGCCTCAACACAATGCGATTGCCAAAGCCCGGTGGTTGAAAGATCAGGAATCTCACTGTGGAAGAACACAATTGTGTACCCCTAAGATCGCTTCCTCGCAACGGGTTCTGGGATTTTGAATTTTGCTGACCAGAACTGAAGGCTTGACGGTGGTTCCTTGATCCAGCGGATCGAGGCTCGATTACACGATTTGTATGCAATTTCTCCTCGGGAATGTGAATCCATAACGTATTCCGTCATAAAAGCGCTTCTCGGCAGGTTGTGCAATTTTTCTCATGTTCTTCGATCTGCCGTTGCAGATTTGAGCTTGCCGCAGATGGCACATTGATCCGTCGATTCCATACGATATCTGCGAGGTTGATCGAACCCCGAACCCTTGGGTACTCCTACAAGGTTTCTTGCTTCTTGAGCTTCTTGCGCGATGACTTGTTCCAGCAGTCTTCACGAGAAATTGACTCCTAAATCTGCCAGCTCTAGGATTCCTTCTTTTGTTTAAACTCTGGTCTACCTCGATTGTGCCCCTCCCAATCCGTTCGAGTCGGTCGAATTCGCTAGCTTGCTGATCTCGATACTGATGGCAGATCTTGCCGATCATCGGTAGTGGATTCGATCCATAGAATGATGAAGGGGGACTCGCCGAAAGCCGAGCGCTTCAGTTCCTGGAACGATCGATGAGTCTCAGACTCTACTGAAACTATTGCGCGGTACCATACCATAACCACACAATTCATACGCTTCCAGATACACTGACTCAATGCAAAGTCTTGATTGAAGAGCCTAGCCTGGCATGGATCTGGCGGGTGATTGTGTCTGGACCGCGTGGTCGTGAGCGTGTGAGAGACGACGTAGCTATTTCTCAGGCGCGCCAGACCGCTTCGCTCTCTCATGGTCACCCTCTGTCAGTCCTTCAGAGGATACCTTGCATCTGACAGACATGCTTGTTGCAACATCTGAACCGGTCACCGATCGTTTCCCGATATATAGGAGTATCACCCGCCGCTTGCTGATCAGCCGTTGTCCTACAACTGAACAAGGTGGGCGGCCGATCAGACCAGCACTTTCATCATCGCTTGATGGCCACGACCAGGAACACTCCGCTCACCTGCCCGTACAGGTTGATGGAGTTGTACCATGAATCTCTCTGGTCGCACTTCCTGATCGCTCGGATCCGGACTGGTCCCCGGAGAATATAGATCAACCAAGAAGGAATCATTCGTGCGGCAGCCATGGAAAAGTCTTGCCAGCCAGATGACCGATACGTCAATACGTCAGGTCGTACCTGGTCCGGACAAGAAGATTATAACTGAATTGACTTTATGCGGGACACCACCATCGCTTTCGAAGGCGGATGCGGCCATGGAGAATTAAAAGGGTACTGTCGTCAAGACCTGAAATTGCGGCAACGAGGCACCCAGCCCGGAAAGGATATCTTGAAAGATCGCTACTTGCGGTTCTGTAAGCGGTCAGAGGATTCGGTTACGCCGTCGTCGAAGACGTCGATAGCCGTTTCAGAGATCCATCAACCGAGCGCCGCTTATCGCGGATCAATTCCGACCGATCAAATCACAAAGGACCCCTTAGCGAGCAGCGGAAAGATCATTGCTATGGGGATGATGAACTCTTGTACCCGGACAATGAAATGAAGATTGAAGTTACTCGAGCTGGCAAAGGGTTTTCCGGGCCAGCATATCTACATCTACGGAGATCAGTCCTAGGAGAGGCAGAAAGCCGGCCGCCGGGTGTCGCCTACCTACCAGAACTACCCCTATCCTGCTGCATGATGTCGTGAATTCAGTCCTTTCTGACCGGGACTATCCGTTGGTTGCAGGAATCTGCAGCTTTCAGAACAAGCAGGATACGCCGATGCTCGGTCGAAGGACCACACTTGCACCACAAGTGCCGACGGCCGTTGGCTTGTCGCCGAGAGCGGATTTCAAATCTTGCCTACAAAGCGCGTGTCATAGCGTGTGTAAAGGCAAGGCGCTCCTCAGAGTGCGCTTTTTCGTGACATGCTTCGCGTCGAGAATCCTCCAGCATGCTCCTGTCAGACGGTTTTGCGTAGGAGCCGGAAACTTATATAAGCAGTCACTCGCTCGACGCCTTCCCCCTTCACCCTCCGCTCGACTATCTCTTTTTGCACAACACTTCAATTCAATCCGACCGGGAGTCTTCGTAACTATATTCCCGGACCTGTTTCATCGCCTTAAAGATACCGGAGGGAGTCTTACCAAACAGGCTGGATCAACTTTCGATCGAGCAGCATGAACGCGTTCCCTCCCAGTCGTCTAGCCAACGCTGCCACCTCATCGTCTACACGCAGCTGTTCGATCAAAGCGTATAATACCAACGAAGAAGATTTCGATCGTCAGTGAAGCAAAGGTGCCACTGCTTCGCCCGCTGACTTTTTGCTGTAAACTAGGTGCGAGCGATCGTCTAGTCTCTCGTCGACGTTGTCTTTCGAGGGGTGAGTCCAAACTCTCCACTCGGCGTGTTACGTCTTGACTGACCCCTATCTTCTCGTGTTCACTCAGGAGCGACGCTCAGACTCACGGCGGACAGTTGGTCCTCATATATGGGAATACGCCAATCGCCCATATCGCTGAGTCCACGCCTTGCGACCGGGAACGGCAATCATTACGACGTAGACCGGTAGCATCGTCGGCACGATGCACCAAACCATACCACCTTTTTAAAACCCACAATACCCGATTGGCGGGCTGGACTAGAGGAGCCCATAGGTGCGTCTGCTTTACCCCGAAAGCCTAGAAACAGTTGACCTCCGCGTTCCAGATGCTGATTGTGTCTTAATAGGCGTAAGTACCGCTCGTACCGATGCCGTTGCCAACTTCCGCTAACGATATATCCTTCGGTTTTCGGGTTGCGCTGGACTACACTGACGGCGCCTGGAGACTTCACAAGGATTGACGCTTCCAAGCCAATCAAACCCCATCAAACCCCATCATCCACAAGCCTGTCGCTCAACGTGCCTGCCACGATCAACATCTTCGCAGGTGAGTATGCCGCATGATTCCAAAGCCTTCCGCTGTGTTGTAGCCATCAATTGTAGCTCAATGCTATCGTGTCGGGTACTCGATTGTACCCATATTTATACATGTATATCTGTTCAAAATCACAATGCATCCATCCGATTCCAAGAATGCTGCACGTCGCCATGAATATCTCTTCTCTTTTCTTTTTACGCTTGATCAGCAAACTATTACTGTGTTCTGGCGTTCTAGTCCGTGTAAGTCTCGGTATCGTCCCCGCTTTGACGTTTGGTTCTCAAGAGAGACACTTTCCGTCACCTATTATGTTTGACAAACAAAAGCATTCCAAAATGTTTCAACGTCCAGTGCTGACGGGTGTCTGAAACGTTCCAGTCACTGACTAACGATAGTTCGAATATCTCAATCGCTTGTTTCTAGCATGACTCCCTTCATACTTTCTCTTTTCAGCCTGAGCATGTCCGGTCGAAGTCCCTCCTCCCTGCACGGCAGAACTATAAAGCAAGCAAGGCGTTCAAACCGAATCATCCGTCATGCAAGGGTCCTCGCTGACCGCCCACCTTGGCCCACTCTCCTTCGCTTGTCCAGTAGGAGTCTCCTTCTCCTTGATGCGGGTCAAAGCAGCTTTCATATGCCTTTCGATGATTTGTGTGATCTTCTTGCAATACTTTTCCTGCGCATAGCTAGGGGATGATGGACAATCAGCGATCTCACGAGCGATCAATAAAGTTGCGTAGGATTTCATATACCTGGTAGTGATCTTCGTTTTTTCCTTCTTATGCGTACTAGTTCGGGTCCCCGTCGTAGACCGGTAGATGAAGGCAGCGAGTAGCGGATAATCTCGCAAGATGTCCATATGCAAGATGTCTTTCGACTGCAGCGGCGCGACCTCCCCAATGACCTTGTCGAGAAAGTCCTCCTTCATTGCGGCCCGCTTTTTGGCGAGTGTCTTGACAGGCCCCCTTTCCCACCTATCCGGAAGGGTTCGTTAGTCAGTCACCTCTAATGACAAACCGTTCCGCCGAAAGAAATATACCGACCTCTGCTCGGCAAAATCGTGTTGCTCTTTTCTCGTCATCTCCCGTTCGTGTGATTCAGAAACATTTCTCATTGGACTGCGGCCTTGATTGTCGCCCGCGGACGACACGTCTTTGTAGTTCTTCTCATGATGTTTGTACTCCATGTAGTGATCGAAGACGTCGAAAGGGATGCGGAAGAGGTAGCAGGCCTCCGAAGTCTTGGTCTTCGCCCCGAGCCAGGTTCGGAAGGCAAAATGTTCGTCTTGAAGTTCGGTCTCAGTGGGCCGTTCATGGTCCTTTCTATTGCTTTCATACTTAGTGATCTCTTCTTTTTCGTTCTTGTGAATGGTCTAGTACGGAAGATCGAAAGACAATCAATATGATGTCGAGCCGCGGTTGAAGCCTGATACGCCTTTCCCGCCTCGATCGGTCTTACAGCTCCAATGGAATCCTTGCGTTTGTTTTCTTCATGTTCCCGTATACGAATCAGCATTCGAGAGGTAAAGCTAATCTGACTCCTCCTGGATGTCTTACCTTCAGCTTCGATCCTTGAATGCTCCCTGTTCAGATATCCATCATGACCCCATCTTGCACTTCCACTTCTGCCCTCCATGACGATGAACGCAACTTGTGATTCTTGCTTCGGTAATTGTGTCGGCGAGCGGAGCGGATCGCGGGATGACCCGGTTGTTGTGTGACGAGCGAAAACAAGACTCAGATCCCGAGTACGTAACGAGCTATCGATCTACTCCGAAAGGTGAAGTCAAAGGTATGTCGACGGATATAGGATAGAGATCACTGGTCACTGATCACTGAAGGACTACCGGGGAATGTCGTTGTGCACTTCGTAAACAACGGTGGCGCAATGCTCTGATTACGTCACGAGAGGGTGACACGCACCGGCTACATGGCTTCGAACCGTCCCTCGGAATAATGTACTGGCGTACTGGTGTACCATTACGACTATGAGCGCTCAGTCGAAGATATTAAGGGCAGTAAGTCCGTTCTGGTCTCTTGGTGTCCTATCCCTCTGATATGATTGGCAGCGTGCTGTCAGCGCAATTTGATCGGCTAGTTGCAGGAATTTTGCAGTATCTCAATGATCGACGTCTAAGGGGTAGGTGGCATCTGCATGAGACTCGGCAATCAGCTGCGAAACATGCGGCTGTACAGCTGTAAGCGTTCGCTATACATCTGTAGAAGATCATATGCAGATGTAGCTCGCAGTGCCGCAGAAAGAGATGTAGACATGTTCATCGAGATACGCAGCAGCTATGACCCGACAGTGACCTTAAGGTGACATCGAACTTGGCAACTAGACTCGTGGGCCGCTAGAGTTTTGAAGCGAAGAATTTCGATATCGAACTCAACAGAGGATTCCGACGCTTCGACCGATCAAGTCGGCCCGAACCTACGCAGGTTACCGTGGCAATCAGCTTTATTCATCTCATTGTACAGAGTGTGGATACAAGTGTTGTTCGTGAGGAAGAGGCCTTTAGTTACCACTCTTTCCTGAAATGTCAATCTCCAAGATGTTCTTGCCAGCCTTGATCTCCGAGAAGGTAGGCATCTGCTTGAGCCTAATCAACTCGGCGGCTTTGGAGACGTAAGGGTCGCTCTTGATAGATGCGACAGCGACGATCTATAGGGATGGATGAGCGATAACTCAACTATGGTCCCCGTAGACATCGAAGATGAACGAGGTTCCACTTACGTCGTCGCCCTGTGCGTAGTATGCCACGAACTGCGGAAGAAGTTTGCGTTCAGTACATACATTATGCTGGAATAGATTACGACCGATTCACCTTGAGCTCCTTGGACAGGTCACCGTCGATGTGAACTTCGTCGAAACCATTGGCGTCGCTAACGTAACGAAGACCACCGCCAGCGGATGACCAGAAGATGGGAACTGAAGAGCAGAAATAGATCAGCCCCATTCAGCCAAGAGTATTACCGCTGTTGCAACAAACCCTTGCTATAAGCCTTGAGACTGCTAGGCGAAATGATACTCTCGGCGACCGAGCGGCCCTGCATATGCCCAGATCGAAAAATTCGTCAGCAAACGCGATTATGACTATGCGTCGGCTTCTACTGACGTGGTTTCCTGCAACGTTCCAATGCTCGACTCGTCGGGCATCCTTATGGGGGTACTGCTTGTAGTGCGCAATGTCACCGATGGCGAAGATGTCTTCCTCTCCCTCGACACGGAGATATTGGTCGACCGTAATACCCTGATCCTTTTCCAACTTGAAACCACTAGCTTCCAAGAACTTGGTGGCGGGGGCGACACCGACTCCAAGGATGAGCAGATCTGCAGGAATATTGTCGGCATCCTTGAGTGCGACGGCGCCGACCTTCTTCGAATCGGCTTCTGTGTCGATAACCAATATGAATGTTAGTCATGCTACGAGCCGTTTGCATCGATTCAGACTGACCGTTGGGCAAGATCTTGTCAACGCCGACTTCCATGTGGAACTTGATACCTTGCTCTTCCAAGTTCTGCAACCGCAAACCAATGGGTCAGCTTAACGCGTAGCGTTTTCTGTCCGATCACAGACTGGACCAACTGCATACCTTTTGGATTGCCTTTCCGATATCCGCTCCAAGGATCTTCTCGAAAGGGACCTTGTCCATTCCGATCACATCGACGCTCTTGGGTCCTTTCTTCATGATGGAACCAGCGAGCTCGAGACCGATGAAAGATGTCCCGATGATGGCAACCCTAGTGTTCTCATTGATGGCTGAAGAGCGGCATTAAGCGCGAATCAGCTGACAGCTTCAAACTTGACATGCTGATCTCCTGAGAGCTCACCGGCAACAATAGCCTGGCTGTCTTCGAGACCCCTCAACGTGAAAATGTTTTCGAGATCGACTCCGTCGATGGGCAACTTCTTGGTGACGCTTCCAGGAGCCAAAACGAGTTTGTCATACTGAACCTTGTCGCCCTTGCTAGTCTCAACGGTCTTGTTCTGTCTGTCGATCTTGGTGACCTCGGTTCCGAGCTGAAGATTGACCTTGAAGTCTCCCTTGAGTTCCTCTTCCGACCTCCAAGCGAGCTTGCCAGCGTCGGTAATGAGGGCTTTGGACAACTTGGTCCTGTCGAACGGTGCGTACTTCTCCTTGGAGATCAATGTGATGGATCCGTCAAAGCCGTGCTCTCGGAGAGCTTCGACCGTGTGCAAACCGGCAGAACCCCCTCCGACGATGACAACCTTTTCATCCTTGGTCTCATGATCGGGAGGCGAGATCGAGCTCTTGGGCTGATCAGTTGCAGCGGATCGGTTCTTCTTGGCCTTGGCTCGAGCGATGGGGGATCGACCCATCTTGCTAGTAACAGTTTTCAAGTTTGCGGTCACGAAGATCTTGCCGTCCTTGACTTCGGTGCTGTAGGTGTGCAAGCCGTCGAGTCCGGGAGCATCCTCGACATCACCGGTACAGGCGTTGAAGCAGGCTCCGTGCCAGGGACAGGTAATTCGTCCAGTCTATGATCCCGTACGAGACGCAATGAGCATAAGGGTACCGACGAATCCAAGTCTCCCGGTCGGACGTACACTATCAAGTACTCCCTTTACTAGAGGTGCTCCGTAATGCGTGCAGATTCCCGAGTTGGCAAACTGATGATGCGGGACGCATGACAGATCGTCAGTCTAACGTGCTATAGCCTTTCCAAGGCCGAGCTCCGATTACTCACGACCTTGCCTCCGACCTTGACCAACAATACCTTGCCCTTGTTCTCGCCTTCTCCGAACTCGACCTGCTTCATTTCGCCATCCTTGAGCTCGGCTTCGTCTAGGACGGGTAGGGTGAGAGACTTTTCTTCGTTCGACATGTCGTTCAGAGTTCTGGATGAGCTTGAGAGGTGACGGGGGAAGGATACGATCGGTTTGCTGAACGAATTGGTAAAGGTCGAACGTAAGAAGCTAACAGGCTTGAAGAGACGCTGAATGAGCATGCGATGTGGCGAGCGAGCTCTTGAAATCGCTACAGTTCGAACAGACTGATTTCACGACTGGTCCTGAGGTGATACGTGGCCACCAGCCGGTCAAGGTCTTTGTATAGAATGCGACCGCTCGCTCGATCTGCTACCATCCTCTCGATCTCGACGACCATCGCTCATCGCCGATGACGTACGATCGGATGTTGCAGCCAATCAACGGACGCGATTATGTCATGTGGAACGGACTCGCGGTACTGCCGGTCTCCCACAGACGTGTCGACACACAGCATTGGCAAAGTTGATACCTTTCAACACCACCACACTCACCTTGGACCCAGGCTCAGGAGTGTTCTTCAGTCAGGGGCTGGAGTGGAGGGAGGGGGGGAGGAACGTTTGGCGTTCGCCTCGGCCTTTCCCTGTGTTGGGGGTTGTTTGAATGTCGAGTCATTGAGGCGGAGATGTCGGAAGGTTGCAAGGGCAACAAAATGCGGAAGAAGGGAGCCCAGGGTGCCGTTGACAGCAGTGCGATTAACAACTGGCGCGACGGGGTTTTGCCGTTGGCGAAGAACTTGTGTCCAGTCAACGCGACTGGTCAAATCCCTGAGGAAGTTTCGCTGGAAGGCGGGCTGGTAGGTGGTACGAGGTAGGTCATGCGAGTGGGTGGTGAACGGTATACCGAGGAACAATAGGTCGAAGCGTTTTCAGGGCGACTCACCGTAGACGGGGCTGCCTTGAGTCTGAGGAAGATGGCGAGCATCATAGCCGGCGACCATAGGACAAGGCCGGTGTTGATGCCACTATCTCCATTCCCGTCGGCCATGGCAAGGATAGCATGGATCACCCGGTCAAAGTCGGCTTGACGATCCCAACCCAGGTCTACTCTCCCGATGCCCCCAAACCTCACCCAGCGACTCAAGAACATGCCATGCCTCTCACCATAAACTCCACCCATTCTCTCCAACCATTCGTGGTACCGCTCCTCCCATGACTTTGTGATGTATTTACCCATTCTTGCGAGTTCGAGTTGGAGATGTAAGAGGTTGAGAGGGGGTAAAAGCCCCACATGATACCGTGAAGGCAGCCTGCCTTCGACGGCCAGCGCTGAGGTCGGCATTTGCTGGATGAGGATTGAGGTCGTCTTCCGAATATTCGTGGTTGAGGATGACGGTGTGAGCGGCCGGATGACCCACGCTCGGTAGTGTTGAACGGAGAAGGGCTCGAAACCCTGGAGCCTGAGCCCGTGGTCACCGTCCTAGAAATGTATGGCATGTCGGACTTCATGATTGGTCTTTTCTTTCCTCAGGTCATGCAGGTCATCAGAGTGACGAGAACTTCTCAAGTCATTGATGACCTGGGAATGGCGAACTTCGTGGACGGTAGCTGGACATATCTTGGTAACCGAACATGTCATTCCGGTAGTCGAGTTCTCGGCTCCGGAGGCAAGTCAATCGATCTCGAAGTCCAGACAGAGCTGAACGGTCATACACACTGGACATCGTCAAACCTCTTACTACCTGAACCGGTGGCCCCTTTGCGAATGATCCTTCATTCAAGCGGCAAGACCATAACCTCGACGCTCTTTCGACTAATTCTTGCGGATATATGACAACAAACCCTTCACTCTTCCCATCACAAGAACGCAACTTCGGCCTCAAACCTCATCGGTGTTCGATCTGAGCGGCCGGTCACCTCGTTACCGATGTCAAAACTAGCCACCACCCACCTTGGAACATCCTTCGAGACCCACTGTTCTCACCTCCTCCGCCAGTCATTGGGGATGTCGTTATCGAGGATCGGAGGGAAGGGGGATGGAGGTGTGGATCTCAGGGGGTGGTGGTATCTCCCCCGAAGCCAGTCCGACCGCAAGGACGAGGCCGACTTGGACGTGCGAAAGTATCGAGGCCGGGTCAGTCTGCTTGAAGACTCAACAACAATAGGTTCATCTATATCGACCTCGTCCTCGGCGTCATTAAGATCTGGATCGGTATCGCCAAGAACAACCCCCCTCGAACTGCCAGCCAGAAGGCTCCGAGTTCTCGTCCAATGTAAAGCCGAAAAGCTCAAAGCCGGACCTCGTCTGATCAGGGAGATGGAAGGAGTCGCTCGGAGGGGGTTTGATCTGCTTCAAAATCGAAGGCGGGATGGGGTTCCTACATCAACTTTGACGTCAACCTACGCATCTACGGACGAGGAATTAGATATCGATCAAGATAGTCCGTATTCGATACCGGAAGAAGCATGGCCCGGCTCTATCAGCAGTAGCGATCTCCTATCAAATCGCAACGCCAATCCAGAAGGTCTGTTTTCGAACTTGACTTCAAACGCCATTCAAACGCTGGATACGATCACAACGATAATATGCACCCGGACCGGGTTCTCATCGTCGGCTACCGTCGAAGCAGTCCGGAGCCGGGTGCCGATGTTATTGCTACACGTCCCTTTCGAGGTCGAGGATGCGGTCAGATTGAGGGAATGGCAGGCCCTCCGATCAGGGTCGGAGGTGGGGTCGACAAGGCTGGGTTCAGGGAATGAAGAGGGGTCGCCAGCTGGATCAGAAGACGCATCGGCAGTCGACCAAGAAGAAGGATATCCGATCCCTCTGATCTTGCGGGCGGCCTTTTCCAACCCGGCGTTGACGGGTACGAGCGGGGTTTTGGGGGAAGAGTTGGAGTTGAGGAAAGAATACATCTCTTCCGGCGAAGATGCTAGGGGGGAAGGATCGTTCGGGATGGGTCTTTGGTGGAGATGAGATGAGCCGAAACGAGACGAGCCGAGATCAGAGGATACGCTGGCGATTCAGCAAAAAGAAGGGAGAGCTGGATGGGATCGCTCATGGGATCGGGCCGTGATCGGTCGGGAAGATGGGAAGTCAAGATACAAGCCAAAGGAGTCTGCTATGGTTTGCACCATCTCGGAAGTTGTATCGTGAGTTGTATCTATAGAGTATGTGTATAGGTTATGGGGCAGACCTCGGACGTCGCCGCATACATTGTGGCCATGCGAGTGGTCTCGTTCGTACGAAATTGGAATTCACCTGTGAGACTCTCATTTCGCCGTCGCGGACAACCTGGCATAGGGGACATCGCTTCCGAAATCGAATGCGTGCAGATCGTTCACGTTGGAGCAGCCGTTCGGGTCAACCACAGAAATGGAGGGTAGAGTCGATCGACAAGCTCAAGTAATGGACGAAGAGCATCAACAGCATCGACAGACTTGTATTTCGAAGTGAAAGAGCGAAAGGACATGGCCGATTATTCACTGATCACTGATATTCGGCTCGCTCGCTCGCTCGTCCTTCGCTCCTTGGCTCGCTCTTCCTCAGCACCCCGGCTCGTTTCTGTCCTTCTCACGACCTCTCGCAACCTTCTCGCAATCTCTCGCAACCTTTTCGCAACTCTCTCGCAACCTTCTTGCAACTCTTTCGCGACCGTCTTGCAACCAATGACCCGACAGCGAAGAAATAACCGCCGACACAGGGAAGGGCCAAGGCGGACGCCAACCACTCCTCCCTCCCTCCCCCCACTCCAGCCTTTGACTGCAGAACACTTCCGAGCCTGGATCCAGGGTGAGGGGGGTGATGTCGGAAGCATCCACCTTTGTCAAGCGGCAGACATCCTTTGTCACGGAATGAGATGGGTCAGCGGGAGGCACCTGACACGGATTGAGCGCAGGTACCAGCAGGTGGGTGTAAAGAGGCAGTTCATGCTGCGGAACTTTGCCATTATGCTGGCTATTTACATGCAAAGGTGGACCAATCCGAGGGATCAACACCACGCTACACTTGAGAGGATGGTCGATGAGCTCGATGTGTCGACACGTCTGCGGGAGGTCTGGGAAGGGGGCGGGGTTCTTCAAGGAGAGATCGGACCGGTTGAGTAGAGTCGGGCGAGGACGAGGACTGAGCCGACTTCAGCGTTTTGCTGCCGTCCTCCTCTGGGCCTAGCCTATTGATTCCATGAATGAAGAACTGTCCCGACTGAGTTGGGCACTGCAAGTCAATGAAACACCGGCAGCATCGACAGGCTTGTGTTCCGGAGTGGGAGAGTAGAGATCTCTTGACCCGCCTTATCTCGTCACGATCTGCTTCCGCCTCCGACTACCCCGGTCATCATGCTCGTGTTATTATTGGATCACCCCCCGGACTGCCCCTCCCCCCCCTGACATCGTATAGAGTATAGAGTTCAACATATCATTATTAAACAACATGACTTGCATGACAACCACGCTCTAGCGATCTCGGACCGTTTCAAGTCTCGAGATCTAGGGGGGATTACGACAGACCGCAACCTAGCTCCTGACCTCGAAGAAAGCGTCAAACCGCACCCGACTCACCATGCTCGAAACCATCCTCCGCCCTCTCCATACCCTTCACGGACGGTTACCTTCGAGGTTCTTGAAAAAGGTCCCCTTTGAAGCGTTTGCGATCGTAGTAGGCTTGTTGGTGGTGAATATCGTTGCGTGGGCCGTATGTCTGGGAGTCTTGGTATGTTCAATTTCTGTACGATCTTGGTCGATCGGGGTTGAGTGCTAAGGAGCGTGCGATTTCCGGGTGTCTCGTCAGGCCAAACATACGTGGGTCGAGGTCATCGCCCAGTGATTCTGATTCTCGGAGCTGAAGATGACATGGGTTGATTCTAGAGAGATGTATGCTACCGCGGTCCTGGCCTGGTCGTTAGGCCTTCGACACGCTCTGGATGCCGACCATATCTCCGTAAGCCCACCGCCTTCCTGCTTCTTTTGCACTTTCCTGTTGTCCATACCATATTGACGGATTTGTCTTATCATATTGTGAATGGGCATGTTCTCGTAGGCGATAGATTTGATGACGAGGAGGTTGATCGCTTCGGGTCAAAGACCGGTGACGGTGGGGACCTTCTTCAGCCTGGGGCATTCTACGTGAGTTTCCCTCGGTCAAGGCTCAAAGCCTCATGATGCAGAGAGGAGTTGCTACACAAACCTGGGAAAGTACTGAATTGGTTCATACTTCGCTGTTACAGTATCGTGATCATCACCTCCCTAGTGACCGCCGCGACCGCCGCCCACCTCGCAACCAAGTTCGACAGGTTCTCGCAGATCGGGAACATCATCGGGACTTCCATCTCGGCAACCTTCCTGATCCTGCTAGGAATTATGAACGGATGGATCCTCTACAAACTCGTCCGAGGACTGAGGGCTTGGGTCAGAGGCGATATGGAGGTGGATGCTGCCAAAGGGAGTAATGGAGAGGAACTTTGGGAGAAACGGGGTGGAGGGCCGATGTTTTGGATCTTGAAGAAGCTCTTCCGGTTGATCGACCAGTGAGTCCCGGCATGTATGCTTGTAGCGCAGAGTCTACCTACTTACAACCGGACCAAACGACCTTCTCACCTCGCAGACCTTGGAAGATGTACCCCCTAGGCGTAGTCTTCGGCCTAGGCTTCGACACCTCCTCCGAGATCGCTCTGCTCGGCCTCTCTTCGGTCCAAGCGAGCCGCGGGACGTCGATCTGGTTGATCCTCTGTTTCCCCGTGCTCTTCACGGTGGGCATGTGTGCGGTGGATACGTTGGATGGGGCGGTGATGATGGTGCTGTATACCTGGTGCGATGATGAGGAGGATGAGGAGAATGGTGGGGAGGTGAAGGAGGTGACGAGGCGGGATGACGAGAGGGATGTCGGGATCACTGGAGATGCTGGACCAAACGGGACGATCATCGAAGAACACGACGACGTCCAGAAGGACAAGATCAACAAAGCGGTCCCTGCTATTGGGAACTACGAAGAAACTACCCTTCCTACGCTCGATATGGGCTCTCCGTCGACATCCACCTCGCTTCCAACCAAGCGTCATGGGAACTCTACTCTTCACAACCCCCTCATCTTTCTCTACTACTCGACCCTCCTTACAGCCCTGACGGTCCTGGTCGCCCTCATCATCGGCCTCATCCAGCTTTTCTCTCTGTTACAAAACGTCATCAAGCCGGAACCAGAGGGGAGGTTCTGGGATGGGGTGACAGCGCTAGGGGATCATTATGATATCGTCGGAGGGGTTATCGCCGGGGGGTTCGTGCTTGTGGGTGTTGGGGGCGTTTTGGGTTGGCCGAGGTTTAAGAGGTGGATAGGGGAGAAGAGGAGGAGGTACGAGGCCAGGGGGAGGGGGATCTCGTTGGACACCGAAGAGGACGAGGAGGACGACAATGGGATAAGAGGTTTGACAGTATGAGAGGACGATCATACACGATCGATGTAAAAGTCATGCGACCTATCCGGCAGGCAGCGCCACGATTTCCGTATGCCCTATGTCATAAGCTCATGAAAGATACCACACGAGATGCTGTTCAGATAGGCAGCCGTCTGATACAACATCGTCGACCTTGCTGCGCATGAACCCCTGATTGAACGGAAGCAAACGAGAGCGGCCGGCCGGAGGTTGATCGAGTGCGTGATGACACCTGTCCCTGGCGCGGTCATAGCATAGGCAGTGCTGATAAATCTACCACGCGTCAGCATAATTCTATGCTGAACGCGCGTGTTCAAATCGTCGCGCGACGGCTCGCGCGCTCGTCACCTTTCTCTGGCTTTCACGTGAATGGACAACACCTCCTTTAGTTGTTTTGTTATTGTTTTGTTTTGTATGCCCTTCCCGTCAGAAATCAACTTTCCCGCTCACAACAACAAGACACTTGTGCGTTCCCGCCGCTGATATATGCTAATTGTTTCATAGTTTGCTCTTCCTTATTGTGTCTGTCGCACTCGCCGCCACGTACACAAAACTGATACCACATCAATCTATTGTTCAAACCTGCAGTGTATCGTCTTTGTGTCTCATACAAACAATTATACATAAACCTTCAGCACCAAATACAAAGTATCGATCCTCACCCGGCGCAGACTGACAAACATCCCTCCTACAAACTTAGATTGTTAATACCGTTTCGACCCCCACCATTAACCTGCTTTCGCACGACATAACAGACCACATCACCAACGCTCTCACTAGCCCAATGACCAGCACGACCGGTCAGTTCAAGCAATCCCTCGCGGGAACAGCTTTCTGATCTCATATACACGTTCCTGTTACAGACACTTCCTTCCCGCCGCCTATGGATACTTCTCGCAGGACTTCACCGCCGGCCGCAACTGCGAATGTGGCAGCGTCGTCCGTGTCTCCCGCCGACACGCAATGCGCCCTCATACCTGTAGGAATGGCTTTCCCCCAAGACTATGAAGCGGATCCTACCCCCCACCTTCACAAGATGATGGCAGCCGTCGATGCGGCCTTGCGAGCTCTTGAGTAAGTCCACAAGCGCCCGGTATTCTCGTATCTGTCATCTTTGATCTCACCGCTTTTCATCCACTACACAGCCCCGCGGAGCATGGCGGGATTCGTTTCTCAGTCACACCGGACAAGGACACCCCCCTGACGACCAACAATTTTGAAGAACTGTTCGCGCAGGGCGTCAAATTTGTCGAAAGAAATTTGCCCAGCGAAGGTGAGTCCGCCTAGGAACTCTTCGCAATATGCAACCCTTGCTGAGGAGGAACTGATCTCAATCTCAGCGGCCGAAGAATTTGCCGCTGCCAAAGGTCACGCCCTCGAGGCCTTAGCATTCTTCCACAAATTATGTATGTCTCTGTCGCTCTGTCCCCTACGATCTTCGTTCGACCGCTGATACTATATTGGTGCGGTCGCCTTCAAAGTTCCTGGAGGCCTCGAAGAGCTGCAGGCCGCAATGACGCAGGGTGGTCATTCCCGCCCTATCAAGCCTCTTCCCGCCAGGAAGTCCACATCTCCGACTACTCCTAGACGGAACCAACCGTATGGCACTCCCACCATCCCTGCAACTCCCGGCACCTCTGCCGGTTTATCGGGTGATCAAGCTGCCTCCGTGAACACCGAATACCGGCCGCTCTTCCCAGCCGAGACGGATGCGGATGCCCTTCACAATGCCTTGATGCATGCGGCACAGAGAGCACGAGCAGATGTCGTTCCAGTCAAACGCCCTGCCCCATCGCTTCATGTGCAGCTACCGTCAATTCCCGCCGCTCTGACCTTCACCTCCGTCGAGCCCAATCTTTTCGGAGTTGAGCTTCCAGCGCTTCCTTCAGGCGAACGGGTTCTGTCACCCCCCACACTTCTTTTCACCTCCCCCCTGCCTCGGCTCTTGAATAAATACGTATGTTCACTGTCTCCATCCGTACCACGCCCAACACGCTGACAACGCCTTCATTTTGCACCATCCCAGGCCCAACAACTGATCGCCCATTGCGATTCGGAGCAGGGGCCCAGCCGTTTTGCCCATTCCACCCACCTCACCTGCCCGGCGCCTGATGTGCGGTATCCTCCCTCTTGGTACAAGTCCACTCCAACGGCCATCTCGTTGATCGAGGTACATCCTCGTATCTACTCCACCCTTGCTCCCGGAGCATGGCTGAACGACCAAGTCGTCGATTCGTACCTTACCCTCATTCATTGGAGGCAATCAACCTTCCGCCTACTCCCCTCTGGCCGCGTTCCCGTCTTCGTACACTCGTCTCAGGTCTCCCCCGCCATCGAAACTCGGTATCTTCAGCGGGAAGCGGCACCTGTCCCTATGGGCACTTGGTTTATGGCTGTAAGTCTGTTCTTCCCGCTTGCGCTATCATTCAATAACCAATGCAATTCTGATTGATTCGTGCCTCTCTAGGAGGGTCTCGATCCGTTTGATTACCCTTTGCACGCCCTTCCATGGAACATCGCCTACTTCCACTGGATTGCTGTTATCATCGACATTCCCGCCAAGACTATCGCGTTTCTGGACTCGCTCTCTCACGTCCGGCCTGTAGAAGATCAGGAGACGGTGGAGCCCTCTCGCAGCGAAACGGGCGATGCGGCGCTGGCGCGTTGCCGCGCTCGTTTCCAGGTCAGTCTTATGCTATTCATTCCCTCTCTTCTCAACTAACACGCATGACCTGCCTATACAGATGATCAGTACTTGGTTGTCGGAGCTCCACCAGCAATTCCGCGGTACCCCCTTAGTCCAGAGCGAATGGTCGTTCCTGCTTCCCGTCAGTCGCTTCTCTAAACCATTCTCTCCCGTTTCCTCATCTGAAATAGTACTACTCTTCACTCTTCAGCCGGTTCCGCAACAGGAAGACTCATCGAACTGCGGTGTGTTTATGCTACAGCATATTGAGGCCATTTGCAGGATTCAGGATCTCGGGGCTGTCTGCAACCAGCCTGCACCGCGGCCCCAAGCCCGTCTGCACATGGCCGTTGAACTCGCCCAACATCGACTCCAGCGACGCGTTCCGACCGATGACCACTGAGTTTTCATATCTTATTGTAGACAATGATCCGAGCATCCCTTATGAAAGTACTGCTTTTCTATGTTATTTCGACTTTCCCGCGGCTCCGCGCATCGTTCCCGCCATTTCACTTCATATGAATTGTCTAACGCGAGCAACTCCCTGGCACACCTCTCATCCTTTCAAAGCCGACTTAGATAGTGCAAGCTATGCTCTCACCTCTACCCTGTTCATTCAATCCGAGGACGCTAACAATGTCATATTCTTGAAGGGCAGTCTGCGATTCGAGTCTTATCTTAGCGTCTGACACCTAAAAGTGCAACGCAAGCAGTCCAGATTAGCAATCAGTGCACTAGAAATTGATTTTGCCTCGACGTTAATTAGTAATCCTTCAAGGTTCATTAGCAGTACGACACACCTGCAAGCAGGCCAGATTACTAACCAATCCACTGGAAATTGATATTTCCGCGTTGCTGATTAGTAATCCTTGACAATTCATTAGCACTGTCCCTCTTCCCGCGATCATTACTTGTTTACGATTTCACCGTTCCCGCCGGTACCTTCCCGGCCGATACCTTAACCACACCATCATGGGCATGTTTACAACCCTCTGGCGAACAACACCACATACCGTCGCAAATTGGCACACTCGTCAAACTCGTCTTGGCCATGTCATCTAGTTCTACCCCTTTACCAAAGACACCTTCGAAAAAACGCCGCCGACGGAACAGTGATCATCTGTTCCCGCTGTGGGAAGAACCAACGACACCGACACCCCTCCCCAAGATCGATTACCATGCTCGATCAAGACTCCTCAATAACCACAAGTACAGGGCCACTCCACTCTCATTTCCAGGTCATCGACCCAATGGTACTGGCCTTCATGACTTCGCTACTTTGTTCGCATCCTCTCCTAGGCCTAGAGCTACCCCAGACGCTCCCGATAACCCTTTCCTGGAGTCTGCTTTCGAGCATGATTACCCGCCCGTGACTCCTCAAGACGCATACGCTGCGCTACTTCAGGATCTTGAGCATATAGTGGAAGATGGCCCCAGTGAATCGTGAGCGGTGTTACCCTCTCACTCTGGGTTCCTTTACTAAATGTGCTTCTCCTGCCCCAATAGGTTGTATCTGTCTGAACGGCAGCAGGAGCAGACCCGCCTCAAAAACCTCCTCCCCGCCCTGGTCATTCAGTTCTTCAAGTTTCGCTACCGCCCACCGTCTAGCCCCCCCCCTGATTGGCCTGGTGAAGATAACAACCCCAACGCAAGTGCCACAATGCTCCTCCTTGACACATACTGTTCGCAGACACTATCCTGCTAGTAGACTGTACCGACGGGAACACCATGAGACTGATTCCCGCTGTTTCCCCCTGCTTTCCAGCTTGCCGCACAGTGTCGTATTGTCATTCAGAGTGGGAGCGCAGCCCCATTGGCGTTGCAGCCAATGTCATTGCTCTGGGTCATCTGCCCTCAAAGCTTCACCGCCCTTCATTGGCTTTCAGCATACGCACTGTTGAATTCTACCACCTCTCATTCTGTCATTCACAAATTTCCCGTACCGCGTTTGTGCGGTCTCTCTGCGATTACAACCAGGTATGCCCCATCAGACACGAACGAACCTCATACACTCACACGGTGTGACTTGTTTAGATTCCATATAGCGAGAGCATTCGCGAGAGATTCAGCTTCTGCGTCGATCTTTACGATCGGATTGTCCAGCACATGGAGGCGGAAGAAGATATCATCCTGTCCGCTCCGTCAAAACCCACCCCTATTCCTGTTCCCGTTCAGTCCGCAGACCCCTTTTGCAGCAACCGTCCTCCTCCAAGCCCGGACAATTCGCAATTGCCTCTGCCAACAGATCTGCCTCTGAGACAAGACAGCTGCCCGCTATGTTTCCCTTCCGATGGCAAATTGGGAATGGACGACTATGTGCTCTGCGTGGCGCTCGACGGGAATAACTCACTTAAAAGACGTGATCGACCCGGTACAGCATATCAGGATCACCACTCTCGCTTTCGGTTATCATCTGAGTATGTAAACCAATTCACAGGGCAAACTATCTCCGCCGCCCGCACCGCCCCGCCACGGCCAGGACAGACAGCGACCAAACCATCAGGAAAGGACAACGTGGGACCCTGTTCTTCCCATTGGACAGCAGCGATGGAACGACCCAGGGCGTCCCTACGATACGCCGAGATGGGCTGGTTCCCCCTTATTTGCCGTCACGGGATCGTGCTAGCCTATACAGACATGATCAAGGAGTTCGAAAACGCAAAACTCCCCTTGGCCTTGGTCCAGTGGCTGGGACAGAGGTACCCGGGCCGCATAATCTTTGGGTACGACATAGGATGCAGCTTTGAAAAGACTTTCCAACACGCACCCCTGCTTTCCCGCCTGGCCAACTCGCATTCCCGCATCAATGTTACGACTTGGTAGAACCTCGGTGCTAGGTCTGCTTGATCGGATGTATTTTCTAGCCAGAGCTCTCAGGACGAGAATCGTGCTTTGTTTGGTGCTGGTCGATCTTTAGCCGTTGCCTTAAGATCCTTGAATAACGATTCGTCAATCGTAATTCGTCCGGTTGGTGTGAGTGGTTACTACGATTCGATAATCGTCACTCGTGTAGGTCTCTGTGCGGTAGCTAGTCGCGATAGTCGATTCGTCCTACGTATCGACCTAAGAACCAATACCACTTCGTCGTACGCAGGGGTAAAGAAATAGGGAAGTGTACTTAACGAGTAGCCGTGCACTGCGTGCTCGATAAGGGGTAAGGCGGTGGAAAATGTTGTTCTGTAGTCTTTGTTTGTAACCTCTTCGTCTAGCGTATGCTAAGATTCGAATGTAATAACGAGCTTGAACTTCTAGTCGAAAGGATACAACTGCTATCGTTCTTCTATCCTATCGAGCTATAAGTACTGCGCTCGTTTCTCCTTTCGTGCTTCCCCAACGATTGTCCAACGAATCGTCTTTCGTCCTTACTCGAGTAAACCGGAAAGGGAAAGCACGCCTGCTGTTGACTTCACCTAGGTCCCCGTCTGTTCTCTAAGGTCCGTCACATTACCCGATTCAATGCTAAGGTCGTCCTACGTCCTTCTCATCTTGGTGAATCGTCCGCCGTTGTTTTGGCAAAGGTGGAGAACGTCGGTGGTCGATCCTCAATGTCTTTCAATCACCGGCGTATCGTCTAAGTCAGATATCGTTCCTTGTTTTTGCTTTTGTCTTTTATTGATCGACGATTGTCGATTCGTCTTCCGTCCCTGTGTTGAACCTTGTAATTACTTTCCGTCCCTGTCTAAGGTCGTTTCGTCTTTTGTGTAGGCAGACGTCCGTTCCTTCGATGTCGGTTTCCCCAACGTATCGTTCTTGATTTCGTCCTTGTACCTGTCACCTCCGGTGAGGTCGGTTACCTCGAATAACTTGACAAGGTCGATTTGTGAATCGCATGACGTGTCAAGTGTCGGGATGAACGAGATGACGGATGCTGAAGCGCGCGCGCGCTTGTCGATTCGTGTTTCGTGATTCGTCGCGCGTGATAACCTCCATGACGTGTCAAAGGCTGGTTGTAGACGGACCCGATGTCGAATCGTGTTTCGTGATACCTTGTCGTCGGGTGTTACTAGGTTCGTGACAGTATCTCCCCCTCCGTGGAATCGTCCTCGATTCCTCTTGTCGTCGCCTGTTGCTCTTCCGTATCTCCTCGTTAACCCCCCTCTCCTCAATCTGCGCTGTTGCACCTTGTTTGAACGACAACCGTCGACCGATACTCCTTGTTTGATGAAGAATCTAATCTCATCAAGGTTCACGGTTAGGCGAGATGTTGAGTACCTGATCGTGGTCCCTCTCTCCGAAATGCCTAGAGTTCTGGACTGTTCTTTCAGGGCAGGTGGATACTGGTTCGATGATGATCTATCTTCACTGTTGTACCTCCTTTGACGATTCGTGAAACGTCCTTTGAGTCGATCCACCACTCGCTTATTCGCTCCGGGCATATCGTATCGTACGATGGCCGTAGTCGCTGGCGTTTCGGGGGTGCGACTGGGTCTATGACGTTGTTGAATGACGATGTAAACAAACACGATTCGTTTTTTCCCCTTGGCCAGCGAATCGTCCTTCCAGTTTGCTAGAGATATAAGTTGATCGCAAAACGAAAATCGATTCTCTTTTCGTTCTTCAACTACTTCTCTTTTCTCCATCGCAAACTTCTTGTCAAGATGGGGTTCACCACTCCCAAAAAGACTCTCAAGAATTCGTCCAAGTCCCCTTCGACCTCTCCCTCCAAGGGAGGTCGTTTCGGCGGCCCCGCCTCCCCTACCGGTTCGTCCTCGGGTTCCGGAATCTCCGCCCTCACCAAGTTCGCCAAGGAGATCGAGAACTTCCACACCTACCACGGCGAACCCGCCCTCCCCGAGGAGTTCAACCGCAGGAAGAAGGCGGTAAGTCCCTTTGTCTATTCTCGATCCGTTTTTCGTCCCATCCTTTGTCGATTCGTGCTTCATTTGGACGTTTGTTGAATCCCGTTTCTCCCCTCGCAGGTCCAGAACATCAAGAGGGGTCGCGAGATCAACGCCTCGGGTGAGGAGAACGCTCGGGTCTGTGCCCAATGCATGGTCAAGCGCAACGGCACCACCGCCCCTCCCTGGGAGTGCATCTCGAAGTTCAACGAGAAGCAAGGGACCCCCCGGGGCTGCGGAACTTGTGCGATGTTCAACGTGAAGTGCTCCTTGATCAACGCGTAAGTCGATCCTCCTTTCGTTTGCTATTCCCGTTTCGCCAACCCATTTTCGTCTAACCCTAGTCCGCCTCCGTTTGTCGAATATCTTTTCTAACCTTGCCAACATTCCTTTGACTCCTCTTTTCATTGTAGCATTGTGATCGACCAAGAGTCCGAGGACGAGAACGATGACGAGGATCCTTTGGTCACCGCCGCCCGTACCGCTGAGTCGCAGTTCCTTCACATGAACTTCGAGGGCATGGAGGTCGATTCCGTTATGGTCAGTCGAATCCCGATTCGTATCTCGCGTCTGACGGTTGTTGATTCGTCTTTCTCTCGTTCGCAGGACCTCTTGAAGGACGTGATCAGCAAGAAGGCTCTTGCTCGTCAATCCGACAACACCGCCGTCTTCGCCAAGCTCGACGAGTTCACCAACGTCGTCGAGAACTCGCTCGCCTAGGCGTTTAGCGATTCGTTCGGAAAAGAGGCGTGAAGGTCTCCGTCGTTCTCGGTGGGGGCCTTCATGGGCGATTCGTATTTGAATCGGTTGGGTCGGGAGTGCGTGGTGCAGGAATTTTCTTGTATTTCGTCGGGCCTCTTTTTCTTTTTTGTTTTTTATAAAAAACCGTACCAGCTTCTTTCTTTTTGTGACTCGTATTCCTGCCTTCAATTTCCGATACCCCAGGCAGAATCGACTTGCTTCAAATCGATTGGTTTCTTTGGGTACCGTTGGTGAAAATCCGAAACATGTTCCCTTGCCGTCTCGAGATGTTCGCTTGGTTCCCACGTTGTCGCTTCAGGGCCGTGATAACCTTCCCATTTGACGTGATACTGGATTTTGCCATCTTTCGTCTTGCGTGAATCGATAATCGCCTCAACCACAAACTGATCGTCGGATTCAGGTTCGTTGTGGTTTGTTTCTCGATTCCCGCGGAACAATTCCAACCTGTCAACGTGAAAAACGTTATGCACTCGCAAACTCGCTGGCAACGCCACTCGATAGGCATGAGTAGAGATTCTTTCTTTGATTCTCCATGGACCATAGAACTTGTCATCGAGTTTCTTGAGCGGTCTCTTGGTCTTGATGTTCTCCGAACGCACCAAGACTTTGTCGCCCACGTGAAATTCAGGAGGAGAATCGTGTTTCGCATTGAAATATTTGGCTGCCCGCTTTTGACTCTCGGCTACCATTCCTTTCAACTGATCGTGCACCCTTTTCAACTCTTCAGTATCGGTGGTTGCAAAAGTACGTTGCATTGACTCCTCGGGGCATTCAATGTCGAATCGGGGATGATATCCGTAATTTGCAAAGAAAGGAGTCGTCCCAGTCGATTCGTGAACATTGTTGTTGTAGCAAAATTCCGCCAGAGGAAGCAGTGCCTCCCAATCGTCCTGATTGTAGTTGCAGTACTGGCGAAGGTAATGCTCAAGTACTTGATTCGTCCTTTCCGTCTGCCCATCTGTTTGAGGATGAAATGCGGTACTCATTTTGCGTTCGATGCCCAACAATTCACAAAATTCCTCCCAGAATTTCGACGTGAATTTCGAATCCCTATCCGACAAAATGCTTCTGGGAATTCCGTGTACCCGGAAGATGTGCGTCTTGAATAGCCCTGCTAATCCTCGCGCCGTAATCGTCGTAGGTATCGGTACGAAATGTGCCTGCTTCGTGAACCGATCGACGATGTTCCAAATCGCATCCATTTTCCCAATTTTGGGAAAACCAACCACGAAATCCATGGAAATATCCTCCCATGGCCCATTCGGAATATCCAGAGACTTCAGTTCTCCGTAAGGCCTGTGCCTTCTCGGTTTGTTTCGTTGACAATCGGGGCATTCGGAAACGTACAACTTGATATCCGAATCCATTTTAGGCCAGTAATAATCGCGTTTGATGAGCGCAATTGTTTTGGTAGCTCCTGGATGTCCGGCTACCAACGAATCGTGTCTGCTCTTGCAAATGTGGTTCTTTAGCTCTTGGCTACTCGGAACCACTACTCGCCCTTGGTGTAGCAACAATCCGCTGATTGTCCATGACCAAGGATTCTGCTCATCGATAGACGATTCGTCATCTGTCTCGTTGTCCTTTCCTACTTGTACGCGGAGCCCTTCTTCTCGGATGGTGTCCTTCTCTAGTTCCGTCCGTATCCAAGAGTCGATAGTCGTCAATTGAGTATCGATTCGTATCCTGTTCCCTCCTCGTAAAGCTGCTGTCTGGAAATTCTCGAAAAGTGCCTCGGGCAATAAAACCGTGGGGTTCAAATCCCATTTCGTCTTACTGCTGCCCTTTCCTGGGTGGTAATCGCTCCTTCGAGTCAAGGCATCCGGTTTCTCTCCTTTTTCTCCTGGACGATATCGGATTTTGAAGTTGAAGTCCGATAGAAAAGCTGCCCATCGTCCTTGCCGTTGTACCAAAGGCTTGCCGCTCATAAAGTACTCCAAGTTTTTGTGATCGGTCAAGACGATAATCGGGTGAACCATACCGATCAAGTTGGCTTTCCAGTGTTTGAACGCCTCGATTACTGCCAGCAATTCCTTGTCGTGTACTGGGTAATTTGCTTCTGCCGGTTGCAAGCTTCGCGAAAAGAATCCTGTCGGACGAACTTCCGAATCGTCCCCTTTTGGAAATCGTTGACTGGCGATCGCTGCGATCGCGCAATTTGAAGCGTCTGTCTCGATGTAACACTGGAGATCAGGATCGAACTGAGCTAAAACGGGTGAACTAGCAAATGCTCGCTTCAAACCATTGAAGCTAGCGTCCTCTTCTTCTCCCCAAACCCAGGGAGTATTCTTCCGCGTGAGTTTCGTCATAGGTTTCGTGATTCCGGCATAATCGTAGATGAATCGCCGATAAAACCCTGCAAACCCGAGGAAGCGCTGAATATCCTTGATGTTCTTTGGGGTGGGCCAGCTTTCGACCGAGTCTAGCTTTCCTTGCTCCGGTCCGACTTGATTGTGTCCTACTACGAACCCGAGAAACGTGATTCGTTCTTGCAGGAATTCACATTTTGTTGGCTTCAAGTATAAATCGTTTTGTCGAATAATCTTGAAAACCGCCTTGGTGAGCTCATGCAATTCTTCTTTCGTATTGGCGTAAATCAAAATATCGTCGATGTAGACGATGACCCCCTTGTCCAACAGCTCGTGGAACAAATCGTTCATGAAGAATTGGAAACTAGCTCCCGCGTTTGACATCCCTTCCCTCATTACCTTCGACTGAAAGGCGCCGTAACGGGTAAGGATAGTCGTCCACTTTTCGTCTCCTGGCCGCATCCTTAACAGTTGATAGGAAGTAGGCATATCCAGTTTCGTAAAGAATTTCGCCAAACGCACTCGCTCCAAGAGAGTATCGATTCGTGGTAAAGGATAAGTGTTTTTTACGGTAGCGTTGTTCAACACTCGGAAGTCGGTGACCATCCGATAATCGCCCGTCTTCTTGGCCACCAAAAAGACCGGACTGCCAAAGTAATGAGACGAAGGTTCGATGTGCCCAATAGCCAGCGATTTGTCGATCCAAGCTTTCAACCAGGCGTCCTCTTTTGCGTTCAAAGGGTATACCTTTAGCTTCTTCAAAGCCTGTCCGTCGATCAGATCTACCGGGTGATCGTACTCGCGATGCGGAGGAAGCGATTCGTAATGCTTCTTCATAAAGATGTCGAGGAAATCGTGATACGATTCGGGAATCGCCGTCCGGAGGTCAGCAACCTCCTCGTATTCGTGCTCCTCCAAATTCAATGTCTTGAACGCCCATCTCTTTTCGTCTTCATCGAGGGTTGCTCTTCCCATTCGAAGACCCCCTCCACCAACAATCTGCTTCAGGGTAGGGCTCGTCGCTACCCTCATTTCGCAGGTACCCCAATCGATTTCTGCTTGGTACCTTGTGAAAAAATCCAATCCCAAGACGAGGCCCGGGTTTCCGATCGTCGATATGTCGAATCGACATTTGTAAGGCCCGTTTCCGCTGATCCAAAAATCGATATCCGTGTAGCTTGTGATCAATTCGTCCGAAATTCGCCCGTCTAGCAGAAGTAACTTCTCTGGAGTTGGGTACTTCTGAACTGGCAAGTCGAGCATCACCGGCAAGTTTGGAGACACGAAGTTCTGTGATGCCCCGCTGTCCAATAATGCCTGGTAAACCCTTTCCTTTTGACCATTCACGATTATCCCTACTTCGATTAAAGGGTCCTTCCCTTTCACGGTGAACGGAATCCATTCCGACTTGTCCAATCGTTTTCCTGCTCGACCTTTGACCACGTTCGGACTATTCCCTTTCTTCTCAGGGCAATCTCGAGAATAGTGACCTGGTTTCCCGCAGTAGAGACAAGAATCCGTTTCCTTGCGGCGTTTCATCTCCTCGGGAGAGACGTAAGGCCGATCCGACCGAACGGTTTCTCTCTGTACGGTTCGTTGAACAGTAGTCTCCACTCTCTTCTCCCGAGGGTGTTTGTCTTTGGGTTTCGAATCGTGTTTCTCCTTTTTCTCAGAAGAATTCGCCTTTCGAATGCCACGTTTCTCCCTTTCCTGTCGGTCTAGGTCGATCAAGAGCTTCTTGAATTCGTTCCAAGATAGGTTTCTATACCCTTGGGTTTCCGTCAGCCGGTATTGTATGCTACTGTTGACTCTCGTCTTGACCGCCATTACGATAGCCCTATCGTTCCACCCCAATCTCTTAATCGAGGGGCCAACTGCGTTGAGATATTGGAGAATCGTCCCTGTCTGGTACGTCTCTTCGACAATAGCTTGTGCTGTTCCTTCTGCGTCGGGATCACCAAAATGATCCCTGAGAACCTGGCAGAACAGGGGAAAGTCGAAGAAATACGCCGGTAGTACTCCGTCTTCGTCTCCGTCCATATCATTTGTAATGATATCGCTGGCGTTCCCGGTAAGATAGGAGATAGCATAATTGACTTGCGATTCCTCGGTCGGAAAACGGTGCTTCTGAGTTTTGAACACCATTCGGAGCTTGTGGATGAATCCCTCCAGTTTCGTGGTATCACCGTCGAAAGATTCGGGAGGAGCCACCTTGGTCTCAATGTTGCTGAATCCTGTTCCGCGTTGAATCGGTAATCGTCCTTCGACGTACTCCTCGTCGAAATGGAAAGGTGCATAGGGGTCCCGTTCCAACCTAGGTTTGGCAACCGCTGGAACGGTTCTGACCGACCTTCTAGTTTGACCACTGACAGGAGAATCCTCTACCCGATCCCTGACGGCATTGTGGATATTGCCCGTGATCCTGTCATGGACGATTCGTGAATCGTCTTCTGTGTCTCGATCGTCCGATCGATTCTGCTCAAGCTTCTCGAGCCTAGCGAGCAACCGTTTGGTGGTCGACTGTTGCTCTTTCAGTAGGGCTAAGATAGCGCTCGTCGTATCTTCAACCCTCTCAGGTTCCTTGACCCTTGGTTCATCGGTCTGATCGGGACTATCTTCAGGCGAAAACCTGCCTTCGTTGATATCGGGTTCCCGATCGAATGCGATTCGAGTGGAGGCCTCCACCGATTCGCGTTGGTGATCGTCGCCGAGACGATCCTCTTCATTGTCACTTTGACTATGAAACCTGTCCTCGTTCGTTCGAGGAGTGTTTCTGGTACCTGGCGCCATGTTGTGATTCCGTGGTGAGTAATTGACTAGAAGCTCGTTATGCTGTTACGACTTGGTAGAACCTCGGTGCTAGGTCTGCTTGATCGGATGTATTTTCTAGCCAGAGCTCTCAGGACGAGAATCGTGCTTCGTTTGGTGCTGGTCGATCTTTAGCCGTTGCCTTAAGATCCTTGAATAACGATTCGTCAATCGTAATTCGTCCGGTTGGTGTGAGTGGTTACTACGATTCGATAATCGTCACTCGTGTAGGTCTCTGTGCGGTAGCTAGTCGCGATAGTCGATTCGTCCTACGTATCGACCTAAGAACCAATACCACTTCGTCGTACGCAGGGGTAAAGAAATAGGGAAGTGTACTTAACGAGTAGCCGTGCACTGCGTGCTCGATAAGGGGTAAGGCGGTGGAAAATGTTGTTCTGTAGTCTTTGTTTGTAACCTCTTCGTCTAGCGTATGCTAAGATTCGAATGTAATAACGAGCTTGAACTTCTAGTCGAAAGGATACAACTGCTATCGTTCTTCTATCCTATCGAGCTATAAGTACTGCGCTCGTTTCTCCTTTCGTGCTTCCCCAACGATTGTCCAACGAATCGTCTTTCGTCCTTACTCGAGTAAACCGGAAAGGGAAAGCACGCCTGCTGTTGACTTCACCTAGGTCCCCGTCTGTTCTCTAAGGTCCGTCACATTACCCGATTCAATGCTAAGGTCGTCCTACGTCCTTCTCATCTTGGTGAATCGTCCGCCGTTGTTTTGGCAAAGGTGGAGAACGTCGGTGGTCGATCCTCAATGTCTTTCAATCACCGGCGTATCGTCTAAGTCAGATATCGTTCCTTGTTTTTGCTTTTGTCTTTTATTGATCGACGATTGTCGATTCGTCTTCCGTCCCTGTGTTGAACCTTGTAATTACTTTCCGTCCCTGTCTAAGGTCGTTTCGTCTTTTGTGTAGGCAGACGTCCGTTCCTTCGATGTCGGTTTCCCCAACGTATCGTTCTTGATTTCGTCCTTGTACCTGTCACCTCCGGTGAGGTCGGTTACCTCGAATAACTTGACAAGGTCGATTTGTGAATCGCATGACGTGTCAAGTGTCGGGATGAACGAGATGACGGATGCTGAAGCGCGCGCGCGCTTGTCGATTCGTGTTTCGTGATTCGTCGCGCGTGATAACCTCCATGACGTGTCAAAGGCTGGTTGTAGACGGACCCGATGTCGAATCGTGTTTCGTGATACCTTGTCGTCGGGTGTTACTAGGTTCGTGACAATCAAATTCCGTGAGTTCGATATCGTTCCCGCCTCTTTCTTCTAGTATCTCACTTCAGCATTTACGTCGATAGAGGTGGGAGCTTGGCATGGATATGCCCACAACCGAGAATGCCAAGTGCGATACCACCCACGCTTGACAGCTGTCGCTGGTTTGGAGGACTTCGAAGGTTGCGAGCGCCTGTTTTCGTACACCAATGGCATTGCTGGTGTGACCCGGAGTGCCACTCGATATCACCGCCATCAACAACTGGAGTGGGTTATCAGACAGTGGAATAGCGACAAGTTGCTACATCTCGGTCAGTTCAACAAGCAGGCAAGTTAGAGTGCTTCAATCGCTCACTACTCTTCTTCTTCTCAACTGTCGCATTGCAGCCAACAACCTAGTTAAGGGGTGGCGTGAGGCGAAGGATCTCGAACAGAGTAGCCTGGCCGCGATCTCCCGCCTCCGCCAGCAACACGGCCGTCCTGAGTTCACACTCGACTATTTTAATCGACTCTGGGCTGACGAGCAGCTGGCCCGAGCTCGTGAAGCGTCAGCGGCTACGACAGAGAGCTATAAGTCCGGCTTGGTTCATGCCCGGCTTTGGATTCTCGGCACGGATTACCTTCGTGCTAAGAATCACTGGACCACTCTCACCAGAGACAGCGCACATACACAAAGTCTCGACATCGTACAAAGTCAAGTCCAAGATTGGACGACCTTTGCTCAAATCGCCGCCGCGTCCCAGAAACTACAGGACGCTCAAACTCGCCTGGTGGAGTTTCTCGGTGGCGGGAATCGAGTCGCAAGCTTTCAGAACGATTCCCGCCTCGCAGAATGGCTACTCTCAGCGGAAGGACAAGCCGGCAAGGTCTTTCATCTCCGGCACGCATACCACCAGGCTTTGGATTCCCTTGAGCTTGCGTGCGTCGACAGATTTGCTGAGGCGGAAAAATGCTGTCGACCTGGGACGAATTATAAAATGCGAGCCAAGATTGCAGGAGCATTGAGATCTCGCAACCAGCGCATAGAAACGGCGTACAAACGTTATGACCAGGCCTGGACGCAGCTACCATTACAACAAAGGCCAGGGCTTCTGCGGCGGGAAGTTCTGAAAGGGGACCAAGATTCAGTGTCCCAAGCCTTTGCAGTCGCTCGCGACGGATTGGCCAGTTTTTCCCAGGAGGACTGGGCGCAACCTACCAAGCGTGACGGGGTCCGTCAGGCCCGATTACACGCTTGCGCAGTGTTCGAACTGAAGCAATTGGATATTGAAATCGCCAGGCTCCGGCTATGGATCCAATCCGAACCTCAAAGGATCTGTTGCGCCGTCAATTCCCGCCACTTGAAACTCCCCATATCCGCTATATGGCACGGAGGTCCAAACAGCGAGGACCTCGATTGTTATCCCACGACTACCATTCCCATGCTCGCACTACTCAGACTACAAGAGAAACTACAGCAACAAAATCGTACCGGTGAGGCCGTCATGAAGGAACTATGCAAATTAGATATTCCCGCCCCAACGCCAGAGGGGACCATGAACCACCATATCATGGCGGACCGTGCAGGTTCATTCTGTCGAAATCCATACACTTCACAACATATGTCTGCGCACCTCTCTTCAACGAGTCGGCTTCCTGTCATTCCAGAGGAAGGCCAGGACCCACAGACTGAAGCGCAGTTACCTGGGCTCAACGATAATGCCGATGATGCACTGGAAGCCCCAGAATGATTTCCCGCGTCTCAGCGCTCCGTTCCCGTCAGTGCGGAGGGATCTCCCCCCGTTACTATCGGAACAACCGGTCCAACGGGGGTTTCAAGTGTGTAACGCAAATCCCAGGCACGACGATCATTGGGCAGTTCGGCGTACCTGTGTTACAAAGAACTGGCCGACCCGGGGGAAAGGAGGGTAAAAATCAGGGTGTCTTCCAGATCTACATGCTTCTCAACCGCGTTAAAGGACCTTTGGTCCTTTTGTCTTTCAGTGCGATCCACTTGAGCAATCAAGTCGTACGAGGTGTTAGCGTTCTTGGCGATTGTTAGCCTTCTCAGCGATTGTACCGTGACAATATATATATACTACGATCAAGTGAACTCGTCTGGCAAGAGTTCGAGGTAATTAGCAAAGTCAAGTACCCACCAACTAGCCCCACTCGCTCTAACATAGTCACAATGTCTGTTCCCGCCGGTTCCAACGATATCGTCCCTCCTCGTTATTCGCCTGGCCGTCCGCCCCCATACGTCCGGGTCTACTTCCCCGAATGTCCCAAGCTTTGGCAGAATCGGGTCGACAACCGACCTTGTCTCCTCTGGGAACCGACCGGCAGCGCTCAGTCGAGGTTAATTTGGAACGAAGACCTGCCCACCCTACAGTTCCCTCCTGGGTACCACGTCCACAACCTCCCTCTACCGGTATTCATGTCCGCGGCGGAGAGGCCGTTCTCGTACCCGCTCGTAGAATATTGTGACAAGCCGTACACTCAATGGTTGTGTCATGTGAGTCCTTCGTCTCGTCTACTAAGAGGAATTCCGACACTCATCACCTTTACCGATCATTAATCCAGGAGATCATCTTGATGGCCATGGAAGATGCGCGGGAATACATCGCCACTGCTCCTTCGCATGAGGTGCTTCGTTGGGAGGATATGCGAGAGGTGTTTGCGTTCGGCCAGGGGCTCTGGCATCAGATGCAGAAGAGTCGTTTCTGCAAAGAACACACCCCGATCTCGTGGGGCCCAGTCGCTGCGGCCTTATATAATATTCACATCCTCCGGCCCCGACTTCGACGAATCGGTTATTCGGTGCAGGAGACGGATGCCCGCGTTCCCGTCGTCCGTGATATGTCGGTATGGACTGTTTACATGCACGAGGTGGAGGTCGCCCGGACTAGGTGTACCTGCCTTCACAACGGCAGGATGGGCCACATCAGCTAGGTGAGCTCAATCTTCCCTTCCGACTCATTTGACAGCGAATTCTTACCGCATCACGCCTCAGACGTGTATTATTGCGCTCGGTTTATATAGACGGGAACGGAATATCGGCGACTATAGATTACGGGAAGGCAGTAATTGCCAATATATATATATATAGTTTGTCAAGCGACATATCGCTTTATATTTGTCGTGCTTGTATCTTGTAGTCGATGATGGCTTCTGACGGTCTCAATTAATACGATGATGTTCTAGTCAGCCAGCTCAGACGTGCGTCTCACGTCAACCCCTGTCAGTAGCAACCTGGTATTGTATAACACACAGCACTGTAACCAATTTTCACCTGCGGACGGCCGATGGTACTTGTACCCCCTGTAACTGTGTGACTTTCACTGCAGCAAACGTTGTGACCGACTGATGTTACGGGAGGGGGCAGCTGCGAGACGTGTTCGGTCATGTCGCACCGTTTAGCGACTCAACAATCTTTTGCGAACATGAGATGTAGCTCTACCGGTCGATCTTTGCTTTGAGGTGTTCACAATGAACGCTGGGGTATGCAGTTCAGTGAGCAGTCAACAACTGCAGGTGCTTGACAATATTATCGGAATTCGCAGAGGCGATCACACCTGAAACGCGTAGATCATGTGCGTAAATATCGTAGCTCACGTGTTGTTTGTGCCCAACGTTGCAAGATTGGCACTCGAACAGTCACTGGCTGAATGGTTTATGAGAATGAATGGACTTTTTTGTCCTGGGCTTTTAGAGATCTCCGTTCGAATCGATGCGGGAACTTTTCTTTTTGCGGCGGGAAAGCATCAATTTCACGCGGGAACGGCGCATTCTAGCAGGGCCTCGCGGGAATGTTGACGCTAGACTTGGGGTTGACAAGCCGCTACTTCTGCTTTTTCCTCTTCTCGTTGTCTCACTGTCCGGACCGAGTGGTTGCTGATCGCCACGGCATCTTGTTGCTTTCGGTACGTTTGGTTGGCAGGGCAGGAACACATATAGTTAATGCTACCACATCTATTATATTGATTATCGATCGCTTGAGTCCTTTTCCCACCCAATTTTTTTTTCCCGCGATGTAAGCGTCGATCCCGGGCTCACAATGAAGCCAAGTTATGTCTCTGTTTCTGAAGCGTGTCCGTGCCGACTAAACGTCGCCACAGGCACGCTTCAGAAACAGAGACATAACTTGGCTTCATTGCTCGCTCTGTATACGATCAAGAGACATTTGAGCAATTCATTCCCGCCACTACGCTTTGACCATGGAAAGGATAGGTGTTCGATTCTACGTGAATGGATGACTGATCTACAAGTCCACACGGACAGGCAGTTGTGCCTTCCAGTGTTCGAAATCTGGCTCAGAGAAGGATGGGGGATTGTCTCCAAATTGACGCTTGATGGCAGCCTTATTATCGTTCTTCAAGGCCATCTGTTTCAAGGCGTTACGGATGGCGGTGGCGTGATCTTCGTCATATTCACTTAGACTCTTAAGGACGAGTTGGCCCTTGACATATATGCCGCCCAAGTACAAGAGCTGCCAAGCATTCAGACCCTGCTATTAGCTCGACGCTGGGCCATTGGTGGGAAAGAACATACAGCTTCCTTGCGACCTTCGCGTACGAAGCTCCAGTTGAAGTCGACCTTAACAGATTCCCACCACACGTCGCGTTCGAGGCAGAGAACGTTCATCGAGGACCAAGGAACTGTGGTCATTTTCTTGCTGGAAGTAGTGCTGAGGACGTGGCTTATCTCCTCGGTCAGCCTAGTTCGCTGGGCCTGCAATGGGAGACGGGAATGCTGAACAGCGAGCGAGTCGCTACTGGCGCCATCCGCGTCACGAGAAGCATGAGCATCCTCTGTGTCACCGAAGAAGCGTTAGCGGTTCCAAGGCACCGAGATCTAGAAGAATCACTCACGACGTCGAGCGCGAAGTTCAGAAATCCCTGCCTGAATTGAATTGAGAACAGTCCGGCTATGGTCTGGATTATTCCCGCCGATTCCCCAACGCTTCTGCAACACCGCCTCGAGGTACGGGCCCTTGATCACGGCCTGTGGCATGAACGGATGGTCCGCCGCAAGAGGCATTAAAAGGATGAAGCTGGCAATCTCATAGTTGTCGTGAAGTCGACCAAGCTATGAACCGCCCGGTTGAGCGTTCCCGCCAGGTGATCAGCACCTGGCAACTAATAACTCGGACCAAAAAGAGGACGACTGACCTGTAAGGACAGTTCCTGGATCATAGCGTTGCCGCGTATCGCTTGTAACCTCCGTGTATCTTTGATCTTTGGTACTGTGGCTGTAGTACGGCGCTTATTCCCCTGACGCTTCTGCTCAAGCTCCTCTAACGTCCGCTCGATGACATCAGGTGGCCAGTAATTCGCAGCCTTTCTCTTTTTGGCTTCTGCTTGAAGCGTTTTAAATTGCTCTTGAACAACCGAAGGGGTGGCCGAGGGGACCGACGCAGAAGTGCTGTCTGATGAGGGTACGGGAGTCGCATCGATGTTGGCTGAGAGGCCTGCAAGCCGGAAGACATAGTGAGCTGCGGGTGCGAGGTGAGACCTCCCCTGGACACGGGAACAGCGGACTCACGGAGGTCTTTTGCAGTGAGATGTACCCATGCTTGCCACTCGTTCAGTTTGCGACTCTTCTTTTCCTTCTCGCTGATATTGAGAACGGAGTAGAGTAACCTCTGCGGTTCGATGTTGAGTTTGGTAGCGTATTGCGAGCATTGTACGCGGAGGGAGCTAAGGATATCCTGCACGGCAAGATTGTAGTTCAACTGGCCGACTTGACTGGCCGTTGCCGCGCGTATATCCAATGCCTCCCCAAGATCAAGCTCATTTGATAGATCGTTGGTGGTAAAGGGCTCTGTATGGTCGTTATTCGTGTTGGTGGTAAAGGGCTCTGTATGGTCGTGATTTAAGTTGATGGTGGCATCGTTGTATGCGGACGCCAGGGTTTGGCTATGATGTCCAGACTGCATACCGCCTCTCTAGCAAGTATTGGGAAAGATATAGCTGCAGAATGAAACGATTGATGACAGTGAAAGGAGGGTTCGAAGGACTTACAAGGTGATCGAGACCGAACTTTGAGAAATCTGCGATATCTGGTGGCTGCCAGTTTGTTTACTTTTTGGAGACGGGAATGGCGGGAATGACGAATCAGACCTTAAAAGTGGGATCGACGAGTCACACGCGTTACCGCACAAAGAGATCAAAGGCATGTCTCACAATCAAAACAAAGAATCCTAGTTTCCCGCACAACAACAATGAGACCCGACATTGCGATACCCTCAAACAGTTCACAAAGGATACGTCTTGATCGTTCAGGTACAAGGATCTTCGAAGGACAAAGAAGGCGAGTCTGTGTATAACGTGTTTAGGGAGGTATATAGAAGAGCTGATGAAAATCGCTCGAGACTCGAACTCGAGGGGGCGCGTATGCAAGATATTGAACTCCATTTGCGTGAATCACATAGCTTCATAGTCTTTTCGCTGTACCTACCTATTCCTTATCGCCAACGACTTAATATCATGTCAGCAAACACTACCAAGTCCGAGCTTAATGTCTCAAAACCCAAGCTCACTCCAGAGGAACTCTATGAAGTGAAAAGAGCGCAATGCCTACTGAACGCGCAGAACAGGAAGAAGAAGAAGGGGAGCAAGAAGAACAAGGGGACGGGCAAGCGGAAGGCGGAGGAGACGCTGGAGGGTACCGAAGTAAGCGTTGACCTGATGTGCTGCATGTTGTTGATGAGTGCACTGATGATATACGCTATCTGACTTCAATTTCCAGGAGAAAAAGAAGAAGGTTTCCGTTACCAAAAAGGAAAGCGAAACCGCACCCTCGACACCCCTCTCCACCCCACCTCCTGAGCGCACCCCGCAACCAGTTCCAGCGCTTTCCCGTGACATCACACCTCAGGTCGAACGCAAGTCGGATCCCGCAGGGACCCCCGCCAACGAGAGGGAGCATGAGCAGGGTACAGCGGGAACGGGAGAAAAGGACGGGGTAGAGACCGACAAGCGGGTGGATGTTGACGAGCAAGGACAAAAGCAGGAGGAAGGGCGGGAAGACGACGAAGAGGTGAAACCGGTGAGCCACCCAGTTGTCTCGAGGCGCTCAACACAGCATATTCACAAGTAGGTTTTCGAAATGATCAGGACATTCATGCCAGCACGGGTGATCTTGGAAAAGATACCTTCGATTATACGGATGACCTACTGAACAATCTGGACGTCTCCGGACTCAACACCCATTTCTTCGGGGACCAGAAGCCTGGCGTCGAAGAGGAGGATGTGTTGATGGGAGATCTTGGAGATTTGGGGGGTTTGGGGGGTTTGGGCGATGTTCGAGATACGGCGGACACAAATCTCGGATGGGGACCAGGCGGGAAAGGAGAGGATGGATTCGCTTCCTGGGAGGGGAACGTTGGCAAAGACTCTGAGGATCGAAGGGATCAGGGTCCCGCAAAGCCTGTGCCTTCGTCAGGAGACTCGGCTAAGGAGGAGGAAGAACAGGTAGCTCCGGGTTCCCAGAGGAAAGACAAAGAGGCTGTCGCCGATAACACAGGTGCAACGGGACAAACCGGAGGTGCCATGGGAGGAACGGAGGAGGGGGAGTCGAAGAAGGGCGCAGCAGGGGGGGACGGGAACGCCATGTCCGGAAGTGAAAGTGCAGAGGTCGCTGCGGGAAAGGTTAGTCTTGGGCAATATCTCAATTAGGAAAATTAAGATGAATCGTGTGCTGATGGTGATGTGCTTGAACGGTATACAGAACGAAGGTATCGAGAACCTGCCTCACCCAGCGGGAATGGTTCCGTTTGAACTTTGGGACACACCCACAATCAGCTTCACTCGTCCCGAACCAGTGATTGCTAGGTCGGCTTATAAAATAGACGACAAAGCGATCAAGGAAAGCTTCGCGAAGTTCGACCAACGGTTCCCGTCAGGCGGCTTTGAGCTTCCGGGCTCTTCGACTGTGCGGACGAGGCAAGGCATGGCCGAGAAAGTCGAGTTGAAGGGACGGGCGCGTAGGGAGAAAAGTGTGGACGAGTTCGCTGCCTCCCCCACCCCAAACCAACAACCGGCTGCGAACACGAGACTCCAGAAGGAGGAAAAGGACTGGCTCGGCGGGGTTGTTTACGGGATGCATCGAAACTTGCGGGAACCGATTTACCGCTCAGGATCTCGCTGGGTCGAGCCATTCCACACCGCCCGGTACAAGAACCCCGACGGGCTATGTGATGCTCTGACGCACGCACGGTACCAGTTGAAGCGGGAAGACGCGAGTCTCGACTTGTGGTTGCTGTATGGAATAACCCGGATCGAGGAGATCCTTGGTGAAGGTTGGAATCCGGAGGAGTGGGCGAAGATTACAGCTCTAGCAGGAGGAGATGGACGCCCGCAAGCCGCGCGTCTCTGCGACTTCTACGAGATCTGCTGGGACTCCGGAGTGTACGACGTCGCGTTTAGTCTCGGTGGGCGCTTTCGGGGTGCTGGCAACTTCGGGCTCGACGTTGCGGAGAACCAGGTGCTTGGGATGGCCGTTCAAGTTCTCGAAGCAAAAGATGAATACTGGCGTGGAGTATCCGGGCGGGAATTGTCCAGGCGAGCGCTGGCAGTGACGGGAATGACCGAAAAACTGGTCAACGTGGTTCTCACACGCCCTTTAGAGCTGCTCGAAGAGATTAAGGCGCAGGAGGACATGGCCGCTGAGGCCGTTGACGAACTGTTGGGCGACTCTCCCATCCAAAGTCGCGGGGAACTGAGTGTCGACGCATTACCAAGCGTCTGCGACACCGAGGCGAAGAAGACACTCTGGTTGCACTCGAGACATAAACTTGAAAGAGCGGCAGCGATGAGAGTTGTGGCTGGGTTGGAAATACGGCAGTACGGTTGGGAGCAAGGGTATTTCATGGGCCGCGAATGGATGCGGGGAGCAAGTCCCGACTTCATTATGACCGTCGCCGGAATCATCTCGACGATCTTCAGCAAGCGACGGGAATACAAGTCAGAATCGTCTCTCGCGGGGGAATTGCATTATCTCCGGCGATTGATCGGGGCGGGAAGGTTCTACGAAAGCGAGTGGATTCCCGTTCTCGACATGTTCCGGCGGACCGATGGGGTAAGGCTTGCAACTACCTTGGAGAAACTGCAAGTCGCCAAACGTCTGCCCGAAGCGAGGCATCGGTGGGCGGACATTGCATCGCGTGCTCGAGAGTTGTGGAGGGAGAACGGGGAGACTGTAGCGATACCGGTCGCCTTCGACATGAGTCTTGCCCAAACGAACCCAAAATGGGCCCTTCCCGCTCTTCGCACCTTAGCATCGAGGCCGCTCATCAGCGCGGGACGGGAGACTTTGCGAGCCCATATCGGGGAACAATTGGACATCGTGGTCCATACGGAGACCTGGGCGGGATACCTGAGCGATGTTTGGCGCCTGAAGCTGGGTTTGATGGACGGTCTGACTTTCACGGAGCGGTGTTCTTTCCGGGAGAAAGTCCTCGCACGAGTGATGGGAAAGCGATACGAGCGGGAGGTAGAATCCTACCTTTGCCAATTTCACTACCCTGGTCTCAGCGGCGGCGGAACGGGGGAGGGGGTTGTTGCGAGCGAGTCGCAAGTCGTGCCAGAGAGGTTCCGTTGGTCGAAACCAGCCGTGACGGAAGAGATCGACTTCCATAACATCGAGTTGCGGGAGGAAGCCCTGAAAGCGGAACGACGGAGGGCAGCGGAGCAACGGGCGCAGGCAAGGTGTGTAGCTAACTCACAAACTAATCACCAACTTCCACTAAGTCAGAAATTATTTAAACTTGCATTTGCGAAATACCTAGTCGGGAAGCGGTAATCGGCCAGGAAAACATGTCTGATATTATTGACGGGAACGACGATATCGACATGGGCGGCGGGGACTTGGGCGGGAATAGTGAGTTGGCTAGCGGGAAGGAGAGCGACGAAGGAGACGGGCCGCATGGGACGGCGCAAGATATTGAGTATGTCGTTCTTAAGCATTCGCAAAGCGTTGGCTGTAGGCTAACATGTGTGTTGCAGGACGCAAGAGAAAGAGCAGGTACAAGGGGCGTTGATCAAGATGGTGCTCGATGCTAACAACGGTGGCGGGAAATCGACCCCCTCAGTGAATGCGTGAGTTACGCGAATAATGAGACGGGGAAAGATATGTGATTGACTTGTGCCTTCTTGACCATTGGTTGGCATACAATAGCGAGTGGTATCCAGAAAAGATCGAGTTCAAGCACGAGTTGGAGAATCCAACGACGCTTTACGTGGATCTACAGAGGAAGGACAAGCGAGAGATGCCAGTATGGGAGTCCGCGACCAATCCGAACTGGCTCCCCGACGCTTTCATTGGACCGGGATCGCTCACCCAGAAGAGCGAGAAGGCAAGGTCCGCAAGAGAGGCGGCGCATGAACGGACGAAGCAAATCGGCCACTACACTGAGCTTCAGAAGACCAAGAACGTCGAACTCGCCGAGCGGACAGGAAGGTTCTCGGTGACCTTTACAACGGGACCCTTCACTGAGGGAACGTGTTCTGTCTTGGTCTTTGAATCGCCGGGGATCAACGCTGGTCAGAAGTATCTTCGGGAAATGGTTGATATCTTCGCCAATGCTGTGTATCCGGCGGCGCGAGACATGAACCGGCGAATTCGGGAGGCAGAACAGCCCGGATCGACAGAAGGGATGCTTTCGCCCTGGCAGGAAGACGCTCCAACCGATTCCGACGAGGAAGAGGACATACCGGCGGACGTTGAAGAGAAGAAGAAGGTTGGGGGACTCGAAAGAGGTGGCAGCGGTAAAGGGGGAAAGAGGAGCGGGAAAGATGACGGGGCCGAAAAATGAGGCGGGAATGCTCGCGGGAAGTGAGTGCCGACAAGTTAGCCAGAGCGGAGCACGAAGTGGGAGGTGTGATTGGGGTCTTGTGGTATACATAGTGTTGAATTTATGCTGTATCTCTTCTCTGCTGTCGACGGTTCTATAATCCCAAGCATCGCGTAATATTGCTGTGTGTTGTATGTCTGCCCTATTCTCTCCGGTCGATCGACTTGACAATAACGAGGGAGACATTGTACATAGCAAGTTGTTGGAACGATTCAATCGCTGGCTTACATGAATCGATGGTGTTCCAACCAGTTAGGTGACAGTCATGTTGTCTTGCATGTCTTCACGTACGTGAGTACTGGATACGCACGTATCATGCGTCGACAATGAAAATAATGAAAAGGGGATTCAAGTGAAACTCGCGGGAAGTACAAAAGAAAGACGCGGGAACACGTTTTTGCCCTGGAGGTGAACGACGGGAAAGATGACGCTTGGTATTTTTTCAGGCATCAAGAGTGTTCTTGTCGCGCGAAGCGTCGCGCGACATCTCAACACGCGCGTTCAGCATAGAATTATGCTGACGCGTGGTAGGTTTATCAGCACTGCCTATGCTGCGACAGCGCCAGGGACAGGTGGTGATGAGGTGACGACAGCCAGGGTAACCAGAGGCCAGAGATAGGGGACAATGACATCGAGTGCAATCAATCACACCATCATTCTTCATCAGAACAAGATATAATACCACCTTGACCACCTCCCAGGCGCTCTCATATCCGTAGACAATGGCGTACCTATTCTCAGGGCTGATCGAATGGCTCAAAGGTCTGCTATGGCAGAAGAAGCTCGAGGTCGGTACAACCGCCTTTCGATGGAGGTAGACGTGTTGGGTATATCAGCTGATCCGGATTCTATTGTCCGAATGTTGGGTGAGATTAGGTTACGATCGTCGGACTGCAAGCTAGTGGGAAGACCAGGCAAGTCCCTTTCCCTCCTCTCATGATATCGCAAGGCCCGTCCGAAGCTTACCGAACCCTTTCTCTCTCCCGCTCTGGGTGTATCGACAACTCGACCATAGCTTGACAAACGTTCTGGCAGCCAACCAGTTCAGCTCGGATGTGGTGCCTACCGTAGCGTTCAATCTGAAACAGGTCAAGAAGGGGAACGTGAACATGAAGATCTGGGATTTGGGCGTGAGTCTGGGTTCCTTTTGCCGCTACCCCTGATGTCTGAGAAGGGACTAGGAGGACAAAGTCGAAAGCTGGGACATATAATACAAGTACCGGGGCTGACGGATCGCGTTTGAATTTCTGGCTTGGGCGCTTCAGGGTCAACCAAAGTTTAGAAACATGTGGGATCGGTATGCAAGAGGGGCGGATGCGATCGTCTACGTGGTGGATTCTGCAGACGTGAGTTGCCCCTTTTTCACCGTCTCTTCGTCCGGGTTGCATCCCTGTTTCGCTGACGAGACCCTTCTCCACCTATTTGATCTTTACATTCAATGACCGTCACCTTTGCGCTCGTATCGCCCCCATCTTCACTTTCGCGCTCACCCTCGGACGTAATCAGCGAGCAACAATTCCCACAGCAGCCTCCGAGCTTCACTCCCTCCTCGCCGTTCAAGCACTAGCCGGCGTACCCCTGTTGGTACTGGCGAACAAGAACGACCTACCAGAAGCCATGGGAGTGGACGAGATGATCGGGGCCATGGGATTGGAGAGGATCCGGGATCGGGCTGTCAGCGTGAGTGTAGAGTCTCCTTTGCCACAAGTTCGACAGGGACTCGGGGTGAATCGCGCGGTGCTATGAGCGTAAGGCTGATACCAACGATCATCTTCTCGTTGGGGATTGGAATTCCAGTGTTACTCGACATCAAACAAGACGAAGCATAATCTGGACCTCCTCATCTCCTGGTTGACGCAACGAGCGCACTAGACCACCGTTCCCACTTCGACGGGCTCTCACCCTGAGGACTGGTCTTTCGGACGACCGCTACTTTTCAGTTGACCGTGTTCTGTGCCAGTTTCGCTACTGGCCTTTGTACGGCAGGGGATATCCCTTCTATCCGATCGCCCGAACTTTCTCTTTTCGCTTCTCTTATATCTTGTATACAAAGTAATGCCTCAATAATCTCACCGGAGCTGGCTGTAATGAGCTCTTGACATCTAGATCCTATTCTTGATATGTATATCACTCATGGAACGCTGCCGTTGACTAAGGGTTAGTGGCCATGATTTGATGTCGGATCGGCCGAAGCCGGGGTCCCCGCGGCAACTCACTCGGTCCCAAAGATCCTCGCTCGACCGCTCGTATCTCGAGTAAGGTCGACCTTGCTGCCAGAGTGTCTTCACCAACCCATTCTCAATCAGAGGGACAGTAACTAGCACAGCATACTATCATCTTGAAGATACACTCAGGAAGAAAGTATACGAGCTGCACAGGTCTGGCCAACAGGATGGTACGCTTCCTCACCTCAGTCGATGCCGGCGCCTGCTTGCTAATAATGACTGCATATTTCGCCCCCCTATGTTCTGCTCTGTCTTGAAACAGTTTCGGGTCTCGCACGGCCGTCATCGTGGACTTGGGAATCTTTCAACAATATGCAGCCTACATAATAGCTCGAGGCGGTTGGCTACGACGAGTGTCAAGGGGAAGGACGGGTTTATGGCTGGAGATGGGGTTTGGGTGAAGAGCCCTCGCGATGTGAGTCCATACAGTACAGTCGTCCTTCGGATAAGCTATACATGAGCCTTGAACGTCGTAGCTGACCATGGTTTCGGGTCGGTATCGATTCAGATATCGAACCACCTGGACAAATACATCGTCGGACAAGATAAAGCCAAAAAGACCCTCTCCGTAGCCGTGTTCAACCATTATCACCGGATAGTCCACTCGAGAGAACAAGCTCAGGCTTTCAGGGAAAACCTGGACAAGGAACAAGCTGCATTGGAACAGGAAGAAGCTAGGATATCCGCCGCTTCCTCGGCTGCGCGAGTCGAGCTTGAAGAGTCGAGAAACACGGTCGTCCCCAAGGCTTCAACTAAGCGGAATAGGGATTCTGGCGGGGAGAGGAGGGAGATCCGGATCGAGAGTAGGATCGTGGAGCCAGATCCGACCAAGACGCATGAGCCTTCGACATGGACAGGTGAGGCTCTGGCGATTCATTTCCTACCATTCAAATAACGAGCTGATAACATCCATGTTGCCTTATGACAGGCCGAAACTTCTACACCCCCGTATTTCCTCCGAATCAGCCGCCCATAGATGACGGGTCCGCCGTACGAAGGCCTTCAACCCTGCTAGGTCGTCTTTCTGGGGCGTTCGTGCAGAGTGTCGCTAGCGATCGGGACCATGATGGCGTCCAGGCTGGTGGATCGAGCACGAATGCCGCGTCAGAAGAGCAGGATGGAATCGCAGCAGATGATCAGGAGGGAGGGAGGTTTGCCTTTGAGGACGTGGAGGATGATATTGATCTGGAGAAGAGCAACGTCTTGATGCTGTGAGTCAAAGTAGCAAGCCTGCTTCCTTGACTGTCGCGAAGCTCAGCTAATCGCTTGACTCTGTTCTGGTGCCTGCAGCGGCCCTACTGGCTCAGGAAAGACTCTCCTGGCGAGGACCCTCGCTCGAATCTTGGACGTACCCTTCGCCTCATCCGATGCAACGAGTTTCACCCAAGCTGGATATGTCGGAGAGGATGTGGAGAGTGCCGTAGGAAGGCTGTTGAAGAACGCGGATTGGGATGTCGCGCGAACAGAGTGAGTTCGATTCCTGGGACAAGTAAGCGAGAGGGGAAAAGCGGCTGACATGTTGAAAATTGCAGGATCGGAATCATACATATCGACGAGGTAGACAAGTTGGCCAGGCGAGGAGGAAGTGGGGAAGGCGCGAGTTGGGGAGGTAGGGATGTCGGTGGCGAGGGTGTCCAGCAGGGTAAGTCCAGACTATAGATGTGCTTTAGATCGACTTCTAGCTAATTATGTGAAATCGTTTCCCTAACAGCCCTGCTGAAGCTACTAGAAGGAACTTCTCTGACGTTGCAAGCGAAGCCTTCACCTCAAACCGTAGCGCCTACCCCGCCTCCTCCATCGGCTCTAAGCGGTTCGATGTCATCAACGCCACACACATCAGCGGAAGGTCCATCGGGAGGTAAGGGACTTGGTGCTGCATCATCAGATTGGCCCGGGAAGAAGGGGATCAGGGAAGGGCTGCCTCAGCATGGTGCTGCTGGCGGCGTCGGGTCGTCCGGAGGTGCGTATAGGATTAGAACTCACCCGGATGATCGATCGCTGATTGAGACCGCTGCAGGCAACAAAGGCGAAACCTTCAATGTAGACACGTGAGTTCCGTTCGAGCGAGAGAAGCTCTTATCCCCTGCGAAAATCTAAACGCATTTCTATTACCAGCACAAATATCTTGTTCATCCTTTCCGGAGCCTTCGTCGGGTTAGAGCAGATAATAGCTCGAAGGAGCAACAAGGGCGTACGTATCCAGACGAAAATCCATACCCCAGCTCGAAACCTGCTTACATCGTAGACCCGTATGCAGTCTATCGGTTTCAACGCCGTACTAGCCGAACCAATAGCTGCGCCAGGCTCGGAACCATTGGAAAATAGCGACGCTCATGCGGAAGAATCAGCAATGTCGAACAAAGATCGATTGACCGGGCTGACGAGCCACGACCTTGTGGAATATGGCTTCATTCCAGAGTAAGTCTCGGTTTCGTGATTTAACATATCGACCGCGTCACTCATCTCGTGCTTTCGCAACCACCAGGTTTGTGGGAAGGGTACCGGTCCTGGCTCCACTTCATCCCTTATCCCTGTCCGATTTGATGCGAATCCTTGTGGAGCCAAAGAACGCCATCATCAAGCAGCAACGAAAGCTATTCTCCCGATGGGACTGCGAGCTGCAATTCTCGGAATCGGCTCTGAGAGCTATCGCAAAGGAAGCTCTTCGACGTGGTGGAAGTGCTCGACACCTAAAGAGCGTGATTTCTGAGCTTCTCTTGGAGGCCAATTATGAATCGCCTGGCTCGGTGAGTTATGGCCGGCGATGAAGGCTCTTCCTGAGCTTACAATTTGCGCAAACAGTCTGTAAGGTACGCAGCTGTGACTCAGGCGGTCGTCCGCAAAGAGATCCCGGTTCTCTACTTCTCTCGCGGTCAGAAATCCCTCTTCAACCGTGCCCTAACAGAAGACGACGCACCAAAGCCTTCTCCGAGTGATTCTTCTGAACCTAATCACTCTGAAGGCCGTTCTCGCACGTACGCTCCGATCGAGGCAGACCTCGATGTGGATCCCGAACCTGCACGAGCATTCGGAAGATCGACAAGACCGAATATCGCGCAGCGATCAGCCTCTTCGATTTACGAACATAGGCGATTGTTCCACTCTGCCCGCAATCTCGGTCAGCAGCAAAATCAGAAGAACCGTCCGCAGCGGTCAACACCAGGGAAACCCAAGTCAAACGCCAAATCGGCCAAAAGACGTCAGGCCATTGCCTCGCAAGACCTCAGATCCAGTCGATCGGAAACCCGAAGTCCAGTAATGCAATGCATTGCCTATTCGACGGCCGAACGTTACGATCTAGTTGCCATAGCTCGAGAGCTCAATCGTCAAGAAGTTCCCTTCACCCTGGCATTCGAGCAAGATAGGACCGATCAGGCCATCGTGGTCTCAGGCTGGAACTTCGGGCTCGGTGCCGGAGCTGACGCTCGGACAGAGGAAGCGATCAGCTTGGCAAAGCTTGCCGAGGAAGCCGCAAGGAGAGGGGAAGCCAGCAGTACCAACGACGCTTCGCCGTTTTCGATCGCCAGTGTCTCATTAGAGCAGAATCCGACCTACGAGCAAGGCAAGGAAGGCGAAATTTGGATCTTCAAATCAGGGAGCTTCGTTACATGGGGTATGTCGCATGCAGAAGGACGAACGTTTATTCGCGAGGTTGTCCGTAATAAGAGGGCTAGGATCGAAGTCGGGCCCATCCCTCACCACGATATTCAAACGGAGGAAGTAGATTATGTCACCGACCCTAGCGAGTGAGTAATGCCCAGCCTTGGAGGGCGATTTGTCGCGTACTCATTCGAGTTTCTTTCAGAGAAACGAGAATCAAAGGCAACTTGATCCTGCTTGGACGTCCGCCTGAGCTTCATTCGTTCCAGCAGTCTCCTACCTACGCCTCATTCTTGACCCGGTACACGTTCTCAGTTGCTTTGGCACGATCATCGGCCCTCGCGTTGGTCGAAGCAAAGCTCAATGCGCACCTCGAAAGCGTCGGCAAAGTCCCAGGACTCCTCGAATCTACGGGAACACAGCCTTTGAAGAGGAAAGAAGTCATCCGGAAGATCGGAGAGCTGATGGTACTTCGAGAGGCGGTCAACTTCCGCGGTGGTGGACTGGAAGACACCCCTGAAGTGAGTAGGGCCTCAGATCCTGATTCGAACTCCCGCAGCTGACATTCCTTCTTGCCGCATTCAGATCTATTGGTCCGAGCCCCAATTGGAATGTGAGCATGACATGGCGAAGTCTGTCCGTGAGTGATATGGTTTACTCACGTCCTGCAACGGCTTGCCAGCGTATTTCGACGCGGTTTCAAGCGAGTTTGAGATGGAAGATCGTATTGAGACGATCAACCAAAAGATCGATTACGCCAGCGAGGTGCAGAGCACGCTGCGAGCGCTCCTGACCGAAGTAAGCCATGATCAAAACGCAACACGTTTGTCACGGCGCTGATTATATTGCGCAGGGCTCCGCTCACCGTATGGAAGTCATCATTATCGCTTTGATCGCTGTCGAGGTTGTTCTGGTAAGCCAAGTTGAGCTCATTGCGTGACGCGCATGAGCGCTGATCATCTGACACCGATACTTGCAGGCATTGATCCGTGAAGGTCCGGAGCTGCTACATAGCTTGACGAATCTTCTGACCGGGTTTAATTTGGTGAGCCTGGGCTGCTACCGCTGTCACTGCATCGGTCAGCTGATGCATGCGCTTCCCTTTATCATTTCAGGTCAGCAAGCAATTCGCTTTCCCGACGGCTATCGCGGCGTTATCATCATGTTCGGCGGGAACTCAGGCTTCACCTTCGCGAAATCCATTGCCGATTGCGTATCACGTACTTCAGCACCCTTTGCCATATCAAGCCGGTCTCGAACTACAGAACGCAATCATACAAGCTCGACTAAAAGCCAAGAAAGAAGATCCGACCAGTGATCTGGCTCTTCAGGACGTGATCCTCTTATTAGGTAAGCCACCAGTAAAATCCTGCTCTCTGCATCGTCGATACTAGACTTTTTCAATCTCGCAGAACACACACCAACATACACCACGGGCCGGCGAGAGGCTCAAGCCGGAGCATTGCACCCGGAGGAAAAAAAAATACAGAACGTCGGCGCAGAGTTCCATGTGACGAAACGGGGCGGACAGGTTACCTTTCACGGTCCTGGACAACTAGTTGGTTACCCATTGATTGATCTGCAGCGATCCGAGGTGAGTCTCCTGTACGTTGGTATTCTTCCGTTCGGTCTGCTCACTGGGCCCTCATCTGGTTTAGGTGACCACTCGATGTTACGTTTCATACCTGCAAGACATACTGGCGTCATATGCTCGCGAGCGGCACGGTCTCGAGGTTCTCGCCCCTCACCCTGACGATCACGTTGGGGTGTTTGCGAATGCAAACGAGAAGGTAAGTTGTGGTCCCCTTGACCCAAGGCCCATAACGCTGACTCGTTTGCGAGTCTAGTTGGCCTCGATCGGTATTCATATGCGCCACCGCTTCACGTCACACGGATTCGCCATGAACGTAACGAACCAGCCGCTCAGCTGGTTCAACCTCGTCACGGCCTGTGGACTCGATGACGTGCGAGCCACTTCGCTACAGAAGATGCTGCCAGACACGAGCGAAACCACCGTCCGATCGGTCGCAGAGGATCTTATGCCATATTTCTCTCGGAAATTCGGTCGCGACGTGGTCCCGTTGACTACCTTGAGCGGTATGAACGCCGGGGCCGATACTATCACAAAGCTGATCCGACAAGCCGAGAAGGAGGCTCAGGGAGAACCGCTGGAAAGTGGAAAGACATGGCCGGAACGACCAATGATCGAGGCATCCACTTGATTACCGCTCCAAGCTTGCTGATGACGGAACGACACTTTTGACACCATTCATAGACATAAAGGTTCTTGTTGTACGAGTAGAGAAAATGACACCTTGTAGTGATTAGTCAGACATTGCATTGCTCCTGATCCAGTCTTCGTTCATTCACTTCCTCGTCATATGCTGAGTCGTCCCTGCTCGTTTAGTTTCGAGCCTTGGTCTCCACGTCCATCTTGATTCGGGCTTGCCAAAGGCTTTGCATGTTCTTGACCTAAGAAGAAGCCAGGGTTTAGCTCAGAAGTCTCATACAGCTTCACGGTAAACGATTCTAAAGGCCTTACGAGATCAGCGAATCCCTCCTCACAGACCACGCTCGCAACTATGCTTTCAAGTTCTTCTTCTCCCAGCGAGTACAGGGCCGATTTCGATCGGATTTCAGTGAAAACCCTCTCGCGATCGTCGTTTTGGGAGACCGCCTTTTCGTTCGCATAAGTCGGGCGAGAAAGTAGCATCTGAGCACGCTCGGATTCAGCTTCAGCTTCAGGCTCGAGTTGCGGGGTCGGGCGCTTCGTCCTGATAGACGGTCCATAAAGATCGATGAGCGGCTTGTCGTGAACGAGCTGTTTATCCATGTGCATTCTCATTCCTATATCCATATCCATATCGTCGTGTCGGTACTGATATTGATCCCTCTTGCTCCGTTTAGCTGAAGGCGAGTCGTGCGGGTGCAAGTTGGTATGATGAGCTCGAGGACTAGAAATGGCGTGTAACGGCCATTGAGCCGGGCCAGACGTTTCCGGTTGAGTGTAGGATTCTGCTTCTCCTCCTTGGGTATGCGCTTCCATCTCGGTCTCCTCGTAGGATCGTTTCTGTTTTTGCGGGGACGAGTAGAGGTTCTCTTGGGATCCGACATCCATGGTACCGCCCGCGAGCACCCTATTGTGGTCGTGGACGGTATCGAACCGAAAAGCCTGGTTCTTGTATTGATTCTGGAATCGGTGAGTCTCGGGACCCCCTCGAAGCGACAAGGCGGGTGTCATAGGACGAGATGAATACCCTGATGCTTGCGTTTGCGTTGGTGTCTGGGTTTGTGTTTGACTTTGAATGTTCGAATCGCGCGTGAATAGGCCTTTGCGAGGTAAGATGATCTCACGTTGCTTCGTAGGTGTTCTGTACATCGCTTCAGGTTGTCGATCAGGTAGGTAGGTAGATTCATTCTCGAGATCCGGGTACCGAGGATTTGACATGGGATAGTGAGAGGCAGGTCGGGGTCTGGTTTGCGAAGGCGGTGGCGGGACCTTGAAACCTTGATTGTCGATCATCGGCGAATACATCACGGATTCCTAGAGGAGGTTTCCTTCACTTTCAGCTCAGTTTAGGTCGTTGAGAAGAATTGACGACATACCGCTCCGTACTCCGACATTGCTGACCCATACTCAGACCTCGCAACATCGAGCGTTCCTCCCATCTGCGACTCCGTAAGCATTCCACTTCCCAAACTTTCCTCCTCATCCCTCGTCGATCGTATGCTAGATTGAGTCAACTGTCGTTGTTTGTCCTTGGTCTGACCTCCGTCCAGTTGAGGACAGAATTCCAGGAGCGTGTCAACGATCTTCCTCGCGTCGGTCTCGTTGATGCAGCGGACTTGGACACGGCTGTAAGTCTGCACGGCGTCCACAGGTTTCGATCAAGATGAGTTTGCGAAGTGAACGGGAAAATGACTCGACTGACGTGATCATCTTCGTTCTTGGCTGAGGCTTTCGTATGAGAGAGTTGGGATAGAGGGACGAGAGCTCTACATGGATATCATCGATTATCAGTCTGTTGTAGGGTTTTACGATGCCTGCTGAGCACTGACTTGACGAGAAGTCCGTTGACCGATAACTTGTAAGAGAGAATCGGTCTCTTGGATTTGGAATGATCCCATCGTCTGGCATACTCTAGGATGTCAATGAGGTACTGGTGCGAGAGGTATTTCGCTGATCAACGTCGATCCGGTGGTCCTGATGAAGACCGATGGAGGCTCACATATCGGCTCGAACCACTCCAGATCGAGATCTTGCACATATCCTTGTTCCTTGTACTAGATCCTAACGCCTGGCTTTGATCGTCGTCTTGTTCTTGGTATGGTCTGATCGTCTCGATCCGCAGGAACAGCCGATTCGCAGGGGTATCAACGCTGCCAAGAAATCAGCTCGACCTAAGAGATCGTCGCGGATAAGATCAAGCTCACTAGTGTGTCCATTCGAGGTCTTTCGTTTGTACGGTATGTTTGAGAGCTGCATTTTTTGGCATCGATAGCTTGAGAAGCGGGACTGCGGCGTGAATAAAGAGGGGAAGGGGGGGGGGGGGGGGGGGGTGATCGTCAGCGCCGGAAGCTTATGAGGAGATCGTTTCACTCACGCTCGACTGTGGTCAACCCGCGACCGCCGAGTTGCTGAGCCATCTCGTATCGATTATTGCTGGATGATTGGTTGGCTGTGTGATCTTGAGTTCATCTGGCTGGCTTTACCTTGTGCTGATGTTTGCGATCAAGTGTCGAATTTATGATCAAAGGACCCTTGGGATCACTTACGGACAGCGATCGCATACAGCAAAGTCACGTGACACATCATCTTTCTGCTTCCGCTCCAGAAACCGAGGCTTCAGGTGAAACGCGATTGTGCACCGGGAACACCTGCGACGGTGGCGTAGCTTTGGTCATGATGTCGTGAAGGTGCATGACCTGGAGGCTGGGAAAATCCTGCAGAGCATTCGAGTGAACCAGTGAGGTGCAAGTTGTGCATGCTGGACAGCTGATCAACCTATGGCATCGGCAGTCTTTCTTGGCCGAGAGAGAGAGCGAGGGGGAGGGGTAAGGTATAAAGGAGACCTACGCTTGACCAGGCGAGGCCACAGTATGGCGTGACCTTGGGTGAGGGTATCCGTGTCATGCAAGCCCACCATCTTCGTGAGGTGATCGCATAGATTCAAGCAGGTGATCGCACGAGCTCGATCAGGTGATAGCACAAGCTTGATCCAGTGATCAACCGAGACAGGGCTTTCCGTGTCACCTATCGCGCAATAGCTCGACAAAGGAGACAAGCCCGTCCACAAGGTTTATATAGATATAGAAGAGCCAGAACAGAAACTGAAGGGGATCTATTGAGGTGTCGACACTTCTCCATTCGACAACCCAAGCATCCGAGCCCTTCATTCCCATCAACAACTCGTCACCTTTTCATCACTCACTCGTCATCATGATTACTTCAGAAGACATCAGAAGAACCGCCATCAAATTCTTTTCAGTTACGAATTACCTGAAGGAAGGGTTTGTAGTCGTGGGAGGAAAGAAGATGGATGGTGAAACGACTCAATGGCACAGATTGAGCACAGCAGCACGGGCCGTGCGCAAGGAGACGGAATCCTTCGACCTGACGCAAGCCAAGTCATTCGTCTGCGCAGAGCTGGGCGCAGACGCTGCTAGCCATACCGAATTTGAGAAACAGATCTACGAGATTTGGACAGCTAGAACTTTGTACTCTGCGGCTCACATGCTCGCCGACCAGATCAGAACGGACTCGAAACTAGTCGAGGTATCCTGGTGCAGTTGTGATGACCCGGATTGCGAGTTTAGTACAAAGAAGAGCATGATGCAGATCTACCACAAGGAGACCTACATCGACAAGAAGAAGCCGCACCGTGTATACAGCGATATCTTCGACCTCATAGAATGCATGCGGAACGACATGGGATACTTAGGAGGGCTACGAACACTCGTCCATGATACCGCTAGAAAATTCTTCCGCTGCCAGGCAGGCGGGGGAAACGAGGACCAGGGCAGGGACAAGAAAGATTTCATAGAGATCCCCATTCAGCTGAAGGGGTACAAATGGGAGGATTATCGCTTTGGTAAAGGTGATTCGATGTCTTCGCCGGTAGATCGATACGGCACCGGCCCCGACTTCAGTGCAAGCAGCATCCGTACGTGGTCTAACCAGGATCTTGAGACGTTGTTACAAACAGTGCTATCGGAGAAGTTAAGGAGGAATGGAGACGACAGCTCTGGGGCCACCTCGTTCGCGAACACCACTGTAGTGTCGCAGATGGGTACGAACTTCTCTATCGGATCAGGCTTGCCACCCGGATCTCAACAGAATTAGACAATAATGCACTTCTGTCATCGCATATGGCGTTTGTTCGCTGAGTCACACTGTATTATATATGTTGTATCACCATGCCAGGTATCAGTTTTGAATGTTGGAGTCGTGAATGATTGATGCGACAGGACCGCAGGATCTTGACTCAGCAAGCCTAAGTTCCGGAGTCATCGTTCAACGATCAAACGAAGTGACCATCCGTCATCTGCTCGACTCCCGCGCCTGCGCAGACGCGACGACGTGAACAGTTATGAATCTACCCCCAGCGGGGAAGGGGGATAAATGGAGCATTGATACGAGCGATGACGCCTTGCCCAGCTGGACCAGCGGGCTGCGATGCCGCGCGGCTCCACCAGCTGGCAGGCGTATACAGTATTTTCCACTTGTCCGTTGATACGGTACCGTCATCTAGGAGCGAGTGACCGCATTGGACGCCTCTGTATGATGATAAGGGATCGAGATCCTGTCGGGAGATGTTGTGAGACAGGCTAAGCTCTCTGATTCAGATTATTTATCGCTCTTCTCCATACACCAATTCGATGAGTACAAGACAGATCAGCCTCATCGTGTCACATGATTACATGACATCAGGGGTCTGGACAGGGTTCTCAGCATGACGCAATCTTGCGGGGAATTTCTTCAAAGGAAGTCATCGAAGACAGTACAGCCAGTCAACAGGGCATATAGATACGAAGGCGGCACCGTCAGAAAGGGTTCGAAGATCTACGCGAGGTGTGCATTCAACTTCCCCAGCTTATCATCATTTACAGCATGTGCGATTTGGAAAAGGTCAAAGCGAAAGCTAACGAGATACTCAGTATCAAATACTACATCCGCCGTGAGAATGGGCAGAACCCGGAGGAGACCCTCTCAGACCAGACAAAGACGTTGTGGTCCTACCTGAAGATGCTTTCATTCACACCATCTCTCACGCTTCCTCCTACATTGGGCCAGCTCAAGAAGGATCTCACTCGAGAGTATGGATCCCCCTCTGTCGCAGCAGCAGAGGGAATGATCTTTCAGCTGTGGCTTACCAGGAATGTCTGTGCGATTGCCGACATGCTTGTCGAGCAGCTCTGGGCCGATCGCAACCTCGATCGTGATGAGGAAGAAAGGAAAATGTTCTTGAGGATACTTGAGTCGGTATCGGAGCTAGATCCGGTTGTCGATGAAACACTACAAATGTGGTGTGAAGCTATGTGCGAAGTGAAGTTTCTCCTACGGAAAGCTCGACCCGAACCTCCTGTGCAAGATGATGAGATCGAAGATGCCCTTGTTGTCTTCAGGGAGCACAATTGGCAGACCTTCATTACGGCTGAGGAAGCTGGGCAGTGGGATCCCTCAACCACTTTTTCTGACAATGATGAAAGCAGGGACTGGAGCTCCGTTCATTCCCAGTCCACCCTCGAAGGCTCTTTCCATCAGCATCTGGAAGGGGCTGAGCAGGCCTCGGAGTCTACGGGTCGACCACCGACTACTCAAGCATGTTAGGGGTGTGACCGGAACTCTTTAGAAACAGCTCTATGACAAGCTCGAGTCACTTGTTCACCAGCACGCGACAACTTCTCATTTTATCCTATTATATAAAGTTATCGTACAAAGTCTTTCCCCTTCTGATGACAACCAGCAGCTCATAGAACCTCCCTGATGCGTCCAAGACCAGCCGTTTGTGAATGTGTCGCTGTGCATGTGCCTTGATGGCCAAAGACTAGGTGACCTAAAGTCTTTGACGAGATCGGTGAGATGAGCTTCAGCTGATTGGTCCTTTCGATTGCGGTAAGGTTGTGTTCTGGCTTGAGAGATATGCACGGATACAGTCGCTGGGACGATGAGAGAGCTAAGCTGTGTCGGTAGGAGCTATCGCAATAATGAGAACCAACTCTCTCAGGCCATAACTTCAACGAGATGCAATACAAGGCTAACTTACTCTGTATATGGATCGTATCGGCGTTACCATTGTTGTTGCGCAATCGTGATCACAACGATGAGTAGTTGGTCAATCCTGGTGCCGCCGGCATCTACAGATTTCGCCATTCGCCCGTCATGGTGGACGATATCAAAGGAAGAGAATTTAATGCATGCATGTCAGCAGACTTAGATACCCCGCGGTGACGAGCGATTGATCTTGTCGTCGTTATCAGATCAGGTACCCCATGTCATCGCTCTGTGGAAACAATCAACGAATTCCATACCATCTAAGGCTGTATGCAAGCGGTTGTGTCCGCAAGGTGAATCGCTCCTGACTTCGCGAGTAGTTTATGCTGTTTACGGATAAGAAGAGTCCCTCTTGACCGGGATTTGAGCCAGTTGGACTTGTGGATCACGCGTTTCAGGAGACCTTGATAAGAACGCTTGGCGCGTCTGATGTCAAATGAGACGCAGAATAGAATCCGCACGACTGGTCAGCTAATGGTCACTTTGACTACAGTATGCCGATATGGTGATCTGCTGAAGAATACAAGTTACGAGATACTCTGAGGAAAGGGTACTGCGGAGAAAGGAGGTGCGTGAAGCCACCCAGTCAACTGGTTTCGGTGAGCACTGCATTTCGCCAGATCACATCATCATCATCTGATCAGGTGACGCAGGTGAGGATTGGTTCCGATAACAGACCGACTACAAAGGAGATGCAAACAAGGCAGTCGTTCGCTCGGTATCAGCTACGGTCGCTCGCTGGTATCCTCCTTGCATCCAGGAGAATAAATAACCGCCAAAATGCTCACGACTACATGTATAAATTGAGGGAAGATTCATCCAGCTGGCCAAACGAATTCAACGACCAGTCCTCGAACTGCCCATACCAGTTTCATCATGTCTCAAATCCCGTCAAGAGTCTTGGACGCGGTGGAGGACTATGTAGTGATGTTAGTAGACGAGTCATCGAACAAATCCTTGACGAGCAAGGCGTCACGCTCTTCCCACTTGGAACAGGTGTCACTCGTTATGAAAAATATAAACGAGGGAGTCCCGTGGGCGCCTGATGGAGATCTCGCGCAGATCATCGATGAAGTCAGGAGGAAATGGGGAAGCGCCAGTCAGGGAGACATGCCAGACCAAATTGAAAGGTTGATAATTGATACGTGGTTCACCAAGCAGATTATACTCGCCAGAGACATCTTCTTGGCAACGCTCAGAGACGATCGAGGCGACAGCGATGAGAAGGGCAATTGCGCCTACATCTTTGAGCAGGGGAAAGAGAGAAGGTCGTTATGGCGGCTATGCATTTGGTGTATGGACATGCATCAATGGGCGCGTTGTCTCTTGGACTTCGACTCCAATCGTAGAGACATCCCCAACGACAAAGCAGAGATTCTAGGCGAGCTGCTCAAATATACGGAAGAGTACTCCCGAGAAGACGGAACGGTAGAGCAAAACCTGCGAGGAAATCTCCTCGATGAATGCGAGACGGCGTTCAAAAGATACGGCTGGAAGGATTTCACTAGACAGGAACAACCCTTTGCAGAGACCCCAGCCGAGACTTCGATCAACACCGAAGGGGCCTCGAGTAGATCTGGCGCAGCCGACAACAGCTACGCTCACTCAGGCGGGGTACAGGCAAACCCAGCGGGCCAAGAGGTCACCACCCGGTCATCCTTCACGCACTCAAGACCGTTCTCTACTCGCGGCACCTCCTTTAGGCGTAGTCCCAGATGACCTGTCGACACAAAGCCGTCAGGGGTAAAAGCGCGATCCATCGTCGATGGGCAACAACTCTGTGGCAATATCCCGTGCGGACCGGGCCTCTTGGCTCTCAGAGGAGCCCTTTATGTATTGTCGTATATCGTCATGTGTATTATATCCCGCTGTTATTCTATTGTGAATTCGTTACAATAGAAAGCTCAAATCCACACAGGAAGACCTACTCCCTGTCGTCCGTCTCGTATGCTAATCGACTCGGGATACCCATGTCGAGGCCAAACCCGCTGGTCCCTGGTATAGGGGAAGGCAATGCCGCGTCCACATCCATCCCGTAATCCGTCTGAGCAGGTGTCGATCCCCTCGAATCCGCCTGACCTGCCCCAAAGCTGTCCGCCTCTTGGTCCGGGAACGGGCTAGATCCACCAGAGACGGTACTCCGATCGAATCTCTCTGTTGCTAGCGAGCTCATCGCGTTCTTTCCTCCCTTCTTAGGGGCACCTCGAGTTCGTTTGCCGCCTCGGGCAGGACCGGTCCCTGCGCCATTGTCTCGTCGTTCTTTACGCTTGTCGGCTTCGAACTTTTTGAGCTTTCTCATATCGGCCTCGTCGTCAATGTCGTCATAGATGCGTTCTTCCGCCCTGAACTCTGGCCATCTCTCGTTGATCGGTCGGGGCGATAGTCGAGAGAGCGGTGCTTCTGCATCCGGACCATCGCGTGATAGCGCAGGCCAATCCTCGTCTGCCACCGGTGCTTCCCATACAGGCCCAGGGTTGAACTTGACCTTGGCTCCACCGAAACAAGAGACAAAGGGGTAGTACCCCAACGTCCCGTCGTCATACGGGTTTTCTTTCTGCTTCATCAAAGCGTCCGCTGTCGTTCCCTTTTCAAAGGCTTCTCTCGCCTTGGCTTCCTTCTCCGTCTGCCTGAGAGGCAGGAAATGCAATATATCTGTGAAAGCCGGTTTGTTGTCTGCTGTCATAGGCTTCCCGTTGAGGAAGAAGGTGATGCTCGACCCTTTCAGTACGGGGAGTTCTTTCGGTTGGTCCTCCGCTTGAGCCTCTTCGTCCCCCTCACCGGCCTTCTTCCTTCCCTTCTTGATCGCCTTGCCCAGTTTTCCACCCTCGGCATTCTTGGTCATCGGTCCGTTCCCACCGACCCCTTTTGCTTTGCTTTTTGGAACGGGCACGCCGTTCCGGTTGGTCTCCTTGACCGGTACAGCTATCCCGGCATTGACGTCCGTCCCCGGTTTGATAGCGGGTACAAGCACCCTCCCGTCTCTCGCGACGAGGTTCTCCATCTCCTTGGCTACGGTATATTCGACCATCTCGAAATAATGTTGTCCCTTATAGTAAAGCGGATACCGTTTCCTAGCGATCCTCGCCGGGTCCAACGAATCGTCTTCGACCCTCCTTGCTTCCCGTCTCTGCCTTTCCCTCTCTTCGACCTCCTCAACCCCAGAGAAATTGTCCAAGGGTGGCAAGTGTATCAAACATCCGATAACGTCCCCCGTACCAAAAGGTACCCCATAAGCCGCCGGACGGGAGATGGTGATCTTCTCCCCCGAAGAATCCCTTATGCCGTACGAATACGCATCCAGACCGCAAGGACCATTCAACGAAGCTTCTCTCCTCGCCCATCCTATTCTTACGTGTGCTCCGTCCCCGGTCCCAGATCCTTTAGGTAAAGTCTTCCCTCCTACCGCAGGACCTGCGTCCGAGCTGAAATCGACGGGACGACCTTGATTCGTCACGACCCTCCCCGTCCCTCCTTCTCCTCCTCCCTTGAGGACGGTGCATTCGAAATACCACGTCCCCTCCCTGACACCCACATTGGTCCTGGCGCTCCGGAAACCCTTTTCGGCGGTACACGTCAAGGCGGAGGGTGACATCCGGAGAAAGGTGGATCGGTCTTGCCAGTCCAGGTGCACACCTCCTATTTCGACATCTCCGGTAGGCAAGGCTTCAGAAGGAGGTTCAGCAGCTTCCAAGTCAGAGCCAGGAGGCAAGAGACGGTCGGTATGGATAGAATGCTGCGGTGTTCGGCGGAAGAAGGGGAAGACGCCTGGGTGTGAGGATTCGTGAGATCTTGGTCCGTTTGCGCAAGCGATGTACCGGAAGCCTGATACGATAGAGCCATATGCCATGCATGATCGCATGAGTAAGCTTGAAGCATCTTGAAAATAGCTCGAAGGAACGCACCTAGTCGATTCATAGGGAGATCAGTCCAGAAGAAGCACTCTTCCCCCCTCTCCTGTCCATCCCCGCTTCCCAAGACCTTGGTTCCCATCTTGGCGACCGTCTTCAGCCTCGCATCTTCGTCGGGCCCAGTGACCGCATACCGGTGTGAAACCGGAGTCTCGCTAGATCGTCTTGAGCTGTCCCCGCCTCCTCCTTGTTCGTCCCCGTTGAAGCTGGCCGGGGTTGCCGATCGAGAATGGGCGAGTTTTCGTTTTTTGCCTGGAGGAGGGTGTTGATTGACTTTCTTTGGTTCGGTGATGGTATTCTCGTTTGGAGCATGGTGAGCGGCAGGAAGCGGGCTTTCGACTCCAGGATCGACCAGAGGGTATGGAATCGGGGTGGCTTCCATACTGAGTGCGCAGGATGTACAAGCAAGGACCTATCGAGTTGTGATCCAACGTCGTTGTCAGGCGAGTTGTAGGTTGCAACGACCTCCTCCGCACTTCTCCTCTTCGGCGATGAGCGCGAATTCTGAAAGCTCGACCTCGTCGAACCTCCTAACAACTAGCAACTAGAGTACTCGACAAGGATAAACACATTCAAATTCTCATAGCTAGCAACTGCCCGTGAGCTTCTGGATACATCACCAAGATGCGGACTACAGAATACTATAAACCAGAGGAGCTACCGGAACCAGAGGTCTTGACCATGAGGCAGATGCTGGACGAGATGGAAGAGGTTCATGTTCTGGCTCCTCTTGTACGGTGTTCTAAGCGTAAGCACTCGTTCGCAGATAGTGCTGTGTGTGGTGTACTGATGTGCTTGACTTGATGTAGTTCCTTTCAGGCATCTGGTATCGATGTATGAGACCCATGTAAGCTGTTCCTTACCTCCTAGCAAGTTCCTGTTTTAACATCCCTACAACATCTCTTCTCTCGACAACGATATACAGGTCACACATACACCTATGATGCTAGCCCCTGAATTTTCCAGAGCACAAACGGCGAGGATCAGCGATTTCGCATCGAGTCACTCCGAACGAGGGGTCTTTTGGATGAAACCGAGAAAGACGGGTGGACGGCAAGAAGAGTACGATGAGCTCGGGCGCTCGAACGCCGATTCGGGTCTAGAGGCGAATACCTTCGCTTCCTCATCTGCATCATCATCAAGAACGACAACGGTGGATCGATTTCCGGCTGTCAAATCCTCCAGAAGAAGCCCATCGAGCTTGAACCCACCTTCACCTGATCACCGACTAGTCAGGGGGAATCTTATAGCGCAATTCGCTTCCAACAACGGGAAGTCGTTGGCGGATGCTTGTGAGATCATCAGTGTACTACCCGAGACAACTACAGACGAAGACGAGGACAACGCGAAGACGGGAGGGTTCGTTGGCGAGGAGCAGGCGCCAGTGGATGAGCCGGTGAGGTCGGAAAGGTTGGTAGACGGGGTGGACCTGAATTGTGTATGTAGCCGTTACAGATTTGTCGCCTATTCGTCCCAGCGCTCATGAATAGTCTCATGTGACAGGGCTGCCCACAACCATGGGCCTACTCCGAAGGCATAGGCTCGGCACTACTACGTAAACCGGACTTAGTGGCGGATATGGTCAAACAGGTGCACGCTCGGATGGGGGACGATTTCGCTATCAGCGTGAAGATTCGGGTCGACGATAAACCGGAATTGACAGAGAGGTTGGTCCAGACCGGTAAGTCGAGCCAAATGTCATTCGATACAATGTGATAATTCGCTCGCTGAACTCGAGCTTGTGGTGGCGAACCCGACAGCGATCCATGCCAACGTGACCCATCTGACGATTCACGGTCGGACCCGCCATCAACCCTCGACCGCGCCCGTCTCCCTCCCCGGTATCAGATTCGCCGTCGAATGCGCCAAGGGGGAAGTACCGTGCGTAGGGAACGGGGATATCTGGGAATATGGGGATGTGGATGACATGAGGCGGGTGACGGGGGTCAAGGGCGTAATGGCGGCGAGGGGTCTTTTGGCCAAGTGAGTGGAGTCGTTTTCGAGTGACCTCGGACAGAAATCGGCTGAGCGAAATTGCGTGTTCTGCAGTCCTGCATTATTCGCCGGCTACTCGAGTACCCCAAAGCACGCCGTTGAGGTATGTACGGGTAGCGCGAACTGGTTATTCGAAACAAGCGCTAACAGGACGGGTCCTTGACTCTTTTCAGAACTTTGTCGAGTTGGCCACGTCTTACGGCTTGGCATACAACCTCTTGTAAGCAAGATCTCCTGTGTGATGGTGCCGAGCAGCTAACACTAAGCCTACCATTCATTTAGTCAACGGCACGTTTCCTACATGCTCGAAAGCACAATGTCAAAGCACGACCGACTCTATCTGAACAGCCTGGGATCATACTCCGGGATAACGGATTGGCTCGAAGATCGAGGCCTGCAGTTCTCGGGCCGATGTTGATATCAATATCCATTATAATCTCTCTATTATACATATTATGACGATCGGCCGTCTTCGCCTACGATACAAGCAAGGGTTCCTTCACCTGGGGGAAAAGCAAGCGCGTCGAAAAAAGGAAGATCGTCTTCGTCGACGATCTGTGGGAGGATGTCCTCGATGTATTCGAGCGCGTCGAAGTAATGGATGGTTTGGTGGTAATTGAGGGCATCGAAATAGGGAAGGTCTTCTCCTTCCACAAGGTAAGGGAGGGGGAAACACCTATCGCAGTCGTAGTCCAGAGAACACCTTTCCGTCCAATGATCCTGACCGCACACCCTCGGTTTCATACGTGGGAGGTGACCTTTATCGATCACGTCCCGTTGAACCATTTCGTTGAAGGATAATTTCGGGGGCGCTGTAATGCGTGACCTCACCCACGCCCCTTCCCAGAGAAGCATTTCCGTCTTGTGTATGATCTGGTCCCTCCGGTACTCATACGGCCTGACATCGAGAGGTACCGGATCGTTTGGGGTAAAGCGTTCACGCTTGACGTCTTTTGCGCTTCGAGCCCTACGACGACGCTCCCGGCGCTCGTGCGCCCGCTGTCTTTTGGCTAAGATTTCCTTTTCATCCACCACGGGGATGACATTTGAGGCTTTCCTCCTGGCATAAAGACCGCTGATCCCGATCAAGCCGAGGAGGCGGCGACCAGCTCCTTGACGAGGTACGGCCTCGTGGAGGTGTCCGTTTCCCTTTGTCTTACTTTGAGACTTTCTCTCTGCTTCTCTCTCTGCCATCCAGGCCTCGCGAGGATGCGGATCGAGATGGAAGCGCACTCGGCTCTTCGATGAATCGGTCGACGTGGTCGACCAGTCTGAGCCTTGTCTTAAGAGGATGCTGCGAACTGACTCAGTAGAAGGAGATGTCGGGGTTGACGAATCGTCCGTAGCTTCGGTCGAAGGCGTGGAAGGCGTGGAAGGCGTCAACGGATTCGACAGATCCTTCGCATTCTGGGTAGAAGGCGTCGTCGAGATGAACAGGTCAAGCATGGCGGGCCTCATTTCGATGTATCAGAAGGGGAAGTCGGTGTTCGAGCGATGGTTCTTACGCGCTGGACGGATAAGGCCATGAACCCGCAGATAGTCGACTGTTTTCTGCAGATTAGGATACTTGAGCGTGTCCCTCTTATATTCGATCCCCCTGAACCCCCGCCAATGCGCCTGTCTGGTCGAGTCGATGATCCGGGCTGAAAAGAGACGCGTTTCAGTCGCGGATGACGCCGCTATTCGATGTCGTATGCACGGTGCTAGCTCGGAGATGACGGGATACAACGTATACTTTGATTATCTTGGGAAGGAAGGATACTGATGTCATGGGAGTCATCAACCTCTGACTTTGGCTCCGGACTTTGCTTGTTGAACAGCGTTGAGTCTAGAAGCTCTACTCGGCGGGATCGAACTAGCGATCGCTTTCAAGTCGGCCTTGTTCTGTTCGATGCGAATGGCGTCTGACGCGTAACCAGGCAGCTGTACGTCATAATTGTGGGCTGGAGTAGCGCGAAACCTTGTCAGCGATACGGGCTGGATGCAAGTTCTGTGGCGAGCTGATTCGACGTACCGAGAAGGAATTGCATATCTTTGATCTCCAACTTGTTGCTCTTGCGATGCTTGGCTAAGCGGCAGCTGGTCTCCAGAGCGGATTCGATGAATTCGTCGCACAATTGTAGCAAAAACTATGACGACAGTGGATCAATACAATATCAAGATGATGCATGACTCCCCGTCAAAAGAGACTAACCTCTTCGGAACCTTCACTGATCGTCAAATCGCGCTTAGCCAGCTTAGCGACGTCACCCAATTTGCGTCGCTTCACTCGAGGGTGAATGGTCGTCTCTTCTTCCACTTCGTCGACCGACATCTGCCCGGGCGAGCGCTTCCCGATTTCGCTGCGGGCTTCGTCGTCGTCGTCGTCCGCCGCTTCTAAGGCGGCACGTTCGTCTGCTTTCTGTTCTTCCTTCTCGTCTTCTGGATCCGCCGAGAAAGCCTTGTCAAAGAGGGTTCCTTTCAGAGCCGCTGCCCTGCCTGATTTGTTCTTGAGAGAGGCGCTCAATTGATCTAGAGCTGGAGGACGCGCCGAGTATACGGGCATTGCCATAGAGTGATTGGCTCCGAGACCGTTCGACAGAGACAACCTGGAAGGTCGCACAAAGTCGAGAAACTTTGCAGGTTTCGGGGCGGACCAGGCGGTTTCTGTGAGGATGTCGGGGATGATGAGAGAGCGTATATCCGTGGGCGTAATGATGACGGGTTGAGGGATAAAGCTTGGAACGTTTGGAGGTAGCTGATTAGGATGAGGAGGGCCAGGAGGCATATTCGCGGGAACCCCAAGAGGGATACCAGTCGGGACGCCGTGCAGATTGGGTACGAGACCTGCTTGATTCGTGTTGAGGTTCTGATTTTGCGAATGATAGTTGGCTTGAAGCTGGGCTCTTGCATTGTTGGCTACTTGCGCCAACTGAAGCTGCGCTTGCAATCCAGCCTGCATGCGTTGTTGAGCCATTTGACTGTTCGCTTGGTTTGGCATGGGGACCTGGAACAACTAGCCGTGAGTCGATTGTCCTTGGATCCTTGGGTCCTGGGATCGCAATGGGGGGGAAGACGGGGGGAAGGGTAAGGCGCGATACTCACAGTTGTCGCATTAGCAACATTGGGGGACCCTCGAACGGGCCGTCCACCTTGCAATGAACCGACCCTTCCTGGTGTGCCTCCGCGCGCACCGGGCAAGCCATCGTGTTGCAAAATCGGTGTACCGTGCATGGATGCAGGACTCGATGCGGCAGCCATATCTCGCTGTTGCGCCAGCTGGTTCTGAGCCTGCAGTTGTGAAGCTAAGACCGCCTGTTGAGCGGCGTTCATCTGTGCTTGCAGAGCAGCATTGGGCTGTAGGTTCATTCCCGTAGAGCCCTGTCCTGGAGGCCCACCGCGGTTTGGGCCTTGCCCATTGCCTGTTCCTGGAGCCTGCGCGCGTTGTCGACCTGCAGGCAGTTGTAAATTCATGGCTCCTCCAGGTTGTTGACTGACAGGGACAGGCTGCGCGGTTGCATCTTGCCCTTGTCCAGCCCTCTGTTGAAGCTGTCCCTGCATGTTCTGTTCGTCCGCAACATGTTGCTCATACATCTCGCCAAGAGCGGCATCCTGCGCGGGGTCGACAATCAGCTCCTCTTCGATGCACATCATTCAACAATGCACGACATACGTTTGCGAAGAGCGCGGCACGCTTATCCTGACTTTGCTGACTTAGATGTCGTAAGTACGACTTTCGGATGGATGGGTTCTAGACAGAAGATGGCTGTCAGTCTCATAGGCCGTATACTCGCGGAGCGTAAGTAAATACCTTTTCGAATACGGTGTTTCGTTTCTCCTCATCCAAGTTGTCTATCCGCTCGTAAGCCAGATTGACAGTGGGATTGCCTGGTAGATTGCTGCCTGAGACCGAATTTGGACTGCCCATGTTATGCGGCGACAAGCCAGTTTGCAGGCCAGGACCCCCTTGAGCGTTTCCCGCTTGCATCGCCAACGCCTGCTGAATCCTTGCTTGTTGACCTGGCGTCGACGGTCCTCCATTCTGGCCTTGTGCGCCCTGTCCCATATTGGCAGCAAAAGCTGCTTGGTTCATGTTCATCATACCGATATTTTGAGGTGAAAGTACCATGTTGGCAGGTTGCCCTTGAGCGGCTTGAGCGTTCTGTAATTGTCGGAACGCCGCCAAGTGGGCACCTGTGTGTACTCCCCCTTGCGCAGCGTTACCATTCTGACTGTTGGCTCTCGCTTGCTGGAATTGACGAGCGAGATTTGCCTGAATTTGCTGCTGTTGTTGTTGCTGATTGGTTTGCTGTTGCTGCTGTTGTTGTTGTTGTTGTTGCTGCTGCTGTTGCTGTTGTTGCTGATTGGCTTGCTGCTGCTGTTGTTGTTGCTGAGAAATGAATCCCGGGCCTTTCGAAGCCAATACCAGATTGAGCTAACCAGATGAAGCATTCGCCATCAGTCACGGCGATCGAGAAAGTTACAGCCAGATACCGTACCATTTTCGTTTCGTCCATCGTAAGCTGGTTATTCTCCTTCTTCTGGATGAAAAAGTCGAGATTCGACAAGATATTGGTGAGCTGTTGATCCAGAGCCTGTTTGTTCAGGTTGGGCCTCTGCGCCGTGTTGACCTGGGTAGGAAGTGGTACAGCACCGGGGCCTGGAGGCCTCGCCTGTCCAGCCTGAGGTGGCATCGCGATCGGTCCAGGTGGAGGTGCTCTTCCCGCAACTGCGTTGCCATTCGCTTGATTCGCTCCTTGATTGTTATTGTTGTTCACGGTGTTGATGTTGCCGGTATTGTTGTTCTGACCTGATGCTTGTACTTGGAGCGGCTGGCTCTGGGCTCCCTGCTGCGCCGGCCTCGGTCCAGGAAGATTGCCGTTCTGATTCGGCTGAGCCTGTACAGGCGAACCACCGTTACCTAGAGCCTGTTGCTGTTGAGCTTGCATCATACGCTGAGTCTGAGCGACCAGTTGTGCAGCTGCAGCGGGTCCACCTTGGCCCTGCTGACCGCCACGGGCCTGCTGCGCGAAACGCATGAGCGCATCTCGTTGCTGTGCTGCCGTCGTTCCGGCTGGAAACCCTGCATGTCCACCCTGAGCGGCGATCATCTGAGTTAGAGAGTTCATCGCACTGGGGTTCTGACGTGCGTTGGCGAGGAGCTTGGCTACGATTTCGGGTGGAACCTGTTGTTGTGGGACCTGAGGTGGACGTCCGTGCGCACCAGATCCCTGAACGATACCATTGTTGGCTTGCATATTGACGGGGACAGGTGGGACATTAGGCCCTGCTTGCTGCGGCAGCTGCGGTGAACCTTGAGTGGCTACGTCCGAACTAACAGACTGTAAACCGGATGTAGCAAGATCGTTGTCAGAACCAGTCAAAAGTAATCTCCTTCTAGAGAGCTCGCCTTGACTGACCTGGGCTTGACCGGCACCTGCTCCGGCTCCTGGATTTGCATTTGCATTCGCAGCAAGAGCCGGCCTGTTCTTCTGACTGGCCAAGAGATTCTTGATCCAGGCCAGCTGCTCGTTGTGGCTCTTCATTTGGACGTCGACTGGCATCATCCGCTTGAACTGTTCGAGGCTGACCTGCGGCTGTTGTTGAGGCTGCGGCCTCGGTTGACCGCCCTGAGCTTGAGCGGGACCTCCCTGCTGATTCTGTGCAGGTTGCTGGACTCGCTGATTGGGAGCCATGTTGGAAGCATTGACACTCTGCGAGCCCGCCTGCTGGGATACAGCAGAGTTGCCGTTCTGTTGAGAATCCATCCTTGTAGAACTTCGGGACTTTCAGCGAAAGATCGCTAGGATCTGGTCGTAGTAAGCAAAGCTCGTTAGAATCCCACGTTTACGAGCCCAGACCGACGGTTCCTGTGCAAATAGCTGCTCACATCGTGCTGGCCATGGACAGCAGAGTCGATCCAAAAGTCTTCACCCCTCAACTTTTGTTTCGAGTCGCTTTCCTTTGTCGCCTAGCTCGATGTCGATTGCTGAATCGCCTCACTACCGAGCTGAGCTTCTTCTGTCCCACTCGGAATGCTTCGTCTTGTAGGTCTGTTCCTCAATATGATCAATCGCTAGCACGACAAGGGCACCGCAAGAGACTCGCCGTCGATAGGGGTCGTGGATACATGGTTCACCTAGATCGGCGGGAGCTCGCTCGACTCGCGTGAGGTCAGACCCCGCAAGATGACCGGTGAGCAAGTATGGATCCCCATGGTATATACAACGTTCGGACGGATCTATGCCAAATATCGTCCAAGATATGATACAAGTGGTGCCTTCCTCCTTCCTTACTTCCTCCCTTACGCCCGTTTGATCACACAAAGTACGACGGCATGCCCTGTTTCACGACATCCAACATCAGCTATCATTCGTTCCTTCTTACGTAGGCTCTAAACTCACCCGTCTCGCCGCCTCGTTTTTGGGATCCCGATCGTTCTCTTCGGCAGCCATATACACCTTGAATTCTGTCTTGCCGTCCTCCTTGACCTCCATGATACTGGCCGAGTTTCCACACCGGTAACAATAATTGGGAGCCGACCAGACGGTCACCAGGGCATCGTCGAACATGTGCTTGTAACCTTCTTGTACCAGTTGATGTGCTCGAGCGATGAGCGAGATGCCGTTGATGTGGTTGAACTGACGAAAGCGGGACAGTGAGCATGTGGTGAGATGGTAGAACAAGGTAGATGTCAGGGCAGCCTACTTCGTGCGTAACCTGAGCTCCGAACAGCCAACCAGCTCCTCTTGGGCTGACCGACCACGTATCTATGTCGTCTGGATCTGACCACATCAGATCTGTATCGACATGACCGTCTCATATCAGCATCGAGTTAGTATTGAGCGAGTCGGGATGATACGAGACTGACCACAGAACGCTCCCTCGTGTGGGACCTCTTGCATTCGTGCAATGACCCTGACCTGATCAATCGTCCGGATATCCGGAGAAAGACCCCCATGCACACAGAGTACTTGTCCATCAATGATCTACAGCATAATCGTTTCGCATGAGCTCATTGTTCTGGATTTACGAATAAGCGGGCGGAGAACTCACGGCAGCTAGGTTGAGATGGTCAAAGACCTGACAACAAGCCTTCCAAACCGCAGCGTTCCCGTACTTTGTCTGGCACTCGTCTACACTCAGTAATCGGAATCGCATCATCAGCATTCAATTCTCGCCGCTCATTAGGCCCGTCTGTGACGTATGGCTCACCGTAAAACCCGTACACCTGCGTGATCTGCCGACTCTCGTGATTCCCTCGTAGTAACGTCACCTTGTCCGGATACCTACACATTGTTCTTTAGCTCGCTTCAATAGGAGAGAAGTCTAGGAAACGCCTTGCTCACCGTGCTTTCAAAGCCATCAACAGCGAGAACGTCTCCAAGCTATAATACCCTCTATCCACAAAGTCTCCCTAATCGCGGACGCTCATCAGCACCCCCTGCCCTCTCTCTGTGACTTGGAAGGCTTTCGGACTGACCATAAAGATGTAATTCGTATCCGGTACCATCCCTCCCTGCCTCAACAACTCGTGCACGTCCCAGAACTGGCCATGTATATCCCCGCAGACCGTGACAGGCGAGTTCACTTGATGCACATTGGATTCTTCCATAAGGATGTCCCGGACCCGTGCACAAAGGGCCTTCATCTGACGCTCTGGAAGGTGTTTACATTGTAGTAGCTGTCAGTCCGAGCAGTGGTACGAGGTCAGCCAGAGTCCCGGTCAATGAAGTGCAATGACATAAGGGTTCTGAGAGGCTCACATGGTTGATCCAATGTTCAGGATCGCTAAGCTTAGCGGCGACCATCGCGGCTAGCCACAAAAACCTTGTCGGATCGGGTTTGCTACACCGGAGGAGCTTTGGGTATGATATAATACGATTATGGCCGACAGAATCCCTCCTACACGATCGCTATCACAGATGAGAGATCGATCCCAAACCTATACCACTCTTTTGCCCTATGCTCAGCGCTCAGCATCACTCGCGCTGCTCCCGCGTCGATCCGAAAGCGCGGAAAATCCACTTAAGTCCAAGAACTGGGAGATATGACGCTCGTATCGCAAACCACCACCTCTTGTCTCTTACTGCAACTGCCGATGCCGCACGTAAATCCTTAGCCAAACATCGTATGTAGACGATCAATGATGTAATGTGGTTCTAAATGAAGGTCGTGACAGGTCATGCAAAACGTCTCGGAAAAAACACAATCCACGTCCATGCGCAAACAAATGGAGGCAGCTCTCTCTCGAACTAGATCTAGATTCAGACTTAGATCAAGAGGACACCGGCGGCAGCACCGACGAGAGCGGCACCGACGGTCCAGACTCCGTTGACCTTGCCCGAGACGGCTCCGTTGGCAGGGGCGCTCGCCGTTCCCGAAGCGGCTCCAGTCGAGGCTCCGGTCCTGGTCGACGAAGCGGAAGCGGTTCCCATAGACATCGATCCGGTCTGAGCGCCGGTCGAGGTGACGACGGTGCTCGAAGCCTCAGTGGCGGTTCCAGTGGTGGTGGCCGAGGTGGCGACGACGACGACGGTGGCGGGGTCGACCGAGGTGGTGGGCTGAACAGAGACGGTAGTGGCACCGGGTCCAGAGACGACGAAGAAGTTGGCGGCACGAACTTCACCGAGGTCTTCGGTCTCGAGGTATTGCCTCAAGGGGTGGGCGCCGAACGAGGAGAACTCGGCGGGGGCGGTGAAACCGGCATCTTGCTCAACCATGAGGAGAACGTATCGGTGAGGACCGGTTCCCTCGAGAGGTCCGGGTCCAACGTAGTCGATGCTGCGCGAGATCCAACATACCTGACGTCAGCCTTGTTCGCATGAATTACAATCGTGCCATACGTAAAGGGTACTTACGCAGTGCTAGCAATGCCAAAGTCCAAGGCGCCATCGGCACCAACACTGACCCCGTTGGCCAACCAGTGGAAGGTCTACATATCGTGTAAAGCGACATCTCGTCAGCATCACCTCTTCCCATCTCATGGCCTGAAAGCGGAAACGCACCTGGTTAGCGACCTGGTTGTCGGTCCCGGCGACATCGGCGTCGACGAGCATGACGGTGTACAATTGGCTCTGAAATCGCATTTGAATAGTAAATCAGATCAGAAAAGTCAGTACAATTCGATAGAATAAGGTAATGCTCTCGTGGTATGAGACAGCTACTCACGGACTCGAAGTCGTCAGTGCCCGAAAGAGGGTGAACGGTAACAGTCGGGGCGGACTGGGTCTCTGTTTTCGTCCATCAGCCCAATTGAAAAGGTAACGGGAACTAGATCAGCATCCTCGTCCTCGAAACAAGAAGACCTGGGGTGAACAGAATGAGACTTACCGGTAGCAGCGATCTCTTGACCGATCGAGATCATGTTTGATCCGAAAGAGACGTCGAGGGTAGCCTCGAGGTCGACCTCATCCTGGGACAAGAGACCGGGAATAAGGCCGGCCTCTAATGTCCAGATCGAGTTGTGAAACAGAGTCGACGTGGACCAAATGGAATTTGGACGAGTATCAAGAAAGATGATAGGAAAGAATTGGTTGATTATCAGGCAGGAGAGGACGGCGGGAAATGATGAAAAGACGTGATTCGCGATCAGCTTTCCTCATTCCTCAAACCCCCAGTTCCCTCTCGACAAAAGCGATGCTCACGTTGCATGTTGGCCTCGACGAGAGCGACTTCAGCAGCGGTAGCGTTCTGGGTCTGTCCAGCGACCTGGTTGGCCGTGGCGGCGAGCGCGAAGAGGGCGGTGATGGCGGATTTCATGAACATCGTGAACGAGATGTGATGTGCGTTTGTGTTCTGTACGTGTCGTTTCTTGGGGTTTCCTGGATAGGCTGTCGGGGTGGTTTGTTTTGTGTCGAAAGAGAGTAGATTTGAGTGGATGGGTATCTGTACGTCGACGAGTTGAAGAGATGATGGGAGAGACAGAAAGGGGGGGAAGATAGTTGATGGATGCATGGATGAAGAAGTTTGAACTGCGTGATGTCGCCCCTTTGACCCTGAGCCCCCCTTCCCCCCGTGGCACCTCTTGGCGGGAAATGTTGTTGTTGTGATGATGGGATGCGTGTGCGCGGATACAAAATCGCGCTACACAGCTGCGAACGACCTCTCGACCGGCTCCCGGGACTGAGTGATATTCACCGGTCGCAGGGACAAGCTGCTGCAAGTGCGTTCGTTTTATGGTACATGGTATATCGCAAATGGTGAATTGTACATCGCTTCAGCTGCAGAGTGCCTACGAGGCCGTCATAATAGGGTATATTGTCATTCATACCGAGCTCGATGCTGTTGGTATCGCCTATCCAGCATTGATCGCTCATCGAGCGCGCAGGCTGACTGATCGATCAATCGTACCGAACTTTGCCGTTTCGTAATTTGACCGGGGTAACTCGACCCGTCGTATCCTGCTCTTCTCCTTTCGATGTCTCCTACGATGCGGGTGTCATTCGGCATGGCCGTGGGAGTCCATCGAATCGGTATCCTCGTTTCCGACCGGTTCGTAACGGTCCTCCTCGACTAGCTCAACTGTGTCGTCCACAGCATCCAGATAGAAATCGAGAAGGTCCCGGATAGACTCGAGCATCGCACTAATCGATGCTCACCGTCTCCTCCGTCAGCCGCCCCGCACTGTCATCATGCCGGCGCTGCCTATCCGTTCATCAGAACCGCTCAAGACGTTGAATCTCAGCTTCAGTCTTGCGTATCCCCTCGTCGATCTGCTCCAAGCTGAGATGGCCACCGGGAAGATCGTGTGCCGCTTGTTTTTGAGCGGCGAGGAGAGCCCTTGTTGCGGATGCCTGTAGTTGTTGTTGTGTTATCGGTAGTTTTAGCGATAGTCCAGCAGGTTTGAGGTTTGATTTTTGATGTGATGCGTTCCGGTTCGGATGCGGGCAGAATATTAGGAGCGGGTGAAAGGAGAAACAGAGCATGAGATTCAAAATCATAATCAGCACCAATTTCCCTACCTGTGACCATGATGCCTGTCACCAAATAAAAACCCATGACAGCCCAACGTACCTCTTTGATGATCTTGTCCTCCAGATCCACATCCCCCTCGGCACCTTTCCCTCCGGCAGTCATCTTCGCCTGGTGTTCCCTCATAAGCTCCAATATGTGGTCTACCTTCGGGAGGATCGGCTGGAAGGACGCTTCGATCCGAGCCGTTGGTGCCGGGATAGGCATGATGAGGATATTCGATCGAGATCGAGGTTCGGGTTGTAATCGTAGTCGAGGTCGAGGTAGGGCGGATGTAGCGAGAGAACAGGGTACGGACACTCTCTGGGTTAAGCGTCAGAGATACTGCTTCTTGAAGTATCGAACTGCCAGAGTGGCAGGGCCCAGTGCGTAGATCTTGCTAGAGTGAACTGTAAGGCATATGTTCGTTACTGCAGCAAGCACAACAGCACCTTGACCATTCCCGGAGACAAATCCGCATCCGATCGAATTGAGGCACAAGCGCGACAACGGCTCGCCTTGCGCGCCTTGACCGTGAGTGATCGCCATTTCTCATCGAGGTTCGAAATCACTGCGTCCTTGCTCGAGCCGTTTCTTGCCGGTATATAGCCCCGCAAGCTGACGATGAGTGATTGGGGAATCGATCTGAGTGTCGAATCGTTGGTGTCGCGGCGTATTGCGCGTGGAAATATGTCAGGAAAAAACTGCCCAGCAACGGGGAAGAAATGAGCGTTCAGCCCGGCTCGAGTATCTGTTCGATCGATGGTTTACCCGATGATCCGACATGAAGTGCATTGTGATATCGACTGCTGAAGGTGACAGGCAACCTACATCGAAAATTGTGTCTCATACAGTCACCAGCGTAAAGTTCATGACTAGGAACGCAGAATTCGTCAGTGTTTAACACCGGCAAGGACTTCGACCTTGGCTGAAGTACTAGGCGGGAGGTGCTGTAGATGGAGCTCCGGAGCGGTATAGTCTGTTCGGCAGAGACTCGGTCTTGCAACCCGTCTCTGCTCATACGACCCGTTCGTTATCATTTTAGCAAAACAGCCGAGGCGCCAGAGGAAAGAAAGAATCTGGTCGATCATCGATGTGGACGATGCGAGCTTGTCCCGCCATCCACCCAGCGATATTTTACCTACCCATCTCGCTAAAAACTATGCTCCGAGCAAGTCGCTTCATTGATGCCTCGATCCAAGCGTCAGCGCGAGCTTTGACAACCAAGTCGAACACGTCGTCGGGCGCGCATTTCAGGTCGATCGCCTCTTCCCCCAAGCGAGGTAGGCTGCTGTCAAGGCCGAGTCGAAGTAATCCTGACTCACGGGAGGAGCCTCGTGATCCGCCTGAGACGTGTCGGATAGAGAATATCGATCATCTCGTCGGCCTGAATTCTTCTGCGACGAGAGTGAAGCTTAGCCGAATGTCCAGGTACATCTGAGCTCGAACGGAACGCGCACCTAGCAGGTTGCTAACAAAAGAGGCCCGTCGCTACACGCACCCCACTTTACAGCCAAGATGAGCTCTGCAAGACTTGTCCCGGCTGTGTCATGAACCAGTACTACATCATGCAGTGGCGAGCTCTCGAGAGAGAATTGGGCGAGAACGGCATAGATCCAGCAAGGGCAACTACAGCATGGCAAATTTAAGACCCCCGTACGTTGGGAATATACTCGAGGACAACCGTGAAGAGATCAGTGGCTCAGCAGCAGGAAAACAATGTCACTATGGAGTGTCACTACTGCGACCCAAAAAAAGATCTGGGCATACGATACAGAGACACACACAAGGGATGGCCTACGAGAAGTTGCTATGTGAGTTGTGTATAACCGGTCGTTCTGTCCCACTTGTTGCTGAAATCTCTGACAGGCCGATCTTACACGTCTTTGGAAACGTCTTGAAGTCGCTGTGTTTCAGATGCTTGGGATGCGTTGAAAGCAAAAGAGGCGGGTGTTCTGGACCCCCTACTTGTGCTGAACAGGGGAGTCCAATGTACATGCACTTTACTGAAAGATCGTGCCAAAGTGAAGAAGTCGATGTCCGGTTGCAAGGACAGTCAAGCAGGGAACGCGATGGCGGAATGGAATGAGAGAGATTTGTGTAAAGAACGATAGAGGCCGTCGAGGCGCGTCCCGATAGCGAGACACGATCCTCCATAGCAGTCCTCGATGTGGCTCGATATGTAAACCTCTGAGGCCTCTGACGTCTTGTCTGGGATCATCTAGTACCATACCGATGACATCCATCCTGAAACGCTATTCCTGTGTCGGGTCTCCGCACGCCGAACCGACTAGAAGAGGTGAGGGAAGGGGGGATGTGACGCGTCAGCCATCTACGTCATCCGCTCCTTCACGAGATTAGCTGGCAGCAGGCAGGGCAAGTCTTTTCCGGCGCGAGATGGAGCGATAAGGAGGGTCGTCGTCGATCATCATCACGACAACTTGCATCTCATAGCTTCCTGCTTCCTGTTTTCATCAACTTCTCTAGCATTACTCTACGCACTCTGCCTCATACCAATTAACCACCAACGAAACGATCAACATGTCTTACGCCGTACACGTAAGCCCATCCTCATCTCCCCTGCTTTCGTATCAAACAAAGCTGACCATCATAACCCTCCAGGTCGCCGGATTGTCCCCCGAGACCTCAGAGGACAAGGTCAAGGACTTTTTCCTCTTCTGCGGAGCCATCTCGAGCTTGAAGAAGGATGGAAACACTGCCGATATCACCTTCCAGAAGGAGAGCGCTGCTAGGACCGCGCTGATGCTCAACGGAGGGACCGTGAGTCGTCAAGCTGTGGCTGTGACTGCGGGTGGTATGAGAATTGGAGCTGATCATGATCATGGATTGTCACTCTCTTTCTCTGGCTTCCGATTCCTCTTCTCCTCCGTCTCTATCCATTCATCCAATGTCTGACCACCTCAACTTGACCCGTCTTCCCCGACCTTCAGCTCGACGGCGCCCACCTAGAAGTGACATCCGCCTCCCCCTCTGCCCCTGCTACCACCGGCTCAACCTCCCTCCCTATGGATGCCAACGCTTCCACTCCCATCGGCGCCTCGGCTTCCGGATCGGGATCTTTGGGTGCGGACGAGCACGGGATCGAGCAGGAGGACAAGCCCAAGGCTGGGATCATGGCCGAGTGTACGTCCACGCTTTCAGGGGTGATGCGCTTGGGATCGGACGGCGGGACTTACTTCTTACTTCTGCTTTGATCTTTTGAACGATATACAGACCTCGCTGCCGGGTACCACGTCTCGGACCTCCTCATCCAGCGTGCGATCGAGGTCGACCACAAGCAGGGAATCTCGAGCAAGTTCTTGGCTTACATGCAGAAGCTGGATAGCAAGGTCGGATCTACCGGTGAGTTTCGCCCGTCACCTTTTCCTCCCCTCACCCCGATACACCAATATGTCCATTTTTTTCATATCTGAACGTCGGCTGACATTCCTGTCCCAACTGTTTGTTAATAATCTTGACAGTCGCCAACCAGCCGGATGCCAAGGTTTCCGGAGTTATCGGAGGTACCCTCGCCCAGGCCACCACCAAGGCCAAGGAGATTGACCAGCAGAGGGGAATCTCGAGCTTCTTCTTGGACTACTACTCGAAGGCTATCAACACCAACACCGGGCAGAAGTGAGTTACGAGCTTCCCCCTTGACTGCTATGGGGACCATGGGACTGATAACTCTTGTTGAATGTGCTCGCTGCGCTCTCTTAGGGTCCTGCAATTCTACACCTCGACCACCAAGCAGGTCAAGGACGTACACGAGGAGGCCGTCAGGATCGCTTCCGAGAAGAGGGCTACCGTCGGAACCGACCAGGCCGCTCACGACGTCGCCCCCACCGTCACTGAAAAGGTCGACCAGGCCACCGCTCAGGTGCCCGTCGCTGCTCCTCAGTAGAAAGAGGGTGCTATGTGACGTCTAGGATGTATCTCCGCTTTTGTGCTCTAGTATGAAACCCTTTTTGTGTGATTTGTTGAAAGTCGTCCGTGGTCGACATTGTAATCGAACACGAATCTCGTAAATATAATTCATCTCGAGAGGTCCGTTACATGACGAGACAAGATGCGGCAGAAACGATCGCAAAAAAGGAACAATGAGAATGAGAAGGAACAAATGCCGTCGTTATGGTCGTGAAAGATAGACTCGAAGCGCAAGTCTTGGGTTTCGTAAAAGCACGCTCCGATCGTGTACAGGAGCTAGATGCCACACCTCGGAGAGTCGTCGTTAGTTGCGGCGCCAGAACCTGAAGTGCGAACGGAAGTGCTCAGCTCAACGACCAATTATCGGAAGTCAGACAAGCCACTTCGCAGCTTACCTGCCGGTTTGACGACGAAGCCAGAAAATCAGACACTATCATGATATGATTAGCGGATATTAGCTTCCTGCCAGATTCGTAATGGAGCTTCAATCGCCTTACGCCGAGGAATTTGACGAGCGTGATCCCAGCCGTGGCGTAGAGCAAGGCAGTAAAGTAGTACTGGTAGAGAAAGCGACCAGGTTTGCCTTGGAGCCTCGATTTGTACGGCAAGACGCTACCTACCTTGGTCTTGTCCTGCGTTTCTTTGTCTTCATTCAAGAATGCCGTCAATGCTGGCGATGAAAGCAAGAGCGAGATAAGCGGCGACCCAGACGACAATCCTGCTGGCGATACATACCCCTCTGCGCGCAGTTGGCATCCGCATTCGAAGGATCGTCGGTAGCCTTGTCTCCAAAGCAATCCTTGGCCTGATCATGAGTTTGGTCGAAACCGCTGCTAGTGATAATGGCGATAGCCAAGGCAGCGCTTTGAATGGAACGGGATGCCGGTCAGTCACGAGATATTGTTTTGTACAGGTATAAGATGCTCACTTTGAGACCAGCCAAACAACCAATGTTCGCGTCCTATTCTACGAAGGTGTCAGTCTCGACGTTCGGACAGCTGTCTCTTGGGAAAACTTGCCTGAATGTCTTGTTCTGGTCGTCGACCGAGGGCTTTTCCCGAGACTTGTCTTTGGGCAGCGGCTGCACGCAACGACTAACGACAAGCTTGAATGCGTCGTCCAGTTCGTCTTGGTCCTGTGGCAGCGAGCGTCTTCAGCTAATGTCATCGAGCAGTGGCGTGAGGATATACTGACTCGCTGGATATCTTTAACCACGACTTCTCCGCCTGCTTCCTTTTCCACCTTAAGACTAGGCAAGGCTTCCATCTTGTCGGAACCTTTCGTGCCCCAACTGACATCGTGCTGTCGAATGTGATGGATGTTTCTTTAACCGCGCGACCTTGAGTATACCGTATCACGAACTAACCAGGTTGCAGAAAGCGTAGACATTGAGAACATTTACGAACGAGGGTGCGACGACGAGATACTGCGAAGAAGGGGCCGTCAGTATCTGCATGATGTGTGCAGGACACTGATACTGACCTGCGGCATGCTCGACAGCAAATGCCATGGATCGCGAAAGAGAAGGGAAGAGCTGAAGTAGAAGAAGAAGATTGACAGTCCCGCGACGACGAGGAGACCCTCGGGAGTCGTGAGCAGCTTCTTGAATCCCTCCAGAGCATTACCGCCGTCGAAGATGCCCTGACGAGGACAGATGTTAGTGGCCAAGCGATTGAGTAAAGACACACGTACTCACTTGTATAGCCTTAACAGCCAGGATCACAGCGCAGACAAGAGTGTAAATACTCATACTGTTGCATAATCATCGTAATGTTAGATCCAGTCAGAACGTCGGAGGGAGATTCTGTCAGTGAAACTCACATCCCAAAGACCACTAGCGAAGCCAAGTAGAGTTTCTTCTCGCCCTTGGGACGGTTTCCCAAGCCCAATACAACCTGTCGCGTTGAAGTCGATATATCATCAGCCGTGAAGCCTCCTTCCAGTAGCGCGCTTGCCTAGACAGGACACTCACTTGCAATCCCAATGTCGCCAGGTACAACCAGACACATGCCGTATTTACCCAATGGGTCTAGGAAAGATAAATATGACTCAGCCTGATGTACCCAATGCGAATACCTGTCAGAGACTCACGATTGCAGCGTTGTGAAACAGGTAAATTCCGGTGGACGCGGGAAGAAGGTCGATGACTGCGAGCAATATCGTTGATCAGCGTTTGATAACGATTTATAAAGAAGGATCCACAGGACTTACTGATGGCGAAGGTAATGTACATGTTGGCCAAGCCAAAGAAAGACAAGAACAGAGAGGCACTGCATACCGGATCATTAGCTTGAGGCCGAGTCGTTTATTTGTGCGCAGTCTAGGACGCTTACAGGTTGTACTATCGATGAGATTGAGTGAATCACTGTGAGCCTCCCTCTCGAACCACTTGAATCGAAGGGCTAGAGTTCGCTTACGACCGCTTGGATATGTAGGAGTAACATCCTATTGACGAGCGATATCAGTTGTCTGACTAGAACAGTATACGATCGCATCGACTCACCGTAAGGGTCCATGCTTGCTCCTATAAATCCGGAAGAAGTGGTAGAGAGCGTAGACCTGAGGTCGAGGTTCGGTAGTTCGTTGGGTGGGCTGCGACAGATACCTTACTTGAGGGAACTCACCGATGCGGCAATCGATCCGTTCAACCAACGACGTCTCTGACTAATCAGCTCAGAAGCTTGTTCAGGGACGTCCGTCTCGGCCTTGCTAGGTTTGACGTAACCAAGCGTCCACCTTTCGCCAGCCTTGGCAGCAAGCTCGAAACACAAGATTCGATCTTCGGCCAAGAACATGTTCTTCTTGAAGATTCCCATTCCGTTGATCCCATCCGGACCGAGTCGGTCTGCAAGACTGTGGTCGCCACGGAAGTATTCCTCGAGTGGCTTGCCCTGGATTGCCTTGAACCTGTAAGCGCTGAAGGCGCCAGGCAGGACTATGGGAAATGATGTCGCGCTCAGCCCTCTTCCTTTCTCTTTTCAACTTCTGCTTAGGAAACCCACCCGAAACGTAGCCGAAAGTGCTCTCCAGAGGTTTGTCCAGAATGTTGGACATCTGTATCGTTGCGTGAAGAGTCAGCACACGTAGAACCGGAGGCCCAATCTTACAGCAGCTCACCTTGTATTCGAAGTTTTGAGCCGCAACTGGAAAGCGATATAGTCAACTAAGCGGTGTATACAAGATCCTACCTCCCAAACTAACTTACCCAAGGGATTGACCAGCTTTTTTCCCTTCTTGATCATGGTCGTAATCTCTCCGCAAGCTCCTCCTAGGTGTGGATCGTTCTATGACGCGCGACAGGTCAGCTTACAATCCTTTGGTCGATTTCCCAACCGACAATTACGTAGAACGCTTCCCATACTGTCGGCATCACCGGGAAAGGGCATCAGCACTCATTTCCGTACCCTGAAAACAGTCGCACCCACAATGATAGATCGCCTTGTGACCCGGCTTGGTCCCCGCATCAATCAACACGCACACTTCCGGCTTTAGCATCCTCCCGATTGCATTGAAGAGCCATCGATGCGAATTGATCTTCTTCTCATTCTCCTGTTTGAGCACAAAGATGATTTGGACCGGGACGAGGTTGTTGGGATCCCCTGGAAGAGAATAGACGGTGTTCAGCTGGTTGAATGGGTCGACAGATTAAAACTAGAAATCACCAGGATAGGGATGGACGAGTTGCGGTTTACTGTCCACCGAAATTTGAGTGGTATACTGCAGTTCAACAGGATCTTCAATCAGTACCACTTCTGCCGTGGATCCGAAACGGTTGAGACTTGCCTCAAAGATATGCGCCACCGTACGTTTATCGCCAACCTCCTTCTTGATCACAGCGTCTTGATAGCAGCCGACGGTAGCCAGCAGGTCCAGAGTCCCCTTATCCATAGGCCCCAATCCGTCCGCAATCAGAGCGACCGTGATCCGCTGCCAAGGCGGTCGACCTTCCTCCGCCTGGGTCCTCCAGAACTTGGATACCTTGGTATTACAAATATCCCTGATGTTGAGCATCAAGGCGTGTAAAGTCCTCGCATACAGGATCTTGTCCTCATTGTAGCTCGTCACCGCGATCAACAGCTCGGTCTCTCTGCCGTAGTCGCTCGTCCTCAAGGACCATCCGTTCGCCTTGGTGAAATCGTCAGGGTCGCAGGTGACGGCCGAGTACCTCATGTGCGTGAACTCGTTGGTCGTGCATTTCTCTTTCCACTTCGCTTCGACGGCATTAGAGACTGGCCTCGGCACAGGGTAGCTATACAGTAATACCGTCCCCACACAGACCATCAGCACCGGTGATCTGTTCCTACCCCCACGCCACATCAGATATTTGCAAGGCCGGAACTTACTCTCGGATGAAATGCCCCTCAGCGGTCAATTGAAACCGCTTGGTCGTCGCTCCCCTTTTCTTGACGGTCTGCCGATGGATGAACCCGGTCTCGCCCGAGGCTTGCGATTGAGGCCTCGAGGCTCCAGAAAGGGAGGGGGAGAGGGAAGGGTGGGGATCATAGCCTAGGAATGGATGCCTATGGTGTTGCGTATCCGGAAATGAGGTTGTATATGAAAAGAGGGAGGAGTGACGAGGGAATGACGTGGTAAGAGACAGGTCCGAAGCTGATCTTTACGGACCGTGCAGATTGGAAGGGGAAAGCGAAGACTTACGACCCGAGATTCCCACCCGGAGGATACATCCCGCCCTGTTGATACCCATGTCCATACTGAGCCGTCAAAGGAGCCTTCTCCTCCTCATCTTCGTCTAGACCTCCTCCTTTTCCATGAAGATGCCCCGCATAACCCATATCGAACTGATCCGCCCCAGGATCGTTCAACGAGGTCGGGGTATAAGGTCCCGTGCTGTTGGCATAAGGATATGCCCCGGGAGAAGATTGCAAAGAACCCGGGTTGGGAAGGTTCTGGTAAGCCCCTGAACCGCCTTGATTTTGGGTATTCAGGCGAGGTCCAGGTCCTTGACTTTGGTTTCCTTGATCGACGAGCGAGATGGTCGAGTCGTTATTGTAGCCAGGGTATGGCCGGGGCGGGTCTTGGTAGGGGTTGGTGTACGACATGGTTACCGAGGTTTAAGAGAACGAATGAGCTCGTCGCTCTTAACAGAATGTGTCGAGTCAAGAGACTTTGTAGGTCGTCGGTTCTTTGCTTGTAAGGCTAGAGAGCAGACCGAGTCGAAGGTATGGGGAAAGGTGTACCCAGAGAAAGTCCTCGGGGAATGATGGAGACTCCCTCTTTGTTCACGACCTGTCTGTGTGAGAGGGAATGAGGACAGGCGCAGGGTTGCGAGGTGGAAGCTAGAGTGTGGCTAGCTAGTGGATGACTGTACTTGAACCTCGAACCTGCATTCGCCTTCCTTTGATCTCGATCTCATCATCCACGATCGAGCAAAACAACAAAAGAGAAATCGTGATTCCCCGTGATTCTGATCAAATTCTCCACCATCATCATCATCAATTCCATCAAAACGTCATGACGCAGTGGGCGACACACACAGCCCGGGATATCCGCGTGTCACATCGTAAACAACAGACGCCACCCTTGGCCCCCCTTGGCGCAGCCCGCAGCTGGAACACCTCGATCCGATCACGTGATGGCCTGGGGGGATGACCTTGAGACTACCTGCTGCAAATCGTCATCTCCTCATGATACAAGACACACACCCAGCTGGCTTTCATTAACGCCAAAACTCGCTCTTCTCCGTCATCCCTGTAGCCCTTTAGGCGGCGGCTTCGGGGGTATCCTTGATGTTCAACTCTTCGATTGAAGGCATATCCGCCCGCTCCCTGATCTTGGTGACCTTACCGATACCTAGGAGAGGTAACGAGGCGATGGGCATCAGAATGGGTGGGAACGGCGATAACAGCCGGCAAGGGAGGTAGCTCACCGATCGTCTTGCCCTCATCTCGGAGGGTAAATCGTCCCAAACTGGGCTGGTTGGCAAATGTCTCGACACCTATGAAGCGCGAAAAATAATCATTATTAGCACCTGATGCGATGAACAATACCTCGCGTATATCCTGCAGGTGGCGGACGGGGATTCGACTTACAGATAGGAGCCGTCGTCTCGATCAAAACCAAAACCTTCATACCCTTCTTGGCAAAGGCCGGTGGCTTTCTGCTCTTCCTACCCGTCTTCTTGTCATAGTAGTTTAAGAGCTGAACAAAGGTGATCTCCTCGCTCAAGGTGTGCTACAGTTGCAGCTCTACGGTCAGTGACGGAAGTACCCTGAAGCGGGAGATCGATGCTCACCAAGTGCATGATACAAGCGAAACCAGCAGCCATGATGTTCTGCAATTGACACCCTTTATGATCAGCTTGACCATTCCGAGGAACTCCACCGAGAGGTAGTATACCTTTGAATCCAGAATAGCTGTTTGCGAGGGAAATCAAAATCAGTCTTCGGCTCCTGGCGTTGATTGTCCTCTACCGTCGTTCGTAGACTCACCAACCTGAGCCTCGAACCGCCTAGCCACCTGTACGGGTCGGATAGGCGACGTCAAGACGAAACCTGGCTGTAGACCGTCTTCGTTGACGCTGGTAACAGAGAACGGCGTCAGAGAGACTTTCATTGAAATGCCGCGAGATTGCAACTCACTTCTTTAGTCGGATCCTGACATTGTCTCCGCACAAAGCACCATCAAGCTCGGCACCTGATACGTCGGGGAGGTCCTGAGTCAGCCATGCTGCAGATCGCTTATCAACGTCAAGTGGACTTACCCTGCTCGTCGTAAATAGCACCAACTTCGATACGTTCCTATAGAGTCTCGTCATCAGCAATAAGGACGAATTGACGCGCCCTTTACCCTGACCCACCCTGTTGGGCATGAGCAAGACGGTGTCTCCCTTCTTCACTCGACCGGCTGTAAGCGAGAAGAGCATCTTCAGATCGCGTGTCGCTTCGACCTCCGTATTCATACGTTCGACCTACACTCGATCTTTCCGACAGCGATGGCACCCAACTCGTTGTACTGTTGAGCGATATCATCAGTAAATCGCTATGGTGATCTTGCAGTTAGACCACTTCTATACCTTTTCGCTGACAGGGAACATGAAGCTGTAATGTGATAATCTGCTCTTCAGCACTCGCTGATCCGGCTATCCGGTTGGGAATCGACTAACGCTTCGTTGTATTTTCGGTCGTCGATGGGCATGTTATCAAGGTATTCCAACAGTGCTGGGCTGTATTCGAGTAGTGACGGTCAGCATGTCGAGCTCCAGGTGACAAACACTGTGACCGCATGCTTACCCGGAGTACCAAGATGCCACCTAGAAGCCACGGCGATATGTAATTTAGCATCGGTGTGCTCGGTGGTGAATTCATTCGGACTCACCTTGGGGTCTAGTCGCTCCTTCATGCTGCAAACACGGGGATATCCACCTTGAGTGAGAAGAAACAATCAGACCATAGATACTGAGAAACCTACTTGGCACCGGTGAACGCCGAGACGGGGATGAAAGTGATATCGGTCTTCGGGTTGTATCCGACCGACTTCAAGAACAAGGTCAACTTTTCGACAATCTCGTCGTATCTACAGAGCCAGTCTACGGGTGAGCGTGATGCCCCGAAACAAACTTCTCTCAGGTTGTAACTCACCGAGCCTTGTCCCATGCGACAGTAGCTGAATCGATAGCATCGAGTCAGCGGGGAGATCAAAGCCTCAGACTTTGCTTTGGACTTACGGTCATCCATCTTGTTGATCACTACAACAAGCTTGTTGATACCGTTCGACTTTACCAACAATGCGTGTCTAGGATCGACACTCAACATGAGCGAGGCTCATTCAGCATCGTAAACTCTGTCCACTCACTCTCGGGTCTGTCCACCCTTCTCGAAACCGGTCTCGAATTCTCCTTTTCGTGCAGAGATGACGAGAGCGGCAAGATCGGCCTGTAACGATGAGACATCAGCGCATGCAGAATATGCTCTGAAGGCAGTGTGGCTCACCTGACTGGATCCAGTGATCATGCTAGGGATGTACGTCTTATGCCCGGGCTAGAATCGATATGGGAGAGGTGAAGTCAGCGAAATCGATAGGTCGACAGAGGGAACTGGGGGTCTTACAGCATCAAGAACAGTGTATCGCCTAACATCGGTCTCAAAGTAAGCTCTATAATGCGAACGCAAATTAGCAATCGCACGTATATTTACTGCAAAATTCTCAACAAGGCGCTCACCGTCCGACTTCGACGGTCTTTCCCTTCGCTCGCTCCCTGTAGATGTGAGCACAATATAAGCATCGAGAGCAGGATATAGTCTATTTGAAGTAGACGTACTTGGTGTCGCTGTCGAGCGCCCAACTGAGGTACCAAGATTCACGACCCATCTCCTTGGCCTCCCTAGTGATTGTCAAACGATGTTCAATCAGCACGAGATTCGCAATAGTGGCGCTTCCGTTTGTCATATTACTTACTTCTGGTACTTCTCCAGCGTTCGTCGATCGACCTGGTGGACGCATTGAAACGGTTCGAGTTAACTTCTATCTCGTCGACCTGATGATCATCGTAAGGCTCACCATTCCGGTCAAAGCCAATAGCTGTCCACCCATGGTGGATTTACCGGCATCGACGTGACCGATGAACACGACGTCTGTGATCGGCCAAAGAAGTCTAATCAGGCTCGCAATCTAGTTGAAAACGCCATAAGAGGATAAACTCACTCAAGTTCGGCTTGACTGCAGCATCAAATCGAAACAATATCGATCAGCTTTCATCCACCACATGGCATAGAACCTCCTTTCATCGAGTCTTCAACTATCACAGGGACGTACTGTTAGGATCAGCTTCCTCTCCCCCATATAGCTCTTGCAACAGATCAGCGTCCGCAATCCGGGCGGCTTCCTGGGCAATGGCATCAGCGTCGGTGGAAGCGACCTGCCTGGAAAAGTTGGTTTTCGACTCGGTGACGATGGAAGAGGCCGCGGCCTTGGGTGCAGGTGCAGAGGGTGTTTCCTGCGCAGCGGCAGGTGCAGGGGCAGCAGCAACAGGCTCAGGTGCAGGAGCTGCCTTCTTTGCAGGTTCAGCCTCGGCAGCGTCCCAGTCCGCAGGCTCGGCCTCCTTTTTGGGTTTCTCAGCTGCAGGAGCTTTGGCTGGGGAATCCGACTTGTTTCCCTCGACAGCAGCGGGTTTCTTAGCTCCTCCGATGCTAATCGACATGCTCTTGGCAGGCGCAGCCGGCTTGTCGGTAGCAGCAACGTCCTTCTTCTCAGGGGTCGAGTTGACCTTCTTGGATCCGATACTGATCGACATGCTCTTGGCCGGGGTCGAAGTCGAGGCTCCGGCACCACCACCGATGCTCAAGCTGACGGCTTTGGCCGGAGCCGAAGTGGAAGCGGGGGGGATGTAGCTCTGACGCCCGGGCAGGGTGGTGGTGGTATTGGCAGGAGCAGCCGGTTGCTGGTACTGCTGTTGTTGAGGCTGGAACTGTTGAGCTCGGGGGACGAAACCACCCTGGTATCCTCCCTGTGGCTGGCCGTAAACTCCAGCTTGAAATCCACCTCCGTATCCTCCTTGCTGGTAACCACCTCCATAACCACCCTGCTGGTATCCACCAGCCTGGTAACCCCCTTGCTGACCGTAATAACCTCCGGCTTGCTGTTGCTGTTGGGCGTAGGGGTTGTAAGGGTTGGCACCGGGCTGACCTCCTTGCTGCTGTCCAGGTTGACCGGGTTGACCCGCACCCGGAGCAAAGTTGCCGCCGGGGACGAATTGGTACGCTCCAGGGTTCATTTTTTCTCGTTACGATCCTAGTTCTAACGTCTATGTGAGGAACGACCTGTGGGGTATACGAGACCTGTTATGATCCTTTGGTGGTTGTGACTTTACCTTTGATGAGATATGGAAAGCCTCTTGATCTTTCGTCGAAAAGGCGAGAGCGAGTCGATCGAGGCGGAAACAAGCGCAAAAAGGGGAGAGAGGGGGGGAGGGGCGACGCGCATTTCAACAAGAAGCGAAAGGGGTGGCAAATGCGAGGTATCCATATCGCAACGTTCCACCTGCACCTTGTCCTTTCAGAGTGGCAGACAGGGTGTTTCACGATGGACACGTCGTGAACCAAGAAAAGTGAGCTGTTTCCGGGTGCTCACAACGATTCATCGGTAGGACGTGAAGGCGCGCGTGCTGTCTGAGCGCGAAGGGTTCGAAGCAGGCGTCATTATACGATGCATATCTAGTCATGCGTGATCCGGATCGATGGCGAAAGAGATGTACGGGGAGTCCCAAAGACGTCCAGCGTCAACAAGATCTTCCACTAGCACCTCTGTTCGTCCACCATCCCGCGGATCGAGAGGAGCGAAAATGTTTAAGATACAATGATGACAAAGCTTCCTGTCCCATATACACCGGCGACCTAAATCTCTAGAGAACCAAACCCGACTCGCACCTTCCAACTAGAGCTAGCTGGAGCCTACAAAGTAGTTGAAGTTGTACGTGCTGGGCTCGTTGGTGTAGCTGAACGACCCGGTACTGTCGTATGACACGACGTCGGCGCCGTTCCTGCTGACCTTGATGGTGACCGATCCAGGAGACATGGCGAGCTTGATCTTGTTCAGACCGGCCTTGACGGCGTATCGCTCGCTGTTTGTACCCGAAGTCAAGGTGGCGACCCCGTCGGCAGTGGCAAAGACCAAAGCGTAGACGACGTCATCGGTATCGTTCCATCGGTCGGGCCTGCTCATGTAGTCGTCGTTGGCGTGAGCGGCCTTGGGGTGAGGTCGAGCCCACCAGATGACCCTGTCCTCAGTAATGGCGGGGTAGGCACCGGTCTTGAAGGCGGTAGCGTAGTACTTGGTCACGTCCATCAAGGCGTCGTGAGGGAACCCGTCGACCCACATGTTGGACCCGGCAGGGAGGGCACCGGCGGTCGGAGCGATGTAGGAGGACTCGCCGTAATCGTTCCAGGTCAAGATCTCGGTGAACTTGACCCTGTCACGCATGGCGATGACCTGTTCCCATCGGTTGGCGTAGAGGAAGTCGTCCGATCGGTAGATCCAGTTCTTGTTCCATCCCCAGGTCGGGAAGTGGGTGAAGAAGTAAGGGGAGATGGCCGGCATGTACTCCTTGTCACCGAGCGCGGTCATATACTGCTCGTCGCTCGAGGTGTCCAGAGGGGTGTTGCTCATGGGCCAACCCGAGTTCCAGTTGAGCTCTCCGTCCATCCACTCGGCCGACGCAAAGGTCGAAGGGTCCGAGAAGATGCTGGGAACAAAGAAGATGTCGGTACCGACGAGCTTGAGGGGCTTCTTGAACATGGTGTTCCATCCATCGGCGGCGGACGATCGGCCGAACGCGCAGTTTTCACCGGAAAAGGTCGAGACCAAGACCTTGCCGTTGTGCAAAGTCTGCGCCGGGCTCTTCGCAAATGAGCTGACGAGCGCGACCAGGGTAGCAGCGTCAACGACACTGCCACAGGACATGGCGGTCATGTCGAGCGAGAGGAACATGGTGAAGTCACCGGCCTCGACAGCGGCAGCGTAAGCGTCGGCGACTCGAGCGGTTTGCCACCAGTCGGATCCCATGTTGAGCGCGAACCCATCGATTCCAGCGGCTTTGGCGGCGGCGATGTCCTTGGCCCAGTCGGCTTTGCCGTAAGGGTAAGTGTTTCCGACCATGTGGTGGGCGTAGATCTCGTGAACCTTGTCAGAACCGGGAATGTTGGAGCTGACTCGCTCTACCAATCCGGTAGGGGTAGGTCCGTCAAGGTTGACCGAAGAGCTAGCTTTGGCGGTCGTGGAAGCCGGCCTGACCGAAGTAGCCATCGACGAAGGTCGGACGGACGAAGCGGAGACAGTAACAGTAGCAGAGATGGAAGCCTGGGTCAAAGTAGGAACGGCAAAGGTGGAAGTAGCAGAAGCCGGCCTGGAGCTCATGGTGCTGATGGCTTTCGTAGACGCAGCAGCGGTTCCGGTGACCAAATGGTTACCGGTAGGCAACAAGGCGATGGACGAGGTGGAAGTCGCGCCCTCACCCTCGCATTCTTCGGCCGTGGTCAGCTGGAAGATGCCCATCCTGAAGTCATCTCCGCACATCTCGGTCGCATCTCCCATACAGGGCATGGCGCACTCCGAGTCGTCGACGAACGTTACGTTGGAATCGAGCTTGTTGCCACAGTAACATTCTTGACCCCATTCGACTCCGGCGTAGGTGTACCCGCCGTTCTCGCACATGTCGATACACTTGTCGATGGTCAGGTCGGTCTGGTACCAGAAGTACTCTCCCTTCAAGATCCTGTCCTTAACATCGGTGTAGACGTCGATGGCGCATCCGATGGAGAACCATTCTTTCTCACCGGGAGTGGCGGTCTGGGTGGCGTTGGGTGCAAGAGTACCGGTAGCAGTGGCCGTGCCTGTCTGGATGGCAGTTCCGTTGTTGAACGTCATGGTACCAGTACCGGTAGCGGTCCCGGTCTGAATGGCAGTCCCGTTGGCCGAGGTCATGGTAGCGGTGCCAGTCTCGAAAGCCGTCCCGTTCGCCGAGGTCAAAGTAGCTGTCCCGGTCTGGATAACAGTTCCGTTGGCAGAAATGGTCATGCTGGCCGTCTCGGTTTGGGTAGCATTCACTCCCGTAGTGATCGCGGTCGAGACCCCGGTTGCGGTGGCAGTAGCAGTTCCCGAGGCGGTAGTCGAAGCATCATCGGTCCCGTTGAAGTGGTACATCGACAACCTGTAACCAGCTCCGCACATCTGAGAGCTGTCCCCAGCGCAGGGCATGTTACAGTCGGACTCGGGCATTTTGGATCCTCCGCTTCCGATAAAGTCGTTTCCACACCAACACTAACGGGTTGATCGCAGAGTCGTGATGGTCGGAAGTCAGCGACTGGTATCCTCAGGTGAACAATCCAAAAAAACGACCCGAAGACATACCTCGTTCGCATACTGAGTTCCCGCATATTGGAAACCCATCGCGCCGCAAATGCTCGCACAGTTATCCTGATCGGTCTGACCGGAAGAGAACGCGAAACCTTGCAACAGCCTCTGTCCGTTGGACTCTTCGACACATCCCTCGTAAGCCCATCCCTTGGGCATACCCTGAGGGGCACCTCGGGCGTTGAGGTTGAGGGAGAGGTGTTTGTGGTCGGCCGAGGGGTCAAAGTTGGCTCGAGGGGGGTGCTGATGATGAATAAATCCGGAGATCAGTTTGTTATCATTGCGAAGGGGAGGAAAGGGAATGCTTACGAGACCGTGGGAAGCACCGTAATACTCCTCAGCACGAGGGGGGAACTACGCCGAGCAACGAACGAGAATCATCGTCAACAACCTTAGCTCTCACTTCAACCGGCCGTCACGCCGAAGCTCCATCCCACACTCACCAGCCCATGCGAAGCGCCGTAATAATCTACCTCTTCGGCATCCTTGGTCAAGGTCTTTTTCCCCTTGCCCGTCTTTTTGAACCAGGCCTCGATGGCACGCTTGTGGCCTCCCAACTTGCCAGCTAGGTAAGGCGGGGCATGTCGGCCGATCGAGAGCGAAGGAGCAGCCGAGGTAAAGTCGAGGGTGGAGAGGGAGAGGAGGAGGACGGTGAGAGTGGTAGGAGGGAGCATTGTTATGATTGTTTTGTGTATCGCTAAGGTGGAGTCAAAAGGGGGTCCGTGGGGGTCTTCGTCTTCAGTCTAGCTGAGGAGTCTGGTAGAGGGGGTGAAACGGAGGGATCTTCAAGATGTCCGATTACGAGATGGAGGGGGTTTATCGTCCCGACAATTGACGACCGGCGTCAAGAGTTATTGAAATACGATTGAAAAAAGAGTTGGGCACGGGTCCGTGATATCCAGTATCCGGTTCTCCTGATTATGCTTTGTGTCGAGAAGAGAGCGGTAGTCGAGGGGGTGAACGTCGGGTTACTGCTTTCTTCGTCAAGAATGAAATGCAGGATCGGAGTTTGTGATTATGCGTAGCGTGCCGGTAAGGGATCGAAAGCGAAGTCGGTTGAAGAGATGACGATAAGACGAGGAGAAGAATCAATCTTCTGCTGGTCGATTATGAGGGAGAGAGGAAGAGAAGAGGAGAGTGGGGAAAGACTGAAGATGACCACGGGATGAGATGACGAGACGAGAGGAAAAGAATTCGAGTGCGGAATGGACAGTTGAGGTTGGGATTCGATTTGAACTGGGAGTCTATATCGACCGACGCAAACCTGGAAGTGGCGATCGCTGGGCGAGAGTGGGCGATGGCGGGTAGATCCTCCCACAACACACACAGCAGCAGACAGAGACAGAGACGCGCGTGCTCAGGGATCAGGGACCATCAATCAGAAGGAAGGCAGGGGGCAGGAGGAGGAGCGGTGACCGGAATGATCGCTTGGCGGATGTTCCAAACGCGCGTGTTCTCTCTCTGCTCCTGCTGCTGCTGCTGCCCCTTTGCCTAGCCGGTGACGATCAAACCTGCGCCATCCGGTCGCGGTACGGCAACGAGCAGGAAGCGAGAAAAAGCGAAAGTGGCTTGATCGCGCATTCCGGAGTAGGCAATTCTCGTTCTGGCTCATCGACATTCCATCCTCTCGGCATCTCGCCTTCCCCCTCGCCTTGGACCCTGATCATGCTGACGATCAGGGACCATGAAACGTTTGACATCACTCGATCACTGCTCCGAACTGCTGACTGCCAGACTGTGGTGTATCGCTAGCTCCTGTTTGACGCTCCAACGAAATTCAGATTACAAGCAACAATGCTCTTCTCGTCGCTCGTGCTATTGCTATTGTCGGTCCCAGCCTTGCCGTCACCTATGACGAAAATATCCCATAACCCCCTCCAAACGCGTCGCGTTCGGAACGCGTCCTGCCATCTCCCTCCTTCTCCCCTACATCCGGCGGCTTGCGTCGATCCTCTCGACCAACATCCAAGAACAAACCACAAACTTCCGAAACTTAGAGATGGCTGGATCCCGTAGACAGACAAAGACCGAAGCACAGCCCGTGCCAGCCCATGACGACGACAAGGACAACAAGGTAGAGATGAACAATGTGATGCGGATGACGGCGCTGGTCGTATTCAAGCTCTTTGTGCGCATGCTTGGCCGCCTTGGCCCGGTCCCAACCATATTTCTTGTCGGAGCATCCTATGATCACCATATGATCACGACGACAAGCCACTGACGATGCCTCATCCTTGTCGTTCGAGTTGTAAATGTGAGGTCCAGCGCTACGGTACACTCGGTATGCTTCCGGACGACGTTTCATAACTCCCCAAGGGATACCGACGAGCTTTCCTCGTCCACACTTGTCTTCTGATCCTCTACAGATAGCCTCGGTAGCATCGCCCTTGATCCCGGGGGCATAAGGAGGCGAGTGAACTGACTCCCTTCCAAAGCTCAGTTTGACTCTCGTAGCCGACAATACAAGCCGTCGCCACCATCCGGTCAATGTTTAAGCTCCTGGTATAGCCTGATTGTATCATTGTTACTACAAAATTTCTGCTTCAGGTGCACGTATTCTGCCCAGAACAGAGGCCATGCTTCAGCTCATTACAAAGAAGCACAGCGCAAGCGAGGAATACATTTGGAGACTCCACTTCCAAACAATGTTTGCATACAATCTCGTTTCAGGAAAGAGATTGACTCGGAACTTTATCGTTGAAAGCGAGCTTTGCTTGGGGACAATACCGTGACACAGGCTGATTGCTGTTCGAGAGGCGACCTCTACGCGAGGCCTCTTATCTCACAGTAGCGGAATATCGGGTCTAAGGCGAAGTTGACAATGCGTTAATGAACATATCTCGCTACGCGCTCGAACCACAAGCGAATAACGAGATGTGGACACCTCTTGATTCGGCTATCACGGCATTCCAGTCAGTGTTTCTAATGGAGAGACAATCAATATAGCGGATTGAAAAGCGAGACCATCAACCAAAGCCACTTGTTGGACTAACCGCCGCAGGTCCTGTATAAGTGTAGACTCGACTGGAGAATTGGATCTAGACCTAGAGCATCGCGCAAACTATTCTATCTATCCGCTCGTTGGTCCTAACGATATAGCTGTGAATACCGTGAACGTATCCTGGGCTTTGCACATACACCTGACATAGTCAACTTCCATCCGGTTCCGCGATGCCAAAGAATCCACGACTAGACAAAGATGATCCGATTCAAAGTCCCAAGCGTCACAAAGGATCCAGCCCGCAGACCCTCTCACTTTCCAGCCATGATGGAAACCCCTGCCTCAGTAAGTTATGTTCCGCGTTCTCCTGTCCTTACTGTCTCTTTCACAGCTGAATTTGATGGTATATATATTCGGCCTCAGACATATACACTCTCCCCGTCTGTAGCACAGCTAACAGAAGACACGAGAAATACGTACGATTGAGCTGAAAGACACTTGACGGATTGTCTGTTTCCCGCATGCGCAAATTGAAGTCTTGGCGGTTTTGCAACGTGATTCTTCTGGCATCGAACGATTATCGAGGAGATCTGATACATATAAAAACAACGCTGAACAGGAAAGTGGATACAAGAAGCGATACACAAAGCAAGGGCGGGCAAGAAGGCGCAAGTATACATTTGGGTCCTGATAGTCGGGACGTGTGGCATTCACATCTGATCACTGCGTGACATCGACTCGTTGTGACAGCGTAAAAGTGCCTGGTAGCGTGATACCCGGTGGCAAATTAGCCCTGGTCATCGCTTGAGCTCCGGGTTCGATGCTCACCTTCGTATCCGACGTACTCGTCGGGAGTCACACAATCCCGCCAGCGACCAACAAAGACGCCTCCAGAGACGATGTAGCCACCTGCCAACAGGACACTACGTCAACCTCATACATTTTCAGAAATAGGTGGAGTTCGTCGCAAACTCACGGTAAACCCATTTTCCGCGTCCGTCCGGCTGCAGGCAAGGCGAAAGTGAATGCTCAGCTAATGCGTATGAAGAGCAGGCCCACCGCTGGCTTGAAAACCTACCGAATACTCTTTGACGAGGTTCGCCATCCCGTCCCATAGTCTGACTCGACCTCGGAGCAAGAATTCACCCCATGCCGAATGACCCTGTTACAGCGAAAAATTCTTTCAGCTCCGTTGCGGATAGATCCCTCCGAGCTCTACCTCAGAGACTCACGGTACCAAGCAACATGATCTCGAGATCATCCCCTTCGTTACACGGATCTCCATTCTCATCCCCCTCTGTACGTCGTTTGATGATCCTCTCGACCTCTCGCTCAGGGACCATCTCGTATCCCTCCAATCCGCCTAGCATGGCCACGATATGCTCGTCCGTCGGATTTCTCTCGAGCAGACTGACCACGGCGTTGGTGGTCATGCTCGAGCTGTGCGTTCGTCCTTGATTTGGAAGCATGGGCACGATCCGGTCAAAGGCCGATGTGGTCGGAGCGAATCCGGCATTCAAGGCAGCGGACATGCTCGCTGGGGTCTCAGAGTTGGTAGAAGACGTCGTCGAGTCTTCCGAAGCTTCTGACAGGCCGGACAGAACGGTTCTAGCTTGCGGTCGTCTCGGGACCGCCGACGATGACGGGACCGCCGACGATGACGGTGCCGCCGTCGACGGCCCTGCGACTGATCCGGCTGTCCTGGTCGGCCGGACATACACCTCCCTCATCTTCCAGACTTGCGATTGTTCCCCAAACTGACCCTCATATAGCGCACTCGGTTCTCCGCTCAACATATTTCGATAAGCATCGAAATCGAAGAACGACTACGAGCGGTAGCGGATCAGCAAGGTTCCTTACTCCGATATTCCAAAGGCCCTTTGCGATTTCGTTGTGACACTTACGAAATTACCTTCCCAACATCCGTTAAAGCGACCGTACCAATCCTCGATCCCCATCCCGTCTAACGACCTCGGATCGATGCACCGTGTCAGACGCTTGTAATCCTGGTCGTGTAACACGGAATCATCTACTGAGGTATATGACGTGTACCTCGAGGTTCTCCCTGATGGTTTGGATATAGAACCAAGATGGGACTGATCATCAGCATCTCCAGGACCGGGCACCCAATGGAATGCGATGCTCAGACTTACTCGGCTGAAAGACGATCACTCGATTTTGCTCGGGCGTGATCTGATTCCCGTTCCCTATATTCGTCACGTTCCCGACCATCTGCACCCTCACCAGCAACTTGTCCACCCTAGCGAAAAAGTTCATGATCGCTGCGTGACTCAGTACGGGCGGAGCGATCCTCAGGCGCCGGCCGTAGTGTTCTATGGCGACTGAACGCGGATGGAGGGATAGTTCTGCTTTGTAAGGGTTCCGACGGGCGTTTGAGGGTGGGAGTGGAGGGAGGGAAGACGGGGGCACGCCGGGATGGAGAGGGAGGTGAGGGTACGTCCAAGGTCCGAAGAAGATGTCGAACTGCATGTCGTCAAGAGGAACATGATCGTGAATAACGATTCCAAAAGTAGAAAAAGTTGAGAAACACAGCGGAACTCACTTGACCTGCAGCAAAGACATAAGGCCGGAGCACGAACAAGAACTCTTCCAACACGTCCACATCCTCCGACTCGATCAACGCTACCCATCGCAAGATCACACAAGGTGTTCGGGTTCAGCTTCCTGCTTCATGAAACCCTCGCAGCGTCATCACGACACGGCCTTCCAGGACTCACCCCGTGAAGTCAACAACCATATGATCCAGACCAACAGAATCCTCTCACAACTCGTGCTCGGTAGTCCGGGCTGGGTGGCATCGTTGACGAGCTCGTTATGATACAAAGCCAGGTAATCCATAAGAACACCTGTACGGGCGGGCGTCGGCGGGGTAGTTTTAGGCTTGGGGAGATGGAACCTGGGCGTTGACGAGGTTGCGGTCGGAGAAAGGGAGGCGGGGGTAGAGGTGGGAGCTACGGGAGGTGGGGCTGGATCGAGCAGGTATTGCAGGTTCTTCCCATCTACCCAGTCGACATCATATCCGACATGCCCCCTCGAATCAAATCAGTCCCGATGGATCCCAAATTTCGATGTCAAAAGATTTCTACTGACCGTTTTCGAGCAACATCAGGTAGATCGTCCAGACGTCCTCTTCCTTCAAGATCTTTGCATCCTCGAGTTGAACAGCCCGATGTAGGTTATGCAAGGCGATACAACGTCTTCGGAGTTCGCGTGCCATCCCACGTGCCTTTATACCTCTACTCCTCTCCGCGGCAGAATCTTCGATGCGGTTCTCGATATCCACATCGAGGTCGATATCGCCAGTGCTCTCGGAAGTGATATAGATATCGTCATCGATATCGACTTCGTCCTCTGACCCGCGACTCTGCCCATTCTCGCTCTTCAACCGTTCCCCCTCCCGCCTCAAGATCGCCCCCGTATCGAATCGCTCCGCAAAGATCTCTGCGTACAACCTAGGATTGTTCTTGAGGCATAATTGAGAGTGGATGTATTTCGAGGTTTGAAGCAAGGGGATGAGGGCGTGTGGGTGAGGACTGGTTTTCTGGATATGTCTAGAGGATGCTCTCAACGGACATGATTCATCTGGCGATGATGCTGTCGATGAGGACGGAGGTGGGGTATCAGGGAGGAGTGCGAGGTGAACGCCGATGTTCGTCAGGATCTCCTCTGGGATGCTCTCCAACGTTGGCGGTGCGGACATCCTTTTGCGATCTGTGCTGTTCGGTTTCTATACGAATGACTTGTGTAGAGGATTCCCTAGATCGAGGTCGTTATGGTTCAGCAAGAAGAAGGTGTATGGTTCGAAGAGTAAAGTGGATGTCGAAGGCGAAAGTAGTCGATGCTGTATGATGGATGTCCTAACAACTAGTGATTCGTAAGTCCCCGTTCGTCCGCCGGGCCGGGTAATACTCCCGTGTAGACTGGTCCACTTACGATCGATCGACCGATCCCTGGGTAATTCGATGGCTGACAAGACGATGGCAGCTATCTCGAGAGGACTGGTTGAACGGTTGGATGCACGAGAGCGTCTTGGAACATCAATGATCAATGATGATGATGATGATATCGACAGCGAGGGAGGGAGGGAGGTGGCGACGACGATTCCCAACAATCGAGGTGATGCCGGGGCCAACCGAGTGTCAGCGCGCGCGGGATCAAATATAAACTTCCGACAATGATCGAGGCGGAAGCATATCCTCAAAGCGCAAGCAAGATCAGCGCCATCGTGAGGGCCTGGCAAACTCCTCGAAGAGCGTCATGTCGGACCTGGAGCAGACTATCTGATTGATCCTGAGGTGGAGATTCAGTTGACCGACTTTGAAATCGCGGAGAATTTAGGGGAAAGAATGACAGAACAAAGGCATCAAAATAGTTGCAGCGATCGAGATGCATATCGACCCAGACTGTTATGACCGCCGGCGTTGACTGTCTGCCTCTACAAAGCAGCATTCGCAGAGACTCGCCACTCTTTGCCGAAGTAACCGTCCGTTATGGCCCTCCCGGAACAATTGAGTCTGCAAAATTGAGCTCGGCTGGAACTGTTGACTGGCTTGACCCTTACTTGACGTCTCTTCTCGCAATCGAGTCCCTTTTCGATCGTAACATGCCTCACAATACGATTCTAGGGTTAGAGTTTACCGCTATTTCTGCTCCCAAACGAGATATTGTCTCTTGTCTGCAGAAAGGCCGCGATGTCATGGTCGGGAATAGCGACCGCACCCAGGGGTTGGATTGGAAATTCCTGTCCTCGTCATCAATGTCCAATGAAGCTTAAAGCTCGAGTATCATCGGTAGATGGTAGTCATATCATGGTAAGACTTTCTCCCTCCTGCGAATCAACTGAGCGAGATACTATGGTATTGTCGGCGCTAAGCATCTGATCGTATACAGGAAAGCCGATAGGCGTCGGCATAGCGATATACGATGTGATACACTGTAACCAGATCTAAAACAAGTGCAACAATTTCAACAATACAGCGACCCGGTGACAAGATCTCCACGGCCTGTGTTCTCAACACGAGCTTGTGTTCGATTGTACGCTCCAAAACCTACGCTCTCGACTTTAATGGCTTATATACGGAGAGATTTGTTGAGAAGAACAGGGGGTACGGTTGTTCCGCGATAAGTTTGGGCCTACACGTCGTCTTTGACAAAGACTTCGGAGAAGCACCAGGATCACATGGTCAACGTTTGATGGAGTAAGGGGAATGCACTGCTTGAATCATCATCACTGCTGTACATCCCGGTGAGACGAGTGCATTCTGGTTTCAAGGTAAGCACTGCCAAATACGTGATGGGCGGCAGATCCGACACACCAACTGCGTCTATCCTGTTGAAAGCCGAGAAAGCAATCTAGGGTCGGTCGGTCCCACCTTCACTCTACTCTACTATGGCAGCCGAAGTGAAGGATTATGAGGTCGACCTATGGAACTAGAGGATCTCAAGTCAGTGATGGTGACAGGATGCTGTTATCTATTTGATCTGGGCTCATGCGGCTGTGGAGTATCAACTTGGTCAAACTGATTACGTCACGAGATCCGCTGGCACGGAAGATTCAGCACGTCGATAGATGTAGGTGGTCGCAAGGTTGAGACTGCAAGAGATTTATTTCATCTTGTCACAATGCTAAGATATTGGATATGCCATTGCTATGACAACCTATGCGATACATTTGCGCTACCGCTGAACAGACTTCTATCCCCTCTGGGATTCTATCATTGCCCCGCAATCGTTGTCTTGTTCCGTGACGATTTCTTCGTCTTCATCTTCTCCTGCTTGTACGTTTCCCAACCTGCTTCTTGCTCCTCCATGACCCTTTCCAACTCGCGCCCATGTTCACGTAGAATGCCCATGTGTTTACTCAAAACGAATCGGATGGGTTCTGGCCGTCCCCGGGTGAGGACTGGTGGCTCGGAGGAGAATGGGGAAGTCGACCATGTCCAGGGTACGTGCAGCTCTGCCGCCAGGTCAGAGCTGAAGAACGCTGGTGGGAGGGTAGAGCTGGATCGGACGGATGATCCCGAGGCCGTCGTCGTTTTGGTCGAGGGGAAATGAACCGCCGTCTCTTCTTCCTCTTGCATCTGAGATGCTTCTTTCTCCTTCTCGGCCTCCTCCTTCAGCCGCTCGTCCTTTTCCTGCAGACTCTGCATCATCCCCTCAATCGTCCCTTCTTCCCCCCTTGCTGCCTGTCGAGCAGCCAATCTCCTTCGACCGAAGAAGCCTATCTCCTTCTTCTCTTCCCACGGTTTTCCGGTCAATACCTTCCATTCTTCCCTTCCATACCGCCTGGCCAACTTCCCTAGCTCCTGAACCTCGCTAAAATGCTTCTGCAGCCAACGTTTATGAGAAGGCACGCTTCTTAAATTCCGGGTCGAGCGAAGTACCTTGTACAGCGGGAGAACGAGTTCCGGGGCGACGGTGAGAGAAGGTTGTGCCAGTCGCTTTCGGAGGGTAGAACGGATCGGGTGGAGGTCGGCCGCAGGGGCATGGTAATGCGGACGACGCAAGGGCGAGTCTTCAGAATAATCGCCGATTTCCAGAACCTGTCTCAGCGCGACGACCTTTTTCATCGGTGCCCCGTCCACTTCTTCATCCCTTGGTGGGGGCGGGGCGGGCATTTTGAGATCGGCAGTGACCGCGTTGATCCTCACCCAGACCGCCAAGAACGCGTTGTGCCGGACGATCATCTCCCTGACCGCACCCCTCAAGAAATGCACACCGAGGGTCATGGCAAAGTCCCTCTCTTCGGCGTCTGTAGCCAGGCTCGCCTGTACCGCGCAGGCCTGGATGAGAGTCCGGTACGTATCGGTGTTGCTCAAGAACTCCTTCTCGCTGTATTCGAGATCAGCCGCCGCGACCGGTTCTGGGTCCTGCTCGAGGGCGGTCTTGGTGCGGGTTTCGATCTCTAAGGGGAAAGGCAAGGTGGGCAGAAAATCTGCTGCGGGTCTGATGGGGAATCTGGGTCGATTGTCGCGGGCAACCTCATTCGAGGGTTTGGGTTGGGTAGGCCGACCGAAAAAGTTGAGTCGCTGTCCACTGGCTTCTTCCCTAGCCATCGCTTCAGTCAAGGTGATCGGTTCGTCCTCAACGGCGGGCGATGTCGATTCGTCCTGCTCCTGCTGTTCTTCTGTCGCCTGCTCCAATGACGACGCGATCTCACCCGCTTCCTCCCCTACAACGCCCACCTGTTCGGCCTCCTGTGGACTCTGCCCAAAGACCTCGAACGCCTGCAACATGCCCTTCAGATCCCCTCGCTCGGCAAACCGACGGACGAGCGTATTCAAAGCGTGCTTATTCCACCTGACCCGCCCATGCCCTTCCTGAACTCCCTCTTCCAAGCCCGATCTTCGTACCTGCTGTGGCCTCTCGACAGCAATAGCCCCTCCATCCGTCTCGTCATCCAGCAACTCCCAATTTCCTCCAGTCGGATCCTCTCCCATCCCCTCTCTCATCCTCGTCCGAAGCGCATCCAAACCGTTATCCGGGTAAGCCAGGTCGACGTTGTAAGCCAGTTTGAGGATCTTGTCCGCAGCTTTGTCGTTCTTGCTCTCTTTGGCTATTCGGAAAAGTAGGTCGTAGGTGAGTTGACGGTAGACGACCTGGTCTTCCCGCATGGAGACGAGGATCTGTTTGAACAGCTCGACGGCATCGGGAGGGAAGAAGGGGATAGAGGTGGATAGTGCGGTCTGGCCAACCCCAAAGATGTGCGGCTTCTCTTGTTCGACTTCGTATTTGATGAATCGTTGATAGATGGATTTCCTGATCGTGAGCCATTTGGTGAGGACCATGAGTCGGGTGTCATGGATGTAGACTGGGAGCGGGATGCCGGTATCCTTCATCTCCTTGAACACCCGTTCAGAGCCAGCGAGGTGGCCCGTCAATGCGAATTGCCGGAGGACAAAGAGGTAGTCGTCCATAACTATCGCTCGTTCTTCCGGCTTGAGCATACCCTCGCTCGATGTCCGGTCTCGTTCCTCGATGAATCGAAGTATGGAAGCGACCAACTGCAATCTCGGCTCCCAAGGATATTCGGTAACGCTCGAAATCTCGGATTCGGTCGAGTTCGCGGCGTTTCGTTTGGTCACCAAGGCCTGTTGCACGACGGCGATTGGGGGTACGACCTGACGCAAGACCCGCTTGAGCAAGGGTACGGGGAGCTGGTTCCGGGTCTCCTTGGTCAACGACATCAACGTCGTCCAGACTTGATCGTAATGTGGAACATCCGTCCGGTGCATCAAGTCCTTAAGATCATTCGGTCGGGTGACGAGTTCAAATAGCTTGTCGACCTGTTCACGGTCGATGTTTTGGGGTATGTAGGAGCTTGAAGCTTCGAGATAGTTGGATGGCCCTGCATGGCGAGCCTGATCTTCCGCTTCGAAACCAGGACCAGGATTTGGTGTTGATGAGAACGCTGGTAGCACATAGTGCCTTTTGCTGCGATGCGAACGGGGTCATGCGATGTTGTTAAGCAGAGGCAGCTGAGATAATGCCTCATGTCGAGACTAACGGTATCCGAGCGCCAATAGCTCTCACGAGCGTCCGACGAGCGTGCATGTTCGGTCGATACTGTCAAGACCAGCCTATCTCGAGAATCTATGCTGAAGGCTGCCTGCTAGTTCGCTACCGTTGACATTCGGTTGATGCATAATTTGCTCAACGGTTTCCTGCCTGTTCCTCTCGATATATTTCGCTCTGCCCGAAATCTCGAAACCTTGAACTTCGAACGAAGCCAAAGGTTGAAAGCGATCGCGTGTGTGCGCGTGAGAAAGCGAGTTACAAGATCTTAAGGCAGGCGCCGTGGTATCGTGGGCTACATCTATACGTTACAAAGGCGCAGAAAGCATCTAATGTCGACAAGTCTGAGCCTTAAGAGACTACAAAGGCCCCATTCGTCCACGCCGTAGCCTGTTTGGCTACCGGCGTCCACCTGATACAGAAGCGAAACGAGTCACGCGAGCGCGATCAGCCAAGGCGACATCTTCTCCACCGCGCGTGTGATTCTCACCTGTCGTCTCCGATTTCGAGGTTGAGATCCTTGAGCACGGCCGGGCCTCTTGCGCACATCTGATCATACGTCCCACGGAATAATTCCAATCAGCGCCGATCCTATCCGTCAATATAGTCTAGAGTTGTGACACGAGCTCACCTGGCCCGTAGGATCGCCCCCAGTCTCAACCCTCTCCACCTCCGCACCCCTGAGCATGACCTCGACATTACTAGCCGGAGCGCCCGAATGCATCTCTCCATCGATGCCTTCACTCTGCAGGTCATTGAAGTTGGAAACCAAGACCGGTCCGGCGGAAAGAGGCGTGATATACATGCGGGTGAAAGGCATAGAGAGCAGGGTGTGCGCCTGGAGCGTCAATTCAGGATCAGGGGTGTCTGTTTTCGTACGATTTCCAAATTTCCCGAGACAGTCGCTAATCAGCACGTTATTATGAACATGCTATGAGGAAGGATAAATGACTGACCACCTACGACGACGATCGCCCTGAGCTTGTCCAGCGATCGCTTTGCCCTTGCCGGAGCCCAGACGAGCTTCTCCATCCACCCAGCCTTGCTCACGTACCCCTCGTCGAGCGCGGCCAGCCTTTGTCGATGAGCAAGAGGATAGAGGAAGCTAGACGAGGCGGTCTTTTGGAGATGAGTCAGTTCTTGTGCGAGGTGTTTTCTTTGACTGAAAAACGACCGAGAAAGAAGGGGAAAGGAAATCGGATTTAGTTTGACTGACGAGGTCGATCTGTAAACAGCTCGACGTACGTAAAGGTGATCGTAGCAGGGAGTCGACCTTCCCTCGACCCGGAATCCCGTCCCATCTCATTCGCTTCGTACTCAAATCCAGAACCTGATCACCGACGCATGGATCAGCTTCCCGGCCTGATTCCGCCTTCCCGTCTACCCTCCAAGCCCACTTTCAAAGCCTGAAATATACTCACCAGAAAGTAAAGCGGCCAACCCCAGGCTCAGCCCAAACGGTTCGTTCAAGTCCACGCTGCTCTGAATTACATCCCCCAACCCAGGCGAAGGTCGAAGGGAAGCGGGGAAGGCGGATAGACAGGCTGATATTCCTGCTGTCAGGTTCTGGATTGAGTTGGATCGATTCCGACAAGTAGAAGCGTGGCGAGAAGCGCACGTCAGAACGGGAAGATGGAAAGCTGACGGAAGATATGGAAACTCGCCTGATTCGTAATCTCGACCAAATGGGGGTTCGAATTGTCCCTCCCCCTAGGCAGATAAGCCAGAGAATGTACCTCGTTCGGAGCTATTGAACCCGACAGATCAGCTCGTGTGAGAGAGAGTATATTAGGCTAGACAGACAGGAAGGAAGGAGGTCTTACCAGGCCGTTCCCATACATCCGGCTTGAAACATCCTCTCTGCAGTTGCTCGAAATTGACCACCTTGACGCCCATCTTGGCAGCTCTCTTCACGAGATCTGAGTTTTCCCTACGATCTTCCCCCGCATTGGGTACGACCACGACCAACGCTCGACACTCGGCGTTATCGTAGTTGTCATTGCTGAGGTCGTCCTTCTCGACCAATTGTTCCAGGACTCCAGCAACGTATTCTTCCCCGGTAAAGATCACCTTTGGCTTGGGATGATCCTCGCTCTCGAGCGCAGAGACGAGGAAGAAAGGCACACTGAGTGTAATCAACCTCAGCCGGGTGGTTAGAGATCGAGCTAGGTGGAGTTGGAGAAGGGGTAGGGAGGGCGGAAGGAGAGAGAGGATGTAGGTAGGTGCGGCCGAGGTAGAAGTTGACGGTGTGGCGGTGGGAGGTGAGACTAGGTGAGGTGCAAGTAGAGAGAGGTTGTATAGCATATCGTTGGCTTGTTCGAGCAAGTCGGCGTTGGTAACCTGCCGAAGAAGAACGGATGGACATGAGTTCGTTCCTGTCAGCAGGTCTGTGAGATGGAGGACATGATGCTCACCCTCTTTCCGAACCGCAAGATATTAGGAGCTGCATTTGACTTCAAGATATCCGCTACGATCTTGACACTTCCAGAAGGGCTCGTCGATAACTAAACATTTCGAATATTCCCGAATCAGTCCGTCGTCCTCCCAACAACGCAACGTAGCCGTATGTTCAGGCTTACAGGCGTCCCATGTCCCGTCGCCCAGTTTCGATAGACAGCGCTCTCTCCTTCCTTCCTGGTCTGACTGACATCGCTCTGCTTCTGTAAGAGCAAGGGGTGAACCAAGGGCGTATATCCCGAAAAGTATTTCGTATATAGCGAGATGACAATGATGGTGGTCAGGAGGACGAGCGAGGTGTCGGAGAACGCTAGTGAGAAGGTGATCCCCATCTTGGCTCGTTCGGATCTGCAGTCCGCAAGATGCACTGATATGTGGTGCTATTCTTCAGAGGTCGGCGGGTTTCATGTAGAATATAGAATATAGAATGAGCCGGAGGAATGATTAGTTTTGTGAAAGCATTCGAGGTCGATGCCCTTTGACCCGCGAGCTCGGCACAGCGGGTCACGCGTCACGGTTAAGGGTCCGATAAGGAGGTCTCTTAACTGGCCGGTTAAGAAATCTCTTAACGTACCCCTTCGCCGACCCCCTTAAATGGCGCTAGCCAGCCCTTTATACGCGTACGTACGCGCGCTTCTTTTTGGCTCACGCGTTTGACGCGTCATCTTAAGCGCGTCGAGCCCCACATAAGCAACAATCGACTCGAGAAGCTAAAATACTTACTACAATACTAAGTAATAAGTAAAACACGCCTATAGACATCTCTAGTCCCCCCTACCTCTCCTAATCCTGTGTACGACCTAACGACCCCCTTACGAACCCCTCACGACCCCGTTTTCACTCCAACAACCGTCCGTTTACGCCCAAAACTCACCAAGAACCTCGAAGAAGCCTAAAAATCACCAAGAAGCTAAAAAACAAGTATAAGCCCACGTCAAACGATGTCTGCTGTATGTACCCCTTACCTTGCATCTATCCAGTCGCTTTAGACTCTGACTGATGTCCTCGGGGTGGTCTCATGTCGGTCAGAATGATGGAACCCGTCAGTACCTTAACAAACACTTATACCACCCGTATCGACTCACATTAACAACCACGTTTGCCCTCATCATGTTCATCTAGAAGAGAACGGTGCTGCAGGTAAGTAAAAAGCTACCCGAAACTGTCTCTTGGCCAGGTCGCTTACGGTCAGCTATTGCTCCGATAGGTGGTGGTGCTCCCAACACGGGTGTCATTCGTGTTGAGAAGGGGAAGCAGCCGGGTCAGTTCAGAACCATATCACGCTCTCTAACTAACCCATATCGTTCCCTTAGCTGACCGTATATCCTGCCGCTACCTGTCTACAGTCCGACCTACAGGTGAAGAGCTTGAAGAAGAGGGCATCGATCCCAACTTCGACAACCCCACCGTCGAGGTGGATGAGTTAACCGACTCCGATGCGACTACAAACCCGGGCGATAGTAGTGACATATCCGCCGACGAGCTATTAACTGTCGAACAGGTAAGCCCATAGGCCGGTCTTATAGCACTCTTATCTGGTGGCTTACTCCCCCGTTCGGTGTCGTATAGGCTGACGCAAAGAGGCTAGCGAAGAAGAAAGCCAAGGCCGAACGAAAGGCAGCCAGACTAGCGATAAAGGCGGTTCAGCAAAACGTATGTTCCTACCTATCTCCTATCACACGCTTAACCACTCTGATAAGACTGTGGCATCTTCACGCTTGGTTTAGAATTTGAAGCGCAAGGCAACCACCGACGATCTTCGGGCAGCCAACTTCAAAGTCGTATGTCAGCTTAGGGGTTAACAATGGCTTATATGACTGCTAACTCACCCTCTCACTGTCGCCTCTCTCTCAGCCGCGAACCGACACTGTAAGCAGATTCCTTCGGTGAAGGAAATTAGATGGGTACTAACTACCTCTTAACGTGCTCCATAACCTCAGGATATGGGTCGGTTTCCCCACATCACCGGTTCGACTGTCACCCCTAAGGACATCGTCCAAAGTCTCCAAGCCCAAATCAGGCTGTTTGAGGCCCGTTACGCGGCGGTTATTGAGCGTCGAGACAAGGTCGTACCTGTCGGCCCCACTCCCAACACCCAGAAGCTATCGTCGGTCGTCCATTCCCTCGAAGGTGTCCTAGACGAATTGGTGGCCTTATCGGGGGAGTTAGTGGCCGGTTTTAGGTCGGTTAAGGTTCTTTCGATGCTGCAGCAGGTCCAGTCGAGAGGTCGACTTCTAGACAGGGAGGAGTTTGAGACGAAGATCAACGATATCGAGGCTCAACTCCACAATCACGTCGACGACACTGGACGCCGCTTACGCGCCCTCAACCAAGGGTCCGATAACCCTGCGTTAGGGTCCACCGCCAATGCCAATCCGACCTCTAGCGGACCTCAAACTCCCTCGTCAAGAGGCATCAATCTGTCCGGTTTGAAGTCCGCCCTCAAGACCGATGCCGAGCTGCGTGCGATTGTGCTTGGGATCTTCAACGACCCCACGAACTTGAACAACAGCGGCCCTGTAGCCGGCCCTTCGGGGACCTCTAACCAGTCGGCTAATCCCCCGGCTCCCACTCACTCGTCCCACGTCTCCCCAGACAAGCGATCGCGCACCCGTACCAACACCAAGTGGTCGGTGAGTATAGCGTAGCCTTATCTACCGCTTATCTGGTCCGCTAACACTTGCCTTATCCACCGCTTATCTGGTCCGCTAACACCTTGTCAACAGTACGCTTGCCATTATGCTGTCAAGGAACTAATCGGGATGAGAGGTACCTGGGACGGTGATTCTATCAGCGAGCCAGGTTATCTCCCGGATGGAGAATGGCCCTCACACGAGGAAGACGACGAGGACACTGGCTTACCGGGCCCTCAACAGATCGATGTCGAACTGGCTATGGGTGGGACAAGGAGCGTTTGGAGGCCTGAGTGGAAGAAGATCGGAGAAGAACGGTCAGCAGCACATCACTTATCATGCCTTTATCCTACCACTAACCATCGAGATAAACGTTCGATCAGGTGGTCTCCCTTTGTCAACGAGGTCGCCGCTCGCGTCGTCAACACCTGGAAGATGACCAACGGGGACAGGCCCACGGTAAATGACCTTAAACCGCTCATTATCAAGTACTGCAAGAACCGGTCTGGCGTCCGTCCCACGAGTGCTGAAGAAGGAGGCGTCCATCTCGCGCGTCTGGTGAATCGCAAGCGAGGTCATGTGAGTCCTTTAACAGACACGATAGACGTGAGTTTAGGGTCGGTTATCATGCAGTATTATAGGCGTCACGTGACGCGCGACCTACGGTGCGCGTCGCCTCGGGGTCTCGTTCGGAGACCCTCTCGGAGACCCTCTCGGAGACCTTTTAGGAGATGTTCTCGTAGACGTCTAACTAGTACCTTGTAGTAGTTAGGCATCCGTTATTACATCGCTATGCCTACCGTTACCTTTCCCCAGTCCCGCGACCTTATTACCCCAAGACCCGGCAGGTCGGCTGCCAGGCCTTATATGCAGGCTTACCGTCGTTCTTGTTGTCTCTCTCCGTTACTTCCTCACAGATATCCGATGACAGGTACAAGATCTGGCCTCAGTCCCCTCCCAACCTGTGTCGAAAGGCCCCAGTTTACGCTCTGTTAAGGGCACCGCTGTTCTCGCCGACGTTGTGGCAGTGCGATGACCGCCAGAACCGAAGGTTCCCCGTCCTTCAACAGCCGGCCAATCAACCGGCCCTTATCGAGACGGATAGCTGGAAGGTATGGCGCCGATACTCCTTCGGTGGCAATGCAGCCCTGGCCGACGGTTGTTATGAGCTGAACTGGCCGTATTGGCTCTCTGACGAGGTAAGTCGAATCATTACTTAACTGGCCATAAACCGACGCTTAACCTGCCGCATATGTCTCCTATAACAGTGCATCGCTGCGGCTTCCTATCTCGACGCAATGTCTGAGGAGAAGAACAGGAACCAGCCCCTGTACCGCACACGATGGGTCTCTCCAAGGCGTATGTGGCCTCAAACCGACCCCAAAACGGAGGAGTTAAGGGCACCTTTGGCTGGCGACCCAACCAGGCCGGATCCCGCTGCTACCGGTGCGATTGTTTATCGGTCGATGATCCGACCCCAAACCGCCGCGATATGGGCGGCCCAAAAGCCCGCTTTGTGGGCGTTGATATACCCGGATCCTCCTGTACCGGCAAGTCACGCAGAGCGACCGACGCTCGAGGAGTTGGTGAACGGTCCGAACGCGCTCGCTGAGCACAAGCAGACCTGGGCGAGATCCACCCAGTTAAGGGCCTGTCAAGTGCCCGATAAGACTAATGCCGAGATCTTGGCCCTGGCCGTCGAGTACGCCGTAGCTGATGCGGCCGCGCTGGAGGCTCAAGCGGAGGCGTTGACCGGGGCTCTGGCCGCTTAACCAGGCTCGATCGATGGTCTATGGGGGTGGGTTTGAGATGGGTAAAGGCCCGTTATATTCTTACGACAGCGGGGAATCGACTTACGCAAAAAAAAAAAAACTACAAAAAAAAGGAAAATACAAAACGACAAGGTTAGGGGTGAGTTACAAGCCACATACAAGGCTGTTATGCAGGGCCGATGGTTTTAATACCCGATTGACAACAAGTTGGCGAGGAGGAAGGGCACTAATCTAGACAGGCAGATGTCGGTTGTAAATAGCGACCGATAGAGGCTTGTTAACGGTCCGGTTTGTCTCCTTGACCATACCATCAATATTGTCCCTTGACTTCAGACTCTTGTACACGCTTGAACAGCCCAGATAGGGGGCGACGAGGAATGCGTTATCGGGCCTTTATCGGGCCTCAATTCGGTCAGAGATACAGGGCGTAATCCTGCCATTATGAAGGCGTCCAAGGGGATCGCCTCAAGAGATTGCCGAAATGTTCTAGATTGGTACAACCGTACCTCCAAGCGAGAGCTGTATATGCTAACCATCAGCTATCGATCCGTTGAGGGGGCAGTTAAGGGTTTCCTCACTGATCGATAAGACATTGATAGGGATTGCCGGCAGTGGGAGGCATCGCATAACTGACAGCTTGCCGGAAGATGAGCCACAAGCGCTGTTGGATAACGGCCTCATGGTTGGTCACCTCAACGTCGTATAGTCCTGCGATAAGACAGAGATCGTCACCTGAAGCGACTTTCACAGGGTCGTAGACCGATGCCATTTGTTGAAAGTGGAAGAGAGTATCCCTGTATTCTGCCAGGTTACAGGTCCGATAATCGCCTGATTTGTCATTCCACACTCGGAATCGCTTTGTGGGGCCTTTGAGTCCGGTGTAGCGGGTCGACTTTTGACGGACAATTAACTGACGGGCTGACAGCCGGTTAATGGCAGGATCACCCTCTAATAAGTAATCGTGATCAGGATCTTCTAGTTTGAGCCGTTTCTGTATTGCAGGCCATGCGCGAGCTGATATGGCTTGGGCGGTTCCATGTGTGGGCTTTAACGTAGCGTTACTGGGCGCTGAGAACGCCAGATTAACCCCAGTTTCGAGTTCGTCTAGATCGGTGATCATTTGGTCGAGAAACTCTGCGGCTGCTGTACCCCGTTCTGTTGTATCCTCCCTGATACGGGTCAGATTGGCGGCAGCTAAGCGTTCCGCAGGAGTTGTTGCACCGGCCACTAACAATGCATGGAGCAGAGCAGCCGTAGCGGACCGATATTGGGCCTGTAACAGGGTAGTTTCGATCTGTTTACCATTGGTGTTAATCTGCTTGAGTAATTTGCCGAGGCGCTCTGCAGCAAAGACCCAAGTCGAATACACAGGTCCATGTAGCAGTATGTCGTCCACTATATGGGCGATTTGATGCCAGTTACGGGTCCGTTGTATTCCTGGATGTAGGAGGAAGACGAGATCTTGCCACTGCCGGATCAAAGTCCGCAATACGGCCACCTGTGTTCGACTGATATTGGGCCTCAATGCGACCACATTAACCTCCGATAAGAGCAGGGAGCACCGCAGTTCGCTGTCCGTCAAAGCCGGGTTATGATCTCGGTGGCCAGGCGGTATGTTTCTGTTCATCTGCCAGATATCTGGCCAGATAAGGGGCACATAAACCTCCGTCCAGGTTCTCCACTGGGCAGACGTCTTGGTTCCGCCCTTGATGTCGAGGAAGCCTGAGGGGATTGCTTCATATATGCCTGTAGGAAGCACCACCTTGTCACGTACGCTTATCAGCCTCTTGTATGACGAGACAAGGCGCCATTAAGGATCCCATACCTGACGAATGGCTTTACTTATGGCGACAAGGTTTGCAGGGGTAAAGACCGGCTTCAAGACCTCTTTTGCCCGTCTGGTTGGGTTGACCCTTGTCGGACGTGATAAGGGTGGGTTAGAGGGTGGTCTGGGAGGCGCCATAGAGGTCGACGGTTCAGCGGATGCCTGCGATGCAGCCATGGCCTCCTCCAGGGTCATTGAGTCGTCCAGAACAGCGGGGGATAATGCAGGTGCTATGGTGCTCGATAAGGGTGGATTAAATGTCGGCCTGACGATGGGCTCAGGGAATAGCTCCCCGTCAGTCGAATCGACTTCAGAGTCGTCGTCGTTGTCCGGCTCGTTAACGGTCCCGTATTTGCCCACACAAAGGCACTTCCAGAGGTAGGTTTTGTCGTTGCCTTGAAGCAGGTTATGCATGGCATCGAAGACGGTACACCTGAACTTGTCGAAATACGGCAGCAACATAAGGGCCGATAGGTGACCCTTAACATCCGCATAAGGGGACCGATTGAGGGCGTCTTTAGCCATGGTTGAAGTGAATTTGATGGGCCGATAAGGGGGTGGTTTGGGTCCCCTAGTAGTTCGGGGTAACTGAGCCCAGTCGTTTCGTTTAGCCTCGGCTTGGTTGGAAAGAGCAGCCTGCTCGTTATCGTGCTCTTGACGGGCCTGTCGTATGGCAGATAAGCCGGCTTCTTCTCCGAATAAGATACCCTGGCAGTGATGATGCGAATCGCGAAGGGGAAAATCTAAGGTCCATGCCGTTAAAATTATCCAACAACTATCCTACCCCTGTCTGGTCAGACTTACCCTGTGTAAAGGCCAGACGATCGTGTGTGGCATGGCAGCGAGTGCACACATCAGATTTACGAGCTTGTGACGAAGCTCCTATCAGGCCGATAGCAGCAGGCCTATCGGCGCACACGGCGGCCAGTGCAAGGTGACATAACCGTCCGTTAGGAAACTTGGGAGTCCGAATCGAAACTGGCTGAAACCAAGCCTGGCGTAACTCCATTACCAGCGGCATAAGGAATTTATGGTAATTGACGTGTCGGGGCTCTCGCGGACCTATAGACAGCAAGATAAGGGCCAGTTAGAAATTTTATGTTGGCAGATCGAACAAGTTGCAATGAGCGCAAAGATACATACCGGGAATAATGCCAATAGGCATTATCATACTCTGAACTGACCTCAAACCTTGCGGGAAATTGACGATTTGGAGTGAGATATGTCCAACAGAGTACGGCGTCGACATCATCGATGATGAACGGTTGACCCAATCCAGGTAGAGATTCAAGTAGATAACGGGGACATCTCCAGGCCTAGGGGGGTCGTGTAAGAGTGGGTTACCGTCCGGTCCTAGGATTCGCTCAAGTACTTCACCATCCCATTGGTCATGCAAGATCGACTCGGCGGGACAAGTGGCCTCGTCCCAGCGGACTGCTAACTGACGCCTATCCTGCCAGTTAAACGCTAGGTCTTCCATACCTGGATGAGCCAGAACTCGTTCAAGCTGATAGCGTAAGGGTATACGTGAAAAGTCCAGGGGGACGTTGCCTTTCTCTCCGTCCATTACCTGGCCACATGCGGGGCAGTTAAGAGGCAGGTTGGCCGGTAGTCGGGCTGAGCCAACGGCTGAATATGAAACTGGTGATGTGACGTCGTACAGAACCTCATGGCAGAGCATATTCGGACACACAGGGTGTACGATATTGGGCACATAGGTGCCGGTTTTCCGATGAACAGTCCGAAGGGTTTGTGCCGGCGAGTCGCTGAGTAGGGAGGGTGCATCACTGTTGACCATTAACCGGGTGCTATCGACCAGGTTAAGGGCCCCCCTGAGAAAGAAGTGAATTAGGGTTCTGGCTGCGCCCGCAGCTTCGATGAGAATAGCGTAGGTGTAAATCAAGCGTTCCATGAAGGTTGTGCTGTCCTGGACTTGGTCGAGGCCTATGTAGTCCGACAAGGGCTCGGTATCCCAAGGATTGACTAAGACCGAAGGTATGTCGTAGGGCCAATCGTCCAGGTAATCATGGAGCTCGGGGATATAAGGTAGAGCTGGCTCAGGGGGGGGCATATCGGGGGGGTTATCTGGAGGGTTAAGGGTGCGTTGTGGGTCGTTTTCGGATGTCGGTGATTGATTAAGGTGGCCGGGATCGTCCAGCGAAATACCATCGAAGGGGGTATCAAAAGGGCCGTATTGCGAGGGGCTTAACGTACCACCAAGTGGTTCAGTAGGGGGGTGATAGGGCTGAGTTGGAGAGGAGGGGATGTCGAGATCAGGTGGTACGGCGGGGGGGAGTTGGCTGTTCTGTATTTCATTAAGTAGGTACTGCCGCTCTTCTGCCTCTCCTGCTAAGCGCCGGATATGAGCCAGATATTTTCTTCCAGTAATAACCCTGCCTCGGCGGGAACAGTGGCTGCATAGGCAGAGTCCTAGTCTGTTAAGGGGCTGTTGAGGAGCAAGGATAAGAGTCGGTTAAGGGACTGATAATTCGCTCACCACCTGGGCCTCAAGCATAGCGATACTGCGGCGGGAGTAGTCGGGAGGAGTCGGAAAGGCGGATACCGACATCTGGAACGGTAATATGATGGTAGTCTTATTGTACCACTAACTAGCAACTAGCATACGGGCTTGCAGCGAAATAGGGGTAAGAAGTGATGATCGACTTGATCATATTACAGACAGGCGCCACGAAGGCAAAAGACCCCCGCGTCCAAATCCATGGGGGTCGGATAAGGGCCCGTTAAGCTAAATGCTTAACCGTCGCTTCTTATCCTACCCTTATCCTACCCCAAAAAATCTTAACCGGCGCGCGCTGATCCCCTGTGCGGGGAACCCTTGAATGCTCCCCCGTTGTGCTGACTAAGCACTCGATCACGTGACATGTCTCTATGCCGGCCTGCCCGGACCTGCCCCCGCAACCGTACCGTGTTAGGCTCGTTGGTTCACTTTGTCGACTTGTTTTGAACGTTTGGACCTGTGCACTTTCGTCTCCCGATCACCAAGCTACATCGCAACGTTCTGGATCACTTTAGATACGGGATCTCGTCAGGAAAAAGCGTATCATCACGACGGGGTCGGCATCAGTTCTGACATTCCCTTCGAAGACTGGCCCGGATCACCTTGGAACTTCGTACCGGTGAGGTGACGTGTAAGACGTCATTACAACCAAAGTGGACGAGCAGGCAAGAGATTCTGTTGCAACCATGAGCCGGTAAGGCGAACTCTTCTCTTATCTACCGGCAAATACCTTCACGGCACGCTCACCTCTTCTGATCTGCTATTGCTATAGGCTAACATCCACCACCCACCGAAACGCCTACACCTCCAACCCATCGACCTCCACCACTCCTCGTCCCTCTTCATCGAATTCCAACTATGCCTCCGGTCCCGTCTTACTCCCCAACGCCCACGCTTCAGGGTCTTTGTCCGGAGGAACTGGGAATGCTAGACAAAACCTCTACGGTCATCCGTATTCTGCACCCGGAAGCGGGAGGGGTACGCCGACGTCAATACCGTCAAACTCGTATGCGGAGAGTCCCTATGGAGCGTCAACAGGAGGAGGCGGAGCATACTCGCATTCTAGGTCGGCACACGAGGTGGAGAGGCAGAACGACGAAAAGTTGGAAGGGCTTTTAGGGAGGGTGAAGCTGTTGAAAGATGTAAGTATGGTCGAGGGTTGAGATTGCGCGGCGCATGAGGAGCTGCTGATCTAGCCGTGGTATATGTCATGTTAGATCACGGTTGGGATTGGGGATGAAGTCCGGCAGTCGAATATGGAGCTCGGATCGATGGCAAGTCTTTCCCGATCTCCCTCGACTGATTCGTATTCGTTGCTCACTCCTCCATCTTTGATCTCTATATTCACCCACGACCCTTTCTCCCTCATGTTGGTCTGTCACGTCCATTTCACATCCTGCCTCTCCCCTCCACCGCCGACCTCATAATCATTACCCACTGTCACACCTGCAGACCGACGCATTCACCTCGACATCCACCCTCCTAGGCGGGACTTTCAAGCGGATGAACAAGATGGCCAAGAAACAGGGGGGAAATTGGTGTTGGTTCATGTTATTCCTGATATTGGTCCTCTGGATCTTTATCGTGGTCTGGTTCAAGCGGAAAACGGTTGGGTAGGGGGACAAGTGGGTGGAGACTCCAATGTAGGATTGCAGACAACTCCAGGAGAACGGAGATGGCCGTATGACGGTCGAAGGAAGTTCTAGGGGTGGATTGTATTGGACGCTTTCGAGACCGCTATAATAATGACGAATTTCTAGATTTGTGAACGCTGTAAATCGCCAACTCTTTTTGTACAACACACTCTAGATCAAATTGACGCTAGGTCGGGGTGTTGTGGTCCATCCGACCGTTTCCTTCATCCAACCCATCACTCCGACTTCCTTAGACGTATACGCCGACGGTACAGAAGAGGGCCACTGCGCCAATCCCGGCCAGGGAAGAAGCTCCGAGAGCAGAGAAGATCTCGAGGGGTATCGATCGAGCCTTCGGGGGCAGACTATGTCATATTAAGAGTTGTCAGAGCACAAGGAAAGGGTTTCAGGTGAGTGAGCGAAGTTATAAATGCTGATCAAAGGGATCCTGGACGTACGTGGTGAACCAAAAGGTCAGGACGAAAGAGGCTGCCAGCGTGAGGAACGCGATTGTAGGTAAGGCTGATACGGGAAGCGGGGAGGTCGTAGGTGAGGAGGAGAGGAAGAGCTCCTGTGGGACGACAATGAAAAATACATTGTCAGTGAGGCTGGTCGAAGGTGGTGGCATGAGCGGGAGGTCAGTCTACTTGCCTGGGCTTGGGTGTAGGAGGACATGTTGGGCAGTATTTCCAGTTGATGATATTCCGCCGTGAGAGATAACCTGTGCAGTCGAGTCACAGCCCTAGCTCAATGTGGTAAGTCTCTTGCTTCGAGCTGTTGTTAACAACATATACAATATGGAGCTTGGAGGTAGATGCATAGGTTGTATGTACCAGGTCGCAGGTCGCAGGGTTGATCGGGATGATCCGATGACGACCCGCTTGAGGTGGAGGTCGCAGCTGCACAAGTTAGGCCATGTAGTATCTTGATCGGCAACCTTACAACCCCGACACCGATATATCCAGGTATCATCCTATACCCTGACAGGACTAGCGATGAAAGAGTGATGGCAGAGACTCTTACCACACCGACCCGAGCAAATCCGGCTCGATCACGTTCGGGAACGACTGCCACAACGGCCTCAACTGCGTCGCATCTCATTTCTCCCTCTCTGCTTCGTGTAGCATCAAGCAGCTCGACATCGACCGTCCGGCTGTCCAAAGATCATGCTGGACAAAGCGGACTTAGAGCTGATAATGATGATGGCGGAACTATGCTTGACCCGATAGGAGGAAGAGGGGGAGAGATGTCACTAGGGATTCCTCAAGCTGGACCGTCGAGGAGCCGAACGCCGAGCTTGTACTTGGGGCAGAAGGAAGGATCGATCAGGTCACGAAGTCGCGGGCTATCACCAAGTAGTACAGGAAATTCCACCTCTTCTCTATCGCCTTCGTTATCTTCTTCCCCAAGCCGGGAAATCCAGCCTGAGTCGGTCGAGCAGAACGGGACGGGAACCGAAGCTGGGGGTTCGAATCTCGCTGATGCTAGGATAGGCTTGAAGAGGTTGATCAGCCGGGATCTGACTACGAACCCGATCTCAAAACCGACTTTGTCTCCAACTCTATCGCCAAACATCTCGGGAAATGGCGAGGCAAAGGGTACCGATAGGGGTATGGTTTTGGGCAACGGGAAGGGTAAAGAGAGGGAAGGTGAGTCCAAAACAAAGCTTTGCCATATGTCGACATGTGCAAAATCTGCGGGTTGATTTGTCTAAGATTGGCGATCATGTTTATCTCCTGCGACAGTTGGATTTTCTCCTCGCCGGTATTACATCCTGACTCATGCGGGGAAACCGGTCTTCGATTCGTCAGTCGTCTCTTCCACCCGTTCAACATCGCTCGGCTCAGTGATCAAACACACAAACATCCTACTGATATCATCCCATTCCAAAACTTACTTGTATCAACCATCTGTGTACTCACGGCTCAGCCTAGAAGTCGAAGAAGACCAAACGACAAACATGATGGGCGTCATCCAAGCGCTCATCTCCATCTACGCGGAATCTGAGGATAAACTCCGCTCGATAAAGCGGGGGAGGCATAAGATCGTCTTCCTGCTCCGCTCACCGGTTTATCTGTTCGGTACTTCGGACTGGGGAGAACCGGATTTTGTCGTGAGTTTCTGGCTCCTTATAGCTCAGGGCGAAATCCAGATGAGATCGAGCTGATTCGAGGCTTGTTTCTTTATGATGAAACAGCTGAGGACGCATCTGGAGCTTTTACATTTGCAGTTGCTATCCATCGTAACCGAGGTACAACTGAAAAAGGTGTTCGCCAGGCAAAGCAACTTCAATTTGCGGCGTCTGTTGGAAGGTGAGTGCATCTAAAGCTTGCTCTTTGAACCAGTATATATCATCTGAAATCGGGTCTGATGATCGTATCGTTCAGGCACCGAGACATCTCTCCATACTCTCTTAAATGATATGCAGATGGACTTGACGTTCATGACTTCGGCTCTACAGCCTATGAGGATGGCACCAGCGCTGAGGGATGCAGCTGGGCAAGCTTTAGCGCCCACCGACAAGATCAGCGTAAGATGAACTTCAAAGCAATGTCGGGCTCGATGTGCCCGGATACTGACTTGTTTGGATTCGTCTATAGGATCTTCTGTATGTCTTATTGCTGGTCAATGACAAGGTCGTCACGCTGCTCAGACCACGGAAACATTCTATACATCCAACCGGTAGGTCTAAGTCATGCGCGACACGATTGACATGACCTCACCCGGAACCACGCTCCACCTCTTGTATTGCAGATCTACATCTTCTCATGAACGTGCTCCGATCGTCCCCAGGCCTAAAATCATCAGAAACATGGCTTCCCCTCTGTCTACCCAAATTCAATCCCAACGGGTTCGTTTACGCCTTGATCGATTACGTCAAGGATAACATCGGCTTGATATTTGTTAGTGCGGATCGGGAGGGGTTTGAGCCGCTCCAGGCATGGAAGAAGAGCGTGGTCAAGGTGAGCTTCGAACAGCCAGTTAGGCAGAGGCTCGATGTGATTGACGTGATATGTGCAGAAATTGGAAATGGACAACATGTTCAGCAAACTAGAGATGGCTGGTCTGGCGGATCCCTATCTTTGCAGTAAGTATTGCCCTTCTGGCCTACATGTTCGCGATTTCGATATTTTCAAGCTGAATACCGTCGTGCAACAGTCGATCCGGGTTATCCAGGGCTGCGGCATTTCTGGTATAAATCTCGTCAGAACGTGCAGGTCACGATGCCAGTGTGGGAAGCGCCGTACGACGAGCCAAATCTTGCTAGGCGGCGGTGAGTGGAACGTCTGCGATGCGTCAACGGTGCAAGGCTGATACGATTTCAACGATTATGACAGGCTGGTGACCATATATCAACGTCTATACGATGGGATACATGCGCGATCAGGCCAAGCGGAACCGCTGAAACAAGCTTTCATCCGAACCGATTCAGAAGCATGTTTGGGTTGGGTGAGTGTATTCTCGATGTCTTCGGGAAACGAAGTGCATGCTGCATGCTGAAAACATATATTCACGGGCCGCCAGATCACTCCATCGTTCGAGCTATATGTGGCGGTAGACGCTCATCTGCCGAAAAGCGCGGCTGTAGCAGCGGCAAATGCAGTCGCAAGATGGGTCCGGAAACAGGAGGCATGGATGTTCTTGAGAGAAGCTCCGGTGTTTTAGGTAGCATTTCAGGCTGAAACGTGAGATTGCATATATCGCGAAGCGCAAATCGTCATGGACATCATGATCAATCTTATATGTCCGTTGGAGAATCGCGTCGCGTCGGAGGCAGAAAAAGGTTCCGGTAATGGAATGCGATGCACCCTTCTTGATCTTGATTCTCGGGTTATACGGGTTATCGCCTTGCCTACTTCGTCTTACCGAGCTACCGAGCTATCTATGACCTTCGCATCTACGCAGTCAGAAGAGCCTCGACTGACTACCTAGGCGAAATTCAGCTCGATTCAAGAGAAAGAGGTCTGCGCAAAAGATCAACAAATCATGGCTCCGTACGGTGATCTGCACAGGGTGATGTTGCAGACTCTGATGTCACGCCGAGCCGTCGAGCAAGAAACAGCGAACGAACTGTACAGGAGAGCCTATCTGGCCGTCAAGGGTGAGCTTCAGGGTCCTCCGGTGTTTCGATGACAAACCTGTTGCTGAAGCTACGCAAGCAGGTAGAGAGTTTGGATCTGCGAGCGTCTCTAAAGAGTTACAACAATTATTACAAGACCTGCAAAACAAGATTATAAGGCTCGATCTGGACATCCGAAGGTTTCCCGAACAGAACGACACGAAGCGACATTGGATATGTTTGGTGAGCGCGATTATGATCCTCTGATACATAGGTCACAGAGACTCACTCGACTTGATATACATATTGATGCTCGACAGGTGAACAAAAGACCGTTGGCGGACGCGAACGAACTGTCCAAAGCCGTTTCGGACCTCTCGCCTTTGGAGATCAGTTACTACCGAGAGATTGTGAGTTCTTTATCAGACTATCGTCTACTATGGAAGCTTATTCGTAAGGGGATTGACCTTGATTATCATATATAGGTGTTGCAAGTGGTCGACTCATACCCAGCCAACTCTATCGGCTCGAAACAGGCTCTGCAGACTGCAAGCGGACTGGACAGTGAGCAGGCGATGCGATTCTTCTCTATCCATCTCCCTTCTGATTCTTGTGACTTCTTTACCCTGAAGCTCCGATACCGAAGACTAATGCAGAGGCGTTGCTTCGAGCTCTCGTATCGCGGGGCTGGCTCGCGAAGTCATCGTGAGTCTGACCTCCACAACTTCACAAGAAATAACATCTTGGCTAAAGGGCTAGGTGAACCATCAAACCTCCATTCAACATAGTCGGGGAAGGTATTCCCTAGGCATCCGGGCAATAGCCGAGCTTAGCGATTGGTTGCGGGAAACATATGGGGATCCTGCTGAAGGTGACAGTATCCTCAACTCGTGCTCGTTCAAGGCGTCGAAATCGATCGAATGCAAGGATCTGGTCTTGACCGTGAGCTGGCTTGGGAAGATGGAAGCTCTTTTCGTGCTCTCCGTTAACTCCTCGATCTTCCTCGGTGGGGTTTGCAGGGGTGGAAGTGTGAACAGCCAGATTGTGAGTCGTCAACTACAGCCGAGAATCAGGGTCTGATTTCTCTTTCCGACCTCTTCTAAATTCTCCAGGCGGAGCTCATATCCATCACTTTTGCAAATCGAGGATGATTAAGGCAAAGAAATCGACATGCGGTGCATGCGGCCAGCCGTTCGATCCTCAGGCGGAAGGAGGAATCGAGATGTCACCGATTGGGGAAGACGCAGTCTCGGAAGCGGACGATAATAGGGTCGTAGCCTCGAAACGAGGCAAGAAGAGACGGAGTGAGGCTGCGAACGGAAACGGACACGGGTCAGAAGAACCAGAAGCTAGTGTCGGGGAGGAAGACAGTGAAGATGGGGATGAGGTTGCAAGGCAAGGAGAGGAGAGGGGACGAGCGAGCCGGCGATTAGCGTCTCAGGTCCCGGTCTCTCAGGTGGAAGGTTCCGAGGCGGATGATTCGCAAGAGTATGAGAGCGAGTAGCACGGTGGATTTCGCCAAGTAAGCCTCACTATGCGAGCATGACGTCGAGGCTAGCATGAGATTGACTATCACCTCTGACTTTGTCCGCTGCGCACGAAGGACCTAGATAGGTTGCGTTGAGGCCTTTTAACGACGATTTTTACGAACTCACGGTATCCTCTCCAATGAGCCTACATTCCTACGATCAGCACCCTATGTCTCTTCCTCCCATTGTAGCAGTCGTCATAGCTTGTAATAACGATAGACACCAACCTCAGCGAGATTGCAATCCCATGTCCCGGTCGGACAAATATCGCCCGTATGACCGCCAAGAGATCGACCTCGCGTGCCAAAGTTAGAAGTCCTGCTGAGCTAGACATCTTGCATCTTGACTGTCACCTCGTGACCTCGCCCTACACCTCGAATAGCTTTATCGACCTTCTCTGGGTAATCAACCATTGTCAGGCAACAGGCTGACCATATATATCTGTTCCGTAATATCGACCCTGGCACGCCGAAGCTTTGCCGGCGTCTGATGTCGTCGCGTTAGATCTGCTCGATCAGTTCTTGCTGTTCGCGGTCAACTGGGCATCCTCTCCACGTTAGATGCTAGCCAGGGTCAATTGGGACGTCGAAGACAATTCAAGCATGGACTCTATGCCCCCTCCTCCACCCCATCCGTACTCGGGGTTCGTCCCTCAAGCTTCGTCGTCGACAGGATCACTGCGGTTACCGCACGATATGGCGAATCGGAACAGGAGTAATACGGTCGCTTCCCTTTCTAGAGGTTCTTCGCCAGTGCCCATCAACGCTGCGTTGCCATTCAATCGAGGTCCCGCACCTGGAGAGTTGTTTCATCCCCCTGATCTCACGCCTAGACGAGAAGGCTGGCAAGGCATACAATCGCAACAGCAGCACAATCACTCTCAGTCGTCAGGTGCATGGGTCCCTCCGGCACCTCTGCGTATCATTGATTCGCCTAGCAAAGAGTACATGAGCCGCTCTGGCTCGATGGATGTCAATGCCATGCGCAAAATGTCGGAAGACGTCCACGACAGGTCGATCAGTCGGGAAGGTCAACCTCGTCGGACACCTAACGGTCATTCCGATGGCTCAAGGTTAGGCCATAGTCATCACGCTCAGTCTCCGGAGCATCGCCATCAAAAGTCTTCCACGAGCTCTGGTAGCTCGCCAGCTCCAATCGTTGGGATCGCAAAACATATAGTGGCCGAATCGGAACATAGCAAGGATGGAGGAGATACTCTGGACCTAAGCAGGCGGGGTATCAAGTTGATCGAAGCGGACGACGTGGTGATGCTTCGCACAGCAGTTGGTAAAGATCGACTCGGCGTCTGGCGGTGAGTCGCTTCGAGACGGAGGATCTGTTGTACGAATACCGATTGACGTCTCCATAATAGATTGGCGCTCTCATACAATCGCTTGACAGCCAAATCTTTCGATCCTACTTTCAACACGCTCACTCGACTGCGTTATCTGAACCTTAAGGGCAACCGACTGGCTACGATACCGCAAGTGGTGAGTACTGAGCGATGGTTACGGAATTTGACACTGTCTGACATGTTCCATTGGTTATTTCTAGCTGTTGGAGTTGCCCTCCTTGGAAATTCTAGACGTCAGCAAGAACGAGCTAGTGACTTTGCCGGACGACCCTGGCAGATTGGTCCAGCTGCGGGTGAGCGATGCACTATGGATGCTATCTACGACCGTTCCCAAGGTCTGACATTCGGTATCATGCAAAGGTCATGGCCCTATCCCATAACAAGTTGCGCAAGTTGCCAGGATACCTCGTGCACTTCGCCAACCTGAAAGTACTGGTCGTCGACCACAACCCTATCGAATGGCCTGTGAGTCGCTAGGCCAGTAATCACATCGAGGTCACACTCGTCTCACTATGACTTCCTTCCATTCAGCCTCCTGAGGTTCTGGAGCACAAGCCGGAGCCGATCGACTTGCGGGGAGGTACCAAGGGAAGTACTGACAGCACGAGCCACAAAAAGGACGATCAGCTCTGGATTGCTTCTATCAAGGACTGGATGAGGACGCATGAGCAAGAGCAAGTCCGACTGGCAGCTGAGAGTTTGCGCAACATGGGGTGGGTGAAAATGACCAGGCAAACCAGCCTATAGAGCTGATCATACAATGTTCGCGTAGGGAAAGTGAACCCCCTACATCGCCGTCCGCACAGCATTCGCGATCGAAGCAGTCGCTTTCTTCGATTCCTGACGAAGGCGAACCTTCTTCCTTGCCTTGGTTGATTAGAAGAACAGGGTCAAACGACTCCAGAGGCTCTACCAACGGGCCACTCTCACCCCCTCCAGCAATACGATCCGAGCCTCATCTCGGGTCTACCAAGAGAAGACGAGCCAATACTACAAGGTCAGAGGTTGACTCAGCCGGCACACCACTTTCGAGCGAGGATCCGTCTCCTTCGATGTCGCCCGTGTCGATCGATCCGAAAGCGGAAGGATTGGTTACTCTGGCTCGAAATGTCTCCAGCAGCTCGACCCTCAAAGACGGAAAATACGGTCCTGGCCATGCTCGTGGATCCAGCTATACTGCTTCTCAGCGGTCGAGCACCAATTTATCGACGAAAAAGTCGCTGCCAGACTTGCGTCTAAGTCATGCTCAAATCCTGGCGGACCGAAGATCCCTCGAGATGGATTCCAATCGAGATTCTCTGACCCCAACTCGCGCGGTGAATATTGACCCGCTTAGTCAGGCAGGAGATCTGGCAAGAACACCTCAGAAAACGCCTTTCGAAGACGATGTCCAGAAAGGCGAAGCCAAGCATATCGCCTTTTTTGAAGTAACTCCCAAAAAGGCTATTGTCGACAAGGAGAATGCGGCAGAGGAGCGTAACATCGGGGACTCGCGCAATTCCTACTTCAAGCGACTCTCCACTTTGCCTGCCTCAAGCATGTCCAAGGCTATACCCGCGGCTTTACTCGCTAGTATTGATGCCATCCGGGGGCTTCTATTTGCCATGTCGCAAGTCCATACGTCGCTGCAGCAATACCTAACTTTTGCTGCGGACGACCGGGTGGCTAGCGTCTTTGCCAGAGTGCTAGACCCGGCTGCAGGGTATCTTAATGACCTCATTGGATCACTCGACCGCTTTGATCTGGTATCGCAGCGCAGAACGCCGCACGCCTCCATCATTCGACCGGTCATTGAGAGCTGCCGCGATAGCATCGCCGTTTTCGCCAAAGTGATGGGGGTACTGAAATTGCAGGTCGCAGCGCTGAGATCGTCAGCGGATCTTCGGTATACCAAAACTCTGTTCCTTATGGTCTACGGATCATTTGGAGAGATAGTGGCATCCTGGCAGGCCTTGGGGCCGCTGTTGGAGGAGATCAAGCCTTTGCTCCGAGAGACGTCTAAAGAAGGGCGACACCGGCCGGGAGCTTCCTACAGCAGCTCGTTGAGGACGCCAATCTCGCCGATACCAGAGCGGGGAGAGTCACAATCGCCTTCGTCGTATGCCGTGAAGGCAAAGCTCGCCATGTCTCCGGTCACCGCTACCATAGACCTTGTGGCTAAAGGTTCGCCCATTCGGCCGATGGGCAATGGTCGAGAAAAGTCTCGGCGACACGCGGGATCCTTTTCGGCCGAAGACGTGCAGACTGGCATGATGTTAGGACCAGACGGACTGGTGTCGGCCGCGTCTTCGGATTCGGGGTCTCGAGACATGCCAATGATCCCTCGAAAAGCCTCGCATCTGCGACAGGAATCGACTGCCAGTCAAGTGATACTCGAGGCTGATGAGGAGGACGACCAGGATGACGCATCCGTATCCATGCCTCCGATCAAGAATCCTTCGAGGGAAGGCAGCTTCGCAAGGCATGGACCGTCCTCATCGGCTGGATCTATGAAATCGTTTGGTGCGATTCGCAGCCATCTCCGCCGAGAAGGCCATCTCGATGGGACTCCCCCTACTCCACGCAGTGCGGCGACTGTGGTAGATGAAGGCGTACTGGATACGCTGGAACAAGCCTCGGATATTGCGTATACCGTTTGGCTCCGCCTGTCGGAAGAGCTACGCGATCCACACGATCAAGCTTCCACACCCGGCCGGCTTGGTCTGGCCAAACTTAATACTTCTACCAGCTCGCCTGGCCACGGTGGATCATCCCCTCTGCCGCGATCGGAACGTGTCATCGAGCTCTTGGCGAGGATCGCGATGGCTGAGGAGACAACGCGGCATCTTCATGAATCGCTGATGGAGGTACGGGCAGGCGCACACTCTGGAAGCTATGCGTATGGCTCGGGACCGGTCCCCGGGATCGCCGAGGTACGACTACCGCACAACGCTCAAAGCTTTATCAAAGCCGTGGTCAAGGTCTCAGAGCTTGCCATACTTGTCAGCAAAGAGAGGCCCTTACCCATAAGCGTGAGGAGCCTCTTGGCCAAGTTGACGAGCAAGACTAGGGAATGTGGCATCCTGTTACAGGTCTCGACGCTCAAGCCAGTCTCCGCCGGAGGTAACAACGGGTTGCCCAGCGCTGGTCCTCCCAGTTCTGGGTTCCGACCCTACTCTCCAGCGTTTGGTCTATGATCTTCTCATGAAGGAAATCATTTCACGACGAATGTCCGCAAGACACGAATTACGATGACGGCGACGCCCACCTGTATAATGACATTACGATGCAGACTTGAACCTTTGATTAGATATATGCTCAGTCGATCGGCGTCGATCGATCGATCAAGAAGGTTCATCTTGTAAGGAACAATGATGTTCAGAAGTCTTAGTAGAATCGCATGCAGCTGGATACTTGACTTCATCGTTCGACCGTTCCGCTATCCAACACGCTATTCCGATGTCGAAAGAGGGCGTCTGGTCCGAAGTATTGCAGGCCTGATGACTCGCTTCATCAGACATTCGTCTCTGGAAGGCTCACGGATATGTGTCAGCGACCGGCTCGAATCCGAGAATCCGTGCTGAGATACGATGTAATATCGGCTCCGTCACAAGAAACCCCGCCAGCGAAGCGCATGGCGTTTCATTTTAATTTCGCCCAGCGGGATCAAATTGAACATGAGGCGTTTGAGACTTTCGTGCATGCAGGTCCTTCGGGTCTGCACGTTTGCAATAAAGGGGAATGTCAAGAGACAGGATTGCACTTAGCTGTAGATTTATATGATAAGTTGACGTCCGAATATTTGAGCCGTCCTCCAGCAAGGGCCGTGAGGTAGTGGAGTAGCGCCGTGAGGAGGAGGAGGAGGGCTGCCGGTGGGAGAGGTGGAAGACCAACATAGGGAGAAGGAGGTAACCAAGCGATGCGACCATCCGGAAGCCGGACATGTTTGAACCCCTTCAGCTCCAGCAAAGGAACGTAACCAGGTGTGGGGGTATCTTCTCGAACGTATACCGGTGCATGTTCGTCTCGACCTTGTTTGTCCTCCTCATCCGATTTACCGACGTCTGGCTCGCCGTCATCGGTAGAATCCACAGTACAAGGTATCTTTTAGGTATCAAGCTTGTTTGTGATGGGGGTTCGATTGGTTGGCAGACGGGCGGTGAGCCAGTGCATTCGATTGTAATTGCAGCCCACCGGATACCACTCGGCAGGTCCGGATGAGCACGAGATCTCTCCAATACCATAAGATTCTCTTCCCTGGATGAAAAATTCAAGATCAGCCCTTTACTTGCCTAGACAGGTAGTTTAGTACGATGTAGTTCGTTTGCAAAAACATCGCGTTGACAATCCGTCCTGCACTGAGCGGGTTCGAGCGGCACGCAAGAGCAGGCAGCCTGGAAGAGCGATATAGAGCGTGATTGATATCGATGGTGAAGCAGGATGCAACGGATCTTCAAATTAAAATTATCCCTGTCGTAACGGAAACATACTCGAGTCTATGGCGGTCCGATTCACCATCACGGAATTGCGACCGCCCCTCCCTTCCAGTCACACAATCGCAGACGTTTTGCTATATCACGCCTGGATCATGAGAGGAAGTTGTGTTCCATTCCAATTATAGCTCACTCGTATGTAATCAACATAATCGGTATTCCTGATTATGATGCGGTGCAATTCATGAAATCAAGGGTCTCGTGTCGCGATATCACGCAATGAATTGTCAAAGGAAGTCCACAGGCATCATCTGGCAAGCCGAAGACTCGCAAGCATATAAGCACATAAGTATAGAGGAGTAACATCAAAATAAAAATGAAATAAAAAATGGGAAATCGCTGAGAACAATTCAGATCGATCAACAACGATAACTACTTTTCATCCCACTACATCCTTCCATCTCCCTACAATCCTATACATCATGAACAGCCAAGAGGATGTCAGGGCCGCCAATATCAGGGCCGCGACTATCAAGGTGTTGAGCGGAAACCAGGGACCCCTCAACGGAACCTCCCCGGGTGACATATTGTCCGCGACCTTGATGTCGGTATGGCGCTTCCTCAAATATGAAGCATGTGAGGATACCGAAAAGGGTGAGGTTGGGGCATGGGATACCAGTAGGTCTGACCTTCTGGAAACGTTGTCGGTAATCCGGTCTCAATTTGAGGATTTTGGAGCGCATGAGCAGGATGATCGGGCGGTTGTTGTGGAAGTCTGGCTGACCCGAACCATCTGCGAACTCGCTGGCCTCCTCGCTCGATGCCGGAAGGCTGCCCTCCGGAAGGAGAGCAGCCTTGCTAGCGAGTTGAGCCCGAAAGACCTCGAGACCATTGAATGTATTTTCGATCAGGGAGCAATCATAGCCCAAAGCGAGGTTCTGAAGCTTTGGTGCTGTCAGATGAGCTGGAGCGTCTATAATCATAAAAACCCTGAACACGAGACACCATATGAACTCTACAATTGGAGAACTTTCGAGCGGGCGAATGAAGAGCTGACACGAAGCGCGCGAAGCATTTTGTCCGATCAGGACAATAATGGGTCCACTGGAAGTATCAACTGGAAATCACTCAGCAACGCGGAGATCATCCGGGAAATTTCCGTTGCGTATACAGAATTAAACCAGAGATCTGCACAAGAAAGCCGAGTCTTGGGAACGTCTACGGCGCCCACTGTCACAAGCCACATGCCAGGCGGATCTTCGGCGAAAATGTGGTAGCTATCTTACGTCTGTCTGCCCGTGTTTGTCCACAATCATGTCTTTTGTATGAAACGATGACCTGTATGACCAGTATAGATGATCTCGTTGTCAGCGGGTTGGTCCAAGGGGGACCATCAGCGTAGGCAGTGTATACAGTTCCATCCACATCCAAGACCGCTCGCGTGTTTGGGCACTGGCGAAAACAACATTGCCGCGAAGGGCTGTTGCAGCGAGGAGATTCTACATCATTATTATTGTATCTGCAACGACTTGGAAACTGCACGCAGCGGTATCCTGACGATGCAAGATTTGCGGTTCTGACTGGCACTTCAGTGACCATAGAAGCGCTTAGCTTGCAGTTAAAAGGTAGATTTTGGTGGCCATGCGGGGAACTACGCCTACATTATCTGACTTCATCGGTATGCCAGCGATATGTACGTCGGGCGAAGTCTCCGAGATTTGCGGATTCGCCGACATCATCCCTATGCAGCCCAGTCGGTAATGCTCCAGAAGCTATACGACAACCCTTCGAACAGACGCGGCATGTCCCGCCTACTTCTTCTTCCTTAATTCTGATGTTGTTGACGAGACAACCGAAGCGGACCGCTGAGCGTTCCGTCCCTATTAAGGCGCACTTCCGATCAGTGTCGATTCGGACCTAAAAGATGACCCGTCGAGCCTGTGCACTCACGCTCTTGGGTACCGATCCTGTCATCTCGGGTCCGTCCTCCGATTTCGGCGTCAGATCCTCCACGCCAGCTGAGCCACTTGAATCTACCGGTACGGCGGCCGAACCGGTTGCAGCACCCGCGGGCGTTGGCACGATACCATCCCGCTGTGCCTTCAACGTTCTCACTTCGACCTCGACCCGATCCACGAGCCGTTTCATCTCGACCAAGCCTTCTGCAGAATGAATGACCTTTTCGAGTGCGACGACATTGTCCCTTGTGGGCATGACCAGTCGGACGGTCGAGATAGACATCTGGGACAAGAGCGCGTTCGTCTTGGTCGCCAGGTGGGGTTTTGGCGTTGGCAAGCGCGTGGATCGGAGGTAGACGGGTTGATGCGTGTTACGAGAGGTCGTGAGTTGACCCGGTTGGGGCGGAACCCGAGTGATGTTATTCCGTTCATCTTGATGGAAAGAAGATGGACAGATGGCGATTCAGCTGCGTATCAATATCGACGGCTAGACGGACGCGGACACTCACCGAACATTGGATCGACCTTTTTCTTGACGGGCGGCGGAGGTGGCATGTCCACGTCCTGTGCCGGTTCCCCATCCTCGCCCCTCCTCCTCTTCTTCAACTTGTCCGCCAAAACGCTTCCATCCGCACCTCTCGCGACTCCGACCCCGATCGCTTCCCCTCTTCCAAACGCCCTGTTCCCCTGTTCTCCAGGCACGAGGACGCCGGAATCCAAACCGCCCATGACGCGCATCAACTCTTCCCTGTCGGAGCGGTACCGCCGTTCAGTCTGTTCCATCCGTTTGAGCTCGACATAAAGGGCTTCTTCTTCCAGCATCTGCGGGCGGGTCAAGTGGAACAACGAGTTGGCGTACTTTTTCCTTGCCACCTCGCGATCTGTTCGCCATAGTCGCCCCGAAGAAATTCATACCGTCATACCGTCAGCTTGTGATTCTCTCACACCCTCAGAAGGACCGAAGACGACTTACGTATATCGTAATCGAAAGCCTTGACCATCTTCTCCTTGAACGCTTCGTCCACAGCGGGTCTATTTCGTAACAACCGCCTACACACGGTGTAGTACCGATCCTTGATCTCCTCCATCGTCCTCGTCTTGATATCCGTCTCGATCGGGAGCACGGTATGCGGCGCAGTCGAGGTCGAGGTGGAAGCGACAGGTGTAGCGCCTCGGCTATTCCGGCCCCCTGCCCCGACGCCCATCCTGGAGCTCCTCCTCACACTCTCCCCAGCTGAAATTGCAGCCTCCTTGCCCTTCTTCCTCCCTGAAGCCCCTCCCCCAGCTCCGGACGCACCCCCGGCCTTGCCTACTAAGCTCGGCCAAGCATAGACTCCTTCGAACCCGTCTTGTCCCGTCTTCCCACCAGGGGGAACGTAAGCGTACCGATCGGTCACCACGAGGAATCGAAGATCGTACGTCTTGAGCAGAGAAAAGAGGTAGTTGGTCTCGTGTGGGGTCCATTTGTCGTCTGCGAGACGTCCAGTACAAAGGCAGTCCGCGTAAGCCTATCAGATGTCGTTACAAACCGAACCAAATGATTCTACGTACCGGTCAACCAAGCCTCATACTCCACCTGACTATAACTCATGACGTTCGGCCCGTTCCCTTCCCTCCCGAAAGCCTCGAACGGGTCCTTCTCCTCTACCTTCCCCGCTGTCCCTTGTATAATGGGAGCCGTGGGGAGGGGTCTCCAGTGGTGCAGCGTAAGGGGAGTCGAGCGGTTAGAGGGTTGGAAGGGAGTTTGTCGCCTGGGCATGTGTCGGTCGGCGGAATATTGTAGACGCATGTAGAGAATCGATATGTAAAGCGAGGAGCAGACATTTCAGCGGACTGAGGTAACGGAAAACCCAAACTCCCGGCTTGGGGACCGAGAGTCTCGACTTACCACCTCCTGACAACCTTCTCCTTCCCCATCCCCTTCTGACCACCTCCGACCATCCATTTCCTCCCCGACCCACTCCCGCCAACCCCGCCCAGCCCAGCCAGTTCCGCCCTCACCTGGGCTAATGACGGCGCGTTGTCCCCGATCAAGGCGTACAATTCTCTCGTCAACCCATCCATCTTTTCCGGCGCTTGTATTTGTGCTTGTCCTGGTTGATTGAACGACTGAGCTTGGTTCCTGGTGGAAGGTTTCGTCGCGACGTTGGAATTGGAATGGGAAGAGGTGAGGCCTTGGTGGGGGACGAGGTCGTCCCGCCGTCGACCTTCGATCTGGATGATCTTGCGGGTAGGGATAGGGAATTCCCTTTCCGGCACCTTGAACTTGCCGTCGTCGTTGTCCTTGTTCACACTCCCACTCCCGCTCGCGGCTCCATTCCCGTTTTCTGCTTGTCGTGCCGTTCGAGCTTGCTCCTCGTTACCGGCGTCCACTTCCATCTTGTCTTGATTTTCACCTTCACCTAGACCTTGCGGAGAAGCAGAACCAGATGCAGCCAAGATCTTGGCCGCCTGAGCTTGAGCTTGCGTAGCGTATTTCCCCGACGGAGGTTGAAGGAGTTTGAAATCCACAACTGCCGACGCTGTAGCTTCGTTCGATTTCGAGTTTGAATCGGTAGACGCGCTGGGATCGGTCTGGGCCTCTCCAGCTGTCGTCGTGGTTCCTGTTTCGGTCGAAGCGGCAGCGGGGGGGTGAGGGACAATATCCCTTACATCTGATGCGGATGGCATGGTTGGTGGTCTCGTCCGTTGCGTTGATTCGCGAAGTAGGATGTGATAGGTAGGATGGCACCGAGCTTGCTTGCTAGGTGGATTGGTATTCCGTTTAGAACGAATGGACTAATCGATAGCTCGATGTGATTAGTAGCTTAGTAATTGATTAGCATGGATCAGCATGCATTGCTATCTGATTAGCTGTTGATTAGTATTTGATTAGTATTTGATTAGCATCTGATTAGTATCTGATTAGTATCTGATTAGTATTTCTACCTTGCCATCCTTCCCGCGCGCGTGTTTACTTTTTGTTGAGCGGGAGCGAAAAAGTTGCACCCAAGGAGATCAAGCAGGGGGGCGACCATGTCATACAGATCCATCTTATCCTCCTACATCCATCCTAGCCCCTCTCTCTATCTGATACAACAGACATAGACACCCAGCCATGCCGAAGAAAGCATCCATCTACCGTCAACCTGGCGCACAGCACTTTCAGCTCGTCCACCGTTCTCAGCGAGACCCCTTGGTACACGACCCGGATGCCCCGCAGCGGTTGTTCAAAGAGGTCGGGAGGTTGAACGACAAGCAGAAGGTGGGTGCGAATTACTCGATTACTCGTCCTAGGGTATCACCTGGCAGAGCGCTGACGGAACGTCTATTTCCACCCGTTCTTGGATATCTGCAGGGACAAACGCTAGCAGATCTCGAACGTACCCTCCAATCCACCAACCAGAATCTCAAGAACCCTCCTTTACGTGCCAACGAAGGGGAAGCCACCCTCTACGGCGTCTACTACGATGACACCGAGTACGACTACATGCAACATCTCCGGGGGCTCGAAGTGGACGATCCGAACGCGATGGGAGCGAGCGCAGGGCCGGACGAGGCGATCTTCGTCCCTGCTCCTGGGAGGGGGAGTACGGCGGTGGGCAATCGAGGAGCGGCGGGGAGGACGACGGTAGCTAGGTCAGGGAAGGAGGACGATTTCGCCCAAGGGTTCTTCAAGAAGGGTCAGAGCACGCCCCTGAACCCGGCCTCGTCCTCGTCTGGCTCGGTAGCTGGATCGTCGATCTTGCCCTCGACGGTACTCCCCTCGACCACGGAGAGGTCTTACCAACAGGCCATTGAAGCCACCCGAGCGATTCCCTCCCAGCTGTCCGGTTTTAGGCCCGATATGGACCCTCATCTTCGGCAGGTACTCGAAGCGTTGGAGGATGACGCTTTCGTGGAATCCGACGACGAGGATGTGGAGGTGGAGGTTTTCGACATGAAGAACATGAACACGAAAAAGGCGGGCAAGGGCAAGAAGGACTGGTTTGATGAGCTGCTTACCGGTGGGGAGAGGGGAGAAGACGAGCCGGACCTGGAGGAGGAGTTTGAATTTAGGGAAGAAGGGATCGAGGACGATGGGAGGCCTAGCTGGGTGGATCCTGCACTGAGACCGAAACGGTCCGAGGGTGACATTCAGGAAGAGGGCGAGGACGAAGGTGCGGAGGGGGAGACTTGGGAAGATCGTTTCCGCGCCTTCAAAGCCTCGGGAGGACTCGCCCGACCTACCTCTCCCCCCACCAACCCTCAAGCCGACGAGGAGGACGAGAACGACGACCTCGTCTCGGAAAAGGCCGACACGCTAGCTTCGCTCCGTTCGTTCGCCCCGACCGTCAACGGGGCCAAGAACCGGCGCAGAAAGGGCTCGAGCAGGGCAGGGGGGAGTCAGGCGAGTGGGTATAGTATGAGCAGTTCGAGCATGTTTAGGAACAAGGGGTTGAGCGTGCTCGACGAGAGGTTCGACAAGGTAAGCCAGAAGCGGGGGTTTGATATGAAGCAAGTTTTCGGAACAGGAGCTAAGTTGTGGCATGACACGCGCAGATCGAACGGGATTATGAGGACGAGGGCGAGTTCGACGAAGACGATTTCCCCGAATCCGAATGGATGTCCCAGGCGGACAATGACGATGCGGACGACGACAACGCCTCGGTCGCTTCCTTTGCCACCGCGACGACGTTTACCCGGATGCTACGTAAACAGCAGAGGGCTCAACAGAACGCAGAGACCGAGGTCTCGAGGGAAGATTTCGAGGCGATCATGGACGATTTCCTCGACAACTACGAGGTCGTGGGCAAGAAGATGGTGCAGGTCTTGCCTGGGCACAGTGGGGCGGAAAAGTTGGATAGCATGAGGAGGGCGTTGGTAGGGCTGGACCTCGAGGGGAACGGGCCTGTCGGCGGTCAACGTGCTCAAGAGGATGACGATGATCTGGGCAGCTTGGCAGGAGGGACCAAGAGGGAGGCGGACTACATCCGGGAGAGGTATCTGAAGGAGGATTATTATGCGGGCAAGGGGAGGGAGGAGGAGAAGATGCCGATGCTGCATATCGTCGGGCAGGGCAAGGAGGACAAGTGGGATGCCGAGACCATCTTGAGTGAGTACGACTTGTTGATGAAGATGATATTTGGGACGATGATGATAGATAGATCGTTATTTGATGCTGATATGGTTCGAATTGCATTGTAGGCACCTACTCGAACCTGGAAAACCACCCGCGGATGATCGGGGTGCCTCGAAAGGAGAAGAAGAAGAAACACACTCCGGTCGTCCCGCAACCCGAACTGGACGAAGAGGCCGAACCGTCTCTCGACGGATTCTCCCAAACCGGGGACGACTCTGACAACGAGAGCGTCTCTAGCGATGGGACCGTCCGTGCCGAACCGCGTGCCCCGCCCGTGAGACCCCGCGGAGAGACGAAAGAGGACAAGAAGGCGAGAAAACTCGCCGTCAAGGCCGAGAGGAGCGCACGACGTGTGGAGAAGAAGACGAGGCAGGAGACGTTTGGGATGGAACGCAAGTCGCAGTTGAAGGGGCACGAGCGGGCCGTGGCGGGTGGGAGGGCATCGGACCTGACGGCGCTGGCGAGCGGGGGTACGGGGACGATCAATGTGGTCAGGTTGTGAGCGAGGGCCGTGAGGGAATTGCTGCGTTATTGTATCATGTAGCGTCTAGATAGAGTGTATAGTGTTCTACAACAATATCATGGAGGTCTTTGCTGCGGAATGTCTCTGATTTCGTCACCCCTGTTTTGCCGCCGATCTGCAAGCAATCATTTTGCTTCCGTGTGTGGTCACATCCCGGGCACAGCAGCAGCAGCAGCAAGTGGAGCGACGTCGGCAGCTGATGATGATCCAATTTATTATACAACAGCAGAGAGTACAACTTTGACTACCATGTCGATCTCCAACATTGATCTCTCATAACTCTCATCACATATACCACATAGTCTTCTCACAGTATAATATGTCTGCCAAAGATGTGAGTTGACCATCGCGATTCGATCCAGGTAACTGCGAAGCTCGCTGGGCTGGCTGTGATGCTATTTATGGAGAAGAGGGAAGTCACATAGCGGAAAAAGTGTCAAGACTCGATGTTGGAGGATGGCAAGCAGGTCGGGCATGGTGGGCGAGTTGGAATGGATGAGGAACCAGACGAAGAGGATTTCAGAGACTAGGACCTGTTACGGCGGACGAGCTGGGCGGCTCCAAACCGTCCCGATCGGCGACCTACGCCTCAGCCCCGCCTGGATCGAGTGTACCGTGCTATCCAGTCCGATCGAACAGCCCACTGACTCAGCAAACCTCTCTGCATCTCTTGTTGTTCATCTCTCGTAGTACTACCAAAACCAGCCCGACCGAGGTTTCGGCGGTCCTCAACAACAACAAGGAGGCTACTACGCTCCTCCCGGCGGACAACCTGGTTATGGTGGACAGCCGGGATATGGTGGACAACCGGGGTACGGCGGGTACCCCCAGCAACAGGGGTATGGAGCGCCTCCTCAGCAGTACGGAGGTGGTGGATATGGGGGACCTCCTCAGGGGTATCCTCAGCAGCAACAACCCGTACGTCATGTTTTACGTCTCGTTTGGCGCATGAACGAGCCCGATGTACAGTCACACGATCGCTAACCTCATTTTCCTTTTGCGTGAACACTATAGGTTTACGTCCAACCCCCTCCTCGTAAATCAGGCGGGGGAGCTACGGGTTGTCTAGCTTGTCTGGCCGGAGTGAGTGGTTTCCTTGCTCTTCGTCCTCAACATATCCTACTTCATCCCGCTCGTCCCACCTCGTCCCATCTCTCGTCTCCCTGTGTCATCATCTCATTCCATTCCTTTCTGCGTAACTCCTGATTGTGGCATGATACTGATTCTTTCATCTCGCCAATTGCGTATCTGTCTCTTCTTCTCCCTCTGACAGGCCTGTTGTTGTTGTGCGGCCGAAGAGTGAGTCCCGGTTAACCTGAATTGTGGTGCTGATTTGAGTGTTCAGGGCTGATCGTGGATCACTTTCTCTGGATGGCAGGATGTGCTGCGACTGTTTCTTCTAAGCCCCTCTCTGCACGGGACCAGCCTCTACCGCTCATCACCCTGGCTACCCCCCCCTCTTACACATTCGATCATCTCATTTGAACCAACGTACCCGCTATTTGTCGTCCAAAGTGACCTGGCCGGACGACCCGGACCTTTTTAATTCCCCTTGAAGCGCTTTATGAATACTTCTCCTTTTACCTTTCGTCCGCCTTGCCTATCGGGGTGCTGGCCTTTTCGGGCTCTTTGATCTCGGATGTACAACTTAATCGCAATTCAATCCTTTGCAAAATCGAATTACATCTATCAAACAAAGCAGAAGCTAGATCACGGTCCAGACTCGTCAGCAGCATGTTATTGGTCTGACTACTGTCGTAGCTCAACACCATGCACAACATGCCGACCTTACTACTGTCGTCGCTCAACACCACGCACAACATGTCAACCTCACTGCTGTTGTGGCTCACCACCACAACGAACACGTCGCTGACCTCGCCCGACGTCACGAGCATGTAGCCAATCTCTACGATGTCACGACCAATCTCCACGATATTACGACCGATCTCCACGATGTCAGCAAGACGTGACGATGATGGTGGTACTTCTTCTTTGTCGACTCAGTATACCCGATCGTTGTGACCGATAAAGACACGTTCCCGCCGTGCATGTCCTCACAAAAGTTTCAGGGGCGGGGACAATCGAGTCGTTGCCCGCGTCAACGACACCTCAAGTAGAGGCCAGGCTTGGATCTGCCTGAAGGACATGGAAGGAAACGAGATCGATGCCAAAGACATGAAAAGTTGCATGGTGTATAGTCTGTCTTGATACTACAAACCCAGAACTGACCCACGCTCGAAACGGAATTTGTGCGCAAGGTCGTTTTGAGTGTCGACGAGCTGGCCCTTGATCTGTCGGACTTGGCCAGACAAGAAGGGAACCAAGCCGTGGAACCGATCGAACTGCATATGTAAGTCGTCATCACCATACTAATAGGCAGATATGGGTCAGCAAGATAGATGCCTGGCAAGATAGATCCCTGGGTGGGTGTTATGCAAGATAGATCCCTGGGTGGGTATGTGTCCCGGTCTCGTGGGCGTGTGCTGACTTTAGATCCGCAGGCCTCGGGAATCCTCACGCTGTCTACAGACGATCTCGAGACATCATGACAACCTATTTCGAGACGACCGAATTATCTAGACGCTTTTTTCGGGCAGATGTGGGAAAGCGCCATAAGCAGAAGAGAGCAAGAGCCTTCCGTTTGATAGCGAGCGGAGCTTCATCGCTTGCTTACCTTGACTCTGGGTCAATTGAGCTGAATCATGTCTTTCCTGTCGCGGAGATCGTCTCCTGGGATAGCACGGTCTTCCTGGAGGAGGCAAAAATTCTTGGGAACTTTTTTCGTAGCTCTCGCGGTCATAGCGCCCTCTTCGCTTGGCAAGGAAACTATTGCAAGGTCTGTTGACAGCGATTCCTGTACGCTCGTGGTATTTCAAGCTGTCGGTTTCGGATCGAGCTTATACAGTGTTCCCGAGGATGGACACTGTACTGTGCGCCGAACTTTCTGTGCGCCGAACTTTCTGTGCCTTAGGTTCAAGGGCTTACGTTCCAGAATATCCAGTATCGACAAGCCGAGCTTGGCTAAGGCGGGATGATAACGAAACCGCATTTAAGACCGCGGTGTCAAAGTCTCTGTCCAGGCTCGCCTCAAAAAGCAAAGATACCTGCAGGAATCTCCGAAGACGATTAGAAACCCTGACATGCTTGCCCGATTCACCTGGGAGATTCACAGTAGTCTGATTGAACGCATTGCATTAGTTCGCGTTGGTAAAAGCGGTTGACAATACCATAGGCTGGTGTTTGAACGCTCATGTACTGGCGGCCTTGACATCTTTGGTGAGGATTTGTGTCTGCCTCCGTGTACGAGTCTCGAATGGCTCTTGTTGCACGATAATGCTTTACGAAGGTGGCGAGAGTACGATGTTGCCCAAGTGGTTGTGATGGCGAATGGAGCGAGTGTAACGGATTCAAGCCTTAGTATTTTCTTGAGGTACTTACGTCAAATGTGTGAGAAGCTCGAGAAAGCAAGGACGGTTAAGAAGAGAATGTCTCGGTGGTGGAGTCATCTTGCCAATGGGATATGCCTCGCTGCCGAGTCGTGCCAGCGTTTCAGATGTGGGACATCATGCTCGACCCATCGAAAAAGCCACGATTCGATCGAATCCGGATGCAAATAACGCCAATTTCGACGTAATTGCTTCCGGATCTTTGAGCTGGGACTTGACGGTGACGCGGGCAGATATGACATCAAGCTGCAAGCTAGAGAGAAAGAGATTTCAGCAAATCGACGTCAAGAAGTTGATCTTTACGGTGTTTGCACCTTGCATCTTGCGATTCTGCTCTAGGATCCTCCATAGATTGTCTTGAAGACTGATCCCCAGTATGGTCGGCCTGCAAGACGACGACCACGAGAACGACCGCGGTCAGACCTACAACGATATCGAGGCAGGACCTTCTTCCTCGACCGAAAGATCCAGCTCTCCTCGCGATGAACACGATTACACGGAGAATGCTTCTGCGGCTGATATCGCTCAGGCGATCGAGCAGCAGAGGATGGAGGGAGAAGAAGTGATCGGGCAGAATATGGAAGGTGGTGGGCCCGATTCTGGTGAGCATTTACAAGACTCGAGCGGGAAAGAGGCGATAGCTAATGGCTCTTTCACCATTCTCTCGGATGTCTTGTGTCTTCATTATAGGCTCGGCTGCCATCTGGTCCGGCGAGGCAGGGTTCTCGGTTCCCTCATCGATCACCTCGATGCACTTTATGAACCAAGCCCGTCGACCCAGTATGGCTAGTCTCCGTCGGTCTTCCTCACAGGTCCGTACGAGCTACAACGAGAGACGGTACAGCCGTGACGTCTCCCGTTCGAGGCGTAATTCTGGCAACTATTCGGAGTACGGAGATCATGGTCAGGGATACGACGACTATAACGGCAGGCCGAGAATCTTTAGGGACGATAGTCGGCGAAGTAGACGTTCGAACGCCCTGAGCGACGGGGATGGGGATTGGGAGGAAGGCCCATTGGACGCGGACGAGATCGCACCGCCCAGTCCTGGGTTGTTGCCCCGGATCGCTTCCGCCTTGGGATTCCACCAGAACAGGGATGACGATGCCGATGAAGAAGCAGGTGGAGCGAAGAGGAGGAGATCTTCGCGTGGCAGTCAATATGCTCGGTCGAGGAGGACATCTGGGTCGTCTTACCGAAGATCGATCTCGTCAGCCAGATCCCGCACTTCGATCGAGTCTGAGGAAAACTGGGGATATTCTTCCAACGAGAGGGATACTTACTCGGAAATTTCTGAACGGGACAGGGACGACGACGATCAGTCTTTCAGGTCTTCTCTGGCCGACGACACTTCGTTGCCTCCTCAATCCCGACCTTCTTCTCCGATCCCGTTGTTGCCCTCAGACGGCATATTTGGGGATCCATCAGCACCGAACGATACATCCTCCATCCAGCTGTTCACCGACGTGTCTTCCGCGTCCAAGCAGACCATCTCGCTGCCAGACGAAGACCTCTCAATCCGCTTCACCGGGTACGTGACGGCCAAGCTGAAAAGCGTCGTCTGGGTCGCAGGCTGCGTGGTCACCCTAGGCGGGCTAGGACTGGTCGGTCGTTGGGTCCCAGCGATCTGGGTCAAATGGTGTGGGAGAGAGACCGACTTTGAGACTTCGGGCAAGGATGGCTGGTTGGTCGTCGAGACGCCTTATGGGGACTTGCATATCATCCAGCAGGATGTCGTGCCTTATCCCTACCCCCTGTCGACCGTCTTTCCTCAAGCCTTGACGGGCGGCAAGACGGGGAACAACGCTCATAGCAGAGCGCCTACTGTGGCTTCGACGAATGGGTCGAGGGCGCCTTCGATCATGGCTGCGGCCGTGGCGAGGTCACACGTACCCACGACCGTGATGGGGGACGATTCTAACGGCAACAACTCCGCCTCGAATTCGATCTTGACCGGAGCGGGGGGTGCCAAAGACCTGATGACGGTCGACCTCGAACAAGGCCAAACCTCGTTCGAAGAGACCATGGGATACCTCAAGACGGCCGAATACAGGTACACCAAGTTCGCCCTACAGCCTGGGACAGGGAAATGGTGTTTGATCAGAGACTGGCGGGACCCTAAGTGGACCAGCGTCAAGGCGGTCGCTAGCGGTTTGGGCAAGGATGTCAGGGAGCAGAGGAGGATCTTGTTCGGAGACAATGTCATCGATATCGAAGGCAAGGGGGTCGTCGGGCTGCTCCTGGACGAGGTGAGTTCAAACCATTTCTAAACGAGACGAGGGCTTGTCGACGCTTGATTGATAAATCATTGTGCGTTGTCTATACAGGTCCTCCATCCATTCTACGTCTTCCAGATCGCTTCCATCGCTCTGTGGTCGATTGACGATTACTACTACTACGCGTTCGCGATCGCTTTGATCAGCGTGAGCAGTATCCTGTCGACCTTGATCGAGACCAAAAGGGTGAGCCGCTGGATCCAAGTACCTGTTCACGTGTCAGTGCTGATCCAGGGCCGATTTTGCAGACGATCGAGAGGATGAGGGAGATGTCAAGATTCAGCTGTGATGTGCGAGTGCTCGTTGATGGCGAATGTGAGTGTTCTAGTCGTGCTAGATGCTACCCCCTTACTAAAGATCACTATTCTGCGACAATCATGTCAGGGACCACCATGGACTCTGCTTCTCTCGTTCCCGGAGACGTCTTTGAAGCTTCGGACCCTAGCTTAACCGTGTTCCCCTGTGACGCCTTGTTACTCTCCGGAGACGCCATCGTCAACGAGTCCATGTTGACCGGGGAGTCTGTACCCGTTAGCAAAGTCCCGGTCAAGGACGATGTCATTCGATCCCTTGCCCGGGAGGAGAAGAAAGGCAGTACCGAGGTTGATGCCGAGATCGCCAAGCATTACCTGTTCAGTGGCACCAAGATCATACGAGTTCGACCCGGTGGTTCGATCATGGGACTTAGTGGGAAGAGTGACGCGCAGCGTGCTTTGGCCATGGTCACGAGAACTGGTGGGTTGTGACCGAATTCTGGTATTCTTGGCGAGGCTGATTTGGTATTTCCTTTGTAGGTTTCAACACGACCAAGGGCGCCCTTGTCCGATCGATGCTGTTCCCCAAAGTCAGTACAGAACCCTCTTCTTTGTTCGCACTTGCTGACTGCTGTCCCTCGATACGCAGCCTATGGGATTCAAGTTCTACCGCGACTCTATGCGTTTCATTGGTGTCCTTGCCATGATCGCTGGATTTGGTTTCGCTATCAGTGCGGTGCAGTTTGTCCGCATGGGAGTGAGTGCTACACTGCTCAATCGACCAATACTTACGACAGCGCTGACGATCATTCTGTATCAGATCGCCTGGTATACCATCCTGATCCGTGCACTCGACCTGATCACCATTGTTGTACCGCCCGCTCTGCCTGCCACACTCACGATCGGAACGACCTTTGCTATCGACCGACTTCGAAAACTGGGAGTATTCTGTATCTCACCGAATCGAGTCAATATCGGTGGCAAGGTCAACGTCTTTGCTTTCGACAAGACCGGTACCTTGACGGAAGATGGCTTGGACGTCCTCGGAGTGCGTACGGTTGACAAGTACAGCGAGCGTTTCAGCGAGCTCCATGGAGAAGTCGACGAGGTTCCCGACCGCGGTGGTCTCACTGGAAAAACGCCCTTGCTCTATGCTTTGGCCACCTGTCATTCCTTGAAGTTGATTGACGGCGAGATACTGGGTGACCCTCTAGACATCAAGATGTTCGAATGGACAGGTTGGACTTTGGATGAGGGCAGGAGCAAACCTGCCGCTGCCGCAAACGGCGATGCTCTTTCGAAGGAGGCCCGCGTCGTTGACAGGCCTCAGACATTGGTTCAAACTGTTGTCCGACCTCCTGGTGCCGAGAAATGGAAGCTTGAAGACGCCTTGAAGTCCGGGGGCAAGGTGAGCATCTTCAACAATAATCATCGGCAGTCACTTGCTGACCCTTTTAACATCTTTCAGCATGCTCATTTCTTGGAGCTTGGTGTCATCCGGACTTTCGACTTCGTATCAGCTTTGAGGCGAATGAGCGTGATCGTCAAGCGGTTGAAAGCCAACAGCATGGAGATCTACGTCAAAGGTGCTCCCGAGGTCATGCCTGACATCTGTGATCCAGAGACCTGTAAGCTTCCGGTCTCTACCTACAGCTTGCTCCAACCATACTGATTGCATCCTCGAGTAGTCCCTAGCGACTACGACGATATGCTTTCCTACTACACTCGAAACGGGTTCCGAGTCATTGCCATCGCTGGAAAGAGTGTTGAAGGTCTTACCTGGCTGAAGGCTCAACGTATGAAGAGGTGTGTACGAATCCAGGTTGATATTGATTCAAAATGCTGATAAGCTTTCCATCCTTGCAGAGAGCAAGCCGAGAGTGGTCTGCACTTCCTCGGATTTATCGTATTCGAGAACAAGCTCAAAGAGGCCACGACGCCGGCCATTCACGCCTTGCGCTCGGCCCACATCGCGTGTCGAATGGTGACGGGAGACAACGTCCGTACTGCCATCAGCGTTGCAAGAGAATGTGGACTGGTGTCGCATTCAGCAAGCGTCTATATCCCTACATTTGCTAGCGGTAAGCAAAGAATGTGTGCACGTGACTCAGATCGTCGCTGATCAGATATCCTCCCTGATGCGTTCAGGAGGTGGCCACAACCCCGATTCCGAAATCACGTGGACCAGTGTGGATGATGAAAAGCACAAACTCGACTCGTATTCCTTGAAGCCCATCGTACAGGAATACGCTCTTGGCTTCGACCCTGGCGAGACGGAGCAACCAGACTATCAACTTGCCCTTACTGGTGACGTCTTCCGGTGGATGCTCGAATTTGCACCGCTCGAGACCATGCAAAGAGTAAGGCCCCTGCTGAGTCGATGTCGCGATCAAGATTCTTACACTCGTCCCTGTCCGCAGATGCTGGTCAAGGGTGTCATCTTTGCGCGAATGTCCCCGGATGAGAAGGCGGAATTGGTTGAACGTCTGCAAGCGCTAGGTTACACTGTCGGGTTCTGTGGAGACGGAGCCAATGATTGCGGGGCTCTCAAGACCGCAGATATCGGTATCTCGCTCTCCGAGGCAGAGGCTTCCGTAGCTGCGCCGTTTACCAGTCATATCACGGACATTTCGTGTGTTATCGAGGTCATCAAGTGGGTTCCAGACGGTGCGGCAGAGACCGTATACTTGTGCTTATACCGAGTTTGTCATCTACAGGGAGGGCCGAGCTGCACTCGTTACTAGCTTCAGCTGCTTCAAATACATGTAAGGGAATCTTCTATTTCGTTCGAGACCAGGTGCACTTGGCTGACACAGCTTCGTGTTCACAGGGCCTTGTATTCCTTGATCCAGTTTACTACTGTTACACTCGTGAGTTGAAACGTGATAAGATATCCATCTGATAGCACATAGACTAACCTCAAGTCATCATCTAGCTGTACTCTTTCGCATCCAGTTTGGGTGACTTCCAGTAAGCTGGGCTGTTCATCCCGTCACTCTCGCTTCCACTTACCGTTCCGTACTCCAGATTCCTTTACATCGACCTGTTCATCATCATCCCCATTGCGGTTGCTAGTCAGTGCTTCCGTATGCCTCGCCGAATCGCACGAGCTGACGCCTCGATCCATTGTAGTGGGACGCACTCTGCCATACCCCAAGATCCACCCCAAGCGACCTACTGCCAGTCTGGTCTCCAAGAAGGTCTTGACTAGCATTATCGGTCAGACAATCATCAACTTCGCGGTTCAAGTTTTCGTCTTCATCTGGATCCGCAGGCAACCCTGGTGCATTCGATTCTTAAAAACACTCTTCAGAGACGTTCACTAATGCGAGACACCTCTCACAGGTATACTGAGCCTGACGTTGACGACGAAAAGCTTGAGACCTTCAACTACGAGAACACGGCATTGTTCCTCGTGTCGTGCTTCCAGTACATTCTGGTGGCAGTCGTGTTCAGCGTCGGTCCTCCTTACCGCAAGCCCATTTATTCGAATCGTAAGTTCATCGGTATTCCGTTGTTGCTCCTAGCGCATACTAACCATCGATGTGATCTCTGCAGTGTCGCTTGTCGGGTGTTTCGTGATCTTGACGGCTTTCAGCTCATGGGTGTTGTTGGCTCCCAGCAAGAGCGTGGCCCTGATTCTCGACATTATCGACCTGACATACCGATTCCGCTTCGAATTACTGGCGATCATCATCGTCAACATCGTCTGTTGTTTCGCATTCGAGCGTTATGCCGAAAGACCGCTAGCGAGACTGGTCGGTACTCTTAGGAAATGGGCACGCGGGAAGCGAGGCGGCAAACATAATCGAGGCCGAGTAGTCTCTGGCAAAGCTTATAAAGCGGTGGAGAGCAACTTGTAATATCGTAGATGGTCAAGCCTTGTGAGAGGTACACAATCCAAACGACGAAGTCTGTCTGTCTGTGGCTGGAAACTCAATATCAGTTGACGCAGAACAATTTCCTTGCATTTTGAGAGGAATATAACGATGCGCGCTAACGGAGGGAAGAAAAGGTATACAATCCGGCTGTTCATCTTACAATCCCATCAAGAGCCCTCTACTATCTCCCTCGACCCCACTCGGTCCCCATCCCGCGTTCCCGATCGTGATACTTTTCCCAGCGTCTCCTCTCCTTGGCCCGTTCCTCCTCAAAGTCGTAATCTTCGACTTTGCCGCGTTCTTCTCGACGGGTCGGTTTGCTACGAAGCGGTACGCGAGAATCAGCCCGAGGTCAGACTCGATTGAGTGGCAGCAGAAGGAGACAAATCCGAACTAACCTGTATCGATCCCGGTTCCTGGGCGGGGTCTTATCTGCAACATCTAGCGATCGGACCTCTTGTTTCCCGACCGGACTTTTGCTCCTAGACCGTCTCCTCTCTCGACCCGCATCCCTTCCCCTGTCCGCATCTCTGTACCTATCCCTGCTACTTGCCGGAGCTCGTCCACGGTTGTCTCTCTCCCTATCGTATCGCTCGTCGTAATCCCTCGGCCTTGACCTCGAGTCTCTCGACCTCGACCTCGATCGACGATCCCCATGACTGCCACGGTAAGGATCTCTCGACTCTCGCTCTGCTCGACGTTTCGCCTTTTCCTCCTGCTTGAACTCTTTCTTGGCTTCCTTTTCTATGCGCTTGGAGTCCTTCTTCTGGGCTTTCAGTCTGGATGTCATCCAGGATAAGGATAAAGTGAGAACCCACGTCCATCAGCAAGATTTCCTAATATCCGGTGATAGATTTGGGAATATCATGGACGCACTCTTTCTTCCTCCTCTTCTCCTCGGCTTCAAGCCTATCCAGCTCTATCTCCTTTTCCGTCTTTTCCACCTTGATCCCATTCGCCCCCGTTCCCTCTCCGTCTCCGTCCTCGCCATCTTTGATGGTAGGTCCATACCCAAGAGCGATACTCAGCGCGTTCTCCTCCAACTCTTTCTGACGCTTGATCTCTTCTCTGCGTTTACGGTCTTTTTCTCCTTCATCGGTGTCGGTCTTGTCACGGGCGTACCAGTGGATATCTTTGCGGTTCTGCCAGCGACCTGTCGGGGCGTTGATCGAGTGGCCTGTGGTGTGGCCAAGCGTGCAAGAGGGAAGAGGCGGGAAAAGAATAGGTATCAGCGGGAAGTCCTCGTACTGTGACTTGAACCAGACCGGCATACCTAAGTAGTTCTCCCTGCAAGTTTAGACACTCAACATCAGTATCCTATGATGAATAAGACGCTCGCCATTCCGACTGACCTATCCTTGTCCCCCTTGACATTGTCCCACTTGAACTCGGCCGCTCCTCCTCGAGTACCTACAAAAAACGCTGTTAGCCTCAACGCTCGGTCCCGGTCCGCGTCTGTGAGCAGCTAGAAGCTTACCTCCTCTGGACGGATGATAAAGGTCAGTCATAGTTGTCTGGGACTGTGTGAGCTAATAAGATATCGAATGGCAGTAGAATCGCTAGTGTAATGATCGAAATGAGATATCGACGTCGAGCAAGGGGAACCGCGATTAGCTTCCGGAATCATTTGCTTTCGGATGCTTTCCAGCTAGAGCTGGGCAGCGCTGAACTTGCATCTCGTCAATGACTCTCTATAAACCTGCTGTACCTAGCAAGACCTCTTCCCCAACCACCTTGAACACGTAGACTACCGCCCGGAAATGGAGGCCGTCAAAAAACAGCTGGAGGGTCGAATAGTAAGCCCCCACATACTCTTCTCCCCGGCGAAAGAGGTCGAGCTCAGATGGGGAATGTGCTGATGACGATTCCGCTTCTCCTTGCCTTTGTTCGTCGGTGCAGGACTATGAAGGTCAGAGACTTAGCGAACAGGTGGCTTATTTCTCTCTGGTCGTTTCTGGAGTGAGTCTGTTGGAACATTACTCTGCAATAGAGGGTGTATAAGGCTCGGCAGGCTGATCATCGGGGCTTTCGATCATTACATCTATCGCTCTGTCGCACAGGTTATCGCCTTCTTCGTCAGCTTCCTCGCCTCGTCTATCAAGTTCGGATTGATCGTCTTCGCCGCTGGATACGTTATTACGCTCTTGGTAAGCTCTCACACCTTGCTAGACACCCCGCTCACCGGAATATGTCAAGGCATCAAGGCCAAAGCTGATCCTCGCCGTTATGTCGTTCGTTTTTTGTCCGGTCAAACAGGCGGTCGTACCTCCCTGGCCGGTATACAGGAAGCATCCTATTGCATGGTTACCCGTCAGACGGTTGAAAGCGGATTGATCAAAATTATCGGATCAGATGCGAACAGCAGGAGCAGTCGTCTGAATATACCACATATCCGCTGCTTCGGCGCGATGAGGCTAATAGTCTAAAGAGAAAGATCACGACGTCTGTGCTTGTAGCAAGCATGTTGTATCATAGGTAATGAATGAAGATAGCATACCCAGACCATGACGGCCAGGATATTTGCGAGGAGAGGAATGACCCGAGAAGCGGATTGATCAGTAGCTCAATATAAATGCTAATGGCCGCAATGACGATCAGAAGACCTCATTAGTATCTATTCGTTGACTGATTACCCCTGATCACTAATAGCCCCTAGCCCCATAGCTTAGCCTCCCTGACGCGTCGCGAGAGGAGCGAGGTCGAGGTCGAGGATGCCGCGAGGTAGAGATTGAATCAACCTCGATGATCATCATCACCGTATCGTCAACAACTTCGATACTCTCTCTACCTTGCAATCTCTTATCACTTCATACCCGAACAGATCGCACTCGCAGCACTCCGTAGTCTTAGATTGAATACTCTCAGCCATTGGCTGGTCGCTATGGCTGCCTGAAGCACGGGTCGACACCCAAAGGACCCCTCCCGATATCGCCATGATGCTTTCCCGTTCGAACTCGACAATGTCATCCTCGACCAATACGTCTACCACCGCCGGACCTGGAGCTGGCCTTTCCCGACCTCGCAAGCGAGCAGATCATATCCCTTCCCTCACGCTTCCGGAGCTATCGCCCGTCCCGCTGAACGACCTGGAGGCAGTAGACAAGATGTTGATGAGGTGCGATGAGGCCGAATTGGAGGGGGTCGTCGATAGGGAACGCAGGAGGTGGGAAGCGATTCCAGAGGAGCTTTTCGCCAGGCCTGTTTCTTCCGGTCCGTCTAGTCCTGGGAGTGAGTAAAGTTCTGCGTACGATCACCAGACTCGAGTTCGGAGCGATCAACTGATTATCGTCGTTTTCTTCTCTTCGTAACAGAACGAAACCGGATTCGTAGTACAGCTTCCTTCCTCCATCTCGCCCATACCTCCGCTCGCTCTTTACAAGAGTACGATACCCTCTACGCCGACCACAGCGGTCCCGCTCGCAATCGACCTATCGACCATACCCGTTCCATCTCCCGCATCAATGTCGGCCCCAATATCGTGCGTCAAACAGATGATGCTTGGAGGTTGATAGCGAAGCACAAGCGTCTCCCCAATACCGACCAGGAGATGCATCACTGGATTATGGAGGACGATAGGCGTACTGCGAGGAAGAACAGGTCGAGAACGGCGCTGGGAGGTTATAAGCGGCATGACATTAGGGGGATCAAGAGGACCTTGACTGAGGGAGAGGGCTCGGGATTGAAGTTGAATTTGCCGGAAGGTCCGGCAGGCTTGTCGCTAGGAGGTTCAGGGATGGCTTCGTCGGCTTCGGCAACGTTCACGTTCTCGTCGACCTCGACGTCGACATCGACGGATACGGGATCAGGATCGGCCGGTGGTTCGGTCGCTGTAGCGAAGGAGATGCGCGATGAAGGAACATCGCGATACTTTACGTCGAACGAGGCGGGACCCTCTACATCCACTCCCAACGCAAAAGAAGCCCAAGAGATCGACCCGGATCGAACAGTCACCGCAGTCAAGCTCGTCACCGCGCCCGTTCCCGTCCCCGCTTCCTCTCAGTCGCAGCGATCAAGCGCCTCTCAGCGCAAGAGACCAAATAGTCAGACGAACCGCTTGGGATTCGTCGCCACGAAACCCTCGAGCCAGGAGATTGCCCAACCTCCGGTGAAGAACAAGAATTCCTGGAACAACGCGAGGGCCAGCCTGCTCGCGGAGAAGCGCAGAAGGCTGTCGGATCACCAGAAGGAAGAAGAGGCGAAGAGGGCGTCTGCGGAAGGGTCGGGGTCAGGATCAAACAAGCTTGACATGGCACGACCGAGCAGTAACGCTGGTACGGCTGCGAACACGATCCGGGCGGAGGAGCGTTCGGCTCGACCGACTTGGGCTGTCGTTAACAAGAGTCCGGCGAGTAGTGAGACCGAGGATGAATCTGATGACGAGGGTGGGGCGGGAATGGCGAGCATGGCGATAGTCAAGCAGAGGATGGGGAAGCCGAGGTTGTTGGAGGAGGCGTTTCGAAGGACGAAAGCGGTTGCGGTGCAGGAGATGGAGGTGGACGAGGTGAGTTGCTTGATCTGGATAGATTTATATTGAGTTTGGCACCGAGGCTGACGGGAAGCGTTGTGTCAAATTTCGATAGCTCGGATCGTCATCGTTACCGTCGGCGGCACCTCCGCCTCGTAAAGGTCAGGTCGCTGCCATGCAAGAGGAGTACGACGAGGTGAGTCTTCGATGTGGGTTTACGCTTTCGCAACTCAGTAATGAACAGCTTATCTCCTTGTAGCTCGCTTCTTCGCTGAATCTACCCTTGCCGTCAAACACCGTCGAGATCTCGTTCGAAGATATCCTGACTTCAACTCCTCGCAAGATCCAACCCGTGCGGCATCAATCCTCTCCCGCAAGCAAGAGCTTCCACCAAATGTCTCAAGAGGCCGAGCCCGAAGACGACACGGATGAGGATGTCGACATGGACCTTCAGAACATGCTCGACGCGCCCTCGGCTTATCGGCGACACCTCTTCAACCCTCCTGACTACAATACCCCGCCAGCATCGCAAACACAACTACGCTCGGATGGGAAAGGGATGTCTCGCGCGACTAGCTGGGCTACAAACGAGATGGGTAGTCCGAGGAGTTCTCAGAGGATGTCTACGCAGCGGGTGAATGTCATGGTCGGAAAAAAGGGGCAAGAGGCGGTGGACCTCTTGCTCGGGGATTTGCAGAATCAATTCTGATCGGCGGCGACGGTTGGATGTGAGGGTTCGTGGTGACGGAAGTTAGGAGTTTCTGGAACCGATCATCTTCGAAAGAGAAGCGCTGGCTTGATGACTCTTACGCAGCGAATGTGGATGTCTTTGACAAAATGTCTTTGTGGACTGCTGACGGCTATGTCGTCTAGTACCGCGCGATGCGCGATTTATACATATAATACTGAATGTCCATCGTCGTAAAACAGAATGTATCTAACACCCACAACAACACGCGTTCCCCGAAATCTATCTCGTGCTGCCTCACACCGCATCAGCCCTGCAATATGCGATCTCACCCTTGCGACGAACTCTATCGGTACTCCGTGACGACGACCCCACCCTTCTCCGCCTTCCCACTCCCGCTCCCGCTCTTTCCACTCCCGCCGCTCCCACTCCCCCCACCTTCCTCCTCGGCGATGACGACCGCACTGACATAATCCCCATCATGGCTCAAGCTTACGAACAACCTCGGCATCCGGATCTTCCTCTCGTGGCTATCACGCTCGAGGTCGTTACGCTGTCCATAACCGTACGTGTACCGCAAGTGGGGTTTGGAGTTTATGTAGTGGAGGTCGACGGATTTCCAGTTGAGGTTCGGAGTGAGGGGGGTGGAGGGGTCGGAAGTCCCTGGGGTTGGGGTTCTTGAGGCCGATGATGAGGAGGTTGTAGATGGTGATGAAGGGGTCCGGGTGGGGAGGACGTCGAATGGTTTGAGAGAAGAGTTGGAAGTGTAGGAAGATGAGGATGGTGATGCTGAAGAGGCAGATGAAGGTTGTGATGATGATGGTGATGATGGGGTGACGTAGAGCGGATAGAGGGCTTTGTAGGCCGCTTCCTTTGCTGCCCAACTGCATCGGTAATTGATTAGGTGCGAAAAGAAACGAGAGAGGAGCAAGAAATGATCGAGTCAGTACGCTCGATCATTATGCGAGGAGAACACCAAGATCGAGTGACCCAAAGGATGGCTAGAACCGGCGGGTATGCACTCACCGACTGGCCAGAAACCTGGTCACCGCGTCATTCTCGATATTCCTATTCAGGCCCTTCAACACCGTCCTGAAACTCGTCCTCTCCACGTTTTCCTTGTTCCCGTTCTTCTCGGCCTGCTGGGCTTCAGCCTTGTCTAGTTTCCCACGGATGAGAGCTTTGAACTCGGTCAGCTCTCGAGGGGAGAGGATGCGGCGTGCGAGCGTGGGTGCGCCTCGTTTTGCGATGAGAGCTTTGATGCGGGGGATGTGGAGGAGGTCTGTCCCGATACCGACGATCATGTTGTAGCGAGGATGTGTGTGTGCGTTGAGGTGAGGTGAGGTGGAAGTGCCGTTATGAAATTACCTCACATGCAGTGATGCAGAGGTATAGGGTTATCGGGGTTGGCGAGGTTCCTTTGCGCACATGCGCACATGCCGCATGCTGACGACAATATCGGGAATCTGCGTTGATGATATCGACGACGAAGAAGATGTCAGGCTCGTTACGTAAACCCATCGGTCGACCGGTCCGGCCATACCGGGGAGGAACATGCCAACCTCGGTCAAAGGAGGGTAACGTTCAGAATATCCCGTATCCAATCGCTCTGTTGCGATCCTGAACACGACTCTCCCCTTCCCTTTGAGATCGGATAACCCTACAAAGGGGAACGGTCAATCAATCAATAACAACTGTAGTGAATAGCAAGTGTCTTGACAGGGAAGGATATATAACAACAGCCAGAGAGGATCGACAATCTTATCCCTTTCTCCATCACCACCCACCGCCTCGCCGTCTGTCGACACAACAGTCACAGGGAATATATAGGATCGTGACCTTGTTCGACACGATTCCTGATCATTGACCAGTCCTGAAGACGCCTACAACTGTAACTATCAATCATCCACGATGGCAATGACTCAACGGACGACCTTGTCCGCTCTGCGACAGTCGATCCGTTCGACCTCGGGACCCAATCAACGATCTTGCATTTCGGCAAACGTCCGTAATCACTTGCAGCAAGGAACATCTCGTCGAGGATTCCATGCGTCATTTTCGACATCACAGAGGAATCTGGCCGAAGCCACGAAGAACTCTAGGTCTCGATGGACAAAAGTCGTCCTCGGCACCAGTGCCGTCCTCTCTGTAAGCAGCCTGCTCAAAACCTCATCCTCAACCCAACCCTATCGAATGTGACTAAACTTATACACCTCCTATTTTACGTTTCAATTCCTTTTTTTCACCTACCTTCAGTTGACCTACCTCGCCACCCTCTCCAGGACCCCAATCTCTCTCGAAGCGCATGCGGACCATACTTTCCCGCCCGAACATAGCTTGCAGGAACAACCTTCCGGTCAAAAGTTGATCAGCGCGGACGAGGTCGAGAAGCATTGTACGAGCGAGGATTGTTGGGTCATCGTCGGGGGAGAGGTTTATGATGTTACCGGTGAGTCACGGTTGCTTATTGGGAATCATTGGGAGGGGAGTGCGGTGGCCAGGCAAGGTTGAGATGATGGTAGCTGTGTTGGAGAGGAGGCTGCTGACGCAGTATTATTCCCCATGGGACGAATTTAGACTTCTTGGACAAGCATCCGGGTGGCGCAGGTGTCATCTTGAACAAGGCCGGGCAGGATGCGACGTAAGCAACGATTCGGTCTCACCTCTCCCGATTTCGATATGAAGAGCTCAATCATGTGAATCTCAAACCTGCAGTCAGATCTTCACCTCACTTCATCCTCCCGGTACCCTCTCCCTCCTCCCTCCTACAGCTTATCTTGGACCCGTAGACCCGACGACCATCAAGCAATCCGGACCTGCCGAATTGGACGAAGACGAGATCCGCGTCAAAAAGGCTAGGGAGGAGATGCCGCCCATAGACTCGATCTTGTTGCTGCAGGACATGGAAGATCTCGCGGAAAAGGTCATGAGCAAGACTGGGTGGGGGTATTATAGGAGTGCCTCGGATACGGAAGATTGTGAGTCTTGAGCAGAGGTCTTGGCCTCAGGTATACTTGGGGCGATAAAGGCTGATTTGGTGGAGATGGTGCAGCTTATCATAATAATGAGGAGTCGTGGAAGAGGTATTACTTCCGACCTCGAGTGTGAGTCATCGCTCTGCTAGATCCTCAGGTCTTCCTCGATTTGTCCGACTGACGCTATAAACTGCGCCCCTCATCAGACTCCGGGACGCCAGAGAGAAAGACCCATCATCGACCATGCTCGGTCACCATGTGAGCTTGCCTATCTATATCGCACCGGCCGCGATGGCCAAGCTTGGTCACCCATTGGGTGAGGTGAACCTGACAAGAGGCGCCGGAGAGTGTGGGATTGTACAAGGGGTGAGTCGATCATTGACGAGCGGAGTCTTGTGGGTAGTTTCGGAGCTGATTCGAGCTGCTTCCGCTGGCTAGATCTCGAGCAATGCCAGTTGTAGTCTAGAGGAAATGGTCGAGGCGAGGAAAGACGGCCAGAGCTTGATCTTCCAGGTAGGTTAATCCCCCCTTTCCTCGCCGTGCCTTTTCAATTGCCGACAGCGCCTAACGCTTGCGATCAATCTCTCGACATAGATCTACTTGAACAAGGACCGCGAAGCTTCGGAAAAACTGTTGAAAAAGGTCACCGACCTCGGTTGCACCGGGATCATGTTCACTGTAGACGCTGCGGCTGCATCCAAACGGACACTCGATCAACGTACCAAAGCGTCGGTCAACCCACCTCCATCTGCGCCCAAGAACAACAAGGAGGCAGGAGGCGAAAAGCCTAAAAAGGCAGTGGGCGTGGCCCAAGCGATCTCGACGTATCAGGACGACAATCTCGTCTGGGACGATATCAAGTTTATCAGGAAACATACGAAGTTGCCCATACTGGTAAAGGGGATTCAGTGTTTGGAGGACGCCGAGATCGCCGCCGAATATGGGGTCGAGGGGATCATCTTGGTGAGTCCGGCCCGAATGGGCTTTGCGTTTCGGTTGAGATTCGCAGGCTGAGTGTGAGCTTCGCACGTATAGTCTAATCACGGAGCCAGGCAATTGAACTTGTAAGCAGATTCGCCGAAGCTATCCTTCCGGCTATAAGCTGATACGACTTGTCGCTTCAGCGCTCCTGCTTCAATCGACGTGTTATACGAGATCCGTCAGAGACGCCCGGAATTGTTCGACAAGATGGAAATCTACGTTGATGGAGGTGTCAAGTCTGGGACGGATGTTGTGAGTCTTGCAAAAAGTTGCCCGAGAATTTGCAGCGTTCTGATCTCGTTTTGCACCTTGTTCAGGTCAAGGCGCTTGCGCTTGGTGCCAAGGGGGTCGGTTTGGGACGATCGTTTTTGTACGCCAACGCGTGTTACGGAGAAGAAGGCGTGCAGAAGATCTACGAGAGTGAGTCCGATCGCTTGTCAAGCACGCTCTGTGCTCTTCAGTCCCTCGAATGGCTAATGTTGTGGCAATGATAGTTCTTCATTGGGAGGTTTGCGCGGCGATGGCCATGTTGGGAGCGCACAAGATTTCGGATCTCAAGCCCGAGATGGTGGAGAGAGCTTGGTGGCTCGCCGGACAACAGGGATCGAAGTGAACCTCCTGTACGACTGGGTAGAGGGTCGAATCATCTCCAGGGTTGTATAGATAGACGGCGATGGACCATTACGATGTGCGAACAGATTCGGGTTTCAGGTTTCAAGCAACACAAATGATCGACCAAGTGCTGTGGGTGGGCGACGCGTATCTTGATACGCGTGAACGCGTAATCTAGCTTTGAGCACGCGAATTTGGGTCGTCGGACCCCCTTGAATGCACCCTTGAATGCACCCTTGAATGCACAGGTTGTTCTACTATTAGTACTATGGTACTATGGTACTATGGCTCCAACCGCCAGCTCTCAAACCAACCTTCATCACCGATACAGTTCGCCTTGATAACAGGGATCGAGCGAGTTAGATCCACTATAGGAGGCTGTTATGGAAATCGAGGCAACGCCTTAGCCAGGTTGATAGCCGAGACCGCTCGACATCGTTGCAAGGATGCCGGCTACACCTCTTCGTCGACCCGACCTGATCGGGATGATGGCGGCTACACCTGTGCATCAACGCCTTATGGAGCAGAGCGCATTGGAAGATCTGTTGAAAGCTGGAACCGAAATCCAAGTTGGCGAGGATGATTCACCGGAAAAGATGGCCGAGCATGTCGATCAGTTTCACCCGCTCTTCAAGACGCTCGTCAGCGAGTGTATCGTGGGGCTGGTCGATAACGCCGGGACGATCTCGAACGAAGCTTCATTGGTACACGTTGCGCCTATTCTGGAAGAGCTCGTCAAGAGGGCGAGACAGATACCACGTTTGCTAAACTCTGTACCCCGGGAGCTGGAAGGACCTGAAGGAGCTCGTATGAAAATACCGTTATACCGTTGGCTGGTGCCGAGGCTGCTCCATGCCGCTAGCGGTCTCGCCTTGCACAAAAAGGGACAAGAAGCGGGACAGCGGCTGCTTGATACCGTTACGGAGATGATAAAGATGTTGGGATCGTATATGGAGGAACAGCATGTGGAGGGTATCGTCTTCGCCGGCGAGCTGTTGAGAGGTCTTAGTGAGAGCTGTGTCGGTAAGCCCTGCCATGTAATGCTTTGTCCGTTGGGATTCTGATATTCATTTCATGTATGTGCTCATGTGCCTAGAACTTGCTAACGAGGATTTGCGAGTTGGAAGCCCGTTTACTATCAGGACAAGCACCAAGCCGTCGAGCTCCAGCTTCATCGCAAGTCAATGCCAGCTGGACGACAACATTGCGAGCTCGGATCGGCATCCGCTCTACCCCTTTCGGACACCGAAGCCTCTACGCAGGATGACGCTATTGATGAGTATGGTCCACGTCGTAGTACAGGCGTTTGACCAACCGAACCCATCGATCACGGCCTGGAGAGGCTACTGCACGGACACGCTTCTCTGGACGATGAGCGCTATGGTCAACATGTCGGAAACGCTCAGGGCGCGATCGGTCATGTGCGGTCTCCCAGACGCCTCGGAAAACGTCACACCCGAGACCAGCTTGGTCGTAGTCAGGCAACAATTGATGCTGTTCCAGGACATGCTCGCGGTCTTGGCGCGACCATCCGTATTTCCATATCACATGAGTGAACGTGCGGCTTTGGTCCTCATTCAAGCGGTAGAAGATCGTTTGCGAAAGACTACGCCCGATACCGAGATGGATTCAGAGGAAGGGACGACCGAACTTTCAAGTGCTTTAGACAAGGTACTTTACGGGTTTCTGAGGATTATCAAGAATCAGCGGGCAGGAAGGGCAGGTGGAAGTGTCTGGTCGAAGTTGTTGAACACCGTCGAGACGCAGCTGGGAGTGCAAGACGGGACGGGCGAGAATGTGAGTGTTTCCTTGGCTCGACTGAAAACAATCCCCTGATAGACCTCCTTGATCTCCAGGAGCTTTTCCTGCTTAGTATTTCTGCATTATTGGATCCACCTGGTGCCTCGGTCATGCAATTAGCCTGCAGTATCCCTGCCGACCGTCTGGCGACGATAAGGATCTATCTCAGTAATCGGACGGATCGATCATTCCCCACAGAGCTTCGTATCATTGACGAGCTGGTCAAACGACAAGCTCTTGTCTCCGGCCCACGCGGTCGAGGAACGAAACGTAAGGCGGATGGCCGACAGGAAGCGACTCAGGCGAATCCTGGCGCGGGAAACATCGACAAGCGGGTGCAGGCCGCTGGCAAACGTCAACGCGATGTCGGAATCGGTGGTGCAGTTCTAGCGGATGCCTTCCAGACGTTTGATCTTGCCGACTCGGTCGGCGAAAACAGCCAGGGGATTCCTGTCTTCCTCAACAAGACTTGGAATCCTCTACTGGAAATCTTTCGCTGCGCTTCAGGTCTCAACAACTACGATGGCTTGCCCGAGCCGCTGGTCGACCTTCATGACGAGGATATCGAGGCCATGATCAAAGATGGAGCAGTACTCGAAAAACGGGCAAACGCAGCGTTCAGCGTCATTGCAGGACCGTGAGTTTACATCGAGAAGCACAGCAGAATTTCTAGACTACTGAAGACCGTCGACAATTGCAGTGGTGCAACCGTCCTAGACGAAATCGAACTTCGCCACAATTGGTTCAAGGCGTTGCCACTGTTATTTTGTCACATGGTTGGGTGTCAAGGATGTAATGGAGTCGGCGTCGGGAAGCCTCAACCCTCGAGCGAAACTCGCTCTTTACCAAAGCTTTCACAGGAGTCTCTGGTCTCCTGGATGCGGCTCGCAAAATACCTTGAGCGCGAGCCTGAAGAAACATATGACGCTTCACTTCGATCGCTCCTCATCTCGCTTCGCAATCTGTTTCGACATGCTGCTGGGCGCGGACTGCCCGATTTCGAGCCCCGACGCAACAGCGTAATGCAAGATCTCTTGCGGACCGCCTACAAGAACCCGGATCGCAAGATCCGTATTCTTGCCGCGTGAGTTGACAATGCTTATTTTCTTATTACGACCAAAACACCTGTCTGAACTCCGCTCACATCTAACGGTGAATAGTCAAGCAACCGTCGCCCTGGTGCACGTGCTTGGCACAAGAGGGCTCGTGGGATGCGCTCGTCTAGGCGATCTGCTAACGGGAATGCGGGAAAACCTTGCGCTTCATCAGCCACTTCCCGTGCAAGAAACGACCCTGTGCATGGTTGCAGAGCTTGCTAAGTGAGCTACCGCCTTACAATCGCGAATGGAGACTATTTGCTCATCTGATTACTATAGATTTACCGAATCGAACCTCTTTGCGGAACTCATCACATACCTGTTCGAGGCTTTGGGCAGACCCAATATCGCGCTTAGGGGGCTAGCACATACTCAGGTTCGTTGGTGCTTCCATTGAACGGAAGGCGGTACTGACCCTTATTTATCGCCTAGTAGTTGACTCAAGTCTCCCGCTACAAGGGCAAAACTCCATACTTGATGCTATCGCCTTTCTTTAGTCATCTCAGTCCGGTACTGATCGCTGGAAAGCTAGATCTGCTGAACGAGGCCACACAGTTTCTGGGCGTCTCCCGAACTTCCTTCGTCGAGACTACCTTGCACTATACGGTCCCGCACGCCGTGATCTGTCGCAATCGACCGGTCTTGCAGAACATAGCTGGACTTGTCAATAGGCCTCTGGGACTCCTGCTCGTTGAGCATCCCATGCTCATGCCGCACATTCTCAAAGCGATCTTCACCCAAAAACAGGACAGGCTAGTCCCAGAAACCTCTTCATGGCTCATGGACGTATTGCAAGTCCTCAAGCATAGCGATGCGCCTATAGCGATCGGGAATCTACTCTCAACCCATCTAACGAATCTTCTCGTCGAGGTGATCATCGATTTGGGAGACGAGATCAAAAAACCGGACGCAGAGATAGCCCTCAAGCGGATTTATATGGCTGCGAACCAGCAGAATTCGGGCGAATTCGGGAACGGCTTTGCGAATTGGTTGAAGGCGAACATGCTTGGTATCATTACTGGAATCAGCGACACGATGCACGACGTGAGAGGGCGAAAGTCCGCCATCGAGAAGGCAAAGATCGTTCGCAGTCTCGGAAGCCTCATCGAGCACGTAGGGATATCCATGTCGGGCTTCTCCTCCCAGGTAAGTTTTATCGGATGTCAGTACTAGCGTGCGATTCGCACTGACGCTACAACAATCCAGATCATGGCGATTTTACAAAGCATGCTTCCCATTGCAGAGCTACGGTGGGACGTATTGAACGTCTGGAATACTTTCGTGACCGTCCTGCGTTTCCACGATATCGGGCCTCACATCGGGACGACCGCAGCTGCCTTTGTCGCTACCTGGACAGAAATGAACAAGGATGAACAGTCTCGCGCAACGAGTATCCTGGAATATTTGCTCGTCGACAACAGCGACGAGCTCAAGTCCCATTTCCAGGATGTCGTGTCTCTGGATTCGATACCGGAACTCTCCAAAGCAGCCAAGCGCGTTGCCGATCTCAGAGCAAAATGGAGCTTCAAGGAACGCATCACCGCTATCCTGCGACGATGTGATAGCGAGAACACAGCGCTAGCGAAGCATTCGGTCTTTGAAATGAGAGAGGTCCTCCTTGCAAATCAGAGCGAGCTCGCGTCTCTTGCTCGAGGCGATTCATTCGATCCCCTGTTGGGGTTGGTCTATCGCACCTTGTTAGAGGTTGCAGGTCGAGACGCCGAGCATGCCGACGATGTTAGAATCGGTAGTTTCGAATGCATAGGCATCATCGGCGCGCTGGATCCAGACAGGTTTTCGCTACCCTCAAGAGATCGGACTTTCATGATGCTTACCAACTTCCGGGACAAGGAAGAGGTCAAGGACTTTGCACTACACCTAGTGGAAATAGTCTTGGTCGGCGCGTTTCGCACTGCCAATGACGCGAAGCAGCAGATCCAGCTCGCTTACGCGATTCAACAGCTCTTTCAATTCTGTGAATTCACCTCGCGCCTGTTGCACCAGTCAGGATCGGCGTCCATTTCCACCAAAGTACGGCAACGTTGGCATGACTTCACGAGAAACAAACAGACACTTGAGACTGTCTCGCCCTTGCTGGAAGGCCGCTATAGGGTCGAAAGGATACCTATCACGCACCACGAATACCCGATATACCCTTCGTCCACCACTTATCGGGAATGGCTCCGTTCCTGGACGACAGATCTCATAAGTGTCGTTCTTGAGCATGAAGAGAAGGATACGCCCTATGACGAACATCGTCAAGCGCTCGTCTATGCCAAGGAAATCTTCGGTAGTTTCCGAGGGGTTGTGCGAACTGGCCAGGACGTGGCCGTAGCCCATTACTTGCTACCGCACTTGGTTCTCTACGTGATCAACATCGGTAACGATAGTGTCCGCGCAAACATTGTCAAGGAGATCAACGCAGTTCTGCATGACCAAGTGAACATAGTTGGATCGATGGACTCTGACAGACGGACCTTGAGTGCTCAGGTAAGTTGTCATACATTGCGTATAGGGAGCCGTATCTAATCAGCGTATCGCATCACAGGCAATATTCGATTTACTGGATCACTTAAGTCGATGGTTACAAGAACAACGAGTACGCCTGCAACAAGAACAGCGCTTGAGCTCGAAGAAGGATGGCAACAATGCTCGAACAGACAAGACCAAGCTGCTCATCGTCTCGCAAATCAAGAATGTCGATGGTGTGATCCAAGAGATCGATCCCGAGTTGACGGCGCAAGCGGCGCTACAGAGCAAGGCTTATGCACGTTCCTTGAAGAGCTTCGAACAGCGCATATCCCACTTGAAGACTGTCAACAAGCGACAGGACGCGGACTTGCAGTCATATTACGAGTACCTTCACCGGATATATGCGGACCTTGACGAACCCGATGGTATGGAAGGCGTTACTGCGCGGGTCTTCGCGCCGTCACTTGAACATCAGATTAGAGAGCATGAGAGTGTCGGAAGGTGGACGTCGGCCCAGAGTTGTTGGGAGGTCAAGCTTCAGCAATCGCCCGACGACGTCGCGCTTCATATCGGCTTGTTGCGTTGCTTGAGAAGTCTTGGTCACTATGGTAAGCACATGTGAAAATCATGCTATCGAGTCGAGACTGATTCAGGCACGCGAAAATCTTTGACAGATACTCTAAGAACCCACATTGCAGGGGTACTCACACGCCATCCAGAATGGGAGCGGGAGCTCGCGAATTTCCAGATCGAAGCGGCTTGGGTCGTCGGTGATTGGCACTCTGTCCGTGATATCGCGAGCGGAGGGGCTTCTGGCTCCGAGATCAGTATGGCTAGAGTGTTGTTGGGCATTCACGACCGCAATTACGAGGGCTTGGGAGAGATCATGCGCCAAACCCGGAAAGAACTTGGCGCTGCCGTTACAGCTAGTAGTCGGCAGTATGCGCGCGCATACCCTGCTATCTTGCAGTTGCATATGCTACATGAAGTGGGCATGGTCTGCGATGCTGGTCTCGAAATCGCCAAAACATACAACATGCGGACGACTACTCAGAATATGGATCAAATGGTTCAGCATCGGATCAATCAGCTTAGAAGTAATCTGGCGAACAGACTTGACATCACTTTGCCGTCGTTCAGGATCCGAGAATCGATTCTATCTATTCGTAGGACCGCTTATGCTGAAAGTCCATCGAACAACGCTCTGATGAAAGCAGAGGTTGGAGCAGCCTGGATAGCAAGCGCGAAGATCGCAAGAAAGGCCGGTCACGAGCAGACTGCCTACAGCGCCACACTACAAGCAGATCTGGCCGCCGCGCCAAACGTATTCTTTCAGCAGACCAAGATCCTGAAAGCGACTGGGCATCCTCTGAAGGCGTTAAATGAGCTAGAAAACGGGATCGCAACCCTGAAGAGACAGCAAGTATTGGGCAGTCGCTCGGCGCCGATAGCCATCGACGGCCACCAACCAGAGACGAATGGGCAACGGTTAGACCTCGACATTGCAAAGGTAAGTGAAGCGATCCCATGGAGCGTGCCGGCTGGCTCCTCACCTTGATTCTCCCTGTGAAGGCTCTTATCTTGAGTGCCAGATGGTCGCATGAAACCGGACGATACGACCCCAATGCGATCATACAGCGCTTCCAGGATGCCAAGGTTCTAGCGCATAAGTGGGTCGACCGACCTGAAGGTTCGATGAGAACGCGGGCACATATTCACACTGCACCCGGCGTGAAATAGGGAGGAGAGTCCTTACTATCGCCTTGGACATTACTATGACAACCTCGAAGGCGTCGCAGATCAGTGAGCCGGCCCGGACGTGATGTTTTGAGCGAAATGATATTGACTACAGGGAAATCCTATACTCTGCACTCAGGCTTAAAGCTCAAACCTATACTGTTGAAAACTACTGCAGAGCACTACGGAATGGGACAAAGCACATTTATCAAATGTTGCCGCGCTTGTTGACGATCTGGTTGGATCTAGGCGAGCGTGTAGCAGAAGAAGACAGCAAGGACAAGGAGAGCAAGAAGCGCCGAAGCAGGTAAGCGTTATCAGCGACATCTTGGGAGAGGCGTTGAATTTGTTCAATTCGTTCAATTCAGTGCTGTCAGCAGCGATTCTGAGAGCCTCAAGGCGCTCTCCCATATGAACATCGCTGTAGAAAAGGCCCGTAAAGTGATACCTCGTTACCAGGTCTGTCCTGCCCATCTCTCAAGCTGTCATGTTATATTGCGCTGATGGTAATACGTGGCTCGTCGACAGTGGTTGACAGCATATCCCCAAATCGTATCTCGTATAGGACATCCCCAACAGGACGTGAAGGACATCCTATTAAAGCTCATGACGAATGTCATCTGCGAGTTTCCTCATCAGGCTACTTGGCTGATGGTCGGAATCTATCACTCGACGGGAGCTTCAAGCGAACGGGCCAAGAGGTGTCATGGCGTTTTTTCACAAGCAAAGGTTCGTAGTGTACCGATATCGACCGTAATCGATCGCTGATCTCTTTTGTCGGATAGGCGGCGTTTGGTCCAAATACGCCGGGAGCCAGGGTTATCGACGATGCGGTGTCGTTCTCGAAAAACATGTTGAGACTATCCGTTGACCCCGGTGCTGAAAACCCAACCGGGAAGGAAAAACGTGGCAAGACGAACTCACTCAATCTCAGTGTTGCGCTTCAATTCCCGTGGTTGCAGCAAGCTTTCCCGACTGCCATGATGGTTCCTACGCAAGATGCGTTGACATGCAGTCTGCCGACATCGTCTGACAGTCTCAAATCGAATAACCCTTTCCCTCAGGGCTATACCACCATTACCAGTAAGTAAAAGCGCGGTACGTAGAGAGGTCAATCAATTGACGACATCTACCTGCAGAGCTTCGCGATCAGATCGATGTCATGCCATCTCTGCAGAGACCCAAGAAAATCATCTTTGTTGGCGAGAACGGCAAGGACTACCCGTTCCTGGTCAAGCCTCACGATGATTTGAGGAAAGACGCACGTCTGATGGACTTCAACTCTATGATCAACAAGCTGTTGAAGAGCCGAAGCGAGACCCGAAAGCGAAACATGTGTAAGAGAAGCCCTTGGTTTATGCTTTCTTGAAGCCCTGCTCATGTTGAGGTTGCCAGATATCCGGACATATGCTGTCATGCCGTTGAACGAGGAATGTGGTATGCTCGAATGGGTTTCCAATACCATTCCACTACGTAATATCCTTATCAAGGCATACGAGCGCCGTGACGTCAAGACCTATGTGAGTGGATTGTCTCTGAACCCAGCTTCCTTCACCCTGCTGAAACCGTTCCCGACAGTCCACCGAAATCTACAATCTGCTAGACATCGCCCGTGGCCAGGGACCCCAAGAATCCGCAAAAGTCTTCCGAGACTCGGTCATGCCGAAATTCACCCCCTGCGTTTTCCACGAATGGTTCTTTCAAACTTGGCCAGAACCGACAGCTTGGTTTGCCGCACGGCTGGCTTATGCTCGCACGCTAGCCGTTATGAGTATGGTCGGCTTTGTTCTAGGGTGAGTGCCAGCGAAATTTTACGTACCCGGCATGAGCTCTAAAGTGACCCCTGAACAGATTGGGAGACCGGCACGGCGAGAACATTCTGTTCGATTCGACTACCGGGGACACATTGCACGTCGATTTCAACTGCCTATTCGAGAAGGTTGGTTGATCATTCGACATCCTGTCATGAACATCGCTCATGCATCGCTTCACTTGACCCAGGGCCGAACGTTTGATGTATCGGAGAAGGTCCCGTTTAGACTGACTCCAAATCTCGTAGATGCACTCGGTGCGACCGGGGTCGACGGTGTCTTCAGACGAGCATGCGAAATCACAATCGAACTTTTGAGGGAGAACAAGGACAGCTTGACCAGCGTACTGGAGGCTTTCATTCATGATCCCTTGGTGGAATGGCAGGATCAGAAGAGGCGAGAGGTTAGTCTACGGACGATTTGGGAAGCGCCTGCCATGAGCGGGAACTGACCACCTAAACGAGCAGGAGCGACGAAATCGAACCAAGAGCGCGGATGTGCGGGTCTTTGCAGAGAAAGCGATGGGTCCCATTCGATCGAAATTGCAGGGCAGAATGGGCGATGAACCAAGTTCGAAAAAGGACGTCCCCGCGATGAGCGCCGTCAATCAGGTCGAGAAACTCATCAAGGAGGCTGTGAGCCCCGCCAATTTGGTGCGTTTCCACAGACTGTCGCCCGGTGTGACAGCAAGGAGAAACTGACAACCGCCTTCCTACTGCTTAGGGCGGAATGTATGTTGGATGGGCTGCATGGCTATAATGCGGATACGAAACCTCACGATCTTACGAAACCAACGATCATTGCTACTCACGACAAACTGTATCAAACAAGGACATCTCTCTATTATCTAGCATAGCATTCGAGCCGTCAGTTCGGGGGTATCATTCCAAGCGGTCAGTATCCAGGTCACATTGTAGCATGTCGAGGAAGCCCCCGAAGTCCGAAGTGAAGGAGGCTATCATCTCCATTCCGTTGTGTCGAATATCGATGAATGTCATTCGGAAGAATGTTCGCGAATCGCGATATTATAACTTGCACGAGAATGGACCTGTCCGAAGAGGGTGTTTCCCCTGAGTGCTAACACCTCTATATTGGCTTCTATCGCTATTCTTCGTCGCCAAAACTCAACAGCCCTTTCTTGTCCTTCTCCTTCTTCTTCTCCTTCTTGCTCTGCTTGGCAGACTTAGGCGCTTGATTTATCGTAGCTGGGTCGGGCACGAGCTTGCGCTTATTGCTCGTCGTAGATGCCTTCGTCGAGGTGCCGAAGGTATTGGTCGGTTTCGTCACTGGATTTAGCGGGGCCGACGCAGGGGTGGACGTGGATGAATCTGCTTTGGCCTCTTTTTTCAGTTCGTTCCAGGCTTGTCCGTCTGTAGACCCGAGGTAAATAAAGATATCAGATAACCGTTGTTTAAGGATACCGGCAGTCACGACATACCGATTGCCAGATCTTTCGCCTTGTCTCGCTCTTGTCGGTATTGCTCTGCCGTCAGATGCTTCCCCTCGTTGACGACTACGATCTGCGGTCCATCATCGTCCTGTCCTCCTCCGAATCGTTTATCCCACTCGTCCTCATCATCATCGCTCGCCTTGCCCTTGCCCTTTGGACTTCTCCGTCTAGCTCGTCCGAATTCATCCTTTTCACCTCCCTCCTCGTTATCGCTACCGCCAGCCCATTGGCCGTCTCTAGGACGTTCGGGTATGGGATCCCGACCTTCCCTCACTCTAACGGGGGACTCGCTCCGACCGTCTCGCGGCCGTGAGCCTGAACCCGAGCCGTCGACCTGCTTCTTCAACGCCTGGAGAAAGGCTGGAACATGGGCTTTGTAGGTTAGACCGTTCCGGAACTGATTGTTATTGGGTCCACCACCGTTCTTGGGCATCTTGTATACTTCGAGGGGTATTATGTGTCAACTTGAGGTGGATGAGGTAGGGATCGGCTTGAACGAAATGTTACCATGAAAGATGTACAACGACGAAAGCAGAACATCATCAAGGTCGAGAACGTCGAGATCCAGATCTCGCTCTCGGATCCGAAACTCGGTTTCGTCATCAACCACGCGACGAACAGGTGGATATTCTGATGAAACGACGATTACAAGTTACAACAATTCGCCTGTGGTCGATCTCATTCCTGGATCATGGCGTCAGCTCCATCGTCATTCCCATCCTCTTGAGGCGCTTCTGCACTGAATGTTCCCATGCACTCCCACTTGCCGGCATAAGTCGCTGTGTGTGGGTGAGGAGGGAAGCAAGAATCAAAATCCTGCGGTGATCTGGGGGATTTAGGATTACCCGACGCACCTTTGTATAGTCGCACCTTGCCTTCTTCGCTTGCGACGCTGAGTATCGACCCGGTGGTGTTCCACTGTAAACGTCGACGATCAAGAGTACCTCAGCTACGTCAATCGGTATGATCACGCGGCACCCCTGGGCTCACCTCGACCCTGCCGATCGTCGCTTCCCCCAGACCCCACTCGCCCATAACCGAAGCGCTCCACGAAGCATTCCCTCCCGATCCAGCCCCGTCGGCCGGTTTGATCTTCCAGACCCTGACGGTCCCATCCCGATGCCCACTGGCGATCAGGTGATAACTTCTTCCGCAAGAGGCGGCCCAGGATAACGAAGTGATAGCCTGTGCGCCGAGCGAATTATGTTTTTGGGTGGGCTGTTGAGGGTGAGATGTGTTATTCGAGGGAGGTGGGAGGATGAGGAGAGCCGATGGTGGGGAAGATGAAAGCGAGACGATCTGAGAATGAACATCGACAAAGCATCAGTCTTCACTTCGTTTGCATAGTGTTACAGACTACGACTCACCTTGATGATCCCACTATGACCGCTCGAAACGGCCAAGACCGATCCCCACCACTTTTCCTTGCACCAACTGACCGTCCATCCACCCAAGGCCTCGTTTCCCTTCCCAGGATTGATCAACCCCGCCCCTGGTCCGGTCCCTGAAGACTGCTGAAACCCGCTCCCACCTGCAACCGAGCCCGAATTCGAGTTGGTAGAGGAGTTCTGTGACGATTGACCTGCGATACCGGAAATCCCAGAATCTCCGTCGGTAGGGTTGGCAGAAGAGGAGGTGTTTATGAGGGATGGCACGGAGATGGAGTTGGTGAGCTGCCATTCCGTCAAGGTCGGGGAGATGGAGGTATAGATCCTCAAGGTAGCGTCGGTCGAGATGGAGGCCTGGTGATGTCAATGTGATCGTCAGGTACATACAACGAAGCTTGGAGAATTGCTGGGAACTTACCAATTTCAACCCAAAAGCGTTCGGCCCAAATTCTACCCCTCTAACGCTTCCCCTAGCTTCGTTTAACAAGGCCCTCTCGGCCCATCTCCTCTGACCCCCAGAGTTTCCGTTGACCATACTTGCACCACCAGCAGGCCCAACTTCTTCCCAGATCCGTACGGTACGGTCATATGAACACGATGCTAAGAGGTTGCCGAACTCCGGGTGAGACCAAGTCAGACGGAGGATGGGTGCGTCGTGGGCCTGTCAGAGTTCGTCTGTGATGGTCAGCCTGACAGGACGTTACCTCCAGGCAAGGCTGGTAAAGATGACTTGCCTTCCATTCTGCTTCTAGTTCCCAGCCGCTACCTTTACTGTCCTTTCGCCAGACCTTGATCTTCTGATCCGCTGAGCCCGTGGCGACTGATCATCCATCGATATCCAATACCATCAGCTTGGGTAATATCTCCCCCTCTTCAAGTCACAAATCTTGCTCACTCCGCTCTCCGTAAAAGTCATAAGCGACATCTATATAGGCAAGCTTTCTGAATTAGCATGATACGGCGGGAACGTGTAGAGTTACGAGGGCAGCGTACCGGTTACCAGGTCTGCATGTCCCGTCGGCAAAGCTGCTGTTTGTAGCATATTGGAAATTCCGTGTCGTCAACTAGCTGTACGAACGTTCAGAGGATGGTTATCGAGTGGAATGAGGTAGACTTGTGGACGTATAGATGGGTGTCGAGCAGTTGGTAACCTAGCTAGGCCACTAGGTCGATATTTGCGGATCGACCTCCGCGTCAAAGCTAGCTCGATAAGTTGTTGGGGCATATCTCCATCGCCAAGTTATACTCCTACTCGGTCGACCATCGAACCTCGGTACAGACAGATTCTTGCCGTCTGAAATCTGGCAGCAACATACAGGATACAGGGTACCACAGAATATCCTGCTTTGGCCGCCAAATTTGACGAGGATTCTGGACTCAACAGGTCTAGGCCGGGGGAACTCTGGTCCATCTACGGTTCCTTCCATCTCCTCTGAATTAGACTAGACATACCAGGATTGAGATTTGGACTAGGCCTCAATCCAGAGGAATCTGTGCATAATATTGAGGAAGCTGGCAAGCACGATCATGGCGTCTCCATCCAACGACGCCGGTAGCAGCTTCGCCGGCAAGAGGAAGAGGGAAGATGTCGTCCTGCCCATTATGGCCCAGACCAGCATCGCAGCGCCAGCAGCGTGAGGTCTCAGTAGCTGACTACTGCTAAAAATCGACTACTGATACTTCGATCCCTCGATGTCATTCCTTACAGTCTCTGGGCCCGGGGCGGAACGTCCAACTTCGCCAAGACCGACCCGCAAAACTACCACTCGAAACGACGGGCCGAAGCCCGTCAAACGGTCCCCGCCGAAGAAGCCCGTAGAAAGGTCGAACTTTTGCTTCTGGAAGAGGGGAAACGAGTCAGACGGGCTGGTGGGGTACCTTTTACCGCACAGGGAGGCTTGGGGAGCAGGCCGACGAGCCGGGCGGAGAGCGTTGTTGGGAGCCCAGGAGGAGATGCCGAGGAGAAGGTGGCTGGGTTGAGGGAGAGTGATATCGGAGAGAGGTTGATACCCGCTCTAGAGGAACACGTCGATGAGCAGGAGCAGCAAGCCAAGGAGGAACAGGTCAGTTCTTCGCACAGAGATTTTGTTGAGGTCGTCCAAGGTCGTTATTTCTCACCGCGGTTGTTCGTGAATAGATGGATTTCTCGAAGACGATCGTCATTCAACCTGGTTCAAGATGGCTCAGAATGGGTCGATCTACTGATCCCACGTGAGTGCTCCTTCCAAACCCTACCGAGTATACAACTCATGCAGGAAACCTCTGTCAGGCCGCTAGAAATTCATTCTTGCATCTATCGCAAGACGCCCCTGTTTAAACTCAAATCGACCGTATATGAGGAGCTACCGCCGATCCCTACTCGGATGGAGAATAAGCTAGCCAATCTATTGAACGAGGAGCCTGCGCCGCCCGAGCCGACAGTGTCAGCGGAGGCGGCCCAGGAGGCACCGAAAGATGAAAAAGAAGGAGAAGGAGAGGACAAGGTCGAGGCGACGGAAGAGACGGTATCGGCAGAGCAACTCGAGGCTAACAAGGAAGAGGTCGGTTTTCGGTCGACTTGAATCACGAACCGCTATGGACGAGGAATTGACCTGTTATTTGTTGGTCCGTAGGAAAGGCTCGATGGGTTGATCAAAGACCTTCGAGACAACCTGAAGCATCGGTGAGTCGACGCCAGAGCGCACGAGATCGATTGGCCAGCTGATTCTCCATCATCACGCCTTGAGCAGTATGCAAGCCGCCAAACTGAAGCTTCCACCGGGCAAGTATGAAAATTACGTCGCCACGTGCAACCGGTATAACGGGAGTACGAGACCGGTTCAGCACAAGGCGTATGACGATCCGTATGCCGTCGATTGGGTCGAAGACTGGACACCAGAGACTCTTTTCCCGGACGAGGTGAGCGGCCAAGAGATAACAGCTCGAGTTGGAAATCCAGCTGACACTTGCGACCTCCTCTTGTCACAGGCGTTCCATGTACCGGAAGAAGCGCCATATGAATGTCGCTGGCCATGGAAACGACGATCGCTCAATACACACGATTACCGTGGCACGGGTCCGGAAGTCATCCTCTCTGACATTCAGGCCATCCTCGAGAACGCTCTGAGGAAGCTGAACCCGCCGGTAGAGAGGGGGAGCTATTATGTGAGTCGCACGTGTGACATGAGGAATGGTCTGGAGCATAAGTTGAGTCTGCGCGGTGTTGATCCCAAATTTCTAGCAACATTCTATCGCGCTGGTGATACCTGACCACTCGGACAAGCAATACATCGAGGCCATCATAAAGGTGCTGTTCCAATATATGGGTTTCCGCCAAGTCGGAATACTACAGGTGAGTTCCCTTTAGTTCCAAGGGACAGCTCGCTGTTCATCGATTGACATGCGATTCCGATCCTCCCGTGTAGCAAGCGGTCTGTGCGACTTTCGGCGCGGGTCTCTCTAGCGCATGCATCGTCGACGTCGGAGCTCAACGGTCGACTGTGACGTGTGTCGACGATGGGATGATGCTCGCAGAATCTAGATACGTCCTTAATTACGGGACGGACGATGTGACGACGTTTTACACCGAGCTTTTGAAGCGGATTTCGTTACCATACAAGGAGCTGGACATGAGTCGACGGACGGATAGGGAGATGATGGACGATCTCAGAATACGAACCTGTATCATGCTGGATGTGAGTGAGGCTCGCTCGCGGCTATGGGTTACGCGCGCCTGGAACTGATCGCTTGGGATACCTTATCCGACACAGCAATACGTGGCGAGCAATGTGTGGAAGTTCAATAGTAAAAACCATAAGCGACCCTCGATAGAATACGAGTGCCAGACATTCGACCAGCCCGTCCTGGCTTTCTCTGTGAGCTGAAACGTGAAATCCTATACCGCGAGGGCTTGCTAAAGATCTGCTGTCTATTCAGTGCTTCTTCGACCCAAGGGTCATGAACTGGAAAGTCAAGGATCAGGTCCGCCGGTATCCCCTCAAGGGGTACGTGGACGAGTATATGACAGAGATGCGGGACGATGATGTGGTGAGCAAGGTTGACGAACCTTACCCTTCGACACAAGGCTAATATCTGATACGATCCAGACTCGGAGCATGTCGAGAGCGACGGAACATCTGCTTCCTCCACCCTTGCCACCACCCGAACCCGTCATCGAGGAAGTGACGACGACCAACCCCGAGACGGGGGAAGTCACCGTAACGCAAGTCGCGGTGCCTCAACCCATCCCACCTCCACCCGAACCGGACTTTGACGTGGTACAGGAAGCTGCCAAGATGCCGCTCGAAGTTGCCGTAGCATGCTCGCTGTTAGCGGCTACGCCTGAGCGGGTTAGCAATTTGGCAGGTTCGATCTTGATCTTGGGAGGTGGAGGGGCGGTAGAAGGGTTCGGTGAAGCTCTGCGATGGCGGTGAGTGCGCCCGCTCCAGCTCCTTAGAGTGGTCGTTTCTCCGTGCTGAATCTCCTATGCGATGTTCAGTGTCCTGTCTCAATTGCAACAGAGAGCACCAGGACAGTCCATCAGCCCCGAAATCTTGCCTGCTCCAAGAGGTCTAGATCCACGGCTCGTGACATGGCGAGGTGGGGTCGTATGGACGCGGCTGGACTCGATGCAGGACGTTTGGATACGGAGGGACGAATGGGACGAGTTGGGTATGCGTAGTTGGAAGATGAGGGTGATGTAGATGAGCCACTAGATGGGGCATATAGGGTCTAGGGTCGATCTCAGTCGGCCGTCGTGTGACTCGTATTTGCTTCCGCTCAAAGTCGGAGTGAGCCGACGACTACGGGTCGTTTGAAAGTTGTCTACATGACGTCTGCTTCATCGAGATTTGCTCTTTACATCGAGTCGGATCTGATACAACAAGCAGCAACAGCTAGCTTTTCTTTGCAACCATGAGCTCAAACTTACCGCCATATCAGCGGCAAAACTCGCGGTCCCCAGCCGCATTGCTCGCCCCGCTTCCCGTTGGCGAAAGGACACCGCTGTCCCCATCGGCTTCCTCCGTTCAGTCTCGACAGGATTCTTACTTTGCCATCGGAGAGAGGGATGGTCAAGATGCCACGGCGGACGAACGTCTCTTGTCAGAAGAGCCAGCGAGCTTTGAAGCGCCTCGCGATCGATTGGACCATGCCCTGAGGAGAAGAGGGATGACGGGTGTGGCCGATTTCAGGGGGAAGGCGACAGAATGGTTCAACAATAATACGGGGTTATTGCTGATCGCTGCCGCTCAGTGTTTCTTTGCCAGGTGAGATTGGAGCTCGTGATGATTTTCAGGTCCCTAGCTGACGTTCAAATGACCTGGATTTAGTATGAACTCCGCCGTGAAGCTGTTGCAAGACCCGAAACAAGGTGGAGGGCTGCCTTCTTTACAAGTACGTCAACGAGATGGGTCAGATGGCGATACACGCAGCTAATCATTGCTGTGTAATCTTCAGCTCATCGCCATCCGGATGTCGATCACCCTCATCGGTTGCGCATCTTACCTGTTCTACACGGGCGACCCGAACCCGATCCTAGGCCCGCCCGAAGTTCGTAAATTACTGGCTCTTCGGGGTTTTATAGGATTCTTTGGGCTTGTCGGAATGTGAGTATAGTCGGTTATAATCACTTTCATGTGCGAAGCTGGCTAATAAAAGGCATTCGACGGATATTCCAGGTACCAATCTCTCCAGCATCTGTCCTTGTCCGAAGCGACGACGCTGGGGTTCTTGGGGCCCATCGCGACGGGCATTCTTGGGTATTTGGTCTTGCGAGAACCGTATACCCGCAGAGAAGCTGCAGCAGGAGGTGAGTCGTTGCCCTCAGCTTTCCTTACGAGGAGATCCCACTGATCATCCTGATTGCATGAACGGCCTACGTCACGTCATCCAGCCGTCTCCCTTATTGGCGTCATCCTCATCGCCCGCCCAACTTTCCTCTTCGGCGCGCCTCCACGGATATCGGACGGTCTCCCAGTCTCGCCCGACTGGGGTGACGAGGTCTCCTCAGGGTCGCGAACAAGCTGGCACGACAAGGTCTATGATCCGGATACGGGAGCGCTGATTAGGCACGACACGCCTGCAGAGAGGTTGACAAGCGTCGGGTTCGCCTTGCTCGGGGTTTGTGGAGCAAGTGGGGCTTGTAAGTCGGTAAGGACGCAGGGGAGGATGGGAGAAGGAGATATAACTGATCCTTCTTCGGCATCGCTCGCAGATATCACCATCCGAGCCATTGGCCATCGGGCGAGGCCGTTCCATAGTATCGTCTACTTTTGCATCTACTGTGTCGCAGTCTCGATTGTGTGAGTTTCTTGTCGCCGTGGTCTACTTCGTGAGAGGCTTGTAGGCTGACCAGACTCTGTCCGGGCGTAACCTGAGATAGAGGGATGATTGTCCTGAGAACCCCGCTTGTCTTTCCCCATACTGTGCTTGGTTGGTGTCTAATCATGATCATCGGGTGAGTGGACTCTCATTTCCATTATCAGGATGTGAGTCGATATGTAAAGGCAAGGTTCTGATGAGAGTCATGTGGTTGTGTTCATCTTGCAGCATCTTCGGACTCGGAGCTCAGATCTTGGTCACAATGGGTCTTCAACGAGAAAAGGCCGGTCGGGGAAGTCTCGCCATGTACACCCAGGTGGGCCATCGTCTGAGGTCCAGGTTATGCGCTACCGGGAGAAGCTGATCATATTCATGTCAAATGTATTCCCCACTCCTGTAGTTGTTGTTCGTGGCCGCGGTGGAAAAGTTCCTCTTCAAGACGCAAACGACTTTTTTGAGCGTTGTCGGGATGATCGTCATCATCGGTGCTGCTCTCTCGGTCGCCGTGAGTTGCGGCAGAGCAAGATCTCCCAATCACAAGCTTGCCCGTCTAACGTTAGCTGCTTCGCGGTTGAACCTAACAGTTTGCGAAGAAGCCGGAAAAGAAACCGGCTGCTGGCGGTGATCTCGAAGCGAACGATAGGGATGGATCAGAACAGCTAGATCACAGTGCGTTCGACGACGGCCGGCTCACCCCCGCCTTGGTGGAAGGATCCAACGAAGTCCCAATGTCTCGGTCCAAGTTCGCCGGTCGGGGTCAGCTAGGAGGACGAAGAGCATCTTTCGGAGGAGGGCGCGAAAAGGAAGATCGGAGGTTCTTGAGCGAGGGGTATAGACGAGAGGAAGGGGTTGAACGAGGTGAGAGTTCTAACAGAGACTGAGGGCGGGAACGCATCCTAGGTATCTATATAAAAGGACAATTCGAGTGCAGAACATACATAGCAAGGAGCTTTCCGAGGATATTCGGCATCTTGTATGGTTTCATGATATAGTTGTCGATGATTGATAGCAGAGTTACATTAATGCTCATAGATCTGGATCGCTGTTGAGCATTCGGAACTTCAAGGGGAGATTTAAGAAGAACAAGCTCGACTACTGCCCCCACTGCCCTCCCGAACGCGAACGCGCAGGCTCGAAAGGAGCGTATGCTGGAATTGGTACGCAGCGAGGCGTTGGCCCCCCGCCTGTTCCTTCCCAAATATCTGGTAACCCCCGCGTACTTTGTGGGGGTAATGAACTCCTTGTTCCCTTTGGACGACCCATATTTGATCCGGGAGGTCTGTGGAATCGTCAATAGCTCTCCTCTCAACCTGGTCTTCACTTCCAAAAGCTCTTGCTCTTTCAGATCCTCCACCATCAACTGGGTTATGGGTTCGTATTCCACCCTCAAAATCACTACCATGAAAAGGCATCTTGCAAGATCACTGGAATTGGCAGAGCTTGAAAATGTTGAACAAAATGATTTCGCTTTGCTCCTTGTTCGTTAGTTCAGATATAGTGATATCAGGACATTCGATTCACTCCAACGCTTTCCACCCGCTAATCGATCAATTGAGCATTCAGTGTAGTTTGGAGTGATCCATCGCGACATTGAGTTCATCTGTGATACCCCACTTGTTTGATGATATCTACAAGCCGAGTCTAGAGGAAAAAGACCACTCTCTCATCATCGTAGTCGTCAAGAACTCTCACAACATCTCCCGGGACGATCGCCCAAACATCAGTTCCGATGATGAAAAGGCTGTGATCCTGGAGTTCTCCGTCATATCAATATCGAACGGTCGACGCTCACCCAGATTCAGACCACTAACGATAACGACGCGGGATAGATACCTGGATATCAAAGAACGTTGCCTCTTACACTCGACTTTGTAGATCAGCGTGCAGGATGAAAATAAGTCACAGAACCGAATGCAACGCAGATCCTGGGCCTCGTTCAAATCAGTCGGAGCGGTCGACTGAATACATCAACCAGGCCGCCGGTCAAGTCGCCTCCCGCAGTCAAACCTACTGTCCGCACACCTGTAGACCGTACAGAGGAAGCTTGTTATTGTTCCAATTGGGTCGGCACAATTGTTGAGATGATCAGATCAGGAAGACCTCACGGGGCTTCGCAGCTCCTATGGATCCATGACGCTGTCAGACGCTCCTGTCAGTCCTGCCCTGAGCGTTTCAGCCCAACAAAGCGTTTCACCATATAAACGGCGACTTCTAGAGTGTGCAACTAAGAGGTAGCGTGAGCAACTAGGTCCTTGCAGCAACTAGGATAGAAGCGGTCGTCTTACACTCGAGTTGGCATCGTATGCACCAGCACATGCGACGAAACGTGGGTAGCCCGAAGACAGATTGAAAGCGCCACGGAGGGAGGACCGGACTTCACACTATCAACGATCGCAATACCGTTTCAGCGTGCGCCTAGTAGAAAATCGTACGGCTTAGGAGTCTGCGATGGAGGTACGTCATTGGCGTGTTCGCCGATAATGCATTAACCGGAGCGGGAACAGGTCTTGAGCTTGGTCTTGGCTGTCAACCCTCGGCTGTGCACCAGGTATCTACGAGCACGGATATCTGGCAAGCCACTGGACAGTCTCTATTCTCCCCAAGCCACCGTAACGAAGTGAAACCGGAAGACCGACCATCGGCTCGTTTCGTCTCGTCTCGTCTCGCAAATTACCAGTCGAACGGGAGCAAAAAATGGCAAACTTCCTGAAACTCGGCTACGCGATCTCTGATCTCTGATGGCCGGGTGCACCGATCGACCGGTGCAAGCAATTGGTACCGCCCCTTTCTTTCATTTGGCTCGGCATGCTAGCGCGGAATTCGAACGGTTCACGACCTCCACCTTGTCGGTCGACCTCGTAGGCCCTCCCTCCTCTGTCGCTCATATAGAGTGCGCTGCGGTCGATAGATCTTGGGAGAGTTCTGCAAACAGCAAAGTGGTAAAACCAAGCTGCAAAGTCGCCTGGAAAGCCTGTTTCGATGTTTCATCTTTGAGATGGTCCAACCTGATCGCCCGTTTGCATCTACCCTCGGGCATGATTATCGACCTCGCGAGTCGACCGGAAGCGTCGCGTGGCCCGATTCGGATCCCGGGCGTCTCTCTCCCTCTCGATCTCCAGGGCAAGGCGATGACGATCGAAAAGGGCTGGATGGGTGGGTTGGATTCCAACGGGGTCGTGGATGTCAGCGATCAGCGAGAATCATCAATAACACATGCAATCTGCAATCTAGATCGGTAGATCTCATGGACATCGTTGTGTCGCACAGCTCGACGATTTCACGCTTGCAAGTCTTTGCTAGCTGCTAGTGGCCGTCAAGAGCAGATGCATACCGCACACTTCCTGCTGCGCTGCTGCCCGAGCTGATGAAATATGAACGGGACCGAATTTGCTCGACCTTGCGCGGAATGTCTAGGTGTCCTCGTATACAACACGTCGCATACATCCTATCGTCTATTATCCGCATCATTAATGTCGTGTATCGCCTGGATCGTTGTCTGCATCGTGTTTGATAGACGCTCGTGTTCGTAAAAAACAAAGACAAGAAAGACCGAGGATCGTGTTCGTCGTGATCAAAAGGCGCCCGCAAAAGCGAAAAGAGAGAGGTTGTCGTGAACGCTTTTTCCGCCTCCGCGCCCTGGATTGGCTTTGCCTCGCTCGCTCGCTCTCTTGCCCAGGCCAGGCCCAGGCTCAGCCCCTTTCCTCTCTCTCTCTCTCTACCATCCTCTCTCTCAAACTCAACTTCCCTCTCTCTCTCTGTCTCTTGCTCACGATTCGGGCAGTCACTCTGAGCACATTTCGGAATCGAAAGATACAATCCTCTTTGGATCATCTCCTGTTCAATTGTCAAGGTTGCAAGACAATCACCTCTGGCCACTGAACGTTGCAACACGTCACATCCCCAGCTAGACGTAGATACAGATCTAGGATCGAGTTCAGCAGCAATACCGCATCCATCCTATCGATCTTATCGCCGCCAATAGACAAGGCAGATAGCTTGACCTACGGCATACACATCGGTCGAACGAGCATCCTTGTTGTCGATTCTGGTAGACAGACTTGCATCGAGCTAGATCCAGGGGCGACTCTCACCGTTACTCTGCTCGACATCTCCCACTCGACCAAAACGAACTTGATAACTTCTATCGATCGCCGTCATCCGCATTCAAATCGTCAGCTCGAGTTGGGAAAGGGGCAACTCAACGTGCTGGTCTGTCTGAGCAGCGGGAGAGAGCACATCGGCGTGCATCGTTCTCCTCCTCTCGTCTCATAGAGGAACACGACGACGACGACGACCACCGCCCGAGAGGCAAGTCGACGGCAACATGACCCAATCGCCACAAGACGAAGAACACCAGGTCAACATCGTAGACTTTGCCGATGCCGAGCACAACGCGGAATCGGGTCAGGCTACGCCTATAGCTCGACCCGAAACGCAGGTATCGCCATCGTCGGAACAGCCTAGAAAGTCTCCGGTATCACCACAGTCGAAAGATCCTGGCACAGACGCTTCCGTCGACAGGGTTCGAGCGGATACCTCTAAACTGAGCCTCGGACTGGGCTCTCCGTTCGACAAGAAGCAGGACGACGAGTCACTGGGCGACATCGGGCCGCTTTCACCCAACAGCAATTCGAGCGCTTCTTTTGTGTTCCCGGTCCGTTCAGTCTTTGCCAACCGTAATCAAGCCCCGATCGTCCGTCGGGATAGAAACGAACCTGCCCAGAACGCTCAGCAGCAATCACAGTACCAGGCGCCGGTCACGAGCGGTGGATTGCCTCGACCGCAGGATCCTAGCAGTCTGCCCAACAGGGACCGATCACCTTCCCTTCCTGCCGGAACCGCCGGTTCATCCATCTCGAGCATTCTCGCACAGGGAGAGTCTATCCAGAATATGCTCGAGGGTTACACCTATGATCTCGCCGAAATTCACAAGCACTTGCCCTGGGCTCAGTTGAAGGATGGTAATTCGCAGGCTGGTCCTTCGAACGGGTACCGTCCACCCGGTATCGTCGGTAGCGGTTTCTATTCTGCACCTCTACCTAGCGTCGCTGAGAGCTCTGAGAGTACCTACTTTATCGACGCGTTGCTCAACGAGGAGAGGAGGAAGAGCGATGGAACCGAGATCGATCCCTCGTCCCCGGTCTTCCGACCACAATCCAACCTCCCTTTAACCAACACGCAAGATCGCAGCTCTTCCGATCGTAGTCAACACGAGATACACCGGACAAACAACGACACCTCCGGTTCTAGTAGTCGTGGCCATGCACACGGACAGATTGATCCGGCGCCGAAGGATGCTCCAGCGCCTGGACAGACGACCGAGAGGTCAGGCAAAGACGAGGAAGGCGACAAGACGTATAGCTTTTCTCATCATCCTCGCAAGAACGAAAAGATCAACATCTCCGGTCCGTCTGATGGGAAACGTATACGGAACACTCGCAACGCTAGCAATAGACCGATACGGGACGACGAGGGATCTGACGAGGCCCACACGCCGTACGATTCGGACGAGGATGATTACGGCCCACGTCCAGTTACACTGGGCGACAACTTTCAGTCGCACGGTTTGGGCGAAAACGGGGAACGGTCGAGCGATGATGATTCAGGCGAGAACGCAAGTCGGACAGATACGATCCATCCGATCCGCCGACGACACGAAGGCAAGGAACCTGATGTCGGTCCCGGTGGTGATGGTAGAGACGAGGTCGTGGACCAAGATGAGACCCCGACGGAAGACAAGAAGCAAGAAGAAGGTGGACTCTCAGGGGCTGCGACCCCCTCGTCCACGCGGCCTCAGGGCGGATCGCCTCGAGCCTCTCGGCCTGTCAGCGCGGCTGCATCGCAGACCTCGGATAACATGAGACCGTTCGATGATGGGATTACTCTGCTTCCTGGACGACCCGGAGAAGAAGGAAATACCGAGTCTTCTTACGGTACTCGGACCAGCTCGTTGCGCGGCAGCAAAGACGCTCTGCACTCGGCCATGCGAGGTGGCAAGAAGCAGAACAAGGCTCAGGTCAACAGCGTGCCGGATTATCAATCCAGCGTACAAAAGTTTGTGGATCGACAAGCGGAGACGACCAACCTTAGCGATCCCAACGCCCCGACTCCCAGTCCTGGTCCGGGTGAGGAGACAAGGTCCAACGAAGAATCGGCAGTCGAGGAGGATGAAGATGACATGATGATGGACGCAGAGTCTGCTGCGGATCGATCGGCATCCGAGGTCAGCCGACAAGGTGAGGAACCCCTGATGACGGTCAGATTCGAGCATGTCACGACAGACGACGGGCATCATGTCGTCACGGGGAGAGAGGGACAGTTGAAGAAATGCGAAGATGAGGTTCGTAACGTCTCCACTCGATTCACAAACAGAACGACTCGCTCACCACGTTCACTCCACAGCCGATCACTACCCCCGGTTCCGTGCAATCGTTCGGTGTTCTCATGGTGTTGGAAGAAAACTTTGATACGGACGAGCTCGTCGTGCGGCAAGTATCAGAGGTAAGTCACCATTTCACACCAGATCGACTGAAACGTCGCCTCGGGGCAATACTGATTCAATCGAATGTTTCTCTTCGATCCAGAACTCTACGGATATCCTAGGTCTCTCGCCAAAATACCTCTTCAAGGTTTCTTGCTTCACCCGGAATTTGTCGAGACATCAGGAACACGTCCTGAGAGACAACATAGACTATCTGCCTGACCCCGACGCGGATGAAGATACCTTGACGGATGAAGGTCCCCACGTTTTCTTGCTGAGTGGTTTCGGAGAACCAGGAACAGGCGATCGAGACGTGTCAGATAATCTCTCCAGTGGATCATCCGTTACCGATAACCGGCGGAGAGAATGGACTTGCTGGGTCGCCGCACATCGTCCCGCACAGGCCTCCGCCAAGAAACGCGGTACCGGTGCGGCCAATCCCCGAGCCGAGTCCAGAAACCTCATCATCTTGGAGTTCGAGCTCGAGAAAGACTTTCAAAATCCACTTTACCCCCCAGTCACCCGACGCAACGCCTCGGGAATATCGTCACCTACGACCGGCTCCAACATGTCTACTGCCACTGGCTCAGGCAACTCGATGCAAACGGCTTCATCAGTGGACACGGTCAAAGGCAACGAAGGCATCAAAGACAAGGACACCCAAAATCTCCGTCCGGCGGCCGTCATGACCCCTCGAACCAACTCGCAGGATTCCGGGATATCTGATACCACTCTGCAGGTTCGCAACCAGGAGGAGGAAGTTATGGGATTGGAAGGAGAGGAGCAGGATGTCAAAGCCGAGGACATCTTGGAAAGTACGACGAGTCACGCGAAACCGCTTAGGGCTTTGGAGAGGCTGCGCAGGATGACCCGAAATCAGACGCAGCCGACTGAAGATGGTTCCCAGTCGAGCAAGAGTGCGCGGCCAAGACCGAATCGACGAGGGACCGGATCGGGTGGAGTGGGAACCATGGATGTCTTTGCAGTCCTTGCTCAGATCAATGATCAGCTCAGTCAGGCTCCAGATCTCGACTCGTTCCTCAAGATCGTGGTTGGAGTCATCAAGGACTTGACGCAATTCCATCGCTGTCTTGTATACAGCTTTGACTCTCAATGGAACGGATTGGTCGTTGCGGAACTGGTTGATTGGAGCAAAACCCACGACCTGTACAAGGGGTTGCAATTCCCTGCCACCGACATCCCAGCTCAAGCGCGTGAGCTCTACAGGATCAATAAAGTGCGACTCTTGTACGACAGGACACACACCACAGCTCGCATGGTCCTCCGCAGCAAACGAGACCTAGACAACCCCGTCGACATGACCCATTGTTACCTTCGAGCGATGAGCCCCATTCATATGGTATGTCACGTCATCGCTCTATCGGATGGCAGAGGCTGTGCTAACAAACGCAAACTTTTATGGAATAGGTCTACCTCAAGAATATGGGGGTCCGATCGAGCATGTCTATCGTGAGCAGAACTTTGCTGTCCAATCCGATGATGCCAGTCACTCAAGTCATGTCCCCCTCGCCTCCCACAGTCGATCATGGCTTTCGGTAGCCTCTGGGGTCTCATCGCTTGCCACGGTTACGGGAACCATGGTCTGCGAGTCAGCTTCCCGGTCCGACAGATGCTACGACTTTTGAGCGACTCTGTATCGAGGAACATCGAGCGATTGAGTTACGCTGCCAGACTTCACACTCGAAAATTGGTACGTAGCACTTGGCAAGATTGATACACTGCCCGAGCTCATACACATATCGCTTCTTTTTCCTTCGCCGCCACAGATCAGCACCATTCCAACCGACGCTCATCCTACCGGGTATATCGTTTCGAACGCCAACGACCTCCTGACTCTGTTTGACGTAAGTACTAATAGGCTTTCCTCGTCGGTTTCGTCTCAGCTGAACATAGTTCGCAACGTGTACAGGCCGATTGTGGTGTCCTCGTAATTGGTGAAGGAGCAAAGATCCTTGGATCCAGCACGGAGCATGGGCAGGAAATCCTCTTGATCGCCGAGTACTTGCGATACAAGCGTTTCAAGTTCGTAGCGCGTTTCTTCTTCTTTCCGGTGTCGATAGATGAGTTACTGATCGTATCGTTCGGGGCCACAGTCAAATGCAAATCTCGTCTCATATCGGAGAAGACTTCCCCGATCTCGTATCCTCCCGTAATCTGCAGATCATTAGTGGTTTGCTCTACGTGCCGCTTTCCACCGGGGGCCAAGATTTCATAGCGTTCCTTCGCAAAGGTCAATCTCGTCAGGTCAACTGGGCGGGCAAGCCTTACAAGGACGGCAAGGAGAAGGGCGCCAACTTGGAGCCCCGTCAATCTTTCAAGGTCTGGTCGGAGACGATTGCGGGTAAATCCAAGAACTGGACCGACGAGCAACTCGAAACCGCCGGTGTCCTCGCTCTCGTCTACGGAAAGTTCATCGAGGTCTGGCGTCAGAAGGAATCAGCGCTGAAGGCGAATCAGATGACGTCCCTACTCTTGAGTAACGCTACGCATGAAGGCAAGTTGTCACTCGCAATGCTCGACACATTCAGCCGAGTCAGTATGCTAAACTCGGCCTGTCTTAATAGTTCGAACCCCGCTCAACCAGATCATCAAGTGAGTTGCTCGGGCCTGCCGCAGACCCTTTCTTCGAGCCCGCTTACCCGATCTTTCTTCATAGCTACCTCGAGCTGGCCCTCGACGGTCAACTTGACGGCGAGACACGAGAGAATTTGAGCAGGTCCCACACGGCTTCAAAGGTTTGTCCGACTGGAACGGTTAGACGCATGCCTTTCGTTGAATCGCAATTAACGCCTCGTCGTACAACACAGAGCTTGTTGTTCACCATCAATGACCTTTTGGTAAGGCGCCGTGCGGATTGTTGGCGGCACGAGAAGACCACAGAAACTAACCAGATCTGGCATTACAGGACCTCACCCGAATTGAGAGCGGGAACGAGACGGCATTCAACGACCCTTTCGACATCCGTCAATGCATGAAGGATGCCGCTCGCATCTATGCTTCGGAAGCCAAGCGTAAAGGTCTCGAATACAACATCGACGTCCACGCCGCACCAGATTGTTTCTTGCTTGGTGACCAGAAGAAGATTCGAACCGTGGTTGCCAACTTGATTGCCAATGCCGGTGAGCCGATATCTCCTCGCGTCGAAAAGATCACTGTTGCCTCGGAGCTAACAACTCTTTGTCACAACAGTCAAATACACGCAGAAAGGCTCGGTCTCAGTTTCGTGTAGAGCTAGAGGTCCCGAAGAAGAGAGCGCCCCCAGCTCCGAGTCGGGTTTTATTCAGACCGAAATCATCGTGGCGGATACCGGCTGCGGAATTCCTTCAGAACAATTGCAAGCGATGTTTGTTACGCTCGAACAAGCTGATTCGGCAGAGAATCAGTCTGCCACAGGCCTGGGTGAGTGTCATGATCAATGGACTGCTTGCGTTCATCAGATGGCCTAAACGTCGTATACGTTCGTAATTTTCGCTTCCTAGGTCTCGGACTGGCGGTTGTAGCAAGGATCATCGAGCAGGTCGGAGGAACTTTACGCGCAGATTCGGAGGTGGGGCGAGGTTCTAGATTTTACTTCAACATCACGATGGCGCGTCACGAAGGTACGGCGACCGCATCGGACAACTCGCTCGTGAAACCGCCTCGACGCTCCGGCAGTATGGGTTCGGGATCTGGCTCGGCCCTGTCTTCGACTCGCTCTACTGGTACAAGAGAGCTGGATAATTTTGTCGACGCTTTCTCCCAATCACACATGGCCAAGGCTGGGCCAGATGACGAGCGAATCCGATCTGCGGAAGCGAGGATGTCCCAACCGGGAACCTTCCCTGTTACGGATAGTTCGTGGCCCATCAAGCCAGCAAAGACGAATGATGACAAGCAGTCAAATCAGGACGTCATTCGTCCCAACTACTCTCGAAGCCAGTCTGCCTACGCTCATCATCCCCCGCGATCCCCACCTCTACGCATCACCACCTCGGCGGGCGACCCTTCGATCTCATCGGGACCCCATTCGCCATCAGAAACGGCACAAACGGACGACACGCTTGAAACTGGGGCGACTGATGATAGCAGCAAGCCGAAAAAGAAGAGGCGTTCACCGGTTGGGGGCAAGTTGCGGATCCTTGTGGTTGAGGTGAGCACATCATGTTCTGGTCCGGAACGCCCGCGCTTCAGTTGATCGATCCCGATAACATCACCCAGGATGACGACGTTAATCGCAAGATTCTGGAAAGACGGCTCAAACTAGACGGTCATGAAGTGATCTCTGACACTAATGGCCAAGAGGCCGTGGATCGGATTCGAGAGGATCCCAACTTTGACTGCATCCTTATGGATATCCAGTAAGTAACCAGCGCGCTTGCAATCGACCCCCACATTTACACTTACATCGATCGCATGACGTGTGTAGAATGCCTGTCATGGATGGCCGTGAATCTGCTGCTACCATCCGGAAAAACGAACCCAAGGTCGACAGCATTTCTCCCACCATCAAACGAGTGGACGGGCGCATCCCAATCCTCGCCGTTTCTGCGACGCTTCTCGAAGCGGATCGATCCAAACTTGCCGTCGACTTTGACGGCTGGATCCTCAAACCCATCGATTTCAAGAGGATGCTCCGCCTCTTGAGTGGGATCTCTATCACCGAGCACAGGGTCGAGGACGCTTACGTCCGCGGTCAATGGGAACGTGGCGGTTGGTTTAATTCACTGAAAAACCCTCGACGGAAATCCTCTCGTCACTAGCTTTCAGTGACGACCACATTTCGTATCAAAACATCTTCCGTTTCTCACTTTCTCTACACGACATCTTACGGCACCGCACGTCAAGAGCTCCTCTCTTCAAGCATGGCGATGATGAGCACAATGAAACGATTGTTATCACTTGTATATTTCACCCGGGTGTAGGAATAAATTACTATTTTGTATCATTCAATACCGCGTCTTTCATTTGTAAATCATGGGTACACATCGAAATGTCGATGGTCATAGTCATATTGCCCTGCGCTCGGGCAAATCCGGCAAGCCGAGTTCTTTCAGTACCTGCGGTTTCGCCTGTGCTATCAGCTCAACGCAATTTGTCGTCGTTTTTCCTCGGAATACTCACGGATGTACCGTCTATTATGCTCGTGGTTGCGATGATATATTTTCTGCCTGTGGCCGTGATTCTTTCTAGGTAAGCGACAAACCGAACAAAGCGATAGTCGGCCGACTTGCCTTGAGCTTGACTGGTCATCCAACGCACTGCAGATATCTCGGTGTAGGTGCATCCTCCAAGGAAGAAGACCAGAGTCGTTTTCATCCCGCCGTCACGATCTTCATGCCAAAACACGTCAGTTGCAGTAGGTTCGAGCATATAGTATAGAAGAAACACACCTGATGGCACCGCCGCGGCTTGTAGGCTTCGTTGTGATTCGTCGACCGTCAGTCCGGGAAGCGAAGCCATCGTATCTTCGAACCCCTTCCAACCCATCAGACCATGAGCGCGAGGTAGCGTTCTCGCGGGCTCGTTATCGGCTTCACTAGGTTGCCTTGCCTTGCCATTTCGATCTGCACTGGAGCCACCCGTCGCGGTAGCCAAGACCGCCGGTTTCATGCTCACGCATTGTACGAGACGAATACTCAGTGGCGCATAACCCGAGTATGTGTAGGCGATGTCGTTCGGTTCCTGTTCGTTTGCCTCTTCAACCCAGAGGCGAAGCGATTTACGGGTCTGAGGGAAAATGTTACCGCCTGGCGCTGGAGAATTATTTAACAGGCCCATCCGTTCCAGGTTGACAAACGTCGTCAGATAGTGGTAGCCGTAGATCTGCAAGAACTCTCTCTTGAAGTTGTCCAGGACCTTTTGTCGAATTCCTCCGACCGAGAGTGAGAGCAGGATGACCAATCTCAAGATATCCCAGGGCGTCTGGGATTGCTGTATCATCAAGTCCTCTATCGCCGTCATCTGATTCGTGGGCTCGTATCCAGTAGCAATGTCTTCGAGTGATAAATCCGGGTGACATTAGAGACGCTTAGGAGCTGTAGTGAGCGGCCAAAAGCTTACTCTGCTGTATCTCCAAGACTTTTTCAAAGCCGGGCGACCGCGTGATCGACATCAGCATCTCTGTCAGACTCGTATCTACGGAGAGAAAGTGTCCGCATCAGCCGACCTGCCTACCATACAACAAACACTCGAAATTTCCTCGCCCTCCCAACTTACGTAGTTTCAGCGCCCGCTGCTCTCCCTGCAATCCGCCCAGCTTGCCCACAAACTCCTTCATCTTGCCCACCGTATCCAAGCTGTTCTTGCCCTGATAGTCCGCCTCGAGCCGTCGAGCCAGTCTAGCGAGCTTGGCACCGACGACGGAGAAGTTTGAATCCCTCAACTCGCCAAAGAGGGGGTCCGTAGAAGCGCTGAGCAGGTGTTTCCGCTTCTTGGTCGGCCGATTCGACGAACCCTGTGCTCCCAAGGTGGATGAGATGGGATTTGACGATTCACCCGGAGGAGGTCGGTTAGCCTCAGTCGACAGGAGCTCCGGGTCCACCTCGATATGAGCTGCAGCGTGTAACAATCGAAGGGGACGTCAGCCAAGGGGGCAGGACTGCGTGAGGGGACGAGATTCGTCGCGCTTACAACGCTGTATCCCGACATACTCTGCGAGTAAGCCCTCGTACGTCAACATGGTCATCATCGGTGTCACCCAATCTGTACTGCGGTCGATGACGATCAGCCCGTCCACCTGCTGAGAAGGTTCCAGCGTCGAGTAGATATCCGGTCGTGACTCCCGATGTCGTTTCAAAAGCGATACCAGGCGCTGGATAGCGGCATATACAGCTCAACGCTAGACTCATACTCAACCCCAGGTCCGTAGCTAGCTCACCTGCGCCGCATCACCCTTGCCCAACATCCGAGGAAATAGCCCGTACGCCCGTTGAAACGTCATCAACGCCATAGAAGCGTCGTATAATGGCGTGTCATCTCCGTTCTGCATCACCCCGCCGGGTCCGGTCAGTGTTGCGAAACCTCACGAATACGTGCTCCAAGAACTCACAAGATACAGATCCTTGATGACACTGGGCTCCTTTTCCAAGCTCATCAGATCATCCTCCAGTACGATCCAGCTTGCTCCCAACCCCAATTCCTTCACTTCGACATCCCCTCCTATCCCCAATTCCTCCAATATGCTTGCCGACAAGGCCGTCCGCCTAGGAGCGAACAAGACGTGGTAGACGTATCCTTGGGTCTGTTGAGATTGATGCGTCTTGATCTGGTCGGCGATGATCTCGAGGTGAGACCGGGAAGGACGGGTGAGGTAGACGATGTTCCGGGTCGGCGCCTGGAGAGGGCCCGGTTCGAGCCAGAACATCTTTTCCACCGCTTGGTTCTGAAAGGGTTGGAAGAGAGAGAGAGAGCGTATGATAAATTTAGAGCTCGACTATCGCTCTATGTCTCATGATGAACAAGCATGCATGGCCAACAACGACTGACCTTGAGCGAACCGACATCCACTACCAGTCCCAAACTCCCTGCCAGGTCTCTATCGAGCACCAACGTCTTTCCCCCCGGAATCGCTACGAGAGCATCCAGCAGGTTCTCCTTGAGCAGTTCCTTCAGCGGGGCCAGGTCGATGGGCTTGTTCCGTGGGTCCGGGGTCGACGAGGTGAGGGAAGCGGTACCTCGAGGTCGGGATGAGCTGGAAGGTCCGGCTGCGGTCGAGGCCATGATCAGAGTGTCCCGGGGCTGTACCGGCGGACCACGTTGTTTGCTAATGTCTACGAAGAGGTTTTCGATGTGTTTGTAGTAAGTGTTGTCGACCCTGGAATTGACGATTCATGGTCGAATCTGTCGTCATCCTCTTGGTCATTTGGGCGGAACGCGCGTTGGAAAGTCGATCAACCATTCACTCCGGGTCGTCCGAGTCGCCCTTCGGCTCAACATTGTGGATGAATATGTCCTACTGCAGCCTTCTCGTCGACGAGGCGAGGAGTTTCAGGGATCAAGGTTCGACTGAGGATACTCTTCATCGCAATGGCATATACATGTAGCGTTTGATCGGAAGGCTAGCAGCTAGCTAGCTCGCGATCGCAGTGATATCTGCGTGTTTGCCATCGGTGACAGTGCCAACATGCCTGGTCTCGACTTGAGATTATTGCATGCTATGTACCTGCTCTCACTCTACATCGTTGTCATTCGCTGTCCGTATTTGTTTCTCGTCGAGAGGGTGATCAGCAACCTTTGATCATGCGACAACTTGCAACTTGTATAACCACAACCCAGAGAGCTGATCCTCTTCGTCGACCATTCTATGTGATTCCTCGTCGTCGCGCCCTTCGACCGTTGACACTCAGACAACTGCCATGTTGAACAATCAATCTACCTCTTCTCCACATCAAGCTGTACTCTCATACTCCATCTAGACGCTCACAGGGATCAGATGCAGAACTTCAACAACAACAATACTCCGGCAAGACCGCCACCTCCCCAGATGCGGCCAGGTTCCAGCGGAAACCCCAACCTCGGGTACGCACCGTCTCCCGTTGCCTACCCTCCAGGATCTCTGCCGTACGGAGCGATGCCCACACCGGGCGGAGGACAAAAGCGGAAGCTCGAAGGAGATATCAGTACGAACCCCCATATTCCGGCAGGTCCCGGTCCTGGTCTTGGTCCGGGTGGTGGACCTATGATGGCCGGGACGAGCGCGACCACCCCTTCAGGTCAAGGTCAAGCTCAACCCGGACCTGCCACAGCAGCAACAGCAACCACGACAGGAGCACCAGCATCGAGTTCTCAACCCGAACGCAAATTCCAACCGCCCATGCCTCCACCCCATCTGCTCGCTTCTCTCGTACCCGAATCGAAAATGTTCAAGGACCTGATCGAGATGGAACAGAGGTTAGACTGGACGATGCTCAGGAAACGAGCCGAGGTCAATGATGCGCTGGGAAGGGTCGTCAAGGTAAGCCGGGATGTAACGTTGGGTTCGACCAATGGTTAGACCAAGACGAGCTGATATGCATCCTTTTGTTCGGGTCACAGATCAAGAGGACGCTACGAGTCTATCTATCCAACACGGCGCGAAATCAGGAATGGCAGCGAGGTGAGCTTCGGGTGCCTCGGGGCTTGCTCTTCGGATCGCCGTGCTCTAGCTCTGGCTCTAGCTACCGTGACTGACCGCAATACCGAAAATCGACTCGCCTCGCAGCGGAAGGCGGGCTTTCGGAGCCGAATTTCCAAACGGGGGAAGGGATCCCAGGGTGGACGTTCAAGATCGAAGGTCGGGTACTGGATGTGAGTCTTCGTCAAGATTCTTTGAATCTTCTGAAGTTCGGGATTCGTCAGCTTGTACGCATGCTTACGTCTGCGTGCCGTCATTCGTATAGACGAACAATCAACGGATAGACAAGCAGGTCAAGCGGAGGTTTACCAACTTGATCAGGTCGATGATCGTAGAATTTGGCAATCGGGATCCACAGGATTATCAGGAGCCCAATATCGTCGAGGTCAGTTTCTGCGTACCCTGAGTCGAAACATGGAGTGCAGACTGACGCGAACGTGTTCATGTGATCTTGTACTCGGCCCCGTAGTTCCACAACCGACAAAGCCAACCTTTACCCGGTCAAGACGGATTCGAGATCAAACGGCGGGGCGACCAACCCGTCGAAGTCCGCGTGATCCTCCATCTGGATCAATACCCCGACCGCTTCAAGGTCCTCTCCCCGCTCTCCGAGCTCATCGGCATGGTCGAAGGATCCCGAGCCGAGATCCTGTCCAACGTGTGGAAGCTGGTCAAGACCGTGGGCGCACAGGATCGGGACGACGCGACCAAGCTGTTGGCGGTGGGGGGGTTGGAAAAGTTGATGGGCAAGGAACAGTCGTTGCCGTTTGTCGTACTGCCAGACCTCGTCAATCGACACTTGACGCATCCGGATCCGGTCGTCTTGACGTACCAGCTGGCGTGAGTTTCTCAGGTTCAGGCCTGTTCAGCTTTGCGAGCGCTAGCTAAAGACCCGTCTCCTTCAACGAGTGTAGGGTCGACAAGGATCGCAACGTCCATCCGACGGTGTTCGACATTCCTATCGAGATCGAGGATCCGCACAAGTCCAAGATGCACACCGCCGTCCAGTCGCTGGAATCCGGTCCGACGCTCGAGGGGATCATGGCCGCCGAAGACGAGGTCGCCGCGCTCGCCCACCAGATCCGAACGGGTAGGGAGAAACGAGATTTCCTGACCGGGTTCGCTCAAGACCCTGCGGGGTTCATCAACCGGTGGATGGCGAGTCAGGCTAGGGATTTGGATATCGTGCTCGGGAACGAGATCGGTCTGCCGGGGACCAACGGCGGGATGGTCAGGGAAGAAGATCTCAGGCGGAGCGATCTGTTCAGGATGCCTTGGGTGAGTCGTCGGCTAGGAACTCGGACTTGCCGGGGCCGAGTCATCAACTGAAACAAAATCTCGTCTTGCTGCCACGACCTGTAGGTGGAAGAGGCCGTCATTGTCAAAGAGGGCATTCGGATGGCACGGGAAGCCGATGTGACGAACGAGATGAACCGACGGCGAGAGGCGCAAAAGATGGGCGTCCCGGTGGGAGGAGGATCTCGGCGCTGATGGATCAGCTCGAATGTGGATCTGGTCTCGGTTTTTGGAGATACTTACTGGCACTGGGATCAGTTGTATATGTCATCCAATTATCTAATCATGTAATTCATGTAAAGTGTCAGAATCAGGTTGAACCAGACGCAAAAACGTCCTGCGTCCGCGCGACCAGATCTGGGCTGAGTCGATCTATCTGACCATATCGATATATCGAACGATCATACTCTGTCGTGATACCTTCTTGGCCTTGTGGCCTCTATGCTTCATGGTCCACTTCTTCACTTCTTCGATAGGAACAGCTCGTCAATAGTCGCCGGTCGGGCGCTTGATCCTCAACGGTGATGGGTACTGGGATGCTTGGATATATCATCGTTGTTGATCGTCATCGTACTCTGAATCGAGTTTTCCAATAGACGTATTTTCTCACAACCACTTCGGTGCAGTTGTCTTCCCCTAAGGATCATCTGAACCATAGCATCCGGAGGAGCTGTGAAACTCCATGGAGAGTAGCTTGGTAAAGGAACCACTCATGAATTGGCGTTCGATCCCTGAGACCAAAGGGTATCGCTTCGTCTTCAAGTTGATCGATCGGCCTGCAGGACCCGTTCATCGATCGATCGCGGTCACCTATGTTCTTCAACCCGACAGGAGGTGGTCCATCTGGCGAAGAAGACCCGGTCTCATATACTTGGAATTCGTCGTCCGGAGTCCAACATCAGCGGTGAGGTTGAGAGGGGTACTCGTCAACAGCGCGATCGTTCAGCTGATAGGGTGACATCAGGTTCCCATATACGTACATCGGCAGCATCTCATATGGGCATGGGAATACCTACGCCAAGTCGCCAATAAACGATATGGTCTGCTCTGCGAACTGCGTCATCGGAAATGCTCACAAAGGCTGCGACTCGCTTTCGAAGACCTGGAGGAGCTGGCAGATTGGGTACATCAGGCGAGTCATATTTCAAGATGAGTCGATCGAGTTTGCCTTTGCTCAACTTTTGTCGTATACAGGCTCAAGTTCGACTTTGTGAGTGCATCGTAGATCGTGGGGTCAGATCGCAACGCATAAGATCGGACGCTAACTTCGATTTACCGTGATTATCTGCGATTCGCCTTACTTCAGACACCTTTGGGCTTTACCTGGACCGTCTCGCCGACTTTGAAGATGCCGGATACAAGCCCTTCTCATTCGGACAGGGGCCTATGCACGTCCCCTCCGGCCCATCGCCGATAGTCTGGGAGGCAAGCCCGCAGTGGCACGATTTCGAACTTCCCGACAATCCCATCCATTTCCCATCGTCCGTCTTCTTTTATGCTTTGCAAGTCCTGCAGAATCGCTCAGGCATTCGAGATATAGGGCTTCCGGACTTGAAGAGCAAGCTCGCCCGAACCGTCGGAGATGTCTATGAAAGAAGCGACGATGGCAGCGTCGCCCTGGGCATCAAGTTGGACGAGACCGCCAACGACGACGAGTGCGTCGATGACCCAGAGCTCGTGCCTTTGATACGATCGAGCGTCATCTCGCACGAGATGTATCACCAAGAGCCTCTAGAACCAGGTCGTCTCGCAAAACTCTTCGCTCTCGTACGTGGACCCCGCTCTGCCAACAGGCTGTGGTCGCTAAGACCGTGTCCCGCTTGCATTCGCTCAGGAGTCCCGACGTCTATCAGATGAGGAATACGCAACGGAAACAGTATTTCCAAGTGAGTACACCCCTTCCCCCCCCTCCCCCCCTGCCCCGCCTTTCTTCCGTGTCAGCCGTCGTGGGCGTCTGAACACTCTCTCCTGCATCGACAGGCAAGCAAGAAGGGTTACCTGATCCGGACGAACTATTCGATCCGATCCCCTTTGTGCGGGGTGTGTTCTCTATCGCTTTGGCCAAAGCGGGATGGTGGGACCTTCCGCCACTGCCCACTGAAAAGGTCGGCACGGGTGATGACAAGAAGAAGGACGATGGACGATGATGGCGGGAGGAGAACTGACTGATGCAAATGTCGTTTTCAACGTGAGTCCGCGCATCGGTGTTCGCTTTCCCGTCATTGGGCTGCGCCCGACATCCCGCTGATGGCTTCGACTCTTTCCTGCTAGTAGATTCTGTTACTCTGTAGGGAGGCACAACTGCCCCTAAGTATGACAACGCTTCACCTTGCAAGAGACACACACGTCTCGACCTGAACTACCGAACACGCTTGGTCGCACTGCTGCGACATTGAGGCTGTTTCCTTGCTGTCATCTGGATCGAGCGGAACGTCACGTCAGAACAGTGACAGAGCTTGGATGACCCATGGGGGATGTCGGCAGAACAAGACGACTCGGTATCGTCAGGCTGGTCGAAACACTCGCGATATCGTTGCGCGTAAGCGTTACCGAGCGGACAAGACGCTTTGCCAGTTCTCGAGATGGGCGAAACAGATTAATTACATGTGCTCGTAGGATAGCTGATAGCCAGGTGATAGCATAGCAGGCTCCAGACCCATTAGGCGATGTTTGCGATGTACGATATACCATCACGATCGCGATGTGCGAAATGTTTTAAGGAATTTAAGGCGACGGGGTGTGACCCGTGAGAAAGCTGTTTTCGTTTTCCTTGCAACCCTAACGCGCGAGGGCGAGGCAGCCAACCATCCACTCGGGAGATCGCGGAGGGTCGGGTCCTCGTTGATGAGGATGATGGAATTGTACATCGCAATGGTCGAATGACATCGTCGTCGATGAGGACGCCCTCTTCCCATAGACTCTGTACATAAGCCTCTCATATAAACACCACTCTACACATCCCGTCCGATACAGGCAGGACTAAACCCCAAAAGGAAAATCGACCATCCAGCTCGGCATCTAACACCTCTCTACTCTCTCCCTTCTCCTCCATAATCCTCGCCATGTCCCTCTCCCGAACCGCCCTCCGAGCCGTCCGTTCGTACTCGACCGCGAGCCCGATCACCGTCAAGCACTCGACGAGCAACTCGAGCGGATCCCTGCTGGGCAACGTGGAGGTCAACTGGGCAAGCAGGTCGCCCGTCGAGCGACATGAGATTTACGAGTAAGTCCGGCTCGGACCATTTTCCGTGGGATATGCCTTGAGGGAATTTTGCCGGACGGGAGAGGGAGCTTGGAAAGATTCGAACCTTTTGTGGAAAGGGGACGCTAACATTCGTGCTGCTGTCTTGTTACCACGCCAACTTGGTATCGCTCTTCTCTACCATCTGCAACGCACCGTCTCAACCCGGACGAAATGTGAAACGTTCATATCGTATGGATGCTCGAAAACTCTTTCAGGAAGCTCGCCGAGATCCAAAAGCAGGACTGGAAGGCGCTGACGATCGACGAGAAGAAGGCCGGCAAGTCCCCTTTCCACCTTGACCCATCTCGCCTGCCATACTTCAGCGGTCTAACACGACCATAACCCCTCTTACAATGACCTATCGTATCACACCCTATTGTATCGCGCTTCAACCACCACCTACAGCCTACTACGTAGCTTTCGGCGCTCACGGTCCTCGTCAAGCCGTCAACCCTCCCGGTCACTCGATCAAGATCCTGGTCGGGACCTTGGCCGCTTGTGGTGCCGCTATCGGTATCTTTGGATTGATCAGGAGCTCTGGTGAGTGATCGGGGATCTTGCGACTGAGGATGGTCGGGTTGCGTTTTCGTCAGTGGTTTTGGTGGACCGGGTCGATGGCGGATTGGAGTTGCGTGATCGACGAGCTGTAGGAAAAAGGAGATGATCGGGGTGCAGGATAGGGACAGGCAGCCGAGTTGCGAATCGCGATAGGGGTCATCGACGGAATGATAATGCGAATCCACCTCTCGGCCGCCGAGCTATAAAGAAACGCTATCCGGATGGGTCGAGGAGGTATTCGGCTGTTGGAAGGGGAATGAAGCTGCTTAGGCGGAGCGCTCGCCGGACCTCAGACGGACGCTTCGCGTACCGCAACTTCTATTCAGCAAGTGGGACAAATTAGCATGGAGAACTGTCCTGCATCTCGAAGAACGCTTTGTCGAATGATCTCGCGACATGGTACAACAAGACAACCTGGAACGAATCCGCTGACGTGCGCCATGCCATCTCTTTCCTTTTTTCAGCCCCCGCTCCTCCCAAGACCATGACCAAGGAGTGGCAGGAGGCTTCTACCGAGATGGCCAAGGAGCAGAAGATCAACCCCATCACCGGTAAGTCTTGGCTCGCACACGATCGAACATCAGATACGGCTTGCTCATCCTCGACCGTGCCGTGCCACCTCGACAGGTATCAGCTCTGAGGGTTACGCCGGCAAGGGATTCGTTTCGGCTTAGTTGATGAGGGAGTAGATTGTAGTAGAGTAATGACCCTGTGCGAGAGAGTTGTGGAGAGGACAGAGAGTACGAGATATGAAATGGAAATCGCCTTCTTGAGTAATCCGCGGATCGTTATCCTTTGCTATTCCCGCGCGATCGACGTCATCAACGCGGGGGCTCCAGAGCACCAGCAGCACTCACACACAGCATCCAGCATCCAGCATGTCGATGTCGTCGATCATCTAACAAGACCACCTGCTTCATTTGATCGTATCTCGATACTCACTCTCACCTCAGCTCCTCATCGATACGTACAAGACCCCGAGGAAGAGCTATTCAGCGACATGTCATCGTCCTACCCATATATCGCCAGAGCCACGTAAATATCATCCAATCTCGACTCGCGTCTGTCTAGATCTGTCTACATGTGTACATCTTGCTCATCCTGAACCCTGGCTGTTATATAGCGTCAAGTATAAATCGCCACATGCTACGGACCTCTCGTTTGCAAAGGGAGAAACGTGAGTTGAAGATTCACCTTGGAAGAAAATGCCGGGACCGCGATAGAACATGGGCGAGAGCTGATCGAGATGGAATTCGTTTGGTGATGTAGCATTCGGGTGACGGGCGTATCCGATGAAGACGAGGATTGGATGCTAGGCGAGTCCATGGATGGGGAGAGAAAGGGAGGTTTCCCCAGAGTAGGTTACATTGATCTGAGATATCGATGAAGGCGAGTCGGCTGACCGATACGCTCTATGTCGGACTAGGACTTTGTCGAGCAAGTCGAGGAGGAACAATCGGAAGCTGCGGTGCCTGCGTCAGTGCCCACCGTGGCTGCACCAGCACCAGTACCTATCGCTCAACCAGAAGAAGAAGAACAAGAGATAACCAAGGCAGAGGTACCCGTAGCAGCACAAGAACCCGAACGACCCGCCGTCCAGCCTCCAAGTCAGCCTCTACCTGAAGCTGAAGCTATACCTGGATCGTTCAATCCTGAACCCGTCAAGGAAGAGCTCAAGCAAGAGGTACCGGCTGAACCTGTAGCGGCACCTGCTGCTGTTGTTGCTCCAGTATCAACACCTGCTCCAGTATCTGCTTCTACCCCGATCAAATCCACACCGGCACCAGACACACCGGCCCAAAGCGGGGACGCTCCCGAGCCCTCCAAGCTGTCCTTCAAAGATCGACTCGCAGCGTTCAACAAGCCCAAACCTGCTCCAGGTTCGCCAGGGAGTGACGGTCGACCGGGACCTCCTCCACTCAAACCTAAGCCTGCGGGTGGTCTGACCTGGAGTCAGCGACAAAAGCTGAGGGAGGAGGAGGAGAAGAAGGCTAGGGAGGCTGGTGGCGGAGAAGTTTCGGCTCCGGCTCAACAGGCGCAACCTTCTCCTGCTCCTGCTTCTGTTTCAGCTGCACCGGCGTCTGCCTCAACTGAACAAGCTTCCAACGACGAGAAGTCCGGCATGTCAGCTTCAGATGCTAAAGCCTCGATCGGCCTGTCGCTCAAAGAACGTATGGCCGCGCTCAATAACACGCAGGCGTTCGGCGGGTCCCCTGCTGCCTCCAAGCCTGAAGATCCGACCGACGCGAGTGAGAAGAAACCGACCAAGACTTGGAAGAGGCCTGAAGTCGATCAAGGTGCCCCGTTGGCTATCCCTGGGCAGATGCCTATGCCCGTCAGGTCGGCTAGTAACAGGTCGATCGAAGGTCCTGGCTCTGCTGAGGCAGAACGACCAGGCGATGAGCAAGCGGAAGGTACCCAAGCAGGCGAGGGTGAGGGAGGCGAAGAGATGGACGAGCAGCAAAAGGAAAAGGAGAGGCGAGCGGCGATCGCCGCGAGGATGGCCAAGCTGGGTGGGAGGGGCATGTTTGGGGGCCCTCCTCCTGCCTTGGCTCCGAAACCGGGTGCGACCAAGAAACCTAGCATCGAGGTCGAACCTCCCGCTACCGAGGCAGATCAAAACGCCCTTACTTCTGCTTTGGCCGAGCCAGCCCCTCCGGTTGCTGAGAGCCAACCCGTGAGTCCTGCTGCGGCTACGGCTCCGGGAGGTGGGATCGCCATGCCCGCTATTCCTAAACGAGCCGCGGGACCGAGGAGGCGGGGAGGTGGAGCTGCACCTTCGGGTCCGTCCAGATCAAATTCTCAGGCTCCTGAACAGGCTGTTTCTTCCCCTACTGCGGAGTCCGGCGCTCAATTGGCTCGAGACGAGCCCTTGGCTGTGGGAGCAGTTGCGGACCAGGCGAGACGTGATGCCATCGGCGATCAAGACAAGGCGCTCGAAGAGCAGGTGGGTGGCGGACCTGCTGGTGCTGAGGGTGCTGAAGCTGCTGGGATCGCGCTTCATACGCCTCCGCCTCAGGTACAGCAGCAAACTCAGCAGCAGGAGCAAAGAGATCAAGCCCCGGCGGGCGAAGATGTAGCTGGACAGGATCTGGCCAGAAAGGCAGAAGGTCCCGTGTTGGTCGGTGCGGAAGGGGATGCTGATGCTGAGTATCGGGGAGGGCTCAATGATGTCGTTCTAGGCGGTGGATCTGCAGGAGTTTCTAGGATGCCACCTCCCCCTGCTCCTCCGGGCGGGTTCGACAGCGAAGATGAGCAAGAGGATGATGATGACGATGAGGCAGGTGATGACCTTTTGCGTCAAGCCAAGAGCGGTCAGATGCATGTCGAGCCTTCGCGGATCGATGTTGAAGAAGGGCTGCCTTGTCAGCCAGAGGAAGAAGAGCATCTCGCTAGTCCTACTTCGCCCGTAGCTTTTGCCCCGCTTCAATCACCCGCAAACGAGTCTCCTGACTTGCCCAAGCGGAGCGTTGCTAGCCCGGTACCTCAGGCAGGGTCCACAAGCGCTGGGTTGGCAAGCCTTGGATTGCCTCGAGACGAGATAGAATTGAAACACGAGCAGGATGCTGCAAAAGCGGAGGACGAGGACGAAGATGAAGGAGACGCACCTCCACCTCCGCCTCGCTCGGATCGACCCGCCGATAAGCCCTCGGGTCCCCGACCGATGCCTAATCCTCCGGTCCTAGGTCAAACGGCCGAGCCTGAGCAACCTGCCCCCGGGGACATTACTCGAACGGAACTTCCCGAGCAAGGTGATCTGAGCGCCGAGGAAGAAGACGGCGATGAGGAACAGGATGCACCTCCCCCTCCTCCTCCCCGTAGACAAGAGAGCGTCGGCGGGCCTGCTCAAGTCGGTCTAGCCTTGCCGCAGGATCAACCAGGAGTCGAACCTCGACAAGCGGGTAAGTGAAACGTGTACCTGTTGGCACGGATAACGGATACTTATCGTCAACCACCACAGTCTCTCCGCCTGCTATCGTGACCGAGGAGCCCAAGATGATGGCCCCAGCTGATGACGAGGCTACGAGACGACAGAATATCGCTGCCAGGATGGCCAAGCTCGGAGGTATCAAACTTGGAGGTCCACCGCTCGGTGGATTCAACGCTCGTCAAGGTTCGAATTCTTCCGATGCTGGTCCTATGAGTCCTACCGAGGGGCACCAGAGCCCTCGGTCACCGCTGGCCGAGGTACCACGGAGCCCTATCGGCTCTGCTGTACCGACCTTGCCTGTGGATCAGACGGTCGACGATAACGACGAGTCCGAAGAAGCTGCAGCGTTGCGCAGAAGAGCGACTCTTGCTCGTCTGCAGGCTGGTGGCCACTTAGGGGGGTTCAACATGTTTAGTCGAAATGTCGAGCCTCAATCGCCCACCGTAGAGACGACCGAGACCGAACCTGTCGCTGCTGGCGGGATAGAGAATGTGGACGAGCGCAATCTTCAGCCGGAGTATGAAGCTGATGTGCCTGAGAGCACGGCTCCTCTAGCAGTACAGGAAGCTGACGCTCCAGATGAGGACCGGAATGTATCAGAGGATGAAGATGTGCCGCCGCCCCCTCCCAGGAGACCGACCAACATGGTCTCACCTCCGCAATCGCCTGTCGCCGAGACGCCCACCTCGCCTAGTTTCGCGCAACCCAAGACCTTGGCTGATTCGGGCCTGCTGCAATCGGCGCCGCCGAGCGGGCTCGCTCCTCCTATTCCCATTAGTACGACAAACCTCTCGGCCGAGCCTGATATCTTGTCAGCCCAAGAAAGGGAAGAGGATGACGACGCGATGGGCCCGCCACCACCACCCCGTCCTACAGAGACTGTCAACCCTCCCTCCCATCAGCGTTCCGACTCTCGCGCGTCTCGAATCTCGATCGCCTCTCGCTCGTCCACGGGCGCTGTTCCGGCCTCCCCTACGACGCCGAGGAGGACATCGATGCAAGTCGGTCGACCGGGCTACAACGAGCTGCAACAGGCTTCGTCAGCATTTGGCACCAAGGTTTACCGTGCGGCTCAGAAGCTGGCAGACACTGGTAAACGGCAATCGATAGGAGTGAGTTGAAAGTGAAAGGTGGCGTGGTCAGTCGCTATATTAGATACTCACCAACCATCTGTCTTGCAGGATGGCTCTTCTCGAGCCTTCGTCTGGGCTGCACTAGCCGACGCAGGCATCGACGCGAATGTCGGCTTTGGAACCCTAATCTGGGAACAGGAGGGTTCCACCCAACACAAGCGATACGACGATATCCGCGTGGGCGACGTCGTCGTTCTGCACGATGCCAAACTCAAGGGCAAGAAGGGCTTGATATCGTACCAGCAACAAGTCGGCTCGGTGGAGGAGCCGATGTTTTGCATTTGTTCCGAAACCGAGTCGAAGAAGAACAAGTGCAAGGTTTGGCAAGTCGAGCGAGGCGTGAGTTGTGACTGAGTTTCTTATTTGCGGATTTACACAAGTGAGCTCATCGATTTCTGCATGTTCAAATGAACAGCACATTACGACCGAGAGTTATCGTCTGGAGGATCTGCAGAGCGGTCTTGTCAGGGTGAGCCATGTTGCCGGGAAATGTGATGCGACAAACGATGCTCATGACCGCTTCTCTTTGCCACACAGGTATTCCGTCCCATGACACAGTAGCTTTCGATACCACGAGACCTCGTCAAGGATAGTGATATAGCATGTTGATTGTATTCCCGGTGATGTTGAGCAGGTATAATAACGATTCGAAAGGCAGTTACTCAGTTCAGGTTCATCTCGAATTTGGTTCCGGCTGATCTCCGGGCGTTGCGTGACGAGTCCGGCGATGCACGAACCATGAGCAACGACTGCTGATCATCATGGTACATCGTCGTTGACCAGACTCCGATACACATGCCGATAATCCGTGAAAGCTAGAATCTCATCTTATCCAACATGGCTGGCGGTTCTGACCCCCTGGACGAAGAGTTCACCTCAGTGACCTGGGACAACAAGCCTTCGCGGGACGCCGGAGAGCATCCCCATTCGACACTCCATGGCGTCACCTCTGCCGATCCCAGTGCTGTCTCTCAAGCAGAGGCCATGCCATGGGCTCTGGAAGGTGCTCAGAGGGAAGGAGAAGGTACCATGCCCAGATGGGCGGGGAGGTGGATGAAGGTCGATGTTAGCGAACCGAGCAAGGAGATGGAGGGGACCAAGGAGGTTCATATCAGCTATGCCGTGCGAACTAGGGTGAGTACTCTGAAGCTGAACCGGTCACCTGTGAGATTATGCTGATGATACGATGATATGGTAGACGAACCTTCCTAGCTTCCCGGTCCAGCCATCGAATCAACCACACCTCGTCCGGAGACGTTTCACAGACTTTGTCTTTCTGCAGAACCATCTGACGAAGCTCTTCCCTGCGGCCGTCGTGCCACCGATGGCTGGCAAACATCGATTAGGTATGTCATAAACGACGTTTTGGTTGTCGTCTTAGACAGTTGACTGATTTTGTATCGCAACAGAATACATCAAAGGCGACCGATTCGGCTCTGAATTCATCGAACATCGTCGCATCGAGTGAGTATTCTCGCATCGCGGTTTCGGTCGTCTTAGTATACTAAAACGACCCCGCCTTGTAAACTAGGCTTCAGCAGTTCATGAGTCGGATAGCGAGACATCCAGTCCTATCTCGATGTCCTCTGGTAAAGGATTTTGTCACCTCTGGTCAATGGGTAAATATAGCACAGCCCGTGCATACCTCACACGTTCCCACCATGCTGACTGATCCCCATAAATCTTGCAGGCTGTCGAGATGCATCGTCACATCAACATGCCCCTTCCCGAGACCCCTCCTTCGTTACTGGATAACCTGTCCGACTCGCTCGTGAACGCCTTTACCAAAGTGAGGAAGCCTGACGAGAGGTTCTTGGAGATGAAGGAAGGGATCGACAAGTTTGAGGATGGGATGAGCGGTGTGGAACGTTTGGTAACCAAGGAGAGAGCTAGGACGGAAGGTGCGTCTCGCTCGTCCTTTTCTGGGCAGATTCGGTTCGAGTACTGATGAATCTCGTTCATGGCGTGGGCAGATCTCGCCCAGGACTACGTGGATCTGGCAGCTTCTTATCAAGGCTTGGGATACCTCGAATCTGGTATCACCGAACCGCTCAATCGATTCGCAGAGCGCATGCTGGACTTTTCCGGACTGTTGAAGAATCTGGTGGGTTTACCTCTCGGGCTTGGTGCGACCGCATTCGGTCCAGGCTGATTTCTGGGCAATGAAACAGGACAACGACACCATCGATCCCTTCCTCACCCAAATTCACGCATTGGTCGCGTACTCTCAAGCTCATAAATCGGTCATCAAATCGCGAGATCAGAAGCAGCTCGATTTCGAGGAACTCTCGGCGTACTTGTCGGCGGTGGTCGCCGAGCGCGATAGGATGGCCGCGTTGAACAACGGTCATACGAGCGCGCCTGTAGGATTGACGACTTATCTTAGAGACCAGGTCGACAAGCTGAGAGGTACGGATGACATCCATACGCGGAGAGAGAGGATCAGGAAGATGGATGGCAAGATCAAGGAGGTGCGTTTTACCTTTCCGTATCAGCATATGTCCGACGCATCTCCGGGGGGCTAAGCTGGCTGTTTCTTGTCGATCGACAGTTGCAAGAAGCCGTGACTACCGCTCACGAGACGACGACCGAGTTCAATGACGAGATCATCAAGGAGCATAACATCTTTGAGCTGTCCAAGCAACAAGAGATGAAAGAGATGCTTGGCAACTATGCGGACGGTCATATCGACTTTTATCGAAAGGTCAGCATTCAATAGACTTGTATCAATCAGCTCCGGTTCACTGAAGAGGCTGAACATCAAAATTACTTGTAGGCGATCGAGGATTGGGACAGCGTGATTCCGATGCTCAACAAGATCAAGGTGGACATTTAGAACCGTCTGGGGGGGATGATTGCTACCTTGCGGGCCCCGTGGTTTCTGTATGTGTATTGTGAACGAATCTTGCCGTTGTACCTTGCCCTTTCTGGACGATGCTATATGAAACCCCTTTTGCGCTTGGCGATGCGCTTTCTTCGTGACTCGCTTGCCAATTGTCAACAGACTGACGTCGCGACCAGACTACAAATTCGCTCGACTCTTCAATTCACACTCGATCGACCCCTACCTCGCCCGTCGCCCGGCTCTTCTTCTCTTCAAATTGTATACAGACGCCTTATTGTAAGGGGACATCCTCGGATAACGCTCGATGGGATCCGTTTCATCGAGGGTTTCCGCCTACGATCCCCCTTCTGCCGGTAGATCTTAGAAGAGAAGACAAGCCTCTGTCGAGCGCTGTCCCATTCTATACTATTAGGGCTCGGTAACCCCCTTACCTACGATTGTAGATTCACTGTGGTCGAGTTCTTTGATTAGTGTGATACATATGTAAACCCTCACCATGATATGGCTATACAAATCGTTACGCTCACCAACCTGAATCATACTCTGGCTGGCAAAACGGTGCTGCAAGAGGATGACGAATGGGATCGATCAACGATCAACATGCAACTCCACGCTTTTCACACCGACTTCTAAACACAATCCCCTCCATCACAGCACAGGTTTCTAACATTTCGACAGACAAGCTAGCGATCTCTCTCCTGCCTTTGAAGCTCCTTGAAATAGTAAATGACGGAAGTCTGAGACGCATGCTGGGTGAACGATACCTCCCGTGAAGACGGACGATGGACCATGCTCGCTTTACGTCTCGCCGACGGAGCGGCCAGGTCTAGGAGAGAGCGAGGCGGTATCATTTGCCCCTGGGAGGTAGAAGGGATGGATGACGACCTAAAGGGAGGTCTCACGGCCCTTACTGGCAGCGGGCAAGAAGCCGGCAATGCAGAAGAGCAAGCTGGGAGATCAGAATTGGCTGTTCGTGATGCCGAACCAAACGATCCTTCGGGAGTGTCTCAAACCGGATCTCTAGAGAACTCTGAGGAGAAGCTCTTTCCTGAGCGGGTCCACGCTGTCATCTTCCCCCAAACCGATCGACCGCTGAGGACAGGTCGTCGAAGGGAGACCGGGTTTCCAGGCCCGGTTACCGCCCAAACCATCTCGCACACCATCGACCAGCTCATCGCACAAGAAAGAACGGTTGCTGGACAAGGCTACTTTCATACGCCTCAAGAGCTATTGGGTTTGCCTGAAGCCACCAAGAAACCGACCGGAAGCTGGGGTTTTGAAGAAGCTCTCGTCAAGCGTTTCCCAGCGCTTCGGAAACGCAACTTTGCTTGCGTGCAGGAACATCAGGCCACATGTGAGTTGGTTTGCACTCAGAACGAAACTTGCATGTTTTAGTTGGCTAAGGCTTCTTCCCCTTCGTCAAATAGCCTATCATTTCGACCTGAGACTGCAGATTGACGGGGGTACCTTTTCCTGGGCGGTACCTAAGGGTTTCATCGATTTGAAACCTGGTTCATGGCATTACGCTGTGCAGACTCCAGTGTGAGTTGCTGTACCTCGTTGTAGACTCAATCTGGGCTCGCTGAATTGGGACGTTTATCCAGGCATCCTATCAGCTATACTGTACATGAAGGTGAGTCCTTCAAGACCGGAACCCACGACGGTAGGTACTGATGTATACCTTTCGTGTTTTTGACAGGCAGTGATGGCAGAGGTGAATCAGTGTGATTCCTTATCATCATGATCTGTTTAGCTGATACATTTGTGCCGTCACAGTATTCAAGAATGGTACACGCTGTGGTACCTTACTCTGGGATATATGCTTGTATAGCATCGGATCGCCCAACATCGACCGTGAACAAAGTCCTGAGAGCGACAGAGAAGAGTCGGACGAGTGAGAATATCATTACATACGTTCTTCAGCGCCTATCTATAGCTGACATCGTTCGATTTCAGACTTGGCAAGTTCGAAGAAGACAAGCTGAGGCATGCTCTGTACGGTCGTTTGCCAAGAGCAAAGAAATCGAGGTACATCAAGCTAGTACTAAAGTCAGTCTACCGTTCCCATCCTCGCCTCAACGAAGCCGTTTTCAGCCAAGACTGATGTTGGTATATTGATCTTCAGGAACGGACGCAAGTTCACATACCACTCATTCACCATCTTTCAAACCGACGCGACGTACGATTCTCGCGGTAATCCGAAGAAACAATGGATCATCAAGCTGGGCCACGGAATCACTGAACCGCACCAGTATCCCAAGGATGCGATGAAGAGCGTCAAGACGGGCAGGCTGCTGGAGCAGGTGACCGCTGCTGGTCCGCATTATTGGGTACCCAGGCCTGATGAGCAATTGACCAACGTCGAAGAGGGCGATCTCGGCGACCTGCAATAGGAGACATTTGCCGCTTGTGCATGTAACGGTTTGGTTTCTAGAAGCGATCATCTCATTGATTCTGCTCATTGTCTGTACAACGGCACGAAATCGCTTATCGCAGCTTCTTGTCTGCAAAGTAGTGCTAAAGAAAGCAGGATGTCAGATCACAGTCCGCTCAGCTGACATACTAGAGGGTAGCCGTATGTAGACAAACTCACCTTGAGATATCTCATCTCGGCCACCGCTACACCAATCAAGACCACGATTTGCCACACGCTCCACCAAACTGCTCGCCCATTGACCCTCTCACTAGCATCTCTAAATGTAGCTTCAATCTCTCGCTGGTATTGTTGCTCCCTTCGAACGGCCGAGACGCGGTCGTTCAGGTCTTGTAACTTGGATGCGAGGGTCTGGATATGTCCGGTGTCGTGCCTGGAGACAACAATTCGAACGTGAAGCGTAAGATTGGGACTGGATAACAATACTAGAGGCGACGATGACGACTCACGAAGGATCCCGTCGAGTGGTTCCGACGGCAATATCAAGGTAGAGCTTGATGTGTGTACTGGAAAAGTACCCCGAGCTCGAATTGGATTGCAAGCAAATCGAGTGGTCACCTAGCAACAACCAGATCAACATCCCGAGGTCACTGATTATCGAGACAGCTTGTCCACTTACCAGGCTCGTGCGAAGTGAAGGTGAACTTGCCCTCGGGCTTACCGTGGACGTTCGCAACGACCTCGCCAGATGCCACTTCCTTTTCATCGCGAACGGAACACAGCCTTTGATCAGCTCGGAGGTCGAATTGATAGAATTAGCTGCAGACGACTGACTTCGACAACGACCTGGATTCCCATCTCCTTGCTCTGCTCCCATGACTTGTTCTCTTCCACCCATTCTAGGGCTCTGTAATGGCCTGCTCAAAGGGTTGCAAGGTAGTGGAATGAGTTATTGCCCTTTTACGTGTTTAGCCAAGGAAGCGTCTGCTGACCTTCCACGACCGTGTCGGACGGTAGCTCCTCCAGGAAGCAGCGCTGCTCGTTCGACTCAAGATAGAAATGGAGAGCCTGTAAAAGAGGGTTTTGTCACATCAACTCAGACTTCAGTAGTTGTATCAAGGTGTCAAGTCAAAGACTACTCACCTGAGCGGTCCACGCGGACAAGAGGGCTGCCCAAATCAAGCTGATGACGCTCCCGGCGATGATCTTCATTTTGACAGAGGTTGAGTGAGACTAAGAGGCTGACAAGACAGAGCGCGATTGTCCTATACAGCGAGTAATAGGTGTAGTAGTAGTATAAGTTAGATGGTCACGTCGAGGCTGATGATGCTAAGCACCTCCACGCGAGCTTGGACCCGCTCAACAGAAAGCAAGCTATATATACCAAGCTACGACTTATGCGACCTACTAGGTTGGGCAAGAACACCATCATCTTGCAATTCATCGTCAGCAAACTCACAGCATAGCAATCTCTAATCATCTTTGGCAAGCTTTGATTGCGTCAAATGCCGTCCTTTTTCGATTCGGACGACGAGGATGCCTCTATCCCGACTCGCCCTTCAGGCCGCAGGGACCGGGACTCTCTTCCCAATCACGCATCTTCGTCCCGAACATCCAGTCCCCCTTCGAGCAGCTCCTTTCTCGATCGTCTGCGGAGTACGGCTACACCCAACCGGACGAACAGGAGCAGTTCGACGGCTTTCACGACTCTGGACGGATCTTCAACAGGGATCAAGCGGTACGATCTAGAAGATGTCGATGAGGAAGGGCCGAGTAATGTGAATATCAACGGTCTCGATCTAGGTGGACGGGATGGAGAGCTGGGAGAAGGGCTGGAGGATTTCGAAGCCTACCAATTTGAAGATGACAACGACGTCAAACAGCTCATTAGGGCTTGGATGCGGGAGCGGGGGACGAGGGATATCATGCTTTGGGAGGGCGAGCTGTTGGATACGGTCTTGCACAAGGTCGAACAGCAGGTGAGCTCGCATACATCAATATCTAAGCATCGCAGCACCTGAATGTGATTGATAAGTTATACTCCTTTCGATATAGGGCTCCATGTTGGAACTATTACGATCAGATCCCAAAACGTCGGAAGAAGAACACTTCAAGCTCCAGCTCGTCTCGACCGAAGTAGAACGAGTGAAATACCTCATCCGGAGTTACCTTCGATGTCGGATAGACAAGGTAAACTGTTGCGGAATGTCAAGGCCTTTCTATTGGATGCTGAAGACAGTTACTTCCTCCAGGTCGAACGTTATTCGCATCATATTACCCTCGAGCCGGAGGTGCAATCGCGACTCTCTGAGCTCGAGTTGCACCATGCACGACAGTCAGTCTAAAGCGACGATTGAGAGCAAGAAACGAAAGAGCTGATCGAGCCTGTCTACCTGCTGTATAGGTATACAAACTTGCTGCATCAGCACTTCTCCTCTTCCGTCCTGAATTCGTTGCCAGAATGGCTGAGAAGGATGGACGATGTCGGAAATGACGGGACGAGTATGGGTAAGTATTTTGGCCTCGCATCGCTGATTTTACGCAGTGACTAATCGTCTTCGGACATGACAGTGCGACAGCCGAACAAGGAGATCCCGGTCCTGATCCACGTGCTCAAAGATTGTGGTGAAGTCGTGCTATCAGAGTAGGTCCGGTTTGTGATTTCACCAGCCCTTATGGCACGTCGAGGCTGATACGTTTCTTTATTCTTCTACGGCAGCGGTGAAAGGGCATCGTTGGAGCCGGAGTCTATGCATTTGATCAAGTACGAGTTGGTCGAGCGTTATGTTCGTCTTGGGTGGGTGGAAGTGCTGTAATCGAGTGCGGCAGGGACCGACGAGAGAGCGATCGCAGTCGTCAAAGCATCTGTATTAAACATCATCACTGCATTGTCATGACTATGTTGCATTACAAAGATCTGTCTGATCAGAGTGACCGACCCGGCCAGTGTCAATCTCCTTAGAGAAGACTCCACTAAGACCGAGCACGACCAGAGTTTGTACAAGCCAAACACTCGATGGTCCCTCCACGATCCTTCCTCCCGAGTCCGGCGTCATCGACCCCAACAATCTCGCTCCCGAGGAAGTTCGACCATCGGAACCGATTCGTCCGGGTCAGAGGGGGTTTCCGGTTCGATCTTTCGAAATCTATGAAGACGCCCAGCTACCAGGTTGTACCCCTGAGGTGGTGTACGAGCGATGGGAATCCTGTCTGTCTCGAATCGCGTCTTGCGTCGTCGGTCGTTGGGATACGTCTCGAGTCTGGGCTGGACTCCCTCCACACTAGCACTCCGAGAATAGTGAATCCGGGAGCAGCCGCTTACTGACTGTTGACGTGTCCAGAAGCAGGACTTGGCGGATGCTTGCTGGCTCAGACGTCAAAGGGTGGATGATGATTATCAAACGATTCTCCTCGAGAGCTTTTGTAGGAGGAAGTAGTGGTCTCGGATGAAGAACGCGCGGACATTATCTGTGTTTAAATGTCCGTGTCAGTACCAAATCTCGCGCTAGAGATCACTAAGTCAGGAAGTTGTTCGATACGGATAGAAGGTCAAAGACCACCACGGTATTGAACCGCCTTATGCTCAAGCGCTCATCCTGCTGGCATGTGCCACTTCTTCACGTTCGTCGTCCGTCGACGACAGTGCTGATTCCTCAATGGAGACGTTGCGCATCGGCCGGTCGGTCTCTTTCCTAAAGGAGCCGACTGCTGATCGCAGAACAAATCCGAGCACTTGAGGTTGTACGAGATGCAACGCAAAGCCTGAAGAAGAGCCTGGGTCGAGCCGTCTCGACACAGATCTAGCGCCAGGAAAGACAAACAGCCAAAGACCCCAAAGGCCAAGAAGGATATGCTGGCGGATGTTTGCATGGAAATCGGTCTTGATGACAACCTACGGGAGTCCCTCAGCACTGGTCAAACTCTCACACCAGCATGCGCAACCTTGGTCTTCCGGCAAAGGCTTCCAGAGCATGGTTGCAATCGGCCCATCCCAAAAATGATGCCGTCTGGCGGACCGTGAAAATGAAGTCAGACGTTTAGATTGATTTGGACATACCACTCACAACTTATATTGGTACGTCAGGACGAAATGGAAATCGAGAAGCTATGAGAGGGATAAGCTACAGATTGTGCTCTCAATAATGTGCGACAACTACCAAGCTATAGTGCAACTAAGATGTCCCTGCTTGTAGACAAGCTGACACGCAATACAGGGCGATACTAGGATACAGTTTGGTAAAACGACTCAGGCACCGTTGGACCTAGTGATCGTGCTCTATCTCCCTCAAGAATTTAAGCCAACCCTTTTTCAGAACCGTTCCGACGAATCGGCCCTGAGTGTCAACGATGACTATCGTCTTGGTTCCGAGCTTGTTGAACATCTGGCTCAACAGCTCGAGCGGCGCGTTCGTTAAGACGATGGTGGGGGCCTAGGTATATTGGATGGAAATATAAGCATAGCTTCGCGATCCACTCTCACGCCCGAATCGACCTACCTGATCTATAAAGACGGACAAGTCATACGGATCCTCGTCCAGACTATCGAGCAAGCTGTGCACCGAATTCTCCCCTATGAAGTGCTCCATATTAGGCAATAGGTTGCATGGCGCATTTGGGTCATCTTCGAGTTCGGCTGGGAGATATCTTCCAGGTCAGCCATCAGGCGTACTTCATCGCGGCCGACTACAGTCTTACCTAGCGCATGCTGCAACTCGTTCACAGCCAGAACACCGACGAGTCCTAACCCAGTGGAACCGTCTTGCGATTTCAAACAAGGGAAGCAACCATCCCGGTGGCCCGACTTGATCATATCGGCGAGCTTGGCTTGTAACGATGCGACTGTATGCTTCTGATCCACGAGAATGTACGGCAAGTCCGTATCCACCTGCAAGATCGTGTTCGGCGCTTAGCGAAATGCGCCGACCCGCCACAGGCGACCGACTCACAACATCGTATATACTTCTCGAGCCAAAATGATGATCCTTCTTGCAGTCCAAATAAGGGAAGTCATTCAGGCCGATCACAAGGTCGTAGATTCCCTCCGCCAATATCGCGTCCGATGAGACTTTGGCGGCCAAGATCGCAATCGCCACGGGTACAACGTAGTCTAGAGTGCCTGTCAACTCGACTACGATGGCCGCCAAGCTGACAGTCGTCCGTGTCACGCCTGCCAGAGTAGCAGCAGCACCGATGAGAGCGTAAACTCCGGGAGAAATATGATCTTCGGGAGGTAAGAAGGACCAGTGGGGGAAGCGATGTGCAAGGTGTTGCAAGCTGACGCCGACAATCCTGCCAAAGGCTGCACCGGCTGCAAGCGAAGGTACAAAAATTCCGGCTGGCAATTTGATGCTGCAGTACACAACCCAGATGATCAGAATCATGCGTCGACGCGACTGTTACGTGAAACACATACCCAAAGGTAATACAGGCGAGTGCTGCTCTTACAAGGAACCCCCAGCTAATCTCTTTGACCAATGACCAATACTGGCCCGGCTCGTAACAGAGTGCCTCGGTCCCGGTACATTCATCGAAGAGCTGAGAAGTCGAGCTTTTCAGATGTAGGCTCCATACGAAGACTGAAGGCTGTAAACTCACGGCAGAAACCCATTCAACACCGCCCATCCGGTTCCAGACGCTGGGGTAAGATACGACCGTCGTGATTGCGCTGACCTAGAACTCAAAATGACGTCGGTACAATACCTAAGGGCTTATAGCGAGCCACATACCATCGCCACCTCCAGGATAGGTTTGCTCTTCAACCAGGTTTTTGCTCGAACATTCTTGGTCCATGCAATGTTCCCAAGACTCCATAAGCCGCCATATATTCCCTGAAAGTACCAGTCTTTAGCTTTTGAGCATCGAAAGACAGACCTGTCATTTCACTCACCCCAAGTAATCCCAGTATAAGCGCCACAACGTAGATGGAATTGCTATGATAGTCGCGCGTATACGTGACCTCGAGCAAGACCAGCTTGCCATTGCCGTAGGGATCGAATGATCTCAGGGTCAGAGCAGCGATCGCGGCACAGAGGAATCTGTATTTTCAGTGTTCAGTCTAGAACTCTTAGCAGGGAGATGTGATAGCTTCACTCACGTTCGCCACATGACTTTTGCAGGATAGTACGTGCTAGACTCTTCCCAACTGAACAAGGTGCCCCCGATGGGTGCGCCGAATGCCACCTGGAGAAGCTATCAGCGAAGGCTTCGAAGGGTTTTCTGTTTCACTGGTAATCAAAAGCCTCACAGCGACACCGGCACCGCATGCAGCGCTCAAGATCTCCCTCTTCTTGGCTTCGTTCAGCTCGTACTTGGTGAACGACCTAGAGATGATGTTGGCGACACAACATGCGATGTGGACGAACGGACCTTCTTTGCCTGTCAAACGAAGTCTGCGCGTGATCAGTCCGGGAAGAATCGGCCGTATAAGAGCCTTTACGCACCGAGGCTCATCCCGCTCGCTACGCTCAATGCCAATCCAAAGCTCTTGACGAACAACGTCGAACCGCCCAGATACCCTCTGATCACGAAACCGGACAGAATCGTCTTGACTTCTGGTATGCCTGATCCTGAAGCAAAGTAAAGCACTTTTCGAGGTGGTCCGATCGGTTCTTCCGCCATGCGAGCCAGAGAGTCCTGCGCGGATGCGTCGGATATCAACGGTGTGGATTCAGTCGGGAACGTCGCCGCATGTGATTTCTGGTCCCGCCGGTTCTGTTGTTTCGAAGCGAATGTTCCTTCCGGTACCGACTCGAATCTCGTGGATGCCGTCATGTAGATGGTCAAGACTGATGACAACACAGCCAGTGACATCTGGTGGCGAGCAATACTTCAGCAGAGACGATTAGAAGCTTACTGCCCTTCGACTCACAGCTATACAGAAGTAGACCACCGCCTCAAAATGTTGACCCCCATACAGCCCTTTCAGCCAGTTCGTCCATCCCGAGTTGAATGTACCCCATTCCTTCCACCCGCCAGCAGGACATGCCTCTTCGCTCCTCATCTTCCACAAGTCCGCCGTACAGATTCCGCTCTTCAGGTCGAATAGAAACGCTTCGATCCGGATGACAAGGAAGGCTACTAGTGCCGTGACGATACCTGAGTTGAGGGCCAGGAGTCAGAATACGATTCTTTCCGTTACTGAAACCACACCCATGCTAAGACTCACCGACGAGGCTGACTACCACCCAACCCATGCTCCGATCCCAAGCCCTCCAGACTTTGCCTCTCCAAGATTTCCTCGCCCTCGCTTCGATTTTGGCGTGTCTCATAGAGTCCTTGATCTACATCATACAGAGTCGCAAGACAACTCAGCGATAACCAAAAGAGGGAAACCTGAGAAGGAGAAAGACTCCTCACCTGATCGTGTAACCAGTCTATACTGTCGTAAGAGCTGTACCAGACCCTAGTCCCGTTTGCCTCTATCCCCGGGTTCTGTTCTATCCCTGCACTTTCACGTCCAACATCCACCCCGGCGGCACCGGGAGTGTCTCGTCCAAAACCGTACCTCGCATCGCTAACAAGATCGTCGTCCCGCTCGTCTTCAGAACCTGCGTCTCCTTCATCATCGTCATCTCCCTGCACGTCCGAATCGTAGCTACTTCCCGGCCGGCTCCCGAGCGCCAAACGGATCGCACTCCCCGTCTTCCTGAACGCCCTCCCTACAGCCGTCCTCGGCGCATCGCCTATCCCTCCATTCCCGCCACCGACCCATGACCCTGTTCCGAGACCAGACTTTGAAAGCTGGGCGATAGATTGCGTCGTACTGACGATCGAGCCGCTCCTGCTCAAAGCTTTCTTCGAGAAAGAAGGAGAAGAAGAGGGGAAGAGTCCTGCCGTCTTAGGAAACTTGCCCAAGTTCAGGCTCCTCCCTCCGCTTGTCTTTCCTTGTCTATGCCCATGTAAAGGTGAACCTCGAGTAGACCAGGTGAGATCATCGTCGTCCTCCTCGTTCCCCGCAAACCCTGACCCATAGCCACGTCCAACGCTCTGCCCGGTACTTCCTGATCGACCGTGCAAGTTCAGCCTCCGGATAGATTTCCCTCCCTCGTCCGGCCGAGTAGGGAGTCGACGATGCAGCGATCCGGAGCCTAGGTTTGATCTCGCGCTCCGAGGTGTGGCTTGTACGGAACCGTATCCGTGCCCAGAGGTCGAGGCTAGGCGGGACGACGCAACCGAGTTCGGATGAGAGAAGTCATCCGGTCGAACGGTGCCATCAGATCGCAAGGTAGAGGATTGCCCCGAAGGTAGCCTCAAACTAGATCTGTTCGAGGGAGATTGACTGGGCTCTACTGTTCGGTTCGTTTGATGCCTTAAACTCCCGCTCCCACTCAAGCCACGTCCGGGACTCGCCGTGAGAGCAAACGTCGTTGCTGATCCTCTCCGACCTGGCAGCCCAGAGCTAATGGGGACTACGGGACTGCCCATTCCTGCCCTTCCCGTAAAAGTGTCTTCGACCTCTCCATCATCGGATGGACCCAAGTCGAGCCCCAGGAAATCACCAGGAGAATCCCCGATCCTTCTCAAGTCGTCGTCTGACCCCGGAGTGGGCATCGTGTTGGTGTTGTTATCGGCGATTCGTAAGATGCTTCGAGGTGGAGGAGTTCGAGGTAGACCAGGGACACTGTTGTAAGGTGAGAATGAGAGGGTGGTGGGACTACGTGATCACACAGACGGGGCAGTTCAGCTTCAGCATGGGTCTCTTATATACGAACCATCGACTTACCGAGGCGACCGACGTGGATGGTGATCGTTTGATTGATACGATGTCGACGCATGCGACCCTCCTCCTCCTCCTCCTCCTCCTCCTCGTGTCCTCCCCGTCTGATGGTCGGGCGATTCTTGCATCGTGCGATCCGACATCCTCGCAGTCGGATGCAATGATTCGTGTCGTAATTGATCGATTGATTGATCAAGATTGATCAAGTGATTGCAGAAGGCGGAATCACGCCAAGTCTTGTTGAACGACCCTTGTCGCTGGCGTGTGCGTGCAGTGGGATTTCCCTTTGTGAGCCATATCAGAAGTCAGCGAGGGTAGACAGGAGATGGTTGCTCTACATGATACGAGGCAGAGGTCACCCCTATGTGACTCCCGTTATCGACCAGGATTATCACAACAAAGGGGGATTGGGGGAACGATTGATGATGTCAATCTCCCATCAATCCATTCCATACCAAACTGATTAGCTCCCCGGTCAGTGATTCGGTCATCACCGAAGCCCGATGCCCGAACCGTACAACCAAGGTGCGACGAGTCTCAGCTCAACCTCTCGAAACGGAACATATTTCATCCATCGCCGATTTGGAACCCGGTTTCCAACGACCGCTCATGGCCGCCCACACAGCTTGAGAGATTTCAGTATTTGTAGATGAGATAGACATTGGGGCAACACTCGGCCCTGAGCCCCTGAGTCTAACATTCTGCTGTGGCTTGTGCCAAAAATGTTGGTTTGTCGTGACAATGTTGGCTTCGAGGAAATTAACCCAAGAGCATCGACTCTCTTTCGATGAAGTGGACGAGCAGGCACGGACGACATGCATGGCACGACAAGATGAATCACTATCCTACAAGGTGGAACACGCTACACAAGCAAGCTCCCTTCCTAGGGCTTGTTCTTGGCCTTGATGTTATTGACAATGAGCGACTTATATATGAAATCAAGACATAGTTAGTGGATTCTCGAAGTCGAAGAAAGAGCACCCTTGTATCGCGGCCTCACCTTGTAGCTCTCAACGTCTCCCGAGAACTTGGACACTTCACCTCCGGCGCAGACCCAGAGTTGGTTGGATGTGTGCGTAATAAATCGCTCGTCGTGACTGGAGGATAAAGGAACAGTCAGGTCTGCGTTCAACGTCTCGTGTGAACGTTCGCTGCGGGACCCACCTGATGCTGATCACTCCTCCCTTGTAGACCTTCAAGGCCTCGATCAGCGCGTCGATACCCTCGATATCCAAGTGGTTCGAAGGCTGTGTCGGAAGAGAACAAGAGTAAGAAAGATGAGATTGGGTCCGCTCTACAACCTATTCGACGCAGCCCCAGGAGCCAACGCACCTCATCCAAGAGCAAAACATGAGGTCTTTGCATCGACAAGACGGCGAACGCAACCCTACTCTTCTGTCCTCCGGATAATGTGCCAATCTTCTGCAACCCAGTGAGCCCAGTGATACCGAAAGCACCAAGATGCGACCTGTATTCTTGCTCAGTCTGGCCTGGGAACTTGGTTTGCAAAAATGCCACTGATGATTGCTCGACATCGAGGGAATCGATGTGCTGGGGGACAAGGGGTTCAAGTCGACCATAATCAGTATCAAGCACGTATAACGCGATGACGGCGATATCAAACTCACATGCTGTGTGAAGTATGCCACTCGCAGCCTACCGTTCCTGGTCACATGACCACCTTGAGGCTCAAGGTTTCCGGTCAAAAGCTTGATACTGGGAGCATGTTTTGGTGAGTGGATGAAAATTGCGTTTCTGAAGATCTTGCACTCACAGGGTCGACTTTCCGGCTCCGTTCGGCCCGATCACGGCGATTCGGCTGTCCAAACCGACATCGATATTGACGGTATGCAAGATCTCCTTGCCGGCTGTGTATGCAAAGCTGACTTCGTTCAGCTGCAACAGCGGAGGCGAAATCTTTTCTGGGTCGGGGAATCTGTAAAGGTACTGATGATTAGCATTGCGCCGTTTCTAGCTGCAAGCGAGAGGGAGACTTGCTTGAAGGTCTCGCTGTCTTCCGCTTCAGGTGGTTCGAGCTCCGGCAGTTTCTCCAAGATTTTGATCTTGGATTGAGCTTGAGCAGCTCGATTGGCGTTGTACCTCCACCTGTCAATGAAGGCCTGGATGTGATACTCCGATGTTCAACATTGGTTGTCTCTCAGTTCGTTCAGTGTGCGCCGATACGTACCTGAAGATGCTGCCTGTATTGCAGTTGCGACTCGTACTCTTTCTTGAGGTTCTTTGATCGTTCCGTCTTGGTGGCGTAGAACTGGCTAAAGTTTCCTTTGTAGTAATCGAGACGCTGGCTGTGCTGATGAATGATGTCTTGCGCAACATTGTCCAAGAAAGCTCGGTCGTGGGATCTACAATGCAACCGGCAATGAGCTGGCTGTTATCGACTCTGATCTGGTTTGCTGTGCTCACACAACAAGCAAAGTCCCTGGCCATGTTTGCAGGTAGTCCTCGAGCCAGGCGATGGCGTTCAGATCTGAGCGTATTATCTCAGTCACTGTATTGGGGTTTCTGTATAGGCTCAGTACTTACCCAACATGTTGGAAGGCTCATCGAGCATGAGCAACTGATTCAGATGCTATTAGCGTCGGGTAGCAAGAGACAAGGAAACGTATATTGTCCACTCACATCGGGCTGCACAAACAATGCTCGGGCCAAGGCCAAACGCATTCTGCGACCGGCATGGAATCAGCATCATTAAGTAATCTACCGGCTGAAGAACTCACCTCCAACCACCAGAGAATGACTTCGTACTCTTCTTCTGGTCCTCGTCGTCGAAACCCAAACCAGCCAACAAGCTAGAAGCCCGTGCGGGACCAGTTTCTGCTTCCATGTCGAGTAGGTTCTTCTGAATCTCTCCCAATCGTGCTGCGAGTTCATCCTTTTCCATGTTGATACGGATAACTTCAGCCTCGCCGTCTTGAGCCGTCTTCTGCTCCAATTGCTCGAGCTTGGCGTTTAGTTCGGCTTCTTCAGTCATCAACTTGTGTCGCCAGACATCAGCTCGAAGGACGGACTCCAACGCCGTTGTCTCGTCTCCGACAATCTAAACTCGCCAATAAGTCATCAGCAGAGCAGAACCAACAGAACATGAAAAGCCCAAGTCTGCCCACCTCTTGCTCGACGTAACTGAGAAAACGGGCGTAAAAAGATCAGCTTGGTGAGCAATAGCGAGATGAGCAGCGCACGTACAGCACAGAGATATGAGTAGGGATAGGCACCTCTCGCAAAGCGAGGTTTCTGAGTAGAGTCGACTTTCCAATACCGTTCCTTCCGATGAGACTATGACAGGCACAAACATTAATACGCAATGATGTAAGCCTAATCAGGTTGACTCACCCGTAACGCCTCCCGTGCGCCATCGTAAGATCGGCTCCCGACCTGTTGCAGAGCGGATAAGTAAAGGTCGTTACAGCAAGGCTCGGTCCGCTCGAAACGCACAAGATTCGGTTGCTCCCAAACGATACGTCGATGTTTGTCAGGTGGATATCCTTGCTCTTGCCCTTGCCTGCCCCACCCAATTGGAGAGGGTTGACCTTCATGAACATCTCCTCGTAGCTCTGCTGTTTCTTGGCCATCTCCACCAGCTTCGAACCCTCGTACAAGTCACGCTGAGATCGCTTCTGAATCTTGGCCTGCAGACGTGATTGTGATGATGGTCGTGGTCAAAGCTCTGCAGGTGTGCCGTGCCGATAGATATGCTCTTACCTTGATCTTAGCCTCTGCCTTCGCCAACTTGGCCACATCCACTCGAGAGGCCTAAAACGACGAGGTCCTTGAGCCAAACAGAACTCGCAATCGAAGCCCTTGGTGGCATACCTGGCTCTTTCCACCGTGTTCGAGGTCCACTTGGCCAGACAGGGCGATCGTGGTGCTCATACCACTCGTCTTCATGTCGATCGCCTTTTCCAATCGGTGAACGGTAGGACGTGCCTTCTGCCTGCCCGACGATGAGGTTTCGAGGTAGGCAGTCAATCGACCGATGAACGAATCCAGCGCTTCCTCGGAAACCTTCGCGTCCCACAACATCCCCCTAATCATCTCGACAATCTCTTCCATCTCTTCGTCCTCATCTTGAACAAGCCCTGTGATGTATGCCGTTACTACTGGGTCGACATGATCGAAATTGGATCGCTAGCGGCAACGGGATGAAGTTCAGCTCAAGGCAGGGCGAGATGTCCCACTTCGACCGTTCGGCTCACAATATCTGCCGCTATTTCCGCCATCTTGATTCAGCTCTCAGTAATCGTAGAACAAGGCCTGACGATCTGATTGGATCCAAGTGTCCTTTAAAACTGTATATCGTATCTGCAAGTCGCATATGAATTCGTCGAGGCGTTGATCTCGTATCTCGTAGATCGATCAGTTCCGGCCCTCATTCCGTGCGCGTCGCCCCGTCGTCACGGGATCTCATGCGATCATGCGATTCATGCTATATGTTTGTCGGAATGTAGGAGAGAATTTTATAATACAGAATGGTAAGGCAAGAATATCGTCAAGCGTTAGGCGTAGGATTGCCCAAGTGGAGGAGGATACGGTTCGTTATGACGGCCTGACTTGGCCAAATTGGTTCGATCAACAAGGAATGAGATGTGGTGTTCAGATCAAGCCAATTGATGCCTGCGTCGCGGGAAGATGTCAGCCAGTTGAACAGGATTGAGACTATCAGTAGCGCTCACGAGTTGCTGGACATGAACGACGTAAAGGCCTGAACACTGGATTCGGGTAAAGGCTTCATCAATTCCTGGACCTACAAATTTGATTTAGGGGAAGATTAGCGACTTGCAAAAGCTCGGTCTTCGTCATGTTCAAGACTGACCTTGCCCGGGTGACGTCTGCTGGTCTCGGCAAGACGAGAGCTCAAATACAACTTCGCATCCGGAATTTGGGCAAGGGGGTCCCGCGTCGCAGGCTCGGAAGCGCCCAATTTTGAGAAACTAGCTTGGAAGCTAGACTCTTCCGGGTCCAATTGATCGATGTTATCGCCCTCTTCGGTGTTCAGATCCTGTACCAGCAGGAAGAGGTCCAAGGCGGCCTCCAAGACCATAGGCCAGGCAGATACCAGCGAAGGTTGTAGCAACACGTCGCCCTCGGTCAAAAGATTCGTCAAGCCGACGACGACTACCTTGCGGTCTTTTGCGGAGGTCTTGCGCGTTTCCGGTAGGATGACACCTTCCAGCAAGTTGACGATCAAACTGGATTGTACGATCGTGAGTATGCTATCGTGGTCACTTGCAGTTCGAGTAACACTCACCCGGGTTGTATAGCTTCGAGCTGTTCCACGACAGCGGTAGGGCCGACTCCGGGCAAGGCGCAAAGAAGTAGGAAGAATAATGAAACCGCCTGTCGGAAAGCTGGCAACTTGGTGGCTTGCATCCTGTTGAGGATCAGCATGAAGACCGTCTTGGTGAATGGTGCCATGATCGACCTGTGCGCGATTGCAATATTCGTTAGTAGGGGTCTGAGAGATTCACAGATGGCCGACGGCAGGACTCACATCGGGATTGATTCGTAAATCACTCCAACCAGTTCCAACCCAGCGACGTCGGTAGCCTTCAAAGTGACCAATTTTTGAAAGATACCTAGAAGCGCTTGAACATGGCCTCGTTGCGCGATGACCGGGCCTCCCCGAATGAGCAGTGCCTTCCATAATCGAACCAGAGCCGGTACATTGCCTCGAGACTCCCACAGGGAAGCATGCAACAGGGGCGCAAGCAAGTTTTCGTACGCCGGAGGAAGCACGTTTGTCGGGTGAAGCTCGAGCAATTGCGAGCAGATTTGGAATGCATAGGGGATGAATTCTGGTTGATGCAATGGAGCCCGGACGGACTCAGCCTCACTATAACGAGAAAGTAACCGAACTTTTGCTGACACTCACCGACGACATCGTTACTGAGCATCGCCTGGATCGGCACAAAGAGGGCCTCTTCAAACGGTCCGAGCGCCTCAGGTTGACCGGCACAGACATAACTATAAAGCGGATAGGGTAAGCATCATACTGACCCGTATCTCGACCTATACGACTTACCGAGTCAGCGCCGAGATCGACTCGAAGTTGTATTGATTGAATTTTGGGTTGCTCGGATTCTTGCTGGTTTCACCGATGATGGCAACCAAGCGCTCCAGAATCGCCCGGTATGAGGGGATCAAGCTCTGTCGAGCCGTAATGATGACTCGCATGACGCCTGGCAAGTGCGAAAGATCATTATCAGTCGCTGAGAACCAAATCCGCATGGCTCTGGTGCGACATACATTTCATCAGATGGTCGTTCTCGGCGATCTTCTGGGGTGTGTCTCCCCGTTGAATCTGGGTGAAGCAGGCCATTAAGATGCTCTCGGCAAACGGCCTGACGTCGGCTTGGTTGAAACTGGATGATGGAGAGTGAGCGCTTAGGCATTAAACGAAGGTTTGCAGCCGAATGTCGACTTACAGCATCAGTCCGTTCTGCTTGATGAAGAGGACTCTCTCGATGGTGATGGCAGCGAAAGAATATATGACGTAGTTGTCTGCTTTCAGGTGCTGAACCAGCAACGGAAGAACGGACAGCAGCTGATCCTTCGTGAGCTTTCAGAGGCCGAGAGTAAGGGTTAGCTTTATACTGGCGATTTGCAATCGGCCGCCTTACCTGGTTTCTGAACGTGTAAAGGTATTTGATTGCGTCCACCTGAAGAATCGGATGAACAGCAGATGATTCCGCTTGCAGATCGGCAAATACGTTTTGCGAGAACCAATCCACCACATCAATGAGAGTGTTGACGGTAGTAACTCCTTGCTAAAGGTGGCATTTCACGTCATCAGGCAACAGGCAAGCAAGGCAAAGTTGAAAAGAACTTCCTTCGACTCACGTGCTGTGTCGAACCTCGCGAAGCGATCGAAGTAAGGAGATAGATTGCTGTATCTTTTGCCTTCCACTCGGCAGCAGGATTTGAGGCGTAGATCTGGGACGAATACAGGGCCTATCAGCATCTGGGATCCTTTGCAAGCGAAGATTTCATCAAAGCGCTTTACCTGCAAAAATCGCTCGATATGCCCGCCGATGATGTTCGTGATCTGCTGTTCAAAAAGCTGCATGAGAGCTCGCGTGAACTCGGTGGCAGCGGCACGACGGGTGTCATGCTCTGCATGACGAAAGATTCAGCACGAGCTTGTACTCGACATCAAGCGTCGGTGTCTCACCCGTCGAAGCTTCCAAGTCCTGACGGATGAATTCCATGGGGTCGTCTTCGAACATTTCCTCCTCGTGTGCTAGGTGAGCCGGTATGCGCGGGCTTATGCGTCAGTGCAACTCGATCGTGCTGGAGGTCTAGGGCAAACCCACCTCGAATCGTCATGTTTGGCAGGATGATCAGGCGGCAGAAATCCTCGAGAGTCTGTTGAGCTTCGAAAAGCTGCTTATGGCTACCCATCTTCACGACAACGGAGAGGAAGCCCAACGCTTTGACCACGAACTTTGCAGATTAAAGAAGATAACATCAGTCGGTCTTATGTGAGCAACTTCGCAGCGACGGGAACAACACCTACCTGATCGTCCCTCGTTCCCATTCCGACAGAGCTCAAAATCCTCCAGACGCCCTCCACAAACAGGCCCAGCTGAGGGAAAGATTCGCTGTATTTGAGAGCATAGAGTTCGGCAATTTCACAGATGGACGCCCGGATGGCTTGGACAGGTCCACCAACATCGTCATCCTCCTAAGATCGGCGCCCAGATATCAGCGTTTATGCCTTCTCCGTCGAATCGCAGCTGACCTACTTCGCCCATGATTTCCGGTACTTCCCAACGCAGATACTTGCCCAGCAGGCCGAAAGCTGCTGGCGACCCACTCCCAGCTTGATTGACGTCGCCCATGAACAGGGCGTTGTGATCCTCAAAGTATTCAGGGAAGTCCTGGCAGTTCAGGTCGTGATAGAGTTCAATGAGAAGGTGGAGCGATTGTGCGAGTTCCAGAATCGTCGTCGATCCGGGAAGAGGCGATGCGGGATACGCCGTCAACAACTCGTCGACACGCTGTTTCCAAGAGAAACGTCATGATATGTCAGCCTCTTCTTTCTGTTTATACAACTTGAGTTGAACTCACCTGGAAGAGGGCAGTATATGGCACGCAGAACTTCTCCAAAACAAGCTTGATAGTGGTGAACAGCTCATTCGACTGGAACTGTGACCGCCACCTGTTGATAACATCTATCAGATACAGTAGGAACAGTGGGAAGCAAGCGAATCGATTGTACCTTTTGAAGATGGAGTGCGCCGTTGTCAAGACTCCGTTGTTAACCGTGAAGTTGTCACCAGAGAAGCTGTTGACCAGGTCCTGCACAACATCGTGCTTTAGCCGGAGTAGTTTATTGAGAGAACGTTCTTGCTTACATCAATCAGGGTAGGCCATCGCTCTGGAAAATCGAGCTCGGCGATCTCGGCAACCGCTTCACCGATCTGAGACTGTAATCGCGAGGCTCCTGTGGTGGAAAGTGATACCATGATAGGTACAAGCTGGGACTTGACCGTCATCTTGTCAAAAGATGACAGGTCGTTGTCCTAAGTTCCGCGGGCGAGAACAATGATGAGCAAGCAGAACCTGGAGTATCGAGCAGATATTCCAAGCAAATACTCACCTCAGTCCAACGTTTCTTGACGACGTTTTTGAAGTAGACACCTGCGGCTTGTCTGACGTGCATCGGTGCTGCATCTGACCTAACCAAGCTCAAGACTAGCAACAAGAATCCCTCTTGAGTCTCGCTACTGTCGAGATTCTTCTCTGCTGGATGCCGGATCTCGGGTTGAGGCGAGAGCGATTGCGTAAGAAGGTCAGACAGCATGCTCAGATGCTCTTGATTGGCCTGCATCTTGACTGTTTTTGTCCCTGCTTTGAACTATTCTGAGGAATGAGCCTTGATAATTCTTGGCGTTTGACTGTCGTTCAGGATCTGCTTTGTATCGTTTTGAGCCGACTCTTTGATTCTACCTTGCAAGCTACAGGATAACAGCATGTCTTTGGCATTTGTTATGGATTCGCACATTCCCAGCTAGCAGCTCGAGCGCTCTTCGGATGCAAAATGTGAAAAACACTCGATGTCCGCCTACGCAAGGGGTAGATGTTGCTTCAACCATCTCCAGTCATCGTTTCCTGATTAGACCTTGGTTCTCCTCAAAGTTAGTGCAATGTCAGTTTTGAGTGGGAGTACGAGTCTAGAGTCGTTCATCAAGATATGCGCACGGTCGCTCATCGACACGGTCTTTTTCAGATTGATTGGCCAGTGGCGACGATGGGATAGCTCTGGCGGGATGCGATTGAGAATTTCCCATTTCTTACTTAGAGACGCACAGTTCATAAATTCGGTTGACATCCTCGGGCAAAACGATTGCTTCGCTAGCAGTAGTAACTGAAGTGACAGGCGAACTATGAGCAGAAGCTGCACAGCAGCAATCGCGACACTGCACATCTCGCTAATCTCCCTGTAGGCGACCCAGTGTCAATATGCGTGTCAGAATCACAAATAGGATGACTCGTCATATTGGTGTTGAGCTATCTCACCCAGGCTAGAGGAGTAGATACATGATACAAGCCTTGTTCTCGTCATAAGATTCGATATGATAGACATGACTCGATATCATTATAAACGTGACAAACGGCCAGAATCGACGTGTATCTAGCGCGCTTATGGTGTCACAGTTAATGTAGGCGTCCCCCTGGGTTAGCTGAGCTGCTCCACCAAGAAGAATGAGCCAAAATCTAGAGGTCGCAAGGCTTCAACATCAGAAGACACATGGCGGAGAAGTCACTGTGAAATATGCGGTGAGAGCGTGAGTTCAAGATATCGACCAAAAGGGTCTTGCACTAGTACCGAAACAACGGAAGACCATCAGCGCCAAGTCGCCCAATTCCAAGACGGCAATTGAAAATGGCCAGTGTGATGCAAGACGTGTCAAAATAGTGGAAAGGTATGCCAAGGTAATTAGTGGTACCGAAGCGCTTTTGTATGCAGATCCCGGAGCTGTAATCGTAACCATCGTGAAAATAAGTCATTGGGTGCGTCTGGCTGCTGGCTGAGATGTTCGCAAGTACTCCGGTGGATAGTCAATAACTTCTCCCACTTGGCCAGAGTACCGGGAGATTTCCTAGGGATCAATTCAGACACATAGTGATGTAGTGCGGACAGTCTTTGTGCTTCCTGAGAGAATTCAGAAGCGTCGGGTTGGTGAGGAGGAGGGGTTTGCTAGCCGCCTCGATGGCCTTCTTTGCGTCGACTTTCTTCCCCTTCCTGCTCAATTCTAGGTAGCCATTACTGGCAATCTTGCCTTCCATGGTGGGACATGAATGGAAGAGAGAATGGCTGTCTTTGTGTGTCATTTCCTAAAGAAAGCTCCGAGGTTCCATGTGGGAAGGGTGTCCCTGCAAATCCCAAACGGATGTGGGCTGACGACATGATAAGACATCCAAACCGTATCATTAGAGCTTGGCTACAAGGGGAGGATATAGATGACAAGGATGTAGTGGCTTTCGGGGCGCCCGGCGAGACCATTACACCCCCGCCTGTTCTCCTCCTCCGACCTCCGATCTTACAACTCGGTCCCGAAAAGGTAAAGAGTGGGCCGTCTTAGTCACTTCCCTTGCCTCGCATCCCGCCAACGTCGACCACATGATCGGAGTCTCTTCGATGGGACCCAACAAGGGTAATTATGTTGTGCTTGTTTTGATTGCCGTTAAAATCAAATAAGAATAGACCGTCAAGATTGTTCAGCATCATTGATGCAGAGACGAGCTCATCGATTCTTGGACGCTCGGAGCCATTTCGATTGATGTATATCGAAGCAACTAGGAGATATGGCCCCAAGATGGGCGACAGCGAAAGTAGTTATATGTGGAGGGTAGGCAAGAAGATGACAAGAGGAGTGACACGGCCGCCCACGTGTGCATATCGTACCCCAGGGCCCTTTACGCTACCACGTCGTCGGGATTATATAAATGTCTTGAGCCGGAATAGGGTATACGTGAGCTGCCTCGTATATGTTCACAGTGATCGACGGGCTTTACTTACTTGCTCAGCACCTTGTTCATTCCCATCATGTGAACCCTGTCCGACGCAAAGACGGCTCGCATCGCTTCGTCACAACAGATGTACCGCTTGTCTTTAGGATCCTGGAGATCCCGCTCCTTGATATAGGCCCAAAGCGCCTTGACCGTCTTGGGTCGTGATAAATGAGTCTCGCCCAGAAGCGTAGCAAGACTTGGACTGGTCGTTCGGAAGCGTCTCGTCAACTATGACATGACCGTCGGCCGCCTTGATCGCTACTCACGACAGTAGAAAAGGTCGGTTGAAGCCTGTTTCTGATACCTCGCCGTTGGCGTCAGTCGCTGATTTGCTCCGCTTCTTCTTCTTTGCGGCTTTGCCCGTGGCGACACCAGAGACACCCTCTTCGTCGCTTCCGCTCAGAACGGCTGCGCTCTTGTATTTGCCTTTGGAGCTGCTTGCGCCTTTCATCTTGGTAGGCGTACTGGTCTGACCGCTTCGACTGGTCCGCGCTCCTCTCGAGATCCCATTCAGTTCTGCCTGCAGAGCTCTTGCGTAGGATTCGTCGTCCACCGCACCTACAGCGCGGGCTGGCTTGGCCTTCTTGACCGGTCGGCTCTCGGAAGCGTCAGACAGGCTGCGCTTTTTTTGAGGTTTCGGACCATCGGCGGGAGTAGCATGTACCGCTGGCTCGGAAGGTCCGGACCTGATTTCATTGAATATTGTGGCAATCTTCGAACGTAGTAGGAAATGATAGTAGTCGGCATGTCAATCGGAGTAGGGCTTGAGGCAGAGTCGAAGCGATCGCAACCAACCGAAGCATCGATTTCTTCCTTGTGCGCTTTGATCTGTTCAGCGTCAACGCCTTGCGCTACAAGAGTCTTTCGGACCGCTTTCGCTGATCTGAAGCATCAAGAAGGGTTTCATTAGCCTTCGGGTTTTACAACTCGGTCCAGCTCGAAACGGCTCACACTGAATCCAGATCCGCTTTCGCTAAGATTACACGGATTTGGCCGATCAAGGATGACACGAACTTCGCGATGATGCGAATCGGGGAGATGGCATCAGGCATGGTTCGCTTTCTAGGCTACATTTCCGTCACGTGTTCCGAGGGCTCACTGGCTGTGCCATGGTGTCCGCAAAGTGTCTTATCTCAAGTCCCGGTCGCAGATGCTCCTTAGTCCGAAAACCGAAAGTGTCGTCGTTTGCGGCCGTGTTCAGCTTCGATCACAGCTCGAATCGCATCCAGTGCAAAAGAACCGGCTTAAGTTCCTTGTTATCTAGGTATGTGAGTAGCTAAGTAGGATGATAGTTGTCGGATCTCAAAGGATTGTAGCGGGTGTGAGAGTTGTGTATATATTGACAAGTTTGAATCGTCGTCCTCGTCGATCGAGCGGCCCCGGCGACCATGAGCAGTAGCAAGCAACCTGGCGAGAGCTAGCCACGCGACGGGCGGGACCGTACGTTCCTCCCCACCCACCTCACCCTCCCCAGCTGGGACACTTGTATCCTACTACTGGCAACATCATCCGGTCCGAGATACCCTATCCCTTCAGACATCAGCAAGACAGGAGCTTGGACCAAGATCGATCAGCTGGATCTCGAATCCTCCACACAACCGAGACTGCCGCGCGCTATCGGGATGAACTTGGACTAGCCTGCTACAACTTACAGCTAGCCAGGTCTCTATTCAACTAGTAGATAAACACCACGGCCTCAGGCCTCGCAGAGCGATACTAGGACGAACAGGAATTCATCTCCGTATCCTGAATGTATTCTGGTCTACCTCTCTCACCTAGATACACACGGAAAGCGGAACTCTCAGGATGTCGCACGCTTTACTGTGAGTCCAGTAGAGACGCCAGCCTGTGAACTTGCTCAGCCTATTGACGTCTCCTTGCTCCAGTCTCCGGCTCTTCTTGTCGCCATACTTCTCGATCTCGGTTGCCATGCATTATTTGAAGACGTATCCGGAATCGATCGGTATCAGCCACTACTTGTGTTGGCGCATGAAGCAGATGAAAGCGGAAGAAGTCGAGTTCTACTGGCCTCAAATCTGGCAAGTCTCGACCGTGACTTGTCCATGCAATTGCTCTTCATTAAACAGAGGAATCTTCATGGCAGTCATCTCTTGATTACTCGCCCGACAGATTCGAACGCGCTCGAGAGTTTCGTGGTGGAAAGGGCAGAGGAGAGTACACACTCGGCGATGCTGGTGAGCCCGCGTTGCGTGTCGGCGTCTGCATTCTCTCCATGTAGCTGACTTCACAATACACCCCCGTGTAGACCTTCTGGTTCATGTCCGCTGCCTTGAGAGACCTCATAAACACACGGGCGACGAATCCTCAGCCGTTCATGATATGTCAACGGGTTCTGCATAGGTGTCATGAGATCATCTTTGGTGACGCTCCGGATCCTTCTCAGTCGCCCTACAAGTCACTGCCCACGACACCCTATGGATCGACCGTCGCCGTCTCTCGTTCAAACTCCCGGAAGACGCCCACTGCTCGTGTCGGAGAAGCTGCAAAGAGGGTTGCTAACGGTCTACGGGATCGCTGCAGACAGCAAAAGGTCAACGCGCACATACCGGCCGCTCTCGTCGGTATGGGCGTCGTACTGGCCGGCGGTCCGGGTATGCCAGATCTCGTCGAGATGACGGGCCAGGTCGCAGTGACCCAAGGTCGAAGACCGAGAGATGATCTGGATGACACAAGGAGGAGAATCGAAGTCGCTATGGATGAGGGATCGGACGGCCCCCGAGGCGGTGAAGACGTGATGAGCCGAATCCAGAGGGGAAACACGTCGGCGAGTGACGATTCCGAACCAGAATCCAGTCATCGACGCGAGACTGTCAGGAAGGGTTCTAGCCTCGCATCATCGCCTACAACAGCAAGCTTACCGAAAACGCGGCAACCCCCGGATAGCATCAAGCTGGATTCTCCGCCCAAGGGTAGAAAACACAGGCTGCAGAGTATGGAGAACGAAAGCGTGGCGAACCTGGCTAATCAATCGCATCATCCATCTCATACATCGCCATCTATCATACAAGTGTCATCACCGTTCCAACCCTCCCTCCACCTGTTGCCTTCTCCCTCGGCTCCTGAAGGTTCGAGATCTAGCAAGAACCTCGCTGCATCAGGGCACGGAGTTGTGCCACCGGCACGGCCGTCCTCGGCAGCCAACTTCACCCAGACATCTACCGCGGCGCCTTTTCATAGCGTTCCCAGCTTTCCTGCTCAGCAATCGCGCGTCAGCGCTCTCAGGATGCCCATGCCAAGCGCCGAGAGTCTAGTCTCGATGTATGATGCGGATGCGCAGCGCGCATTGTTGCGGAGCCACTACTGTCGGAGTGAATTCCGGTTTCTTTCTGCACTCGAGGACATCAGCACAAGATTGCTGGTTATACCCAAGCCGGCCAGGCTGAGTGCACTTCGCGCCGAGCTGACAGGACTCAATCACAGCCTTCCCGCCGAAGTCTGCATGCCGCTTTGGTGTCCTGCAGATCACAGTCACGAGGAAGGAGGAGAGACTCGAAATGGCACATCTCTGTTGGGAAGACGAGATCGGGAGGCTACTAGCAGGGTTCGGGGTCACCACCGTATCGTTCGAATATCACCGGGAGACAGCGTGGTCCTCAATTCAGCACAAAAGGTACCATATCTGCTGCATCTCGAGATTCTCGAGGATGACCTCGACTTTGACCCCAGTCGTCGGCCAAACCGTGAATTGCTTAAAAAGATTGCTGTGCAGGAAGAATACAAGAAGAGGAAGCGAGAAGGCATTGAGACCATTGAGAATGGACCACGAGGGAAGCTTGATGGACTGGGTTGGTCATCGCTTGCTCCGGCATCTAATGGTCACGGCGCCTCGGATAGTCGCGGACAGGCGCGTAGACCGTCCTCGCCGCGTCGACCTAGTGGGCCGTCTTCGCCTACACTCCGACGCGACTCGCTTGAACCTCGATCGCCTGACGATCCGGAAGAGGTTGATCTGATTGAACAACTATTCGGATCGGATTATTCTTCGAAGGACCGGAAGGTGAACTTGGTAGACTCGCTGCCCGTTCCAGTGGCTCCTCAGAACAAGCATCTTGACGCTGCCACCTGGTCAAAAGCAGACTTGTCGCCGAGCCTGTCTAGACAAGCTTCCAACATGAGCCATCCTGCGACTCCTACAGATTCGCCCAAGATGGCTCAAGGCAATCCGTTGGAAGAGGATTCGGCAACCTTGGAAGCAGCGGCTATACCGAAAACCGCTAGCTCTCGCCCGGTCATCACGTTGGAAGACTACTCGGAACGCATGCGAACTGCAGCAGTCATGCTCGCTCAACTCAATGCTTCCATGAAGCCTGACAAAGGGGGTCAACAAGGAGCGCAGAACGAGGTGGGAATGATTCCTGGTAGGGGAGCCATCTTAAGTTCAGTGGGAGGAGCCGAAAGTCTTGTAGACGGTTCGCCATCTGCCAACTCGCCCACATTCCCTGCCAGCAGGATGAGATTGAACCCAATCCAAGCGACGGCTATTCGTGATAGGATCATGCAGGAAATGATGAGCCTAGAAGAAGAAAGGGTTGCACGCATGACAGCTCAACCCGAGGGGTATACGGTGCAGCCAAGCCATAGCGATGGCAAGACGGCAGAGGACGAGAACATTATCAGGCGGGAACTCAACAAGGAAGATCCGTCAGGTACGATTGCTATTTACACCTTTGCTGATGCACCTAGTAACCCATTTCGTATCGACGAACCGCATAACAGCCGTGATTTTCAAGGAATCCTGGACCGCAAAGAAGAGCCGTATACAAGCGGCCTCACCTTGGGGTCACTTGGCGCGGTGGAACGTTCTTTCCGTCATTGTCAAGACTGGAGATGATCTTCGTCAAGAACAGTTGGCTACGCAATTGATTCAACGGTTTGGACAGATCTGGAAGGAAGAGAATTGCGACTGTTGGGTACGATTGTAAGTGATTTCTCAAGACTGAATGCCTAGCCGCCTTACACTGTGCTGATCAGAATGTCGTGGTGCCGGATCTGAAAGCTTCCGGATTTTGGTGACGGGTGACAACTCGGGCCTGGTAGAGACCATTACCGACGCTGTTTCAGTGCACTCTATCAAGAAGGCCGAGTACGCACGTCGGATGACGACCGGCGCGCTGGGAAATGTTACCTTGATGGACTATTTCGTTCAAGTGGGTTTAGATACTCGGGCGTGATCGGTCTCGCAGACAAAGCTAATACATTGTCCACATCCCAGACTTATGGGGATCCCGATTCGGGTAGATTCGCCAAAGCGCAACGGAATTTCATCAAATCGCTTGCCGCGTACAGCGTAATCACCTTCCTGCTGCAAATCAAGGACCGACACAACGGAAACATCCTGATCGATCGCGATGGTCACCTAATACACATTGACTTTGGTTTCATGCTCAGCAATTCTCCTGGGGGCAACATGCGATTCGAGGCTGCTCCATTCAAGCTAACCATGGTGAGTCGGCACGTCAATTTCAACACGCATCTGCACGCGCTCATGCCGATCGATCTGGATTTGCGTTCGTGCAGGACTACGTCGAGATCATGGGGGGACTGGACTCACCTGGATTTGCTCATTTCAAGAAGCTCTTCAAAGAAGGCTTCGAGACTGCTCGTAAACACTCCGACAGTATCATCAGTGAGTTTGCTGTTCACTGCCACAGACGAGAAATCGACAGCTCACAGACCGCGCTACCGCTTCCAGCTATGGTGGAACTGATGCAGAGGAGTAAGACCACTGCAGTCGATTTCGTCACCGGAGAGCCCGACTGATCGGCTCTTTCTTCCTGTTGCAGACTCGAAGCTCGATTGTTTCCAGATGTATGGGGAACAAACTGCAAACTACTTGCGAGAGAGATTCCAGCTGGGCCTGACAACACAGGCAGTCGATGCTTATATGGAACGCTTGATCCTGACATCAGTTGGATCGAGCTGGACGAGACTTTACGATTCAGTAAGTGCATCGGACTCTGTGCTCCGGTAGTACGTAATGCAGAGATTGATTTCGCTATCGTTCTTAGTATCAATACTATCACGAGGGTGTATTATAGAGCATAGAGAACGAAAGCAATGCATCAGAGAGCAAACAGACAGCTCGAAGGAAAGAATACAGCGGACCCGATCCCAGATCGTCATGCAGCATTTCTGAAGCGCACCTACTTACTGCTTCAGTTGTAGCGGCTAGTGATACAACTGTTGTCTGAGCTGGTGGTCACCAGTTGCTAGCCTTTCGCATCTTCGCTCGGATCTGAAAGTCCTGCTTCCTAGCTGCTGAGTATACTAGGGTCGGTTGAGACAAATACGCGTCGCCTGGCCGCGTCATCAGCCGATCAAGCGGTAAGGTTCAAGTTGCAAGTTCAAGTCAAAGCAATCACGAGATCACGATGTCTGCATGTTTGTACGTCTGGAATCCTCGACAGCGACAACGGCCTCTCTTTAACGTGCTCGACATCAAAAGATTGTGGTAGACGACGATATCAATCTCATATCACTACCGGTAACATGTCTTTTGCAGCTCCTAAGTTCTTGAGTGCTTGCGGTCAGCTCGCATCGACATCACTTCGACGCTCAGCAAGATGTGTCAAGACTAGGCAGTTCTCCAACTTGCACTGGGGAGCACCCCAACAAGCAACAAATTCAGGGGGAGGATCTCGAATGGATGAAGCTAGTTTCCCGGTGGTTCGAGATGCCCTAGTACCTATGGTGGTCGAACAGACCGTAAGTGGGAGCTTTCTGCTTCGGTAATAAACCAGGGCTGATCCTTTCGGTGTCTGTCAGGCCAGAGGCGAACGAAGTTATGATATCTACTCTCGGTTGCTAAGGGAACGAGTGGTGTTTCTGGGGCCTGTGGGTGATCTATCGCTGCCTTCCCGTTGCTTGATACGTTCAGCTCAAGACCCGCTTTCGAAACTAGGTCAACGACGTGTCATCGACCTTGTTGACGGCACAACTTCTCTTTCTCGAGGCGGAAGATTCAAAGAAGCCAATCAAACTGTACATCAATTCGCCTGGAGGTAGTGTGACGGCGGGTCTAGGGGTCTATGATACGGTATGTCATTCCTCAATCCGTATAACTCTAGCTGGTCGTGCTGAACGTCACCGCGATGTTGCCTTTGAATTGTCAACATCAGATGCAAGTGAGTCTTGCATTTGCCATGCCCTGAGACGAAACACGAATCTGTGTGCTGAGATCCCCTGGCTTCCAGTACATTTCCCCACCGATGCACACGTTCTGTATGGGTCAAGCGGCATCGATGGGTTCTTTGCTTTTATCAGCGGGTGCGTACCGGCGCCATTCCGTGAGACACAACGAGTTGACTGTTGCACACATTGAATGATACGATTGAACAGGCGCTAAAGGGCACCGCTACTGCCTTCCCAATGCGAGCGTCATGATCCATCGTGAGTCGCTCAGGATTTCCATTTCCGCCAATGGTCGCTCACGATCGGCTCTTACCTTTGTACTCGTAGAACCATCTGGCGGAGCGAGTGGCCAGGCGACGGACATTTCGATTCACGCCAAGGAGATTCTCAGGATCCGTGAGCTCTTGACCGAGATGTACGCGGAACACTGCGAGGTAGCAGGGGAAACTTTCCAGGGAGCCAAAGACAGATTCGGTATGTGTGCAAAGTCGTCAGTTCTACCGCTCAAGTGCGAAGCTCACGCCATATCGCGATGTCCATCCGATAGAGCGGGCCCTGGAACGAGATCACTTTATGACCGCGAAAGAGGCGTTGAGTTTCGGTATCATTGACAAGATTGTGGAGCGTCGACCTCCTCCGACGTCGACTGACGCAGACGGCGCGGGAAAAGACAAGCAATGATCAGTAGCTATACGTCCCCAGTTGCACAGTTGTATGCCATATAGCGTTCGACATGGATGCTTCGATACACTCGCTAGACTCGCGTCCATCCAGGATCCAATTATGATCAATTCGATATTCCCCCCGGAAATGACGCGACGCGCACGCGATCGAGAACCGGATTCGACCGGAGAGAAGGAGATTCCGAAAAGTCGAAGACGCTTCAACGGGTTCAACGGGTTGAGTAAGGGTCACGACCGATATTATTGTTGTGGATGATCATCCTGCATCATCGGACCATCCAGAAAACTCTGCGGGTGCAACACCTTCTGTACGGTTCGCTCTTCATTCAAAAACATGGCTTCTGCTCTCTTGAACACTGCTCGATTCGCTTCGACTCACGCCGCGCCATTGAGTGCCGGAAAGCACAAGATCGTGGTCATCGGTGCTGGTCAGTACGAATGAGCTCATCTTTCGTAGCGGAGTACTGATACAGCATCGACCTTTGTCACATGATCAGGCGCCGGAGGTCTAGCTGTCGCCAACCAGCTCTACAACAAGTTCAAGGCGGACGGTCGAGAGCTCGCACAGGGCGATATTGCGATTGTCGATGTGAGTGCTCGCGTTGCCACCTGCTCATGTCAGACGGATACTTACCGGTTATTGAGTACAGGGAGCCAAAACTCATCACTACCAACCTGGCTGGACCCTTGTCGGAGCTGGAATGCGGTCCAAGGAAGAGTTTGCCCGTCCCATGGAGTCGCTCGTCGCGCCTCACTTTGCACACCTCGCCTCGAACGCCAAGACCTTGAACCCCAGCTCCAACTCGTTGACTCTTGAAAATGGTGACACTGTCAAGTACGACTACCTCGTCGTGGCTCCTGGTCTGAAGAGCAGTGCGTTATACTCCTGATCTGAAACTCGACACACCGACTACAAGCTGACTATCTGCATAGAGTTCGACGCTGTCAAGGGTTTGCCCGAGGCCCTTGCCAACCCCTATTCTTCCAAGGTCGCCAGTATCTACTCTTACGACTCTTGTGACAAGACGTGGGACCTCATCGAGGGTCTCAAGAACGGAAAGGCCATCTTCACCCAGCCGTTCGGACCCGTCAAATGTGCCGGCGCTCCCCAAAAGATGCTCCACATGTCTTGGGACAGATGGCAGAAGACTGGTCGGGGCGATGCCATCAAGAGCGAGTTCGTGACTGGTCTGGTGAGCGAGCTGAAGCATATGCTAGCTTCAAGACTTGACGACTGAACCGGACCCCGCCGCAGCCTGTGATGTTCGGTATTCCTTACTACAACAAACCCCTCGACGCTCTTCGCAAGGAACGCGGGCTTGATGCTACCTTCAACGCCAACCTTGTCGAAGTCAGGGAAAAGGATCAAGTCGCCGTCTTCCAGGAGACTACAGGCGACAAGAAGAAGATCGAGCGATCATACGACTTTTTGCACGTCGTGCCGCCCATGGGACCCCTCGACTTTATCAAGTCGTCCCCCCTTGCTGATGCTGCAGGATGGGTAGACGTGGACAAGGCGACTCTGCAATCGACCAAGTTTGCCAACGTCTTTTCCCTCGGTGATGCTTCCAGTCTGCCCACCAGCAAGACTGCCGCGGCCATCACCGCCGAGGCTCCTGTCCTGACCGAGAACCTGTCGCGCTTGATGGCGACTGGAAAGATCGGCGAGGCGGCATACAACGGGTGAGCTCGCTTGACTGTGATATGGGCTTGACCATGCTGAGGGTTCAACGTGTTTGGTTAGCTACGCCTCCTGTCCCTTGACCGTGGCGAGCGACAAGGTGCTCCTGGCCGAGTTCAGTGGATACACCCAGGCAGTGAGTAGCTCTGACGGTCTCAAATAAGGAGAAGAGACAGCTGAATCGTGTTCTCTTTTCAGCCTATGGAGACCTTTGGCAAGTTCGGTATCGACCAGCGCAAGCCGAGCCGGCTGTTCATGCCCCTGGTCAACAACGTCTTCCCGTACGCGTACTTCAAGTACTCTCTGCCTGGCAACTGGTACGGCCCTCGTGGTCTCATCCCCCCTACCTACGTGCCCAGCGTTGTGCCATCGTGAACATAGAGGTCGTGCAAATGTAAACAGGTCGACATGATAAAAGGAATATACCGCCGTGTCGCAGCTGCATACCCGACGAGCCCAATCAAATCCACTCTCGTATCGATTCCATGGTAACTGCCCCCCGAAAACAGTAAAGACACATTGGTCATTGGATCCTATTCGGGATCTGGTTCTGGCTCAACAGTAGCGACGACAGGTGCATTCTCGTTTTCTCAGTCGATTCCATGAATGGGGAGGTCGGAGAGGAGGTTGAACAGCTACCGCTCAAGTGGATCGAGACCTTCACGGGGACTTGCTGTTATGCGATAGATGCACGGTCTCTGTATTTTCGCGGCGTTGACCTCAACACCGAGTGCCACAAAGATTCGAATGCAGTCGACTCAGATGCGCCCACTTTCTGAAAGGGAGGCTTGTCCAAATCCCGACCGCCATTGTCTTTTGCGAGCATCATCACGTGCAGCTAACCGAGCTCAAAGCGTTGATGGGTGTGCAGAGGTTATTGTATACGACTCCCTTCTGCGAAAGCTACAATACATCCCCCTTGACGATCTTCCGATCCAACCAACCACTCCGCAACGTCGTTCCCCGAATCCAGCGCAAAGCAGACGCGCTTAGACGACGGTACCGGCGTTGGAAGCGATACGAGGCCACAAGTCGGCACACTCCTTGGCGACGGGTCCGGTGATGGCGGATCCCTTCATCTCTCCCTTGGGGTTGACGATGACACCGCTGTGAGGAACGATGGAGTGGCGGTCAGGACATCGTGTCCTGGACAGAAGTGACAACTTTCTTACTCACGCGTTGTCCTCGAAGTAGAGGAAGACACCATCCCTTCTCCTCCAAGGCTTCCTCTGTCGGACGACAACAGCAGGCATGACCTTCTTCCTCAACTCGGGCTTACCCTTCTTGACGGAACTGTCGCGGGGCGTAGTGGATCAGTTCGACAGGTCCTAGTGATATGCGCCATTACTCTCCGAACCCCATCGACTCACGCCATGACCATGTCACCGGCAGCGGCAGCGGGAAGCCTGTTCAACCTGGCTCCACATCCAACGACCGAGATAACGTAGATGTTCTTGGCACCCGAGTTGTCGGCGCAGTTCATGACCGCTCCGACGGGGAGGGCGAGAGACATGCGGTACTTGGATCCGGTGGCGGCGGCTGCAAGGAGATGTTGCGAAAAAGGCAATCGGTGTCAGGACAGGAACGTCGCTCAACTGACGAGTCGATGAAGCGAGAGCAGAGCATCTGGGCAGGGCATCGAGGGCATTGGTCGGTCGAGATGTCGTGAGGCGATGGTTGTGTGTGTCGTCGAGATTCAAAGGTAGGGCGGCGGAATGCTTCCAGGAGAGGACAAGATGTTGAGGTGGACAAGGTAACTGGTATCCTAGTCGTTTCAGACCGGAGCGAGGTATGCGTTGTCGCAGTGTGTCAGAATCGAAATCGATCACACGTCGTTTCGGACGGGAATGACTGGTGTTGTTGTAGCGGATGTTGTCGGACCAGCAATGACCGGATGAAGCGATATCTCGACTTGAATTGCACGACCTTTCTCCATCGGTCTTGCGGCTGTCGTATCTGAATGTCCTGCCACCCACGCAGTATCCATGGCGGAAGATGTGGTGTGCGACGTATATCCCCATCTAGCCGGCCTGGAGGCTTCTCTCATTGACACTCGGCTGGCAGATGTTTCGTGTCATCTTGACCATTCCATCTCGCCGTATCTGTCCTGCCATGTCCATCCGTTCTCATCTCATCTTTGCCTTGTCCCGTACGGCCACACTAAAGGTCCTGCCTGCCATTGTCGATTCGGTCCTGTCCGATTCCATGTCCCTTTCCTTGCCTCTGCCCTGCCGTTTGCTCTGCTCCGTCGACTCGTGATCTAGATAGATACGTACTCTTGGACATCTTTACCGAACTCTAGCTTGAAATCGTTGTCGTGGTAAGGGCAGAAAGCGGTCGCACGTACGCTGACGTCGATGTCGGTTTGTCGACAACTTGGGCAGAATTGAACACGACGACTCTGAGAGAATCTGAGAATCTGAGAATCTGCGCTAAAGAAGATTCAAGAGAAAAAAGAGCAAAAGCGCAAGTTCACACTTTGTTCATTTCACATTTTTTCAGTATTTACGTAAGTGGAAATGTCTTGTCGACACTTGTCGATGGTTACGTAAGCAAATGTCGATAGTTTGTCGATAGTGTCGATGGTTGTCGACAGTTGGGTTACGTAAGCGTGTCGCGCGTGTCGATGGTTGTCGATAGTGTCGATAGTTGTCGACACTTTGTCGATAGATTGTCGATAGTTGTCGAAGGTTTGTCGATGGTTTGTCGACAGTTGTCGATAGTTGTCGAGGGTTACGTAAGTGTCGACAACCATCGACAAACCATCGACAAACTATCGACAAACTATCGACAACTATCGACATTGCGTAACCAAGGCGGACATGGATGGCAATTCCTGTGTGTCCGTTCTTGACTTGACATCGTCATCAAGGTCGTGGTTGTTTTGAATGTCGAGTTTCAAGATCACAAAAGTACATCAGGACGATACACGACGGAATCGACGTTGCCATTCGTCTCTTCCACATGCCATGACATGGTCCGTTCAGGTGGTCCGGATCTTCGTCTGGTTGTCCCTAGCGTACGGCGCAGTCGAAGCTGCTGCGGCGGCGGCGCCTCCTCACCAGACCATCACTCTAGAAGCACTACCTCGTTTGCTTTCGATACACGAGCCCGCACCGAACGTGACCTCGGCAGCAGACGTGGGCGTACGGAACAATGCTACCGTCTACATCGCAATCCCGCCAGTGTCGATGGACCAACAGCTCTACGTAACCATCAACGTCTGCTCCCTTTCATCCTCGACGCAGTACCCAACTATACTGGTCTCAAACGGCACGTCACTCTCGACGACGACAGATGATGCCGGCGATCAAGCGTCTCTTTCGCCGCGGGACGAGACGTATCTCTCTGCCGACTCGAAGCTGGACCGTTCGTCCGGGTTCTCAAACAAGGCGAACGCCAATCACGTTCGAGAAGTGCTCAGGGGGCAATATGTTTGGGACATCAAGCTGGAAGGCAACGCGGGCTTTGCCAATTGGACGGGCTGGATGGGTGATGGCGGCCTAGTCGGAATATTTGCAGAGCAGGGCGATTCCATAGACGCAGAGGTCGGTCTGCGTGTCGGAGGTCGGTAATTGACAGCTACGGAAATTATCACAAGGCAGCCCGACTAATTTGTATGACATGCCTCTCCATCGACTCCTGTCCGAACAGCACCTCTACACTCCGTGGCACCCGACTTGCCTCTACTCGGCGACACGACAGACACTCAGGCCCTCATCATGTCACCTGTCCTCGAACCGCTCGACGAGTATCGCGACGTGCCATCTTACCCAAACTACACGCTCTTCTCGCCTTTTCCCCAAAAGATAGACGTGCCGGATGTGGACGCCAAACCGTTATACCAGGCTCGGCCGATGTACCCGATCATGCTCGAGACCGCCTCCTGGGCGGCAGCGGGAGGACCTACGTTATTAAGCGCTAGCATGTGTGCCATATACCGCAGGGTGAACGAGACGACCGACTTGACCGGGTTTGCAGACATTCTACGCAACGACTCGCGCACGGAAGAGTTTGAAACAAGCACGGCTCAAGCGACCGCTTCCTTTATTCAACGTCCAGCAGGTTGGCGATGGGATTGGGTCGTACAAGGCTTGGTTTCAGACGCCACCAACTATACTTCGTGGATTGTTGAACCTGGTGACAGTCCGAGTCGCGGTACGATACATGGTCCGATCAACATGGTCACAAAGGAAGGTGAGTTGGCGACCATGCACCAAGCGATCGCGTGATCAAGGTCGGTTTCTTATCGACCATGATCTCGACGACAGCCACATTCCCTTGCCCTCTTGTACACGGACTCGGCCTCTGTCCGTCGATCGCTTATGCGGCGCCGCTGAACGTGTCGTCGGACAAGCCGTACCCGATCGTCACTTCGCTCGAGAGTCACCTCGAAGACGTCCTGAGCGCATCGCTCAACGGGTTTTCGACATCCTTGCTCTCCTCGGCATGTGGCAGAGACCTTTTCTCGCCTGTCAGCACGTGTGCGGATTGTTTCGACGAATATAGGGAATGGCTCTGTCGCTCGATCTTGCCTCGATGTGCGTCCCGTGCTCAAATCGATGCGTCGGACGGACGGACCCAGATGATGGCAAATGAACAGTACAAGGGCGATGCGATCCCTATGGCGACGAGGCGAGCACTCGACAACCCGAGGACACCCTTTTCCGCGCAACCGACGTATCCGTACGAGGAACTTCTCCCCTGCTTGGACAATTGCCGCAGGGTCGACCGCAAATGTCCCGTCTTTCTCGGGTTCCGCTGCCCTCTTCGTGGTATCACGGCCAATCAGAGTTACGCATACTGCGGTCCTGACAAGGAAGATCGTGGGCGGTGTGAGGGCGAGACTGACGGAGGCGCTGACATGTGGGGCAATGTTTGGTGCAACGGATTTCAATTGTAAAATAGATGTGTAAACTACATGCCTAATCATACCCTCAAAGAATCTTGTGATACGATTTCGCCGACAACTGGAGTACATTCGAAGGCGATCACGAGGTTGGCGTCTGACCAATGCAAGGGATGAAACGATGCCATCCCTCCGTGGCCACGACATGGCATCGAGCCGCTGAAAACCACGCTCGATAGGTGAAAAGGGTATATAGCGGTCAACATCGTTGGATACATGTATCTCGGAAAGACAGCTTGCTCGTGACTATTACAAGTGTGCAGGAGAACAACCGATCTCATGCGGCTCACTCGACAACCACTTCGTTGCACCGACGGTCATCTTATGAGAGCAAGGCTTCAACAACCTGTAACGTATTGTCAGCATCGGAAAGTCAGATCGAGCATAGCGACGTGTCAAATTTTCAAACTCACAGCATTGTCACTGATGTTGTTCACGTTGTTCCCCCGGTAATTCAGATCCGACAAGGCTCGAATCACCTTCGATAGCTCCCGCATCGATCAGTATGCGAGGCCGATGCTCTGTCCGTATCTCATGCACGTATGCGGATACTCACAGTTGGCTCGTCAAATCCCAAACCGACAAACTTGTCGACGTCTTTTTGCGACAGACCGGCCCGCTCCGCTTTCGACTTTTCTGTCGCGGCACTGCCAACCGCACTCGCTTCGCCAGGACCTCCGGGAGCACCTGCGTATTGAACGGCCCATTGCCTTGCCGTCTCGTCAAACGATGCTCTATCCCTCTTGTAATGTCCAGCCACTGTAACGTGGAAATTCGCCATGAGCTTGAAAGGATATGAAGCAATACTTCGAGGTACTCACCTTGGGCGTCTTGCGGATCATCTGGCTGAGGATCGGTCAACAAGCTCTGCAACGAGATCAAGGTGCTCTTCAGAGTAAGGACGGGACTCCAATTGCTCTTCAGAATGTCTATTCGTAACAGCGACTGGTGTCAGTCTCCAGGTTTGGTACGTATTCAAGAAAAGACCGGCTCCCTCCCTCACCAAGGCAGATCGCTCCCTATATCGTCAAACCATGCAAGGCGTCAGCTTACCCGCCTTATTGAGTGCTTCGCTCGACGAACTTACGGTGACAGACGAGACGTTCGGATGATAAAGTTTGCTAAATGGATGGCAGGAGCACAATGAGCGCCGGGGGCCAACAGCCTAGAGCTCTTCAAACTCACGTAATGAAACGCATTTTCGGGGCAGAGAAGGGGTACGTATCCGGAATGACGATATCCACCTCGTACTTTCCTCCTTCATAAGGCGAGTTTTCCTGTCATGGGAGCCACTAAGTTGCCCCTCTTGCAGAGATGATAATCGCTACGAGGAACCTACAGGACCGATAAAGGTACCGCGCAAGTGAGTTGGCAAGTTGTCGACCACTGTACACCGAATGAAACTGATATAAGCATCCTCTCGATTGCTGGAGAGATCTTAGCCAAGTATCTTACTGTCGACCGTAATCCCAGATACCTGATCCTTCTGACAGGCTGGCGGGAAGCGGATGAGTATCCTGACGGAGGGGCTTTACAATTGCTCTCAAGAGAAGATGACCCACCGGCAATCTCCTTCCTGCATCTTCGTAGTCGAGCGTCGGACATCTTGACAGGCTCAGCTGCTCAACTTTGGCGAGTAGATCTGTGGCAGTATGGTCTTGTTGTGGCTTTACTTGTGCAGGACAGCGTCTCGATAGGTAAGATGGCAATCAGATTGTCACAAGGGTCAAGTTGTGTGGACGGGTACCTGCTCTCCCAACTGCTGATCGCTCGATCACGCGAGCTGATTCCGATCGGCGGGGCGACGTTTACGAAGATTCACAGAGACTCGTACTTGTTCAGCGACCGCAATTCGCAATCCATTCATCACAAGCATCTAGATCCATACAAATGTTACATCTCGCAGAAGCCACACCTCATCCTAAAAGATCGTCAAACACGCTCTTACTAGAACCTGCGTTGCTGTTTGTAACCTGTCCCGCGGTATTCGCAGGCTTTGAACTGGGAGCGTTCCAGAGGCTGTTCATGGTCTTTTCTCGGTCGAGATCCAACATCGACTTTTTGGCACTGTTCGAGTTGTTGTTGTTGTTCTGCTGCCCGCCCACGCCAGCCAAGCTAGTTGTCCACAAATCGTCGAAACCGCCCTTGAAGCCGTCACTCCCGCCATTTGGTGGGGCGACAGGGCGATTGCTTGCGGGCGGGGCGGACGTAGTGGTGGCTCGCACCGGCGGGCTCATCAAGGAGGCTCCGACCGAAGGCTTAGACACGGGCTGAGAATCAAGCAGGTCGAACAGGTTCATACCAGCACCTGATGATGATTTCGGAGCAACTTGCGGTGGAGCGGGAGATGCAGCACCCTGGAAATCGGCAAAGTCGTCTGGAAAGGAGTGGTAATGTTAGCGACTTCGCAAGCACGGTCAATGATGTCGGCGCGTATATATACCTTCATCCTGCTTGGTCGCTTGCGCCGAGGGAGCACTCGTCATGACCGGAAGTGTATTCTCATCGTCGCCAAAGTCGAAGAGATCTTGAACGACCGGTTTCTGGACCTCTTTAGGAGGTGCCGCAGGGGGAGCTGAAGCACGCGAGGTCGAAGCGCTGGCTTTCGTGTGGGTCGCTCTGGGTGGAGGAGCCTGACTGCGACCGGTTGGAAGCCGGTCGTCATCATCCCCGGCATCATATTCGTCATACTCGGGCTGCCCTCTAGATTCGGTAGACCGATAAACATCTGTGGAGCGTCACGTAAAACAGAAGGCTCAGTGAACGGGTGGTCAGCAGCGATGCCAAAGATGAACTCGCCTGAAGAATCGAACTCCGATCGGCGATTCTGGCCGTAAGTGTTTCCACTAGAATACCGGTCGCTCGACCCGGTGGTATAGCGTCCAACATCTTGGCTGCCAAATCCACCATACCGCGAGCCAGACCCGCCAAAGCCACCGCCTGAACCGTCGCTACCGGTTCCACCATACTTGTTCTTGTTAGCCTTGGCCTTCCTGCGTTCGGCTCGGATTCGCTCCACATCGGATAGTAACTCGACAATTTCCTTTGCTCGGTTACGAACTGTTGGTGAGAGGGCGAATGACGGTCAGCTACTCATCGCAAGCAAGTAATATCCGGTCTCACCATTGATGCCCTGATCCTTGGCCTTCTCGTCGGTGTACTGGAAGTTCTTGAGCATCTTGACAGTGGCAATGTGCCCACGCGCATCGTCGACCACCCTCTCGGAACCGTTCTTGACGAGGTATTCTAGCAATGTCAAGGCCTGTGACAGGAAAGTCATTCTCGAATCAGATCTGACTGAACAGAAACTGGATACACGCAATATGCAGACCTTGTAAATTTGTCTCCATTGCCTAGCCTCGCTCTCGTGAAACCTCGACCAGATCAAGGGCAAGATCTCGTTGAAGTGTTGGCTATGTATCAAGAACAGATTGCGATGAGCCCCGATCTTCCAATTGGATTGCGTTCTGCAAGAGGTGTTGATCAGACTTGCAGGTTGTGTGTGCTGTAGTGGCGGTGATGTCACGCAAGACTGGGTCATGTCAGTATTGTGTCTCGATGCCATGATATATTGAACGGAAGCACGTACGCTTGAGCTATCTCTTGCATAAGGGTAGAAGAAGCACCCCTGTTTACAAGCGGTAAGCACGTGCCGGACTCTACGGCTTCCCAGCGAGTTTACCTACCAAGGCTCGTCTGGGTCTGTCGCTTCTCGGACCTAGACTTTGTCCGGCAGTTAGGAATCTACTCGTCCCTTATTAGCTCAAGCGAGTCGACTCACCTTCGCCTCCATCGGCGACACGTTGAGGATGGCGTTCCGTGCATGATTATAGTACGATTTAACGTCGTAAAAAGTAAGTTGAGAAGCCTGCTTGGCGAGCTCTGAGAAGGGGTTACTCTCGACTGTTAACTGGATGTCAGCCGCCGGTGTGGAGTTCGTCCTGTCTCACCCTCGAGCTTGTCCATGTTAACGATACGGGATATATAAGATTGTATGCGGCTTGTAACGCAAGGGTTGAGCGATGTCGAATAATGTGGCTGACGACGCTATACACTTTGTTTTGCGACCTTCAAGGGGACCCGACATCGCAATTGTCTGAATCTGCTGTAGCTGGACTGATCGTTGACGACCTAGGACCCCCGGAGCTCATTTGCATCCGATCACCGTTCGTTGTTGTCGCGTGGCGTCGACTCATTCGCGCGTGGGGCTCGACCCCCAACCCGATAAGTTTCGTTTCGTATCGCCAACCTTTGTTTGAATATTGAAACAACCCTCGTTTCAGGTGTGGGAGGGGCTGATGTTTCAGCCATTATGTCTTGTTGAGAGGCGAATGTATTGTGATTACACTTATAGCTACAAGATGACGGCGGTTTGCCTTTCCGTAAACCATCATCTCGTCGCGCACACTATTATTGCTCCAAAAAGACTAACACCCCTTCCTTCTATCTTCTCCACAACATGACGCCACCTGGACGTGCAATCAGTCACACTCGATTCACCCTTCTGCTTTGGCTAGGTGGCATGCATGCGTTACCAACTCCACAGCAACAGACGGAGCCCGATGCTATCGAAGGTACTTCAAGTGCCAGCGCATCTGCGACTTCCATGACAAGCTCCACATCAGGGATTAGCAATGCCGAGCTCATCGGTTACGCTGCTGCAGGTCAGTCCATTCGTTTTGTCATCAACGTTGCAGATGCTCATCAATGTCCGGATCCGTTGTGTTCATTAGGCATCGCTGTACTACTCGCAATCGCCGTTGGAGGCATCATCTGGAACAAGCGTCGCAAGCGAAAGACGGCGGTTGCGGCGGAGAGCGAACCCCCGCAGGGGAATTCGCCCAGAAAAGAGTCGTTCGACTCGTCTGTAGATGAGGAGCCTCATAAAGCCTCGCATGAGCCCGTCACCCCTGTCGTTGGTCAAAACTTAGCAGGACGAGGCGTGCAAGCGAATGGCGGGATGTTGAAGCACCAGCTTGTACCAGCAAAGGTCGTTCGCAAGTACAAGCGGGATGAAAACGTCGAGTATTCGAGCAAAGAAGAGCAGCCGACACAACGATCCAGACGAGAACGTCGTTTGCGAAAGAAGAGTGACGACCGTAAACACCGGAGGCAAAGCGAGAGTTCTGATTCTGAAACAGAATCTTGTACAGACGAATCCGTTCGCAGCAAGCGAAGGTGAACGGAGGCAGCCGTACAAACATAGTGATATGAAGCCGATTCCTTGTAACCCCACAAGTAGATTCTAGATCTCTAGACTCATATCTACCGGATACACCTACAGTCGTAATGAATCACGAGCTTGGACAACTCGAAACCGGTATCAACTGAGATGGTCTGGCTGCAGTCCTTGGCACATTGACGTCTAGGCAGATCTTGATGGCTGAGATCCGCCGAAGGGAGGGAGAGGGAGAGGGGGAGGGAGTGGGGTTATTTGTTGTGTTGAAGAGCGGAGGCCTAGGTCTCAGAGTAAATAGTAAAGGTCTAGTCCGTTCCCGGACCAAATCTCACTCCTTTCCCGAACAGCAAAAGACTGTAGATGCTGCTAGAATGGCAGCACTGATGTTGATTGCCAACCTAGGCTACATCATCTATAGGATCAGTCAATCAGAGAGGTCCATCTGGTGGAGGTAAGTATATCTAGGAAACTTCTGCTTTTGCGCCAAAGAGGCTGCCAGGGTGATGTGATGAGAGAGAGAGAATGATGATGATCTGGAAGAGAGCTACATAGATGTACACGTGAAGAGCTCTTCTCTATAGTAGACCCGCGCGAGCGCGCGCAGCGCACGACTCACCTTTCCTGTTAACAGGTGATTTCTATTGGTGTTCATTATCGCACTGATTGCATATACTTGGTGGTCAATCAATATGGGACACAGTCATGAGCCTATTCTGTAGACCCCTGGTCTCCATCTTGTTCTTCCCTGGATCACGGTTGATATTGTCGACCGTCCCCACCAGTCCTCCCTTTCAAACAAGGCCCTCCTCAACATCCTGGTCGATCCTGAAACCATTTTGCAGGGTGTTGAGGGCTTCAGGCAGATCTTCTAGCACACTTGCTTATACCGATACATCTCTCTTCCCTTTCGGTACATCTGTCCACGATCATGCTTGTATTCTTCAAGAGATTACTTTCACTGCAGCTGGTTCCTCCGCCATCAACTGGCTCCAGACAGCTCTAGACCATCTTGAGCCTTTCTTCTCGTAGCCGAGATGAATCAAGTTGCAGACAAAGCTGTGCTTGAATGAGTGTTGGGCAAAACCAAGGAAGAACTAAAACACATCAAGATGGAAGAGCCTCACCCCAACGCTACCTCAATGGTTCACTCCTCTTTCCTCCCCATTGAGTTTGCCACTGCCTCTTCCGTTGAAAGTGGCCTTCATGGTCGGACTGGACATGATCCACCAGGTTGTTTTCGCTCACAGGGCAGGTGGTGCAATATAGGGTGGTGGTATAGAGACGATGGTTGCCAATGGAGGAGGAGCAGGAACAGAAGATGGTTTTGGGGGAAGTGCGAATGTTGCCGGTTGAGAGAGAAAGAACCCTGCCATATGTTCAAACGATTGCTTCTGAGTAGCCTCATTGAAGTTGGCGAGGGGGTTCATTTTTGCTATGGTAAGATGGTAGAGGAATGTAATGGCAACAAGATGCAGATAGGCTATCAAAATAGACTTCAAAGTCAATAGTACAGGGTTTGTAAGATACATAGGCTTACAGGCCTGAGAGCATAAGGATCATACAAGGGTAAATTATTTATGTTGTTGATATTCTCAATTTCAAAAGCCACTCAGTTTTCCCCAGTTTTCCCCTCCATCCGCTGTACAACACCTGGTCCCCAGTCCTTGCATTTCCATTCGTCTCCCTTGCGCCGCAGCTTTGACCGTGTTCTCTGCTTTTCCCTTTGCTCCACTCTTTGCTTGCTTTCAATATCCCTCCAAGTATGCCTTATTTTTCTTTGGCATCAAGGTAAGGGTCCGATCTTATAGATCATCATCGTCTCCAATGTTGTCATCGTCCGGAACTTGGAATACAGTCCCTGCGTCTAAGATTGAATGGTAAGATGAATAGATTGAAAATACTAAAGGGATGTGAAGCAATTGGCAGCCGGCCCTCTTACCAAATATATTTGCAGTTCCTTGTCCTGCCCCTCATCTAGGTCTTGCTCTTTTTTCATTGTCATTCCCCAAACACAGGAAGCTGTTTGTATGCCCGTACCCCTCCTCTTTGATCTTTGCAACCCGGCAGGATGCAAGAGCAAACATCAAGAGTGCAAGAGCAAGAGCAAACATGGTTTGAAGGGAATTTGCTGATGCAATGTTTGTGTTTGGTTGGATTGACTGTGTGTTACGTTCGTTGTATGGCCTTTGAACTCTGAGCAGCTTATGTGGTAGATATGAGGGTGGGCCGGGTAGGTAGGTGTGTATATGGGCTCAACCCTCAAATGTTTCTTATCCGTAATATTTGAATTGTTGTACCTTCTGATGAACTGTTACACCAACCAGTACTCAAATGGGACCAAGGTTTGTAGGCTGGATAGTGGTGGCCAGCAATTTGTGAACGGATTGGAGAGACTCAGCTACATAGTATCCTGGGTGGACAGCTTGAGGTATCATGTGGCTAGTGCAAAAGCCAAGCTGGATTGCAAGGCAAAATTTTAGTAGGTCTCTGTGGTTGTGCCTGAATGTTTTTTAGACAAGAAGGAATCCAAGGAGGGGAAGATACAAACCAACTAGTTGGTCTGACATATGTATCATTCTGTATGTCAATTAGTACTTGGTTTTATGTGACTGATTCAGTTGCAAGTCGTTTCTGTTGGCCAGATGTTTATCATGTTCAAATAGATAGTGCTTGTGTGTTGGGCATTATCCTACCATCTTTGCTAGATGTCAAATCTCTTCAATGATGTGGTGAGTTGTTTGGTGATGAGGCCAACTGGTTCTGCCATGACAGGTTACATATTGACTGCTTTGCCTGGTTGTGTTTCTTATCCTCCTCAATCTCTGCGGCACATGTTTCTATTGGGTTTCCATGTCCATATTATGTTTACAAGCGGCCTTTTCCTTTGCTGTCATCTTAGCACAGACAGCTTCTTTCTCCCACTATGCCGCTGCGAATCCTGGATCGTGCTGCTTCTTTCAAGATTTTCCCTATGTGTTCCTTTGTCGGCCTGTAGCTTCTTGTGCTGCTCCTGCATACATCTCAAGTCTCTTTCAAACCCAGACCTTGCCTTGTATTCCTTGTTTCTCTTGTTTCCCTCCTGCGTTTGTGCCACATGAAAGGTGTACAGATGTAATGGTAACCCACTATTGGAAGCAGGCTCAGCCACAACCTCAACTTTGGCACTGCTCAAAATCCTTGTGTAATGTATTGCGTAATGGATGGCAGAAGCCACAGATCCAATTGACCATGGCTAAGGGTAGCATGAGTTGTACCCTGGCTGCAACTTTGCAGCTGGTGATGAAACCCTTGTTGCAAATCAGCATGTGATGATTAGTCATCAGCATGTGGAAGCAATCTCGCCCACAAAGCAGGAAGCAAAGCGGAAGCAAAGTGGATGCAAGATGGAAGCAAAAGCATGGAACCTGCTAGAAGGAATGTTTTGCCACTGAGGCGTTAATGCCATCGGGTGGCAAACGTAAGGGACTTTTGCCATTGGGTGACAAATCTGAGAGATTATTGCCACCAATAGCAAAACAGCCTCAAGACGTGATCGGAGACGTAATCACGGTCGACTGGTGAACAGTTCACAATTGGTCATTGGAAAAGTTATGACTCAACCCATTTGTCACCACTTTTGCCACCATTTGCCCCTTCCCACAAAAGTATACATAGCAGGCCATTTGGGTCTGATTTCTGTTATAGCGGTCACATGACGCGTCGGACGCGCCGTACGCAACTCCCGTATGCGACTCCCGCCGGGGGTACTTTTCGGTATTGTTGTTTTGATGTAGAACTAGTACCTCTGTAATAGCTCTACATCCGTTATTACATTTAGATGTCTACCCATACCTTGCCTCATTCCTGCGTCCCGTCAGCCTGTCCAGGGGGATCCCCGTCGGGGGTCGCTCCCGGGCCTTACAATTTCTCTTTTCCCTCTCATGTACTACTTTACTCTTATGCAAGCAACCAGATACATAGTCATTCACACAAGAGATAGCAATAGTCAACACCATCAAAGGAACAGCTACACCATCAGCTTAGGCTGATATCACAACAACCCTGGTGATGGAAATATAGCTGATAAGCAGTTACTAGTGATGGAAGATCGATGAGGGCTGAATAGGTTCAGGCTATGCTCTAAGACCTTCACACAAACAGGGAGAATGACGTGTTCTTGAACTTGCTTTCCCATCTTCCACATCCTTGACATGGGTCGCTTCCTGTAAGATATCTTGGTACTGTACTCACTTTTTGATCATTTTGAGATTCATTGTTCAAATATAGTCAATATTTTACATTTCTACTCATAACTCATTACTTCAGTGCAACCCCTGCAGGAGTACTGGAGGCTGTATGACAACACCAGACAGCTCATGGCTCAGATTGTCACACTTGAGCCTGGTGACAGCAAAGAGCCAGCTAGGCGGATTGTTGTGAAGTAACAACTAGATCCACCAAGGTGTTACTTGATGAGCCTAGGCAATAGCAATGGTGTGTTACTAGTGCTGATCTTGTCTTGTTGTGAAGACGAATCAATGTTGCTTGCATAAAAGTAAAGAAGTACATGAGAAGGGAAAGAGAAATCGGACCCCAATGGTCTTGTATAAATCCTATTCTGATGAGCCGGTCCCCAGGAGTGTTGAAGATTGGCATGCTATGACATCATTGATGATGCTCAAAGGTGCAATCTCAAGCACAAAGGGTCAACATGTGACCAGGATCACATGTTGTGACTGGAGACGCACTTATGTGACTGGAGTCACACTTATGCGACCAGAGACACACATATGCGACTGGAGTCGCATATTGGTGATGTCATCTGTGACTGGAGTCACAAATACGTGACTGGAGACGCAATATGCGACCAGAGTCGCAATTATGCGACTCCTCTAGTCGCAAGTTCACTAGGGGACATGCTCATCAGAATAGCATATATAGCAGACCATTTGGGTCTGATTTCCCTTTCCCCTCTCATGTACTACTTTACTTTTATGCAAGCAACATTGATTCATCTTCACAACAAGACAAGATCAGCAATAGTGACGCATCATCACTATTGCCTAGGTACATCAAGTAACCAACCTTGGTGGATCTAGTTGTTACTTCACAACAGGTTATGAGCCCAGTAGTTGTGGCCTAATCTACACTTAGACTTAGCTCACAAAGGAACAACCTCAACTATCAGGATCATCAAGAGGATATCACTGGACATAGTTGGACAGGTTAATATTACTGGTCAGTAATAGGATAGTCTCACAGCATTGGAGACTAAGGACTATTAGATCAAGAGAGGATCACTAGTCAGCATCAGACTTGGACATCAGCATCCAAGCAGCAACAAGACTTGAGGCAACACAGACACTCAAGCATCAGCATAGGACAAGTCTTGGATATCATTATCAAACAATGGACATTACCAACACAGGCTCTTCAGCAACCAGTAGGATACCTATCCTGACTGGGTTGGACAACTACTTCCAATGGAGGAATGCAGTTGAGGATGGAGCACTTGTCTATGGAGCACTGCATGTGCTAACAGAGGAAGTCAGGACAGGACCTCTCAGGCCTCTGGAGATTGAGGAGATGGATGGCTCAAAGGTAGCACCTCCCTCATCTATTGTCTCTCTATACCTAGAGGAGTGTAGGGAATGGAAGACCTGGAAGGAGAAGGATCAAAAGGTCATGGGTCTTATGAGACTCAATGTCTCCTCAGGCATCAGGATGGAACTTGCAGGATGCAACACTTCCAAGGAGATCTGGGATAAGCTAGCCAAGCTTCACCAGATGGATGACAAGAACTACAAGGCAGACATAGAAGAAAGGATCACTACACTCAGGATGAGTGAAGGGGATGATCCAGCCAGGTTCTTGGAGCTGTTCAGCACTTTATTGCTGAAAGCCCAGACAGCCAACTTCAAGCTGTCTGAAGAGGATAAAGCCACCTACTTCCTCAGGGCTTTACCTGTGACATATGAATCCCTCAAGTCAGAGTGGAAGTCACTACAAAGGATCAAGGAGATCACCAAGCAACCTACTTCCACCTTTGAGGATCTCAGGGGAATGTTCAACACCTACATTGCTGACTTCAAACGTCAGGATGAGGTCAGGTTACAGACTGCCATGATGGTAAGGAAAGCCAGTCATGGGCAGCAAAGGAGGAACTTTGGTCAAAGTCAACAAAGGAACCACAACAACAAGGACCAAAACAACAAGAAAACCTTATCTTGTTGGAACTGTGGGAAACAAGGCCACTCTAGCAAGGATTGCAGAGCTCCTAGGATAGGAGATGGCTATACCCACAAACCCAAAGGACTGTCACACAACAGGTTCAACAATCACCACAACAAGCCTACAGATGATCTAGCAGCCCTGCACAGAAATATGGCAGGTGCAGCTATTCAAGAGATCTCTGAAGAAGAATATCTGCTCTAATCAAAGAAGAGAGCATAGAATGGCTTGTGGACCTTGGAGCCAGCTCCCACATCTGCAACAACAAAGATGTGTTCAGCCAGCTAGAGAAGTTAGCTTTCCCCAAGAGGTTCAGGACAGCCTCAGGAAATGCTACTGTCTCTGAGCATGGTGGAAAGGTCACCATGAAGTTACCTCAAGATCAGAGTGCCATAGGGCATCTGACACTTCATGATGTGGTCCTCATGGAGGATGCACCAGCCAACCTGCTTAGCCAAGGTACACTACTGGCTAAGGGATGGGATGTAGATATCACCCAACATGGTGGTATGATCAGCAAACATGGGATCAACATTCCAGTTTACAAGACAGGTCCAGGAGGAACATTGAGGGCATTCAGGTTGCCACTCAAGAAGGATTACTACATCCAGTCTGAGCAACAGGAAAATGTTGGCTCATTGGAGAAAAAGGAAGAGCAAGAGGACCTCTACCTTACTGTCCAGGATAAGGACACCATACAAGGATGGCACAACAGACTAGGACACATGGGTGTCAGTACCATCAAGAAGCTTGCAGCATCAGGACAACTGCACATCACAGACAAGGACACCTCTACCTTCAAGATGGAAGAGTGTGAGGTCTGTGCTATAGCCAAGACAACCAGGCTCACCTTTGGTGACATCTCAGTGGCAGCTCAAGAACCACTGGAGATAGTACACTC